ATATCTCAACGTATAAAGTAGCGGACGAGCGTATAATAGGCATAAATACCGCGAGAAGAGCAACCTAATCAGGAATGCTTGTAGTCGAAAAAAGAGACTCTTCTCGAAGAGTCGCGAAGTAGTTCTAATATAACATTAGATCAGATATTACGGCCTTAACATAATAGGAAGTATTGTACTTATATACTAGATAAACATACTTGACCGTGAAAGCTAGGCCTACTAGGCCTTAATACGGGTATTCTTAGTACTCTTGCTATACGAATAGTAATCGGTATAAGTAATCTCTGGTTTATCCGTACGTCTTAGTGCCTAATAGGTATGTGAGCAAGCGATGCTGCGCAGGTTGGTAAAGAGGAAGATAAATTAAAGATGATTAAATAAGATCGATTGATCTTTCTTCCTCTTGATTGAATAGGAAGGATAAGTTCAATTCGGCTTAGAATCATAAAGATGAGAGAAAAGTAAAGTAGGACTGAAGCTTGGTTGATTGTATTGAATCTTCCTTTTGTGTATTGAACATTGTAGAGAAAACAGGGCATATTTATAACCAACTTGTCTCTTGCATGTGATCGTTCTAGGTGATGCATGATGATCTCATGCAGACAGATCTAGATGCATAGTGATCTCATGCAGTAGCTGTTTGATCGGTGGTTGCTTGATTGTACGATGTCATTGACTGTAGTGATGATGTAGATCGTATACTATTGTATACGTCTTACTTGATGTCATTGACCGTAGTGATGATGTAGATCGTATACTGTTGTATACGTCTTACTTGATGTCATTGACCGCAGTGATGATGGTATAGCATAAAGCTTATAGAGATTCAGCCATCTTGTATAGGCCTTATGAATCTGGCTTGATATGCTGCATGACGGTTTAGGCATCTTGCCCTATATCTCACAAGGTATCTCTAAGATAGATTATCTCTCTACTAAGATTAGTACGAATAATCTGCGGTATATACCTAAAGCTTAAAACTATATTAATATATTACTTATAGACGCTAATCGCTATTCGTGTAGAAATACTAACGTAGATCTAGAGGATATAGCGTGAGTATCCGTTAATTATAGTATATATCTTAATACTATATCCTAATAGCTTTATATAGCTATCTATATACTAAATATAGTTTAGGCTAGGTAAGCGATATACTTAGCGCGGCTGCTAAAGATTAAGTATTCGGCGGCGAAGAGTATCAGGGCGTTCTTCACGATAGATTAAGAAGAGCCGTTCGCTAAGATTTAATTAGTATATACTAGTATAATATACCTAAAGTATAACGAAGGTAAGAGAAAAGATATACACTTTACTTACTAAGGAAAGATATATCCTTTCTTGCGGAGATAGGTATAGAGGAGGCCTCTCCTATACCCTTCAATACTTCTATCTTGGATTTCCTACCGAAGGACCTCTCTTATCTATTCATCTTGTATACTACGAGCCTTAGGGCTATCCGTACGTCGGCAGAGACTAAGATACTGCCGTACCTTTTTCAGGGTATCCTGGCTAATTTAGAACCCCTCTCTATATAGGGTTAGTAGTATCTCTGCATCGGAGAGATTATCGCGGACGAGTAACTGAATACGCTCGTATAAGGCCTTATTGTTGATCGCCTTTGAAGGAAGCCGGCGAAGGCCCTATTCGCGCAGGCGTCGGACGAGTGTACTATAAGAGATATTGATTGAATATCGCTAGGCGAGTACCAGGCAGATATCCTCGTTGGTTTTTTGCTGGTGTAAGAGAGCAGTAATCTTATCCTTGTATAGATTTAAATCGACCTGAGGGCGTACTATCTTTACTATGTAAATCAAAAATAGAAAGTGATATGGTATTGATAGTAATGGGGATGCTTGATCATGGGGATGCTTGATCATGGGGATGCTTGATCATGGGGATGCTTGATCATGGGGATGCTTGATCATGGGGATGCTTGATCATGGGGATGCTTGATCATGGGGATGATTTCGATTAAAATACCCACGATACCCACGATTCCACAGATCCTCCTCCGCTCCCGCTCGGCTGAGCCTCGGGAGGTATAGTATGACGACCCTCGAAAAAGCCGCTTTAGTATGCATAACGCTAGGAAATGAGCCTGTAGGAGAGGCTGTCAGCGTGTCTGTGACGAGCCTGCAGTAAGCCATACTGAAGGATGATCGGTGTGACTCGGGGAAGTAATACGTACAGGAAGGAAAGCGGTCATGGTGGACCCGATATTATAAGGTTAGTAAAAAAGAATAAATTACATGTGATCTATAGGATATAGAGTAATACCCGCTTCATCAGAAATATATCTTTCAATAAATATATAATATCTACATGAATTTATTATTAATAGCTATTTTTCTACTAAATATAGCTATATTAGATAGAGATATATACTCGTATTAACTATATAATAGGATATATTAGGTATAACCTACTAGAAACTAGCTCTATAAAAATATCTTATACATTAGTGTTACGACACATGCCTGGGTCACATGGTCATACCGTTTAGCCAAAAAGACCACTATGTCAGCCGTCAAGGCTGACATGCCCAGGACCAACATATATAGTAGCGCACGTATAAATTATTGTCAACATGAGTGGGTGTATAAGTGCATAAGCCCACGAGAGCTATCGAATTTGACAGAATGCGACGGAACGTACACGTGACGACGATCTTCAACGATTGATATCAACAGATTGCATACATGACGAAAGAGCTTCAACACTCTATATTTCTCCTGATTTCTATGAGATTCTATTCTGACGCATTGCCTCGATTTCATGAATTTATAAATACTGCCTGTTTTCCTATAGCTAGTCGAATCAAGTTTAATCATTGTGATGAAGTTGGAGCATTCTTCTATCATAAGTTAACTTCCGATTCTAAGCCGAATCGTACGACCTTTGACCTGACCTATACGATTCTTTGCCGGATCGTATACTGACTTGACCGATCGTGTACATTTGCTTGCTTGTGCACGCCGAAGGATTTATGCCGACCCCGTAAATCCGTCAATTATTATGTCATAACATTATCTTAATGCATTTGACTATTTGCTGCATGTTTGCTGGGTATTCAGCTGACCCGCTGTTGTAGGTCTTTCTTCTGCAGAATATTTTTATGTGTCATTTTATTAGAATGTCCTTATATCTTACACCCTAAGGACTTCCGCGAGTATCCCTCTAGGGATTATAGCTTCTATTATAGGAGGGTCTCCTATCTACTATCTCTAGGTTGCCTCTTCCGTAGCTAGTAGCGACCCTTATACTACCTAGGTAGCTCCTATCTTAGGTTCCGTAGCTAGGCCTCTGTTATTCGAGTTTTCGTTCTACAGGAGGCGGCTCGCTGACCTATAGGTGTTTCGAGACATCGTTCGTTGGTTCTGACTGTTACGGAGTCACCCTGGGTCACATGACAACCAACGTAGGCCAAAAAGACCACTATATCCGCGATCAGCGGATATGACCCAGGACCCAATATATATAGTATCGCACTGTCAGGCTACACCCTGACACTGACGGTCCGATCTGAATGTTTTGAAGCGATTAGAATGTTAGGACTAGCTTAGCGCGGGTCCTAATTAGAGATATACGGATCAGAGTGAAGGTTCCAAGATGGCTCTGTATTGCAAGAGACTAATCGCTGGAAGGCTCAATCTATGTGCGTGGGAGATCTCTAAGTCCTGCAGGGTACGGCGGGCGGTCCTGACTAAGTATGCAGGGCTACTGCGGGGCCAGCCGTAACATAAAGATACACGAATCAGGGGCCTCTCCGCTACGAAAAGCACTATAGAAGGTTAGTAGCCTTTATAAATAGCCTTAAGGTCTAAAACATTAAAATTTTAATTATAAAGACACGAATCGTAGGCCTCTTCCCCACGAAAAGTAGCCTAGTAGGTATAGCTATTCAGAATTACAGGCGTAATAGCTCTGTATCGCTCCCCTTAGAACTATAATATCGGTATTCAGTATTATTAAAGATATTCATAAATATTAGTCAGGAATTTTATGTAGGTTAAATTAGGCTTAGCGTTAAAAGTTATGCATCCATGTGACTATGTGATATGTCTGTGACTCCTAAAGGTTTCCCATAACTAACTAGGTCCTTAGCGTGTGACGTGTGACTAAGGCCTAGGCACATGGGAATCGATGTGACTAATTCTCAGTCACATTAGTCACAAATGTGGAGGTCTAATCATGAGAGGCCCATGGTAGAGCCAGTAGACGAAGGGTTCCCAGGAGCATGTAGTCTAATTGATAGTGTGATCAACCAATAGGCTTCATTGTGATGCAATGAATAGCAGCAAGCGTCCAGGACGGAATATCAAATTGTTGATGCCAGTGCTTTTCTGATTTTGTGGATATGACTAGCGTGTTCACGTTTTATTGAGGTGCTGGTCAGGCCACGTGCTCAGTGAGTGGATCAGACCTGCTCAGTGAGTAGATCAGAGGGGCTCAGAGACGTGCTCAGATCTACTCAGTGAGCAAAAGCGGCGAGGGTCTGAGCACCAAAACGGAAGGGGAAAGCCAAGACGTGGCATAGGAAATCCGATAGGTAGGTAGAAATCGAGCTACTTGCGCACAGGCCAGACCTAAGCATTTCCAGGGCATTTGTATTTAAAAGCTTTGAGGTTAGCTGATTCTCTGCCCGATAAGGGTCCTTGAGCATTCCTCGAGGGATCGGAACTCTTTGTTCCAATGACGTGGGGGTGTTCTTATCGAGAGTACGAGAAGTCGGACGGCCCTCCCGAGATCATCAAGACACGCGATCTGTATGTTCCCCGCAGTATTCACTGACCCATGGACCCTGCAAGGATATGCAAGGATACGCATAGAGCAATCACATCTGCCGAGTCGGCATAACTATCCGACAGGCGGGACTTGTAGCTTCACCTTGTGTGGCTTGTAGTCATTTAAGAGCTTACAAAAGGTACCCGAGACTAGACGGCGTAAACTTCGCAGGATTATTTCACTCTCCTCGTTGCTTGAGAACGAAAGATATGCGACCTGCAACACTTACACGCCTTGCTGCCCTGAATGGCCTGCGAGCCACATCCAGAAATGGCAGTACTCGGCGCTGTCTGACTATGCTGCATCCTCCTAAATTTGAAAATGAGAAAATGGTGAGCTTGCTGCCAAGGAGGATTGTACTACTTGTCATACTAACAGCCAGCCCAGCTGAACTATGCCAAGGGCTCACCCGAAAGAGCCGAGTTGACAAAGACCATCCAGAGGTTGAAGAGTGAATTTCCACTCACGATTCCCATTCAGATCAACGGCGTCGAGGTATGTTCACAGCTTGGCTGAGATTGTTCTCTAGATGCCTGCTCTAATACTTCTGTTCAATATAGATCACAACGAGGCAGTCCCGAGCGCAACTCAACCCTTCAAAGCATAGCGAAATTGTCGCAAATTATGCATCGGCCACCCCAGATCAAGTCAATGCTTCCATCGATGCAGCTCTCAAGGCAAAATCTCAATGGGAAGCTACTCCCTATGAAGATCGTGCGGCTATATTTCTTCGTGCTTCCGAGCTCATCACCGGCAAATACCGCTCGGAGATTGTTGCAGCAACCATGCTAGGCCAGGGCAAGAACATCTGGCAAGCAGAGATTGACGCTCCTGCCGAAACGGCTGATTTCTTCCGCTTCTACGTTCAGGAGGCATGGGCTCTATACTCCCAGCAGCCCAAAGTGCAGCTGGATGGGAATTGGAACAAAATGGAGTATCGTCCCTTAGAAGGATTCACATACGCCATTGCGCCTTTCAATTTTACTGCACTTGGCGCGACACTTGTTGGACCCGCAGCTTTGCTGGGCAATGTGGTTATTTGGAAACCTTCAGACTCGGCACTGCATGCTAGTTGGTTGCTTCACAAGATTTTGCTGGAAGCAGGATTACCTAAGGATGTCATTCAATTCCTGCCTGGTGATGCGGTGGAAGTGACCAACACCGTTCTGAAGAGGCCCGAGTTTGGTGCTCTCACTTTCATTGGATCAACTGCCACGTTCAAGGGACTCCAGAAGAAGATCGGTGATGGTATTGGTCAGGGTATCTACAACTCCTATCCTCGTGTGGTCGGCGAGACAGGAGGAAAGAACTGGGGTGTTGTGCACCCTTCTGCAGACGTCAAGAGTGCTGCTTTGAACACTATCCGCGCGGCATTTGAATACCAAGGCCAAAAGTGCTCTGCAAACTCGCGAGTGTATGTGGCCGAGTCTGTCTGGCCGGAATTCCAGAAGACTCTCGTTAAAGAAACTGCCGCCCTGAAGGTTGGACCCGTTGAGGACTACGCCAATTTTGTCAACCCGGTGATTCACGAACGATCCTTCGACAAGTTGAACAAGTTCATCGAAGATGCAAAGACAGACTCAGAACTGGAACTCTTCGTGGGTGGCAAGGCCTCCAAGGAGGAGGGATTTTATGTGCATCCAACTGTCTACCGCACATCTAACCCTCGTCACGAGATTATGTCTACCGAGCTGTTCGGTCCTATTCTGGGCGTCTATGTTTACCCTGACTCGGAGTGGGAGCAGACCCTCAGGTTGATCGATACCACCTCTCGCTACGGCCTTACCGGTAGTATTTTTGCCAAGGATCCCTATGCCAGTCGTCAGGCACAGACCATCCTTAAGCATGCTGCCGGTATGCTTTACCTGAACACAAAGTGCACCGGTTCCACGGTGGCGCAACAGCCGTTCGGTGGTAGCCGTGATTCGGGTACAAATGATAAGACTGGCACCATGGCTCATCTCCAGCGGTTTGTCAGCACTCGCACGATCAAGGAGGAGTTTGTGCCATTAGAGAAGGTTCAGTATCCTTCAAATGAGGTCTAGTAAAGGCCGTCAGGTTGATAAAATTGAAGACAGCCAATATAGATAGTATCTTAGCCAAATGGAATGAACTGCCTGAATGATTCCGGTGTTCTTATTGACCAATGAGCAATATGCGTAATCTTCCGGTTAATTTGACCAGATTCAAATTGATATATTCAAACCCTCTGCAACAGGAGCCCGTAGATCAGTTACAAAACGACTTTCAAATATGAGGGATTATCTCTTACTGAAAATAATGGACGTGGACAGACATTGAATCTCCAAAATTTAAAGAAAAACACCCGAGAGAACAGCGGCATATACCTAGTATCGGAACATGGAACTGTGGAACTTAGTGAGCAACCGTCTGGATGAAACGCTGCCAGCGCTTCTAATCTACACAAGCCGGCCCGGTCTTGGAGAAAGCGGGGAAGTGACCGGGATAATGCCATCATCAGCCTGTTGGCAAGAAGGACCATCCTTGGATAGTCGGTCTAATGGGCGAGCGGTTGCCCCGATACCCCTCCCACCATCGGAAGGCCACACCGACCATGGTCCGCTGACCCGTGGGGGACAGTTCGGTGAGCGATAGCGAGGTAATGGACGTAAGATGAGATATATAGCACCGCAAGTCAAAATACCGTGGGAGCTATAGATTCAGCAACGTGGACAAGGCCGGGCAAGACGAGAGGAAGACTTGGCTGGGTCGTGTCGCGAAATGGAATATACCAAAATGCTCTCGCGATCTACGTCGATTTATCATGTTACTTTAAGACCCCGCGGTCTAACAATCAAGCAAGCATATTCTCGGCGACATCGCTCGACCAAGCAAGGATTCCACGATGTGGCTGTTGCACTGCCGTCCAAACCACCTCTGGAGGTATCAGCGATGTCACGACTGCCCACAAAGTTATTACTGAGGTCCTTAGTCTTGACGTCTCTCATGTCCTCCAAGCTGTTTCTCAAGCCCGCCTTGGCTATTTTGAACGCCGTCACCAATTCCAAGTCCGCCTTTCTGAACCCTGATCGAAACTTTGTTCTGAACAAGCTCCTCCGTTGGACAGTCTATGATCACTTTTGTGCTGGCACAAATCGGGAGGAGGTATCTAGGACAGTGGCGGAGATCAAGAAAATTGGATACCAAGGTGTCATTCTGGGCTACTCTAGAGAGATTGTACTGGGTCCAAACGAGAAGCTGGCCCACGATGACACCGGGTCAACGACTTACAGTGATAAATGCTACGAAATGGTCGAAGAATGGAAGAAGGGGACTCTGGAGACTTTGCGAATGGTTGGTCCCGGTGACTTTCTCGCCGTAAAGTATATTATATCCCATTTGGCTTTCTCTGTGTACCCGCTCATGAACAATCGCTTCTCAGACTCACAGGTGCCGGACCCATTGCGGTCGACTCGATGGCAGAACGGAAACCTATACCCGAGTCAGTCGCAAATGCGGTGGATGAAATTTGCCTCGCAGCGAAAGATCAGGGGTCAAGACTATGGTTGGATGCTGAGCAGCAGGTTCTTCAGCATGGATTGGATGACTGGGCGATTGAGATCATGCGCAAACATAATCGTTCAGAGAGCCCTTTGGTATACAACACCATCCAAGGATATCTGAAAGGATCCAAGGCAAATCTTGATCGTCATATCACATTGGCAGCGCAGGAAGGATGGTCCCTTGGAATCAAGCTGGTTCGAGGAGCATACATTGAACACGAGACGCGTTCTCTGATCCACGATACCAAGGAGGATACTGATCGCTCATATGATCTGATTGCGGATACAATGCTGTGTCGAACCATGCCCGATAACGCCAAGGACCTCAGGTTTCCCAATGCTGCTCTCTTTCTGGCAACACACAACGCTGCAAGTGCTGCCAAGGCGATCGCGACTCATCAGGCTCTACTATTGTCTCATCAGCCTACAGTTTTACTCGAATGTGGGCAGATCCAAGGAATGGCGGATGAGCTCAGCTGTGAGCTAGTGCAGAACTACGAACAGGCGATGAAAGATTCCAATGCTGCAAATGTGTCGGTTCCTAAGGCATTCAAGTGTATGGCCTGGGGCTCGGTCGCTGAGTGCATGCAATATCTACACCGGCGGGCTATTGAAAATAAAGGTGCTGTTGAGCGAACCCAGCACATGGTCACTGCATTGCGACAAGAGCTACGGCGGAGGATTTTTGGTTGATATATGAGATGAGGGGTACACTCGAGACAAAGGTATAGAGAAGACACATGAATTTGAACCGACTTTGAAGCGTGATGATTGTTTGTAAGAAGAATTCTTTATTTCTACTAGAAAGTACAGTATGCAGAGATCGATACACTTGCTATTTTGCATAATTGAGAAGTATGGAGAGCCAGCTGGCCAACCAAATGCAACACTGACCAGGGGCCCTTATCAGACTTGTGGGGCTGCGGTTTGTTTCTGATAAGCTAAGAAAGTGGGGCGATAAGCGGATAAGAAAAGTCGGAAGACCCTCCCGACTTTCCTCTTGCCTCAACCCCGCAACACCTTGCAGCACTCAATTTACTTGATATCGGAGACATACGCCGGCTGTCATTGTTCTTTTGGAATCATACCTCTTCGGTTCTTGCCCCACATGCCTGCAACCCCGAGCAAGGTGAAGGCCAAGAAGTGCCAAAAGGCGTAAGTTGCACACAATGGGTGCTGTCAACGCCGTTCTACCTAAATAACAAAATGTAGATGTATACGATGTCGGGGTATGAAAGTCAAGTGCTCAGGATCCTATCCCTGCATACGATGTACTCGCAAGAAGCAACACTGCCAATTCCCTGCCGAGGATGTGCGGGTCTCTGTATCGGAGCGGTATGTCTTGATCGCTAACTGGAGCCAGAACATCTAACTGAATTGCCCAGATACCTCCGCCATTTGGAAGAGCAATTATCGGAAAGGAATAGTAACTTGCGTCATCAGGATAACTCTGGTCATAATAACCTCGTTGGCTCGCCCTATGTTGGGGAGAGTGAGATCGATCTATCTACCCCTCATGATTCCCAATTTCTCTTAGAGGATCAGCCAACAGTGCGGTGGAGGGAATCCATACATGGTATTATATGTCAAACTTAGCCCTATCACGCATCTGATGAATATTGAGGCTGACTTAAATTTAGTTCAAACCCTGGACACTTCTCTGCACACTCCTACTACAGCTCATCTACAGCGAGCGCAGGCTGGGGGAGACCCTGATCTAGAGCAAGATGGACATCGTTCAAGGTTTTCACGAAATCCTCTCGTTGATAAAGACCCATCATTTGCACGGACTCCAGATGGTAGATTTTGTGAGTTGCCAAGCAACAGTTGGTGATTTCCCTGCTAATGAACGACGTAAAGGGTACATGGGTCCTACTTCGTCTTGGTCCTTCTGTCGCCGCGTTTTACGTCTCATCGGAAGGCATGTACCGGAATCTAACTGCCCACCAGACCCATGGCATCTGGACGGAATGGCATTCAAGCTTCAATGGAGACCATTGCCTCCAGATGAAATACCTGATGTGACTAACCTTCCACCACTCGACTATGCCCTGTTTCTTTTCAACACAGTAAAGTTCTATTTTGGATTCCTCTCGTTCATGATCGATGAAGAAGCCTACCTGCAAGATCTGCATGAATTCTATAAGGACCCGTCTGCGAAAGCTGCTTCTGCGAGGTATTGGTACGTCCAATATCTCTTGGTTCTCGCATTTGGAAAAGCGTTCCTTACGAACAAGAATCCCTCTGGAACCCCCCCAGGCCATCAATATGCCTCGAGGGCAATGTCACTATTACCGGATCTGTCTGGAATGCACGAGGATCCTTTGACATGTATTCAAGCACTCAGCTTAGGGGCGGTGTATTTGCAATCCATCGACATGAGACGAGCGGCCTTCCAACATGTGAGTGATCAAATTTAGGACTACTGTCAGAAATATCTCATCCTGACAACCTGGAATAGATTGGCCAGGCGTTACGGGGCTGCATAATTGAAGGCATTCATCGGCACGTTCCTGAGGAGTTAGGCGGGCCAGAGCTCTCAAGCCGTTGTAGGACGATATTTTGGGTGGTCTATATGCTGGATCGTGAATTTTCAGCTCTTATTGGGGCTCCTAGCTCCATCCGAGACGAGGACATCACAGTCCGCCTACCTGCAGATGTCGAGAACTCGGTGGAACATATCAACCTGACATTACATGTGCGGCTATCCAGGTTGATGGCTCAAATTCTGACAAGTACGCAACTTTCACTCCTTCAAACTCTATCTTACTAACCTATTTCAAAGCGGTCTACGGAGTTGGGGATGAATTCAACGGAACACTCATCCGGAACACTCAATCGATTCTCCACAGCATGGCAGAGCTGTCGCATGATCTCACGGCCTTTCTTAATACTCACTTCCATGGGCTTATTAGCCGAGCTTCAAAGATGGCAATACGACTTATGCTCGCCCATCATCATGTAAGAGAGTTGCGATTGAATTCCATTGAATCACACACTAATCAATACAGTGTATCGTCCTTACCACAAGGCCTCTGGTTATGTGTGCTCTCAATATGCATATAGAACGCACCGAGAGACAGGCATCTCAAAGTATTGGCCTTTCGCCGCCTGTCGCTTCTCTCCTGCAATGCTGTGCAGACTCGGCCCAGACAATACTCCAAACGCTTCAAACCCTCGCTGATGACGACTTGTTGGGTATGTGTGATTAACGCTTGGCTGAGATATGATTCACTAACATCCAATCTGCAGATGCATTCCTACCTTTTCAAATCGAAGATGCATCCTCATCCGCATTTGTTCTATATCTGATTCGAGCAATCGCACCCTCGCTAATCCAACGTGATACTTGGTGCGACCATTTGAATTGTGTTTTAGAGAAACTCATCGCAAAGGGAAATCCGGCTGCACCACTACGAAGGCAAGAGCTAAGGCAGCTCGAGCAGATTCTTGCACCTTTAACCCCTAGGTCTACTTCGAGTCCCCTTCCTCCCGTGAATCTCCATCGGGATACACAAGAAAGTGAAGACACGTATGGATTGGATTCAGTCGATGTAGGTGATGGTTTCGAATGGGATCTGCTGGGGCTCAATTCCTCGGTCAGCTTGCCACCAAGGGAGCTATTGGATCTTGCGGATCAATTAGACGTTGAGAGTATTATGCATTCGGTGGGATCTTATGTTGGTTGAGTGGCGTTCTATCTGATATCATAGTTGAGAAGCATGAGTAAATGACCCCTGGCATCATTTCATATTCAGTCCGACCATTGGCATTCTCACCATTACGTAGACTAGGTCCGGATACTAGTAGATACCCAGAAAATTTCTAATGTTCAGCCTTTTGCGCAGGGGAGATGCATTTTCAATCTCAGATTACTGCATGCTGGAAACTCTTATATTATCAATACAACCAACCACCCACACTATTACTAGGAGAATCGGGCCTTCCTTTTTCCCTTTTTTCTTTCTTCCTTTCTTTCTACCTCAAAAATAAGAATGTTATTCAGTGCTATATTACAAACTCAAACACCTATATCTCTATCCCAAAAGCATACGCTCAGGCTGCTCAAGATGATCTTTGACTATGTTTAAGAATCTGACAGCCTCCCGTCCGTCAATAATTCGGTGGTCATATGTCAATGCGATATACATCATCTAAAACATCATAATTAGTACGTATCTCAACACAGGACTATAATCGTTTGCACTTGATATGTGCTACTTACCGGCCGAATCTCAACCTGTCCGTTAACAGCCACTGGACGGTCCAAAATACCATATGTCCCTAACACTGCGGTTTGCGGCGTGTTGATGATTGGAGTACCGAACAGAGACCCCCAAATGCCGCTGTTACTAATAGTAAAGCTACCGCCAATCAAGTCGTCCATCGTCAATTTCCCATCCCGGGCCTTTGCAAGCGAGTTAGCTCGTGCCTCATAGATTGTGTGGATTGGAGTTTTTACCTTTGCTACAAGTTCAGAGATACCTTTCTCGATCTCAACGATACTCATTGATTCGATGTTTCTGAGCACGGGGGTAACAAGACCTTTGGGAATGGAAGCAGCGACACTCAGATCCACATAATCCCGGTAGACAATGGTATCGCCGTTCTCAACGGATCCATTAACTGCGGGTATTTCCTTGAGTGCAAGAACAGAAGCCTTGGCCATTGCTCCCATGAAGCTTGGCTTGACACCGTGTTTTTCCATCACAGTGTCCTTGTTGTTCTTTCGGAATTCAATGATCTTGGACATATCGACTTCGTTGAAGGTTGTTAGGAATGCGGCAGTGTTTTGCGATTCTTTGAGGTGCTGTGTCGTCTTTTGGCGAATGCGCGTCATTTTTACCTAGGCGATCGGACTCATTAACTTCGCTTGCTTTGATCATTTAAGACTGAGCATTGAATATGGTCTTAAACGTACTCTATTCTCTCCGCGTTTGCCCTTAGGAGTTTGGCTTTGCTGTAGCAAGCTGTGATTTGATTTCGCATTGAGTTTCAAGTGGGATTCCGGTGTCATCAGAGTGAGCGACTCTGTAATAGCTGGAGCTGCAGAAGGTCGGGAATCATCAAGGGAATGCGGTGCTGAATAATTTGAAGCCAATTCGGAGCTATTTTGTCCAGTGCCGTTTGCTTCAGTCTCGGAAGGACTCTCTTCTGGTCGAAGTTCTGCAATGGCTTGATCGACGGTGACTGTATCCCCTTCTGCCTCAAGTAACTGCTGAATGATACCGGAATGAGGAGTGTTCACCGAAACATCAATTTTGTCTGTTTCAATAGTCGCAAGTTCCTCATCTCGTTCAATAAATTCTCCCACCTCTTTGCTGAAACGTGTAAGAGTTCCCTCGGTGATCGACTCTGCCATCGTGGGCACGCGAACGATGGCATCGGCTCCATAGCGGGGACATGAGAGCGTGAACGAACGAGTGGAAAAGAAGAAAGGACACTCAGCCCACTGGGAATTAGTAGATAAACGTAGATTTTTCGAGGATTTCCAAAGTCTGGTGTGGAAAAGCCGCGTCCCACGCCAGAAACGCGAGGTGCGCCCAGGTCGTAGAACTGGGTTTGAAAACCCGCGAGGCAGCATTTCCAAGGATGATTATGAATACTCGAAGTAGATCTGAAGTAAGTCCAAGCATTGGTATTCCAATGAGCGACTGGCCATTATATTCTTTTATTTTAATAGCGCCCGCAGACCCTTCGGCTCCAAAGACTTTACTGTTCGGCATGTTGTCAGGTCGCCGACCACGTGAAGACAACGCATAAAGCCGAATGAACCTTCCGAACCGAATCATTAACTTTTCTGGTTGATTTTTGTTCTCGCTTTTTTGGCGTTACTTTAGCTTGGAAATTGTGTTGCCATTCATTGGCTGTTACTGAAGAGTGCGCTGTGCAACCCAAATGAATTGGCCATTTTTGTATACCTCGCGATGGATAGATGCCTCGTTCCGAGATGGAAGAACGAGTGAATAGAGATGGGGATTTTCTTTTCTTCTTGCGATGAACACTGGCTGGTTTATATGGTGTTATGGCTACAAATTTCAGTTGAACTCCAGCTCCTGTCGGTAACCTGGAACGTTCCCGCTCACTCATAGGGAGTATGTAGATGACCAGTGGAAAGTTAGCAAGTCTGGAGCTGATGCTTGGAGGCCGGCCTGAATATGTTGGTGCTCAGTATTATCATTTTCAAAAGCATATTCACCAAATGCGCATCCACTGGGTTTGAGAGGAATTTGATAGCTTCCTACCACTAAGTCTTTACTTTTGCAGCTCAGTGTAGCTAGCCCTTCACCGTTCGAGTGCTCAGAAAAATGTCGGTTGAGAGTCCCGACGTCGAGATCCGCATCCGACCTTTTCAATTCTTTATTTCAGCTTTTGAGCCTCTTGATTTCCAAGCAAATAGGACAGGGGAAATTATCTGGATATTTATCCTGCAATATGAAGTCTGACATAGGAATCAGAATGCTTCGAATAAACCCTTTCGCACGCCTTCTCTCCCAGCCGTAAGTCCCCAACTTCCGCCGTGCAAAAATCCAGTCAGCTGATATCAGCTTAGGTCCTGCAACCTCTGTCGCAGTCGGTATCGACTTGAGAATCGAGTAATACAAAATATCCGGACGAGCTCCTCTGCGGCGGCAGTTGCAGAAAATGATGACGTCGTGGCGGCCCAGAACAACTACAAAATCATTCAAGAGGCTGGAAACTTCGAAGAAACTGAAGCAACACGGCCGGACTTTGATCACTCCAAGCCAATCGAAATCACAAAGTCACCTTTTCCTCAATGGAACTACGGCGATGGAGTTCCCGATAACGGGAAGAGCTTGGGTCAACAGCACCATGAGATTGACCCTTACGCGCCCGATCGGCCAATGATCAGCAACTATCGCCTGGTCGTCTCTGGCATCGCACCACGGCCAATTGGTTTTATCAGTACTGTCAGTTCTGACGGACAGAAAAACCTCTCGCCATTCAGCTACTTCCAAGTCCTGGATCATGACCCGCCAATGTTCATTGTTGGCTTTTCCTCGCGTCCGGGTCGTGTCAAGGACACCTACCGCAATATCAAGGAAACCGGCGAGTGTGTCATCAACACTGTTTCGGAGAACATGATCGAGGCTGTCAATGCCACTTCAATTGATGCGCCATATGGCGTGTCTGAGTGGGATGTATCAGGTCTTCATGAAGCACCCTCAACTACCGTCAGACCTTCCCGAGTGGCAGAGTCTGTGTTGAGCATCGAAGGCAAGGTGGTCGACATCAAGGAGTTTACCGATCACCAACAACCAGGCATGAGTATTGCGGCCAATGTGCTGATCAAGGCCACACGGTTTTGGGTGAAAGAAGGCACTGTAAATGCCGATTACAGTCATATTGACATTGAAAAACTGCGACCTATTGGGCAGCTGGGCGGTATCTCCTACGGTCGGATTGCATCGACGTTCGAGAGACCGCGTAAGAAGTGGGATCAAGAGGTTCCTAAGAGCGAATTTCTGGCCAAGCTAGATGCTGCCAAGTCCAATGTGAAATAGAAATGTGATATTCGTGTAGAATAGCAATAAAAATTCTAAAATGATTTCCTGCGATCTTTCCGCTATGAGGCTTCGTATGGCGACACATTTCTCTCTAGCGGCTTTCATTCCTGTAATGTTTTCGATAACCTTGGCTTCTCTGTCTAGCATACTCCAATGCCGAGTGGATAATTCAAGTTTAATAGCTGGCAATTACCGAACTTCATTGTATAGGACACTGATCGGTTAGCGTCAAATACTCCCAAGCAAAGTGTCTTATCATCATCGGAAGCTGGCTCCGACACCGGGCAACTCACTCTCGAAACTACTATAAATTATTTCTGCTACATGTAACCCTGGAGATCTCTATATCCAAGATCTCTTATTATAGTCACTGTTGAAAAAAATGATGTCTATTACCCCTATCGTCAGAACCATGAAACGGTTTTTACAACCCATTCGGTCTATAGGAACAGGATCAATTTCAATGGCAACGGGCAAGAAGAAAGAGTTTCTCTGCATCCTACCTGATCGACCCAATATTCTGAATCTCAGGAAACAAGTTAAATAGTAAGATTGACCATTGATGACGCAGCCCTACTCCTTACACATTGTACTAATGCAACATACCAGTGGGCACTATGAAGGAATCCAACCCTTGATCGCCCAGGGAAAGCTCGTGGACGGGGGTACGTTCAATTTAATGTGACCGCTTAAAAATAGCTGGTCGAACTAAAAATTTCTACTTGTACAGGTGCAATTTTCGAACAGCATCCAGAAGAAGGCAAAGACGCACAGTTTGTGGGAAGTGTGGTAGTATACAAGGCTGAAAATGTCGAAGAGGTCAGGGAGATCATCAATAAGGATATCTATGCCACGAGCGGTGTTTGGGACCTTGAGAAAGTCCAGATTATCCCCGTGAGTCATTACCTCAGAGGACTGCGTGAAAAACTCGTTTCTTTTTAAGCTGACAATGTCCCAGTATGTGCCCGCTGTTCGGCAACCTCTGCCGAATTGACGAGCTGGAGTAGAACCAATTCTCCGACTACTTTAACGTTCAACAGCGTTTATTAACATGATAGATCCAAGTCTTCTGGAAACATTACATTAGTTTCTACAGCTGCTTGAAAGTTGATTCGTAAGACATTTTATATCATAGCATCTCATCTTAAATCCGCAGTGAAACACTATATAGAAGTAGTCATGAAGCTTACTCGCCGGAAGGGGGCTCACTGCTCCAGTCAGCCGAGACAGCTACAGGCTGAATATGGAAATGACCCATGTCAAACAAAATCTGCTGCCACTCGGGTCGACCAGTGGCTTGTACCCCGTAGTAATTCGTTTCATCTGGAAACCATGTTTCTTTGCGAGTCGAAGCCTTGTTGCCTCCTTCCAGAGCGGCCCGACTGGCACGGGTTTTCCGCATTCGTTTGTCTCCGGATCCGCCTTGTCCTTGAGACCAGGCTGCAAAAAGGTTATCTCTATATTGTTTGAGGCGACCGTCGAATGTCATGATAGCGCGAACGTAAGGAGCAATGTCCTCGGTGATGGGTGCAAGACCATTTTCGAAAGACAGGGCTGGTCGACCAGTTGCTATGGTGGAGTAATTTGCTCGCATGAGAGGCTCAAAGGCTTTCCGGAAGCCATTGGATGTCGAAGACGAGATGCTTTGACGGGCGGCAGCCTGGGCCCAGCCATTGAAAATTCTACCTGCACCAGCAGATTCAATATCCTCGACCTTGGGACGGAAAGTCCGAGAGATCAATGAATCAAAAGTGGTGCAGATCGACTCGCTGAGGGAGGAGTATTCAGGCAGCAGGTCAGCCTGCAAAAGTGGGTGAGCATCAACGTAGTTGGACCGATAAGATTCGGAAATTGGCGGCGAAGAGGTATCAAGGACGTCCTGGTTATGTGTTAAGCGGGTAATCAATGAAAAAATCGAAGGGTTAAAACCTACCTTGAACATATCCCTTGGACAATCGGAGCAAAGAATGTCGAGAGCGCTCCTCATCTCCATGTAGTCCGTTTCGCGACTCAACAACTCCAGTTGTTCGAGCTTTGTCATGGAACGTTGTTGTTGAGAAGGCAGATGCTGCATTTTACTCACGCCAGATGCATCTTCAGCATCCTGAATGCTCAGTCTCCACCAGTTGAATGTGTTTTCCAAGGCCTCGATGTCTTTTGTCAGGGAGTTTTCACTTAGGAAGGCGTCACGACTGAACCATCCCATGTACGATTCATAGGTGTTCAAACTCAGAACCCTTACTCGTTCTCCATTTGGATCCATATTAGCCCCAGGCGGCCAAATCGGAAGAATCCAATCCAGGCCTCCCTTTTCACTCCCAACGGCCATCTGACACCAGAAATTCAGATCCATCAGTGACCTTCGAATGTCCATGCCAGATGCGTTAAAAAGCTTGTTGACAGCGTCTCTCTTCAACGCGTGTCCTTCGTGGGCAGCGACCAAAAGCAAATAATCAAGTGCAAGATCGAGAGGAGGCCGTTGGTATCGCAAGATGGCATGTAGAGACATAGCTTGGATTGGAATTGTACTTTCATCATTGCAAGTAATGATTATAGGTCGTTTAGATTGACTGATGAGGGTCAGGACTCCAGTCCAGAATTGGCGATCTTCCTCAAAAAGCAGATCAGCTTCTTCAAGCAAAATCAAGGACTGCTTCTGCTCGCGTCCGCGCTTGCATTCAGACCCAGGAGTAGGGCTCGGCTTTGCTTTGGTACCGTTGACGGATTTGATATTTTTATTTTGTGATGGCTGGCCTTTGAAAAAGCTCATCAATTTGTTTTGCCTGGTGTCAACATCTGCGACATGCTCCTTCAGCTTTGACCCGGGGTCATCATTGTCATTCAGAAGGTGAACGAGATGATTTTGTGTCATGTCGCCGACTCTCTCGAGCATGTCTCTGGCACTTCTGCGACTACCAGGGTTGATTTCGAAGACCTCAAAATCAAGCTCCTTGGCTATCGCATATACTGACGCTGTTTTGCCACAGCCTGGAGGGCCACTTATGAGGATAGCATTGGTCAGCCGGCCTTTGTCGCCTCCATTCTGGCCCTGGATGGTTAGATCTCCTGATCGAATGAGGGTCTTTGGCGCCGAAACTGTGACATCGCCTGCCAGTTCATCATCCGAGCCCGAAAGCGCATCCATCTCGGATGCTTCCTCTCCACTTGAGACAATGAACCCGTCAAGCTCATCATCGGCTTTGCGCTTTTTCCGTTTCTTGTCATGCTTGACCTTCAATTTGGTGGTCTCTCTAGGTTGTTTGCCACTATCGACCGCACTGACTTTTAGATGGCGAAGCCAGTCGCGAAGCACTCGAGCCTCCCGGCCAACTTGAAGGACATCTTCTGCTTTTGCCGGGCTGTACTTGTGACACCAGAGGCGTGATTCATACTTTCCACAATCGAAAGCGGAAACGGACGAGAGCAGAGAAGAGTGGAGTCTTTTGATCACAGGTAAGGTCGAAGCGTAAGACGCTTGTTGGCCAGGCAGTGACCAAGACATTTGGCTATTGAGGGCAGCCTGCAGGACGCGTCCACTGGCAAGATGTCGCCCCGGGAGCCGTAGAGCTGGTTTGCTGTTGCTAGAACTTTGCAACTCAAACGTAGCAGCTTCACGGGCCCATGCAGTGCTGGTAAGAAGAGCATTCTCTTCGTCTGTGACCGCGATGGTTGGAAATTTAGACTTCTTACGATCATTCTCGAGGTTCCCCACGGACGTCCGAGCCAATGGAGATGAGGCAAGATCTGTGACATGAACGAGGTCCCGAGGTGGCCATAGTGAATGAATTGTCTCGGGAAACTTGTTTGTTCGACGCACGAATCCCGATGACACCGGCCATGTCGACTTTGAATCCCCCTTTACTTCGGCAGTTCTCTGCTGTCTCACATCTGAGATAGCCTTGATATCTGGGCTTTCTGTAGTAGATTGATCGTCACCGCTGACAGCAGCCGGTGACTTTGGAGGTGGTTTCTTCACAAAGAATGGATGAGTCGGTTTGTTGTCGACGATTCTAGGTTGTACAGGTCGTCGCAGGGAAGCAGCAGGAGCCGGAGAAGGAGCATTGTGCTTTGCACAACCACTGAGTATGTCGTCTATCATTTTCCCAATGTCAGCTCTTTTTGCAAGTGTGTATTTGAGGACCACCATCTTGCTTTCCACCTTGCGAGTTCGACCTCGTTTGCCACCTCCTCGCTTCGGCGCAGTAGGATCAGGAGGGCTGAGTGGAGGAGAACTGAGCAAGCGACCATTGGTGTTCAACTTGACAATTTTGCGCGGTTTCGTTGGGGCATCCTGCGAGGGTGTAACATCTTTTGACGCGGGTGCTTTCCCAAGACTGGTAGTGCCAGACTGGGCTTCGGCTGAGGCAGGGGGCGATGGTATGGACGGCATACTAGACTCTGCGTCCATAACTGGCACTTTAGGAGCAATAGAAGTGGGGGCTTCTACCCCCAGCCAGCTAGATAAGCCCGCTTGGAGAGGTTGGTCATGTTCAGATTGCTTGCTCCGCTCTGTCTTCCGCCTCTTGCGTCGGCTAGCATTCGGGTCTTCATCTGGGTTCGATGTACTTGGAGCTGGAGTCGTCGATGATCCTAAGGGGTATGGAAATGGCATCTGGACCGTCTGACTGGGACCGGGGGTTGTGGTTGCAGGTGAATGGACGTCTGAGGGCAGTTTGCTGGATCCGGCCGGAGCAATAGTAGCATTTTCGAGGGACGGCGTACTTTGGGACGGAACTGCGAGATCTAAGACCAAAAGTGAGTTTCAAAAAAGGCCAAGTCAACCAGCTAGACGCCCATACCTTTCCGGAAGAAAGGGTGAACTACCGACTGTTCGCCTCGTCCCATGACCGCAGGTGAATTGGATACAATGGTATCCATGTGCGAGAGGGCTGAAGAGTCATCAAGAGGAAAAACGGACCGCCGGTGAAGGATGATAAGTCCAATGTGTCAAGACCACCAGCGGTCAATGTGTAGGCCCTCTCCGCCAGAGATGCAAAGTGCAGCTACTGTAGAACGGGGTCATATTGCAATGACCAAGTGCAACACGTCCGACGCGAAAGGCGCGGTCGCGTCTAATTGGCTTATGTCATCCCGATGATAGCCCGCATCAAAGTATAGATTAGGCACTAATCCATATGGGGACTAGTGTTCCTGTGGGTCCGGCCCGTTGTTATCCCGAAAATTTTTCAGATTTCCCCGTTGGGATGGGTTTGCAGCTTCATTGACACAGGCTCTGAAGGGAGTTTAAACCAAGGCTTTGTCGGGATTGTGATTGTCTTCCAGTTATGGATTTGCAGTCTCCATCAGTCTTGGCGCAATTGCCGCGCCCCCTTCATGCCGCTACTGGCAAGACTCGCATTGGAGACGTGAATAGTCTCGCCGATGCCAAAAAGCGCAAACGTTATGAACTTGCGGTCGCTGTCGATGGCGAAGCCGTCAACATTTACAACGTAGGGTCTTTGTCGGAGACTCCTTACCTTATCTCATGCTTACTCTGCTTTCTATCTAGATCCAAACGCCTAAGCTTGTGACCTCCTACGCTGTCCCGCCTCAGTCCACATTTTCTTGCCGTCCCTGCTCCGTGCGCCGCAAGCTCCCCAAGAAGTCGGCAGTCAAGAGACAAACCTACACGGCTGTCACAAAACCTGAGTATCAGATCAAGTGCTTTGTGGAGGAGATTGGCCATGGTTCGAGTGCACCTACTATCTCGTCCTCCAGCGCCACTATCACAGATTCCAAGAGCCCCACGACATTTGTGGGCATCGTTCCTTTCAGCGCTGAAGACGAAAGCGAAACTGACCCCTTCGACATCCTCGCTGTCCACACCGATGGACGTGTTCGTCGACTGTCCTCGGATTTGAAAACACAACACTGGAGTATTCAACACAGTGAAATTGCGAAAGTCTGCTCCACTCACACCGTTCACTCGTGCTTCCTAATCGATCTCGAAGATGCAAAGAAGGGTTTATTTAAAAGGCGACAAGACTTGGCTGCTCTTGCATTTGGAGACTCTCCGTCGGCGGGAGTTGACGAACCCTCCATTTTGCTCATTGTTTCTCACCCTAAGGACGCCGATACAATTGCATTGCAGGATGTCAATGTTCAAATCTTTTCCGTCCCTGCCAACTCCAAGTCTGGGTCCCTTGGTCTCGAAGAAAGCCAGCGGCTTAGACATCTCCAGACTGTTCAGGTCCCCACCCCAGCTGGGCTCGACAGGGTGAACAACAACAGTCTCTTGCAGTGGAACTTCCATTCTGGAACAGCGGGCCTGCAGCTCTCCTTTGAGAATGGATTTGTGAATATCGATCTGTCCCAGTACTCCCCCAGCGTGAGCTCGCAATTTGTTCTGAATGAGCAATTTACTTCGATCATGCGAATTTCGCCCCAATGCGTTATTGGAGCAAGTGAATCACTCATCGCAGTCTATGACACCCAGTACCAGTCCGTGCAGAGGAGCATCGCCGCGAGAGATGTGATTTCGGGTTCTAGCTCGAACGCGGATGGCCCGACCATCTTTATTAGCTATTTTGCTAAGCTTGGTATCGCCATTGCTATGAAGGCCAATACTCTGATTGCATTTGATCTCACGTCTCTGCATGGCCAGTCCGGCCCATCTCTCAAGCGCTCACGAGATGGGCTTCTTATCGATGCCATTGGTCGGGGTATCGGATCGTCCGCTTCGCAGTGGGACATGTCCAAAAAGCATCGGACTGACAACATGGCGGCACTGCACCTCAAGACTTCCGAGCAGGCCGAGAAGTGGAGTCAATTCACCACGGCAATTCATGAAGCAACCAAATTACTGAAGCCGGATCTCTTCGATAAAGCGGTTCTCGGTTATTTTGGCACGTCAGAGGCACCAAAGGAACTTCCCCAGGAGCACGTCAGTCCTGAATCAACCCTTTTCTTGCTATCGAAAATCTTTGCGGTCCAAGATTCTGCCATCACCGATAAGGCCTCTGCATCCTCTTCCTCTCAGTTGCGTGTGGTTCTTTGGCCTGCCACCACCTGTGATTGGCTCATTCGAATTGGCCACTTGTCTCTAGACAACGTTGAGATTGCACTTCGGCGAGCCTGCGAGCCACGTATACTTCAATCGCTCCCGACTGGGTCCTTTATTCAGGCTCTCATTGACTCTGACTCGTCACTGAAGCAAATCAACCATGTCCTTGGTGGCCCAGCGCTCATTTCCTCTGATGAGCTCGCTTATGCGCTCAAATTCTTCCTGAATCAGGCTCGTCTGCATTCCGGCGTTTTGGAGGAGACGGCTCGCGCTATCACAAACGGCGAAATTGCTACCCCTACCCAGGAGCTTACCCGCCAACTCGGAAATGATGTCGCCAGCCTGAAGGACATTTTCACAGGCCTCAATAGATCCCTTCAAAAGATTCATTCACAGCCGTTGCCCTCTGTTGTGAAGTCACTTCGCTCCATTCTGTCTCGGACGGAGCTTATCTCTATGGTACACCATCTTCGTCTCTCTCTTGCTACTGGTGGATATACCTCCCGCTTCACCGAAAACCCACCTACTCCTATCACTCTCGACCAGATCACGCCTTCTCTCTCTCTCAATACCATTGTTGACTTGATCACCGCTTCCGTGGATGCTGTTGGGCCTTCTGGTTGGATCTCCGCCCTTCCCGACGTCAATGACCTCGATGATGGCTCCGACTCTGCTATGGCTTCAGCAAGCCGTGAAATGGAGCTTATCGCCGACATGAAGTCCGAGGTGTCTGCTGCACTTGCCGGCGTTGAGGAGGCCACTTATCTCAAGGGCATCCTCCGTGAGTATCTCCGCTTTGCGGATCAGGTCGCCGATGCATCGGCCGCTTCCACGGACGCAGTTGCCAAGGTCGATGATTCCGCCGCTCGTGCGCCATCTCACTTGATTCGCTATGAGAAGCTCAACGGCGCTGATCTCATGGTGTTTGCTCGCCCCGAGGAGGGTGAAGAGGGCTTTGATGGGGACGCAAGCGGCAAGATCTTGCCGTTGTCCCTGAAGCCGCCTTCGGCAGACGTTTCGCGTACGAAGATCATGAATGCTACTGGCGAGGTCAAAGCTCGTACGAGCCGTGAGGTTGGATATCTCCGCCGCAAGGCGGCTGGCAAATACTCTTTCGAGAGACTGGTTATTTAAAAGCGATCGTGGATACCTTCTGCATTTCATGTGTCATATTGTAACAAATATTTACGGACGAGTACCATACTAGGAGTTTGACGGTCAATGGATATCTTTTCAATTGTTGCAATCGCATCTCATAGGCGCCCCTCATCCTTAGCAAATGCATTAGTACTCCCTTGTACTCGAACGATAACCAGGCCCGCCAGTAGCACATATCTACCATTCGCAGGTGTCTTCCGAGGCGGCTGTGAAAAAGGATAGATCATTCAGGAAGAAAATGGCACAGACAGCAAATGTTTACAATCAATTTGTCATAATAGAAGCAGGTATCACCTAACAGAGAATCCTAGAGCCTCCTAGGTTTATATCTTCTCCAAGGCGAGCCACCACATTACAGCTGCCGAGACACAGAATCTTGTCACCATCAAGTCAAGGTTCCAGAGCAGATTCAATTGTCTTTAGGCTTTTCAAGTGGTATTCGTTATTGCAAGAACCGACACCTCTCTTTGAGATTATACTCCTTGAACCAACGACAAAAATCCAGACGGTACCGGCAGTTGGAGCATGAAAACTCCATCTTCCCGATCCCTTGATATAGGTTTGGTACCATCCTACGACCCCACCACGAGACCTCGGAGAATAATGCTTCCAATTTCAGATTGGTAGGCAGGTATTCCTGACAAATTTTCTTGGGGGCCCTCTTGGCGTATTTATAACAGTAAATCAGCCATCCATGTACGCCATTCGGCCATTCTCGACACCATGCTGCAAAGTCCCAGCTTTTCACCAATCTAAGATCCTTCGTGTCAGGAGACACCCTCTTTGCCGCATTAGATGCCCAGCGGTGAAGAAGTGCCCAGTGATGAAGAAGTATCATAGCCTTGATTCTTTGCTTAGTCATTTGAAGACCAGGGTAACTTAACTAATGCTTCTTGGCTACGGTCGAGTTTGTGGCGAGGTCCTTGAGGAGCTGCTCTCCGTATAGTGAGGTCCAACTGTCGCTATCCTCATGCCGGGTCCTAAATCTCTCTCGCCGAAGATAGTCTGCCGTTCGTCCCCCGATAATGTCTAGCGCCCGGTCGAGAAACCTCCGTGTATCCATGAGCCACAAGTCAATTTCAGACCATATTGGATGTCCAAGGTTCTCGGCCGCCTTGTAGGCTGGCACACCTTTGACACTGTGAAACCAGGCGGGCGCGAGCCCTTCGAATACGTTCATGTTGAGTTCTAGAGGGATATCGCAAGACCAGGTTTTCAACCGCCCGAACGGAAGGAGCACAATTTGGGTATCAGGGCGACATCCCAGCAGTTCACGCTCCGTTCGATAGCGCTCTCCCTAAGACGCCCTTCCAGGAACCAGTTCCCCGTCAGCGTAACAACCACATGTGCTGAGTATTGGAGATCCTTATTTGGCATAGCACTCACACCTGGTTACTAGATTTAGTCTAGTTGCTTCTCCTAGAAGACCAGCTACTCTTGCACCATCCCCATTTGTGACTTGCGTCCGTACTTACCTTCCAAGACCAGTCAAGAGTCCGATTCTGCATTTGGAGACATTGAATTGCTTAAGTTAGGGGGAAGACAAACGCCCCGGCTATGGGTAATAAGGAACAATATCACATAATAAAAGGTGGACTGAGAATCCTATTATTGTACCATCACTCTGACGTATTAAACTCTCACTTTGAGCTTCAATCAAGCGTAAAACCTATCGCGTTCTTAGACTCGAGCGCTTCTGTCCAGACGTCGAACCAAAGGTGCGACACACAAAACATCCGTGATCAAATCACCAAGAGGAAGACCCCTAATACGGACTAGAATCTTAGTATTCTTAGTCCTGTCGATCAGAACCTGGGTTCCAAGTGCGACTCACATCAAGTCTGGCAGTCTAGTTGAGATCTTAGTTCTGCTCGTCGCGCTTTACGGTATCAGGAAGGTCGTTGCCGATGAGAGGAAGTCCATTCAGAATTGGCTCTCGTTTGACGATTGAACCCACCAGGCCGGTAGCCTGGTTAACGACATCTTCCACAGCACTGCCCAGACCAAGCGGGTCAAGGTCATTCTGGCGCTTAACAGCTGCAGGGGCGGCAATGGAGAGGCCGGCCATAGAGGCGATCAGATACAGAGTAATGCGCATTGTGGACTCTATATGAATCGATAGTCAAGAGGGGATTTGCAAAGTATGAAGATGCTCGTGGGAGAAGTGGATGATGGATGTCGATTTTCAGTGGATGTAATGGAACGAGCAAGGTGCCTGAGTAGGTTTCACGAAAGAACATAGCGGGACAGCTGAGTATGATCTATTTATGTTTGGCAGGCTGTCTGTACGGAGACCTTGGTTTTTCGAGGGGGTGAAAAGACAAAGACGCAATTACGGCAGCCAGTCGTCTCATTGCTGATCGGCAATGGACGCCTTGGTGCCACCATATTCCATTTTCGTAAACTATTCTGTGATGAGGCGCTGCACTTTCTTGTTGATGGTACGAAGCTTTTCCCATCTACTCAATTGAGAATTACGTGATCGAGAAGAATAAGCACGACAAATCGATAGACTTCAAGCAAGCGAAATTAGAACTTCACCGGATAACCACTCGCATCGCGACAAGATAAAGCCATCACTTCTGTAAGATCGACACGAACTCTTGACTATTGCTTTTAGAGCCTGGGCATCAGCACTATTTCTGTTGTAGTCCATTCCCTCGTGTGAGGTGGCGTAGATCATCCCGATGACTTGACGAACCTAGGAAAAAATGACATTTTGGCCCAATGGCAGGCCTGGGCCAAGAAAAGACGTGACAGACTACCAATGATTATAGGTAGACCCTTTCGCAGGAAAATTATTCAGACTTATCAATCCTACTGTTCATCGGGGTCTTCTTCAAACAGGACTTCACGTCTAGTTCCCTACTTGATCACATCACACGCACTAGCTAGTTGTTGTATACCATGCTCTCCGTGGGCTAACCTGAACGTCAGAATAGATCTTCATCATTTAATCCTTATTCAAAACAGTAAAAAATTCAAGTCCTGTTTATCCGGCACATTACTTCTTTTTAGGGCATACCAGCTCGCTGCACGCTACTAGTGACAGACAAAGTTGTTTCTGGCCTTGGAGGTCGTCATTTTCACTCTCACATTGGAAGCTCTCATATTCTAGCTCGATGAATTATTGCCTCAAAATCTTACCATTAAAAGTGTGTCACTGCCTTTGATGTTCGTTAGCAAATACCCCTTCTCTGCAAAGTCGACATGCCTTATCCGCATCATATTTCTCGCACCAACGGCAGGGCCTTCCAAGGTCTTGACACCCAACACACGAAAACCACCATGGCTTTCTCTTTTCGAAAATTTCCTTCGAGTCCACTCCCCACCAATGCGGGTCTCGCGAGAATTGGCCAATCATCTCGTTCACATAGGTGTAGATGTCATATACTATCGCTGCTTCCTCGGTCATCATCTCCGGGCACGATATTGGCACGATACCATTCGGTCTAGCAGTAAGCCATACCCGAGAGTCCCAATTTTGCACGATGAAAGTCTCTATGGCGTCTTCGTCATCCCGCTCTGCATGAATTCGATGGTGTATGAATATCACACATCGATGTCTTGCCCGTGCTTGAAGGAGATGAGGATCATGTTTCATGAGAAGAGGGAGATTGCTGGATATATCAGCGAGGAGCTGGTCTTCGTACTTGGACCTCCAGGTATCGCCATCTTCATACCAATGTGCGAATCGCCTTCGGCGGAGAAGGTTTGCTGTTCCTCCTGGAAGGGTGTCGAGTCTGGTGTCGAGGAATATTCGCGTGTCCGTAAGCCATTGTTCAAATAGCCATTCCGAATCTACCAGTTCGGAGCCTATGTTAAAACAATGCCAGTCCCCATTTTTTCCTGATTCATATTCTCCGAGAAGTGATACCATCGATCTCTTAGTGATCGGTTGGTCTGGGAGTCTGATCTCGTTTGATATGACATTTGAGAGATCTTCTGGCAGATAGTAATCCCACTTTGACAACCGAGTAAAGGGCAAAAGCACAATGTCATAATCAGGACGGTACTCGGCATGGTTCTCTATGCTCTCCCTTGCTTCCCCGTGGTGGTTCCATCTGCCTATCAGCTCCACATGCACATATGGAATGTACGACAACTCGGTCAGCACTTTCACAAATTGGTTGACCCGCTCTGACAGGAGAACCATTCTTCCAGGGTCATTTTTGGAAGAGCGACGAATCTTGACATGTATACTATTATCCCTCATTTTAGCACCAGGGAAACGTTCGAGAATTCTTTGGACGGTCTGGATGTCGTTCAAATCCCGTTCGACTATACCCCATTCAGACTCAACTTGGATTCTGATACCGAGCTTGTCGGGTTCTCTGGAGCATATTAAGAAACCGCGGTCCATGTCCGCGTAGAGGTGGTGTGCAATCTCGTTATAGAGGTATCGACTGCAGCACAGAATGGATAAGCTGTTGGTCGGATTCTCAACCGTATGGCCTGGCTTGGAGAGATTGAGGTGAAAAAGCGCCTCCCACACTAACAGACGGATTTCAGTGGGTAGGTTTGCGAATTGTCCCAACTGCGCTAGATAACTTGGCTTCATGGTCGGGTATTTGGTGTTGTCAACAGGCTGCATGAAGGTTGGGCTGGTGGAAGAATACAGAAGCAAGATGTGGAATCTCAAATCTTGACGGAGGTACACAAATTTTAGGAAAAGAGGAAGTAGTCTACTATCTTGACAACCTTTTTTTACATATCGATGAGCTCTGTCTACATCATTTCGACACTGTAATTGGAATAGTTGATTTCAAGTGGTTGCTGGATCAGGATTAGTTCGGAATTGTTTATTTTCGTTTCGACGCTAGAACTCTTTGGGAAGTAAACTGGCGTCATTGGTGAACTCAACCATGGGTATTGCATGCCATTGTTCGTGTCAAGCTGTTGAATTTACCTTTGAAATATTCTAATTCAACGTCTACAGGTGAATGATGAGTTCCAGTACCTCCTATTCACCTGATGCTAAATCAGGAGAGTCATCCAGCTGAGGGTAGGTACTCTCCAATTTGGTGTACACGCGCTCCGGATAAAATATATATTCTTCCTCCGGCTGTCACCAGTACTCATCCACTAAACCCCTGAACACCTAGTACATCTCTAACAAGTATCTATGCATTAAGAAAGAAAATCACAGAATTATCTAGCCCGATGACAGGTATCGCGTCTAAACTCTATGATCCGACCCTGAAGTACTTACAACCAGCGGCGTGATTCCAGGTTGTTTCCACTGCTGCACGCATCGACATAGACACCTGAGGTTCGGATGAAACAAAGCCGAGTCGAGTTTGAACAGTCACTTATCCGAGTACTAGAAGTGACATTGACATATTCAAGAGAAAATATCGGTCAGGACATTTAGGGCGATCGGGTTGTTGTGGACCTAGCCAACGCATCGGGTTGTCACTGGGGAACCAATCAGACTAAGGATTTCTGGCTCTGGGCTAAACACCTGAATGGCGAGTGGAGGAAATGGTTGTTGAAGACAGACTTGACTAGCATACCTGATCAAATAAATAGGCAAGAGTCAAGCCACCCAGAGACTCCAGGCCATAATTTCAAACTGCCACATCCAAACGCAAATGTGTGGTGGGCGGTGCATCACCTAAGAACCGGGCCATCACAAAATAATAAACAAGGGAGCTCCGGTGGAGCTGAACTGCCCGGACCACCACCTCCGCACTCGCTATCCACCGTTCGAATCTCTTGAACCCGAAAACCACCTGGTGCAATCAATGTCTCCATGTTGGACTAATTGGAAGTCTGTTACTCCCAAGTCCCTGCATTTTTCTTCTCGGAGACTCTCTACGGAGCGTGAGCCGCTCAGCGTGACGCGCGCCTTCGGGGCCGCATCATAACAAAACCCGATCCCAAACGACGAGAAAATGGGCAACGAACCATGGCTCGACAGCCTGTCCGACGACTGGCCATCAGGGCCATCAGCCCCTGCGACACCTACGACGCCGGGACCGTCCAAGAATCTCCTCGCCTCCTCGCCTCGGCGTGCGCAGGATTCCCCCAGTCGCATTCCAGTGGCCGCCCGCCGATCCGTGGCACAACAGTCATCCCCGGCTGATAACCTGAAAAAGGTGACCCGACCATGTCATTTCATTAGGAGAGAACCTCCGACTCCCAAGACCAGGACACCCATAAAACCACGATCAACGACCCCCGCAAAGTCCAGAACCGATACCCCGAAGTCCTCTCCGAAGCCCCCTCCGAAACTCTCTCTATCGCCGAAGCCGACACCGAAGCGCAGCCCGAGACCTAGCGCGGGTGCGGCTGGCAAACAACCGGTAAACATGGACACGCGCTCCCCACTACGATCAGTATCGAATGTGTCTAGTCAATCGGGTACTCAGTCAGAATACCAGGGTACGGACACCGTGCAGATCAAACCAAAGAAGGGTCAAAATACAAGGGAAGCTACACCAGAATGGCGGAAGCGCCTGGTGCGCGGGGAGATTTCCGCGGGGGAACAACGCGACTTGTTTGCGCCGATGGGTCTCGAGAGTGTCTTCAAGCCACCAACGCCCGGCTCGGGAGCTGGTCAGCAAGATTCCATCCCGTTTACGAGACAGGACGATCAGTTGTGGGAGTTCACCGACGCGACTGGGGAAACAGGGGAAAACAAGAGTGCGCCAGAAGACTTTGACGCTGAATACTCGGGTACTGGTTTGGAATCGCCTATGGGCACAGTCAATCGGTCACCCTGGATACAGAGACCCGACACGAACTTCACACAGGAGGGCTATTCACAAGGAGAAGACACGGGGCTGCGAACCGCTAGCGGACTTGAGGATCTTCGCAATGAGGGCATCACACCGATCACTTTCACCGGTCCCAATACTCTGGAAGGCGGTGCCGCGTCGGAAGTGATAAAGTCTGCGCTGAAGCAGGTCACCAACAAACTCGAGAGTTTGTCAATCGACCCTGACAACCGGCCCGACTCGCCGGCCAGCGACAGCTTCCTCTTCTACAACCACAGCGAGCCCCGACTCGATGGCTCCCCGCGTGACGACAGCCTGCTGGATGTGACGAGTCACTCCTTGCCGCAGGACCTATCGATGGGCACGGTCGACTTTAGCCGCCGCGGCACCAGTCGTGGTTTCCAACATCGATTCTCCCCTTCCCCCTTCCATTCCCACCGCCGACGACCTGCAGCTCTTGCAAACACCAAAATTCGCAGCTCTCCCCTCTTCAGTCGCTCACAGACCAACGGATCGCCCGGTTTGCCGCGCCCTTCTTCCTCTCACGTTCGTCCTTCAACGTCCGGAGATGCTGCATCGAAAGAGGCCACCATGCCTTCCTCGGGCAGCCCCCTCAAACTATTTGGTGAACACGATACATTCACCAACAATCGGCTTTTGCGACGCATGAGTCAGTTTGAAGAAACCTTCGGCGACAATTCCGACGGTGATGAGCCCCCCTCGCCATCTGAGGAAGCCCGTCGCAAAGTCGAGAACCGCAGCTTCCTGAATGCTCGACATGAACCACTAAGTGAGATCTCCTCCAGACTCAACGAGCGGCTAGCGTCGAGAAACGTGAACCGTCCTCGGATAAGTCGATTCGGGGACGGTGAACTCGACAAGTTTGATTTCTCGGATGCGAGCCCTTACGAAAACAAGTTGGTCTACGACGAGGTCCAGGGATTCGGCTCTCGGCCTGCTTCACGGAAGCGATCGTCAGGTCGGCAACAATACCTGCGCCGGCCGTCTCAGAAGCTAGATTCTTTTCGATACGCACGATCCGCTAGCTCTGGATTCACTCGAAAACCTTCGGCCTGGACCAGACAGAGCTATTTCGATCACCAGAGAAACGTTACAGGATCATCCCGCCCCCCGGGAAAGAGAACGTCGGATTTCCAGAAACAAAAAGAGTACCAAAGGCAACACCCGCGGATCCACGCCCCAAACGCCGTCGAACAATATTGCGAGACGACAGTGCTGAGCCTGAACGACCGCATACCGCTGGCGACTCACCAACAAAATTCGGGGAGAGCATGTCGTTGTTGCAAAGGAGCTTGTTAGAACATGGGATGCAATTTGAGAATGGCGACTACCTTGCGCCTCCAGGTATCTCACAATCTATGCAACGTCCGAGAACGCCGACCCCAAGCCAAATACGATCTTCTCACGAATCGAAGATTGCACCGAGTGGAACGTACTCGGAAACAAACTTTGACGAGCGTGACTATTCGGATTCTTTCTCTCTTGAAGGTGACATTCCTCTAGTCAAGATAACTGGCACTAGCGAGTCGTCCCGGAAAGGATCCATTACAACCCAGGATTACCTCAACGAGGCTACGAAGATCATGGACTTGATCCGTTCCAAAGGTCGACCAGCCACAGGTTTGACCAGTGTGCAGGAGTCTGATCCAGACAGCGAAGAAGGGGGTCTCAGCTACGAAGATGAATCTACGCGAGAGGCCTTCTCTCGTCCTCCTAGCCGGGAAGGAACTGATTTGCGGAAGCAGCGCGAGCCAAAAGAGTTGAACCCTCAAATCTTGAACTATTTGAAAAAGTACCAAGAGAGAGAGGATCAGGAATTCGGTGCAAATGAGTCGGTTATGTCACTGAAAGTTGATGGCCAGCTCAAGCCAGATAACCAGCCATTCCGGGGTCTGGCACCTGAACAGAGGAAGCGAAAGCCGAGCGGTTCGATGTATGATGCTGCGGAAGATATTGCTCATGATCTGATGACAATCAACACGCAAATGTCTGGTTTCAGTGTTCGTTCCGTCCCAACTGGATCTTCGCAGAACTCTCAAGCAAAGGGGGTGTTGTCGTCGGACCTTGTGGCGCATTTGATTCCAGAACAGGTTAACGGCTTTGTTTATGATCGGTCGAAGCATCAGTGGGTAAAGGACGATGCACGACCGCCGGAACCCAAGACCATTCATCAAGACGACCCTGACGATCCTTTCGAGGACATTCCAGACTTGAGTGTGGACGAACTCCAGGAAATGATGCGAGTCCATGGTCTAGGTTCTCCCACGAAATCCCAGGCCGGACATCAATCCGAGGGTCAGCGTCAACCGCCCAGTGCGAGCGCCTCACCCAGCAAACCTGATCAGCGACCACGTACGAGAGATGGATCTGTCGATTCAAGCGCTGCACAATCCCGGAACACACCCTTCACATCTAGTGTTCCTAACTCAGGGACCCGAGCTACATCATGGGGAACAGAAGAAATGCCTGAAAAGAACCGCGTTCCGGGCAAGTCTTCCGTACGAGGCGCCTCCGGAACAACACCTGAACAGCAGCCAAAAAAGTCTCGCGTTGCAACGATCTCCTTCTCATCACCTCTTGTTTCACACATTGCATATCGAGATGATCCGAACGAGTCAGAAGCCAGCGACCAGCCAGGAGATTCAAATTATGTGCCTTCTGACCCGACTGATCAAAAGGGCGGTCCCTCCCGCTCGTCGGTGCCGCCGAGACCACGCGAAACGTCAGTTGCAGGGCAGCCATTCGTCCGACGACCCATTTCTAGGATCGATGAGCGCAATGAGGACGGCGGAGACGACCTCAGTCTTGTCCGGTTGAATGATTCACCGCGTGCCAAGGATACGGCTGTAGCGAATGCCGCAGAGCAGTCGCTCGTTCCTCTCCTGTCCCCCGAGCAGGAAAATAGCTACAGCTTCCACCTTAGCCCGCTACCAGATTTCTCCATTAACCAGCCGGATCGTCCTTTGAACCTTGAAATGAGTTACGTGGCACAGAGAACGAACCCGACCTCTCTCAGACAAGTCCATGGCACCTTCACACTTGCCACAGAAGACTTGATCAAGCACATCACGGATGTGGAACCGTATGAGCCATACTGGGAACATGTTCGTCGTCTGGTGCTACGACAAAAGGGACTGATCACCTTGCACAAATTGAATCACTTTTGTCCCCGCCTCGAGGACCTTGACGTCTCCGACAACGATATCGGTCAACTGAGTGGCGTTCCCTCAAGCCTCCGGACCCTGAAGATTCCCAGGAATTGCCTCTCCAACCTCACCCCGTGGAGCCACTTGACCAATCTACAATACTTGGACATTTCTGGAAACGAGATCGAGACTTTGGATGGCTTTTCCAGTCTCATCCATCTCAGGGAGTTGAAGGCGAATGACAACCAAATCCGTAACATCGATGGTATTCTCGAATTGAATGGGCTGTTGAGCTTGAAACTCGGTAACAACTCGATGACAGCCGTGGACTTTGAAGGGACCGAGCTGTGAGTCAGGTGCAGACCTACCTTTTGGAAGCAAATACTAATGGAACTTTACTTTAGGACACGACTTCGGGATCTTGACTTAAGTTGCAACTGCTTAACATCTGTCCGCAATGTTGAATGGCTCCCATCACTTGCGACTCTTGATCTTAGCGCCAACCAAATTACTCGATTTGAGTCTACAACTTCTCTTATCAGCCTTCGCGCCCTAAGACTCTCTGGGAATCGATTGGATGTTCTGGACGTGCAAAATTTCTCGTCCGTGAACCTTTTGTATCTTGATCAGAATTACCTGTCTACGATTGCGGGCCTGGAGCATTGCCACAATTTAGAGGTTCTTTCAATTCGCGAACAAACTCCAGCCACTCGAGATGATCCCGATTTTGCTTTGAGTATCGACCTGGGCTTGGTGAAAGATATTCGCAAAGTGTTCCTTTCGTCCAACAAACTCTCTCGTGGGTCTATCACCCCATCCACACCTCTTTTACGACTTCAACTGCTCGATATTGCTGCTTGCGCGCTGAACGCCCTTCCCACCCAATTCGCATCGCGTTTCCTAATCTTAAGGTGTTGAACATGAACTTCAACTCGCTCACAGAATTGGAACCGTTGGTAGGCATGAACTGCTTGTCCAGGTTGGCAGTCGCTGGAAACCGACTCGCGAGAATGCGACGTGTCTGTCAAATTTTGAGTCGTCTTGGAAGAACAAGCAAAGGAAATCCTTGCTCTCTTCGCAAGCTTGATATGCGAGGTAATCCTCTAACCATTGGTTTCTATCCTCCGGCTCTCACCGGGAATGGATCGAATGCAGACCGCAAGAAATTGAAGGACCAGGGAAACGCAGTTGTTCCGCAACAAGAGAGCCGCCGAGACCTGTCTGATGCTCTTGCTGATCTCGACCACCATGACCACGTCGCTCATGCAGTTACCTGGGAGGATGGCTCCAAGCCCGATCGAGATGTAGAAGTCAACGATCCCTTTACTCTGCCACCGGCGGATACACGAGCGGACGAGAAATACCTTCTTCACCTGGATCGTGCCACTCGCATGCGCCGAAGTGTGCTGGAGCTGCTCCTTTATGCGGGAACCAGCGGGTCATTGCACAATCTCGACGGGTTGGAGCTGCGACCATCATTGGGTGAAAATAATTCAGACATGGGTCAAGCCTGGTCAAAATTGGAGGAACTGGGTGTTCTTCGACGAAAAGCGATCACAAACAAGGAGTAGAGGCTTAGACTGGATTTGCATCTCATGGTATAGGGAAACGGGAAAGGTGGCTGGTTTTCTGTTTGAACATTATTGGGCAGTGGGTATGGTGTATCTATCTTTCTTTTTAGGTTGGCTTGGTTTGGAAGTGGTCGCATTCTGGTGTTTGGTGTCTTCCCACACAACATATGCATGATATCATTCCTGGAGTTTGATTTTTTTTTGAACGCTCCTAGCGACAGCGTCTTCTCATTTGAATACACGATTTTCGATTCCACGGCTCCGAGTTTCGACCATAGTCATACAGAAATGGTTTAGGAGGAATCAGTGTCACAAATGGCAATGCTCTGCAAGACCCCTCCAAGTACGGACACATCCCAGTCTAGACTTTAGATTTTGTTCATCGATAGAAGAAAAGTAGGGCCCCCCCCTTCGTGATAGCTGCCAATTATAATGCAGAAGCAGCGATGATTAGTCTTTTGTCCTGACCCGTTGCCAGGGTCGTGGGTGGAAATGCCGGGGCTGGAAGTGTAGGCAGGCTAGGCAAGGGTGAAAGAGGCAAGAGCCTCATTGATCTGCATGGAGTTGATGATTTGATTGGCTTGAATTGGGTACGGCGGACAGGATGGACAGGATGGACAGGATGGACAGGATGGACAGGATGGACAGGATGGACAGGATGGACAGAAAAGAGTGGATGGAGTGGATGGCAGAATTGGAGGTATGAGGCGCCAGAGAGGCCCTGCCATTCGCAACTTTCTAACCTGAAGATAATAGAATTCTATACAGATGACCCGAGAGGGTGGTAATGGAACGGCCCGGTGGACCCGGCGCATCCAGTGTATTGGGGTCTGGGCACTTTGTTCGCGCCGCCAACACGGACTTGGGACATGTGTTCATCTTTTCTCGAAGTTCCTATTGATCGGGGAGTCGTTGGGTATGCATGGCAGTGCATAAGCGTGTTTCGCACGGTCGAGGAGGATTTCCATTTGCCGGGGATATTGCTGGAAGGATTATAATAGGCAAGAGTCTGGAGGGATTTGTGTTGTTACTAGACCTGTTCTGGTAGGGATCTTGTCGTTCTCTCGGCCTTGCGCAGTTAACGCACCCCCTCTACCGGTCAGTCTGAGCATATTCCCCTTTGAGAAGGAAATTACAATGGTATTCATGCTGTCATTCTTTCACATATTATCTTCTTTTTCTTGATGAATTACGCTGATGATCTGTCATCTTCGCTTGGGAAGGTTGGGAAGGTTGTGAAGGTTGGGAAGGTTGTGATGGTTGTGATGGTTGTGAAGACTCTGAACATACCTGTTCAGGTTCTCCTATTCTGCTAAATATTTTCTCCTATACCTATATATCTCACGTTCCTCGACCCTGAAAGATGGCGGTGATAATATTTGCATACGATATTTGTTCTACCTCCCTAGTCAGAAATGTTTCTGCTCTTATACGGTGCCTTGATTCTGGGGGTGGCTATCGGGACGATATTCCTCAGGACACGCCAACCAAGAAAACTCCCAGACAACCCGGAAATCACTCAAGACGTGAGTTGTTCTCATCGACCTTAGGACAAGTACTGATTTTAAAATATCATAGGATAAGTCAATACCGATAAGCCACGTTGAAGATACCTCTATCCCCGATGGACTATGCCGCCGTACGCCATACAAATGTTAGTAACAACGGACCATTCGCACAACATGAAAGTTTCTTACAAGCAATAGTCGAAGATTATTGATTTCTATGGTCGTTTGTATCGGAAAGTTAAAGTAGCAGCAGGCAATACGTGATGTGATATGGAATTGAGGGCAGACTATACCAAGAGAATGGCGTCGTCACCCGGGTCAAGCGGTGAAACTTCGAGTTTACTGCAATGTTTTCGAATATATGACACATGCTTCAAGATCTCATCCATTTATTCAAATATTACTGTTTCTTTGAAACTTGAAACGAGAGCTCCATGGGGGTAGATGGATCCTAGATGCTGTACAGTGTCTTTTGCGATTCCATCCAGCATTTACCCCGTACATGGAGTCATGCACTGGAAATGGGAGAAATGATGATATATAAGAGTTACTAGATAAGACTTAAATAATAATTAAGTTGGTATATATACGTGGTCAATCGAATGGTGCTATCATTAAATACCCGGCTGGCTGCCATTCTCAGCGACCTGAGTAGTCTCCTGTTCCTTAGGCTTCGCATTTGCGAATTTAGCCGTGAGTTCAATCTCTTGCTGCTTCATCCTCTTCTTCCAGGTCTTATCCCGAGCACGGAATCCACACCAAATACAGCACGATAAAAGCGCCACTCCAATCAGAGGAAGCCCGATGACAAGAAAATGGAATAAAGGTAGCAAATTCACACCGTCTGGCGCATCTATACTGTCACTGCCGTATCTGTCGTACTTCCCCGCAGGAACTTTCTCGCCGGGTTTCCATGTAGGGACGAGCATGCTATGTGTCAACAGTGGAAGTGACGGTGTCATGGTATGTGTGTCCGATATGTCCCACGTAATTGTGTATGGTTGATGCGCGATAATCCCACTCGTAAATAGTGGCAAGTCTCCGCTGGTTGTAAAGTTTGCTGCCGTCGGTGCGATGGTAGTAGGAGTGCTATCATTGAAAGTCCGATAGCATGCCTCGGACATGCCCGGGAGAGTATAGCCACTGGTCCATAAATTGTAGCCGCTGTTCTCGATCAGTAATCGGGCAGGTCCAGCATACGATGCAAAGAATGAGCAGACTCACCTTGCGCAGCAGTATGCCATTGAAAATGTGGTTGTCAAATATGTGTTATACTCGGTGATGGGAATATGCGAGACTGATTGCTGCATATCACAGTAGACCCAGTCACTTGGACAGACAGCAGGACTCCATGAGAATGGGCGTGACGTGTTGAGGTTCCACCCATTCGGCTGACAAGATGAAAACTTGGGATCGGCCGTATTTGATACAAGAATTGTCAAGGGGCTATTTGTGCCATTTGTAAGTATGGAAGTGGTTTCCATCTTCCATAACGACGCGCATGAGCTCGGCTGTACAAATGGCGTTGTCATTGCCGATATTATGGGCGACCGCGTTGTTGAAGTAATCCGCGAAGTGGACGACATTGTGCATGTAGAAGCAGACTGGTTAACTTCGTGATGAAAAGGGGTAATCTCATCAGCTTTTGAAGATGCGTATATGTCTAGAGCAACGCCGCAAAAGGACTGTCTGATATAAGTGGAAGAACTTTTGCTCGGTCACCAATATAAGCGACGAGTTTGTACCGCTAATCAAGATAGTTCACTCTAAAGGTTATTAACTACAGGAAATAGTAGTTGCTATTTATACGAGTCATCCCAGGAACAAATGCTTAAGGTCTTTAATGAGAAGTAAGACGCTAAAGAATGCCAAGAAGAGCCGCCGTCTGTGCACTTGACACCAGACCTATGGGACAACGAGAATGCCTTCGGCTAAACGCTTGTGCACGAGCGCCGAGCCTCGTTCGAGTCTCTAGTGCCTTGTCAAGTTGGGGATAGCATGATGGAGGAATAGTCCTGGGGTCTGAGACTAGGTCGAATTTGATCTTGCCGTGCGTCGAGGATGAGGCATCGACTGTCCCTTCTCGCTCTCCTCGGCACCTGACTCCCTCGAGTCCTCCGCTAGACCAATCGCGACAATGTGTCAGTTTTTCGTCGAGCAGTCACTTATTTCATCTTTTACATAAGAAACCTATTGCTGTAGTTCTATTCAAGAACGACTTAGCTGGTCGCGGTGTATCATTGCGATTGGTCATCGTGTAGACATCTAGGTATGATAAGGTACAGTATTAGGTGCTGCCCACGACTGCCCTTTTAGGTCTTGTAATTTCCCCCACAGATCATATATTCAATCAAATTGCTCACTATATTCACCTCACGATTGCTTCCTTTGTAAGAAGATTCTTTGTCAATATTGCACAAATGCGGCAAACTTTAAAGCCCGATTCTTCGTTCTACTACTCGAGCTTGTCTTTGTGGAGCATCCGTTGCACTTACCTAGCTAAGGCAGACTATGTACAGATGTATCCATTTCCGGCTTACAACTATCCTAACCGAGTGCTTCACCCACCCCATCAATAAGTGCCTCCTCCCAAGCCCCATCACTGACAATTCGATACTCAACCACCCCCAACCCGGAAACCACGATCCAGTCCAAGAATTCTGGATCCGCGTTCACGAATATTGAAAAAGCCCAGCCCTTCCCCTTTTTGGATGACGAGCTCCACAAGGACGATCTGGCCTTCTCCTCCGCCGGCTTGTACTTATCGAATCGAGCTAGCACGTTCTTATTCGAGTCCACGAGTTTGTACTTTTTGTCATGCAGGTCACTTTCCTTCCAGGAGAGAGGGCCATACTGAGGATGGGTAAATTGATGGGCACTGGAGAGGAAGTCTGGACGTTTCATTTTGAGGTCTGTTTGGTTGTGGATTGAGAAGGTGATTTTGGAAGACATCGAGGAGAGAGTTATTGTGCCGATTGTTGTTTTGAACCGCTGAGGGAGGTTGGGCGTTTGGTATTGATGATACTGTTGTGGCTGTGGCTCAGATTGGGGTTGCTGGTGTTGATATGAAGGGTAGGGTGGATGATATTGTTGATGCTGTTGGTGGGTTGGAAAAGTGTTCGGTTGTGCTGGCGGTGCGTATAGATGGCCATATTGACCCAGAGATGGATGAGGTACCTGTTGTGGAGGAGGGTATACAGTTTGCAGGCGGGAGATCGTGAGGTTGGGTTCTAGGTTCGATACGAGAACTTCATAAGCTGGAACTGCAATACCATCTCCTTGTTGGATAGAGATGATGAATGTGCCGTTTGATTTAATGCGGCGGTAAGAAAGAGTCTGGGCGGGTTGATCCATTTTATGCTGTACATATACTGTTGGGTCTCTGCATGGGTTCAGAAGACGGGGAGGGCTATAATCGATATTTAAGAATACTACTTGGAGCCAGTATGATGCACTGCCTCATGCTATCCATGGCTACTGAATCACTCAGCTGAAACCATGGACTCTTGGCGTTTAAAAGTGATTGGACTTCTCGAGGGCGATGGACGACGGGAAATACGAGGGTCCACGGGCGGAGCGGCGAAGTTAATCTCATGAAGAGGCGCAGTCAATATGTTACATACATCATGCAGCACAACACCGTCAGGCCTCCCTTAGAGTCTTGGGCTTTCCGTCATTGCATTTGAACCTAGGTTGAGAAAGTGGTTTGTTCGTTGAGATGGCCCACGTTGTGGGTACTTATGAGTTAAAATGGGAAGAGAATTCACCTCGGACATATCATATTATATCTGCCATCTTCGAGGAATAGGCCTGCTTTGGTTGAGTTGAAGGGGTTAACGAAAAATACAAATTAATTGAATTAAGTGGTGATATAGAATAGAAAATAAGTAGCCCAACGAATGTGATTATGTGCTCTGGAGAAGGTAATTGTGTTCGCTCATCCGGCCAAGATTAAACCCTCATGGAACGCACAGAAAATATCGCTTATTTGCCTGGAACCAGGATCTGCTTCTGCTTCTTGATCTGGTGGATGACTTCAATGTCAACCTTTAGCACATTTGCGACAGTATCAGCCGGCGTCAAAGCGAGCCATTGAGCCAGCGAAATATCGGCGACACGGTCGCTCTTGTACAATTCGATCCAAATGAGCTTCTCGGTCTCGGAGGTATTTTCGATATAGTGACCTGAACCGAACATAAGCTTTTGATCTTCCTTAATATTGCAGACGTAACTTACCGCTGTTGTCGGGGAAGACAGCAGTGTCGCCAGCAGTGAAATCGAAGGTGCGAGCCTTGGAGTCGCCAATGAAAATAGTCGCTCGCGCATTGCCTTGGTGGAAGTACAGCCATTCCTCAGCCTAAATAGATGCTCAAGTCAGTGCGTATTCAAAGCTAATCAAGGATGGATTATCATACGTTGGGGTGCCAGTGGAGCTCACGCAGACCCTTTGGCTCAAGCTCAACAATTGCAGCTGCAATGGTCTTTGAGATCGGGAAGTTTGTGGAGTCAATCTTGCGGAAGGTCCCACCATGGCCCGGGACGGGCTCGGAGGGATGCTTGTATGTGTGGTAGACATAAGAGCTATTGCCCTTGAGAGTACCCTCGGGTGCCTTGGCAAGGTCCGAGCTGACAGTGCCATTCAAAATGTATGGGAACTTGGCGGGGACATTGTCAAAGACAGAAGCATTGACACCAAAGTTCTTAGCAAGGATTTCCTTAGGAGTGTGAGTAATCCAGTCATCGACCATGAAGGTAGTTCTAAAATATAGTCAGCATGAACCTGAACCAGCTTCAGCAGAAGTCCACTGACCCGATCTTCTCGAAATCACCATCATCAAAAGCAAGCAGGTACTCGTTCTCATCATCGAGACCCTGGACGTTGTGGGCAACGCCCTTGGGGAAATACCAGATATCACCAGTCTCCAGCTTCTCAGTTGTGAAACCTCCATTCTCATCAACACCGGTGAGAAGAAGGGATCCGTTGTAGACAAATCCCCATTCAGCCTGTGAATCATTGTCAGTAAGAATAATAGCGGGCTATTTTGGATGCAATCCCCATACCACGCGATGCCAGTGCAGCTCACGGGTTGCGCCTTTCTTCAAATGCTGCTGAGCACCCGCAATATCATGGCTTTGTGGCAGATCTTGAATGACCTGCTCGCGGGACCAACCACCAGGGAACAACCTAGTTTGCGACTGGGAGAAACTCCACTTAACATTAGGGACGAAGCCATTGTCAGTGGTCGGGGTGCGGAGTTGATCTGGATTCTGGAGGTCCACGGCCTTGTTGGTTCCACCTATTGCAAGAAACTTGATAAGTACAAAGAGGAACTTATAAAAGGGAGGCCTTATCTTACCTAGCAGAGGAGCACCTCTGCCATTCTCGTTGTTGATGGGCTGCCCGCTGTTTGCCGGATCAGAGCGTTTACTGACTCTAGGTACGGCCAGAGCAGAGCCAGACAGAAGTCCAACAACTGCAAAGCTTTGGAATCGCATTTTCAAATAATCGAAAGATTGGATCAAAGATAGCAGCCCGGGATTAGTCTTGGCTGAGTCTGCTGTTGACCCTCTCCGAAGGTCTTTTATATACCATTCTTACTACCTGCATCATCATTCTTCGAATTTGTGGCGCCTTCAGAGCAGGAAAATACCAATCACAACAGAATCAATAAATATTGCGAATATAACCCGATCATCTAGAGCGAAAAAAGTCTAAACATCTCGTGTCCTGAGGTAGACACATCGCCTCCGCAGCGGCACATGGTGAGATTCAGGGACCATCAGTAATTTCAAACCCCGCGCGATAGCCTGCAAAAAGCCAGACCCTAGATCGGCAGCCAAGGATGTAAGAACCGGTTCTCTGTTTTGTGGGATAGGACAAATTAGCGTGGCTGTATGTATAGCAACATTCTTGGCATACTGGCGAAATCGACGAGGATTTGCCCGTGCTGATGGGCCCCATGGGGAAATATCAGTGCCGATCAGGGCCCTGACAGAGACCCTTCACCACAACCCTAAGTTTACATTAGTTTGAGTGGCGGAAGACAACTTCAGCCTATATTCGATGTCACCATCTATTGCCCGATTGACTGGTTGGAGGATGTCTTGTTTCTCTTGGCGCACGCGGATCATCATCACATCCTCAGGGCATAGTTCACGAGGCGCATGGACTAAGCTTTGCTTGGACCCCCAATCTCGATTTTGGGAATTCGATAGTGTCTTGGGCCAAACCCCGGGACTTTGTGACGGAATCCTATCCGAAAGAGTTTGATAGTAGTTGATGCGCAGTATAGATGTTTTGTCTGAATTATCACGACCCGTCAGAAGAGCGTTTCGACCACTCCAACAATGCCTTCCTGCATACAATGGTAGTCATTCAAGAAGTCTTAATGTTTTGCTAGCACAGAAAGTGAGGCCTTGAATTATCTTGGGTGTTGAATACATAGACGGGGATCATGAACCATCGGGGACCATCAGACGAACTATTCATTTCCCGGGTTTCTGAGTTTCTGATCCCTACAGGAATGTGCCGTTCGTCCTTCAGGAACATAAACTTGACCCCGATCACGACATCACATCGACATTAGCTGAGCCTTGGCCCTGCATAAGCTAGGGTAATAGCGTAGAGGTAGGCTCGATCTGCCATCTGAATAGTGTCGTCTGCCCATCGTATTCCTGTTGCTTTGAACATTCGCCATTTCGCAGATCAAGTTCGCCTTGGAAGTAATTGATATTCAGTGAAATCTTCATACTCAAGAAGGTAGAGGATGGCGTGCTTGGGATTCAATAGGTTTGAAGCTGAAATAAAGCAGAAAGAGAAATTGGAATGATGCTCAGATGCCGCAGAAGGACGGAAGTCTATATAATCTGTGGTATTTCCCTCAAATCCCCTCACTACAACACACACCTGAGGCATTTTCTAGCGTATCTACTCGTTCATAAGTCTATACAGCAAACAGGATGAAGTACGCGCTAGCTACTGCGGCATACTTGATCTCCCTTGCGGAGTGTTTGTCCCTGCCTCCACTTATTCCTTCTATTCCTGGGGTCACCGAGCCATTGACTACCAATGCACCTCCTCTCCCAATCTTGCAAGTTCCCACTCCTCCACTGGAAAGTCCTCCTTTTACTCCAAGTGATATCAAGCCCAAGAAGATTGGTTACTTCTGGACTGGCTCGGGTGACAAGTTCCATAAGGACTTTCTAGCCACATACAGCTTGGATGATGATACCTTCGGAACCCTTCTGTGGGTGACTGATGTGCCATCCAGCGGTAATGACCCTCACCACTTGGGACCTTCTCTTGATGGAAAGACCTTGTTTGGTGGCGGTCTGCTCTCCCTGTTGAAGACTCAGGTAAGCATCAGAGAGAACCAACCTATCTTTGGGCATTTTGTCTAATAGAAATCGAAGGACACTGGGTTCTACTTTGATACCACCGACCCATACCGTCCCAAGTTCCTGAAGAGCAACCGTGCAATTCTTTCGTCTATCGCTGATGAAGTCCGTGCCAAGCCTGACGGTGGTTTCTTCATCACGTACATGGGCTCTGCCGTGGGAACCACCCCTGGTCGTCTGATTGAAACTGATGCCAACTTCGACATCATCCACGAGTGGCCTGAGGATGTGGATGGTACACTCAACATCCTCGGAGAGCAGTTCTCTCCTCACGGCTTGAGCATTGACTGGAAGAACAAGCTCATCCTCACTTCGGACTTTGTGGAGCCCATTTCTATTCTTAAGCCTACCACTGGTGTCCGCCATGCCAACACTCTTCGTCTCTGGGATCTCGATAGCCGCAAGATCATCAACACCCTGACCATTCCTGATGTGAGTATCCAAAGAGAAACGAGAAATTCAGTCACTAACACTGGAATAGGGTGGTGGTATCCAAGACGTCAAGTTCATTCCCAATCACCCTGAAGCTGCCGCTCTCGCTACTGCCGTCCACCTCGGCCAGGTCTGGGTCATCTACCCCCTTCGCAAGGATGCCAACGGCAAGCAGGGTGTTGTTGAGCAGCTCTACGATCTTGGTCCCAAGGCCCGTGACACTGTCGCTATCTAGTACGTCACCCCTCCTTATTGTATACATAGAGTATATACTAACTCCCCCTCTCTCATCAGTACCGACATCAGTCAGGACGGTCGTTTCTTCTACCTGACCCTCACAACCGCCAACCACATCGCCGCCCTGGACATCACCGACCTGAACAACGTCAAGCGCCTGGATAACCCCGACGAGGACCAACCCACGGTGGGTCCCCACTACGTCAAGGTCACTCCGGACCAGAAGCATCTGGTAGTCACCGATTACTTTGTTCAGACCGGCGAGATCGGCATCATCAATACCCCTGCTGACTTCAAGGCGCTGTACATTGATATCAATGATGATGGTAGCCTGAACTTCAACCGGACTATCGACTTCAGCAAGGAGTTCTCGAACCGTGGCGGTGCTAAGCCTCACTCCAGTGTCATCTTTGATTTGACTGACCCCGATCACCCCCTGTACTACTAGCGTACATGCACATGGGGCTTCTTGAGAGAGGTAGTATACGCGTGGAATATGAGATGTGATATGGGTAGGACATATACTTAATTTTCGTGGGCCTTATGTGCCACTCGCGCTCTTGTACTATACATCAGTGCTATTACATTCTTTAATATCGATCTCTTTTGAGTGATTCCAAGACCTGAGATGTAAGGCTTGATGTAGCATTCCATTCCTTCTTGGAGTTCTCTTGGAGGGCTTGGGCGAGTGAGTGTCCACTACAGGCTCTCTTAATGGAGATCGTCCCTCGTCGCAAGTTCTCATTCATTTCCTACAAGTGATATTACGTCATCGAGAAATTCTAATAACATATGAACCATTCATGTCTTATCTATCTTAGACTTCGTCAACAGTAGCCTTGTGCGCAGACTTCCGATCAGGATCCGAACTCGATCCTTGCGCCTCATTGCTCTCCGTCAGACCCGAAACACTGTCCTTTCTTCCCACTGCTGTTCCTTCTAACGTTTCCTGGAATGCCTCACGCTTGGGTAGAAGATACCTGACATCGATGAAGCGCAGAGCACACGTCATGATAATGACGAGGACCAACAACGCCAGTGCAGATTGCCAGCCGTACTTGTAATATGGCGCTTGCGAAGCAGGCCACACCAGCACCTGCGACCAAGCAGAGACCGCGTAATAGCCAGCCACTGAAACACCCACAACTAGCGACCGAGCCTCGGGATCTTGAGGGATGAGATCCGAAAGCCAGGCGAAGATGAGCGGCGCTGTACCGAGACAGATGAACGATATGAAGTATGACGCATAGGCACCGGAGAGTGGAACTGCGGTCGGATGAGAAGTCCATATACTCATGACAATGCAAGGAATGATGCCGATGATTCCCTGAGCCACGATAAGAGTCCATCGTGTTTGCAGGAAATCTGACAACAACGCCCAGATCCACACAAAAACAACGTTGATGGCGGAGCCGCCGATTGGAATCGCATTCACTTGTGACACCGTCCATCTTGGAGTTCCGTCGGGTCTCTTCAGAGACTTGAGGAAGAGTGAGAAATATACGTAGCCGTACGTACCCAAGACGGTCGCGATATACAGGATGGCGATGAAGTACACCACCCAGCCTGAGAAGGTACGCTTCACACCTGCCCATGTCATCTTCTTCGGCTCGGCACGGCCGTTGCGAGCAAGCCGCTCCATCGATAGCTCGGCGTGGACCTTGCGGAACCAGAATGCACGCGGGTTAGGGTTGTTGGGGAGATCTGGAATCATAAAGAATCCCGCAAATCCCCAAATAACGGTGATGATTGCGTTGATGACGAAAAGCCATCGCCATCCAGCAAGCCCTCCGTGGCCGTTGAGTGTGTCGGAGATTGCAGCTTGCAGTGCTCCAGACATCATCTGGCCGACAGCTTGGCATGAATGGTAAAATCCCATACGCTTTGCCAACTCAGTTGGCGTGTACCAGTACACTGAAGAGCATTAACAACTCTGTAGCTGGATTTGAACCTTCTAGGGGAGGCTGACTTACTCAATAGGGTCATCATTCCGGGCCACGCGCTGCTTTCGCAGAGTCCCAAAAAGACGCGCAGAACGTAGACTTGCTTCGCGTGTGTGGCCATGGCAATCAGACCAGTCAACACACCCCACACAATCTCCAAGCCAGGCAGCCAAAAGCTTGGTCGAACATAGGTCAAAATCACTTGCGAAGGTATAAGCATGATACAGTATGCGACATTAAAGTAGGTTGTAAATCTGGGTGTTTGTTAGCGCCCACTTATTCCGAGTTGGAAAGGCAGAAACTCGTACAAATTCAACTCATTGCCGCGTAGGTTCAAGTCCTCCTTCATGCCCGAGACGTAGGCATTATTGATATTTTGCTGGTCAAGGTATTTGATCACTGGAACCCGTTAGCCCTTCTATCATGCAATGAGTTTTGAATCGATATGCTGTCGTACCTTGTGAAAGACAGCCAAAAGTCAGTAGGAAGGTGTCCAGACGGCGGACAAGAGCCCGCTCATCCGCCGTTCGCACATAGTCATCCGCAGGGTCACGGCGGCGAAAGAGCTTGGACAGGCCCATGATTACTGGGTAGGGAGCCAAGGGAGATGGTTAGTAGAAGAGGAAGAGGGAGAGAGAGATGCAAGATGTCTCAGCAGCTTTCGCTTCTCTTAATAGCCAAAGAGAGCCAAGCAGTCACCGTCGCGATAAGCTCTCGCATCCGACTCGAGCCACATCCGGGGGTCAGTCAAAGTTAGTCAACATGCCCCGTGCAGATCGCAGATCGGAAGGGTGGCTGTTGTCGTGTGATAAGAAGCTCGGCCCAACCACCAATGACGAGACGTTTGGAAGAACCTGGCGTAACCTCGGGAATGCTCCGAGGTCTTGGAAACAGAGCCCGACCTTCTTGGGAGCTCGTGTAGATTGACTCGGCCTGGTTGAAGCATGGTTTACCCCGCCTAGGGGACTCCCATCTGTACCTCCGCTGGCTTTTGGTGCAGGTCGAGGCGAGGGGGTGCCGACTGCCAAGCGCCCCTTGCCACGATAGGGTCGGGAAAGTGGCGCGCTAGGGCGCGCTAACCGTTCACTGGAGGGGGGCTCTTTCGTAAACCGTTGACTATTCCAAGCATAGTGTCGGGATAAAAGATTCCTCGGATGGGAGAGTTGAAGTGGTTTGAGTGGTGCGAAAGGAAAGTCGCGAGTCGAAGAAGTCACGGAGTCTCCCCGCACGAGATCCTCCTCGCGACCATCGCTAACAATCACGGTTAATCGGCACTCGCTGACACAATCCTTTGAGCATGTAGTTAGTTATATAGACGTTTGATCTAACCCGGAAGCTTATCCTCGGTTATTCTTCTCTGCAATCATGACCAGCCCCAACGACGGATCCAGCAGGAATCTGCCCAACACCACCCCCTGCTTGAGCTATTGGCAGCGCACGACTCGTGCATTTCCCCATCTCTTCGCCGACCAACACAATCAGGTGCCCTCAACAGCAAAATATGTGGTTATCGGCTCTGGAATATCCGGTGGTCTCACTGCATTTGAGCTTCTAGAAGCAGGCGTTCCGGGCGAGGACGTGGTGATTTTGGAGGCGCGAGAAGCGGCGAGCGGTGCGAGTTCGCGAAATGCAGGCCACGTCCGACCGGGTATGTCTTGTTTCATAAAGGAAATTTGCATTTCGAATCAATGGAAATGACCTTTTATACGTGAACTGACAATGTCTAGATGCTTTTCGTGGGTTCAATGCCTACTCGAAAGTCCATGGCCCCGAACAGGCTCTGAAGATTATTGCCAACGAACGCCTTGTCCTTGAAAAAGTAGACGATTTTGTCAAAAAGCACCATGTAGCTTGTGACTTCAACTTGACCACCACTTTTGATGTCTGTATGACACCCGAGTTTGCCAAGTATGAAGCAGAAAGTCTCCAGGCATACAAAGAGGCAGGAGGGGATGTGTCCCACATCGAATTCTACGAAGGATCAGAAGCCCGGGCAAAGACAAGAATCCCAGGAGCTATCGCAGCATACGAGTGGCCCGCTGGATCCAGCCATCCGGCCAAACTGGCTCAATTCTTGCTTCAGTCTGTGATTGAGCGTGGTGCAAAGCTGTTCACATTTTGTCCTGCCACCGAGGTGAAACAAAGTACCTCAACCTTATGGGATATCCATACCCCTCGGGGCATTATCACAGCAGAGAAAATCATTCACTGTACAAATGCTCACGCAGCCCTCTTACTGCCCCAACTAGAAGCCTATCTTCGGCCCAATCGCGCACAAGCCCATTCACTCGTGCCGACCCCAGCTTTCGCAGCGGAGAATGCCCTTCAAAATACATTCTCCTTGCGTTACAGTCTCCATCATTTCTATTCATTGATTCAGCGCAAGGGAGATGGCACACTCATCTTGGGAGTTTCTCGATCTAATCCAACTCTGAGTTCTGAGACTTTAGATGGTCGCTTCAGTATCGATGATTCTCGCTTCAATGAGGAAATTGCCCAAGATGCTCTACGGAGCTTCAACAAACTCTTCCCTGATTACACCCCTGGCGGAAACGGCATGTTGCATGGGGAAGGTTTAGATCATGCATGGACCGGGATCATTGCGATGACCACAGACTCTGTTCCTTTTGTCGGCGCGATTGATTCGTTGCCAGGTCAATACATATGTGCTGGGTTTAACGGTCATGGTAAGTGCAGCAATGCTTGATGAAGACATATATTGGCTAATACTCTCCAATCTAGGTATGGCACGTATCTTCACATGTGCTCCTGGTGTTGCTGAAATTGCGCTTGGCCGGGAGTGGAGCGAAACTGGCTTACCAGAGTGCTTCAGATTCAGCCACGAAAGACTTTCTCGGCTTTCTAATGGGAATTTGCCTTCAATATGGTGAGAGGGAATGATATAGACAAAGATATATGGCTGGGTTTGCTCCAGAAACGGATGCCCGTGAATGTTCCGGATTTATAATGCTACCATTCGTTTTGGAAACAGCAAATGAAGGTCTCGTATCGGAAGACAAGACGCAGTGATCATCAGACTATCTAGTAGTCTCCCGCCATGACGTTCTTGGATAGCCATATTCTGAGCAGAGCACGTCTATCCAGTCTTGGCCAATGTTTCAAATAATGGGTATTCCATCAACTGTCCCTGTGGTTCCACATAATGCGGACTGAACGCTCTCTGGCATGGGAATTCCCTGCATCCACAGGGCTGTAGAAATATCAACCGGCATTGTATCTAGTGATACCGTCGGATATTGGTGCGTATCAAAGGGCATATAGTATTCGAGTTGGGTCCGGCCCGGTATGTGTCCCTCGAGGCTTATTGTATGTGTGAGGTCGACGGGTGTGTGCGGGGATAGTGAACAGCTCAATGCGGGCTGGGAGAGCGACTCTGCAGAGAAGGGGAATTCGGCGAGATGTAAATTCGAGGCTGAAATTTCATGATCGTTCAAGTGTTGATGCGGATTTGGTGGCTCGACTGCCATGGGTATGTCGTCCGAAGTCAAGCAATACCCTGTATGGTCGATGAAAGAGTCATCGGACTGAGCAGGGTGGATATCGTGGGATCCATGAGCCCAGTTATCCCCAAATCCGGCTGGAAACGTCCCACAAACTTCATTGGGCACATTCATCAGCTGGGCCATGGCTTCTGAGACGGGCTTGGACTCTAACGGCGTTGTACTCTGTTCGCCAGCCAGAAAGCGGAATTCATTGAGTTCGGCGATTAGTCGGTGATTCTGTGCGACCAGGTCTCGCATATCTTCTGCGGCAGATAGGCACATTGCGCGCTGCTTCTTAAAGTGCCGAAGGCTTTCTTTCACAATGATTGTTTTTGAAAGGCGTCGGACAGGCGCCAAGGCAGGTACTAGACGTGCCATCTCCTGTAGTCACACTCAAATGACCGTGATTAACCAGGGATATTATAGCTAAACGTGATATATCGAGTACTTACAAGTAGATCTTTCTTCATGTCCTCTCGACGTCCTTTTTCCAGTGCTAGATTGCGAGCGTTGACATCGGGGGGTAGAGGCCGAGGGCGGCCTCGCCTCTTCGGTTTGCTTTGTTGTGTGTGGGGTTGACTCGACATTTCGTGCTTATAATTTCAATCGACAGAGACGTTCAGAGAATGTAGAAATTGCTCAATCTGCTGTGTAGATGGACGTTATGTTGTTGTTGTTGCTGTTGGGTGAGTCGAGGAACAAACGTTCGCCGCGGACTCCTCCGGGGAAACGGCGCGCACATGGGCCGAAGTGGGGGTGTCGTCGGGCCGTCTTGTCGGAGTCGCTACGGAGTACCACTTTTCTATTGAAAGTGATTTGGTGGCTTCTGAAGTGGAAGGATATTGGACGCGTGGGATAACACGCTCAAACAATGGTGCAATTGTATGTAACGCTCGCTCCAGAACGGTTGTTCGAATCGGCTCTGTGGCGAGCTCCTGTCTCTGTGTTCCTGAAACTTGGCTAATGCATTCAGAGCTGGAAGTAAGAAAATGGAGAAAGAAAGCAACATGCTTGATTCCACTACCACTTCACTCCTAGGAAGCTTGTTACTTACTTGGGTTTCTGGAAGCGCTATCAAAGGAATGGCGGTACTGGAAATTATCTCGAGTCCTATGATCGAGTGCGGCTTGAGGATGTGCCAGCTCTTCGGGCGGCAATATGCGCCCGTATGGTATCCAGGTGGCTCATAGAAGATTAAATTCTAAGTTATGCTCTCGTTCAGAGCTGGTTTTGATCAATTCCGAGGAATGACCACCCCGCCCATGATTCCAGATTTAGTAGGGAGACTCTCCACAGTGGGGCATGGACTGTACAGTCCATGCATTAGCGTCAATTCTCCTTCTCAGCGAGCGTTGCTCCAGATCATGATTAAAGACCATGTATTAACCATCTGAAGGTTGAGGGAAACAAGGGGGAAACTGCGTACCGTCTGTTTATTCAGTATGGCTGGTTAGCGTCAAATGAAGTATGGCCAATTTGGAACCTATTTCCCTCTGGGAACAATGGGCCACTGGGACTATTGATATTTAGCTGATCTTGCCCTGTAAACAAACCAAGTTAATTGAGCAATGCAAACGCTCAGTCATGCATCGAAATGTTATCGTAAGATCTTGGTCAAGCATAAATCGACTTCACGACTCGACTGCGAAATGTTGAGGCTATTCCTCGCGGAGGCTCAGCTTCACAATTACTGGGGATGCCCCAATTTAATCACAGTGCACTTAGGCACTTCAAATGTTGGAAATTGTTCGAATATTCATTATGACAAACGATATCATGGTTCTCTTTGAGATCTGGATCAACTATACTATGCGTCAGATGAAAGCTCTTACTTAGATCTAAGAGGGATGGTCGTTCCCCGATATCGGCCACACCTTTCCTACATCGCAATGCATAAAACTAGAAATACCGGAGCTAAAGATTATCACCGCAGCAAGGAAAATATACTCCCAAATGTACCCCGTAATTCACGACCAATAATAGACACCATGAAATAATATGATTCATCTAGCAGGAGCTGCGATGGAACCCCGACGGAGCCTCCCAAGCTACGGGTCCGATATCGGGGCCCGAACTACATGCCATCGACCAACAAGTTTGACAGGTATATAAACCAAGAGAAACCACCGTAAAAATCGCAACACAGAATATCAAATAATTATCTACTGTCAAAGTAGTAAAGAGATTCAACTTCCACACAGAAAAGACCCTCTACTTCTAGCAAAAACATTCCCAAACCATGGTCTCCAAAACAGAATCGGCAACGTACACCCACGGCCACCATGCCTCCGTCGTACGCTCTCACAGCTGGCGCACAGCCCAAAACTCCATCGCCTTTCTCCTCCCCCATCTCAAGCCGGACATGAAAATCCTCGACATCGGCTGCGGACCCGGCACGATCACAGTCGACGTGGCAGCCCACGTACCGCAGGGACATATCACGGGTCTCGAGCGCGCAGGTGCCATCCTGACACAAGCCCGAGCCAACGCGCAAGCAAAGGGCGTGACAAACATTGATTTCGTCGAGGGCGATGCGAACGCCTTGTCTTATGCGGATGACACCTTTGACGTGGTATTTTGTCACCAGGTCTTGCAGCACGTTGGTGATCCCGTCGGGATGCTGACGGAGATGAAGCGTGTTGTGAAGAAGGGGGGGGATTGTTGCGGCGAGGGAGGCGGATTATGGTGTTTTCGTGTGGTATCCTGAGTTGCCTGGTTTGAAGGAGTGGCAGGATATGTATGATCGTGTCGCGAGGCGGAATGGGGGTGAGCCGAATGCGGGGCGGATGTTGCATGCTTGGGCTAGAAGGGCTGGATTCGATGATGTGCAGTGTAGCTGTACGATGTGGTGCTATGCTAGTAAGGAGGATGTTAAGTGGTGGAGTGAGTCGTGGGTTGATCGGTCGTTGAAGTCGTCGTTCGCGACGACGGCGATTGAGCATGGTCTTGCGGCGAAGGAGGATCTTGAGAGGATTTCGCAAGCGTGGAGGGAGTGGGGACAGGATCGGGATGCGTGGATTTCTATTCCGAGTGCTGAGATTCTGTGTATTAAGCAGTAGGTTGCAGTCGGTCAGGAAAGATGATAATGATGCTATGCTATTTAGGGAACCAAGACAGTTTTATGTTCAAAGCAATGCAAAAGCGATGAGTCGCAGATTTGAATGCTTGGTCATTCAAATGGACCTTGTAAATCTATTAGACAAGAATAAGGGATGAAACCCCAGTAGATCGAAAAATATGCAACCCCTATACCCTGATGAATGTACACCAAAGACGCCAAATCCATCTCACATAAACCGTGAGAAATTCCGAATGCAACCCCAAAAAGAAGATCGACGCAAATGTAGAGTTTAACGGCCGGTGATCATACCTCCGGCGTAAACTCATAACGGCGCCAATTCTCACTAACCCACCACCGGGTAACATGAGCAGCCTCAATAACCCAGTTCAGGGCATCTTCGCCATGCGCCTTCGCAACCTCGTCCAACAGAGGTTGCAAAGTAAAAGACTGAACAGTGTGCAGCTCAAGTGGGTCTTTATCCACATCAGAGAACCGCCATTCGACGTCGGGTACGAGAGGGATGACCAGGCGGTACGGCTTGGGGCCAGACCGGAGAGCAAGCCAGGTAGCGCCGGTGTTCATAACGGTGAACTGCCAATCAAGCTTGCCGTCCTTCTCTGGGACTAGCTCGCGGATCATTGACTGGCCTTCGTACAAGGGGAGAAGGTCATTGATTGCATGGGTAGCTTCCTTATCAAGCGAGCCGGATTCGACTAGAAGGTCCATGATAGTAGGCACGATCTGCATGGAGGTGACCCGGCCGTCGATGGTGATTTGAGGGAGTTGCGGATGCGAGAAGACCAGTGGAACGTGGAAGTTGGAAACATGCGGGTTGTCGTAAGGGGTGACACCGCCGTCCTCGATCAGCGAGATGCCGCTGTCAATATGTTAGCATTGCAGCGACTGCAAATTTTCTGCGAGTGACTACTTACTGATCACCAACTATCACCACCAGGGTTTCATTAGCGACTCCCGCTTCTTCGATCACTTCAAGAACCTCTCCAAGCCATCTATCTGCAACTCCAAGGGTGTTCAAGTAGCGGTTCATCCTGTTCCTACCATTGAAAATGTTGTGGTGCATGAATTCTTCAATCTTGTCACCCTTTGGCATATCCCACGGGTAGTGTGTCTGTCCCGTCAGGTGAGTGAGGAAAACACGCTCATGATGCTTCTCGGCATGTTTCAACGCATCAAGGAAATACGATCGCAGCTCGTGCTCGGGATACCCCCAGAAGTTGAACTTTTTCGGCGCATGGCCTGGTTTTTTCTTCCTATCCTTGGTAATCTTCTTGTCTGTGATTTTATCTTTGAAGCCCAAGGCGGGAAGCAGAAGGTCTTGGTTGTCATAGTTATCCGTGATGCTCTGCATGAAAGTCGAATGCCAGGGCCAAGTGGTATAATCGTCTTCCTTGATCTTGCGGGTGTCGTTCTCTCGGGACATGGAGTTCAATGCATTGAGAATGTGAGGCATACACGGCTCGTAGATATGATGCAAGTACTCGCGGTTAAAGTCAACGACCAATGGTGCAATGCCACAGACACTGGCGAGGATACTCTTGAGAGTGAACGTGTCGCCAGTATACGCATTCGATGCGTACATACCGCCACGCGGCTGCCATGAATCATCACTGTGGTCCCAGCCAGACGAGATTCCCGTCAATCGCTCCGCATTTCGGGACAGGTTGGCAAGGCGCTGATCTACAATGTCTGGAACGTTGCCTCCATAGGATTCGCGGATAATATCGCCAACGTGGGAGTCTTTGCGGACCGGGAAGACATCGTAACGAGTACTTTCCAACTTGAGCAAGAAAACATGCTTGATGTTCACACTGCCGCTCTTGAGAGCGTCGCGCCACGGCTCCAGAACATTGCGGTCGAGATTTGATATTTTCAAGGGATCATGCGCCGGATCATAGTGCAATGCTGCGCCTTCCTTGCCCTCTTCATACCAGTCTCTGAACCCAGCAATCTTCTTCTGCGGCAGCCAGTCGAATTTCGGGGGCGCTGCGAGCGCAGTATGGTTGTAGAGCCAGCTGTAATCGCCCGGTAAGTCTAGGGGGAGATCAACGGAGTAAGTGGTCTCATGCTGAGGCGGCTTCTCGAAGGGTGTGATGATGAGGGTCTGGGAGAGGAAAGAGTACGCGGTGTCCGACGGGCGAATGCAGCGCAACAGGAGGACAAAGGCGGCAGCCGAGGCCACAAGGATGCGCAATAGCAGAGAAGGTCGGGCCCGTGATAACGAGGGAGTTGCTGTCATAGGATCCTCCAAACCCAGCATGGCTTCCGACTCGCTGTTTTCTTCATCCCAGTCTTTGTTGGCGACTTGCGCATAGTTCTCTGCGTCGGAGCTGGGCTTTCGTTTCCACCAAAAGAATGCCGGGGCCACGGCTGCGTTGAATGCTCGGGTCACTGCGCGTACCCAATTGTATAGATAGGGAGTTGATATCCATGCTGCGGCGCTGAAAAGAACCTCCATGATGACAATGCCGGTCAGTCCGGCCAGGAGGGTCTTGACTGATGCTGCATCGCGGTGGAAGGCGTGTGCTTGTCGCCAATGAATCTCGGCGCCTGTTTGGGTATAGAAGGAGATGTTGGCGGCGGCAAGACCAGAAATCAATAAACTAAAGCGGATTGAACACCGGTCAGGTATTTTCAAAAATAACTTATACCAGCACATCTGCCTGTTGACGAATGGGATTCATACCTGGACAGAATTACCACTGGCGCAGACACCACACGGAGCCATCTTCGGTGGAAGTTCTGGGAGAGAGTCTGCGCAATGAGGATGCATACCACATCCTGAAGAAAGAAGGTTGGGCCCCAAAGAATGAATTGGCCGGGAGAGAGGGAGTTGAGGTGGGAGTAGATGTGGAGTAGTTTGGCGCAGATCACGCTGATGAGAAGAAGCGAAAACCAGTACTTGCGCGAGGCGGGCCAGTAGACGTCGAACCAAAGCTTTGGAGAAAGAAGGACGCGGATGAAATCCTTACAGCGCTGGCCAACGCTGAGCTTCATCGTGAGGGTGGGTAGACTCCAGGCGAGGAGTGTCTTTTCATGCAGCGACTAAGACGAGAGACTCCATTCCAGGTCCAGTGAGGTGAGAGAAGGACCAAGTACCGAGAAGGAAACGAAGGAGAGACAGATGTCAGAAGAGAATTTGCAGATTCACCAAACGCGATGACGGACCATCGGCGGACACGAGGTCGGGCCACATCTGGGGCTACGAGTGCCTTGTCTCTTTGTAACAGAACACACTGGCTGGGGGCCATAATCATCCAGGATGGGACCAAATTGAATAAATTGAAATCAAATTACAGGCGAATAGGAAATCGTAGGATCATGCCAAGAGGCTGCTAAGGGGTAATAAGGTACTAGTCCTCCGTATTTGTGGGTAGGTGGCACTCATATTCGGATCATACCAATAGGACGTTTGATTCTGTTCATAATTCGAGCTGCCAGTGACCAGGCACAAGGGCATTTTCCCCTTTCAGGGGACCTGGACGGAGTGTCGCGTGTGGACACGGTTTGCCCTCGTACGGACTTAGCATACCAGCGGAAGGACCGGCGGTATGGAGGACGGTAGGTACCGTTCGTTGGTTACCCTCCAGTTGGCTTGTCGTGGCCCACTCCACAGTCCACACCCGAAATCCGTCGTTGACAAACTTAAATGGAGCTTGGCGACCCTGAATTTGTTCCGAATCTTGGTCCCCGATTTCCAACACGTACAAAACGGTCCCTCCGAAGATCCATATCCATATGCCTGCAGATACTCCATACGTATGCACTGTCGAATCCTTCGGACAGATCACCATCTGGCCAGCAATGCCCCAGCACCGCCATGAAACAGAGTGTCCTCCGTACAGTACTGTTCTGTTCGTTTCGGATCCTCAAACCTGCTCCTGCCCGGCGCCCAGCCCCACTTCGTATCCAGCACCAACGTTCGCCCGTCACTATTATTGGCACGACTGCCAGCCAACCTCGGCGCCACCAGTCCCTGATCCAGATGATCCAGCTTTCGGGCCTTTTTCTCGCGTGATCACTGACCAGGCAGTCGAATTATTATTCCGGAGATCTCGCGGACTCCAACAGGGTCTCCAGCATGGAGACTCGTCAATCAAGACCCTCCTCAACACATGCCAATGAAATTCATCCACGACAGGCCACCCCACTCACAATGCGCAGTTGACCGGAAATAAGCGTGGACCCTGAACCTTCCTGGTCGACCTCGCTGCGGTATGGCGTCAGGGGCTGGGGGCCAACCATACAGAGTTCAGACACAGATCATGGCGTAACGCTCGTCCTGAATTACGCGAATAGTGAAGGCGGGCCCGCCTGGCCCCTCTGAAACTTTCGCTTGGGGCAACTCGCCTTACAACCAGGGGGGCGCAGACCCGCAAAACCCCTTTTCCGCATCTTGTTGCCAGACCTGTACGATCGAGCCAATCAAAGTGAATCCTAAACCTGGCGAGTGGAGAAATTGCCTGCGCCTTGCTCGTCCAAGGCGGAAAGTCAAGATCGTGGATCGCCAGGTCTCGCGCAGACTAGAAGGTGACCCTGTGTGCCAGATTCGGATCCATACTCGACATAGCATAGTCGTCAACTCCAGTGCCTCGTCTTCATCTCACAGAACTCGCCAACGAGGAAATATTTTCCCGAAATGATAAGTATACATGCTATATCACAGCCTGCTTATATCCCTGAGCTCCCTAGGTTGCTTCTCCTATCAAATCCATTCCGCCATAGTTTGTGGTCATCGGATCCGTCTACGAATATCTTGGTTCTTTTACTGGTCCTGACAAATAATGCCAACAAATAATCTGCTCTGATTCTTGTCAATTTGAAGTCATAGCAACATCCAAAAGTTTCGTATACTATCTTCATCCACTCCATCCCCACTCAATACTCTCCTCGTTCAACCACAACTACACCCGCGTGACAATCACCAGCAAGAAGCAAAACACCACAATACCTCACTATTTCAGCGTCAAAACACCCGGCCGGTACGGAAGCAGATTATACGAGGGGTTGACACTCGGGTCCCGCCCCTGGTACAAGAACTGCAAATTGCACGGGTCAATAGTCATAGTCTGATCCGGGTTACTACGAACCAAATCGCCATGACTGATATCATTCGTCCAAGTCGCACCGCTATTCGCCTTGCCCGCAAACGGCTGACTCTCCGAACCCGCCTGCACAGTCCACGACCCGCCTAGACTGGTCGCCGTGAAGGAGCGGAAGTACCGCCCATTCGCGCCCATTGCCTCCACGATCATCAGGTACTGGTTCTGTCCCGAGACGGTATAGACCTGCACGGCTTCGAAGAGGTTGTTGGTTGAATCGCTGAGCACCACTTCCGAGGCTGTGCCGAAGGAGCCGGGGAAATTGCCGATGGGCATGCTGGCGCGGTAGATCTTGCCGTTGTCGCCAGCGAAGAAGAGGTACATGTTTTGGGAGTCGCCGATGACGGTTTGGTCGATTGCGCCCGTGCCGCTGCCGGAGATTGTGCCGGAGAACAGCGCGTTCTCGGAGGACCATCCATTTGCATTGGAGGGGTCGCTGGAGGTGCGGTAGGAGAAGGTGGTGGAACCCCATTGATAGGCGAGGACCCAGGTAGACTTCGGGGCGAAGTAGAATAATGTTGGCGCGACGGCGGAATTGGTCATTTGGTTTTGGCTTGCTGAGCCCATGCTGGACCAGTCGGAGAAGAGGCCAAAGTTCATTGAGTGGTAGTTGCCGGATGTGTCGGCGACGGAGCCGTAAACGAGATGCTGGCCATTGTAGACGACGTGGGTGAAGTCTTTCAGCGCGGCCCAGCCTGACTTGGGCTGTGCTAGAGGGCCGGTGGATGTCCAGCTGTAGGTTGATGGAAGACTGCAACTGGCTGTAACGGTGCTCGCCGATGCCAGGATCAGGGCAATGGACGCCCACAGGTCTGTCTTGGCCAATGGAGATCGCATGGTGATGCTTTGAGTTTGTTTTATAAGAATGTGAGTCTGATAGTAGAAAGATGAAGCACAATCAAGGAGGTTATATACCTTTCTTTTTTACCCATCAGACCATCTCAAGTACGAACTTAGCCATCAATTCATCCAAACGAGAAACGGAGTATCTGAGAAAACATGTCTTACTTGCATCTTAACACGGAGCACTGGGACGTTTCATCAAGGTCATCCATCGGCAAATTCCTCAATATCAACTAGCCGATTTTCTTCACAAAAACAAGACTGGACCCTCTTTTCCCGGGGCAATTGCGGGGAAGGGCCATCTTGCAACACGGAGCGTTGCCGACCCATCGGGGTTTTGCCTTTCTGGATACCTCACCCATGCAGGGTCAGTGTCGATCATTGACCCTGAATGAACTGCTGTATGTCCTCCCAGCCTGAATAGCATAAACTTGCCCCTGTAGTCGGGTAAGTATGCCGGGTAAAAAGCTCACTTGCTGATCTCTGTGTACGGAGTAAATCGGGGTGACGGTGAAAAGGCCACGATTGTGTGTGGCTTTTGGATGGAGAGTCCGTGGTCTTTTCACCTAGTGCGTCAGACACAGCGTTAGCCAGATTAGGTCCAGCATACTTACTTTGATAAACGGACATCACACAAGAACGGTCGCAGCGCGTGTATAATAGGCAGGAGGTATAAATGAGCACTTAATGACAATTTAAAGATTACCCTCAAGTCAGTTGTTTCACTACGAGTGATACATTCCCATTCTTGACAAATCTTTGACGGCCCGCAATGTCAACGAAAACCCAAGCCAAACGCACTGAAGCCGATTGGAACATATTCGTTCACCAGCCAGATACGCAAGTCAACAGCTCTCATGCCGATGCTACAAAGCTATATTTAAAATACATATAGCGCTTCCAAAGGTTGATCGATCTATTTCTCTCACTTAGTTCTTGAATACCCAGTATAGGGATCTTTTCGTGGAATCATTTGGTTGGTACGAAACAGAAACCGAACTATTTATTACTATGGAATATCTTCCACCTGATGATCTCGATAAATACATGTAGAAGAAAGACAAATCACTGGATGAGGAAGCAGCTTAGCTAATCACCACTCAACTTCTCGAGGGGCTTCAATTCGTGCTTGAAGACGGATTTGCTCAGAGACGTGAAACCCCTTGCAAGGTATAAGGACCGGTCAATTATAAGTTTTTACTAACATGGTTTAGATCTCCCAATACATACTAACTCTCTTCGTTAAACGTAAGGTATTTATTATGCCATGATATTCAATTCTTTTCTAACTCTTGTAGTTCATTCTCTCATTCCACGGACATGAAGGCAGAACACCAGACGATGTCGAGCGGTTGGCGGGTGACAGACCTTCTCAAGTAGATGATAAACCCGACTCTTTCAGCGAAATCAACTCTTTTACTGAAAGTTACCACTCTTCCAACGAAGCTGACCCTCTACAGGGGCCGTTCCAGCACTGGGGGATATGTTCACCAGTGGCTCACTTTGACCTGCCCCTGGAACCTATGGGTCCTGTGGAAAGATAAATGTTGAGAATAGTTCAATTTATATACCCGCCGTGGCGAGAGTAGCTAGTGGGCGTACCTGCCCAGTCCAATGTTTTGTCCTTTGCTCTTGATGCATTGATCTGAATTTATCGCGCAGCTTGCTCATATTGTAGGTCTAGGACATCTTAGCAGGTACTAGGAATCCCTGCCTGTAAAAGACCTTCCAATACAAGTCTCCTAATCTCCTTTCGCCTGTTCAGTGTGCTAGAGTTAAGATCGGGAGAGCATTGTTCATTTGAGACTAATAGGAATGACTGGACATATATAAGGACACTGATTTAGCTCTTGGCGATCAAATTCTCATTATTACTGGGACAGTACATTGCATATCGTCACTTGACTAACACTTGCACTTCCCAGCTCACCTTTACGAGAACCCATCTTGCAAGTAGGGGAGCTCATTCTGTTATTGACATTCTTAGTGCGCTACCTGTCACGTCTTGGAAGATATCCAATAGAACCAGAGTTGACCTCCTGTGGCTGCCTACCGAGTATCGAACAGCTCATCTCTCTCTTCTTGCAATATTTGCAAAACTTTGACGCTCGGCTGTCCACCAGGTCATGTCCATTTTCTCGCACCCTCCGAAACGGGCCAAACGCCTCTGTCGGCGTCAATTCAATGAAGGACATGCCAAACATCTTTAACGTCGATACCAGTAACATCCAGGACAGTGCTTTCCTACAATTAGTAGATAAGATTATCCGTCGTGCTTGTGGAAGCCTCTCTGAACCAGGCATATACGAAGCAACGTGTAACTTGATGTGGCAGCTGTGCGAGTGAATTCTGGATAAGTCAATGGCAGTACCAATCTTGGCCTAACTGTTACAATCTCAGGCAATTTCTCACACGCCTGGGCTACCTCCTGTCTCGAGTACGTTGAAACAATTTGGCATGACGTTGAGAGACACCTTTAAGGTAAACTTGAGATTATCCTGGGAAAGAAACCAACAAATAATTATGTTCTGTATTTGCTTCATAATCTTGTCCTCGAGATGCTAACTGTATACAGATAGTGTTAAATCCATCAATGTTCTCTTTAAAGGTCAGGTATCAGAGATATCAATCATCGTACAATTTCTGTGCTGGATTGGAGTAAATTCCAAGTTTCACAAGGGCAAGTGACCATAAGCCGGTATTTCGGATTGGCTTACGGGAGCTCTTCCACTTGAATGGCCAAGCCCCTGAGATATGTCGGAAAGTGTATTTTCCAGATACAATCAGGGCTCTTGACTTTCCAGTTCTTGAATGTCCCGGTACCCTTTGGTTGCGAATATCATTCGGGATGATACTTGAACTTGCTGATATTCTGTATAATGTGAATTTCGAGGACTATAACTTAAAACGAGACTAGGATCTACACACCCTAGTCTATCAGTATAAAACTACCATCAAATTATAGAGAATCCAATAGATTTTACTAGAAAGCTCGAACATTTAGTATACCATCCCTTTGCCTTGCGCAAGGCATCCAAACATGAAGGCATACTAAGAATTAGGTTATCAATCTTGCTCTAGTCTAACGCACGCTAGGCCTGTTGAATGGAATCAATAAAATACTGCCAATCTTCGTCAGACCTTCATATACCAATAAGCTTTGGAAATATACTAAAAACCTTAACCTTAAGCATCTGCCAGACCGGTTCAATAGGGTTCATGTATGACTTGTGAACTTTAGCTCAATCAAGCCTAGTATGAAGATAAATTTTTACCAATTATCCATACGCCTATAGCAGCAAAATGGGAGCAATTCAGCCATCTTGGGGAGACTACTTGCCACATGACAACTTTATTATTTATTCCCCGTACTTGATATTTATTGAGGACCAGCGACTATGAGAGGGATCGTTCGTTGCGGGAATAAGCTCCTGGGAACTGGGACTCGTCGGGCACATGCATTTTCTAATACCCTAGCATCCCCGGATCTCCGCCCAGAGCTGGTGACGCGCCCTTCGCACGGTAATGCCCTGAATCGGCGAGAACGCCAGAACGACTTGAAGAGAAAGAAACACGTGAACCTGTGCACGTGGCCTGCCAAATATCACAGCCAATAATAGGGTGGCGTAGCGCGAAATTTGGCAGCATGAAACTCAGCGTTAACTCAGTGATAAGTCAGCCTCGCGCAGGCCTACGGTTGGTAACCCCTTTCACTCCGTTCCTTAGTTTCAGGGCATTATTTTGACCTACTTGGAGATCAGCTTGCAAGACCCTGGAACACAAGTTAGCATGCCTCTGCTGAGCTCTAGGTAGGGGCCAAAACACTCTACGGTAACACCAGTCTTGGCATTTCCTGCTGGATCCTCTCTTGTTAGAGCTGATAGCTTTGATTACATTGGTGTTTGATAGCTTTCTTTTATTGATTATTCCCGGACAATTTATGTTTGTCTTGTATCACCGTAGCGATGATGAATTATTGAGAGGGCCTATGGCAATTCTTATGTGGCTTCTCGCCTAGTTAACTGTTCGTCGTTGGGCTGCTCAGGTCAGCTGACCCCACTTCTAGCGGCTTGGGATGTGGGATGTTTGTTTCCACTGTTGCCAAATCCTCTCCTTGATAATTCCTTCAAGTAGCTGGTCTTTAAACTTTGCTGCAGACCTGAGCCTTAATATACTCGTAACAACATGAGTTTTGGCTTCAGTGTTGGTGATTTTCTGGCGGTCGTGCAACTAGCAAATGACTTGGGAGGCCGCTTTGCGCAAGCACCGAGGGAGTACAAAGCTATCAAGGAGGAGTACGTGTTGAATTTTGGATCGTTAAATCACATATTGACAACCTACGGCAGGGTCGGGTCTCTTATTTTTGCACTCAACGGCATCAGCGGCCTTGATGAAGAGGAATTCGATGACCAACAGAAACATGGTGTCAACCAAGTCATCCAGAGCTGTGACATTGTTCTTCAGGATCTTGACTCTAGGCTACAAAAATTCCACATTTTGGCAAAGGACTCAACTCCAGACTGGACGGGCAGAATGCGCCAGGCGTGGACAAGGATCCGATGGAACCAAGCAGAGATCAATCAGTTTCGTTCTCGAATCGTTTCCAATATTTCTCTGCTGAATCTCATTGTAGGGAATACCAATCAGTACGTCAACTCTGTTCTTTTCTGCTCCTCCAACTGGCCCAGTCAAATGCCTCTATTTCTAATGTACAATCTCGGAGATTAGGCATGGAATACAAACTCTTAACCAGAGACAAGAAGATCATGAACGCGACAAAATTCTGACTTGGCTGAGTCCAGTGAGCCCATCATTACGGCAGAGCGAGGTTTTTAATTCTCATCAAAAGGGGACGGGAACTTGGCTGCTGAAAACAGAGGACTTCCAGCGATGGATCGGCAGTCAAGAGCAGATTCTATTCTGCCCTGGGATCCCTGGCTCTGGGAAGACAGTCCTTTCATCAATCATCATTGATCATATAGAGCAAATGTTTCCCAATCAAGACGACGTTGTGATCACATATCTGTTTTGTGATTATCGGCAGCAACATACACTTGTTGACCTCTACTCGGCTCTTTTGAGACAAGCTGTACAACGAAAAAGCTCGATACCCGAGAGAGTCAGATCATTTTACAAAAAGTACTCAGCAAAATCGGCTACTCCTTCGAAGGATGTGATCCTCGATGAATTGCGATATGTGCTCGCTTCGTGCGCAAGAGCCTTTATCATAATCGATGCACTTGATGAATGTCCAATTTCCGATGGTAACCATGCTGTTCGCCATTCATTCCTCCGCGAGCTTCTTCGGTTGCAGAATGAAGAAGGATTTAATCTTCTTGCAACTTCCCGACAGGACCAGGAAATCGCAGCCCACTTCGAGGGCTCTGCTTCTGTGGAAATACAGGCGAGCAGTGAAGACATCCAGTTCTATGTTGACGTCCGTTTGGATGATCTTCCGTCTTTTGTTCGAAAAAGAGAGAAATTGAAAGAGGCAATCAAGGACAGTATCACAGAAGCAGCCAAAGAAATGTACGAATTTATCTGAAGTTGCAGTGAAGAAGTTCTAACATGTCTTAGGTTCCTTCTTGCTCGGCTTTATTTCAATCTTCTCTTGGATGAATCGAACGAAAAAGGGATTCGAAGAATGCTTGAAGAGTTCCGCACTGGTTCTCACGCTGGCTCTCAGTCTAAGACTTATGATTATGCCTATAGTGAGACCATGAGTAGAATCGAGCGTCAAGGGGCTAATGCTTCGGGTCTTGCAAAGAAAACAATCGGATGGATCATAAACGCCAAAAGAAATCTGACTACCGCTGAACTCGAGCACGCGCTGGCGATTGAGCTTGAGACTTCCGAATTCGACGACACAAATATCACGGACATTGAGCAATTGACTTCGTATTGCTGTGGTTTAGTTCTTGTCGACGAACAAACGACCGAAGTAAAGCTTGTCCACTACACCACCCAGAAGTACTTTGAAAACACCCTGAAGAGTTGGTTCCCCGAGGTTCTTGACCATATCACGGACTGCTGTTTGACATACCTCTCATACGACGTATTTGAGGAAGATCGATTTGAGGAAAAAGAAGAAGTCAAAAAAATCCCAGAAGAATACCCATTTTACTCTTACTCTTCTCTGAACTGGGGACATCATTTCCGGGAAGCGCCTGGAGACCGGTCGATACTCCTAAAATTCCTTTGGAGTGAAGCGAAATTAACAGGATATGACCGCTGCGGTTTTGAGCCTCTGGATTGGAAACCCGATCCTAAAACGAGCGGAATAAAAGCAGAACATATTGCTGCCTTTTTTAACCTGGATCATCTGATGCAAGAGCTACTTGAGACAAGCCCAGACAATTTGAACATTCAAGACTCGAGTGAACATACGCCCTTGTTCATCGCTGCACGTCACGGGCATGAATCAGTGGCCAAGTTGCTTCTGAATATGGGCGCCAGGGTTGATCTCCCAGATACGGATGGCAATTCGCCATTACATGCGGCTGCAGATCAAGGCTCTACGAGGGTAGTCCAGATGCTCCTGGATAAAGGCGCCGACATTGAAATGAAAAATTCGAAAAAAGAGACCCCATTATACGTCGCCGCAGGCAAGGGCCATGACATTGTGGTCACGCGGCTTTTAGACAGAGGCGCTAATGTCGACGCTAAGGACGATAATGACAGGACTGCATTGCATGCGGCTTCGCTGGGGGATCATGTGGCGATAGTCGAGGTGCTTCTAAGCAGAGGCGCCAACCTCGAAAGCAAGACGAAGAATGGTGACGTCCCGTTACATGATGCATCATTAAACGGCAATCTGAAAGTCGTCAAACTGTTCTTGGAAAAGGGTGTAAGCCCCGAAATAGCCAACGACGAAGGCGAAACACCACTACTTAAGGTTTCCGATTATCTTCTCTACGAATTGGTTAACCACGAAGATCTCGATGCAACATTCAAGCTTCTCCTAAACAAGGGTGCCAACACTGAAGCCAAGAGTAAGCATGGGGAAACTCCACTGCATCGAACTGCAGAAAGAGGCTGGGAGGCACCGGTGAAGCTTTTATTAGACTATGGAGCCAACATCGAAGCCAGAACCAACGACAGCATGACCCCATTACACCTGGCTGCCCAGAAAAAGAGGGTGGAAATTGTCAGAATGCTCCTCGACCGTGGAGCTAGAGTTGATTTCATGAGTCGAAGCAGACAAACACCATTGCATATCGCAGCCACCACAGGAAATGAGGCCATAGTTACAATGCTGTTAGATAAGGCCGCCATCGTCAATGTCTTTGATCGATTTGGGTGCACTCCATTATTCTGGTCCTCCTTGAATGGCCACGAGACCGTGTCAAGGCTGCTCTTAAACAAGGGTGCCAATCTCAACCCTCCAAGCTCTGGACCCCAACGGTTACCCTCAGCGACCACTGAGGGTGGCCACGATGTGGCTTTGAAGGCTTTACTCGAAAAAGAGAACAACCCTGAACAATTCAATGTTTATCATCGAACTGCTTTTCACATGGCGAGTGCCGGGGGGCACATATCGATGGCAAAACTTTTGCTCTCAGCTGGAGCAAAAGTAGACATCCCAGATCGATATGGAAGAACTCCATTGTTTGATGCTGTCTGTGGAAGCCATTCAGACATGGTTCAACTGCTCCTCGGCTTGCCAGATGTTGACAAATGCCGTCCCGACATCTGGGGGCTCACCCCTGCTCTCGAGGCCCAGAGGAGAGGGTTACACGAGATAAACCGGCTCCTCAATAGCAAAAATGTGGAATCAGGTGTGGAATCAGGTGTGGAATCAAGGACAGAATCAAGTGCGGAACCAAGCGCGGAACCCCAATCCACGGAACAGAAACGCTCTCGATTTTGTGATATTTGCCTCAGAGGCCTTTTGGAGGGAGAGGAGTACTATTCGTGTGACTATTTTCACACATGCAAATTCTGCCCCCCTTTGCAGACCAAAAGCTGTCCACTGTGCGGAAATGAGCTGGTGAAAGCGATCTACAGACTTCCCACGACCTCATTCGCGGAACTGTTCGAATCGTGCGTGTGCATGTAACAGATTCAGGAAGCAAAATACCCAAAGATCCTTTGACATAACCTGTGCTTTGAGAGTGTAGACACCGGCTTTTTTTTCTCCTGTTGGCTCCTTCATGTAGTTGGCTTGCCTGCGAAGAAACGAGAACTCTTCAGTCTAGCTTACCGATTTTTGTCATTCTCAATGCCGAAAAGAACTGGAATAGGGCGATATACTGTGATACCATGGTTTCCTTCTTTAACAGCTCCATATCCGCCCTAGCCACGGATTTGAGTGACTTATTAAAGCCCAGATACATAAATAGCGATAGTGCAGAAATAATGTAAGGTGAATATGCTAGATACGGGGAAGTTCGGCGACGGACCGACCGATTAACATATAAGGGACCGAAACTACAAATTGGCGCGGTGGACTAAGGCAAAAATATCTTCTCTCGAGCGTAATAGTAAGAACTACGCGGAAACGGGCCTAGGGCGAGGGAAGGCAGCACAGACTGCGCTTGAGGGCTCGAAGGACTGCAAAGGGCTAGCAAGTTCGTGCTGGCGATAAAGAGGTTGGCGGAGCTCGGTGATCTGGATCAATAGAAAAAATGCCTCACTCGCAGGCTGCACATAGGGAACGGGGAGAAAGAAAGGGTAAAAGGACGAAAAGCAGCTGAAAGTTGAAGCGGCGATGGAGGGGACTTTATAGAAACACGCACGGAGATACCAACGCACAGTAAGACGCTAAACCCGAATTGGCTCGCTAAACTCTTTTCCGTAACTCACCGTCACTGGTTTATACGGACTACATTGATGTTCTGGGCGAGTTGAAACACATTGAAACGCGTCACTGTGTCAACACAGTAATCCACTCTGCAAATCTCTTTCAATCCGGCACAGTCACCGCCTTGGTAAAGTCTCTTGAGGGAGGGCTTTAGAAGAATCGCTTCGTGGAAACATAAGGCATCTCAACGGACGTGCGTCGTAGGACAGCCCAGCTTGCTCGGGGCTATGAAGTGTACTGCAGGAGCCCAGGGGGGATTTACGAGGCAAAGATCTCGAATGCTGAAGTATTGGATCGCAAACTATTCATTTCATGATAAATTCGTAGCTGGGAGGAGAACCCACTCGCTTTTTTGAGAAATGCACATTACATAAGTCATGAGTCTGGCGTGAGGCCCGCGAGAAGTGGCTAGTAAGTTGGTGAATCCCAGACCTCGAGGTGCTACACAGCAACTCAAAACTCCGAGTCCAGAGACTGCCACTGCGATGCAAAGGTCTTTCGAACCCACTCCATGTATCCCTTCCACTTGTGCAGGTCACTCGAGGTCTCTGCACCAGGGAACGCTTTGCTGAGTTCCTTTGTGGTCTTGAGAATACCCAGCGAGGCCTCCTGCGCCTTCTCCAGTTCCTGCTTGACGGCATTATCCTTGGGTTTGAAAGAGAGCACAGTGGTGTAGCGCTCGGAAAGTGCGTTGAGACGGCGCTCAGTTTCTTCCGGTGCGATGAGAACCAGCTTGGAGGTCATCAGGTTGCTAATGGCGCGGATGTCTTGCTCATCTTCAACACCAGCGATGACACGGTCGAAGATCTCAGAGACGTGGCTGCGGGCAAATGGAGTGTCGAGGGAGGCGTAAAGGGTCTCATAGGCACTCTGGTTTACATGTTAGAGTATACTGGAAATGGAAGTCAGAGTGGGAGGGAACATACCTTGCGGAGGTCAAGACCGTCATCGACCTTGTGCTTGAAAGGACCCATTTGCACCTCACGAATCAACTCGGGCTTGATCTTGGTATCGCCGAAGACGGCAGGGAGCAGTTCACCCAAATGGGGAAGGAGGAGGGCCATCTTGTTATGGATAGCGGAATTGAGTGTAGTCAATGCAAGACGATGGTTACCCAGGTCGCTGTCAATAAGCATGGTGGTGAGCAAGGGTACCATCAAGGGGCGCAGGACATCATTGTACGCATCGCTGGAATCAGCAAGGGTATAGCGGAAGGCCGAGATGACAACACCACGAACGACAGCGTCGGAATTGTTCAGGCAATCCCGGAAGTGGGGAATGTAATTGACTGGGTCGATCAGAGCCAGACGACCAACACACTCGGCGCCAACCGCACGGTTGTCCTCCTCCTCGGATACCACAAGGAGAGCCTGCCATAGCTTGAGGGCAGTGGGGGCAAGATCTGGGCGGACAACCTCTGGGTGCTGCAGCAACTCTCGTACCGCGTGCAACAGGAGATAGCTTTGTGTATTATTCTTGTCAAGACCATTGAGAATGACGGGGAGGTAGGCCTTGACACTTCCCGCTGCCGCATTGCCAAGGGCAGTAGCCGCAGCCAAGCGTACGTGGTCTGAGCCGGAATTGAAGTGCGCAATAAAGATATCGGGAGTCAGCGCACACTCGGCGCCCATACGCAATCCAATCTCGCCCAAGATTGCCAGAGCAAGGCACTTGCGGCTGTCGTCCTTGGCCGTTCTGAGCTCATTTGAGAAGTCATCCATGGTGACACCCAGGTTTGGTCCGCCGTGCACCAGAAGGGTGCCGATGGCCCGACCAACGACGGAGGAATCTCCAGTAATGCCGACATTTTGCAGGAGATTCTGCATCAACTGAGCACCCGCACCTTCATCTCCAATAACCTTCACCAAAAGCAGTAGGGCCTTCAAAACGGTACCGACAAGCGGTTGTTTGACGATTGAGCAAATCGAGGTGATCAATGCCTCATTGACAAGCGACTTTGAGTTTCCAGGAACAATCTTGGCGATAATTATCAAGGTCGGGGTGAGGAGGTGGAAATCCGGAGCTGACAACAGTGGAAGGAGGGAGTTCTCCAGCGTGACCATAGTACCGGGGCCCAGCTGAGATCTGATGCTAGAGTTCATCGTAACACTGCGGAGGGCCTCCAAGCATGATCCTCGCAAAGCTCGATCCGACTTTCTAAGATTGGAGCCGAGCTCGAGGGTGATATCGTTGACCCAGTCTGCACTCACGTCTTGCGGGCGGCTGGCAAGCACGACGACGTCGTCAATGGCGCGCACGGCAGCAAGGCGAGTTGTCTCATTCTTGACACGGTCCACTAGGATAGAGAGACCTTTGGATCGGTGATCAGCAGACAGGTATGCGGTACCCTTTTGGCCCGATGTCAGGGCCAGGATCACACCAAACACATGAATTGCTCGCTGACGAACTTCGAGGTCGGCGCTGGTATCGGTAATGCGGGCGAGCACAACCTCATAAAGCTTCTCCAATTGCTTGGCAACCTCGGGGTTATTTGCAGATGCCCGAGGTGGGGTCATGGCCTTCACAATCTGCTCCACGGCTCCCAAGGCCTCGCTGCTGACCTTGTAGTTGCGTTCATTGACAGCTCCGACAACCCCGGGAACTAGAGCAATGAGGAAGGGGAGAAGGGCATCAGACAGATGAGTCTCAGCGATGGCAGAAATAAGGCCAAGGGTCTCGATCTGTAGAGCGCCAGCACTGACGGCGGCACCCGAATGAGCTGCCGAGCTGCCGGCAAGGGAGGAGGTCTTGAGGGCGTCGGCAATGAGGTACTCAATCTGCTGGAGATGATCGGCAAGTCCACCGTAGCGGACCAAGGAGAGACTCTTCAGAAGCACAACGGCAGCCTGCCGCAAGGGCATCGAGGCTTGCTTCCATGCTTTCACCAAGCTCTGCACAATCAAAGGTACTGAACGTGCGAGATCGGCCTGTGGGCCCGATTTGGGAGAAGATGGAATGACGGGCGAGTCGATAGCAGAGGAAGTGCTGGCACTAGGCTCGAAGTCGACCATACTAGCATCACTGTCTTGGCGTCTGCGCTTGCGGGAGTTCTTCGAACCACCGACGGTCTCCAGGAAGCCATTGGAGGTGACTATGACGGATCCCTCACTCGTCTTGTGTACCAGAGCTGTCAAAGTCGAGACCACTTCCATCTTCACACTCTCCTCCCGCTCACGGCTGATACGGGAGATCAAGGCGGGGGCGATTTGCTGGTAGAGGGTGGCATCGTCCAAAGCACGGCTGCGGCCATAGGTTGAGATGAGCGTGTAGAGTAGCTTTGCGGCACAACGTCGAACCTTCCAGCTCATATCATCAATGTCACTGTATCCGTCCTCCTCTTCGAAGTCCCCAAATTCATCATCATCCAGGTCGGCAGTAGCATCGTCTTCGCTGCCATCATCTTGAGTTCCGCCCATTTCTTCATCATCCTCCATTTCGGCGACATTGGGATCGTATTTCAGGAATCGGAGGGCAGCTTGGCTGGCGTTGGTGATGTATGGCTGCATCTGCTGGTTACACGAGCTAATCAGGGCCTCCAAGGTCACGAGCGCCGTCTCACGAAGCTCGTCCGCTTGAGGGTCATGATCTTCCGTATCGGAATAATCCGACATGATGATCGATTCCAGGGAGTGGAGGAGTAAGCGAAAAGGTGAAGCTAGTGGATCGGGGGTGGGGTGAGGTTGGTCGATCCAGCAAGCACGAGCTTGGCGAGGTCGAAAGGAAGCTGGAGCTGCCCCGCGGGAGATCCCCAAATTCGGAAAAACAAGTTGGACCGGCCCGAGCGCGCAGAGCCGCGTATGTATTTTTTTCACTGCAGGAAGTCGAACAGGTCAAGAGAAGGTTGAGGGTTCTTTTTGGAGGCCAGCAGAGCTTGCAGACCACCTTGCTTTCGGGTCTTGGCTCTTTTCTTGCTGTTTGCGTTGCCTTCTGTTTTGGAGGGAGCTGATTCAGTGCTGGTAGAGGGACGAGCCTGCAGGGCCGAAGATTCTGGGGGAGCAGGAACCGGTGAAGAAGTTGATGTAGAGACCCGTGATGAAACCTTAGACCGTGGCTTAGAGGTCATTCGCTTGCGTGGATTAATGGTGCGTTGATTGCAGCGCAGACACTTATAGACCGTCGCACCACCAGCAGGTGCGGTATCCAGCTTAGATATCGATCGAGACTTGGCTCTAGGCTTAACCTGAGTAACTTGGGAACATTTTGACTGTCTAGTACTACCACATCCCCCACAGTGATGTTTCCGCTGGTGGGTATTGAGCGGTCTTAACTCATCGTGCAAGACCTTCGTATGTACCGAGAACAGATGCGCTGCTGTCGAAGGGCTCTCCGATGCTAGCAGGCTGGCTGCCTGACTGAGGAAGCACAATTGGGGGGCCTCGAGCGGTGCCATTGCCTTTAGAGAAACTCAAATGCAACCACTTTCAATTGTAGAAGCAGGTCAATAGGGATTGGAGAAAGGGAAGGTGGCCGGAAAGTGCAAAAAGTCGAGGGGTTCGCCCGTTGAAGGCGGAAAGATGGGAGATCCTGGTAGATTGATTGATGCCGCCCGCCTCAGGCTCCCAGGCCACCCAAGAATCATCCACGGCCATCCCCAATTTTTCCCAGAACGGAAATATCCGTGATTGCCTTCAAGGCAGCGCTTCCTGAGGCAGCTTCTTCTCGCTTCTGTCGCTTCCCCTACTAGTGCCTTCTCTCCCTCTTTCTCCAGATATTTAAACTTCCTCCCTCCTGCTCCTTCCTCTCTGTTTTCCCTCCCCACCTTTCCTTACCATCGCCAACCTCATCTGTCCTGTCGTGGACCCTGCAGCATACATCTGTCCCCTGCCTCTTCCGCATTTCTCCCCCCTCTCAATCATCAGTTACAACTCATACCTTCCTCACATAACCTCTGGCTCAGTACAGCACCATGCTGTCCGAGGTGGACGGTGTCCGCGTTGCCGTCGTGGGCTGTGTAAGTTCTCCCTCACATCACTCTACCCTGCTAGATCAGCAATGAGTCTGATACTGATGATGAATTTAGGCACACGGCGGCTTTGAGGAGATCTACTCTCTCCTGAAGGCGGAGGCCGAAGCAAAGGGCTGGGAGACCATTGATCTGGTGATCATCGGTGGTGACTTCCAGGTTAGTTTCATTTTTATGTTCTGACTTCTGATACAAAGTGGACTTGATCTGACATCTATTCAGGCTCTTCGAAATGCCAACGATGCTGCTTGCATCTCGGTTCCGGCAAAGTGGAAGTCCATGGGGGACTTTCACAACTTCTACAGTGGTCAGAGCGTCGCCCCGTACCTGACAATCTTTTGCGGTGGCAACCATGAGGCGAGCAATTACATGTTCGAGCTCTACTACGGCGGATGGGCGGCCCCCAACATCTACTATCTTGGTGCAGCCAATGTTGTTCGCTTTGGTCCACTGCGAATTTCGGCCATGTCTGGCATCTGGAAGGGCTATGACTTCCGAAAGCCTCATTTTGAACGTCTTCCATACAACTCTGATGACCTCCATAGCGTGTATCATGTTCGAGAGCTGGATATTCGCAAGCTCATGCAGATCCGCAACCCAGTGGATATCGGACTCTCGCATGACTGGCCTCGTGGAATCGAATACTCTGGCGACCATCGGGAACTTTTCCGCAAGAAGCGTGGGTTTAAGGAAGACTCCGAACATGGCCACCTCGGGAACGTGGCAGCTCGCGATGTCTTGGATCGTCTTCGCCCGGCCTACTGGTTCTCAGCTCACCTGCACGTCAAGTTCGCCGCTGCCCTCGCTCATGACGGGGCTACCCTTGCCAAAATCGCCTTCCCTGCCGATCAACCTGCTGTCTGGGCAGTTGAGGCCCGTACGCCCATTCCCTCTCCAAAGGCCCCAGCCCCTGCTCCGGCTACCACTCCTGCTAGCCAGCCAGCTCCGAAAGAATACAACATTCCAATGGTCAGCAATGTGGTGCGCCAAGCTTCCGGTACTGCTGAGAGTAACCTGAACGCCTGGAACAACTTCGCTTCAGGCGGAGCACTTGCATTCGAGCGCCAAGAGCGCGAGGCGATGTTGCAACGCATGGCGAATAAGAGCAAGTCCGAATCTAAGCAAGAGGACTCAGTCAAGGCCAAGGGCGACCAGCCTGCTCCCGGTATCAACCAGGATGAGATCGACTTGGATTCCGGTAACGAGTCAAGCGGAACTGGTTCCGGAAATCCGTCTCCTGTCAAGGCCCCTAAGCTTAGCATTCCCTCTTCCGATGGAGTCTGGGATAGCGAGGTGACCGCCGAGGAGCCTCTGGTGGATCGCGCACTCACCGAGGGTATACGTGATAAGCTGCCCGCTAGCTTTGCCCGTCCCCAGAGTTCTGGCCAGTCCGTTCGGAACAAGACCGTCCCCACCGCCATTACAAACAAGCTCACCCGCTTCCTCGCGCTTGATAAGCCTCACAACAGGGATCCCTTCATGCACCTGATGAAAATCACACCCATTCAGTCGACTGCCGCTGATGTTTTCTCCGCCCCCTTCTGCCTGGAGTACGACAAGGAATGGTTGGCCATCACCCGTGTGTTCGCTGATGAGCTTACCCTTGGTGATGCCACGGCCAAGGTTCCCGCCGATAAAGGCGAGGAATATTACAAGGCTCGCATCCTTGAAGAAGAAGCATGGGTTGAGGAAAATCTCGTCAAGACCTGGAACATGCTGATTCCGCATAATTTCCAACCCAGTGCACCCAACTTCGACCCTGAAGTTTCCCTTACTACAACTGACCAGCCACCGGAGTACACAAACTCCCAGACTACCGAATTCTGCAAACTTATCGGGATTCCGAATAAGTTTGACCTTCCCGAGAGCGAGCGGACGGCTCGAATGGATGCCGGCCCTCGTCCCTCACGTGCCGGCAATGGTGGTCACGGACGTGGCGGTCGAGGTGGTCCACGCCGTGGTCGTGGGGGTCGTGGTGGTGCTGGACGGGGCGTCGGACGTGGTGCCGGACGTGGACATTGGTAGAGACACCCTACACAATAGTCCTCCGATGATTCTCATACCGGTTGGGCTGACAAGATGGAGTTCGGTGGCCTACATTCGGCGTTTTCGGCTCATTCCTTTCGTCCTTTCTTTCGCGATCATCAGCACGGCGTTGCGTTGGTCGTTACAGATTCCCATGGTTTTTTCATGTCTGATTCTTGCGTGGATATTTGCTCGTGATGTTCCTTCATGTCCCTTTGCGGCCGGATCTGCCATGGACTCCTTATCCTTTCGAGGATTTTGTGAAGACCGTTGCGGGACTGGCTGAATAGGTTCATGGATGGGATGCACTGTGGAGCAAATGTTTCTAGTTTTGTTTGATCCGGTCTTAGCGCCGGGAAAAAATGACAGAATTTTGAAATCCCCATCTTTGAATACCGAGAACTGTAGTCTATACAAGATTGACCAAGGCCATCGTGAAACTAGAGTGGGAGAACTGGACAGAAAATGAATAGAATACTCGAATGCCTTAACAGTACATGCAAAGTGCCTACTCAATCTCCTCAATGCGCGGTCTCCCAGAATCCCTCCCAGCCAACGGATCGACACTCAACCCAGCAATGCGATCCCCAAGCTCCAGTCTCGGTTCCCCACCACCCTGAGCACCAATCCCCCACATCAACGACTTCTCCATCCAAGCCTCCAAACTCTCAATCAGCACACGCAAATGTCCCCGCACAATCCCATCGGTCTCGACACTCTCGACAAACCCGAGCGTGTGCAGCATACTCGGTATATTACCCACTGTCGATGGACCGCGTGCAAGACTACCCCGTGGACCAGGGAGAATCCCGTCATCCGCGAGAGAGAATCCAAATCCGATATCCTGCCCATTCCGGGCTTCCCGCGCCGCATCGAGAGCTTTCAGAATATCCAGAATGAGGACCACGCTGGCGCGCCGCAGGATCGCGCTTTCGGGGGCCGGTTCTAAGGTGAGCGTGGTGAGGGCAAGGTCCACTGATGAAGAGATGATTACAGGTCCGAGGCCGATGATGTTGGTTTGTACGGCGGAGGCGAGGATGGACAGTGCCGAGGCGCGTACGCGGAGGTCTTCGGGTTGTTCGTCTGAGGACGCGCCCACACCCCATGCGGCGACGATAGCTGCGGCGTGAGCGTTTTGCTCGGGAGTTTCGGTTTCAGAATCGGAGTCGATGAGTTCTGCGAGATTAGGCATGCCCAACTCTTTCTGTTTCCGCTCCTCGCGCGCTTGTCGTCTTCGTTCCTTTTCTTCTTGCTGTTGGCGTGCCGTTTGGGTCTGTGGTTTGTGGCCGCGGCGTCCAGCGACGGCGATGATGCCTTCGCCGAGGATTTTGGCGGTTTCTCCGGTTAATGCCTCGCCTAGGTCTTGTGCTGTTCGAAGGAGTGATTCGCCGATTTTTAGACGCTGGTCTAGAGTTCGCTGTTCGCTCTTGTCGGTGTAGTTGTCTACTAGGGTCTTGACGACGGTGCGAGGGTGACGTGAGGCAAGCGTGCCGATGAGTTTGATGGCATTGAGATAGATGAATTCGTCATTTGCAGTTGCCTCGGAGACGTCGGTGATGATGGAGAGTAGGAGAGTTAGGGTTGAAGGGATATCCAGCACGGGGGATGATTTCATGATTAATTTTGATAGTAGTGAGAATCCCTCGGCCTGGACGGGGGGCAGCTCCGAGCTAAGGTTTGCGAGTGCTTGACGATGCGTCTCGAGGTCTGTGATGTGCGGAGGAATGGGCTTTGTATCGTCGTGCTCGGGAGATGTAAGTTGAATCTCCAAGAGCATCGATGATGTGGTAGCCGGTTTTGACAGTGCACTCGGGAGGAGTGGAATGAGTTTGTCTAGGTGTTCTTTGATCGACTCGAGAAGGAATTTCGTCTCTTGTGATAAAGAGAACTCGGGAGATGCAAGAACCGTCGACAATAAGCTGAAAGCAGTAGACAATGACTCGGAGGTGTCTTGATCAGATCCGTCCTCTTGATCATGGGTTTCCTCAGGCACAATGCTGGCAAGTGACGACAACGAGACCTTACCGACCTTTTGAGACCGCCTTTGTGTCTCTTTGCCGCTCAATGCATGTAGCTCTCCATCAATGACTTGCTTTATCAGTTCAAGTACCCGTAGAGGACGTCGTGACAAAGTATCCTTGAAGTTGTCGAGCAGCTTCTCGGCGACCTTTGCGCAGATGAGCTTTTGCATGATGTTTTCAGAATCGCCAATCCTTTCAGTTTTAATCGATGCACCGGTGCTCGTAGCATCATGAGACTGCACAAGCCAGGACTGGCTAACATGCAGAAAGATATCACCAGTCCTCTCCTCGGTACTCGGGTCCGAGCCAAGGAGGCTGACAAAAAGATCCACTCTGCTTTGGAGCGTATCCATTAGTCGAATGATATCAGACAGGTCGTTCTCAGAATCTGTTCGCTTTTTCAACGCAACCCGCCCGTTCGATGATTTAGTATACGTCCAAGTCGATCCCCCATCCCAGAGAAGATTATCAACCAGTTTTTTCAGGGGTTGAACCCCGACAGATATGCTGAAGTATGTCTGCAGGAGAGCCATCACCTTTTCGTGGGTACTTGTCAATTGCTCTTGTTGAGAATAACAAGCCAGGCCCCAAAGTGGGAGTAGAATAGGATATATGATCCTCTTGACAAGTCCAGGATTTGGATGCTGCAGCGCGAGGTTTTTCAGCCTTTCCAGTGCGAGATCCACAAGGTCTCCTTCAACAACTAGTTCCGACAAAGATCGTTTTCCAGGTTTAGAAGAAACTGGCCCTTCATTTTCAGTAGGCTGTGACAACCAGCGCATCGAAGAATGATCAAGTTCGGCAGTCAGCGCCGCAAAGACTGGCTCAACAAATATGGAGTGGCCGATGGTATTAGGGGCGCCGTACGCACGCTTTCCTAGGATTCCATTCCCAATGACATAGGAAGCAGTTCTCTTCAAGTCGGGGTCATCACCATCCAGTAGCTCTAAGAGTTGTGGACCAATAGCATGGAAGTATGTTGTTGGCTCAACGTCCTGTGGAACTGACGAAAGTAATCTTGAGATTTGCATCATGCCCTGCACCGTGAAATGAGGACCGATGGATGGCTCGCTTTTGGCTTCATGTCCGAGGGTCGGGGCAACTTGCGACGCGATAAACATGATCGTGTGTAAAACACCACCCAGCCGAAGTGGTATATGAGCGATTTGCTTCGATATGGTGGACTTGAACCATGGTGCTGTCTCTACCTGAAGGAATGCAGACAGAGTGGGTAGGAGGACTGAGCTTGGAGTGCTATTACTCGTCAGTCCTGTCCAGTGTTGTGTAGCGCTCAAACATACTCATCAATGATTTTGCGAAAAGCCTTTTGGTAATAGGTCTTCGCCTCCGAAGCGACAGTATTGGGGTTGAAGGCAAGATCGGCAGCACCACTGATAATATCACTCAGAATGCGACCTCGAATAATTGGCTGAATGCTCTCTCTGTCATCCAGGGTGATGCTAAGAAGCACTTTCATAATCCGATTAAGCAGAGCTTCATCATGGGGCACGCTGCTTGCAGGTACCGAAGTCTGCTTTGCAATAACTCCGGCTGGTAGCACCGAAATCACTCGTCGTTGTAACGGAATGCCAACGCCGGATGAGAGGGACGGATATATTCCCTCTAAAGAGATTAGGTCCAGCAATGCATGGATCATCTGGCGGCGCTTCGCATCTTCGAGACCTGGATTCTCAACCTTGACATGAGGTTGCTGTGGCAGCTCTTCGGAGTTCACTGGCGTGATAAATGCACTATGGATTGCACTCAGGATATCTAGTGCCTTGCTGACGACGGCTGTTCTACCATCCGCATCTCTGGCTAGCGAAAGTTCCAGAGGCCGGCTCAATATCTCCACAAGAGATTGCCCTTGTGATCTTTGGATCTCATCTTCATCGCAGTTAGCTTTGTATCGGCATTATGGGGAACTGTGCGATTTGCATGCCTCTATCGAGAACTGGTTTTAAGAACCCGCTGGCGGCGTTGAACGCATCCCAGATCTGCTTTGGATCGCTCATTATCTGAACGATAGCTTCTTACAACTCATATTCCAATTTTCTTCGTGTATGCAAGAAGCAGCTTTCGTTTGCCTGCGAGAGGCGAAGAAGGTCTGGTCTTGGCGGCGGGCATCAAATTGATTGCATAATCACTTAAAGATTGCTGACGTAACACGCGTAGGTCCCGTGACCACCCGTCGCGGAGCGCGATTGCCATGCATACCATATCCTAGCCCAGCGTGTTACTCCTCTCCCTCATGACAATCTTGCCATATTCAACTCCCTTCAACTCTTTGTCAGATACAGCCGGGATGGTTATGGCTAATCAACCTATCATTTGAGTCGATCCTGTTATCAACGATGTCTTTCGTCCGCCCGAGGCTTTGTTTACACGCGTCCCAAGTTCTTATATCGCGTCTCTCATTGGTGCGGAGCCACCAAGTCTCTCGCCTTCCGAGGCACCCTTGCACAGCAATCCCCTCCTGGTATCAGCTGCTTTGGCGGTTGAAGCCTAACCCTAATGTCCTCCCAGTCGGTTGTCACTTCATCAGTTTCACGGGGAATACATGACGAGCACTACGACTAGCCGATTCGGTCTATGATGGACTGATAACGCGAAAGTTGTTCGATTTTCCAGAGCCTTCACCGGCACAAAAGACGGTTTACTATGCATGTGCCTACAATGGGTACCGCGTCGGTTTTCCTATGCTGGATCCTTCATGTTGGTCCCAATCGGATGGTTGGTCTATGCTTTAAACGACAGGACTTCTCAGCAGGAAAAAAGTGGGTGGAGCACGTCGGGCACCTCAGCATGGAGGTTGCCTTTGGGGGCATCAACAACAGTGTGGCAGATCGAAATCAAGTGTGACGTTTCGGTTTCGAAATCCTGGGGCATCTCTTGGTCTGGTCCAGAGTCTCGGCGCCTAGAACACAACAGATACCATCACACACAGCCATGTTGTCAGCTTTTCAGACGAATTCACTCGTCAGAACCAACTTTATTTACTTGGTTCTGCCCAGACGGTTTTCAAGTTTAAAGCTGCCGCGAGGTTCTTCTTTATTGTCTGACTCCGTGGTTCCTTGATAGCTCCTCTCAAGGTCTCTGGACTGTTGTCTTGTTCCGGATGGCAATGTTTCTCCGCCTGCCAGGATGGTGTTTTTCGATCCCGTTCGCCCACATTTATTTTTGACTCTGTTCGCATCAAGCTGTCTGCCATCCCGCGCGTACTCCTACAACGAAAATATCCGGGTATTTTGCTCCTACTTTTCGCCTCTGAGTCCTGCCGTCCCGCTTTTAGCGAGCTAGACGCCTTGGATTACGGCACCCGCTAATTAGTCCTACTTCTTCGGAAGATCCTGACCGCCCCTGTCAACCATCTCTTCACAATGCAGTTTGTGAATCGATCGATGGGCGCCGACTACCCTAACGATGACCTTCTCGTCAACGTTCCTTCCTTAGGGGAGACGGAAGCGATTTTTTCTGGATGTTCTTTGTCCGCTTCATTCCATGCCCTCCTGTCATGTCTCGCACTGGCTAGGGGAGGAAACAAAAACTTGTCCCAGAGGGTACTGTGCTACGCACGAGGGACTGGTTTCGCATTGATGATGAGTCGCTATGAGATACTGGCGAGTCTGAGCAGATCCGAGAAGATTAAGACGCTTCAAGGTTGATTCGATAGGTTGCATTTCCATAACCCAATCTGGGCTTCTTCTTTCATTGTGCGGGGACGTTGCATCCGGCAGACTTTGTCCACTGGGTTTCGTCATGACTCTACTCGTTCCTCAACACCCGTCTCATCAATCTCATGAGTTGCTCGAATCGTCGAATGAACTCGGATTTTCTAGCTGGCATTCACGGTATTCATATCCCTCGATTGCTTCGCATTATGATTCCATCGCCGCCAGGTTGGCTTGTGAGGCTCTGTCGGTCCGAGCATGCGGCACTTTGTAGGGCGCCGATGTGGGACCTCTCTCGAGTGAGGATCAAAGCTCTGGCTTGTCCACGTCGCGTTCTGCCGTCGTGTGATTTCGACGAAGCCTTGCATGTCAAGCTAGGTTGGAATGGACTCTGAAGCAACGAGAGAGAATCACCTTGTCTTCCGGCTTCCAAAGAATTTCTGATGTGGCTCGGGTATCTGGCTTCTCTGAGTTTGTGGGATTGGAGCAGAATGTGTGGGCATGATAATACCCTGTGGACGGCCGCTTTCTCTGCTTCGGCGGGGGAAGTGGCCCCAGTTTTTTTTTATAAGTGCCCCCTTCCTAACCGTTCTTCTGTCTGGGTATAGCTAACTATCAGTTTAGATCACTGAGACGGTTCAATCGAGATGTTAGCAGCATCAAGCTACATAATATAATCATTGGGATTTATGTCTTTCTGGGCGTTTTGAAGATCTACCACCCTATCCTTGTGCATGGGAAATCGCCAGCAGACAATCGATCGATCAAGGAGTCAAACAGTCAGTCATGAATGATGTGATCAAAAATCGGAAGTTCATAACATACGCATCAATAATCCTATCTCAAAGATCCACCTCAATCCAATATAGAGGAACTATTTGAAGTAGATTGCGGAGTTGATTGGCCCTCTTGTGCAAGTGCATTATTAGTCAGCAGCATAAACCCCTCCATGGCACAAGCCCCGCCACGCAGAACGAAAAGGAAGGTTCGGGCGGGCACTGGAGATTTTTTTGACGATAAGAAAATCAGTTGCTCTCCGCCCAATTTTTGGCTCTCGTCCCACTTCATATTACTCTTCATTCCGCAATATTCGAGTGAACCTCTATTTTCTTAATAATTAACAAGATGTCAACCGACGAAGACAACAATGCGCAAGAGTCGCAATTCCAGAATATCGGAGATCTCGTCGAGCGCAATGACGAGACAGGTGTGATGAGCGTGGAGTCGCTCTGCATGAACTGCCATGAGAATGTAGGTCATATGCTCGTTCTGATAAGCTTCATACTGACTCATACTTCCTTAGGGAACCACTCGAATCCTTCTCCTGCGCGTGCCTTTCTTCAAGGATATCGTGGTTGACTCGTTCTACTGCGAGCACTGCCACTTTGCGAACAATACCGTCAAGCCCGCCGGTCCTATCTCGCCCCTTGGTTTGAAATACACCCTGGATGTGAACAATGACAACGACCTTCAGCGTTCAGTCATCCGGTCCGACGCTGCCACCTTCAAGCTTGACACATTGGGAATTGAAATGCCCAAGGGCGGAGAAATCAGCAACGTGGAGGGAATGATTCAGCGCATGCACGAGTCTCTCTCTAGCGAGCAGCCGCTCCGCAAGGAGCAGGCCCCTGAGCTTCACGATGCTCTTGAGCCTCTCATTCAGAAGCTGCAGGATATCTTGGACCGCAAATCGTTCCCCTTCACCATCTCCCTCGACGACCCCACAGGAAACTCCTGGATCGCGCCCAACCCTAGCGACAAGGCCAACTACCGCCGCGTGGAGTATCCTCGTACTCACGAGCAGAACGAGGAACTTGGTATTACCGCCGAGCCTACCGAGGAGGCCGCTACCAATGCACTTGATATGGGCAACCCCGAGGATTCTGAGATCGTCGATGGCCAGGTTTACACTCTGCCCGCAGAGTGTCCTAGCTGTACCCGACCTGTTGCGCTCCACATCAAGAAGGTCTCGATTCCCTACTTCAAGGATGTTCTTATCATGGCCAGCTCTTGCGCCCCTGAGGATGGTGGCTGCTCCTACAAGCAGAATGAGGTCAAGGTCGGCGGAGAGATTCCCGAGAAGGGTAGCCGTATCACTCTGAGGGTCGAGAACACCACTGACCTCAACCGTGACGTGTTGAAGTCGGGTACCTGCGCTCTGCACAGCGACGAGCTCGAGATTTATCTCGGCGCATCTTCCATCTCCAGCCGCTTCACCACCGTCGAGGGTCTTCTTACCGATATGCGCAAGCAATTGCACGGAAACCTCTACGACCTGGGCTCCGGTGGCGGTGACAGCATGGACTCTTCTGACAAGGAGAAGTGGAATCGATTCTTCGAGCGTCTCGACCAGGCTATCAATGGCGAGCTGAAGTTCACCATCACCCTGGAAGATCCCCTGGCCAACAGCTACGTTCAGGATCTGTGCTCGCCCGCTAAGGATCCCCAACTCGATGTCGTTGAATACGAGCGTACCGATGAGGAGAACGAGGAGCTTGGTTTGAATGATATGAAGACCGAGGGCTACGAGCAGGATGCGAAGGCCGAGGAAGAGCAGAAGGCATAAACGCATTTTTACCGGGTACATATGTTCTCTCTTATCATTGTGGTAACGACTTTCGATATCCTATTTTTACGATGCATGGCGTCTTGTGGTTGGTCAGTTTCTTTTTGTCGATAGATATCCGTTGATGTGTTGATACAAAAAGCTTTCTATTTGTTTATGAATTCGGTCTTGTATTTGTAGTTGCCTTTCGTCATCAAGACGAGAATAGCTAATTCCAACTCATTAAGTCAACCTCATTTATGTTTTCGTGACATGTAGACTGCCAGCTTGAGTAAGCTAAAGGACAACATTCCCAGATGTCACTCTTCACGTCGAAGGTGACGAATAAGTCGTTTACTTCGGCATATGCCATGATATTTGCCGACAGGGAATCATGGCTTTTGCCATTATGGGGCCTCGAGGAGGTCCGAACCCGTTCGGGTATTGGTTATGGACGTTAGGGCCAAGTCATCGAGTTCGTAAGGGAGATATGAAGATATGTTTGTGTCGGGATCTTCAAAGTCACGTAGCGAATGGGTTTGCATGAATCGTAACACTCTTGATCTGAAGAGCCTCAAAGTCATCACCTTCCTTGGGTTGAGACACCTTGCCTTTCTTATCGACCTTGGCATTTGCCTTCTCCAACTTGGAAAGCACATCTCCACCCTCATCTTGCGCACCCAAATTCAGCACTTTTCCGAAGACAGTACTCGCCCCATCAAGATGCGGCGCTGGCGCAAACGTAATAAAGAATTGGCTACCGTTAATCGTGGCACCAGTGGCGTTTTGCGACCCCGGAGCCGTTATATCCTTCACCGGGCGGGAGGCCATGGATAAGATACCGCGCGAATTGTGTTTTAGCGCGGGCAGGTGAATTTCTTGGTTCATCGCCGAGGGGTGATATATGGATGTGCCGCCTTTGGGGATTTCGTGTGAGAGCACGGGTTTGGATGTGGTTGACTGTTGAGCGGCTGGGCCGAGGGAGATGTCACCGCCTTGTATCATGAAGCCTGGAATGAGGCGGTGGAAAGGTGTGTCGTTATATGCGCCACATGCGCAGAGGGCAAGGAAGTTCTCGGCGGTTTTTGGGACTGCTTCGCAGAATAGCTCGACCTTGAGGTCACCTTGAGTGGTGTGGAGCTGTGAGAGCGGAGTTATTAGTACACTGGGAGATTTCGATTCCTGCAGCAAGTCATCTTCTCTGGATATTTTCACTTACAGTGACAGACATCTTGGACCAGCGCGTCTCTGTGGTCGGAGATCAATGGGCCAAAGATCGAGAAAGTGAAGTTGACTGATGCGGGCAGAGCTCGATATCGCGCTTAGTCATGGCATGCGTTCCGCGGAGCCCTGGTATGGCTGCTGGGAATTGTTTACGACCCTTTTGCAAGGACATCTCCAAAGAAGGGTCGACTATGCTCTAATCAGCCCCTCGAACATCACTAAGTGCTGAGGTAGCACCTGTGTCTAGTCACTCATTCTAAACTTTCGTCTTAATCCACGCCAAACACCTTCCTCTCAATCGAGGCTCGCCGACTTCTCTGCGCGCACATAACCAACAATGAATAACCGGCCAGTCGAGCAGGCCTTGGGCACTCTAGTCCCGACCCATGCTGGCGATCTACCTCAGGAGCTTCTTAGCTTAGCTTTGAGTCTTGTTGCGCAGTCCCGTGCCTTTTCCGCCAGCTTGAAGCCCGAGGAAGAGATCGCGCGACCTTACGCTTGCGCGGAGATTGCTTGCAAAAGGTATGTCTGAGGACCTGTTCTTGTTTGGAGCTTGACTATGAAATGATCAGTATACTGATTCTCTGGTGAGCACAGGTTGAGTCGAGCTCTCAAACTTCCTCCTCTACTCGGCCGCCCACCCTGTCCGCCGCGGGTTTACAAGAAGCTTTACACATACCTCGACAATTCTCTTACCGCTAGCTCAGCAAGAATCAAGCGCTCTGCAAGTGGTTCGATTCCTGGAACACCGTCTAGGGGGGCTCTACACAGACGACTCCCACCAAGACAGGAAATACCCCTTCCAGGGCCGCACCTACACCTCAGGGCCTTCAGAACACGCCGTCCAAGTCCACGCCGTTGAAGCGAAGCGTTAGTGTTGCGAATAAGCTCGGCTCGCCGTCAAAATCAGCGCGCAAAGCGGCTCCAGAACGACCCAATGGCCTTCCCAATTCAACAATCATTCCAGATGCTCCGGCGTGGGTGATGACCGCGATCCGAACAGTCTGCAAGACCCTTTCGACACCTGCGCCGCGTACAACTAGCTTGTCCCGACCTCCAATTTCAAGGACATTGCCCCCTCACATTTTCGCGGGTGTATCTTCCATCCTCTATCTCACAGCAAGCATGTCCAATGACGAGGAGGGAATGGACGAAGAGACCCTCGATTTCCTGGAACCAATCGTATCCATCCAAGGCAACGAAGACGATTTTAAGGAACTTGTCTACGCGATGGTCGTCGCTGTCTACTTCATCGTCCTAGCACGCCGACGAAGCCCTGCGCCCTCGACTGACGGCGAGGTGACGAATACAGAGGGACAGAAGATGGACAAGAAGACATTTACCGAGATGCGTCAGACCGCATTGACGAGCCTCAGTCTTCCTAACACTAGGCGGCATCGCGATGATGTCGATCAATGGATTGCTTTGATTATGGAACAAGGCTGGGCGAATGGCAAGGAGTGGTTTGATAACATCCCGCTTGCCGGTGAATTGTACGGCGAGGACGAGGAGGGAAACTCATACCGCTATCTGGATGAGGAGGATGCCGCGTTCAGAGGTGTAAAATTGCCCAAACGCAACGATGGCTCCGCTGGGGTTCGCACTGGGCAGTCGAACAAACCTACTCATGGCGGGCTGTTGCCCGGTCTAGGCACTATGATGCAAGATCGGGTGGACTATTTGAGTGAGGACCGTCGGGAAGATTATGTGGAGTGGAAGGCAGATATTCTGGCTCGCATTGGAGTGACTCCAAGGGCCGGGCGTGCTGCTGCGTGAGTTTTATTATCAAGGCAGAGTACTTGGAGGAAATCGGCGCTAGACTGAATATGATACCCTTTGCATTGATTAATTTCAAGATATTCATGATGTTTGGCATGTGCGTAGAGAAGAGTCCCTCGATTAGAGTTCTGATATCTATCTATAAACATCCTCCAGACTCATTCAACCTATATAGTCTATACGCTGTATCTAGACAAAATGGAAAAAATCCCCACCGAAAAAAAAGACAAGCGCAGGACTAGCTGACAACGCGCCAAGCTTCCAGAGCCATAACCACTCAACGCAAAACGCCATAAACCGCGAGGCCTGATACGCCTCAATACCAAATGCTCCGCGTCCGATGGTGCGGGATGCTCTCGTTCTTCTCCTGCTCCAGACTCTTCATCGTGTCGTACAAAAAGAAGTCGATCAGAATCGCGTTGATGCCATATGTCTTGTGTGGTTGTTCGATATTTTTGACGCCCTCGCAAGCGTCTTGGTCGTCGTTCTCGACGGTTTTGGAAATGCCCTTTTTGCCGGCGGATTTGACTTCTGGGTGTCGTTTCTCGATTTCCCGCTTGATGAGCTCCACGCACCAGATGCTGGTGCCGCGGAGTTCGATCTCCCAGTTTGAGCCCGGGCTGATGGGCTTCCGCCTGCGGATGTGGGACTCTAGAGATGGTGAGTAGCGCATGCAGCCAAGTTGGTGGAGCATCTGAGGGATGCGGTAGTCTAGTCATATCGTGTTAGATCGAAGCTTATGTGTATCTGGGGTCATTCAGATACGTACCGGCAAACATAGTGATTTTATCGATATCGTGGAACTCGCCAAAGTCTTCGCCGTTGAAGCAGGCCCAAAGGTCTGCGACGAGAATTTGGGCGCGCTTGTACAAACGGATTCTCTTTCCATTGAAAACAGTTTCGTCACGGAAGCAGTCAAAATTCTCAGTGACAAGGTTGACAAGGCCCGCGGCAGAGTAGTCGGCGCTGTCGATGCAGTTTGCAAAGCTTCCTCCGAACTCCTAGAGATGATGAGTCAGTATACAGATACTCAATGGACGACATGTTTGTGCTTACATTGCAGAGTACATCGCCAGCCTCACGCAAGCACTGTGTTCGCTCTTTGAACAGAGGAATTTCTTCATCTGTGGCGGAGCGGAAGACGTGCCGAAGCACCTCGTCTGTACATTCTTCCTCGTTCACCCAGAAGTCTGGAGTGGTAATCGGGATACCTTCGGCATCAGTGTTAGCTTTGTTCTTTTTTCTGTGTGGAAAGACTAAGCATGCCTTCATCAAGAGCCCTCTGCAGAGCAGCGACCAGACTCCAGTACCCGGTCCACCGCTTCCCCCTATACTCGATAGCGAACCTCTTCGACTCATCCGTCTCCTCGGACCAAAAGCTAAAGTTGAGCAGATCCATCGTAAAGATAAAATCAACCGTACTCTCATCCTTAGTCTTCGGGTGAAGCTCATGCTCGGACCAAGTCTGCGTGGAATAGGCCTTCTTCTGCATCAACCGCCATATCGTCTCGGCAGCCTCCTTGGTCTGGGCCGGGTTGAGAGCCACGTCAATGGCATTGTCGAAGACATATTGAGCATTCTCTAGCACCTTGGTCTCGGGCGGGAGATTCTTGTTTTGTTTGCCGCCCAATCCGAGATGCTGGCGCAGCAGCTCGAGGAGCTCTGGGTCCGCTTCGTCGTCGGAACCTGTGTCCACGGGCTCGTTTCTCCTTGGAGTGATTGGCTCCAATAAAGGCATGGTCGGTGATAGTAAATGGTTTGAGCACACTGGCGATAATCAAAGGGCAATTGACTGGTTGGTGTGGATTGTATCTCCTATATCGCTTGCTCCGGCGAGTCACTCTTTGGATTTGCGACAGGGGACTAGATGCAGGACCCAGGGGATCGGTCAAGAGACAGGGTGCGGTCTATGCTGGTCAAAAATGCCGTGGTGGTCGAAGCAGTAGTCCAAGAGCCCCCCAGTCTGTGTAGAAGCCGTCCCTTGAAATGTCACAATCTCCAGCTGGGAGAAACTACTTTGTCGCCACGAAATTTCCTCGAAGCCCGGAGACTGAGGCTTATTACCTAAGCATTGTGTCGCCAGCCATCCGTCGCGACGAAAAACAAGCACTACAAATCCAAAGTTGTTGGGGGATATAACCCAGTTGAAGTCCCTTCCAGTAACCCTTCCCCCTAATAGCCTAGTGGTATTACCACTGGACGTCTCATCGGGGTTCGATGTCCATCAAGCGTTGGTAAATCCCCGGGGAAATGGGGTCCTCTAAGGTGGAGGGTTACTTTTTTATGCTGGCCGGACATAGAGGCCACCCCCAACAGCCCACGTTTTGTGCTTTCTACAAATTTTTTTTATATCAATATACTCCTTACTTAAACATAGTAGAATAGATTCAGTATGTTTACGAATAAAACTTTCGTTCAACATGAAGCGATTTTGGTCGGAGGTATGTATACTGGTTTGGGAGGGGGAGCATTTGAGGGAAGTACTTCAGCATCATCAAGTGTCGCGCGTCGTTTGTATGGTGACGCGAAGGTTGAGGGTTCGATTCATGGAGGTGGAGGGGTTTTTAATTCCAGAATTTTGATATTTTGATATAAGAGCCGACTTGCTCGCCCAGTACCTGTGCTAATTTGGGGATTGCCGGGAAACTACCTGATTATCTTGTCCGTGGTGTTAGGTTGCTCAATGGGTATATGCTGGATGACCCACTGTCCTCAAGATATGTCACCATATACTTTCCCACATGCTATGGCCAATTGACTCCCTTTGGAAGAGCAACGCATTCTCGATGTGTATGTTAAAATATCTTAAGTCTTCCATTCCAGGAATAATAGGGTCTCTACTGAGTGTGGGGGCTGGTAGTAGATAATATCGAATACACGCAGGCCTGGTCCTGTACGAATCCGTCGACAAAGCCCCGTGCACTATGATTAGCTATCACAGGCAATCACTTATGCAAACAAAGAGGCAAGTTCCATGTCTTTTGACAAACACTCAGCTAGGCTTCACAACTCTGGCAAAATTCACATAATAGAAGAGAGTCGGCACATTCCATTTGAGCTAGTCGTGGTCGATCATTTAACCAGTTGCGGCTCCCAGAAGCTCTGCCGTCATCGCGATCGCACCTCACCTCGGCCTCTGCTTCCGCATCTCACGCGCGGCTATCTCCCTCTCTTCCTTTCTTCCCCTCCCCACCACCAACCCTCTGCCATTTCCTGGTGTCTGGCTCCAATTGACATGATACTCAAGACCCTCTGATACCCCGCTGGCCCTCTTTGCGATTGCTCTTTCCATCGAACCTCCCGGCCGCCATCATGCGAGCATCCACGATCAAGCGCTCCCTTGGGGTCGACCTGACCACCAAGATAAAGGAGGTATGGCCCTTGTGATGATGGAAAATGAGAAGGATCCATTGGATATGAAGTTTTGGATCGGATACTGACGTTCCATTTCTCTCTGTTCTCAGTCGCGCGTCCTCCTGGTTGGCGCTGGCGGCATCGGCTGCGAGCTACTCAAAAACCTCGTCCTCACCGGCTTTGGCGAAGTCCACATCATTGATCTCGACACTATTGATCTGAGTAACTTGAATCGACAGTTCCTCTTCCGACATGAACATATCAAAAAGCCCAAAGCCCTGGTGCGTCCTGTCTTGCCTCTGCGCAATCTATCGTTCCCTCCTCCCTCTCTCTGTTGCGCTCGCCGATTCTGCGCCCGAACGCCACCGCATACAATCGACTGATATTCTGACACTGGAACTATGCCTTATAGGTTGCGAAGGAAGTTGCGCATAATTTCCAACCCGGCGCAAAGTTGGTGGCCTATCATGCGAACATCATGGACCGCCAATTTAACGTTGGTTGGTTCCAGAAGTTTCACATCGTGTTCAATGCACTCGACAACCTGGCGGCTCGGCGTCATGTCAACCGGATGTGTCTTGCAGCTGGCGTGCCCTTGATCGAGAGTGGAACAACTGGCTTCAATGGGCAGGTCCAGGTCATTACGAAGGTTCGCTGCATCCACACCCTAACGCTGGAAGGTGAAACTCGTACTAATGACTACAGGGGGAAACCGAATGCTACGACTGCAACCCCAAAGCTACACCAACAACCTTCCCCATCTGCACCATTCGTACCACGCCATCACAACCCATCCACTGCATCGTGTGGGCAAAGAGCTATCTGTTGCCGTAAGGTATTCTTAACAGCCCCTCTTGAACCCCTTTGCTGAACTTTATCTAGGCAGCTTTTTGGCGAAAGCGAAGATGAGGCGGCCGAGCTTGATATGACAGAGAACGCAGAGAATGGTAAGCCCAAATTGCAAGACAAGACTCATCTGCCAGAGCAACAAGGCTAATGCTGAACAGCTGATGAGATCGCGAACCTAAAGAAAGAGGCCGCCACTCTGAAAGAGATCCGGGAATCCATGGGCTCTGATGAATTTTCCAGGAATGTGTTTAAGAAGGTATTCGAAAGTGATATCCAGCGATTGCGTGATTTGGAAGACATGTGGACAGAACGTGAAGCGCCAAAAGTACTCGTCTACGATGAACTTGACCAAAGTTCTGCCTCTACCAAGCTTCCGAATTCGAGTGGCGATCGCCGCGAGTGGAGCATGGAGGAGAATTTTGTCGTTTTCAAGGACAGGTAAAGCTTTTACGTGCCTCGTATCCTACAAAATGATGCTAACTCAAGGCAGCTTGGATCGCCTAAGCAAGCGGTTGAAGGATCTTCAGGCAAAAAAATTAACAGATGATTCTGAACCGAGTTTGTCCTTTGATAAAGATGATGAAGACACCCTCGATTTTGTCACTGCCACTGCAAATCTACGAGCGGATACCTTCCACATCGGTATCACATCAAAGTTCGACACCAAGCGTAAGTCAAATTCCATCAAAGGTGGTCGATACAAGCCAAACTGACCATTGACAGAAATGGCTGGTAATATCATCCCTGCCATTGCCACTACCAATGCCATGACCGCTAGTCTTTGTGTCTTGCAATCCTTCAAGGTGCTTCAAGATGACATATCACGTGCCAAAATGGTAAGAGATCCCGTCTTCCCGCAATTCCTGTACTGGAAACTGAACTCGGCTGTGCATCGAAGGTTTTCCTCGAGAGGTCTGGTGCACGTGCAATTAATTCGGAGGGACTCAGACCCCCTCAAGCCTACTGTGATGTATGCTCGGTCGTTCGAGGAGGACTATCGGTCGACCCATCTGCAACACTAGAAGATCTTGTTGTAGGCGTTCTCCAGGAGCAGCTTGGCTATACAAATGAGATGTCTGTGAGGACCGATGAGGGTATTGTTTATGACCCGGAGATGGAGGACAATCTCCCAAAGAAGCTGTCAGAACTGGGAATCAAAAACGACTCGTTCTTGACTGTTGTTGACGACGATGACCTCGAGAAAGATCCTCGCGTCAATGTGGAATTCTGGGTCGTGGAAAGGTACGTAGGCCCTTTACACGCAATTGGTGACCCCCGAGCTCGATCCTGACAGTGAATTATAGAACCAAGCCATCCGAAAATTCGAAGCCTGTCACGCTAAAAACCGTCGATATACCACGCAGACCAAAGAAGTCCGTTGTGCCCGAAGCTGACGTCGTAAATGTGACAAATGGCACAGCCGGCAATGGTAAACGCAAGCGCGAAGGCGAGGATGAGCCCTTGACGAATGGTCATATCGCCAAGAAGGTTGCTGGCGAGTCAGCACAGAATGGCGATGAAGATGTTATCGTCATCAAGGACGACGAAGGTGCCATCCTGATTGATGACTAAAATTACATCTCGCCGGCGCATACTGGTGGTGAGATGTGTACGTTGCATTTTTTGAAAGAGTAGAGGATCGGCTGGCATGGGCATGGAAACTGGGCTTTATTTCACTTTATGTATCATACCTATGGCATTCTCTAAATGACTCTTCAACCAGAACAGAGTTTTAAGATTACAAGCTATTGACCTTGTAGGTCGTCTGATTAAGATTGCATCATCTTAAGACCGGCTGTAACGGCCATCTTTGCTAGTAGAAAACTATGGTACACTTTACGTTCCTATGTATTTACAAGCGCTGAGAACACAAAAGACAGCTAAACCGCACTCAATCCTCCATCAAGATTCAGTACACAATTATTGGCATATTCATTCTGAGCCAAGAAAACCGCCGCATCGGCGATTTCCCTCGGATCACCAAATCGATGAAGGGGTATCAAGGCCTTCAACCTTTCAACCTCTCCCGGAGAGAAATCTTCAGTCATCGGTGTCTCAATGTAGCCAGGTAAAATAGCATTTGATCGGACTACCAGATCCCTCATTGAGGTAGATGATTCAACAGCCAAGGAGCGTGTCAAACCCAAGAGCCCAGCCTTGGACGCAGAGTACGGGACCGCCCCCGCGCCAGCCTTGAGGGCGAGAAGTGAAGAGACGTTGATGATACATTTTGAAGGCGGTTTTTGCCCAGTATCTGTGCTTTTGCGGTCTCGGACTCGGCTCCTGATAGCTGCGCGTAGGAATGCGCGAGAGGTGAGTATCGCGCCTTCGAGATTGGTACGGAGGACCTGAGAGATGTCGTCCAATTCAAGTTTTGGTAGGATATTTGAGATGGATATTCCAGCTGCGTTGACTAGAATATCGACATCAGCCTGTCAAATTGTTAGAATTGGATATCACGCAGGCGAAACATATATTGACTTGAACTTACCATTTCCTTCTCAAGCTCGCGCATCCATGTTCCAGCTTCGCCTACATCCCCGACGACTAGGCGGACTTGATCTGATGATGTTTCCGTGCCGTTGCTAACCGAAATCTTTTCAGCGGCTTTTTGTAGTCTTTCTTGCGATCTGCCAACGAGAATGATTCTTGAAGCGCCTTCTTGCAGGAACCGTTCTGCGATGGCAAAGCCAATACCTGAGGTTCCACCGGTTATCATGCAGGTCCGCCCGGATAGCCGGTTTGCAGGCTGGAATTTTGCTACTGGATTGGTGGTATCTGATGCCATAGAAGACGAGAACAAGACATTTCCTCGTGCTGTAGCAAAGGTAGGTGATATCCTTCTGATGTCATATGTTGGCCGGGAATGAATGAGGAATGATGCTGGCGCCCGTATACGGGACCATGAAGTACAAGGAGTGGCCATGAATAGAAGTTATTCCATCGGAAAGCACAGGACGGCTATTACTCTTCAACAACATCCAAAGGGGGACCAGTCAAGAACAAAAGCGAGTGTACTTTCAGGGAACATTGCGCAAAGCCGAGCTAGAAGCCTTGGTTATCGCCTTATCGCCTTATCGCCTACGCACGGGCCATCTCCTCCAATTTGGCTTCGGCTTCGTCTTCATACGCCGCTTCTTTCAAAGACGCGATACTGGTCCATTCTACATCGTCATGGCTGACTCCACCCAATCAGAGTTTGTGACACTTGTGTCATGCGATGGCTTTGAGTTCATCATTCCACGCAGTGCTGCCTGCATATCAGGGACCATCCGGCGCATGCTGGACCCTGCAAGTACGTTGTCCTACGATAGCGTATTGAGGAAGCTCCCAAAGATTCCGGGCTGATCTTGGCGTTGCAATATAGGTAAATTCTCAGAGTCTCTAAGTGGTCGCTGTGTACTGGAGAACCTAAGGTACGTATCTCGTGGAATCGATACTGTAGAAGCCCTCGCAAGAGTAATGAATTGTCGGCTAACATCCTCTTTTTCTCTCCAGTGGGGTCGTCCTCGAGAAAGTCTGCGAATACTTCATGTACAATGAGAAGCACAAGGACCAGGCTAATGTGCCCGATATGGAGATCCCGGCAGAGCTATGTCTGGAGCTCTTGATGGCTGCTGACTACTTGGACACTTGATTCTGGGTCGTCGATACAGGCGTATGAACCCCCCCCCCTTTTTCTCTCAATTGGGAAGTGCTTCTAACTACTGCATTCTCTAGTTTCAACACTAGCATTCTCACATGATTTACGGCGCAACGAGACGGAACATTTTCCATACAATGATTCCACACGGAGTTTTGGGCCTGCCCACAGCGACAGGGCTCTGGCGTTTTCTTATCGGCATGTATTCAAGCAAAAGAAAATAGGAAATACGTTTGCTTTTGCTATGGTCAAGAGCTTCTTTGAGTAAAGATTGAACTGTGAAGTTGCCTTTTGAGCCATCCAAGCATCATACATTCGACCTGATGAACACCGTGGACGAATGAGTCTAAAATGGATGGCAGATAAAATTCATTACTCCCCGATGTTTTTCAATTGCTTTGATCCCCCATGAAGAGCGATAATACACTACAAGGGAGAAATTTGAGCGAAAGTGACTACATTGTACCTGTGTTGGCTCCAGTAGGATGTCTTTGTCTTTGTTGCCAATCCGGCTCTTTGCCTAACTAAATATGCTATAGATATTCAAGAGCTACGTAAGAATGTAAATCCAGAATCTAGCTATAAGAACCCTGTCTTTCCTCCTTGAACAGTCGTATAAAGAACTTCCAACATTATCGCAAATCCGCAACCTTACCTTAGTGGATGGACCTCGGCTGGAGCTGACTCAGCCGGACAGCGTGCGTGCCCGCCCCCAGTTGATCCATCCAACACTTCCCCTCGATGGGATACAGTGCCTACAGACTGCGCTTACTGTGGTCTCCAGGGCTCTTTTACATATCTCTCTCGTCAAACTGAGTTTACTGGCAGTTTTTCCGTCCATCGAAAGCGATTCTTCTTGCGTTGGGGGGCTATCCCCATTGCATCTTCCCCGGATCTCGGATCGGCTCAGAGATAACGATCGCGAACAATAGCGACAAACGCTCGCCACCATGTCTGGCGTTCTCGGCCCAGCCTCCATGCCGAGCACATCTGCTGCTTCATTCGCTAACAACATCAATAATACCATTTCCGCCACTTCCGTCACCTCGTTACTCCCTTCGCCTCGCGATCTATTCACTCTTCCCTTTCGCGCCCTCAACCAAGCAGAGACCTTTGCCTTTAGCACGGTTCCCCGACATATCGCGCGACTAACGGGACTAAATGATATCAGCTTGAGTTTCTGGGGTGGAGAGGCCTCTGCGATCGGAGATACTGGTTTAAGAGGCGACGCTATGGCGGCGGCTGCTGCGAATACGGCGGGCGAAGGGGTTGCCCAGGCTGTTGGGTACGGTGATAACTGGTACGTTGCGGAGTTGATGCAGACAATGCGAAAAGTCGGTGGATTCTTCGGATACTTGACCAGTATATGGTCCTTTGCATGCCTAGTGGAGGTGAGTACTGGCCTGATCTGTTCTGTTCTCCGGGCTTGGCTGACAATCCCAAGGCCTTGATTCTAAACCGAATTACTATCTACGCATCCACTCGGAGACACCTCCGCTTAGGCTGGGAGAGACGACTTGCCCTGCGCATTATCCCTATCGTTCTTTTCGTCACCCAAATCATGTCCTTGTTGCGGGGCATTCGATGCCAATCCTCTCCGATCTTCCCTGAAATGCGGTACGGCAAGCCAGGCAAACCGTTGATTTTTGATTATGCTAGTGGCGGAGGTGTTCTCTATTCGTTGACATCGCGCCTAATGGCTTGGGAGTCCGATGCGCAGGCCTGTAGTGCTGTGAAGATGGGACGTGCCTTTGGCAGTTCGGACGTTCCTTACGGGTCATTCTCTCTGCTATGGCCAGTCTTTCTGCTGCTCTGCCTCAGCCATTTTATTGAAACCCTTTCGTGTGCCCTACAGGGTCGGCCCGTGATGACCGAGACAGGAATGTCGATATTCGAGCATTCTCTTGCCTTTGCCGAAGCTGAGTCCATGATCGGTAAATCAATTGGGCTTGGGCTCTTCGGTCTTGCCAAGCAAAGTCCGTTGGCCGAAGGATCATCAGCAGAAGGTTCAGGTTCTGCTCTTCGGCTTCTCACGAGAGCGCAGGTCCTGGAGCGAATGAACGTCACGCCGGAGCTTCTGCTCATTGTCTTGATCTCGTGCTGCAACAGTATCTCTTCGCACATTCTAGACATCTTTGGCAAGCAGAGCCGCTATCGCCTGTTCAATACTGCCTTTTGGGGTCTCTGCTTCATGATTGCCATGTGCTGGGGCTTGGAAAGTGGCCCACCTGTGAGCACAGAGACAGGAGTTCTCAAATTTCCGACCGTCTGCATTGTCGGTTTCATTCCCCATCTCCTCGTCCTCTTCGGGATTCTCACCTGCCTTGCAATCTACGGCTTGGCGTTGACCATTACCGCTTTCTCTTTATCTATCGAAGATGGCCAACCGGTCTCACTTCGGGAACGGTTCGTGCTTGCTCACGAGAATATGCAGGGCTCCAATCAGATACGAAGCATTCGGGTGAATAGACATGAAGACTTTTATACAACGTTGCTTCGGGTTGGCTACGTCGCTTTGACGGCTGCCAGCGAAGCGGTATTCTTGAATGAAGGCAAAGCAGTCATTGCCAGACAGATGACCTGGCTTGAAAGAGACCGATTGGCCGAGGTTGAAGCCTCCCGAGAGCGGAACTCATCCTACCGTAACTCACCCAATCAGTTCGACGGTCCGCCTTTTGAAGCCGTGGGCTTCGGCAGTTTCGAGTTGCCTGAACAAAGCGCAGTGTGGGAGAGTGGTTACAGTCGCGAAAAGAAATTAGAGAAACCCAAGAATGGATCTCGACAAGTGCGACCTCAAGCTGAACTGGGCGGCGTGGGTGCAGTGCGGGCATCCGTTCGATTATATCATTGCATCTCTTTCTTCCATGCCATCGGCTTGCTCATTCTGCGATGGATAGCGTACGGATTCAGCCGTATTCTTGATCGGCTTGGAATAAATGCTCGACCACTATGGTTAAAGCGCCTGTCAGGGACGCACAAAGATAAGGCAGCTCCCAAGAAGTCTACTCCGTCGGGCCCAGTCGACTTTTGGGTCCTTACAGACGATGGAGAGCTGGAGCTCCCCGAGGACCATGAGTTCGATGTCGAGTTGGAAATGCAGAAGCAAGAGCGATCATACCCAGAAAATTGGGATGCTGCCGATGAGCGTCGACTAGATGAAAAGCTCTATGCTTGGTGGAAAGCAGGAGGATCCTGGGGTAACCAGGATCATACACCCGATTATAGCCCGCCAGTGAATGACGATGATACAACCAGTGTCATATCAATGTCCACATTTGCATCAGAGTCGGAGTGGGAAGATGACCCCTCTGATGGACGTCGCACACCAACTCAGTCGAACCCATACCCCCAATTTTCTCGCGAAACTACTCCTGCCCAGGACCCCTTAATCGATATGAGCACCTTTGCCCGCCTCCTTGACCCTCGCGACCGTGAGAGTAGGGAAGAAGCCCGCATACTCGCCGCACACCTCAGTCCTAGCCAAAACCCCGACCGGATTATGACTCGCAGTCAATATAAGCAACAGGTTGAACAGGATAGATCCCGTGTTCTCTTATCCTCCCGCCTGCATCGTCATGCAGCCACGACACAACCCGGCAGCGAGAGCCGGAAACCCTCGGCTGATGAGGAGACCGAGATGCTTGAGCGGTTGATTCTCTCACGCCGCTCAGAGATGTCTTCTAGCTCGGATCCTAATACATGGGAATCTGGTGCAACAGGCCTGGGTCCAAATGGACCTCCTTGTGTTGTATGCCAGACAAACCCACGGTCTATCATCACCTGGCCTTGCCGTTGTCTATGCATTTGCGAGGACTGTCGTGTTAGCCTCGCCATGAATAATTTCGGCAGCTGCGTGACCTGCAGGCAGGAAGTTGGCGGCTTCATGCGACTATGGGTTCCTTGATAATCGTGTGCATCGCGCTTCGATCTTCGCTCATTCTCGCATAGCTTTTCTTTGCTGCTTATCTCATCCGCTACATTGGTTCTACAAGGTCTTCGCGTTGACAGCGTGTATAATATTGCATCTACGCTTTTGATTTGGTTATGGGTTCACTCTCGGTGTCTACTGGCTCCACATCTGTGGCTATCAAGACTTGCATGTCCTTCTTTCTTGTATAGCTTTGATATTTCATCATATGTAGAATTATGGTTTAATCAAGATTGAATATCGAAACCATTTGTTCAAATTATGAATGTTTCAGCCCAAGCCCTCTCGCAAATGGATAGAATACCCTACATCTTCAAGTTTGAAACCCTGGATAAATTCTTCGCCAGTAGTAACGGTAGATAAATCTAATGTAGAGTAGTGTTTCTTAATGATATCTTGAGTAAAGCGAGGTTCCAGAGAGAAAAAGTGCCCCACCTGGTTAAGTATATCTCGGTGCAGAAACGCGCTACTGTAGTACCCGTCTAATGGTGGGTGGCATGACATCAGTGGCCATGCGGACAACAGGAAATTCCCGGTTGTATTGCAACAAATCTCCTCGGTGCTACAATCTATTTAATGTTAGTTGTACGGCGCTCTCTGCTTGACACTAGAGATTCAACACTCTTCCCGGTTGTCTTCATTCCAGCATCTACCACAACCTCGCATTTTTGACCCCGCATCAGCTTATCTCCACGCCTCTTCGCGCAGATCGCCGACAAGATGTCTGCGTTAAAAGGCTCGTCGAAACTCAAACACTTGCCTCGAGCAGCATCTGGCCCCTTAAAATGTCCATTCGAAGGTCCATCTCTTCTCGCATCGTCTCAATTCAACAAAGGATCGGCTTTCCGGAAAGAGGAGCGAGCGGCTTTCAAGCTACATGGACTACTCCCGCCGAACATTCAGACGTTGGATGAACAGGTTCGCCGTGCTTATCAACAGTACACCAGTCGCGATAATGACCTGGCCAAGAACACTTTCATGGCTAGTATGAAGGCACAAAATGAAGTCCTGTACTACAAGGTCAGTCGGAGGGAAAGTAAAATCTGGAGGAAGTTTTAGCTGATTGAGGAAAATAGCTCTTGCAAACGCACCTCAAGGAGATGTTCAGCGTAATCTACACCCCAACCGAGGGAGACGCTATCCAGAACTACTCTCGGCTCTTCCGAAGGCCCGAGGGTTGCTTTTTGAATATTCGCGATCAAGACTCAATTGAGGAATGTCTGTCCGCCTTTGGCAATGCTGAGGATGTTGATTATATTGTTGTGAGCGACGGGGAAGAGGTACTGTCTTTCCACTAAAATTCCACACGAGAAGAGAACTAAGCGCCTCGATAGATTCTAGGGATTGGAGATCAGGGCGTGGGTGCCATTCTCATCTCTGTCGCCAAACTAGTCATCACCACCCTGTGCGCTGGAATCCATCCTTCACGCCAGCTGCCTGTCGTTCTCGATTGTGGAACAAATGTGAGCGCCCTACAGTGGCCAATGGCCTGAATCAAGACAACGACCCGATGTCTACCCGGACACATTCACCTTCCTCTCTCCCCGAAGATCCCTTGAAACATCTCCCAAGATATCTCAGGCAATATCTCCCCACCCATCTTTGTAATTATGACTGATGAGACGATATTAAAGATTTGTTGGAGTTTCAATCTTACGGAACCCCATTGCATACCCTACCTGCTCCCTAAGTTCGGACCTTATTGTTCGGATGACTAACGATCTCATAGAATGAGGACTTACTTCAAGACGATCTTTACCTGGGTTTACGAGAGCATCGTGTGCGAGGCAAAGAATATGACGATTTCGTGGACAAATTTGTTCAGATTGCTCGCAAGCGCTTTCCCAATGCCTACATTCATTTGTGAGAATGCTCCCTTAATATTTTCCTCCTCGCCAGCTTCGACTAATAAACTTAGTGAGGACTTTGGACTTCAGAATGCTAGAAGAATACTGGACAAGTATCAGTCAAAAATACCCTGCTTCAACGATGATATTCAAGGCACTGGGTGCGTCACTTTAGCTGCCATGTTGGCGGGTCTACACGTCAGTGATGTGAAGATTGACGACGTCCGTGTGGTGGTTTTCGGCTCAGGAACTGCTGGCACCGGTATTGCGGATCAAATTGCGGATACCATTGTAACCCAGACGCACAAATCTAAGGAGGAAGCATCCAAGCAGATATGGTACGTTGCCTTCCTCAAGTGGCATCTTGGACAATTAGCCCATCACTATGAGGGAGGATCAAATTTTAGATCCTTCCTTTCTAGCTCGTGGTGCCAATATTTTTGGACACTGCAAAATGGACTATGGCCCAATTTAAGACGCTGTCGACGAGCTTCGAACGATTTCTAAAATAATATTCTTTCCTAGGTGTATCGACAAGCCAGGTCTTCTTCTCAAGTCCCACGGCGAAAAACTGACTCCTGCCCAGGTCCCCTTTGCAAGGGACGACAACGAATGGCCAACAGATAAACAACACGACTTGCTTTCCGTCATTCACCAAGTCAAGCCCCACGTCTTAATTGGAACATCTACCAAGCCTAAGGCCTTCACCGAGGAGGTCATTCAAGAAATGGCGAAACATGTCGAACGTCCAATTGTATTCCCACTGAGTAACCCGACACGTCTCCATGAAGCTCAGCCAAAGGATCTTTATGAATGGACCAATGGCAAAGCTCTTGTTGCAACTGGAAGCCCATTTCACCCTGTAGAATATGGGGGAAAGAAATACGATATTGGTAAGTGTGATCTAGCTCAGGATCCTCAGCGCTGAAATTGAACTAACAGCGCTCTACAGCTGAATGCAACAACTCAACCTGCTTCCCAGGTATCGGACTAGGCGCGGTGCTATCACGTAGTCGTCTGGTATCCAAAAAGATGCTTGTTGCAGCCGTTGAAGCATTGAAAGCGAAGTCGCCGGCACTAGAGGGCCCCGAGCGTCCACTTTTGCCCGACGTGGAAGACGTTCGAGAGATCAGCGTGGATATTGCAGCGGGCGTCATCCAGTGTGCTGTGAAGGAGGGCCTTGCTCAAGAAAAAGATATTCCTACGGATGACGATGAATTGAGGGAGTGGATTCGGGCGCAGATGTGGGAAGCTGTGTATCGGCCTCTGAAAAAGGAGTAAAGACCGTGGGGATGTTCTGAAGGTTCCGTTTAGTAATGGAGTGAGCACAATTTGGTCGCTCTTCTTAGAACTTTGGGAGGTGGTATCGACCGCGTAACCTGATCTTTCAGTATTTGGAAGACTATTATGTAGTTTGTATAGTTATCATGAATTTCTGGAAGCATTCCTTGCGGAAGCCTAGTAGACTAGGGGTGGAAACCTCCTACCATCCTACTTCAGCTGTCATCCCGATCTGTTAACAAGCATCACACAGTGACCCGAAAATAAAGAATTTGAATCAACTTCCAAGCATTCAACCGCCTCCCAAAAAAGTGACTGGTCGGATTCGTGCTGAGTAATATGCGCATGCTGCCCCGAGAGCCTGGCAAGTTTACCTTGGAAGGACACTGATGCTAGACAATAACAAGGGCATCTTGGGAGTAACCTTGAGGCTAACCACCATCTTCTCAAAAATGCGACAATTTTCAAGATGTTTCAATCGATCAACGAAGTCATTATCCAGGAGGACGTCTTCTTTGGGTAGTTCTGATCTGTTCGAGTACACTTTTGGACGCTTTTTGTGAGTCGTGGCGGGTAGCTGAACGCGTCATTTGTGATAAACTGATTTGCTACATTAAAACAGATTTAACGAAGAGCTGCACCGCGCCGAACGGCGCATCCAATTCGACGTGGGTGCTCTTGCAAGGGCCACCTGCCATTCTGTCGGCCGCTGCATCAATAGCGTGGCCTCGATCACAAAACTCGCCTAGGGGGACTTTAACCGTGTCTTGAAAATCACCTTCAATGATGGATCTGCAGTTCTCGCAAGGCTGCCTTACAAGACGACTGTCCCTAAATATCATACAGTGGCAAGTGAAGCTGCCACGCTCGTACTTCTGCGAGCTTATGGGGTCCCGGTTCCTAAAGTCCTTGCGTATTCTCTAGATCAGACAAACCCCGTTGGAAATGAATACGTTATATTTGAAAGACTTGAAGGGACGCCCCTAAGCGACCAGCGGTTCTCTATGGATACCAAAACCCGAGTCAATATAATGAGACAGATTGCTGATGTGGAGAGGCGATTTATGAGTATCCACTTCCTAGTGAACGGAAGTCTTTATTACCGACGTGATCTTGATAGCTCACAACGCGTTATTCTAGTGTTGAATGATATTGTCGTTAGCCTAGCTGCATAATATATCGTAGTTCTTCTAGACCGTATCAAGAAGTTCCAACTTCCTTCAACAACAAGAATTGCCAAATTTTGGCCGAGGAAGGTTAGAAACATATGCTGTGACTTCGTCTATATCCCTCGTACAATCAACAAGTCGGCCTTCAAGCACCTTGCCCTTCCCAGAGCACAGGTAAACACAAGTCCATGCGGCAAGCTCTGCCTTAAAGTCTGGGTGGGACTTGGCGAGGTTTGCCATCATCTCGATCACAGAAGGTGCTTCCTCTTTGGTCTTTTCCGGGAAAGCTGTATCATGGAGAGAAGTCTTGACCTCTCCTGGATGGATCGAAAATACTGAAATTCCGTTTGAAGGGAAGCCAAGCGTGTCCCGTTGCAATGCATTAAGCTCCGCTTGCAGAACGCCAGCAAATCGCGTAATCGCTGTCTTGGCGCAACTATACGCCGCTGCCCAAGGCAAATCGGCTGCTGCCGCGCGGGACGATGTGAAGATAATGATACCAGAATTGCGGTTTTGCATCGAAGGAAGGATAATTCGCGTCAATTCGGTAGGCGATTTCACCATGACTTCCATCTGGCGCCACCATTCGTCTGAGTCTGTCATGTGGAATGGCATAAAGGTGTTTGTGCCAGCATTGCAAATAAGAATGTCGATTTCACCGAGTTTCTCAACTACCTGAACAAAATGCGCGTGAGTCAAGGCCGTACGAGCTCAGGTATGGGATTATAAATCGTGCGTGTTTTACCTCTTCGACAAGACGAACTAGATCTTCGCGGACGCAGACGTCCGCTACCACGCCAATGCACTTTCGTCCAAGCTTTGCCACGTCGCGCGTGGTATCTTGAACTTCCTTCTGTGTTCTCCCAGAAACAGCAACAGCCGCACCAGAGCTTGCCAGAGCCAGCGCGATTTCACGTCCGATGCCCCTCCCTGATCCGGTAACCAATGCGACTTTCCCTTCCAAGGAGCCCACAAACAGGCCTGGGTCGATCGCCAGGTATACACCGGTGCGGAGAGTAAACTCTGGCTTGACGTTGTCCGTCATGGTAAGATAGGTGGTCGGAATGGTATAATTAAAATATTCATCCGAGCCTAGGTGGAGATTACCTGAGAGTCGACTATCTTATACTCTCAACCAGTATGGAGGGGTATGGAGGAGCCGAGCTAATTCTCCAGCACAGCGGAATAGCCGAAGTGGACCGCATCGGTTCTACCAGATTGTGAATAACCATTAAATCATTCAATTCCCGCTGATTTTCCAGGAATTGTTGTCAGACAGCGGACGGTCATTTACGCGCAAACCTAGATTTCTACCAAATCGACCATGGCATTCGAGATCTACATCCCCTTATCCCTCACCTTCCAAGACTATATTGGAGTTTCCCAATGCGCTCGAACGCTAGCTGATGGCTACGATCGAAAGGTAAGCATTACCAATACTCTGTACTCTTGACAACCGTCACTCATTCAAAATTATCACTAGGACAAATCCCGCGTGAGAGCCTCTCTAGCTCCTACCATAATTGTCGATTATAGCAAAGTTGTTCCACAGTGGGGTCGCAAAATCTTTGCCGCGGATGTATTTGTCGAGGAGTGGCTGGGACCGGCGCACCTCGGAGTTAAGGCATTAGCAACGCAGCATCTACTCGGAGCACCCTATTTCAAATCCGTCACGGCCGAGAAGATCGTGGTCGAGTGGCAGCAACTAGCGAGCCATGGACGCCGAATCGAGGGAGAGGACTTTGCTCATCCGATGTGCAGGATTGGGGAGAGCTCAGATGGAAGGAGCTGGATGCAACAGACCTTTGTGAGAGTAGATGGGCAGTGGCGCATTTGTGAGATTCGACCCGAGGTTCTGTATCATACTGGTGATTTCTTGAACGTCGGACGACCGGATGGGGTGTGAAATGCCCGAGTTGGGCTTGTTATTTGTTAGGGAAAGACCATTTCGATTCTACTTGGTAGCTATTGGGTTAGATCATAACATCTGATTTTCGGGTTGGCAGGAATTTCCGCAAGTCTTTGTATCATTCAATGTTCTCATTCAACCATTTGAATCCTGATTTATAATCCCCCAATCATCGGAGCTCCATGAATTCGGCTTTTCCGAGTTCGACTCTTTCGGTGTAGGAACGGATGCTCCTTTCCCCATACCCACACCCCCGCACCTCGGGGATTAGACCCGAGGCAATTAGCAATTCTGATTTGTTAAAGCGATCTCCACCGGAGGGGTCAAGCTTGTGGGACTTGCCGATCGGATCTTCCAGGGATGCTTGCTTGTTCGGAGAAGAGCACGGGACCAAAAAGGTCAGCTCCAGCTTCCCCCGCATTTCTACTTCCATAACATATGATAGAAGACCTCCACGGCTTTTCCGAGTATGCATTACGGTGGCGGCTCACCAGACCCCGTGCTCCAGTAGCTCTTTCGTTTGCTTTGAGCGCCACTTTGAATCCTTCGAATCATGGCCGGCGGGAAATCCGCAATGTGATCTCCATAAATAAGCGACAGGGATGTTGATTCCAAGCCCGTTGCCGACGCTCTTCTATAGAACACTTGTCGACTCGCATAATGGACATCTCGCAAGAAGCCAAAGACGGTGAAACTGGGGTGTCTCAATTAGAGTATGGCATGACTGAAAAGGATGCACCTCCAGTGCAGCATGAGGATGAACCCCAAACTCCTTACCAGCTTGGTTGGCGGACCATACTGGCAGTCCTCACTTTGTCCATGGCCAATGTTTGTGCGGCATTGTCCAATACGGTACGTCGATTTGAATTCGTCTCCTTGCATTCAATATGAACTAATCCACGGGCTTTCAAAACGTTAGACAAACACAACGATCAAATTTCAGGTAGCCACGGTCGCACGTTCGCCCTCAGATGCTGCTCTCGCTTCGTGGATTGCGAATGGTAATTTCCTGCTCAGTCTTGCTCTGGGTCCGATATTTGTATGACATCAATTGTTTTGGTCTCAATTTCCTCGGCAGCTAACGAACGCAGGGCTCTGTCAGTGATCGCCTGGGCAAGAAATGGTTCCTCGTGGGGGGTGCTTCGCTCGGCATCGTTGGATCTATGGTCTCGGGATCGGCGCACAAGGTCACCGATATTATCGGAGGTAATATCTTGACGGGTATCGCCAATGCTGGCTGTGTAAGTAGAGATATTTAAGTGAACAGAGAACAACTCCAGTCCATGTGATGCTAAACATACAACAGATCGTTTCCATATCCTGCATCCAAGAAATCTTACCGAACAAGCTTCGTCCATGGGCAATGGGTGTCTCTCAAGCCATGGCGAGCGCCTTTGTGATCCTCGGAACATTCATAGCGGCTGCATTTGTGCAACACAATATAGGGGGTGCTGGAGGATGGCGCTGGGCTTACTACTTCAACGGAATCATCTATGGTTTCACTGCAGTCGCAATAGGGCTCACCTATTTCCCGCCGCGTCCTGTTCTTGGTCGACACCGCGCGCTCAAGGACATCATGACCAAGGTAGACTTCATCGGTATTTTCTTAATGGCAGGATCGTTTACCTCGCTGATTATCGGTCTCACCTGGGGCGGTACCACATACCCATGGAACTCGGGACGGATCATTGCTACGTTAACTATGGGATGCGTCGGCCTTCTTTTGTTCGGGTTGTATGAAGCATTCGTCGTGAGAGAGGGTATTCTCGACCGTCGCCTGTTTTCCGAGTCGATGAATTTCCCTATCTTGCTGTTCGTGTGTACAATTGATGGGATCCTGCTCCTCGGTGTGAATGTGGCTCTGTCACAGGAGATCTTTGATTTGTTCACTGAAGATGCAGTCAGCATTGCGGTGATGCTGACTCCATACCTGGCCCTGTCAACCTTTGGTTGTATCCCGGCAGGGTGGATCATGGCGTCTACCAAGTCTTATAAGACCCTACTGGTTGCTGCTTTGCTCTGGTGTTCACTGTTTACAGGTATGCTCTCCTTTGTTAGTCGGTATTCGGTATACATATCTAACGAAAGCCTCATCTAAACAGGATTGATGGGCCTCGTCAATGCCGAGAGGAAGAGCTGGGCATACGCCTTCTCTGCATTATTCGGGGCTGGTACGGCCGTCACGACAACCATTCCAGGTAGGATTTTGACTTTCATCTCGCCCTATATGACCATTCTAATTAGTTATTGTTTACAGTGACCGCTCTTGCACTCTCCATTCCCTCCTACTTAATCGGCACAGCCGCCACCGTTTCAATGTCCTGCCGAGCCCTCGGAGGCATTGTGGGCATTACCATCTTCACGGCTATCTACAACAACAAGTATGCCTCGTTTGTCGGACCCGAGATCGCGAATAACTCCGAAGCCCCAGTTCAAAAGGTGGACAGTGCTAGGGCTTGGAAATACATGTGGATTACTCTTGCTTGCTTGATTGCCGCGAATGGCGTTGCCGCTTGCTTCTTGAAGAGTGTGAAGCGTATGATGAATGAGCATGTCGAGTCTGCCTTGGAGCATAACAATGTTAGGGAGAAGCAACTTGAATAGGGGCTGAATGGGGACATCTCGGCAGAATAGGTAATGGAGAGGTGCGCTGAACGTGATACTTAGACGTTTGGTTATTCCCTTGAGTAATAGTTAATTCGTACCTTGAATGTATACATACCACCGAGTTCACTTGACGTTTTGCCTCTGGTGATCTGGGGATTGGGAACAAAAGAAAAAGGCTTGATGTCATAGGAACTATATTAGGAACTATATCAGGCAGCTTCATTTGAGGCCCAATTGCCAACTTTAAAAATATTGTAGGACTACTCCAGAGTCGGAGTAGTATTGAGTGATTCCTACCTTCCCCCGCCCAGTCTCACTGAAGAGATACCAAGAACTTCCATTCGTGATATGGATCCGAGTTATAAATCAAGATTTTGGGCGTCCGATTCTAAACAAAGCCGCTGTGGCGCAATCGGTAGCGCGCTTGACGTATGTGTCGATTGGCACCCATACCTGGCCATATAGCTAATTTCCTCTCAGTTCTACTATACAGTTGATATCATGAGGCTCGGGGTTCGAGCCCCCGCAGTGGCTCTACCTTTTTTGCTCTTATAATTATGTTCCGGTAGAACAGACCATGGACACTTTTTGTGGAGACAGGTTCGAATCCCGTGAAGTTCACCATAGTCATGTAACAAAAGACACGCTTATGCATGAAATGAAGTGACCGAATTAGTGCAAAGAGATCTACCTATTAAGGAGAACATATGGCCACAAGTCACATCTGGTTCTATAGAGATGCGCTGACCAGGTTCCTATGTAGCGATTTTCCTAGCGACTAATTAGGCTCGTTGGACCACCTGCCAGGACATTGTACACTGTTACGTCTCTAAACTCTATCAGACACTGAGAAAACGCTCTCTATCTGAAACACCACTGTTATCATCACTAGTATGCTTAACCCTCCGATAGAAGATGAATAACTATGTCTTTCAGGTGATGAATCAGCTGTGGGTGATGCGTCTGATCTCACAATATTAGACTGTCTCACTGAGATCTCAGCACGTCAGAGCGACCAATTTAAGCTAGATCGAACGTATCAATTGCCTTATGCGGCTAGAGCTTGGGGCAGCCGCTTGTGGGACCGTGCACCAATCAGACGATACTCGAAACTTGCCTTAAATGGAATGAACCCAGATAGTGAATACAGAGATTGAGTCACAATTTCTGATCGTAAAATTCATTGTAATGACTGCATGATGAGCTTTGTGGGTTAAAAAAACCCTCGTACACGACATGATGTACTGTTTCTAATTCGGTCGGGTAGTCAGGCTGATTAATGACGCAAAGGATGTTGCGTCCCGTATGTGTGGCTATGTCCTAGGGGAAGTCGAAACGCTTTCTTGATACGGAACGCAAAGAAAATCTTCGATTTAATGTGGTGAAGCTGAGATGAAATCATTTATATAGTAACAAGTGCCAGTAAAGGCTTTTCGAGCATCCTGAGAAGACAAGACTTATTACAACAGTCGGTACAATCCTTTTCACTCCTGACATCGGCGATACAGACAATACAACATGGGCCTACTTCGTGATGCTATCGGCTCAGCCCTTGGGGGTAGTCAGGTGAACAATGGCTTATCTGGACCGAGACTACCTTTTCGAAATGGCAAAAATCGCCAAACAGGTTGCTTCCCATCTTCTGTCAGCCAGCAGTCGCCATGTTCGGGTCAAAGAGATGGATATTACGCGAACGAGAGCAACGAAGGAAGCAGTCCTGTGACCATGTGTTCAGCTTCAGAGCCTAGGTACCTCTATGAACAGATACAACAAAGGGAGGCCACTGCTTGGCACCGGTACTCGGATGAGCCTCCTTGTTATGACGATTCTAAGCGCTGGGGTGGAAACCAAGAGGGATTCCATGACGAACGGCCTCGGAATATGAGGCAAAGCTATGGCCTTAAGAAACCCGACGAGATCAATTGCCGCCCAGTGGCCCTACCTCAGATTGGCTATGGAGACGAGCAACCCTTCCTCCGAGGATATTCGAGCGACCTCGGCCGATATGGTATCTCCGAGCTGGAGTTCATCAAATTAGTAGACACCATTAATGTTGCCATCATCCCGAATCCGGAGAACCAGATCTTTCAAAAAGGAGCGAGTATTGCTGGTTGGTTCGTGTAAGTCTTTGTTGTTGACCTACTCCTGGTTATCTCTACACATGCTGAGACATTATTTTGCAGACCTGGCGCTGCCGGGATTGGTCTCACTCTAGGGCAGATTGGGGTGGGACTTGGCACGTCGCTCGGCCACGCATCAGCAATCTCTCGAGTCCTGTCGAGCGCAAATCTACAAGTCTTTCTGCCAAGGGGGCTAGAAATCTGGTAAGCTCCATTTCACAGTGCCCTCTATCCATAATATTGACTGAACATCATTCAGCATTGGAAAGACGCAGGATGTTGAGGCGACGGTCGGCCTCAACGCGTTTCCATATCAACAACAGAATACATATGGTCTAGCGCCGCAGCAACGGCAAATGCTTTTCGGCAACCGTCTTGCTCCTCTCTCTAGAGTATTGCCTTCGCTGCAGCAGAGTGGTCGCAACGATCCAGTTGCCATGCTTGGCCGGAGCCTCGCCAGTCGAACGAATCAAAAAAAGATGGAAAAGGCGGAGAAGGACATGGCCAAAGGTAAGAATAAGAGTATTGACGCCCTCGAAGCAGGAATTCAATGGGTAAGTCTTTCCGCGAATATACGTTATGGTTTGGAAAACGCTTACATATCACGTTGCAGCTCATTGTCAGACAAGCCTCTCCAGAGGCGCTAGCGTACTGGAGGCAGTCAGACCCTAGCCAGGCGCAGGCTTGAGCGAGGCTAGGCGGAAATCCCAGATTTAGCGGTCCATGATTCAGAGGCTAATCCGCTGGGGCCTAAATTCTCTCCCACAACTAGCAGATCTATCCGGCTGAGTGTACCTTATACAAACAGATTTTCAGTCATGATCGACAAGGTCACTTCTCACCTGGAGAGTTTCTCAATATGCTGGAGCCTCTGAAGGAACTGAGCCCCGGTGGCGGCGCTTATCTTAACGAAGCGCATTACTTGGAGCCTCAATGGCAGCAAACCTACTTTGGCTCGTTCTATGAGAGACTGCTAGAGGTCAAGAACAAATACGATCCCACTCACCTATTTGACTGTTACAAGTGTGTTGGATGGAGGGGCGAGGCAGAGTGAGTCAATTCCCAATTCAGTTTACAGCTTCCACTCAGCCAGGTCTAATCTTTGTTCAGTCCCTTCTATTCCTGCTATTCCTAGTGTTCAAGAGGCATTTGATGCCTATGCTAAGATAACCATATGCTTGCGATGGATTTTCCCCTTTCGAGGTTTCAATGTCTGCTTACTTGGCCTCAGATCTGATGGAGATTAACGCCATATGGAGGTTCCTGATTCCCGGTTATCTCCAGGACCAGCCCTTGGTTGCTTTGTTGGCCTATTTAGGTCTTGCTTCCTGGTTCTGTCGTGAGAGACAATCGAACTTCCTTTTCTGTCTCCTTGCTCTTAGCAATTCTAACGCAATCAGCTTGTATGACATAGAATCCGAAATGTTTCAAGTCCGATGTATCAGATATTCATGCTTTCAGGAGAAATTTGAACATATTCCTTATAGTGAGAATACATCATTTCCGATTATCTACATCCTGATCGTTTTGTATATGCATTTGTAGTTTCTGGCGGTACCTAGTAGAGTGGCTCTAGTAAGGTCCCTCGAATCCTTTGTTACATGCCCAGAGACTGTTATGAACCGATCGAGATGCATAAAAACGGCTGGTTCATTTGGGGAGGTCTCTCTGGTCTCTCGGACTATTAAACAGGTCATCTGAATCATAATGTATGCTCATACTCGCTTCCTGCTTACTGCAGAGAGGTCAGAAGTCGAATTGACGGCAACCTGCTGGTTGCTTTGATCGCCGGGCGTGGGGTCGTCGTACAAGACGCTATCGCGTTTTAGTATAATATTTCTATAGTATACTCGCTAGATTGTGATCCGTACTTTAGCATAAACTACCTATTTATGATTCGATATTGCTGGATTCTTCATCGACAGCGAGGGAGCTATCTTTTTCTACTACGGGTATTGATGCGCAACATAGTGTCATATAACTGATAGAGCTTAGATAGCGGGCCCTGCTCGTTCCTTAGAAGAATCCAAAATTTATGATCTTATCATACACCACTTCCCTCTCGCAGATAACTTGATTAGTAGGGCTCACAACTATCCGGCTTCTGTGTCTGCTACTAAAAAAGCATGATACCAAACCTCCGTACGGCACCTATATGGAAACGAAGCTAGATTGGGTCTACGGATATTGAATGATTAACTTAGGGGTCCTTTCGTGTGACCTCCCTCGTTCTGGAGCTACCCCATATATCTAGTATCAGCCTTTGCTCCATGTGAAAGATCATGAATCAAAGCCCCAACCGGTTGTGAGAAATTGGCATTACGATGGGGTGGATGTAACTCTACCTGGTACAATACTTCTGGTGCGGGGTATTTACACACGTATTGATGCGTGTCTCACCTACCACTCGTATTGATTGGCCGTGGGAGAGAGCATGGACGATAACCTAAGACCTCAAGAGATAGAAGAGGTGCTATGTCTTAGACTCAAGGCCTCCAGGATTTACTCCATTACATCAGAGATACTTGTTATAGTCCGAACAGCAGACTATATTAAGACCGCCAATTCCCTCCTTTCCGGGGAAGCGAACAGATAATCCAAGCATCCTTTGCAAGCGGAAAGCAAAACAATAACCATGAAGACTTCGCTGATTGCATTTAGTGCCATCCTCGGCTTGGTTTCTGCCCAGAATGCCATTGTCCACAACCACTGTGCCACCACCGTCTATATACAGTCGTTCCCGTACGATGGTAGCGCCCCCGGCCCTCTCACCACGGTTCCTCAGGGGGGAACTTTTTCCGAAACATTTAGAGCATCCGGTTCGGTACGATACTTCGTTATATTAGTTTTCGCAACGCCCTATAAGAAATGGAAACTGACCGGAAATGACATGTACAGACCGTCAAGATCGCCAAGACAAAGACGCTAGACACCCCTCTTTTCTTTGGCTATTCGTTCTCGTCTAACCCGGACTACGCTTACTGTGAGTACAAAAACCTACCTACCAGCTACGAATATTTGAATAACTGTATTCTTCGTTAAGATGAATTCAGCACGGAATGGGGCAACCCCTTCGCAGCGAATCCCAACTCGCTCAGTCCCGGGGACGGCTGTGAAGCCTTCGACTGTGCGGCCAATGATGCCGCCTGCTACAGTACCCCGGCGCACAAGAAGGTCTATGGGTGCCCTCAGCCAGTCGACCTAACGGCAGACCTTTGTCAGTGACTGCGTTGCCTACATTCTGCAGTGTGCTGAGGTCACGGGGATAACTGTTCGTTTCTTGTCTGTGTTTCAATCTATCGTAGCTCATGTCAAGAGTTATCATGTGTGAGAACGAGACAGATACTTGTCATGACATGGATGTTAAGTGAGAACTCATGAATAAGCATCATGAACGAAACATTTTACATAACCACGACGCTAGTACAGTCATTCTAGAAATTACCTTGACCACTAGAGGCCGAAAAAGTCTCGACATATATTACATTTCTTACAACTTGAATAAAATCCCTAAAAAAACATAACTAACTAGTTAACCTATATTACCTGGTTAGTCGGCTATCACCGACGACTTGGGCACCTATGTCACTACTTATTAGTCCGTTTAATTTGACAAAAGTCCCATCCTAGCTCTCTCTCTCTCTCTATGACTTCTAGCCGAATTCTCTACTTCTCTGTAATCTACTCAGAATAAGATTTCTGCTTATTTCATCAATCTGCTTCTTATACCACCGAAGAATTATTACTTATTAAATAGATTATCTCCATAGATTCGCGGGAGCAGTGCCTAGGCCTGCTACTATGAGAGAAATAGCCAATATCCTACTAGCTACGCGCGGTAGCCACCCTCCACCTACTATTAGTGTAAATCAGCCATTAAACTTTATTAATCGGCGCGATAAACTTCGCACGCGCTTCTCTAAGCGTTATAACTACTAGTGCGCACTAAATGAAGACCCAAAATCGCTACGTACGTAGTTTACGACCGTAGGTCATACTGTGAAATTTGCACCGGAATGGCGCCAATGAGACAGGAAAACATAATTGATAGTTATCGACCGGAATTCCTTCCCAAATAGGATCCACACAGCTCAGCTGAGCGTCAAATTGTTGCCCTGTACCAGCTGTTCCTCGCCCGTATAGTGCGTTCCTTGTGTCAACGTGGCGAGAATTGGAGTAATTTAGGGCTTCGTTGACCAGTAATAGCCAAGGCTTTGTCTGGTATGTCGAAAACCTAGCGATGACGATACTAACCGCCGGTATTTGCATTGAAATATAAAGCTTAGGTCATAAATAGTTGTTACACATCATCTTTGCAACATTTGAAACATACTGCTTCTTGTTGCAATGATCTTTGATTTCATACAACCATTCACCGACGAAGACTCTCCTCCCTCGATATTATCAATCACCAGTAGTCTCATTCTCCCGCTTATATACTTTCTCCTCTTGGGAGCCTCGCTTCGTAGTAAGAGTCTGGTTCAAATCATAAGACTGGGTGAACAGGCTGATGATAAATATCAATCCTGAAATGACGCAGCAAAATGCCCACACGATTTTCAAACTATCAGCGTAAGCCTGCTTAAGATCCTCCTTGACCTGACCATGCATTCCTCTGATAATTTCCACCGCGCTAGCTGCATCACCGCTGTATTTATCCGCTAATGATTGCAGGGCAGGATAATGCAATAGATTGCTCTTCATCCGATTTTGAAAGATGACACCACCAATCGCGACGCCGATAGACTGCCCAAACCCTCGGAAAGAAGTGGATGTAGCCACTGTAATCGCGAGGTTCTCGGCAGTTGCCGATGCCTGTACGGCTAGTGCGACAGAGGGAAGAACCATTCCGATACCAATGCCTGGCACGAGATTCAGGAAAATCCAAGTAACGGTTCCAGTTTGCGAGTTCAATAGACATAGCAGGCCCATTCCAATAGTCGAAAGACACCATCCGATGCAGACAGCCCAGTAGTACAGACCTGTTCTATTGATGAGAAGGCCAACAATTACTCCGCTCGGAGCAACAGTGAATGTCTCGGGGAAAAGAGCGATCCCGGTCAATATAGGCTTGTATCCCTTCACGGCTTCGTAGTAGAGAGGAAGGAAGTATAGACAGCACCAGACAAGCAGACCGACAGCAGCGTATCCGGCAAATGATATGAGGGCCGTTCGATTATGAAAGATTGCTGGTGGGATCATTGGGTGTCGTGCAACTCGCCATTCAAATATCGCGAATATGCAGAGTCCGACTGACCCGATAATCAATGGGGCCAATGTGCGCCATGAGTCCCAGGGGTATAGCACACCTCCCCAGGTCAGGGGTATCAAGAATGAAGCACAACTTGGAATAAAAAGGGCGATTCCAATAAAGTCAATCTTTCGTACCTGACTAGCAATGGTCTCAATTCTCGGCCGAAGGTTAGACGACCAAGCAACCAAGATCACCCCGATTCCAATAAAGGGGAAATTGATATAGAAGATCCAGCGCTTGAGATAAATTGTTATCAAAACTGTCGTCAAGAACAAGACTTCATACATACCCATGTGACCTTTTCTGCAAAGCAACCTCCAATGACAGGCCCCGCCACCGTTCCCAAACTCCAGATCGCACTAAGCATCCCAAAGTATTTTGCTCTTTCGCTAAGCGGCACAATATCCACAATGAGGATAGCGGTGAGGGTGATGATACCGCCGCCTCCAATGCCCTGCAGAGACCGACCGATGAGCATGTGGGTGAAGTTATTGGCGACCCCGGCCACAATTGCTCCAATGGTAAACCATGCGATCGCGACAAGCACCAATGGTTTCCGACCGAACAAGTCCGATAATGAAGAGAATACTGGCTGAAAGACTGAATTGGAGTTAGTTGGTCAAGATCTCGTTTCACCAAGCTCGTGACGTACCGGCAGAGCACAGCGTGAATGAGGTTCCGGTCCAGAATGCTTCGATTGCGGTTCCTCCCAGCTCATGAGACATTATCTGGATTTATGTCACGTCAGTGATAAATCCCTTTTTTGTTTTTGGTGAGAAATGGATTGAATAAATACTGGCAAAGCAACCGAAATCGACGTCCCATCCAGCGCAGCCATCAAGCTCAAGCTACCCATTGCCAGTAAGCTCAAAGCATCCTGTTTCGGAATCGAGAACTGAGCTTCTCTTTCTATATCCTGACAATTGACAATTTCATCTTTGTCATCACTCTTGTGCAAGTGTTGTGGGTTTAGCGTCTCCATTTTGTTGACTTCACGACACGGAAAGGCAGATAATTAGTGGGCGCGTCTCGAAGACTCGGGGGAACGACTTCAAGATTATTACATGAGATTTTAAGCATTTCTTTTTCTCCCACAAAATTTTGTGACTATTGATTTAGCGCATGTTTTCTCTTGAGATTGGGACTTAGTTGTGTGATGGTTTCTCTATGGCCCCTTGCTTATGCAGGATGTGATTCGAACCAAAGCCAGATCCAAGTAAGGACTGTACAATAGACTATCCAGTCTCAACAAAATCCACCCGAAGATATTTTTGAAGAGTTCTGGTTGTATATACCACTAACACCAAACCTCATGAATACTTCATTACCGTTGAGATAGTTAAACCAAAGTTGTGTCAAAACCTTAACTCAACTTCTTGCCTTGCGTCGTGTCTAATAGATTACACTCGGGGCGGCTGAGGAAAACGTTTCTTTTTCCTAGAACCCTGGGCTGTCTCAGTGAATTTCTGACCGCTTATATGTTTACTTTTGTTGAGTACTAATTTTTTGGACGTAAGGGCTTTGTGTTTTGCTCGACGGTGACGGGCGGGAACGAAGATCATTTTTCAGGGCCAAATATATGAGCACCCGCTCATCTCTTAGAAGCTTCCTCTTAGGTAAACTCGTTCAATCATATTAGTGTTCACTAATGGCCGCCGCTCATCCTATGACCACCTTGAGTAAGGTGCTGGGGAATATGAGAGCGCTGGCTGACCGAATCAACTGGATTCGCGTATGGTTCACTGGCGGACTACCCATAATTGCCCTGATAATCGGCATTCTGTGGGTACCTTTGCAGTCTCGAACCGCAATTTTTACCATCATTTACGTGACGGCCTCTGGGATGAGCATCACTGCAGGTAAATCGAATTCATCACTTCTATAATGGGTCTTCTTTTTAACCGAGATGATAGGGTATCATCGTCTGTGGGCACATCGAGCCTATTCCGCAGGGACGTTTCTGAAAATTGTTTTCGCACTTTTCGGCGCCGGTGCAGGGCAATCATCGATTAGGACATGGTGCAGGGACCATCGAGCACACCATCGCTATACAGATACCGATAAAGATCCATATTCTGCCCAGAAAGGCCTGTTCTATTCCCACTATGGATGGGTCGTGATTAAACGGAAGCCGGAGCAAACAGGCCGCGTGGATATTCAAGACCTCTCAAATGATCCGATCGTCATGTGGCAGCGTCAACACTACCTCACACTGCTCTTTCTGATGGCATATATATTCCCGACAGTATTCTGTGGGCTCATGTATGATGACTTCGCTGGAGGGTTCATATGGGCCAGCTGCATCCGACTGTTCGTGATCCAGCAGGGAACCTTCTGTGTCAATTCTCTCGCTCACTGGGTTGGAGATCAACCTTTTGCGAACAGACTCTCACCGAGAAACTGCTGGTTTGTTGCGCTCATCACTTGGGGAGAAGGATATCACAATTTCCACCATGAGTTTCCGGTCGACTACCGAAATGGAATCAGATGGTTCCAATGGGACCCGACGAAGTGGCTTATCTGGTTCTGCGAGAAAGTCAACCTTGCCTCGGACTTGAAACGGTTTCCAGAAAATGAGATTCAGAAGGGTCAATTCCAGCAGATTGAGCGCCAGTTGGAACTTCAGCGTCACGAGATTTCCTGGGGGATTCCGATAAGTCAGCTGCCGGAATGGAGCTTTGAAGATTATACTGAAAATGTCAAGAATGGTCGTCGCTTGCTTGTTGTTGATGGTGTTGTTTATAACGTTGAAGAGTTTGTTGGCCGTCACCCTGGTGGGGAGAGGTATTTGCTAGAGCATATCGGTAAGGACGCTACAAAGTTGTTCCATGGTGGTGGAATTCATGCTCATTCAAACGCGGCCGAGAATCTGCTATCGACGTTGCGATTCGCGAGGATAGCTGGTTCTAGCCATCGTCAAGATTAACATGATGTATCTTATCTGGATGTGTGCTTCGGGGTAGGAATTGATTCTAGATTTAATTATTAAATTCTAGCTCAGTTCAAGTTCAATGAATCAATATCACATTCACTATCAAATCCCAATCAATCGTTCCAGTATATTAAGCGTATCAGAACTATACAAGACATGCACAAAGCCACCAAGCGTCTCAATAGCCCGGTCCCCATCTCCTTTACCACTCTTTTTCAAAAGCAAAACCGCGTAAAGCGAGATCAAACCCAAGAAAAATAAGGAAACAAAGAAAGATTGGACTCGACTAGACCGGCGATGCCAGCGTCAATAGACAACCGACATGCACCAATCAAGAAACAAGGCTGACAGAGGCAATCCTTATCCATCGCCCACGATTAAGTTTAGCTATATTTACAGGATGTAAGCAGCGGCGGCAGCAACGGCAGCAACACCAGCCATGTTGCCCTTGATGTTGACGGCAGCACCGGTCCAGACGGGGGAGGAGCCGGTGCCAGTGGCGGAGCCAGAGCCAGAGCCGGAGCCGGAGCCGGAGCCGGTCTTGGTGGCCAGAGGGGTGGAAGAGCCAGCGGGGGTGGAGCCAGCGGGGGTAGAGACAGAGGAGCTGCCGGTAGCGGAGGTAGAGCCAGAAGCAGAGGAAGTGAGGGTGCCGGTGGCGCTGGAAGAAGAGCTGCCGGTGGCCGAGCTGGAGGAGGAGCTGCTGGTGGTGGTCGAGCCGCCGGCGGTGGTGGTCTCAATTGGGGGGACTGAGATGGGGTGGCCGGCAGAGGAGCACTGAGCAACGACGGCGTTGGAGACGGCTGTTGGGATTGTTAGTATATATTGTTGCCTTTGGAAGAGGTTCCATGGAAAGAAGATGGTAAAGACATACAGATCTGGTCAGCGACGTCGCAAGCCTTCTGGACGCAGGGGGTGATGTCGCCAACGAGCTGGGGCTTCTGGCAGTGGCAGGCGAAGTCGGTCAGGGACGAGCAGCCATCGGTGGTCAGGGCAGTGACGAAGCAGCTCAGCTAAGCAGCAGGGTTAGTATACGTCGTACAATGGCTGTTGATATGATACAAGTATCAAGCATCATCAATTCATGGCGATATCATACCGAGCAGTTGGGCACGTTAGGGAGCTGAGCGTTGGCCAGACCGGCAGCAACGAGGGCAATCAGGGTGGTGGAGAACTTCATTTTGACGAATGATTTGCTGAGCAAAAAGCCGATATATCGAAAGTTGAAAAAAAGGGATTTATCGAAAACGACAGTTCAAGACTTTCTAACGAGCGAGAGGCGGGAAGTGATCGAGAGAAAGAAAAAGAACTGGGTCTGGGTCAGGGACAGAGATGCTTTTTATAAGCTTTGGAGAGAAGAGGAGAGTTGGACGGGAAACCTTAGGGTGGCCAACATGGACTAGGCCATGCCATACCCTTTCAGGGTCACACTGCTTTTGACTACGAGGAAACGCAGTCAACCAGGCAGCACATCCCGCATATCCCGCAGGATCGTCACATGTCGTCGAATCTTACGGGTAGACCTAAGACTGTGCGGCGAGAGACATCGACCGCGGTTGACTCAGAACCATATGTCAGTTAGTTAGTTAACTAGTTGACCAGTTTGATTAAACAAGGCTGGGGTCCCCGGACCCTCATACTAGGGCCAAGGGACCCGCGATGGCTGAGACTAGATCCTGGGATGCTGGCAAAATGCACGAATAATTTGAGACACGCTCTTCCTGGGACGATACTTGCGTATGGACCAGAGTATAGTCTTAATTGGGTTAGGAAGACTTGGTACGCTAGCCCCACGACGAGACTAACATGGCTAGCAGTACCACGGTGGATCCTTGATAGGATCGATGTGTGGCTCTCCACTTCGCCGGAGACTGCCGCAATGGGGCTAGACGAGACTAGACGAGACGATGGGGGAAGTTACTCTGGAGTGTGTCTTCCGAGGAGACCAAGAAGCTAGTGATCCGGTTTGTTGCTGGGACCGGTGGCAATTGAGCTCATGATTCAGCTCTCGATTGATAGTCGCAGTACATGCAGAGTTGATTCTAGAGCGTTGATTGGTACTAGAGTGCAGGGCACGGCTTCAGGGTGCTTGGGCTTTAATTTCCGCGTCCGGCCTCCCAAGATAGAGAGAGGCAATAATAATAATAGGCAATGGGAGATGCTACCTTTGACTGGGCTATTGGTTACTACGAGGCGTTGTCAAAGTACGGAGTCGTATGTCATGGGGGGGACTCCATCCTGTAGCACCGTGCAGATCCCCACTTATAGATTGTACTTCCAGGCGAACGCCCTGTACGTAATTGAATTGGTGGCTTCGAATGTTGATGCCCCTCGTCAGTGTGCAGAATACTCAGTGTGATAGACGCAATGGAATTGCAGCAATTCCCAGCCATCCCGCGTTTAAGACAAGAGCTACCACCCGGGTTATATATAGCAGAGACAAAAAAAAAAGCCCAAAAGGTCAACCTGAGGATAATGGGAAGGTCAGGTAGTACAGCTAGACCTAATGAAAGATACCACGAGTCGACTGGTGGACCCTCGACCTAAACCCTCACGACTCCAGAAGAAAAAAATAGACCAAGACATGGGAGTGTGTCGTATCTGATTGGCCCTATTTGGCGACGCTAGTCCGTAGAAGGTCCGAAAAGGGGATTGTTTCTTTTCACGGACCAACCAGGCCGAACGGTAAATCCGGGGAAGACCCCCTCCTTCACGAAGGAAAAGGCCAAGCCACCCAGACCCCTCTTGACCCTCTTTTCCCCGTCATGAGGTAGTATCCGCCATGACCGAAAGTAGCTCTTGCCCCGACTCCGACAAGCCCGTCAGCGGTATCAATGCTGCAGACAATTTAATATATCCAAACAATAAATCAGACATGATTCATGGTGAAGGAATTATTGGCTGAAAAGAATTGCAGTGTCTCTCTCAGTACTATTCTTTGTTCTGCAGTACTGTAACCGTCTACGCGTCCCGTTACACAGACTTTTCTGCTGCTGCCATTAGGCCTTTTATTTAGCGTCTTTGTAGGGCACCACCAGTTGAGGCATTTGCAGCACGCGAAAAGAAAAAGAGGGGTTTCTCATGGCCGGACGTCAGAGGCGACACTATTGGCAGTTTGGGGCTGGTTACCGCCTCTCCGTCCTTTGGTTTCTTTTTAGTTTGTTTTGGTTTTCCAGAGGGTTCGATTTTTAGCCAGGGACCACCTTCCAGGGCATCCAGACAGCCCTATCACTGAAGTATGGAATCCTACTCCGTCCAAAATATTTGATGAGTGAGGTACGGAGTAGTTAGCGCCTTATTCGGACTAACTAGCCTCAACTGGTTTCTCCGTCAGGTCTCCGTCATGTCCATCCTGGTGTACGGCCGGGGGGGTTCAGTTCGTGCTTTCTGGGGCTGGGAATTGTCAGAGTAATAGCCATAGTGAACAATCATGTTTTGACTCTCTGTACGTCCAAAATTGAACTGATCTTCAAAGCACCTACTGAGATAGGGAATTGGTTTGCCGTTTGATTTGCTTGATCATGGTGGGTGGGACGGTGCACCCCCTCAACTCTCCAGCCCTCGCGGGAACAAACTAGACTCCGTAGCCCTTTCTGATCATCGCTGTGCAGACCTATTCTCGGGTATGGCCTTGTTTCGCCTTCTTGCGATCTCCAAGGTTTAATTTGCCCCCCGGATATCCAGCCCGCCCAACAGCCCGATGGATCGCCGGACTGGCGCTCGCTCCAAGGAAGCGATGTGCCCTCGATCTGGGTCCTGCTGTACCTGCATACTGGCCGTGATCCTTGCTCGGCTTCGGACGGTCACGATGGAGATACAGTACAGGGCAGGGTGCCGATTAGCTTTTTTGGCCCTGAGGCGTCCTGTCCATGCATGTCGGAGGGTCCACGAGAAAGGGGCACCTTGGGCTTAGACTAGGACGAGAACTTGTACAGTACACAGTGGCAGTTCAAAAGTCTGAAACCAGGGACCAAGAAAACAGGCCGTCAAGATATGCCTCGATTTTATGTTTTTAACAGATCTTTCTGAATGTCTTTTGAACCCTCTTTCTAGATATTCCCGGCATCTGTGTTTTAACTTGTGTTTCAAAGTATAGCTGATGAGATGGGTTTGAACTTTTTCGGGTGTTGCAAACTTATGGAACACCACTGTACCATGCTCCCAGGAACCGTGTTACCTACCCGTGGGACGGGATGTATTGTACTCTGCGGATGCAGTCCAGGGGTGCAAGCGTCTCGCGGGCGCGGACATCCAGTCGATCCGAGCAGAGTGAGACATGGTGGAGGTGGGGGCTGGTTACGAACGAGTCCTTTTGCGTTTTCCTTTCTGCGCTGAACACAAGATACAGTACAGGCGAGAGCTGGAGCCACACATTTCTCCTCCACTCTCTGGTGTGTGCCAAGGGTCACCGTCGAACTCGACGGTCGACCCCGGGTCGACCCCGTTCAAGCCGCAGGAAGCGTGGGGCCAGGAACAGAAAGCAGCGACGATCACATGGAAATCGTGGAGACGACGGACAGGGTTGTTTATTATAAATTTCCGAGAATCTTGTCAAGGGCCAAGGCCGAGGGAATAATATGGATAAACTGGTGTGGATTTCTGGAAGCCACCAACAGCCCATGTCCATGTCAGGGCCCAAAAGAGACCAGTCAGTCCCTTTGGTCAGGGCCCAGGACGCCTGGGCTGAGGCGCACGCGGCAGGAACCCTGCATTCGGGTTAGATTGGAGGCGGGTTAATCTATTTCAGAGTCAATGAGTGCGACGGCGCAATGGCAGCGGCAACGCCTGGAGAAGTGAATAATGGAGAAGTGGATGGACCGAGAAGACCAGGCCATCCACCAACTCCCGTAGACCATCCAACTACAGTAGAGACACCCCTGTCCGGTCATTTTATTTTTTTTTTCGTTCTACTCCGGAGACCCTCGAAACGAGTCAAAGGCTTAACGGCTTTCTTCAATCGAGCGAGGCTGACATTGAGATTGACAGGTCAGGCAACCCGTCCACTTGCTGTCCGAAGGTTTCCCTCTGCAGAGCATCATTGGCCTGACTCTGCGGGGAGAAAGATCCAGAATGCGAGTGCCACTCGGCCGTAAGGCGGGAATCCAGCAATCTGGGGAGATTCCACGGGAGAAATAATAATCCACAGTCTTTGCTGCCCTATTCTCTGCTAGTTTTTGCCCAGTACTTCGTACTTCGTACTGCAAGCGAGCCGCCCCATTGACATCAACGATTGGACCTGGATAACCCGATCGTGTCGATCAGAGACGGGTGGAACAGCACGAGTATTTCCAGGAGCATCTAATTTGAATACTCCGTCCTCCTTACAGCCTATCCATATCCTTCGGAGCTCATTTCCAGACTCGAGACAAACAAGAAGGACTATACTCCGTTACCTACTTTCGGTCTAGACAATGTTACCCAGTGGGACTCGCGGCGGGACATGTGTACCGTGGGGGAGTTGTTGAAATATAGACAGAGGACCCGGGCATGGAGCCCGGGCATTCGAAGTGATAATCTCCGATCGAAGATCCTTCGAGTCCAGCGCGATTCTGGGGTTATCCTGAGTGGCTCGAGGCTCGTGTCGGTCTGACTATCATGGACCCTGGGGCGAGAAGAGACGAGTGCAATTTCTCTAAAACACGACGACGAGAAGATGTCGGAATTACAAAGGGTGCTTGATTGTGATTCTGATCTTGCCTCGGCGAGCATATGAAGATGTTGGATGGACTGCCATTATGTTGCATCGGAGGCCAAGATAACAAGTCCCTCAACCGACTAACCCTGGAAGCGTTCTCCAGTAGCCCACTATTAACACGACAAAAGAACGAGGATAGTTCTTAACACTTGAAATTCATACCTCGTTGCCCATTGCTAACTATACAATCCCAAACGCCCGCTTACAAGAATATCCAATCCCTCCCAGCGCTCGCTCGATTCCTCCACAGACAATCGAACCGAGCAGATCTTTTACTCCATTCCATTCTCGCCTCTGGTGACTCGCTACGAGAGCAGTTCATCCATACGCGCCCGCTCCTTCACCTTCCCATCTTGCAAGAGAACAGCTAGAACCTCGATAGGCGGGTTCAACTTCAACATATTCGCCCGTCGCCAGCGCTTGACTCGAGCGATACCAATGCACGGCTAGAAAAGAGGTATTAGCAGAGCTTCTTCGCAGGACAATGACAAGACAACGTAGACAGTCATATCACATATGACATACCCCATATTGACTAGATAGGTCAAAGTGACGAAGAATCTTCTCCTCCAGATCCAAATCCGCCTGGTGAACTGTAAACCCCACACAAATCAGTCCTTCCATAATATGATGATATCTCCCTGGCAATACTACTGTATCACCCCCCGCTAAACTCACCCCGTGGAGCCTTCCGCTTTTGCTCCTCCTTCCTCCAGTATGACTGCAAGTCCTTTTTGCTCAGCTTCAAGGCCCGCTCGTCTTCCGCGGATAAGGGCTCCTTCAGTTGTGTGGCTGCCTGTTGTCGGACTGCGAGCTCGGCGACATGAGGCTTTGAGGGGTGCGCATCTGCTAGGACCGACTGGGGCTCTGGGGTCCCCGATGGCGAGACTTGGACGGGAGAATCGAGAGTCTTGGCTTTGTGGATTGCGGTCGGGGTGCTGGATGGTTTGGTGACTCGGGACCGATTGCCGAAGGAGAGGGTTGACTGGGCGCCTGGTGCGGCGGCTCGGCGGCGGGGAGGCATGGTGAGTGTAGAGTGGGATGTGTGAGGTGACTGTGTTAGCTGTCAGGCAGGCTAGTCGAGAAGGGGGTGGAGGTTGGTCGAAGCTAAGGGTTGTAGGTGTAGTTGAAGGTAAAGTTGGGGGTGGGTTTTTGGTGGAGCTGATGATGCCGGTTGGTTGGCGTTGCGCCTGGCAACCGCAGTAACCGCAACCAACGATTGCCCGCACACGGCGCTGCCAGTTAAATACTACCAGTAGTGACTGTGGACTGGACTGGACTGGAACGGGATATTGGGGGGATGTAAGTGGGTAGTAAATCGGGGATAGATCTCTGGACGGAGTATACCGGTAGTTTATATATATTTCATATTGCTACAAATCTGGACGTAGTATAGTCTCCGTACGAAGTATCCAAGTAATGATGTCCTGGCCGGATGTAGTCCAGCTGAGCGTCCACCTGGTTGGCAGCATCGAATATATATTATTCCTCGAACCCTGTTTCTTGTTCTATATGAGATTCCCCTGTGAAGGCCTGTTGGGCTGAGGTGAGCACGCACGCGGCCGATGACGACGATGTCAGCTCTGTCAGTCTAAACGTAGCTGCGAACTGGCCTGCAATCGAGATGCGTTGTCCGTAATGTGTAGCGATCTCGTATTCTCATGCATTGCAGGCCAATGTCGTGAGTTATACCGCGCGCCTAAAAACCATGATGCAATCGCGGCTCAAAGTTAGGCTCGGCTGGGGGAGGCTGGAGGTTCGCCCTTGAGGGACCTCCCCCCCACATGGACGGTGGACACGGCACTCATCCAGAAGCTGCCCTCAGATTCTCATCCTTCTGACCCAACCTGACGCCCTCTCCTTCCCCCCATCCACACGCTCTCGTATTTGCCGCCGTCCGTCAGCCGCACTACCCCCTCCCAGCCGTTTGTCTTCATTCTACAACGGTCTTTCTTCGTCCTCCTTCCCCTCCCCCTCCCTTCCCCCCAACAACTGGGGGCCCATATGAACCGTGCGACAGGGTTCCGAGGTCGCAGATTCCCCACAACTTCACTGCGCCCCCTCCGCCGCATGCCCATGGTGTTGCGGGAACACTTCCATCGAGATGGCCGCCTTTGTGCGCGTTTCAGGTCCGGCAAATGGCAATTTTCTCATCGGATACCCCGGCATCTCTGCCACCATGGTAAGCGCCTACATTGATCACCTCTACCCCCCGCGGTCTTGGTCGCCCTGGTGTCCCTGGTTTCCCGAGCTGGCAATCTATCCCCTGGACTCGGAGAAAGATGGATAATTATCAGACCCACTGACATCGCCAACCAACCAGCCCCGAATCGAAGGTAAAGTCGAGATCCGGCCCAGCGTCGGTATCTCCGCCCCAGTCAATGTCTCCCTTGTCACCATATCCCTCCTCCGCCGTGAGACCATCCACCCATCCGCCGACTCCGTCACAAAGAAGCGCCTGGCGCCACCGCGCAAGGAAATCACCGATATCGTCGGCAAGGAAATGCTGTTATTTCGATGTCCTGCCGGCAAGGAATACGAGGAGGTGATTGCTATGGATCTACCATTCGTCCTATTTATCCCATTTGGCCGCGGCGGCCGTGATGCCTCTCGGCGGGTACCCCCCGCCAGCCTACAACTACCCAGTCGAACAGCCGAAACATACTACGAGATGCTGGTCATGGTACAACAAGGGCACTCTGAACAACGCAAATACACCTTCCCCGTCCCTATCGCCCGCTACGACACCCTTTCCACCTTTGGCATGTATAATCGCCCCGAGTCAGCGGAGCGGGTATCAGACCATCTCGTCACATTAGCCATCTCATTACCGCGCTGGTCTTACGGTCCGCTGGATCCCGTCAGCGTTTATGTCAAATTATCCCCCAATCAGGACTGGATGGGCAAGGCCCGGAAGGTCACTATCAGCAAGATCACCATCGGCATCGACGAGGAGATCATCTACAACCATGAGGGCGACGAACCCCAGCGCAAGGTCAAGACCTTGGCCAAGAAAACAGAGGCCGTGGGCGTCAGGCTTCCCCAGTCAGGTTATCTCACCAATCTGGGATTGGTGTTTCCGGCCAAGGACATGCGGGACGCGGAAGGTATATTGCCGCGTAGTCGGATGGCGTTTCCCATGTATGGGGTGAGCGGGTTCACGACGACGGCGAGTTTGTATAAAATTGAGTATTACCTCACCGTACGGGTAAGTGTTGTCTGTACAAAGTGTGCGACGCAATTGAACTCGAGGACATTGAAAGCTAATCCTGACTCGCTAGGCACATCTTACATCAGCGAGAGACATCACCATTCGCCAACCGATCGTGGTTTGTCCCCTCGATCACGCGGGTTGTAAAGAGGAGATGGAAGCCATCGAGCAAGCCGCACGAGACTCCGCTCACGTGAACCCAGATAATCCAATGCTGCCATTGCCATCCATCGTCCGACCCAATGACCCCAATGCCCTGGATCACCTTGGAGTGGCCTTGGTTGGGAATCAAAAGAAACCTCTGATTGACTGAGGAGGCGCCGTACGGCTGCATTGCCTTCAATCTGTGGGATTTCACTACACTCACATCAACCTCCCCCGAGAACTTCTCAAATGCATTGATTACACTGCACTCGGAGGGCATCCCCGCTCTAATGGCTGCACTCCAATATCCCGAAGCAGTCAAAACGGGATCTCATTTCTCATAGACCTTAACTACCCGGGTCGCCTCACTATACCATGCCATGTCACGTCTTACGATTGCATAGAGCTTGGAGTTTGTTACATGGCATTCATGGAAGCTTATTCGACTTTTCAGCAGGGAAAAGGGTGTTGGGAGGGGCTCATTTCTTTTTGGATTGGTGTCTTAAGCCGGAGGCGTTGAGAGTCTTGGTATTGGACCTCCGGCCTGGAAGAGATGCCCAAGGGACGCCTTTCCCAAGACTACATTCCCAGGAACCATCCCCGCATCATATGCTCTGGCTTTGGTCTGTCCGAGCTGATCTGATTGATTGATCTACTTCCAATCTGCTCTTGATATCACACGCGAATATCCATGTACCACCCTTTGGTGGTCGTACTAGGTAGAATTGAAATGTAAATGTCTAATCTTGCAATCGTGCATACAATCAAAGCCACAATTGAGTTTTCGTATGATGTCACCGGCTCGTTTGAATTGTAGATGTTTTATTATGTGACCGAAAGGAAAAAAGAGAACATGCGGGGTATCAAAAAAGAAAAACTGCGCTCAATCCCTCCCAACGATTCTATTCTCCAATCTTCAAAAATCCCATAGCGGCACTCAACGTATCCGGATCAACCATTTGCTTCTGATTTTTGGTGTGTTTCTGCGACTCAATATCCTGCAGACATTCCTTTAGAATGCTGAGGATGGCTTGATATTGTCTCGATGCTGGCCCGAATGTTTCGAGGGCGTTTTCGAGGCTGTTTGATATCTAGCTGAAAGTTTCAATATGAGATTCTTTATTCATTACATATAAAGCACGTACCTTGCGCAGCAATTCATTATAATCTGTCTCGTCCGCCATCATGTGTCCATCGAGGGTGTTGATTCTGTTGGAGCGTGAGCTCAGGAGAGATCCCACCGTTGAAGCGGGCCCTGATAGGCGCTTATCGATAAGCTCCGAATTTCTCGCGACATCCGCCCTTCGTCTTTGCGACTGACTCTACAGTCACGCATTCGCTACAGAGCTCCTCGCCAGACATTCATGGCGGACGCAGACGAGGATGCCGTCCGTGGCACTACGGTCGAGGCCACGCAGATCGAAACCGATCTCTCCGACGAAACACAGGACTTTCGCCTACTAAATCACCTCAATTTGTACGTGCGCATCGAAGCGGGCAAGCTGCGAAATGCCTCGTCTAGCTTCGCAACGACACCCTCAGCATATGCATGTAGCATTGACTAACGAAATTGCAACAGCCTCACCGATACATCCTCCTCCGGCCTCCCCCGCCGCGGCGAGAAAGACTTCGAGCCCAATCCGACCGAGTTCCAAGCCGATGTCCTATCCGCCTCTCGGCAGGCGATGCACAATGCGCTCGCGCATCCTCGCCTTCACAATCCCAAAAATCAAGTCATCGCCATATATGCACCGGAAGGTCCCCCTCCCCCGCCCGCGGTGACACCTGGGCAGGATACCGGCAAACCTGTCGCTAGGGGCGCCAGTGTTTCGCCGGATGCATGTGTCTACGTGCCTACTCCGAAGGGTCAGCATTTCAAGAGTATGGGGCAGGCTGATCGGAAAGGTGTTATTTGGTTGTTACCCGAGGAGGCTTTGTATCTTCTTGAGCGGGGTAGTCTGGATATCCGTTGGCCGACTTCGATTACGGGTGGGATTGGCGAGGAAGGGTGTGAGGAGGAGTTGTCTATTCCTATGAGTTTGCAGGCGGCGTATGCGTGCCTCATTGGAAGAGGTGGATTGACCCTCGAGCGGTTTACGGTCTATTCCAGCTTGAAGAGGATCGGATATGCTATTTCTCGGGCACCGGGGTGGAATGACTCTGCAAAGGCGGAAGATGAAGATCGCCCTGATGCGTATACGCAGCCGCTCAAGCGCGGCGCAGGTCTCGCTGGTATACTGGGAAGCATCTTCAACTGGATCAACGATCCAAAATCCACATCATCCACAGCGGCTGGTCCCGTCATCGGATATGGAATTCATCGCAGCTACGGTAAGTCTCACGCACGCACCACACCACCCTCATCACAAACCCAACTAACCCAACCTACTTACTATAGCTGATATCTACAAAAAACTCGCCCTAATACCCTGGTACGATCCCACCCTCGCACCGCAACGCGACCCCCTAAACACAACAGCCCCCTACCGCGTAATCCTCCACGTCTACAAACCCAACACCTCAATCAAAAAATCCGCCCTCCCACCACCCGACTTCCGCATCGCGGTCATCAGCACCCGCGAAGCAACCACCATCCCAACACTGCCCCAACTAAGCGCCCTCCTCGAGAGTACCCCGCTCGATCCCCCACAGGGCGAGAAAATGGAGCGCAACATGTATATGCGGCTGCGGCATGGGTATCGCAATGTTATTTTGGCGGTGGTTGATCAAGGGGTGACGAGTTTCTTGAGGATTGCGGATGTTGCGTTTGGGAAGGAGAGGTTGTATGAGGGTGTGAATGGGCCGACGGGGCCGAAGAAGGGTGGGAATTTCAAAAAGAAGAAGAAGCGGTGATCTACTCTGTTGGAGGAATAATCGCACTACTTTGGTAGGGTGAAGGGCATGTTCTTCGGAATGACATGAAGTCGGGTACTGCTGGCGCTGGTAGTGGTCGAACAGGCCTGTTCTCACACAAAGCCCTGATTGTCTCGACAAAGCCAGACGGCATGCAAGATATGATCATTTCTACTCTGACGCTCATTAGCTAGAGCAATGGCTACGTGGTTTAGCCAACCTTTTCAACCTGAAAATGGGATATGACAAGCGAGGACAGCAGAAGATATGACTCGAGCTTGCCAATGCAACTAGACTGTCCGTACCAACCGTACGGAATCCATTTCTAAAGATAACTCTCTTCGATACAAACATCATAAATCATAACAGCCATGAATTCAGTCTACCCGCGCGGTATCGCATCCAAACCGCAACCCTTCTCAAAGTCTATACATCTCGCTCTGACTGCGCGCCCCATCAAACACGCAGGTGTTATCAAGAGGCACGTACTGTCTAGTGAGCACTTTGAGCGCCTCCTGCGCTACTAGACCTCCAGTCAGAGACGAAATGTTGTGCAGCTCGCCGCCCTCGGCGCGACGAAGTTCCTGGATAGCCTTCTTGATGCCCTCGCGGACGTCCTCCCCAAGAGGAACGGGCTGATCACGGCTTAGCAGAGCGAGAATGCGTTCGGTGTGGCTAGTCCAGAGACCCTCATTGTCAACCGACAGCTGAGCTCCCTCCTGACCACTATTTTGAATCTCATCTACAACTGCATCAAGCACATGTGTTGCGATGAACACCGAGATCAGGGAATCGGGTATGCTAAGCTGGCTGCGGATAGCCTTGAGCGTCATCGAATCGCTGTCACTGCTAATCTGCGGGACTGCACGACCATGGACAACCTTGATATGAGCGGCGTTCTTGCAGAAGACCTCGATCTCACGGTTGAGAATTTGCGGGGCCGATCGGCCCAGTTGAGACTCAAGTTGGCGTATCGTGGCGGTGACTTCTTCCACATCGCGACGGGCCTTGTTCTTGTAGATATTCTGCAGCGCGACGTAGTCGGCTGACTGGGCTTTCATGTCGGGCAGGGAACCTGGCAAGGGAAGCACGCCGTGTGTACTATAGAAGGTGCTGATTGCGGATGCGATTACCCAGAAGTCAGCTGACTGGGGCGTCAGCTGCTTGCACTGCTCCATCTCGAAGATCTCGCGGGTGGAACTGCGTAGGGTGAATGGTGAGATGGTCTTTAGAACGGCTGCCACTGCCTCGTCAAAGTTCTCCTCGCCACCTTCTGGATTGTCGATGCGTGCGTTTGAGCGGACAAACTCACGGAATTCAGTTTTCTCTTTGTAGCTGACTGGCGCATTGCCCCCGTGAGATTGTTTCCATTGCTCGAGGAAGTGGAGGAGAAGTAAGATGTATGGGACGTGGCCATGTTTATGGTCGTCCATAGCAGCCAAGTCTTCCAGGACCGAGGCGGCGGCGGCAAGTTCTGCCCATGGATTCAGAAGGCGCAGGTCCTGGGTCGTCTCTGGATCGGGGTGGGTCTCGACAATTGGAAACTCTGCATCCAGTTGCAGCGAGAAAGTTGAATAGAATCCAACTGAATGGACATATAGCACGGGAATGCCAAGTTTCTGCGCTTGCTGGGTGAGAGGGCCCAGCGAGGAACGCTTAGTCGGACCCGTGATGATCACCAGCTTATGCCGGGGCAAGAAGTCTGGGTCGTGGAGAAGCTCGGTGATATGCTATGCCTCGGGATTAGAGCCAAGAATTTGACGGTTCTGGGAGAAAGTAAACATACCTTTGAATAAAAGTACCCTTGAACGTCAGGATTTAACTCCCGCAGCAGTCGGCATGTTTCTTCCGCACGCGACTTGCCAAGTGACACCTCTTCCAGGAAGAAATTTACTCCTAGGTCAGATTCGGTGACAGTCGCCGGATCGACAATCGTGAAGCCTCCGATACCTGGCAAGACCAGGTTCTTGAGGGCCTCGACGCCAACAACGCCAGAGACTCCTGTACTGCCAGCGCCGAGCGGGCCGTCGGAGTTGACCAACAACACGCGGGAATCTTCCAAGGCTTGCTGGCCTGTGGCAGCCCACAGTCGCAGCTGGCGATCGTACTTGCGTTCTTTGGAGGTCGGCCCCGTCAACGCTGTTGGAAAGGAATCAGTCATGGTTGAAGGGGTGGGCGGGACAGAGCCGGTAGAGTGATTGTGGAAAAACAAAGAGGCTGGATCGATGGCCGATTAAACCATGCGCGGGTTCTGGATCAAGGGCTCTCAGCTTTCCTAGTTGCACTGGCCACTTCTCAGCTAGTCTGATGGTTCGTTCGACAAATTGGGCTAGAGCTGGAGTGTTGTTGATGACTGCGGATGTGGTGGTTTGACTAAGCTACGTGGGGAAATGCAGCCTGAGATTCTAGGCATGAAATCAGCCGCAAGAGGTCTGGACCGTCTGGCTAGGAAGCACAAAGCTATACCGATAATTATCGCCTTAAATTATGATTTTACGTGGTAGTGACTATCTGAGGCTATATATACAGCTAGAAGATCAACTTGATACTTCATATAGGCATTTCGGGAATTATTTCCGAGGATGTGGCCTGGTTTTACACCAAGAAATTTCTAATATCCCAAGACCAGGACCAGAGCTTGCATTGAAATCAGAGATCAACGCATCATAGGACAGATGCTCGTCCAAGCGACTTTTACCGGCTTGCTGCATCTTCACCCTGACAAATCCCTCTAGTTCATCCAACTCCTCCTGCGGCAAAAGAGAAACTCCATTCTCAAGAGACTCCCGACCGAAGTATTTACGGTCAAGGAATGTACAGTAAATATCATCAAACATGAAACTCTTCCTTGCAGCAAGGCAGAACCAAAAGAGCTCATTTTTCATGGACTGTGCCATTCGATCCGATAGTCGTTGAGAGTCTTCTATAGCGTTTTTTTCATACTTGGTCGTCTTCGCAGGAGCGAAGTATTTGGAGAAAAACTTGCAGACGTGGTACATAACGACGCAAAAACCCCGTCAAGTCCTCTTCCAAGCCTCAGGATTCTCGAAAAGAAGCCACCAGGGCGCAGTATATGTAAATTCAACGGGAGCAACATAAGTAAATTCCAAGTCAAATGACGCTGGCAATTGTGAGGGCTGGCCCTGAAACAAGTTCATTCGATGGCCGTAAGTCATCACAGTAAAGGCGAAAAGGGCCCAACGGTGGAAATCGAACCACAACACGAAATCCATCTTCGAACGCAACAGTGCAGCAGATATTGTAAGACCCGGTTGTAAATGACGACACCTCTGTTGCGCGTGCTCTTCGATAGTGCTCGCTTGCGAGTCTCAACGGCAGGCCAGGGGATTGCTGGCTCAGGAGTTGAAGCCAAGCTGCGAAGTACTGTTGGTTATCCCTCTCAGCAAGATGGTCCCAGTCCATATCAAAGAGTTTGAATGGCAATAGAGTAGAGAAAGAAATCTATGAGATCGGGAATCACCAGCTCCGGGGTCGAAATCGGGCTGTACTTCAATTACAAGAGACATCTTTAGAACCTTCGCTCTAGTTCGAATCCAAACAATCAGGACCTTCGTATAGCTAGTCCTAACAGATATCGTCCAATTCGTTCTCCATGCCCCAGATATGTTGAATACCTTCAGACACTTGCAGTTTTCCTACTTCAAAGCCATATCCATACAAAATCTCGCTTCCAGGTTGCCACAGAGATTGACTTGATAGGTCTAGTCGTAATAACTATTGGCCTCAATGGGTATGCCACAGCCAGCAGGTTGACGACTATTCACGTAGTCTGCGATCCATGGACCTTCCCCCTTGCCGTTCCACCAGTCAGGGCCACCGGGTGGTCCACAATAATAGTCGATTGTCCTGTCAGAATCCCCCACACATTGTTGAACACCATGTGAGATGACATTGATGCCTCGTCCTGCGATACTACCAATTTGGTTGGCGTTTGGAGCATAAACCACCGCAGTGCCCCGGTCACTGGTACCGCCACCTCCACAGGGACATTCTAGCACTTCCTTGACATCCACCGTAAACGCAGTGACAGCCTGGTAAAAGAGAACGCATATATCCCCGCCCTCGGCAGAGACACCGTTACAGGTGAATGTATTGGTGACTGAGTAAGTCTCAGATGAGGAGACGCTGAACCCAGCAGAGTCGAAATCTGAGTTCACGCCTAGACTTAAGCTCCATCCGAGGGTGGTCGCAAACCCGGTGCCAGTAGACGTCGAGGAAGTGTCGCAAGCCACGAGACTACCACCCTTTTGGGTGATGACAAAGTTTTGGTGTGGATTTCCATCTCCCACTTTCGTGTAGTGGTAGTATGGCGTGCAAGGTCCACAAACCGTATCGGTGGACTCTGTATGGTTGCTAGTGGAGCCGTCCCGTCTCACTTTGATCTTGTCCAAGTGCATGAACTCCTCCGCAGAGATGTTGATAGTGGTTGGGTACGAAGACACTGTCACTGCTAGTGCGAACAGTGTGCAAAAGAGCCCCATGATATGGTTGAAGAGCGTCATGATGACAGGACGTGCAGATCGTATCTTGGAGATGGATGTAGGATGTCTGAAGTCGGTTCTTTATTGAGTGACCTGCTGGCTTTGCACTTAGTCAGTCAGTCTTTGCATGAGACGAAACGGGTGCACACCGTGGCTACTAATATGATATCGAAAAGTCACCGCGAACCAAGACAGAAATGGCTTCAGCCAGAAACGATCGGCCTAGGTGACTATTGCGTGATAGGAGATGTACTCAAACCCTAGGGCAGAGGCTGAGATGGCTGAAAATCAGTTCGCTTAAATAACCCAGCAGAACAGGACTCCAAGATAGCCTGATCTCGCGAGGGAACGCTCAAGCCCGTGCTATGGGCCCCAAAGCAGGACCAAACCCAGCACTACTTACGACAAAATGGACTATGGATTTACGCTAAAAGGATTCGATCAATCGGTATGGCCGCGAAGCGATAATCCTTGGAGCTGGCTACACGCCAAATCAATATTCCCCGGTGGTAATTGGGTGCAGTCCATAGTATTGAGGAGAAAGAGAATCCTATACCTACACTGTACCGTTCCACTTTCATCCTACGACAAAGATTGTCGCCGATAATACTGGTTCACTTTACACCAACAGTACTCTGCATCTTTACCAAAAATCCGCTTCACCAGGTCATTCGGATGGGCACAAATCCCTTTCCATGCCTGAGGTAGCAAAATATTTTTGAAATATTCCAAAATTCATCAAAGACTCATAGTGAGGCGATGAGTCAAATCTGTATCTGCCATATCTGCCATATCTGCGCATGCTGTTTTCGTGTGATTAGAGAAAAAAATACGGCATGGGCATCGCTGTCTCTGTGACTTACTTGATAGAACAATATGTAGCGTACTCGAACAGGAAAGAGCGCAACAGGGGTAATCAGCCCCAGGGTACATTGATAGAGCTAGCAAGGGTCTGGTTCAGCCTCGCAAGTATCCGTCTATATAGAGACGTCAGTGGCTATGGACGACCAAACAACCTCGCGGGTCATCGGTGCCTATTAATCTCCGTAGTTGTACGTAGAATGCGCAGCAGTTTTAGGCTTCAGTAGGGTAGTCCAAGCATATCTCACACGAAAAGCTTGTCGACTCAATTTTGACTTTCGGGGGCCGGGGGCCGAACCAAAACTTGAGAAGGGGGCGAACTGACGCATGCACCAGACCGATCGAGGAAATGCAGTACATAGGGGGCATGTGAGAAAGATTTCAATAAAGATCCTTTGTCCTTGATCCTGGTGATGTGACCTTGACATGCAACTACAGGGATCGTAAACATTAATACCCCGCAATGACACAGGATTGCTCTTCGCTTAGGCACAGGACAGGCCCAATTGTGAACGGATTCTAACCCCTAGTATAGTATCGCGAGTCAGAAAATCAAGATTGGGTGTTCGTTGTGGAAGGGATCGGAGCATTGGTTGAAAGAACCTCGTATCCTCCGCAAGGTCCAGTGTGATCGAGTGCAAGCGATCCCCACGTTGGCAATAAATTTTAACAAGGAAACGATGGGAACTGTTAAAACAAGCGCCAATCGATCAAACATCGCCTGACCTCTCCACGGAAATATCCGAACCCGTTGTTTTCAACAACTTTGAGTACTTGGAATGTGTGGGAAGACTGACGGACGCTATTGTTGATGAAATTTCTCAACATCTTTGAATTGAATTGAAAAAGAAAATCTCCCATAGTTTGGTGGTACGATATACAATATAGTGAAAGTTACTGCTGCACGGCCTATGACGCTAAAAGGCTTTGGCTTTGGAACCTCTCGAGATGTGGGGTATTGGACAGGCTAAGCTCGCGGATGGTTTCTGGTGGCGACAATGGATCATATCCTCATCCAATAAAAGCATCAGTTCCTCCTGTGGCTGATATAGCGTACGGCTAACTGAGAGTGCCCTAGCGGAGCTGGGGCGGAACCGAAGCCATTGATCGCATTAGGGTACCCGTGCACATTTCCAAAAAGTTATAAGTGAGAAGGATTCTTCTCGGTGTAGACTCCAACCGGGTTTAAATTTAAAAAGGCAAGGTAACTCTGGCCGCCCCCGCAGCGACTGCCAAGCTGTGAGCATTCCGACCTGCTGGTAAGTGAAGCGGTATCGTCCTGACTGTCTCTCCTCAGGCTTTCCCTACTCTTGACTAACATCAGCAGTGCCCAAGGAACTTTCCACTTTGTGCCCTGTCTTTGAGATTCACCTCCTACCAAACTATGGTCGAACCACTTTCTGTCGATGACTATACTGCCGGTCAGAAGATGTCTCAACGCTCAACTACAACGAGAAGTTCATTTTTCAATGCTTACCTCATCATCTCATCTCTCTGTGCTATAGCCGCCCTGGTCATTGCTGCAGTCGCGCTACATAAAACCAATGAAGGGGTGGCATTTAGGTCTTCGTCATTCATAAGTGACATGGAGCGTACTTTCAACAGTACGGTATACGCTATTGCGAATAGTGGCCCAAATGCCCCGGCATGCCAGGATCTAGGGGCAGAATCGGTGACTGGCCAAACTTCCATCCCAGGCCAGTGTGTCACCGTTGCAGAGAGCTATAATATTTGGGTCACCAGACTTGCTTCTAATTGTGTTCCTGTTATCTATGGACAAGAGAACTGTACGGGTGTTTCTAGGGAGGTTCCCGTCAGCCCTCCAACATGTGTTGTTGCGGCAGGTGCCGCAAAGCTGGAGGGCAATGGAGGCAACTTTTACAAGAGCTTCAAGATATTATGTACTTAGTGTTTAGGTTAGTTTAAGAGGGAGAGTGGATGGGTTTGGTAATGGAATTGCTTGATATGTCCCCGATACCAATGAGAGGGACAATTTACGAAGTTCAAACATTTGAGCAAACCCTAGGTATCTAGCATCTTACGTCTATTACACAAAACACTGCGAACAAAATTTAGTCAGCGTATCACCTCTGCCGATATTCTCGAATATAGTACTGATATACACGGTTTGCTTTCTCTTAGAGAGCGTTGCGTTATTTTCTGAGTGTAAATATTCGATGACTTGATAGTTTTATGATATTAGCTGCGTCGTGCTAATGCTTGCTTGCAGTGCTATAGGTGGTAGGTATCCCGCCAAGTTAGTAGGGAAAATTGAGTAAGATTTCAATCCTGCAGCGCCTCTGATACGAAGAAAAACCGCACAATTTCATTCGCACGGGGAAGAGTGGATTTTTGTTTGGCTCTGTTGTGCCTTTGGAGGCACAAACCCAGGCCTTGGACTAATCTTTATCCTCAATACGGACTCGGAAGTCGAACAAATAGTGGAAATGCACATCGAAATATCTTGCTATCTGGCAAATGAAAAAAAAAGTTCTTCCTCGTATAAAATATGATGGACTTAGGCCTCATTGTCTAATCATAAATCTATCGACAGTGTGTCTCTTAAGTACTAAGTAAGGGCTTACTCTAAATCGCAATTGAGATGCCTATCTATCTATTCACGCTCAATGAGACTAGTGAATTCGAGTTTGCAGTGCAGTATATGTGATAAAGGTGTACGCCAAAGGCCTTTGGCCTATGGATGCCCGCTCAGACGCGTCTAGGCAATTGTAGTGGCGGGCACTGTAGGGTATTAGGTGTTGCACGTGACTGAGACTACTGTAGCGGATAGTACCCGCTGAATTTGTTTGGCTCCCAATGACGCATCAGGGTCTCAGCCCCAGCTGGAGCTCAATAGCACTAACCGTATTAGTTCATTTCCAAGCATTGTAGATCGCACTAACCATATCAGGCCATTATGAACCATATACTGTAACCTTCTTTTCGGTCCGCTCGTGTTTTTTTAAGCCATGAAACAGCCCAGAGCAGGCACTGCCGGCATGACGGTCGGCTTGCTCTGCAGTATATAAGGGACTTTCATTCAGGGTCTTGCACAAGAGAAGCACTAAGCATTCTTCACAGTTTTTCCCATCAAGACTACAGCCAAACAATTGTTCATACAGTCACTCTGTTCATCTCCATTCCACCCAATGGACAGCCATCGCGAGCTACATCTCTACTATCGTGACGGCCACTCCCGCCTCGATATCACAGACTCGGACAAGCACACTGTCCTCTACACAGTCCACCGGGCCTCCTCCAAGCCACACCTGACCATCTTTCGAGCACCGTCTGCTTCCACTGGCGGTTTCATCATTGGCCAAGTGTCCTTTCACCACTTCTCTTCCGGCATCGACCTTGACAGACCAGGACCACCCCTTGCGATGCGGAAGACGAGCAAGATGTCGAGCAACTACGAGGTTCATGGCAATAGTATCAACTGGCGATGGGAGCGTGCCAGGGCATTGACAAGCAACATCCGACTTGTGGATAACTTTGGTGGCGGGGTACTTGCGAGATTTGAAAATGCAAGCTTTTCTGTAAAGAAGCAGGGGACGTTGAGTATTCTGGGAAGGCCGACGTGGGACATGTTGGATGCGATTATTATCACGGGGTTGGCCAAGATCGAGTACCAGAGGCGAAGCAGTTCTGCGCAGTCTGGTGCTATCAATGCCTCAAATCTTGCTGTCACAAATCAGTAGAGATTCTGTCAGTGGTATTAAGTCATTGAGCAGAGAGGAGGATTATCTATAAGCATGTAGCCATTTTCCTATCATACGTCATTCAACGTCCTGTTCAGAAACCGTCGCCCATCCTAAATGTATCGCTCATAAGAAGAATAACCCCTTCGCCTCTGTCCAGATCATCTGATCAACCCACGACCCGTATTCTATGTGTCCCATAGCGGCTGCCCTCTTACTCCGAGAATACGTCGCCTCCAACATAGCCACCGCGTCTAGTGAGCTCAGGTCCCCGAGATGATCGCACAACTTGCTTAGAGAACTGCACAGGAATGGCCGTTCCTCGGGCAGCTCGGGATAGGAGTCGAGCTCCATGCCCGCCACAAACATCGGCCACATGAGGAACTTGCCGCACCAGGAGGCTGGATCCTTGGGCTCAATGTCCCACAGTCGGTGGATCGCACCGAGGAGCATCTTGAGCATGTGATTCCGCAGAGTTGCGGCGTTGATGATGACAGAACTGGATTCGTGTTTCGTGCCGAGTGCGACCATTATACGGGGAATCCTGAGCTGCATCTCGGGGAATGGGAACAGAGTCTGCAGGCAGTAGAGAAGCACGGCTGCTTGGAATGCCTTGGCGAGATCCTCCCATCTTCCTCTGAGGTCTCCCGCAAAGCTGGACGACATGGCTGACGAAGACGTAATTAATGACAACGTCGGGGTAGCATCGGCAATGCCCGCAGGGGGACCATCCCCGCCGATTATCGTTGTCTCGCTGTCTGATGAAAATTGCGATTGGGACGAGACCGTCGGCCGCTGGGTGTTGTCCCGGTATTGCTTATCTGCCCAGGCCTTAGGGAGAGAAGGAAGCAATGTTACAGATCAATTCCTCCGCAAGGCCGTGGATGTGGCTAGAATCAGCAAACGAAACAGAGCTAAGGAACCGCGCGTAGTTGATCCGGATAAGACACTCGACTAGATCGTTAGGGCAGGGGAAGCCAGACTCCAAGCCATCTCGGTACAAGATTGGCAATTGAGGAATGTACTCCAGCTGCTTGACAGTCTTGGCTTCCAACAAGGTCGTTGGAGTCATGGTGGTGCTCATTACATCGACCCTGCGAATTATCAGCAAAAAATTAAGAAAAACCCTTTGAATTTCGCTGGAGATTTTGCGCATACAGCATAAACTCGGACAGAATGAAGTCTAAATTTCCCCTCTTCGACTCTGCAAGCGCGGTAAATCCGCCTCGGTGAGCGACGATCGTACGTGCGGCCTCCAAGTGAGCAGGCCAAGCCCCAAACGCCGACTGTTGGATCTGCAAAGCTATCAGCACAAATATCCTTCAGCAGAGAATGACTGAAGTACCTCGCATCTCATCAGAGTGACAATGAGAGTCAGTACCATATCATTATCCTTTGCTTGCGGGCTCATCAGTTCCGCATTGAGAGACTTGAGCGTGCTCCGCTGGTGCTTGTAGATACTGGGCATGGACGGATGATCCACAGCGCCTAGGTGATGGCGTTTGAGATTCTTGTCGTCATTAATTTTGGCTCTGTAAGTCAGTAAGCCCGAACCCGCCTTGGACCGGATGACCTGCGTGGTCAAGGCTGCGCTGATAATCATGTCCATGATCATCTCAGGGAAATAGGCCCAGTATTCGACGGGTAGACGGTGTGGGTTGTGAGGGTTGTCGATGAGGACTAAATCTGGGCAGATATAGTCGTTGTCTACAATGGTTGGCCACCGTCTGCGGGTAGAAGATTGTTGAATAGACTCACAGTAGTTAATGCAATGGATGGCTAGGCGATCTGCCTCGTACCCCGGGGGGTTCAGATTCGGGCTTCTGGGTAGCCATATCTTCCCGCCAGACGCGTTCCCCTTTCGTATGTGTTTTTTCTGCTGAATTCGCATATCTGCGGGCTTTGCCTTCGCTTCTTGGGTCATCAGCACCAGCCGGGGACGACCTCGCCTCTTGGCCGTGGCCACCGTAAAGGGTAGGTCTTTGGTCGAGCTGCTGCTGCTACTGCTGCCATCGCCACGATCATTTGGCGTAGCATAACATGCTGGACCTTTGCCTCCCGATGCTGCCGGCGTGTGTGTCTGCGGTAGAACCCAGAGAATAGGCTGCGCTCCATAGCCCAGGCACTCGACTCCGCGGGTGGCGCATTTGTTACAAGTGGGTTTCGTGGCATCGCAACGGAGCCGTTGACGACGGCAGGTGTGACAGGGAGATTCCTTTGAGCCTTTCATCTAGCGCCTCGTAAGATTATTTGGAGTTCGTGATCTCATCACCAAGGGAATACGAGTTTCTAGGACATCTCAGCCCAAAACTGCCTGACATTTTAGGTGTCTATTTGTGCGCCTCGCCGCTTTTACCTTTTTGCTTACTCCAGTAGAGTTTAATTGAGTTCGCCTCTCGTCGACCGTGCTATGGCCGCGCTAGTCCATTTCCGTAATCTTAGAATTGACTTGGTAATTATTTATTCTTTGCTCTTCTAGGTAAACGTACTACTTTCACCTAAACTAGCTTCCAAATATTTCCCTTTGACTCTTCTTTGAAAGGTCTGAAAGGACCTCTACATTTTCGCATTACTACCACGTCAAGCAGCTCGATCTTCTCTCGCGCTAGCGCTAAATGCGCTCAGCTTTCACTTCGCATCCACTGATGCCTTAAATAAGCCCCTGGGTTGGATGGATCACTGTCGGACCTATCATTGTGAGATAATCATCGCAATGGCTATAGCATTGGGAGAATCGAATGCATCAAATCACACTCTTAATATCAGTGCCAGCTTCTCGAACGCCTCCACCTCCACCTCCGGCAGAAGTCTGGCTTCCGTTTGAAGATCTAGCGTCAGGAAGCTCGCGATCCTCAAATTGTGTCCTGAATTCCGTTGTCACAATGATGTTCGTATCGTTCATAATATGTCCTTTGCTGTCGGTTGAAGTCCGCCTATCTGGAAGTTCCACCCAGTCTAGATCATCCTCTCCTCGCCCAAGCGCTTTGCGATCTCGCTGATGGGTTGAGTGGCTAATAATGTGTGACTGGTTTGTACCATAAACAACATAGGTACCATGCCTCTGGTCATTGTAGCGGCTTGAAGTCTTTTTGCTGGTGAAGCCGAGGTGTTGAAGGACCCGTTCCATTAGAGGTCTGATAGGCGGAACGCAGCCGACGACGGTTACAATCCAGGCTTCAGTTGAAGCCCAAATGAGAAGCGGTGACTGGGCGTCTGTAAAAGCAAAGTCGACGTGTCAGTTCTGCCGATAGAGAGAGAAAATCGAGGGGTATTTACGCACAAGTGATATCGTTAGTCTCAGTTAGGGCCTTTAATTCATAGCACTTGAATGCCGAACACACTGCAGCTCTGTTTTCCAGAACCGCTTGGGTCAGTCCCGGATATTTCACGTTCGGGGTCAATAAAAGCAAAAGAAGCACGTACATCCATCCTAGACCCATGAGAATAGATAATGCAACTTTGATTCGCCACTTCATCTGAAGACTCCAAAACAAATGGACCGGGTATGTAGCCAACGCGGCATCGCAGAAAACGTTGAAACCTAAACCAAAATTAAGCTTTGATTTTGTTTGCTATTTGGGGGAAGGAGGGGGAACAAACTGGCTTGAAAAAAGGAATAGTTCTGATTCATCTTGCGTCCCGGATCGCATGTCCCTGGGAGAGCATCATTCCATAATTTCTCCATAGGAGAACACTGGCCAAGAATCGTTCCCATCACAGTGATATTGATGGCAAATATCAATACACCGAGTATAATCAGTAGCCATGGTTTGGAAGCGTGTCGGCCGCGGACCTGCATCAAGAATGCCAGGATCGCCAGCTTGCCGAGCATACTTGCGCCAATAGCCAGAAGTTGAAACGCCCATCCCCATTTCAATGCGACAACTAGACTCTCATCTGACAAGTCTGCAGCGTGGTTTCCCATACCTGCCCTGACAGACAGTTGAAGGAAGACCTGGGCGGTAGTCTGAGTAACCTGCATCCGGGAAAGTTTGTGGTTAGTACCAATACGCGGGCCACCTGATTGCTTTCTTGAGATCGTAGATAGTCTTCTTCGAGGCACTCACCACCGTCAGCGCTGCGATCCCAAAATCCCATCGAAACTGTCCGGTAAACTTCCAACTGCTCAGAAAGCGCATTGTCAGGAATATCAGGCCGATGCATGTCTCTGTCCATGTGACCATCAAGACGGCTGCTGACATCCCCGCTGCCATGTTGACTGGAGGATTGAAAGCCTTTACAAAGTCTTCTTGCCGGTCTTCAAATCAACAGTCAATGCATGAATATAGAGTATAGAGCATCGCAAAAGGGAGGAAAGGAGGAAAATATCATGTAAATCAGACTCAATGCATCTCAGTCTCCCATTTTTTTCTTTTCAAGTTCTTGGATCGATGAACTACTGTCCAGGATAGCGTGCCGTCTATTAGGCTAGACTGATCCGACCCAGGCTGCGCACTAAATTTTCGTCCAGGATAATATTGTTACCACGCACCAGGAACCACCGAAGAGCCACGCTTGCAAGGGAGTTTCATTGAATTCCACGAATCGCTACGTAGCTTGGCAAAGCCGATAATTCTCAAACAATTACGGTGTCTTTTCGAATACAGGCCAAATTCCCACCGGATTAAAGTAGAGATTCTAACCAGAGTTGTGAAATTGCCCTTTTTAATCCCTACCCACAGCAGGCATAGAGAGATTGATAGAAGATTGAGACAAGAGGGCGATTGTCCTTTCCCCGCGATTTAAAACAGTTGGCCATGGACGCAATAGCCGGTCCGACACAAGTATACAAGTACACATGTAGACGAGGCTAGCGGGCACTCCTTCGAGGATCCATTGACCAAAGATTAATGCATGTCCTATCTTACCCCCTCCATTGGATAAAAATTCCGACACCTTCAACCCCTTAATATAATGTTTCCGGTGACTAACAAAATACGATATTCCTGCGCAGCTAACGAAGCGCAGCAGCAATGCTTGGCTGCGCAGGTGGACCAGGAAGTTATGACGCGGCTACCAGGGTGCAAGGAACTACGGGGAACTAAACATGCACTAAGAGGGGCCAAAAGGCAAATCTGTTAATTCTCAAAGGCCAGGATTGGCCAACGCCCACAGAAGCTTAAATAATCAGCACCTTAATTGGCCCGTAGTCATACAATGTATGGCCCCAATTAGACCCCTGTTAACTAAATTTCCACCATTCACCCTCACAAGGCTGTACTCCGATAGCCCTTTATCCCATGTCGGCCTTCAGCCACCGCCATGGATACACGCGGCCCTCTTGCCGTCTCTCACATTTGCAGTGTTTAGTGTGCGCCTAGCCGGCTACTGCAGTCCGGTGGCTTCAAAGAATTTCGCGTTGTGAATCCACATCCGAATCTGCTTGCCACGGTAGTAGAAGGGGATGTAGACTAAGTATATTGCCACGTTGATGGCAGCAACCGTCATGAATACGGATAGAGCGCCGCTTGCCGTGACGAAGTCGTTAATCACCCACGTCCAAATCCAGGCGATTGCGCTCTTGAGTGCGGCGATGGTCACCATGATCTCCACCGAGAGCTGCAGTTCGCGGACAAATTTAGCCCCAAGTAATCTTTCTTCAAAAACAAAAAGACAGGAGGGAGAGGGGAAATCCAAAATAAGAAAACATACCTCCTGATGGCAGTCGAGAGCGTAGTTCATTCCAAGTGTAGTGCCCATTTGGCTGCCCACTGACAGAATACCAGCACCGATAACCGGCATAGCCCAGTGCATCTGGTGCTCGTAAGACAAACCAAACCAGAGAGCACCGAAGAATGTAAAGAAAGCTGCGACCAAGCAGGTTGGCAGGCGCATTTCAGGCTCACGGATACCATGGTTGCGCTTCGTAAAGAAATTAGCAATCCAGTCTCCGCAAGGCCCAGAGAAGTATACTCCGAACAACGAGCCAACGAATGGAGACAAGAAAAAGAGTCCCTGGGCATTTGAGTTGAACTCATAGGGTGGAGGTGAGAACAGTTGGGCCACGGTAGCACCGAGAATTACGTTCCAACTCAAGGCCAGACCGTACACAAAGCATGACCACACAACAGTTGGATAAGCGAGAAGAACAAAGGGGCGCAAAAAGACATGGAGCAGGTTGACGTCCGGGTCACCCTTGCTCCAGAACTGGAGTTCCTGTAGCCACGTTCTCTGAGAAACCGTCTGCGACACGTTGTTCACTGAGCCATCCTCCTTCTCCTTGATAACAGTTGCACTGGGAGTTTGGTTGGAACTGGGCCGCGCAATCCTACTCGATAAGATCTGCGGGCGGCTCCCGGTAAACTTGGTCTCGGGCATGAACATGAATATCGAGATGAAGTTCGCGGCAAGGAACATCGCCACGATCCAGAAGGCCCAGTCCATGCCTAACGCCTGGACGATGAATCCAGAGAACATAGGGCCGAGCTCGTTACCACCAAGAACTGCTAACCCATACATCGAGACCAGCTCTCCGCGATTATGGAGGAAGAATATATCCGTAATAGTGGACGGCACGATGGACTCGATCGGAGCTTCCCACGCACCTAGGAAAGCACGACCCACGATAAACACCGTGTAGTTCTGATTAGAAGCCACGGCCAGCCAGATACAAGCGATGATCATCAGAAAACATGACGCTAGATATACCGGGCGTCGACCGTACTTCACTGCGAAGGGCATCCAGACGATATTCCATACGCCCTGGTTGATCAGAGTAGCACCGTTTGCGTAGGTCAATACCTGCAAAGTCTTGCCAAACGTTTGAGCGAGCTGGTTCATGCCTGTATCCTCACGATAAGTGTGATGTCTTCGCATCGTATTCGGGGAGTAGATGTATACCTGCAGCCATGATGGGGCCAGTGATCGCACCCATAAATGCATACCAGCAGCCATTGAAGAAGGTCAGACTCTTCTTAGTCGATGTCCAATTCAAAGGGTCATTTGGGTCATTGGTCGACGGCTGGGGAACGAGCAGGACGCGCGAGTCACCCTTGGTCCGATGCTTCAGTTGAGATACGTCAACATGGGTGCCCGTGTTGGAACCTTCATCGAAAAGAATCTCTGTTCCAGGTACGGCAGGGAAGTACGCCGCAACATCTTCATCCGACTCATGCGACATGGGGAACAGTGGTTGGGAAAGAGTGTGCTGAGATATGTCAAGGATCTATGAAAACAAAGGTGAACGACTGGAAAAGAAAAGAAATGGTGAAAAAGGAGCGGGACGATTTACCGGCATCGATGCACGGCTATACGACTTATAATTGAAATTTTAGCCGAATCCCATTATCTGGACAATCTCAGGAAGGACAATGCCTTGCGTAGCTTCCAAAACGAGTCCGGGGTACATGGGTCGTCGCATCAAGGGCGCATGTGCGTGGCGCAAACCAATCTGGCGGAATGGCCCCCAGCGCTATACACATTAGAATGCATTAGCGCAGAGCCAAGAAGACCGGCTTGCAGCCCTGGAAGGCGAGACTGTGAGAGGCTTCCGGGAATAAATTGCAGGATTAAATTAAAGGAGCGAGGGAGGGATATGAGGAGGCATTATGTCCCAAGATTCAGTCCCAAGATTCACTTTGGGACACGACGAACCACTGCCGGCACACACTTTCAATGGCACCTTCAGAGGAATTTGTTTCTCATGCAGCGGCTTCCCTGCCCGGGTTAGTCCCTGTCATGATCGTTGGCGGTGGACCGAGCGGCCTCTTGCAAGCACTGCTATTGTCTCGTCTGGGAGGTAAACTTGACCGGTCCCATGTGTCAGAGGGAAAGATCAATAAGATAGAAGAATCGGAATTGTCTCATGCTAAACCACCCTTTGAAAATAGTTCGGTCCTTGATCATAGAGCGTTATCCCAAACGTCTGGCAGCACCCAAAGCTCACGCAATTAATCCGCGCTCGCTAGAGATTCTACGCCAATTCGGGCTGGGGGAGGCACGCGTTCGCGAGCTGGGAACGTCACGTAAAGATGCTTATTGGGTCAACTTCGTCACCAACCTCAGCGGCGATGCTATCGGGAGGTTGCCGTACGAACGCATGGATCTCGCTGTACTGGATGACACTCCGGAGGTAAACCAGAGTCTATGTCATAGTGAGGCAAAGATATTTCAGGCTGAAAACAGTTGAAAGATGATCCACAATATTCCCCAACCAGTGCTAGAACAAGAGCTAGCGGACCATGTTGCGCAAGACCCAAATATTGCGTTGTGGAAAGGCCTCAGTATCCACGGTATAGAGCAGGTATATACGAATGTCTCCAGATACTCTACATTAATATTCGAACTGGCTGATTAACTCTGCAATCTCTTAGACAGACGATCATGTTCTAGCTACCGTTCTGGAATGCTCGACAGGGCGACTACACTCGGTTCGCTGTCGACATCTTGTGGCATGCGATGGCCGTAAGAGCAGGGTCCGTGAACTCATAGGGATTCTTTCCGAAGGAGAGGAATCCGACGAGACCATGATGACTATACACTTCAATGCTAATCTACGATCCGTCGTGGGTGATCGCGCGGGCATGCTATTCTGGATCATGGACCCAAATGCGGCAGGATTCATTATTGGCTACGACCTCGACCGCACACAGGTTCACATCAGTCAGGTAGATACCACTAAGCAGCCTATCGAGTCCTGGACAGACGATCTATGTCGGGCCAAGTTACATGCTGCTATTGGTCAGGATATTCCTTTTGATATCCTTAGTGTTCGACCATGGGTGTTCAGGCGCCAGATCGCGCAGACGTTCCAAAAAGGGAACGTTTTTCTGTGAGTATCTCGCTTACGAGAGGATCGCTGCAATCTTAAATATTGACCTTTTATCTTAAGTGTCGGCGATGCTGCCCATTCATTCCCACCAACGGGAGGCCTGGGGTTGAACTGTGGAATAGCAGATGCCCATAACTTGGCCTATAAACTTGCTTTCGTTCATCACAATGTGGCTAATACATCTATCCTCTCCACATACACGGGTGAACGCAGAAGCGTGGCCGATACCTATTCGAGGCAAAGTGTCAAGAACGGCCAGCAGATATTCGCTCTTTTGCGCAGCCTCAACACAGCAGGGGTAGACGACCCTGACCAGGCACGCCGCAATATGATGATCGCCCTGGCGGACCCCGTGCAGAGAAAGAAAGTTGACGAGGGAATTAAAGGGCAGAGAGAGCACTTTGACAACGTAAGTACATCATTTGGTATAGTAATAGTGAGTAAAATCGATTAACAGCTTTCAGCTTGGGCTGCATATTGGTTACGTATATGGAGCTATTGAGCCACCTCTTGATGCCTCATGCTACTCACCCAAGTTCATCCCCGGGGCTCGCCTGCCACATGATTGGATCTCGTTCCCCAGCCAGCTTTCGAAGGCGAGTCAATCTGCACGCTCGTCACTGCCTTATGCCCCAATCGATGTGTCATATGTGACCGAACTGGACGAGAAACAGGTTGAAGAACATCGATGGAGTACATTAGATCTTTGTGCACCCGATGCCTTCACTTTTATTCTGGGCACCAAGGATATTCAACTCCGTTCTGATATAGCGCAGATCCAAAAGTACTGTGAAGCTAAGAATCTTCATTTGGATATCTGGCACCTCGGTACCGATTTTGAGGTAATAAGGCAGAATTGGTTTTCGATGAAGCTGAACGAGACAGGCGGAATACTCGTTCGGCCCGATCAACATATCATGATGGTGATCATCGACACTACGACAGGGAAGGAAGTGATTTCAAAAATTGACAGTCACCTTGGATGATACTAGAGAGATTCTGTTAACCATTGCCCCTTCTCATCCCATATATACACCGTTGTTCTTTGCTTTCGGTCGCAGTCATGATTTATGTACTCCGTACTTATTGCTTCATCGATTTCTATAATCATTTTGGAATTTGTATTAAATTTTCCCATTCCTCTCTGACGTCCTGTGCCTCACGGCACGGGCTATGCCTTCCCGAGTACTTGGTTGCTGTCTGCTTCCACAAAGAAGTTAACTAATCCTTGAAACTAGATACAATATAAGTATTAACTATACAACCTTGGACAGGTCAAGGTGTGGCGAAGGATTAAAATTCAATGAGTCTTAATTTCAAACGCCCCCCCTTCTCTCCTGAAATCATCCTATTTCCAATTATTGCGACCCAGAGCAGTGAACCTCATTTCCAATGCACCAAGATCAAAGGTCGAAAGCACGTTGTTCAGGAATGTACCACCAAGCGTATAGGGAGAGTCATTCCCACCATCTTGGAATCCAACGGCGCACAATCCAGTACTTGAATCAAATTGAGGCTGCATGATCAGGTCCGCCGGGCTGATAGTGAAGTTAACACTGCCGATAGTGAAGGCCATTTTAGGCGCCGTAGCGTTGCACGGAACTTCATAAATCCCGGAAGTATTGACATAGGTGGCAGCAGGATTGAAGGAGTTGGCAATAATAGTAGACAGGGCTTCTTGGAGTTAGCTAGGCCCCCATGAGTAGTTCGATAACTGGAGGCGAGAATCTGCACACTTACCAGTAGGGAGATAAGTGACAGTAGTCCCAGTATCCACAATGGCTAGGAACGACTGGAAATGAGTGGTATTTGTTTTGCCTTTATTCTTTTTTGCTGCCGTCACGGTAGTGCCCTCGATCTTGATGTTGTAGAAGTCGTCTCTTTCGATGGTAGGCACTGTGCTTGTTACCTGATTCTGGAATTCAAAATATCGCGCTAGTTAGTCACATAATCCCTTATAGATAGAATAGAAGCACTCACACTAAGGATAGCTGTTGATGCAGTTTTCCCAGTAGTGTTAACGGGGGGAATTCCACCAAAGGAAAGGTAGCCGTTGTCGCCGTTCCGCTGTGGTGCGAAGCTGAAGGTTGGCAGGCTCAACTTCTGATTGACCATCTTGTAGAAAACGGGCTCATAGGTCTGGTACTCCCCCTTGACGTTCTTAGACGGATCATTGCCTGGCCACTCGCCAGTCAGGGACGAAAATGCCAAGCCAAACAAGCCGCTGACAGAGGTTGGGAAGTATGCTTCAGTGACACTTGCTACCTGGGCGTTGTGGACTGTGATACCAGCAATAGTAATATCTTCCCAGCCAAATGTGCCAGCCACAATTCCCGTACCATAAGAAGTATTGAAGTTCACATTTCCGATCTGTCCACCTGTGTAATTCCCGGAGAAGGTGGGTGTAGTAGAGCAGTCACTTTTCTATGTCATATTAGAAAAACGAAACTCGGCACCAGGAAATGACTAGAGGGAGTATCTTACAGGCACCTGAACTCCGTTAGAATTAAGGCACTTATAGTCTTTCTGGAGCAACCATGTATCACTCGACCCGGTATCCAACATCATGTCGAATGTTTCCTTACCCCAGGTAACTTCAGTGACATAACGAACTTGTCCATAGTCGCTGATGTTTGTCTGCCCTCCAGACTGGCGACGATAACGGCCTTTTTGACCACGGAAAGAATGTGGGTGATGCAGCGCCCTCACGGGCACGAAATTATCGGTCACAACATCGGGGCTAGGGGTTCGTCTTCCAATAGACCCAGGAACATTTGCAGCGAATCCATGAATTCCGGCAGATGAAGCTACAGCTGCGCTCACTAGCAAAGACGTGATCCACGACTGAACCATGGCACAATATCAAAGTGATGAAGGCTTGATCAGGAAAAAGCTTATCAAGTCTAAGAATGCGTTAACCGAGCGGTGGGCAAGGCTTGTACTTATACTGATGGATAGGTCCTCGTTTATGATTTGAGAAAAGGAGTGATCTAGTCGACAGGTGATGAGGGATTAGTGACAATTTACCGAATCAACGCTAATTGCCGAACAGCTCATTGAAGGTTCTCGGCTGGGATCTACAGTAGTCATAACCATATCAGAATCAAGCCTCATAAGCCGGCCCCACTTAGAGAGAAATGGCGGGAGAATATCGACGAACCCTGAGATGAGCTAAACCCTTTCCAGAGATAGGGAGATCGGGTCCGAGACAGGCCGATGGTGCCTGACAAGCCATGAACTGGTTCGTGCTAATCATTACCAATTCGGTTTACATGGCCTCAGCCGGGAAAGCTCGTGGCGCTGCACTACGTTTATGGAAGGGGAAAGAGCGAACTTTTCCGCGATGGCGGCACCTAGCAGGACGCCAGCTGAAGCTCTGAGTTCGTTCGTCCAAGCAGACAGAGCTAGGGCAAGGCCGGTTTAAGAGCGAGGCACGAGGGTTGAGAGGACATTGGACTGATTGCCCGAAGGCAAAAGTGCACAAGAAAGAACTGCCACAGGTCTATACCAGCGCACGATCGGCGACGATGAGAGCTATCTCGACGAACAGACCAATAAGCAGTGGAAGGTGCGAGGAAGGACAGTTTGCTGGGCGAGCTGAGTGTAAATTTAGAGCGAATTTTGCTCTTCGCGGATTTCTCACTCAATGATAATTAGTACAATTTCAGCTCGTATTCGGCGCAGGGATTCGCAGATTTATTTTCTGTTCTAGCTGGTCTATCCTGGGACGATACGTATTCGGGCTAGATCGATAATCCACTCCGAAGATTGGAGTCCTAAGAAATGGTAGTCTCAAGTGCAGTAAGTGCCAGGAGATGAACTTGATTGATCCACTCGATTGGCCGGATGCACCCCTGATTAAGAAAGCCATTATTTCTACTAGCTGGATCTTCAGCTGCGCCGTTCTGGAGCTCTGGAGTAGGTTATGCAGAGAAATATCCCTAAGACAGGGTCTTCTAGCCTCGGGTGGATTCAATAGGGTTTATGCATCTCCGTATGTACATAGATAATACGATCTACACGTTCGTGGCCATGTGGACAAAGACCCCAGAAGGGTTCATTATGTACTTTCACTCTCCGGCCAGTGGCCACAGATTACCCGATAAAATTCAATAGTACATTTGTTACCCACTCGTATCTCAGCTACCAGATCAACCTTACCTCTGTATAGCTGTAGTAAAATCTTTGTTAAATACTGTTAGGTAAATTTCAAAGATTCAATCATGCAGCACTCATGCACTGCGGGGAGACATATCAGGCAATCTGTGGCCAGAGAGGGTAGGTTGGCCGCGCCGAGGTTGGAATATGCATGGCAGGATCGGATGAAAACTAGAGAGAGAACAATGGAGAATTATCTATGGAGCTATTTTTGATTCGGGAACATTCCAGAACTATGCCCCTTTTTTTCCCTATTCTGATTTCCATTGTATGAAAGGCCCAGCTATGCCGCGTTTGGGCTTAGCGGGCCAGGAAAATACGTCTCCTAGTACTCCGTAAGTGTAGACGATTCTTCAGATGTGGACCCTGTCGCGCGATAAGAAAGGGGAATATGGGAGTGTTTTTTTATCAGCTACGGCTGCGTCTTTAGCCTGTTCATCGTCCCCAGTTCGTTGCATAGTTATTTCGGTTATTCTCCCTAGTTCCTAGGTTCAGGGTGATTAGTGCAAAATTTGTAAATATACCTCAAACCCCTCGATCATGGGGTAGTGGAATGCTATCTAGGTTAGATCACCGTCCAGACTGGTTACATCTGGTTCAAAATGAATATAGAACGTGAGGTTAAATTAAATTGAAACTTATCTATAAGGCTACACAAGCCCTAGATTTCGAGATAGTCCAAGAAATCCACCCCGCGAAGAGATAGTTTTCGTTTCTGAGCTGCCAAGGCGCAGCTGATTGCCGCTAAGCATGCTGCTGCGAGAAGTGAGCGCTTGCTAAGGCTAATTAGCCTGGTTAATCTGGTCACCCAGTGGCCCCTGCTCCGTCCATGTTCAACAGCACCAATGACGCCGTCGTGGAGCTCCAACGTGGAATGACAGGACTGATTGGATTCGCTACAACCGACAACTGACCCCTCCAGAGTCCAGACCGAGTTCCAGATGAAGAAACAGGCCTCACCTCTCAAACGCCAATTGCAAACTCTCTCCTGATGGTGCCCCGACTAATCCTCGCGCCTGTCACTGCTCTCCGCCTGGCCCCTCTTCGCTCTCTTCCGCAATCGCCCCGCCTCCACTTTCTTCAATCTCGATCGCGACTCACTTCTTCCTTTACCCCCTGCCCCTCCCCCGCTACCTCGCTACCATGGCCGACGCCGTCGAAGCCGCCAAGCGCGCTGCCGCAAAGACCGCTGTCGCCAATCACTACCCGGAAAACGCTCGCTGGGTCGGCATTGGCAGTGGTACTACAATTGTCTACGTCGTCGAGGCTATCAAGGCTCTTGGTGTCGATACCTCCAACACCCGCTATGTCCCGACGGGCTACCAGTCGCGCCAGCTAATCATCAGCGCGGGATTGACGGCCGTCGAGTTTGACGCTCTGCCTGCGGGCACCGTGCTGGATGTCGCATTCGACGGCGCGGACGAGGTCGATGATGATTTGAACTGCATCAAGGGCGGCGGTGCGTGTCTCTTCCAGGAGAAGATTGTCGCGATGCAGGCCAAGCAATTCATCTGCGTTGCTGGTAAGTCAAGCCCGAAGAGCACACTGATTCGAGAATTAAAAGCCTCATCACCACTCTGACACACACACCCCCTCTCTACTTTCCAGACTCGCGCAAACTCCAATCCCGCCTCCTCGCCAACTGGAAATACATCCCCATCGAAGTCGCCCCCATCGCCGCCTACCGCGTCCTCAACAAACTCCTCGAACTCGGCGCCATCAACCCCATCATCCGCACCAACCAGGACCCCAAGCAAGGACCCCTCAAGACGGACCAGGACTTCTTCCTCATCGACGCCCCCTTCAAGCCCCTCCTGACCAAGGCCGATATCGCCAATGGCCAGGATGGTTCTGGCAAGAACGGCGTTTGGGAGGTCAACGCGCTTGCGCGGGAGATTAAGCAGATCAACGGTGTTTTGGATGTGGGTATCTTCTCGGGCTTGACCGGTCCCCAGGCTACTGCGGCTGGTGGTGTTGGTGGTCAGAGGCCTGTTGCGGCGTACTTTGGTATGCCTGATGGATCTGTGTCGGTGCGGAAGGCCATTTGCATGGAGGATGTGTGATTTGGGATTGGAGAGTGGAGAGGTGAGCAGGAGTGGATGACCCTGTACAGCTGCATTGAGCATTGGGAATGGAATGGACCGGGCTTGATATAAGGCAAGTCCTCATACATAAACTTAGATGATACCAAGATGCCTCGAAACGAAGAGATGTTTGTTTTGCACTATAGTTAGAGAAAAAGGGCTACAGGCAATTGCCATTTATGATTCATTAGACTTGGTGGTTCGTATCCAAAATGGTGCTCTTTCCTCCTCCACCCTCAGCAAGTATATCTACCTCGCTTATCCGGGGATCTACTTCGCTCCCTTGCCCTTGGCTTCTGTCTCGCCCAGCTCCTTCACAATAATCTTCACCACCCCCTCAGGAACATCATCCTTACCATCCTCAAAGCCAGGGCTAAGCGCAATGGCCAGATACTTGCCGTTACCACTGAACTCGAGCGCAGCCACACTGGAGGGATACTTCTGGTACTGACGGATACGGCGCTTGGAGATTCCATCCCACAGCGCCACAACCCCGTCACCACCACCAGACGCAAACGTGCCGTAAATAGGGTGAAACGCAAGTGCATTGACCGGGTAGACTACATCGACGCCATCCTCGGCAGTCTGACGGTGACACTTGAACGCGTACTTGCGGGCCTGGGACTCGGGAGAGGGGTCGAACCATTCCACCGCCACGCGGCCCTCGATACTGGACGAAGCGTACCCAGCATCATCGGGCATGCAGGCGACACACCGCGTCATAAACTTCAAACTACTCTCCCGCCGTTGCCATGGCTCAAGCTCCACTGTGTTGCCGTTGGTGGTGTCGCTGTCTGCCTGTGCGGTGAGAAGAGCTAATGCCTTCAGATCGTAGATGTGCAGGGCGCGCGACGCCATGGCCACCACCAGCTTGGTGGGTGTGAGAGATAGGGAGAAGGGCTTTGAGGGGAGTGGGATGGTAGTGGGAATGGATTGGGTGTTGGAGCCGGCGTCAGGGCGGTGCACGTGGAGGGTTGAGTCCCAAGAGCCGGAGATGATGAGGTTGTGTTCGCGGCTGTAGACGACGTTGCGTACGCCCGCTTCGTGGCTGCTCATGACGGTTTGTTCCGATGTGTTTAGGTCAATTCTACCGCAATTAGCATTTGCCATATAGAATAGGTGTCTCGCAAGCTTCGTAGAGAACTCGGGAAGCTCGCGCATGGCCAACTTACTTCCGCACATCCCAATCCAGGCCCGCGGTATAGATCTCGTTCTCAGTCTCGCCGAAACAGACATCCAGGACTGGGGCACGGTGCTCAAACTTTTGGAGAAGCTTCCCCTCACCTACAACACCGTTCTCATCTCGGAGGTCGTAAAGATATACGTTCTTGTCCCATGACGAAACAACGATCCGCGTCGAGTTGGGGTCTGGCGAGAACTTTAAAGCGGAGATGGCATCCGTAGGTGGCGACGCCACAGTGAATTGATCTAGAAAATGTTAGCCCAGCTCTAGCTTTTCTCGGAAGAGCAATATTCCTCCCCGATGCGTTGTGCAACTTACTTGACGACATCTCGACGGCTAATGCGGTTGTTGCAGAGTAGCGGGCCATCGGAGCTAGCTCTACGAAGGCCTGCCTTTTCTGCCCCTCGACGCCGCCATCGCATTCCCCGCGGTGCTCGATAAGCGCCTAAAAAAGTGTCACCGCTTTGATTTCACCTTCTCCTCACAATCCGGTTTCTTTTTCAATAAGCCGAGTCCTTCAACATGCCCTTTGCACAGCTGGTCATAGGTCCCCCCGGTGCGGGAAAGTCCACCTACTGCAATGGAATGCATCAGTTCCTCGGCGCTATCGGGCGGAAGTGCTCGGTGGTGAATTTGGACCCCGCCAACGACAAGACCTCATACCCGTGCGCGCTGGACGTGCGCGATCTGGTGACGCTCGAGGAGATTATGGATGAGCATAAGTTGGGGCCGAATGGAGCTACGCTTTATGCGTTGGAGGATCTGGAGGAGAACTACGAGTGGTTGGAGGAGGGGCTGAAGCAGCTTGGAGGTGTGTTGAGCTTGCCCTACATTCTAGTTCCCCGAGTATCGTGTGCTGATTAGTGTGCTGCAATACAGAGGACTATGTTATATTTGACTGCCCCGGTCAAGTGGAGCTTTTCACGCACCACGCCTCATTACGCAATATCTTCTTTCAGATCCAGAAATTGGGCTATCGAGTAGGTCTACACTCTAGATCAAGATATAACATATCCCTAGCTAACACTCCCACGTGCAGCTAATAGTAATTCACCTCATCGACTCTTACGCCCTCACCCTCCCCTCAATGTACATATCCGCCCTCCTCCTCTCCCTCCGCGCCATGCTCCAACTCGACCTACCACACCTAAACGTGCTCACGAAAATCGACAACCTATCCAACTACACAAATCTCCCCTTCAATCTGGACTTCTACACCGAGGTCCAAGATTTAAATTATCTCCTCCCCCATCTCGAAGCCGAGTCCTCGCGCCTGACAAATTCCAAGTTCAGCGCCTTGAATACCGCCATTATCGATCTGGTCGAGGAATTCGGGCTCGTTGCGTTTGAAACGCTAGCTGTGGAAGATAAGAAGAGTATGATGAATTTGCTGAAAGCGATTGACCGTGCGAGCGGGTATGCGTTTGGGCCGGCCGAGGGCGCTAATGATACTGTTTGGTCGGTTGCGGTGCGGGAGGGGATGGGTGGGATGGATGTGCGGGATGTGCAGGAGCGGTGGTTGGATTCGAAGGAGGAATATGATGCTCTGGAGCGGGCGGAGTTGGAAGAGGTTGCGCGAATGGAGGAGCAGGCGAGGCAGTCTGCCATGGGCGAGGGAATGGAGGGTCTCGAGGATGATGAGCTGGCGAGTTGGAGTGGGCCGGTACCGGATAGTGGGATCACAGTACGGCGAAAGGAGACATGATCTCTATTGGATAAGTCTAGAAGTCTCTCCCTTCTCGGGGAAGCATATGTATTATAATCAAAAAAAGACAAATGGGGTATCATAATGTACAATCCATGCCAACCACAGGGCTTTTCAAGGCCCAATCCAATGCACAACACAAAGTAACCACCATCTCAATCATCATCATCATCAAACATCCCATCATCCTCACTCTCATCCATAATACCGGTCACAACAGTCCTACTCCCGCCCACCGACATCCCCCTCTCAGCCCCAGAAATCAAATCCCCCAGCACCCCCTTCTCCTCCACACCCCTCACACGTACGATCTCCCGCCTGGCCCGCCGAATAGCCTCCTCCTCCGCCTTCCGCATCGTCCCTGACACTCTCAACACCCGGAAAACACAAGGTCTCTCCCTCCCTCCATTCGGCCTCCTCTGACCAACACCAGCACCGGGTTCCGTCACGGCGGGGACATGAGACATATACGTCAGCGCAGACCAGACAAGCCGGAATGCCGCACGGGGACAGCGGATTATAGCCGTCGATGTAGCCGGTGAAAGATATTTGACTGGGAAATCGTGACTGGTCAGTACACACGCCTTCTCCTCAAAAGTAGTATCTGTGTCTGGATCCAGCGATCCCTAGCAAACGCAATTAAAAGATTTAACAATCACCATACCTTGAACACCCATCGCAGAAGCTCCACCCAATTTCCCAACCCCCCAATCCCCATACATCTCCCCGACTTCCTCGCGGATCATCTTAGCGAGTAACCCGGGCGTCAACGCGTCAGAGGTCGGTGCGTGGATGGCTAATTGTGCCGCCTGTGGTCCGCTGGAGACTGTTGTGGTGGGCCATGTCGTTGAGTCTGGGTAGAGGATGTCTAGGAGGAGGTAGCGGTTTTTGAGACGGACCATTTTGCGAGGAGAGTGGATTGGGAGGTGGTTGGAGGGTTGGTGGTTCGAGGGGGTGGAAAAAAGGTTGGCTGTGGCAGATGCGGCTGCTGATAAGCGATAAGGATGGATGGGCACGAGGGCAGTTATACTTTCTAATGCACATTTTCCATCTCTGTGCGACTTGGTCCAGACTACTGTAGAAGAAGATGCCGAAGATTGTTGTGAACAGGTCACCCGGCTGAACAATCTCTGCGCTATGCCTCGTTCTTAGTCTACTCTACTGTACCAGTCTACATTTTCTCTCAGCAACGGGATTCATCATGCAGAAGGCACGTTCATTAGGTCCCCAGAGAGGTCTAGTCATCTAAACAAAATTAAAAAAACAGATCCGTAGTCGGGCGTCGCACCGTTTTCTCCATCCGGGAAAGGCCGCCATTCCCATCAGGGCCGCGGTTTTAAGCCCACCACATAGGCAGGCGCAGTAAACATGGCATACACGCAAAGACTGCTTCAAGAAAACAAACAAAAAAAAAGATAAACCAAGGGATTTCAACCCATCCAAACTCCACCGCCGGAACCAGAACCATATATATGCCAAGGAGTGGTTCTCACGACGGACTGTATGCCACCAGCGGACGGGGCGCTGCAAATCATATCATGTGTATGTGTGTGGGGGGAATTAAAAGCATCAAAATCACAGGTTGACCTCAACGCGGCCCTCGGCACCACCCTTCTGCAGGGTGGGGAGGAGGTAGGTGATGTCGTCCCAGGGGTGGCGGTACAGACCAGTGCGCAGGCGCTTCTGGTCGAGGTAGTGGGCAATCAGACCGATGGAACGACCCAGCACGAACAGACCGTTGAGGACACCCATGCGCATGTAGTCCTCGACCTCCTCGTCGGAGAAGGCACCGCAGTTGCGGAGCAGGTCAACGAAGCAGACAGCAACGCAACCGTCGACGTTGAGAATCAGGTTGTCCTTCTTGGAGGTGGTGACAGTCTCGACGGCAATGGCGTAGTCGAGCAGCTTGGTGCTAGGGAAGTGCTTCTTGACAAACTCCTTGACCAGCTCAACACGCAGATCGGGGTTGTTGCGGGACTTGACCTTGTGGCCAATACCGGGGATAAGCTTGTTCTCCTTGCGCATGATATCGACAAAGTCACGAGGGCTGAGACCCTTGTCGAAGGCCTTGGTGAACTCCTCAGCGGCACCATCAAGGGCACCACCGAAGCGGGAACCGATGGTCAGGAGACCGGAGACCAGAGCGCTGATCAGGTCCTTGCCAGCACGGGTGGTGATGATGGTGTTCATGGCACCGGAGACAGCGGGACCGTGGTCGGCAGTGAGCATAAGAACCATCTCCAGGAACTTGCTGGCGTAGGGGGGCAGACGGCGGCGGAACCACAGCAGGGACATGACACCACCGATACCGATGTCCTCCCTGAAGACGTCGGAGATGGGCATACCGGCGTAGAGCAGCTCCTGACCACGGTCGTCGGAGATGGTGGAGATGAAGGCAGCGGGCTTACGGACAAGACCCAGCTCCTGGGCCCAGGAGTAGTCAATGGGGATCTTGGGGACAACGGGCTCGGGGGCGGGGACGATGCTACCCTTGTTGACCTCGGCATCGTAGACCTGCTTCAGGAGCTGGGGCAGGTCCTCGAAAGTCTCGGGGACGTGGATACCAGCATCGCGCATGGCCTTGTTCTTGTAGACAGCAGTCTCGAGCTGGGAGTTGGCAGAGGCACCGGCGTGGCCGAACTGAACCTCGGTCTTGAACATGCTGGCGCAAGTTCCAATGGCCCAAGCAACGATGGGCTTGGTGATGGTGCCGTTCTTGATGGCCTCGATCACACGGTACTCCTCAACACCACCGACCTCACCCAGCAGGACGAGGATCTTGCACTCGGGCTCGGCCTGGTAGCGGAGCAGGTGGTCAATGAAGGTGGTACCGGGGTAACGGTCACCACCAATGGCAACACCCTCGTAGACACCGTCGGTGTTCTGAGAGATAATGTTGTTCAGCTCGTTGGACATACCACCGGACTTGGAGACGTAGCCGACGGAACCCTTGCGGTAGAGCTTGGAGGCAACGATGTTGTCCATCATACCACCAGTGTTACCGATCTTGTAGGCACCGGGCTTGATACCACCGACAGTGGCGGGGCCAATGATAGTGATGCCCTTCTCCTTGGCAGCAACCAGGATCTCACGAGCACGCTATCAGAAAAGGTCAGTATCCAGGTTCCTTCAATTGCACTGCTAATTGGGGGAGTATATGATTTCACTTACGCGCTCGGGGACACCCTCAGCAATGATGGCGATGGAGCGGATCTGAGGGCAGTTCATGAGCTCCATGGTGGAGCTGTAGACGGAACGGGAGGAGGCAAAGTTGACGACAGTGTCGACGTCGGGGTGCTTGGCCATGGCCTTCTCGACGTCCTGGTAGACGGGCAGGAGGGTCTCGCTGGTACCCCAGTACATCTTGCTGACGAACTGACCACCGAAGGTGTAGATGATACCGGCCACAGAGGGGGTGGAGCGCTTGCAGATGAAGTCAAAGTCGAGCATGCCCTGCACGGCTCGGGGTTGCATGCCACTGGAGGTGCGAGTGTTAGTATGGGAAGACGATGCTGGCTTCTTTTGTTTCTGGAGGGTTTGGATTGTCCTCCTCGCGGGCTGACTTACTATACGAAGCATCGTGTCTTGTTGTGGAAGAGAGCGTTCTGGAGGGGAGAGAGCACACGGCTGGGAGGGTTGAAGCGGGTGATGTTGTCATTGGCATTCTGCACGCCGTTGTTGGCGGCGGACAGCGAAGTGGAGGGCATGATGATTATCTGGAGGAATTGAGTTGTTAGGCCTTGGAATTGAGGATTGTATGTGCGGTAGGTTCGAATGTGAGAGGTGTGTGTCTCGGTTGGAATCGAGGTTGCAGCGTAGGGATGGCGGAGTGATGACGCCGTTGAGTAGGGATGATGGGATGAAGGAAGACACTCACGTATGTATGTAGGATAGCCCAAGAGCAAAGGAGAATGAGGAGAAGAAGGAAGAGAGAGAAACACAAGAGAAAGCAAGTCAACAGGAGAAGCAGCGTTGAGAAAAATCCGCGGGGCCAAGTACTCGCAGGTACGGTGTACAGCTCCTCCTGCGGTAATTTTTTTTGGTTTTTGGTTTTTTGGTGGTTTTGGTGGTTTTGGTGGTTTTAGTTGGAGGTGGGTGGGACTGGGCGTTACGGGGCCGGTGCGTGGTGTATGGGCTGTTACAGGCTACAGTCCATACAGGTCATACAGTACGAGGGGGGACGACGCCAAGTATGGTGGGGGTGGCCCTTTCTCAACAACTCCAGCCAAATTTAGCTGTTCTAGCTTGTCCCAGAGTGACTTGCGGTCCAGCAGTCCCCAAAGTACCGGGTACCAACGAGACTGCCCGTCACCTCGCCCCACTGTGGGTAGATCTTGAGATTATGGCAAGGTACCCGGTACTCCCACTGTCACCGCCCGTCCCTGTATTCCCGAAACAGGTCCATCAAACCTCGGTGAACGTCTAGCAGTCATCGACTTGGACTATAGTTACATCCCGTTGATCAACTGTCAGCCATTGAGCATCATTCGGACGAGGACCCATCTGCAGTCATACGAGGCTAGCATTGAATTTTGGTTACTGGATCAATGGATTGCTAACGAGAGATCTCTTCTAGAACGAAAGTCCGTCGGCATGGAGAAGTACACAGTCCAGTATGTATATACGGAGTATATACCCGAGGATTTTGCTGGTCTTTTCGGGGACCGGCGACTTGCTCATAATGGCCGAAGTAAGGGGGGTACTTTTTACTTCGGATTCCGGAGGTATAATAATAATTCGAAGTACGGAGCTCGTTGCCGAGTGCAAGTTGGCCAAGAATCAATGAATCTCGAAAGACATTATTTTTACCCCTTGGTTGCTTCCGGACTTGAAACCCAACAGAATCTAGAATCCAATAGAAAACACAAAAAAAAAAAAAAAAAAAAAAAAGGGACCAAAAAAGGAGCGGTATCGGGGTTGCCCGCCAACAGAGTGTAGCCATTCACACCAAAGTTCGAGAAGCTACGGTGTAGCGTTGAGTATACCAGTAGGACGATTCCGGTCAGTACTGAAGTGCCAGGTTTGGTAATTACCATACGGCAGATCTCCCCAACGCCCTGGCTCCAGCTCGACGAGTCCGTTCCCCCACCATCTTCGCTCGCGCAGTCAACACCAGAACCGCAGTGGAACCGCACCGCTCAATTGTACGCTGTAATCTCCAGCACATTTTATTTTTTTCGATTCTCCCGTACGCCGTACCTTCCAGTCCAACACACACCGTCCCACCCAACCCCGAGTCAACTTTTTGGGCTCCTTCAATTCGAAACCTTCTCCTGCATTATTTTCTTGTTACTCCTCCTCCTCCTCATCCGACTTCTCTCCTTCCTTTCCTCTCCTCCCCATCTTCTCCCACACATATACACTCACCTCACACAACTATGTCCGCCAAGTCTATCCTCGAGGCCGACGGCAAGGCCATCCTCAACTACCACCTCACTCGCGCCCCGGTCATCAAGCCTACCCCTCTTCCTCCTTCCTCCACACACAATGCTCCTCCTCGTCTCGCCTCCCTCCACTTCCCCGAAGACAAGACCGTCAAGGACGTCCTCGACCAGGCTGAGGTCACCTACCCATGGCTCCTCGTCCCCGGCTCCAAGTTTGTCGCTAAGCCCGATCAATTGATCAAGCGTCGCGGCAAGTCCGGCCTCCTCGCTCTGAACAAGACCTGGGCGGAGGCCCGCGAGTGGATTGAGGCCCGCGCCACCAAGGAAGTCCAGGTTGAGCACGTTACCGGTGTGCTGCGCCAGTTCCTCGTTGAGCCTATGGTTCCCCACCCCCAGGAGACTGAGAGGTATGTGATTCCCGCAGCAATTTGACAATCAATTGGTTCAGCAACTGACTTGTTGACTATAGCTACGTTTGCATCAACTCCGTCCGTGAGGTAAGAGAACTTCCTGCCAGATGGAAACGAATTGTGTTCAGACGAGATCAAATCATAATCAGATAAGCTTGATTGTGATCAGATGATAGCAATTGAACTACAAACAATTGGAACCACCGCAATGACTAACTCCGATCTAGGGTGACTGGATTCTGTTCTACCACGAGGGTGGTGTCGATGTCGGTGATGTCGATGCCAAGGCTGAGAAGCTCCTCATTCCCGTCGACCTGAAGAAGTTCCCCTCCAACGAGGAGATCGCCTCCGCTCTGCTGAGCAAGGTGCCCAAGGGCATCCACAACGTCCTCGTGGACTTCATCTGCCGCCTGTACGCTGTCTACGTCGACTGCCAGTTCACCTACCTGGAGATCAACCCTCTGGTTGTCATCCCCAACGCCGATGCCACCTCTGCCGATGTCTACTTCCTTGACCTGGCTGCCAAGTTGGACCAGACTGCTGAGTTCGAGTGCGGTACCAAGTGGGCTGTTGCTCGCAGCCCCGCCGCCCTGGGTCTGCCCTCCCTCCCCTCTGTCGACGGCAAGGTCAACATCGACGCTGGTCCCCCAATGGAGTTCCCCGCTCCCTTCGGTCGTGAGCTGAGCAAGGAGGAGAAGTTCATCTCCGACATGGACGCCAAGACTGGCGCCTCGCTCAAGTTGACAGTCCTGAACGCCAACGGTCGTATCTGGACTCTGGTTGCTGGTGGTGGTGCCTCTGTCGTCTACGCCGATGCCATTGCCTCCGCTGGTTTCGTCAGTGAGCTCGCCAACTACGGCGAATACTCCGGTGCTCCCTCTGAGGGTACGTACAGTTGATCCTTTTCCTGGTATCTTTTTCTTGAGTTCTCACTAACTTCATTACAGGCCAGACATACTCGTACGCTAAGACCGTCCTCGATCTGATGCTGCGCGCCCCCACCCACCCCGAGGGCAAGGTCCTCTTCATCGGTGGTGGTATTGCCAACTTCACCAACGTTGCCTCCACTTTCAAGGGTGTCATTCGCGCCATCCGCGAGTTCGCCCCCATCCTGATTGAGCACAAGGTCCAGATCTGGGTCCGCCGTGCTGGCCCCAACTACCAGGAGGGTCTGAAGAACATCAAGGCCGTCGGCATTGAGCTCGGCCTCGACATGCACGTCTACGGCCCCGAGATGCACGTCTCTGGTATCGTGCCTCTGGCCCTTCAGGGCAAGAAGACTGATATCAAGGAATTCAGCGCATAAATGACTACCCCCCTCGTGCTCTTTTTGTTTTATTTCTCTACTTTTTTTGGTTTGTTTCTGCAGCGTCAACTCCGTTGCATGGGTTTGTGATAATGCATGGCATGATATGAAATTTGCGGGATTCCGCCTGGGTTTAGAGGAAGACGAAGAACGGAGAGTCTGGAATTTGGATCTGGCTATCTTTATCTCTGTCTACTTCCCAGGTTGACTCTGTTTTGCTGGTCGTGGGTATGGCGTTTCTTCCCGCCCGGACTAAAAGACCGGATGCTTGGTGCCCGACGTACATGATTAGATTTTCTTATGTTGAATCGTACCGGAGGGATTTAGATCGGGATTTCCCTTTGGATAATATCAAATGATGATACAATGTTTATTCTCTGCTTGTGTAAGCGGTATACTGGTAGCTCTTTCAATTAGGACTACATTCAGATCCCCGTAGTTTCTGGGCTTATGATCCAGGCGTTGCGGATGTATAGATATCCTGAAGTATTAACAGTGTAGGCATTCTGATTATTTGAAGATATGAACATGGCAATATCCTCAATGAATTCCTTACTATTTAATTACCTGTAAGGGTTGCAATGTAATAATAGAGTAGGTGGTGGTAAGAACGTAGAGAGAGTGATAGTTATATACACAGTGATAAAAAACCAAAAATACCAAAGTACAACCTATACACCCAATCCAAGCTCCAAAAATACAAAACTCCACACAAGCTCCTGCACCCCAGATTTACAAACTAGGTTACAGTTACCTAGCTCCGGACCCAGCGATCTGGGATCGCCAGGGACGATAAGGTATGGACCGTGCTGGAGCTGGCATGAAGTGGCTGATTGGGATGGGAGTCGGGACGTGATGGGGGGATGGTGGTGTATGCGGGTTACCGAGGGCGGGTGGTGAGGTTGCTTCCGCTGCTCCGAGGGCGGCCCGCGGGCGAACGGGGACGGGTTTGAGATTACCCGTTTTGGTTAGAGGTATGCTTGTTGTGAGGATTGGGGAGTATAAAGTGGATGGGAGGAGGATGGATGGGATCTTTTGGGTTGGTGATTGCTGTAGGAGGGGAAGGAAAGGAAAGGAAAGGAAAGCCTGGCAAAGGAAGGCTGAATGGTACGGGTAGAAAGTAAACGTAGAGATATGCTCCAGACGGGGATATTGATCTTGTTCATTATACCTTTTACAGAATCCTTAACGGAGAAATGACTGTGTCTATCTTGTGCTCTCGATAGATCAGCAGCCCGTCGTCGATTGTTCCAAATTATCATAACTAGATACTCCATCATCAAGTTTCAATATGTGAAGATCCATGCACGTAGCACGGCTTCTGTATAGCCTGCTGGTTCTATGTTGTTCAGTGTGCAGTTTCATAAATTATTACTCGACTTGGGTTAGGACTTGTGCTTGATGGTCAACGCGCTTCATTCGAAGCTGGATGAGCATCATTGAGTCTTCTAGATCGTCAAGCAGTGTAGCATCTATAGAGATTGGGTCCGGGATCCTCAAAGGCCCAGCTATGGCAACACCCGCCTAATCTGGAAGAAACATCGGAGTGATCAAGTCGGAATACAGCTTGCATGCAACATGACAGCTATTCAGTAGCACTGTAGAGGTCTACAATGCTGTGCGAACCACAGCACCTGTTGGTGTTGAACTTATATTTAGGGTACAGGCTGCCTCAACAGAAACAAGCCGCGACAGGCATTGGTTTCCGGGTTTGTCAGGAAAGTGTAGACCAGTTCATCATGTCTGTAAGGTAAAGTGCTGTATTATGAAGAACATATTCGCAGGTAAGAGAATCGCTTTATTCAAGCTCCACGTCATCAGAGCTTCCGTTCATTGAAGGCGTAACGGATATCAATAATCCACCATGGCGCGGAAATGCAGCGCATATATCATGTTTTTCAGGTACGAAGAATTTGTGTAACAGGTGCCTGTCAATTTCCAAACCGTGCCAGGATCTCATCCCCCGGGGAAGTTGAGACAATACCGTCGAGGGACGATTAGGAGGCGGAAGCCGAGTGCGGTGCTGCTGATTCGTCGAACTAGTTTGGGCTGTACATCATGAATCAGTACCAAACACCAGAGTCTGTACGGATTCGACATACCAGTTCGAACATTGAAGACTGCATGGCCCGCTGGAGGCGGCATTGCTGACTTGCCTCCGGGCTGCAGTCTCGACATTTTAGAGCTACCAGTCCCACTGCGCTGGTACCGGTGTAGTTGCTCCACGCCCTCCGGGCTGAAAGGGAACGAAGGTGTTTTGGGAGTTCGGGCTTTTTGGATATTCGGCATTGACGTCCCGGGTTGGGCTGGGGGCACGGTGGGACCGGTTCGTGATGAGAGGGTATTCAAGGTTTGGGAGACGTTCTCGGAAGCTGCGGTTTCCATTCGGGATTTCATCGCGCGAGCCTTGAGCAAGTTGTAGAGGTTTGTCATCTGGGTGAGCTTCTTGGATTTCTCGCGGTATAGATCGACAAGCTCTTGGTTCTTTTTCTGCAGTTGTTCTTGTGCTGCTTGCAAATCTGAAGGAGACCACCTTATCAATAGATCTTCACAATTTCAGTCATCAAATCTAGCATACCTGAGACTTTGCCATGCAAGGTTGAAATCTCCGAATTGGCAGTGTGGATGACCTTGTCCATCTGTGTGCTCAGACTGGCATATTTCTCGGTGAGGCTTTTCCCAAGGTATTCCTGGTAGAATCTGTGCACTCAGTCTCAGTCGAGATATTCAGACAAGATGAGCCGGTAGATCGACTTACATCTCTTGGGTGCTTTGGTATGCCCAGAATCCCAATGCCCGGCCAGCACACTCCATGATTGTGTTGGGGTCGAGTCCACTCAGTACACTGGTTTTGTAGTCTTCCGTCGGATTCAGAATCGTCGACACGGCATCATCAGGGTTGGAAAGAACCGTCTGGCAGGCAGGACATCGACGATCATCTGCAGTGGGATGGGAAAGGCCTAGGCCATCTGCGCATCCAAGGCAGAAGATATGACTGGCCCCGTCAGCGTCATACCGGGGTGAATGTATACATTAAGACTCACGAGCAAGTCGTAACCACAGCTCTCTCCTTTAATTGTGCCCTGCATTTGAGCGAGTTGCATCGTAAATGGAAATCCATGAGGTGCAAAGTGTGAGTACGGATGGAAGTGTTGGCTGGAAGTTGAGAGGTCACCTGAGGCCGAGGACTCCCTTCGGCCGCCGGCGATAGAAAGAGCATCAATTGAGTTTTGGTCTATTTTCCCCTTGTAACGCCAGGATATCAACAAAAGAAGCCACCATGAAAACTCGCTAAAAGAAAAATGAATTTCCCAGTGCATCACGCCGTATCGATGTCATCTTTTCTTCAAATTCCTTGCCTGGCTCATACTCGTTCCACAGACTGGCTGGGTAAATGTGCTTATTCTTTTCGTACCAACGTCGATCTACGACCTTGGTGTCGGTGGCGTCATTGTCGGCGCCTTCTAATTCTAGTTCACTGGGGCGGTAAAGAGGATCATCATTATTTGGCTTGGCTGGCGCGGGCTTATCTGAATAGTTGAAAAGCAGGCCGCCAGCTCGTGAGAAACTCGGGACTCGGTTGGCGATGAAATAATAGAACTCGTAATGCTATCCAGATGTCAGTTTGAAATCGATGAAAGCACAGGGGGGTATAAACTTACATGTGGGACTATGACATCGCCCTTGACAAGCATCAGATCATCAACACTGATCCGTGCCCATTCTTTGCGGGCCTTGGAGGCTCCATTCGCTCCACCAACTCCCAGCTCAGCACCAACCTTGCGGCATCGATCTAGGAATAGCCAGATATGATCCCCCTTTTTCATTTTGACTGATCCCGCAGGTATGCTAGTACCGTCAAAGAACACAAAGGGAACGGCAATCTCCGCATTCTTAACCGATTCCTGCATCGCCAAGAATTCCTTCCGTAGAGCATCGCGAGCCTGCGCCTCAGCTTCCATCGCAGCTTTGGTCATTGCCTTGGGCGGCGGTGGCGCATTTGGGTTCGCCTTCATGCGACGGACAGTAGCAGCAGATGTAGCGCCCTCCTCGACAGGTGTTTTTGAACCGGATCGTGACACGCTCGAGTCGCGCGGGGTTGCGGCGGACTCTTCCCCAGTGTCGTCATGATCATCACCGAACGAAAGCTTACTCTTGGCGAGCGCCTTCTTTTTCTTCTTCTTGGGAGGAGCGTCACTTCGTGGAGTCGAAGACCTATGGCGACGTGATCAGCTTAGACTCGCGCGGAACGGAGATGCGGTCCTTGGAACTTACCCGTCAGTTACTTCGCCTGCAGAAGGAGTTGCGCTTCGTGAATTACCAGATGCCAGTCGCCCAAGTGACTTGTCATGTGCCTCGCGCTCCTTTTGCTCTAGGACCTCTGCGCGACGCTTGCGAAAGTCGGACAGGTGCACAAGACCGACGGTTTGTGATTTGAGCATGTCCTCCGCGGACACGCTCTGACCGGTAAACGACCGCGGAGTAGAGGTTCTACTCTCTTGCTCGGATGACTCCATCTTGGATGTTCTTTCAATATGCACTTAGGACGAAATTCCGAGGTGGTGTTGGCAGACCAAAGCTGTCGGATGACCGCAATTACTGACTGACGTCTTTGGCGCAAAGGCACGTGACTCTCTTGAAGTAGACCTCAATAGATAGCAAGGCAGACTTGCTGGGAGTGGAAGATAGAGCAAGACGGTAGTTTGAGCTTGCACTATATCTTTTGTAGCCTATACGATGCAGTATCTTCATTATTGAAACATTCCTGAAATGCTTGGTTTTGATGTTGGTTAGTCAAGGTTAACCTACTGAAAAAGTTCAAACCACAGCGCGGAGACGGTACGAATATATGTAGTCAACATGTTGTCTGATTTGCTACCTCCACTCTAAAATAATCGACCGAGTGCATGCCTAGTAATTCAATCGATCTGTGAATATTTCCTATTAGCCATCCAAGCATTATCTCAAAGTATAAGACCTTACAGTTACGTTCTGGTAGTGAATTCAGACTGCGTGGAAATTCGAGCTCGGTGCGGGAGTGCAAACAGAACAAACCTGCATTCGATCGACTTGCGGAGCATCTCAACCGCATAATCGCTACTTCCTCTTGCTCTCATACTCATAAGATTGAACCCCAGAAACCATGGAGGACGAAGAAGACGACTTCTACGATCCCATAGATTCTGTGCCGGCTGGCCAGGCACAGAACAACGCCAACAATGCTGCCCCAGAGCAACAAGAGGACTACGAGTATGAGGAAGAGGAAGAGGTCGAGGATGATGATGTATGGCTGGCAATTCTTAGCTGTCTACCGCACCTACTAATTTGTCTCTCCAGGATGATTTCAATATCATTACAGAAGCGCCCGCTGACGCGCCACCCCCCGAGATGTAAGCTAGAGCTGTGCTCAACCCGAATGGACTGTCCTTGCTAACTTTCGCAGCTCTCATCCACGCCATGCGAGCTTAAGACAAGAGCCACAGCGACCTCCCTCAGCAGATTCATCAATAATCTCCAAGTCCGCGACATCTACTGCTACTCCACACCTCGATGTCTCTACTCCCGTGCCCGCGAGTACAGCCGCCGCAACCGCGAAACAAGCCGGGCCGCTGAGACCAGGCTCATCCTACCCAGCTATCCACACATCTACAATCGACGTCAATGGAAATCCAGTTCATCCGACAACGGGAAAGACTATTATGGCAACTGATATGGATGCCGACTTCCCTACAGACGACAAGCCCTGGCGACGCCCCGGGACCGATATCACAGACTTCTTCAACTACGGCTTTGACGAGTTCACATGGGTCAGCTACTGCTTGAAGCAGCAAGAGGTGCGCAAGGAAGTTGGAGATCAAAAGAAACAAATGGACGACATGTCATCCTTCCTGGGTATGGGGATGCCCCCAATGCCGAGTGCAACCCCGGGCCCTGCTGCACCAGGTCCCGGTGCACCACCCATGCCTGGTATGCCGGGCATGCCAGATATGAACCCAGATATGATGCAGGGCATGTTGGCGTCTATGATGGCCCAGGGGCTTGATCCGTCAACTATGGACCCAATGGCGTTCATGCAACACGCGCAGACGATGATGGGTGGTCAACCCGGTGGAGGCCAGCAAGGGCAACCTGGCTTTGGAGGCCAAGGCCAGGGCCAGGGCTTTGGACAAGGAGGACAAGGCCAGATGGGATACGGAGGCTATGAGCCGCGCGGGAATTATGGTGGTGGTCGCGGACGTGGCCGCAGATGGTAATTCATGCGGCTGGTTGATAAAGTCTTCATGATCACTTTGGGGGTCACCATTTCAGAATGGATTGGGTATTACGGCGTTTTAATGCAAATGGAATGAAATATCAGTGTTCAACTCGATCCCATTTGCGGTTCTTATAGCTAGGGGTAGCTTCGGCCCGGAGAAACGGAGCTGGATAGCCGATGAAACACTCATGACGGGGGAGTCAAGAGGTAAAACTGTGTATTCGAGTAAATGAGAAGCAAATAACACAAATAACACAGATTTACTTTGCAACGAGGAGTAGAACTGCTTTGTCGGCGGCATAGAAATGGTTAGAAGCCGAAAGCCGGCGCGGGCCTTGTCCCTCGGGAGTCGCAGCTTGCGGTCTTGGCATTCTGGAAATTTCTCGCCGCAAAAGCCCCGATCTTCTTCCCCCGGACAACTCTTCCTTTCTCCATCCCACGCTCATCCCCAACTTCTTGGCTTCAAGACTCCATCACCTTCACAATGGTATGTATGCATCTCAATTCACTGTACTCAATTTATTCAAGCTCTATTTCGAGCTACCATTCCTTTGAAATCACTTCCTTCCCCGGGCTCTGACATCCACCTTGCAACCCGGAGGCCAACCGCGAAACACCCTCCCTTTGCCTGGCGCAGCATACTGACTCTGGCCTCAATAGTCTGTCCTCCGCAACATCAAGAGCCTCGCTCCCCTCCTCGACCGCGTCCTGGTCCAGCGCATCAAGCCCGAGGCCAAGACCGCCTCTGGCATCTTCCTCCCCGAGAGCAGCGTCAAGGAGCAGAACGAGGCTAAGGTTCTCGCCGTTGGCCCCGGTCTCCTGACCAAGGACGGCAACCGCATCCCCATGGGTGTCACCGCCGGTGACAAGGTCCTGATTCCTCAGGTATGTTTCGTCCCAATTGCCTTCCGGGGATACCCGTGGTGTCGCATCGATCATTGCGGATGCCCCTTTCCCGAAACCAGGCTATGCAGCCAATGATAAGATTGAATGCTAATTTATTCTTCTTTCAGTTCGGTGGCAGCCCCATCAAGGTCGGCGAGGATGAGTACCACCTGTTCCGGGACTCTGAGTATGTTCCCTGTGTTTCGATCCCAGCGTAACCCACCTCAGACCACCGACTAATATCTTTATAGGATCCTGGCCAAGATCAACGAGTAAATTGAATAACAAGCGGTTCTCACTCTCGTTTCTCTCGCCTTCACCCCACCCCCTGTCCCGCGTCTTGTATCGTCTACCCAGCTGTAGAATTGCCAGGTAGAAGATGGAAGACACATGGCCTGTACTATACCGAAGCGAAGTCACGAGCTCGACCACTTTCAACGATCTCAAGAACGAAATAATTGAAAAAAAAAAAAAAAAAACCTCCAAATAATGGGTGGTCCAGAACGCGCTTGTCAGATGGTTATCTACTGACGATCACCATTCTGGATCTCCCGCTTCCTTTGCATACTGAGTTTTTGAAGCGCTGGATTGGCCTTGGGTCTTGCATGTCTCTGTTCACTGTACTTTTAAAACCAAATCGCAACTCGCCATTAGCGCTGTGCTGTGCCTGGCAGTAGTTGAGTAATTCAATATGATCCTTCTCCGCTCAATGATACGAATCAGTATATTGGCTAGACCTTACGTGAACCGAGAATCAGTAGTACCCGAAGTTTAAAGAATAGTGTGAACTACAGAGTCATTGATAGCTATCATCATCCGTTGTACACGACCTAGTACGACCTCTGGCTCAAGTTCCCGACACGCGTCCAACATCCTCATTCTCCAAACCTCAAAGTCACTACAGAATACTGACTGCTCCATTACATAAACACAAAGACTAGTGGCTCCGATACATCCAAATCCGAATTAAAGTGATTCAAACCCCCCAGGATCGAATTGTTGCCGCGGAGCGGGAAACCGAAGTGTTTGAATCTTCCCTAATCAAGTTATCGGGTACTTCGACGATAGCGATGTACGAAGAGAACGAAGTCTGCTTTTATATTTGAAAATTCAATAGAATCTATTCATCCAAACCTATTCTCCATAAACGAATAACGCCTATCATTGATTCCGCTAAGTCTGTTGCAAATATGCATATGTATTAAGAATGAGAAGCCCGCTTCTATCATTTTGATCGTTGGTGTATCCCCCGTCAATCATTGTAGTTCGACTGTCGAGATCCGTCCTTGTTAACCGCCGGCAGTCCATACAAGGCGGCCAAATCTTCTTCCTGGGATTTACCCGTTTCCAGCAGGACGGGCCGTTCAGCTTGGGCTGCTACGCGAACGGCGTGGCGTCGGTGTGGGGAGAAGCCGTAGGAGGCGGAGTGAGTCTGGAAGATTGGTTAGTATATGCTCTCGGCTATGAGGTTAGATGCGAAGTACATACCGTTGTCCTGTTATCCCAGAAGGCAACGTCATCTTTACCCCACTGGAAACGCGCATGCATCTCCTGGGTGGTGGCGACGACATCTGTGAGGTATTTGATGATAGCATCGCTCTCGGCCTTGGGGATACCGATGATCTTGGTCACGAAGCCTGGGTTGAAGAAGAGTGCATTCCAGCCGGTGACGGGGTTTGTGCGGATGAGCGGGTGTTTGGTGGTTACTGGGTCGCGGCGAACCGGTCGACCGATGGCTCGGGAGTCGTTAGCTTGCATGTCGGCGGAGTGGACGGCTGTCAGGCTTTTGAGGTAGGTCTGCATGAAGGGGGAGAGGATGTCGTAGGCTGCGTATTGCGAAGACCAGAGGGTGTCGCCGCCACCGCCGAGGGGTGGCCCGGTGAGGAGTTTCAATGAAGTATATGATGGTGGTTGCACTTCGTAGGTGACCTGTTTGGGAGTGTTAGCCTTTTGATGCATTTGTGTTGAGAATTGGTAGTTCGAACGTACATCCGCGTGCCACAAAAAGCTTGGGCTGAAGAGTGCCCGGTTCTCTGCTGCATTATCACCGGCGTAGACGACGTGAACATCCTCGAGGCCCTTCTTCTTTGGGACAGCGGTAGTAGCATGCTGCATGTCATCAGTATTTGTTATTTATATGAAGCATTGAACTGTCTGGATGAAGCCTACCTTGTGAAGCTTGCCAAAGTGCCTTCCCAGATCCCGCTGGGCATCAATATCAAAGTTCTTCTGCGCACGGAAAAAGACAACTCCTCGGTAGGCGATCAACCGGGCTAGGTCATCCTTCTGAGCGTCGGTGAGATTCGCCAAGTCCACGCCGTGAATCTCAGTGCCAATCTTGGGGTTGTAATCAAAGACAGCCGTAGCATCCTTCAATAAGTTGCGGAACTTTGGATCTCCCCTCAAGCCTCGGTCCTCATAGGGTGTGTATTCCAGCGCATCCCAGTGGATATCTGGGAAAGAAGGCAGCAGATCTTCATGAGCGTAGTTGGTGTGGTCTTCCACGGTTGTTCGACCAGGGACGTATCCAAACTTGTTGTTACTTGCAATCTCCTTCTTGGGGACGACGATGTTTCCCAAGGGTGCAGGCGCAAGCGCCACAGGGACTTCCAATGACGGAGCCATCTCGAGTGTATACCCCCCTCAATGACGGAATTCGCAAATTATCTTAGTGAATATGGAATCCCTGGTTGTGGACAGGTCAAGGTATGGAATAGTGGAAGTATAAATCCAAGAAAGAGAGATAGAAAAGACTACGACGATTTATATAGAGGGAAGGCAGACCCATCAGCATCCAAGCTGATGTGAGGGAAACTCAGGCATGAGTCAACCCCGGATTCCATCATCCCTCCCATGCCGGAATCCATCCTATCGAGGGAAGTACATCTGGCGTGATTGCAATCCTCGGAGGAGACGGGAATGGCGCCATCGACAGCGGCAATCACCCAAGAGGCTGAAACCACTTTACTCCGGGAAGTGGTTCGCCAGTGACGACAGATGGCACGTAGGACCCCATACTCGTCAATTGACTCGAGTCAAAAAATTGGAACTGGTGGGACCTTTGCTGAGAAAGAGCTTGTCCCCAGAAAGAACATCCGGAATTATTCAGGTGTCGCCAGCGCCAGTGCATACCAGCGGGCAGTTAGGGGGAACTCGATCACGCCATCTTGCCATCAACGTCAGCAAGATTTGCCATCGCCGCCGAATGCCCCGTGCAATTGATTTCGGGACGGGAGGGATTGAAACAGGGGGAAAGAATTGAACTTCACCGCTGGTTAGTAAACTGGGATATAGCAGGGAGGTTGATCAGGACTGATGCTCATATCCGAGTCCATGTGTTGCTCGTGAGGGGAAAGTGGAGGTCTGTTTAAGCAGCTCCCGAATTGGAAGTTGAGCTAAGCGGGACGATCACGCAAGAGTGGCGGGCTCTTGCGCGCTTTACCTTTTTTTTATTTTTATTTTTTTTATTTTTGGTCAGCTTGGCCAGTCTGGGCTTTTGGTGGATCGAGCATTGTCAGATCGTTGTTCTAGTTCTGTTTTAACCTCTGGTGAGGTTCGTGGGTGGCTGATCTGTTCAATCTATTTCGGGTTCTGCAGTTGATGGAGTACGTACTGTCATCCTTATCAATCACTCGCCAAACAGCTAGTATGAACTGCGCACATATTAAACTATTTGTGTACGTACTGCGCATACGTAGTAGTACATAATAGGGGCAATGTAGCATATTGCAGGGGATTCTACAGCTCAACCTCTACGTCATCTCTTCGAAGAATCATCTCGTAACCCATAAGCCAACCTGGTATACCGCGTGGCGGCATACCAAAGGCCAGTCCATTCATTGAATTAGTTTACAGATTGATTGGAAACATTTCCCATCTTTCACTTTCTCCTCAGTACCCGAAGCGACTCTCTACCGACAGCGGGCCGAGCGTCATCTCCTGAACTTGCTCCGACACGCTCCCAAGTCGGGCCGCAACACCCATGATACCAGCCTCCACATCACCCAGAACTGCGGCTAGGTCGTTGACGATCGACTTGGGAGCTCCAGCGCTAGCTCCATCCCGTGACTTGCTGACAAACTCATTTATCTGGCGGTTCAACGAGAGTTCCACACCGTGCAGGTGATCTTCAATCTCCTTCAAGTTACCCTTGTAGCGGTCAAGAACCGTGCCCATCTCATCGGAGCGTTGGGAGAAGTAGTCCACTAGGTTCACTGGAACACCATGCACACTCTTGGCCGTAGCCGGGTCTCCCTCCACGTCATCGGGCAGCGCAAGGGTGTTCTTGCGAGTCGACCGGAGCGAGGATCGGTCGGCAACCTTTTGGTCTTGCATTGACCACCAGCCGCCACCGCCTGTCGTCTGGTACTGAAGGGGCAGCTTGAGGGTATCGATGGCGCGGAATGCAACCTGAGCCTCGGCTGCATCCCGGGTGACCAGGCTGCGCAGCTGGTCGATATCATTGGCGTCATTTTCCAAGGCATGTTGCATAGTCTCCAGCTTTCCTTGCACAAAGTCCACGTCATTAGGGATGGAGGCGCCCTGCGACTCGATGGTGGGGAGAATGTCTGAAACTTCGTGGCATAGCTTCATCTGGTTGAGGATGGCATTGTCGATGGCTTCAACCTCTTTGCGAAGTTCATCGGAACAGCTCTCGAATTTGGTGGTGGGAAGGAGGTTGCTAATATCGACTTTGACACCCTGAACAACAGTTCCCGTTGCGCTACTTTGTCCGAGCAGGGAAGTTTGGGTGGTTTGAGTTGCGCCAGGATTGCTGAATACACCGAGCGAAGGCTTCTGGGGTTGCTGCTGCTGAGGTTGCTGAGTAGCAGTGTTGCTACTGAAGGTAGACACGTCAGTACCAACACAAAACAGTGAAAGGCAGATGTTCTACTTACAAAAAGCCTCCCCCGTAGTTGAGCCACCCAGATTGAATGTAGGCTTTGTCTGAGTCTGGGTCGCCGTGTTTCCGAAGAGACTCTGTGTCGCCGCAGGTTGTGTGGTCGCTGTGGTCGTTGTGCTTCCGAATAAGTTCGGGGTTGTGGTTGTCGCGGTCTGCTGCTGCTGGCCACCGAACAAGCCTGAGGTTGTGGTAGGGGCTGCCCCAGTCTGCTGTTGTTGGCCCCCGAACATGCTAGGGGTTGTGGCTGTTCCACTCTGCTGCTGACCACCAAACATGCTTGACCCCGTGGATGATGACTGTTGAGTGTTTCCGAAAAGGCTGGTTGCCGGCTTTGACTGCGCTGTGGAGCTTGTATTGCCAAAAAGACTTGTGGTGCCCGTTGTGCCCGATGCCGATGTGTTCTGGGTGGTGTTGCCACTATGAAAGAGAGATTCAGCTGTTAGCTTGTTTCCACCGATACGCATGTATCTGCCAGCCCTGCGCGTGTTGAATAGCAAATGAAACAGTTGAATGCTGCTTAGTCGCATCCATCAGGCTTCATTTCTTTGTTCTTGTGTACCACTCGCTGAACGCCAGCACGAACAGGGATCCATTGCTCCGGATTCATTCAAAGGTAAAGTCTGAACCAGAGCCCAATCGCCGAGCATACTCAGCCTGGGCGACCAATGAAGCGGCTTTGAGCTTTGGAAAGGTCTTGCGGAGCTTCAAAAGTGGCTGACAAGTGCTGGGCCGACTGAGACGGGACTTTGCTGGGGAAAGCGGCGCGGGTTACTCACAACAAAGGAGTCGAGGAAGTGCTGATAGTCAGCCCACCTGATGCAGGCGCGGTAGTCTTAGCGGCGAACATGTTCCCAACCGCTTGGAATGCAGGACTGCTGCTCAGCGACTCTTGAAACACAACACGGCGCGGTGCCGATAAGATTTGCGGGCCGGGGGAAAGTTGTTCCGAGGATGGTCTGGACTGGAGCTGGTGAAGTGCGGAAGTGGTTAAGCTCCGGACCTGTTGATGTTGATCAATCCACCCTTTTCCTTTCTCGTATTTTTTCTTGCTGATAATTGCCGCATCCTTGGTCTTCTTCATTTTTGATAACTTAGAAGCTGGCGGGAAAGTGGGTGGTTGAGATAGGCAGCAATCTCGTCAAGTGCCTCGTTTGGGTTGTTGACTGGACGATGGGTCGTTGCCTCGAGAAAATCAATCAGAGATCAGATAACTAGAACTCGTCGAGGGAAGCCTTCTTCTGATCAAACCGTGTCCAAATTATGGATAGCTCAGAGGAAAAGAACTTGATGCCAGTGTGTGTGGCCTCGACTGTCGAGGAGAACAACAAATCGACTGAGCCTTCTAGTGATGGCTACTTCAAGTCTGTCCAATGGAGTCCAGATGGAACTACCCTCTTAGCAAACTCTGCTGACCATCATATACGGTCTTATATTCTGTAAGTTGGTTCATGGATGGCAATGAGCTAGGATTGGCTTTCATGGAACATTGCGCTTCGGATGTATGTATCTGGATGCATTCTATATGATATTACACGATCTGTTCCTGTAGAATGCTAAACTTATGCTGTGCATTGCTCTCAATGATTCTTGGCTTGACCACATGCTAATGCTCAAACAGGCCTCCGGATCTCTTGGAGAATACCGCTACCCATCATCTTTCACCATACTCCACGCTTCCTTCAGCAGAACCCACATATGCCACTGCTTTTTATCCATTCTACAACCTCCAAGATCCCTCAACAACCCTTTTCCTGTCATCTGTCCGTGATCACCCAATTCGACTGGCTTCAACTCTCGGCCCAGCTTCCGTGGCCAGTTATTCACTGGTTAATCCAACAACAGAGGCCTTCATCACCCCACACTCTATGATCTACCCTTCCACACTTGGGGGAACACATTTCCTCACAGGCTCTGACAGTATGATCTGTCTTTTTGACGTCTCCCGTCCAGGAGCCAGCGGACCTATCTCATGGATGCCGACCATTCCCAGCAAGCGCAAGCAAATTGTTGGCGGAGGGGTCGGCATGAAAGGAATTGTATCGGCCCTGGCTATCAATCCTAGTGGCGATGGCATTCTAGCTGCGGGAACCTTCACCAGACATGTGGGACTATATAGTTCCAATGGTTCTGGGGAACTCCTTGGCACCTTTAACGTTGCAAAGACTGATGCAAACCGCTCTATTGGAGGCAGAGGCGTCACTCAATTGGCCTGGAGCCCTTGTGGTCGGTATTTGTATATTGTGGAGCGCAAGAGTGATGGAGTCTTGGTGTATGACATTCGAGTCACTGGGCAGATGTTGGGTTATCTTTGTGGGCGCAAGGCAATGACGAATCAACGAATGGATATTGATATTGTTTCTGCCGGTGTTGATAGTGCCCATGAAGTCTGGGCAGGAGGGACAGATGGATTTATGAGGGTTTGGAGGAATCCTATTTATTCCGCTGGTGGACAAGACCCGGATGGGGAATTTAAGGTCCATGATGGTTGGTCTTTCTACACCCTCGTTCAAGTATCTGAAGTTACTAACAAAATGCAGATGCTGTTGCAAGCACCGTGTTTCATCCTATGGGTAATGTGGTTGCAACTTGCTCTGGCCAGAGACACCGGGCAACAGATGATTCATCCGAGGAAAGCGAGTCAGACTCGGGAACTAGCCAGGCCGATAACACCTTGAAGGTGTGGTCGATGCCGTTCCTTTCAACCAATGATCAATATGAAGACGCAGGCGAAGGACCAAAGCAAGACGATTGAGGGGATGCAATTCCGGCTGCGCTAACACACCACAACCAAAACGCGATATTTCTCACTTGTCTACCAATGTCACGGGAGAAGGATAGCTCCTATTCGCTCCAGGGTCGGTATATATGCTGATCCGAGCCAAGTGAAGTTCCAGACAGGTCTTTTGAAGTTGACTTTTGAAGGATCTTACTTGATGCGGCCTGGTACTTGGAAGCCCAACCCTCAACACTACAAAGCCTTGTCTAGCTACTAAATCAGAGCGAAGACCCGCGACACGAAAGCGGAAGATTCCCACTCTATTTATTGTCACGCCTATTTTGCTTCTGGCCTAATACAAGCGTTATTGAGGGGGATAGAGTACGACAGGAGAATGCCTCCAATGATCTCGAGCCGACTGCAATGGGACTGGGCACAGCATTACTTGCGGGACCCGATCTTGATTCGAGAAATTACAGGGAAGAGCTTGGTAGTGTGCTTGGTTTCAAGTATCAAACCTTTGACCTAGAACTCGGAATAGAGAAGATTCTTCTAGGCTTCATGTCCGAACCAATACACAGCCTTGTGTTATATGCTCTAGCGTCTAAAATATTTTGTTATTGTAGATATGTGGGAGTCGCTCTTTCTACACGACTATTGACTAGACTTCAAGGGATTCGGATTCCAAATCGCTCATAAGGGAAGTCCTCCAATGTGCTGACAAGCTGACCCCACCCATCCCCAATCTGCCCAGGCTCACCCGCACCCTGAATACGCCAAGCCTGCAACTCCTCCGCCTCCTTCTCCGCGTCTGTCTTCTCCTCCTCCTTGTGCTGTCCAGTCTGGCCAGCAAGTACCTCCTCCTCACGGCCGTTATAAGCCTCCAAAAGACCCGGGTGTGGACACCAAATCACCTGCATACCTGCACGACGACCCGCCTCGACACCGGGAACGGCATCCTCAAAGACCAGACACTCTGCGGGCGTGATCTCGGTCTTACCCTTGCTGCGCAGCTCGGCGTTGATGGTCTCCAATGCCAAGAGATAGATATCAGGCAATGGCTTTCCGCGTCCCTTGCCGATGCGAGGATCATCTCCGAGGACGCGGTTCTCCCGTGAGAATGCCGAGAACAAGTCGGACAAGTGATCTGTCTTAAGCTTGAAGTTTCGGCTGTTGGACGAAGATGCCAAGGCGATATAGACTGGCTCGTCGGTGGATTGGGTGGATACCAGGTTTGACAGGAGAGTTGGGACTCCTGGCAAGGGCTGGCATTGCGGGAAGTACTTTACTTGCAAACTGGCCTGCTTGGCGTGGGTCTCCTCTGGTGTGATGGGCAGTTGGGCCCAGTCATGGAAGATCTTGCTTGCCTAGGGAGCGGTTAGTAATCCATTTTGGATGACTGTGGGGGACATGTCAATGGTTCGTACCTCGGGTTGGGGTCGTCCCTGTAGCTGGGCCTTGACTGACCAAGGTAGGTTGGGCTTACCATACATCTGGAGCACTTCGTTCGTGATCTGAGTGTATCGGTCCTCGGAGTCGATCAAGAGCCCGTCCATGTCGAAGAGACATGCTCGGATGCGGGGTGTTCTGCCATTGGTGTTAACTGGATGGCCTGAAATAAGTAATTAAGAGTAAGACACACTCATTTTTCAGCGCCATGGTGCAATGATTTCTATGTACAAATCTGTGCAGGCGAGGGGAAGCTCAAGGCTGCCCCTCGTCGATAAGCCCGCGGGGGAACTCTTATCGCAGGTCCCGTGATCAGCTACTCGAAGCATTTTAAGTATTTTACGTCTCTGGCGTATCTTGTGGAATTGTGTACGGAGTGCTTACTTCATAGTTATAATTGCCGACCTCGATTAGTTGAAAATTACCTATTGCAATTTGAAACTTCACACGCCACATCCGGCTGACCTGTTCCCATCCATGCTGAGTCGAGCTTACGCCCGCAGAATGAAATCGCCTCTATGCGACCCACCGCTTCTCTTTCTTACTAAACTGCTAGCAATATGGATGCTGGAGAATGTTTGAGGATGAGGTCAGACTGCCCGTCTTTACAAATCCATGTCTCTCAAGTTAACGATCGACAACCTTAATCCTCGTCCTTCTCCGGCAGTTTCTCGCCCGTCAAGAGCGGAAATCCCCCGGTGGCTTCCACCCCACTCCAAAGGGTGAGGTGTGACTCCGAGGATAATATTAATACCTGAAGGATGCCGGTCCCCATGTGGGGATTATTATTATGTAGAAAAGACGGTTCAGGGCCTCTTCTCCATTGCGAAAGTCTCTACACTTTTGTTCTTCGATACCATGACAACCCTCATCACCACAAGCAAACTGGGGCAGATCCGGGGTAAACCCGGAGACGGAGTCACTCAGTACCTGGGAATCAAATACGCGACTTTGGAAAATCGCTTTGCGGATGCACAATTAATCGAGGAAAGACAGGGGGACATCCTCGATGCAACCAAAGATGGGTCTGTCTCTCCCCTGCGGTGCTAATAGACAATTTGTTGACATTGAATGCAGACCCACGACTTTGACGCTCCCAATCGGATGTGATGTCGAACTTGGCCATGTCCAGCATACTTTGCCAAAGAAGGAACTTCCCCAATCCGATCTAGATTGTCTCAATCTCAACATTGCAGTTCCCTCGGATGCTACCCCATCGTCGAAGCTACCCGTTTTGTTCTTCATTCATGGTGGCGGCTTCTTTATTGGTGCGAATTCCTGGCCACAATATGATACCACTCGACTAGCAAAGTTATCTATCGAGAAAGGCCTACCCATGGTTATTGTAACAATCAAGTGAGGACTCTATCTATGTTATCTATACCATGTTACTGACTGATACCTCTCTAGTTATCGTCTGGGTGCGCCAGGCTTCCTCACATCGAAGGAGCTACGCGATGCCGGATACAAGCCGAACAATGGCCTACGAGATCAACGAGTGGCGTTGGAGTGGGTACACAAGAACATCCGTGATTTTGGAGGAGATCCAGAGAATATTACGGCAGGAGGAATGAGCGCTGGAGGGGGTACGTATCTCAACGCTCAGTCATGCATCACAACGACTGACCAGTTCTAGTATCCGTGACGTACCATTTGCAGTCGCAAACCCCACTATTCAAGCGTGCAATCGTTTTGAGCGGAACATCATTGCTCATTCAACCACTCCCATACGAGGTGCACGAGGAGAATTATAAGCAGGCAATCGCAGCATTGGGTCTGGCAGATGCTTCGGCCGAAGATCGTGTCCAGGCTTTGTTGGAAATTCCTGGTCAAGAGATAGTCACCAGGCTCCCTCACTCCGTGCGATATGCCCCGGCTATCGACAGCGATATCGTCATTCCCGGTGTGACATTCTCGGCTGTTGGAAGCCTAGAGTCGAACGCGCTCCGAGGCAAGGAATGGTGCCAGGAATTGTTGATTGGGGATGCTGAAGCTGACGTATGTTGGCTCCTCACATGTGTGGTTCCTTCTGCTAACTAATAACCCATAAAGGCAAGCATTTCTGAATATCTCACCCCGAACATGAAGGATAACAGCGCCAAGCGATTCATTACCGCGCTGAAGGAATCCATCGGGTCACACCCGGATATCATCCAGCGCATCCTTGACGCATATCACATTTCGGAAGATACCCCAGATGATCAGGCGATTTCATCCATCTTGACGTTCTTCACGGATATCCTTTTCCACGCACCAACACTGAACTTTGCTCGTGGCTGGAACGGAAAGGCCTACGTTTACTACTTCAACGAGGGTAACCCCTGGGACGGACCGTACAAAGGCCGTGCGAATCACATCCTCGACGTGATCTATTTCTTCCAGAATTTGGGCGATTTCCTGACTCCAGAACAAAAGCAAGTCAGCGAAGCCATGGTTGTAGACTTTTTCCAATTCTGTCATGGAAGTGGGCCCTGGCCAGCTATTACTCCTGGAACTGTCGACACCGGATTTACGGCTCGGATTTATGGTCCCAGTCAGCAGGGTGCTATTGCTAGCGTTGCACCGCAAGCGTTTGGTGGCCAGACTCTGCGCAGAAGTGTTCTGTTTGAGTGCTCTTCCGTGGTCGCGTTTGATGACTTGGCCAAGGTCTATGTGGCTTTCCAGTCACGCTGAGTCTTTTCGAGTAAGATACGTGAGAAGAGATTTGATTTATTGAGTGTTTTGTGGATTTCTGAGACTGGCGGGAAATCGTATGGGCCAAAAAAGATTCTTATTTTTAATCGTAGCTGCGAAATCATCCACTGTGTGGGGTAATTTGTTCATGCTGTAGCCTAGGTATCGCCTCAGCAAAAGTAATCAGGCCGAGGGCTCCGAACAAGACCGAGGTGAACCAAATGGAACAAAACCCAAGCTTCCCCGAAATCTGGGGATCTCATAGGTTTGCGGAGCTGGGGAGTGTGGGGGTGTCGTCGGTCGGCACTCGCCAACGGCAAAACTTGATCCGTGATTATTGATCCAATTAAGGTACCGTCCTATTGCAGTGCCGAAGGGGAGAGTTGATCTGCATTCAACATTCAAAGATGATATTCGAACAGCTCTGAATCGTTAATACTTAAATCAACTTCCTGCTTCTAGCTTGCGACTTCCGAGGTTGGTCTGACTTGAATTAATCTCGCCTTTATCACGACTTCGATAGGGGGCTCCTTTTTAGCCCTGAAATGCCTGCGAAACTCTACCGATCACCTTTCCCAGATCTACAGATCGAATCTGTAGATCTGCTCTCTTACTTGTTCTCGAACCCCTTGAACACCCCATTAGATCGACCCCTATACATCGACGCTATTTCGGGGAAGCAATATACATTTGGCGATGTCATTCAACGGGTAAAGTCACTGGCAAATGGACTGAAACAGACATTCGGCCTCAAGCCAGAAGATGTTGTCGCCTTGTTCAGCCCCAACTCCATCGAGTATCCTATCGCATGCCATTCGATTGTCGGCGCCGGGGCTATTATGGCGCCGACTAGCGCAGCCTTGACGGTTTTGGAGCTCAATGCTCAGCTCAAGGCCAGCAGGGCCCGATTCCTTATTGTGCATTCGTCCTTGTTTGACACGGCACAGAGAGCGGCGAAGGGTACTTCTGTTGAGAAGATTATCCTCCTGGATGGCCCGTCTCCAGTGAATGGTCAGCCTACATGCGAGTACATCGCTAGCACATTTGCTCCTGCTCCTCTAGCCGCAATTCCACCCTCTGAAGCCTCGAAGAAAATTGTATTCATCTGCTTTTCCTCCGGTACTTCTGGACCCTCGAAGGGTGTCATCACAACACATCAGAACCTCACATCCAACTTGCAACAATGGCGTGCCCACATGCTCGAGACGGGTTCTTCTTCGCAACGAGTCCAGCGCAAGACTGCCATCGCCTTCCTGCCATTCAGCCACATCTACGGTCTCAACTTGTATATGTGTCAGTGCCTGATCTGGGGAACGTCAGTGGTTGTTATGCCCAAGTTCGACTTGGACAGATACCTTGGCTGTGTTCAGAAGTATCGACCTGATGAACTTGCCTTGGTACCGCCAATTGCGCTCATGATCGTCAAAGACGAGCGCGCTGCTCAGTACGACCTTAGCAGTGTCAAACGGATTATGTCTGCCGCCGCACCTCTCACCAATGAACTTTCTTCTGCCCTAGAAGCGAAGTTCAAAACGGTTTGGGGAACCGAGGTCTTTTGTACGCAGTCCTGGGGTCTGACTGAGACTTCGCCCATGGCCACTGCGCTTCCGAATGACCGTATGGATAAGCGTCAATCAGGTGTTGGTTGTATCACTAACAACATGGAGTTCCGCTTCGTGGACCCCGATACCATGGAAGATGCGGCTGTCAACCCCGACGGAACCACCCAGCCTGCCGAGATCTGGTGTCGTGGCCCCAACGTGACCCGTGGGTATTACAACAACGACGAGGCGACCGAGGGTGCATTCCATATCGACTCGGAAGGGAAGAAGTGGTTCCGCACCGGAGATATCGCCACAATCGACCGAGAGGGCTATGTCGCTATTCAAGATCGCATCAAGGAGATGATCAAGTACAAAGGCCTGCAGGTCATTCCGAGCGAGCTCGAAGGCAAATTGATCGACCACCCAGACGTCGAGGACGCTGGCGTTGTTGGAGTATGGGTGGACGAGAGAGCAACTGAACTCCCTCTAGCATTTGTTGTTCTCAGTCGCCAGGCCAGGGATAGAGATCTCAAGGCTGTCATAGATGGGATCCACTCGTGGTTAAATCCGAAGATTGCAAACCATAAGCGTCTTCGGGGTGGCATCCATGTGCTGGATCAGATTCCTAAAAGTCCCAGCGGGAAGATCTTGCGGAGACAGTTGAAGGAGCTTCTGAAGAACAGGAAGCCGAAAGCGCAGCTTTGAAGCGGAGAAATACTCCGCATTCTTGTCATTATTGTCTATCCTCATTAGTCGAATTTAGCCCGTCCGGGGATTTCTATGCATGCGAGATCGGTTATCCATGTCTTAGTCAGCGTAATTTCTAAATGCATGTCGGAAATTTATTGAAATATGTAAGACTCAATAGTTATGATTGGCTGAAAAATGTCCTGTCGGCTACCATCCATCTGATAAACGCGTACGGAATCAGGAAATTTGCCCGAAATGGCGCTTGCATTTCTTCGGAGCCCGCGGGCCCCGATCGTCGGGGTGTTATCTGCCCCCGTCGAGATTTGGCACGATTTTTCTTTTCACAGCCATCATGGGTCGGATATAAAGAGAATTGAGCCGCCTTTATTGACATCCTCCTGTTGGGTTCAAATATTGAGTTCAACTATTGCCTAGTCGCTCATTTGGTGATTAACATCGAGGAGCTGATCAACTCGGCAAACTTGACGTATCCTATGTGACGTCGTCTGGGACCCGCTTTCTCCCTACAATTCTTTTTGCTACTATGGGGTCCTGGAGTAAAATCCTGGGCTTCATCCGGGGTGGACAAGAATCTAAGCGGCCAAAGTTTTTGGAAATAAGATCCGCGAGATGGTTTATCATTTTTACGGTCTCTTATTCTGCGTGCACGGTAAGTAATAGTTTAATATTGTTTTGGGAGAATGTGGATGGCTGACCGAGTATAGGACATCTTTATGTATGGACTGGTGAGTTGATATTCTGATATAATAATTCAGGTAGAAAATGTGCACGACTGATGCTAGATCTAGATTGTCCCTGTCACGCCTACAGCCTTGGAGCACAGAGTTGGCCTTGCAGAGGATAAAAGTAACCTATCTTTCCTATTCCAACTCGAAGCGGTGGTACTGACTTTTGTTCCGCTTGGTAGTTCAAACATGGACATCAGTTTTGCTGGCCTTGTACTCCGCTGCCTTGCTTGCTTTTTCTCGTATGTCTCCCCAGCTCTCCAGAGTAACTCTATGCTAACAACCCCCTCAGCTATCATCGGCTATCTCGCTGATCGAGCCGGATCTCGACGATGGCCGTTCCTCCTTGGTCTAGTTCTTCTAGCTGCTGCAACTGCATTACTATGTATTGGAACCGACATCGGTCTTTGGATTGCTGGTCGCCTATTTCAAGGCGCAGCAGCAGCAGTCGTTTGGACTGTCGGCATCGCGCTGTTGGTCGACACTGTCGGCAAGGAAGGACTGGGCCAGGCTATTGGATATGTGTCCATGTCTTTAAGTATCGGCACACTGGCTGGTCCCCTTCTTGGTGGTGTTCTCTATCAGCATGGTGGATATTATTCTGTCTTTGGTCTTGCCTTTGGTTTGATAGGCATTGACATTCTCCTACGGCTTGTGTTGATTGAGCAGAAGCATGCTGCGCGATGGCTCACGCCAGAGAGAAGGCCATTGTCACCAGAGCAGAATGACGGCGAAAAGATCACAACCCAGGCTGCGCCCAACTCTTCTGTGACTGAGAATCGCCCGGCACCAGAGATGTCAGAAAAGAAGTCAAACCGGACTCGAAGTCCTCTTGGACAAGCTGTCACTTTGTTGAGCTCTCCTCGTCTAATCGTCTCACTTTGGGGGTACTTTATCGTATCTTTGGTGTTGACCTCATTCGACAGTGTCCTTCCTCTTTTCGTGCAAGAAACATTCGGTTGGGAGCAAACTGCCCAAGGACTCATCTTCATTCCGATGATGATTGCTCATCTTACTGACCCGATCACCGGCTATATCATCGATCGATACCCAAAGTCACCCCGCTACCTGGCCACTGGAGCGTTCATCTGTGCTGTTCCGCCTGCTGTTCTCCTGCGGCTGGTGACTAACAACACAATGCATCACAAAATCGTTCTTTGTGCCTTGTTAGCATTGCTGGGCTTATGTCTAGCTGTTGCAATGCCGCCTCTTATTACAGAAGTCTTCCATGCCGTAAAGGAAAAGGAGGACTCGTCTCCCGAAACTTTTGGCCGTGGAGGAGCCATGGCTCTCGCATTTGGCTTGTCTAATATGGGGTTTGCGGCGGGCAGCTTGATCGGACCGTTCTTCGCTGGCTTTATTCGACAGGACGCTGGTTGGGGCACTATGGGATGGGCTATGGCCCTCATTACTGGTGTTTCTGCTCTCCCAGTCTTGCTATTCATTGGAGGTTGGATTGGCAAGAAGTCATCGCCGCGGTCTGAACCTGATCAATCGATACCGGAGTAGGTGTTGGAATGCATTCTCTGCGTTGGCGTATACATATTCGGCGTTTTGTCTTCTTTGGACATGTTACCAGCACATTTTCTCTTCTCACATACTGTACAAATAGATCTCTGCTCTCAAGCAAAACCATAATACTACAATAGCGATTCTTTATTGGCGCGGACAAAGGAGAACCCCGCCTGCACCGGGGAGGAATATGTCTGCCTTGATGCCTGATATACAACTAGAAAATAACGAAAGCTTTGAATTGACCAATTGACCTAATGAGTCCTTTCTCCGGCGTGATTTCTTCCGAACATCCGCTAAGGCCGTTAGCAATCACTTACCAAGAATTTGAGCCCCCAGATGTTCCGTTCTAGTGGAAGTAGTCCGTACAGGCGACATACTGTACTTCTGGTGCTCCTGGAAGTTAGAGTGGGGTAAGTAATGTGCACTCAGAAGCTACCCCACGAGGTCGATTCTCCACGATAAGCCCCACGACACCCAAACTGGAAAAGTGTGGGCGGAAATCACGCCGAACCTAGCGCCAGGTGGGCGTCTCGGGAATTGGCGAAGGTGGCATTAGCCGGGCCCTCCCACGACATTGTTTGTGTATTCGCTCAATAGATGTTCACTTCATTTTCATTACTATCCGCCATCATGCTGGCCCCCGAGGTTCAACATAAGACGCTCAATGCCACTTTCAGGGGCTGCGAGAGCAATGAAGAAGGAGCTATTGTTCACAAATTCTTAGGCATCAAATATGCCAGTGTACCAGCACGTTTCGAGAGAGCGGTGCCGGTAGATACTTTTGCTGGAGCCATTGTAGACGCTACGAAATATGGGTATGTCTACATCTGTGAATTTTCGAAAAATTTGATCCCTGATATTATGATTTAGACCCAGATGTCCTCAGGTCGACGTGGATGTCCGTCATTTACTGCGCATTCCTGAGGACTTTGCTATTGCCCCAGAGGCAGAGGATGAATTGGAATGCTTGAATCTCGAGATCACTTGCCCTCCAGTGTCCCCGGAGACTGAGGCCCTCCCAGTGCTTGTTTGGATTCATGGTGGCTCTCAGGTCGTCACTTTCTGCTCGGCTCAATCCAATATTTGTGGTATGTTTCCAAATGAGTCTGGATTGAGATCAATACAATAAATAACCAAATAACGAATAGATCCAACAAAGATTGTGGCCGACTCTATCAAAGCATCAAAGCCAATCATCTTTGTATCAATCAACTATCGCCTCAACATTTTTAGCTTCGGAGACGGCACGGAAAGGAACCTGGCTCTCAAGGATCAGCAGCTTGGCATCGACTGGGTGCGGAAGAATATCACCTCTTTCGGCGGCGATCCTGTAAGTAACTTCCATATCTCATTACTATGCTATATACTAATTAACTATAGCACAACATCACACTCTCTGGGGAGAGTGCCGGTGCAATTTATACTCATGCGCATCTCATCACGGGACCGCCCGTAAAACGAGCCATTCTTGCATCTGGGACTCTGTATTTGTCTTCACCACTACCCGTGGAGCGAGGTAACGGCCTGATTAAGGTCCTTGAAGCAAAGGTGCAGGAGCTAGGCCAGTCCTCACTTCGAGAATCATCTGTTCCAGTCCTGATCCAAGCATTGAAGGACTGTAATGTCAATACAATGTGGATTCAGGAAGAGCCTGATCTAAATGATTGGGAGACTAAAGAGGAGCAAGTGGATGAGCTTATGATTGGGGATACGGAATATGAGGTACGTACAAAGCCATTGCGTGGACCATTCTATCCATCTGTTCTGACAATTTTTTTAGTCCGTGATCTGGCGTAACGGTGTTGAGCTTTTGAATGGTGAGACAATCGCCGCGGCTTTTGACAGCGACAAGCAGTGGGGCACCAAGCTTCGCAAGTTATATCAAGTCGTGGCCGATCGTCCTACAGCTGCAAAGCTCGGGGCTCTAGATCTCGTCAACGATGCTCGATATACCTTGCCCGTCGAGCTTGTTTCTAAAAAGCTCCAGGCAGCCAACAAGAGAGTCTACAAGTATGTCGTTGACCAGTCCAATCCCTGGCAGCCATCCAGCCGATCCCATCATGCAGTGGATCTTCTATTCCTGTTTGAGGGCGTCGATCTGTCTTTCAATCCTGCTGCCCAACTTGTTGGACAAGAAATGCGCAATCGCTGGATCAATTTTGTGTCCGGTGAAAGCCCTTGGTCTGATGAGCACCGCTATGCATATGGTCCTCTTGGAGAATGCAAGGAGATCGACGAGGCGCAGTTTTCTGCGCGACGACGAGTTGAGCACTGTAAGGTGCTTCAAGAGGCAGGCATTGCCAGCTATATGCCCATTATCGCTTCGTTGACTGCCGGGCGTATTAGCCTGCTCAACTAGAGCCTCTAGATCTTGGAACTGATGGGCATCAGATGGTGGTTATTATTTAAAGATAGAATTGACAAGTTTAATCCAACAAATTATCCTCGTAGATTAGTATACTCGATGTTCTTTTTCTTTTTCCAATCCGTGGATCTCACACACAATATCTCTTGCCCAGCTGAATGTATGCTAAATCCACCTCCAGATAACCCAAAGCTGATCTAAAGGCACTGTTCGGCAGTTGGCGACACGGTTGATTCCCGCACCGCCCATTTCCGCCCATCTCCTCGCAATAGACCGACCCCACCGACGCCTCTCAACTTCCAGGAGTTGCAAAGCAGTGGATTGCAGTGAGACCAACATCACAAGTACTGCTCAAAAGCGCCTGTACTTTCCCGTTATCTGTACCCCACAGACACATAGCTCCAGCGCCTCCACGCGTTACTCAGGCCTGACTCATGTGGGGTCGCGAAGCCTATCCCTCGAATTGTCGAGGCTGCTGGGTTGTCCCCACTTTGCCCGTGGACGAATCGTGATCCACTGCCCGGGGAGGTCGGCAGAGCGACATGCTTTCGAGATGCCGATTTCTATGAGATTGTATGAGAGCTAGGCGTGATGTTAGGACCCGAGGTTGGCTCCCGCTCAATTTGGCTCAATTTGGGGTCCCAGACCATGCTCAGCTGATGCTGGAACGCAGCGAAGACGACGATGGACTGGTATTTGCCCATGTGGATCGTGCAGATGGGCGTTGAGAAGTCCCGGGCGCCTGGTTCTGGTTCTATTGTTCTTCGGGAAAGAAGGGGTATGACCCCACAACTTGAAGTATAAGGATGGGAGTGTATCCCCGGAGGCCAATTCTGGTTGTGAATACATAGGAGATTTTGACCAGACTACTAGCTGTGGATTGAGGTTTTCAACGGAACTATATCCATCCGTCATGCCTTCCACAAGTGACCTTGCCGATCCCAAGGAGTATCAGAAGATCCTCCACTGGGCAGAGACACAACAGGATGGGGCAATTCCCTCCTTTGCTACCAGGCGCAACGACCCCTATGAGGTAAATTACTGGATTATACCTGGAGGCTGAATACTCGCTAACATCTTCCAGTACCAAGCTGGGTTTGGAAACTCGTATGTATCAACCCATGCATACAGTAATTCAACTGGCTGATGCAAATATAGTTTCGAGTCAGAGGCAGTCCCTGGAACGATTCCACGTGGTCAGAACAGTCCCCGTAATGTTCGCTTCGGCCTCTATGCCGAGCAGATCACCGCTACAGCATTCGTGGCCCCGAGGCATGCCAACAAGAAGGCGTGGTTGTACCGTGCCCGTCCTGCAGTCGCACACCAGGGCTTTGTATGCATTGCTCCTTACCTATGCCACATTACATCTCTAATTAACGAGAACGCTGACAATCTCCCAAGACCGAGCTCCCAGATAACAAAGACACCGAGTCCAACTTCCTCCCTATGAACTCTCGCATCCACGTCTCCCCCACCCAGCTTGCATGGCACCCTTTCGACATTCCTGAAAATGAGGAAGTGGACTTCATCTCCGGTCTGAAGACAGTGGCCGGCTCCGGTGAACCAACGTTGCGCGAGGGTCTAGCAACCCATGTCTACGTCGCGAATACTAGCATGAAGAAGAAGGCCTTTGTGAACTCGGATGGAGAGTTCCTCATCGTTCCACAGCAGGGCGCACTCGATATTCAAACTGAGTTTGGACCCCTATTTGTGCAACCCGGCGAGATCGTTGTCATTCAGCGTGGCTTGCGCTTCCGCGTGGAACTACCCGACGGCCCCTCGCGTGGCTATATCCTTGAAGTCTGGGGTACTTGCTTCGAACTGCCAGAACTTGGACCCTTGGGTGCCAACGGTCTGGCTAATGCGCGGGACTTCTTGAGTCCTGTTGCTCAGTATGAGATTTCCCAGGAACCCTGGGAAATTGTGTATAAGCTCGGTGGCAAGTTCTTCAAGAGCACGCAGAACCATAGTCCTTTCGATGTGGTCGCTTGGCATGGAAACTACGTATGTGACAGTGTTTTGCTGAGAACCTTGACTGGTTGCTAACCCGGTCTTAGGTTCCTTATAAATATGACCTCACAAAATTCGTTAATGTGGGCTCCATCTCCGTCGATCACATTGATCCTTCCATTTTCTGTGTTCTTACCGCCAAGTCGCGCGACTTGACTGCGCCATTGGCTGACTTGCTCACCTTCTCCCCGCGATGGGATGTCGCATCTCGTATGGTCCCCACGCTTAATGGCAAAGTCGGTTGGCACCTCTAACATAGAAATGCAGATACCTACCGTCCTCCATACTATCATCGGAATGTTGCTTCCGAACTAATGGGCCTTATCTACGGCGAGTATGGCGGTCGCTCCGACGCCTTCAAGCCGGGTAGCGTGTCCTTTGAATGCGGAAGTAAGTCACATCCCCGCCATATATCAGGCTCAATGCCAACATAATGGATCATCATGCTGACTTGTTTCCGCCTAGTGGTTCCCCATGGTGTTGCCTACGAAGAATTCAAAGCCGCCAGCGAGGAGGCGCCCCCAGTGATGAAAATTTCCGAGGCCTCGATCGCGATCATGTTCGAGTCCAGCCGGCCATTTACGATTACGGAATACGCGTGGAATAGTAATAAGATGCATGAGCATGAACCGAAGATGTGGGATAACCTTGTGGATAACTTTTCCAAACACGCGAAGGAGGTGGAAGAGCTTCTGGCGAAGAAGGTGAAGAACTTGTCTGTATGATCGATTTAGTGAGTGCAGGTGAAGTTTCATTGCCCAAATTCGTCTGGTTCTCGGCGATTAGCCTGTTTTTATTTTTATTGTTCCAGGTGTTGTTGCATAAGTTTGAGGTTTGGGGTTGCTGTGTACTGTGCTCGACCAATCACTACCGAGAATCACCTCTAGATTCTCTCATAATATGCGATGGCGCAGCCAAACCAAAAATATCTTGAGTAAGAAAAGGCGAGAAAGAAAGAAAAGCAAAAATCAGACGAGCAGCCCATGTGTCTTTGTTGACGGTTTTAAATCCAACGCGTTCCTTAACTCCAGGGTCCAGATCTGATTTGATCGGCCCGTCCAACTTTAAACCTTGACCAAGTCCAGTCGGCCAGTCGGCACTTCGGCCTCCGGTGCCACCGGCGCGCGAACAAACGCCGACGCCGACTTGGGAATAGGAACGATACCCTCTGGCCTTCGATTGGATCTGATCGGCGAATTTTTTAGAAAATAGATAGTCGGACCCTCGTATAATCATGCTGGACCATAACTGACTCAGGGTGTCGTATTCGAAATTATTGCATTGGCGATGTACGATGATGTATGTGGGATTGTGTCACCAGGCAGACAGTGCAGATTGAGATTCGATCTTCATCGAGATCGAAATGGAAAATTGGAAGTTTGGTTATTGTTCAATGGAGGTTTGATGTACTCTATTTTCCGTTCATTATTTCTCAAGGATACAGGGTTAGTTTTGTGGATATCGCCGTTCCCGATATGGGGTACACCTACCTTACAAACACGCGAGCTCGAACCCAATCCCATGGAACCAGTCAAAGCTCACGCCGCCGATTCGATCAGCTCGGAGCTGATCACTAGCGTCCTCTCGCCCTCTTCGGCCTCCGCGAGGGTGGACCCTTGCAGTCGGAACTGCCACGCTATCTGCAGCCCGCCGCCCTGGTATATAGTCTTGTCGGAACCTCATAAGCTTTCTTGTGTCATGTCTTTTCCAGAACCCGTCGAAGACCACGCTAACCGGGTAGATACCCTTTTCGTCTTAATTTCTTTATAAGACCCCTTATACCCTCCGACACCAGTTCTCCTACCCACCGTCACAATGGGAGGCCCCTACGCCCCCGTCATAGCCCAACTGGGCGGCCGTCCAACAAAAGACGTCGACGTACCAATCTGCTCCGTCTTCCTCGCTGCATTCCTCGGCTTCGGTATCTGTCATATGGTCCTCTTCCGCCGCAATCTCGCCCGAGGCCACAAATTCATTCCCTCCGCCGTGACATTTGGTTTTTGCATGTCTCGTGTCGTCGCCAACGTGACCCGTATAGCATGGGCCTGTTACCCGAACAACATCTCAGTCGCTATTGCCGCTCAGATCTTCGTCGCTGCCGGTGTTTTGCTACTATTCATCTTGAACCTACTATATGCTCAACGCATGATGCGCGCGGCATTCCCGGCCTTTGGCTGGTCACGGCCCGTCTCGTGGGCGTTCAAAGTGGTCTATGTTCTGGTGGTAATTACGATAATCATGTTGATTACGGTCATTATTCAGAGTATGTACACGCTTGATGCGAACACGCACCGCATCGATCGTGATATCCAACTCTACGGCGTGACATACTTCGCTATCGTCTCATTCCTGCCCATACCCATCGTCACGCTGGTGCTGCTCTTCGCCAAGGAAAAACATGTCGCACCTTTTGGATCGGGATCGTGGCGGACCAAGGGCCTCATTGTCTTCGTGGCTGGAACCTTGTTGTGTCTCGGTGCCTCGTTCCGTGCTGGAACGATTTGGATGAAGCCGCATCCTATCTATGACCCGCCAGCTTACATGCACAAGGCCTGCTTCTACGTCTTTAATTTCGGGATCGATCTGTCGGTCGTCATCATTTTCTTGTTCTCCCGTGTGGACAAGCGATTCCACGTCCCCAATGGCAGCTCCAAAGTGCGACATTACCGCGGGGATGATGGTGCTGAGAAGGATGGTTCGGTCGAGCAGATGCAGAAAGATGAGACGGAACGGGATATTGAGAGTAGCAGCCGCCGTCAGTAGCGTATTATACTGTAATGTCTAGGAACGAGATAGAGATACTGTACATATATACCGGATAATGACCAGCAATTCTTAGCGCTCCCCTTCCGTTCTAGTACTCACTCCCTCGCCGCTTTTGCTCACTAAGTAGAACAGAGCATGTCCCAGATCAGCCTAAGCTAGTCAGTGATCCTTATATAATCTAGTTCCACCCACTAGCCAACGAAAAACGCGCATCAACTGAACGTCATCGTAAGTACAGTAGTGTGATTCAGCTGTCCAGCCACATGATGGAAAGGAGCCCTCGTGGTCCGACTCACTCCCCTGACAGCGAACTGGACCACACATCGCTCAAAAGATCTGCGGAAGGCTGGACCAAATAATCGTTATCAAAATTCGCTGGACTTTGGAAGAGAGATTGATTGTCTCCATGAATGAATGCGGGCCCATCCTCAGGAGAGCCTAATGACAACTGGGCAACTTCTCTTAAGCACTGCAGAGCGGCCATGGATGCTGACTGTATGGTTCCATTTTCCTTTCGATACTCGTCAAATAAGTTGTTGATCTGCATCCACGCTCTCTTCGAATGGGGGTTTGTCGGCTCGGAGCACTGGTGTGTCAAGGCAATCGCGAGGGGAAGTACAGGTGGGGACGTCCGGAGGTACCACCTCCATCCAGGATTCGCGACCGAATTCCTCACAGAAGCAATCCCCTCCAGAAGCTCAAGAGAATCAAGATACAGCCTTTTTGTACAAGTCAGCAGGGAAGCCCGGTCTCGAACCCGACACTCACTCAGACCATTAGGTAGACTCACTGGCTCAGAAACTCTGGGCTCGCACTTCCCGACCGAACAACTGCCTGCCCCAGCCATGAGACGCAGGTTTGCGAACTCAAACTCGTTGAAGGCCTGGATGAAACTTGCGGAGCTTTGTTTCTCAATTCTCACGGATTGGAAAAACTGAGTTGCTTTTTTGAAGCCGGCTTCTATATGTTGTATTTGCTGTGCGTACGGACGTGTCCTCAGGTTCTGCCGGAGCGGACAGAGAATGGAAAGCATGTGGCGCTTGACAAGAATGGGAGTCATATCCGTGAAGTCATCGGTCGGGTGGGGGATCTCGCTGGGCTTCATGAATAGACTTGTATTCCATGCACCATCATCTGCATTCAGCGGGAGCTGAGTGTCCCAAGGGAAATTGAGTAAGGACTGCGTGCCGTCAAATGCAAGGGCCCTTTGTTCAAGTAAAATCAGCTGATTCCACAGTCGCCGTCGCCATTCAGCCATCCACGGTGAATAACTAAACCAAGAGGGATCTTTGTGGAGTCCTATCCGTTGGGCGATGCGAACGGCCAGACCCAACAGCACGGTTGCTGTTCGATAGGACCCTCGTTCAAAGAGAAAGACCTGCGAGGGAGGCATCAGCCGATTGTCGATGTTGTGTTATAATCTTTTTGCGAGACGCCCGGTTTCACGCACTAGGTAGTAAAGGAAATTCTGAAAGACAGCAGGCTCGCTACTGTGCACAAAATTGAGTCTGTGAAGGGCAACCTCCTGGGCTTCTTGGTACTTGTCCAGCAACCATCCTTTAGGGGGACCGAGCATATCAATGACATTTTCGGACTCAAGGGACATAACAGCAAGCCCGTAGATAGAGAAAAGCAGTGAGTCGATGAGTTCTTGTTGAGGATGCTTGCCCGTGCGGTATCTATGCATATCGCTATGGAAGGCATTCGCATTGAGAAGACGTACGAATGGATTGACATTCTCGAAAAAGATGGTGATGAGCCGGTTAGCTTCAACGGCAGGAGGATGATACTTAGCCAGAGGAAAAGGATCCTGCGGAATGGCCCCAATGAGGACTGAACCCTGTTTTTCCTGGCTCCATTTGGACTCCAGCTCAGCCGAGACTTGAAAATACAGTTCGCGGAGCTGTTCGCGATTAGTCTTTACACACTTCACCTGCTCTGTCAAGGGAATAGCTTACATTCGGAAACAGATCAACCCAGTGCATACCAGAGTCATAGTGGACCGAGAACCTGGTATTGAATATTTGACGGCCGCAGCTACAGTCGAGCGGGGTGTCGTCGGACTGAGGAGTCCCTGTGGCAACCGATTGCCCCGAAGTCACAGCCCTCAGTTGGGCCTCTAGTCGGAGTATGCGGTCTTGTAACACAGAGTACTTCATGCCATCCTCTGTATCATCGGGTTTCTTATCGTACAAGCAATCATAACCGCCTCGCTTGCATTGGTCACAAGGCTGGTGTTTGTCGCATCTTATCTTCTTCTGTCTGCAGCGAGAGCATGGCGGCTCCCGCTTCAAGGGGCTACTAGAGCTATCCAATGTCGAACTTCCAAAGGTAGTATCCATGGTCTTGATGACTTCATATAGTCGCCCTCGACGATGATCATGACAAGTGAGGGGGAGCTAGTCAGTCGCTGCGGGACGCAGCCGCGGTCGGCCGTATGTATGACCTTGGAGGATCGGTAGGGCCGCCAAGGCTTGGCACCAACCTTGTATTGAGGTGTAGGAGTGTAGTATTTCCTGTGGGCTACCAAAGCTGTGTTAAATTAGAAACTATAATATCTATTTAGCGATCTATTCCGGTTCGCCTCGTAGTTCGTGTTACGGGACCTGCAGATTTCATATCATATCTGAAATGCAGAGGACGACGTTAATTAAGTGAAAATATGGGCGGCACGGCTAATTTACCATATAAACAACAGTAGTAACTGTAGAAGAGCACACGATATAATCATTAATTTCCTGGGCTTTGCTTTCTGACAACGAATCAGCAAAGGTTAATACCTCCATCCACATAAAGATTCTGCCCGGTAATGTAGCTGCTAGCGGGACTTGACAGGAATAGGATTGCCGCAGCTACCTCCTCAGTGCTTCCTTCCCTCTTGATATGCTGATTTCTCTCGAGTCGAGCGGCCACCGGGGATCCTTGCATGCTAAGATCAGTCCGGATTGGCCCGGGCGAAACCAGGTTTATCGTAATTCCCTTGGGACCTAGCTCTTCCGCCAATGCGATTGACATGGAGTTCAAGGCCCCCTTCGAAGCCCCGTAAACCGGCAACATAGACGAACCCAACTTGGCGATAATGCTAGAAGTGTTGACAATCCTCCCGCCACTCTTCATATATGGAAGTGCTGCTTGGATGAGTAGAAATGGCCCGCGAACATTCACTCGAAAGACATCGTCCCAGGCATCCACCGGAACCGAGGCCGCAGAATCATGCATGACTGCAGTGCCCGCATTGTTAATGAGAATGTCGATATTGTTCGTGTTGAATGCCTTCAGCGTCCCGGCGACAAGAGTAGTACCAAAGTCCGGAGCAGAGGCGTCGGCTTGAATCGCTATCGCTTGAACACCCACACTCTTAATCTTCTCGACAACCTCCTGCGCGGCAGCGGCATTGGAACTATAGTGCACAGCGACCTATTTCGACGGAACGGTATCAGCAAAACGAGCCTAGTTCTCTAAACAGGTGATGGATCATACATTGGCACCATGTTCTGCGAGTGCAATTGCTGTCGAAGCTCCAATCCCGGAGATCTTGGAGGCGCCGGTCACAATGGCAACTTTGCCCGCGAGGTACTGATCTTTCACCATTTTCAGTCTTGTTCGTATAAGATGGTACGAATCTGGAGAGACTGGAGGTAACTCCAGAACCTTTATAGCTGGGCGCATTCGTATAGATTATAAATTGTCAGTTGCCGAACTGCCGCGCTAAGTCATGACGAATCGTCCCAGCTACCTAATAGATTGATCGATCTTATCCCTACATTGACAATCTTAGTACCAGCACTCGGCGAGACTGGGAAGCACGGCGAACTCGGCGACCATGCCCAAGCATGAACCCCGGTTAGTTAAAGTTGACAAATCCTACAGGGCTGTTGTGTTTCGTAGATCCGGCGGCGCTAATAAACCTAGCCGTCTTATTAAGGCAGAGTGGAGTGGAGACGCCCTCTGATTGGCCATGGCTAGTTGGTAATGTTATCGTCTCGCCGAGCCCGGCGGCGCTAAACCCAGACTTGGAAATATATGACGTTTCCAGTAGTATGCCTTTCGAAATAAGGATCGGTCAGCAGTCGCGGAGGCGTCAAGGAGACTTGACAAAATGTTATGATCGTGAGCAATGGCGAAGTTGAGAGGTCCTACAGTTAAATAGAGAGGGTTAATCCCTATGAGAATCATGCTATCGAAGTAACGCTTCTGACTCAACGCTGTGAAAATCCCCTTTCTATACAATGCCTTCTGTTCTTGTGGTCGGTGCGACTGGAATGGTGGGAGCCTCGCTCTCCCGACAGTTGAAGCAGCAACACCCAACCTGGCCGTTGACTGTGTATTTCCGCAACCCTCAAGCGGACAACTGGTTTCGCAATGTTGTGGGTGTGGACAGAATTGAGCACGGAACCTTCGAGGATGCTGCCAGGGTCCGTTCTTTGGCCGCCGAGCATGACATTGTGATCAACGCAGGGTCTTCGTTTGACCCAGCGCTGTCCCAAGCGATTGTTGATGGGCTGAAGCAGAGACAAGGCGGCTCGAAAGGAACCCTAATCCATGTCAGTGGTGGAGGAAACTTTATCGACCGTCGAACGGATGGCAAGTATAGCGCCGCCAGCAAAGTGTGGAATGTGAGTACCCTCTAGGTTCGAGTCCCTCGGCCTTCTAAATACCTTCTAACTCTTGTTGGAAAAATAGGATTCCAATGAGGATGATATTAAAAAAGTCAATCCCAGTATGCTCAATGGAGCGGCGGATCGAATGTGAGAAAGAATACAATGAAGCCAACCAGCGCACAGGCCGTACTAACTGGAGTTTGCATAGTATCCTCGATGCAGGCAACGACGGCAGCATCAATACCTTCATCGTGAACCAGGCCTTGACATATGGCGTGGCTGAGGGGCCGTTGCCTTCGCTGGGGGTGGGATACAAAATCCTGACAGGAAATGCGCAGTCTCTGGGATTTGTCCCGTACATTGGCGATGGAAGTGCCCTTTTGAGCGTCGTAAGTTGAGTGTCCCTGTCGGGGAATGAATAGCAACTAAATGCGTTCTAGATCCATATTGACGATGCACTGCGTTTTATCTTACGGATTGTGGATCTTGCTGTGATGCAAGAAGTTATTGGCTCTGCTGAGAGTCGTTACTACATAATCTACGGAGAGAGGGTTGCTTGGAAAGATGTTGCCACAGTTTTGGCGAAAACTTTGCATAATAAGGGCGTCTTTCCTTCCCCCGAACCGCGCAGCGTATCCTTTGAGGAGGCTGGTGAAGGAGAGATTCCCAAGCTCCTGGGATCCAATATGCTGATGCAAGGGGACCGGTCTGCCGCGCTGGGGTTCAAAGCAACTGCTAGGTCTATTCTGGAACATATCCCAGAGGATCTTGAGTCGCATACCTTTTGATAGGCGAGTGTTAACTTGTTGGCTTTTTGATAAATATGGCAGAAAATGACTAGAGAATCGATTTTATGATTTGCGTTATTGATTTGAGCTCGGAAAGACTTCAACTACGTCTACGAACGGGAAGGAAGAAAGTAGTCAGGGAAATAGAATCAATCGGTCCATCTAGAGATCTTCAAGCGAGCAGAAGGGGAATGGGAAAGAGAGGACCTCGGGTCAGACGGCGCAGGGCCTGGCCAAACAAGGAATCTCCCGAAGTTCAAAAGCTCTTCTCGCCGAACGTAAGCTGTTGCTAAACCCTCACAATTCTCACAATTGGTGATTAGAAAGGGATAGATTGATTTTGACAAATGGGTCGAAAGAGAAGATCACCGCCCCAGCAGCCGTTGGTCTAGACTACAGAGAAGGAACTGTTCGAAGATTACCATTTGCTCCAGCTCGTTATATAATTTCCAAAAAGACGAAGTACATCGCGGACAGAATGCGCAAGACAGGTAGGAAAGCCCTACCTGGCGGACAAAATCCTGTGTATGTAGGCTCATATACGAGATATCCTTTGTGGATAAAATGGCTGTACAGCATGCTTAATTAGATGTCATGATAATGAATATTCTCCTCAAACGTGTCAGTGCCTGGTTCTGCAACTTAGGTATCCCTTTTGCTTCTCATCCAGACATGCTCATAGGACGATTAGCCAGAGTCGGAGATTGCCGAATGTCCTTCAAGGGACTCGCACGAAATCTCAAACGGAGATATGGAAGGCCAATTCAAGTACGTGATACTGTCGTCAACAAGTTAGATATGGCATGGTGGTCTTGTCGTTCGCCTTCAAAACTAGGGAGGCTCGTGAAGAAGTCAGGGCTATGAAGCTTGATCCATTTGACATGGTTCCAGTTACAGAGCCGTTCTTGAGACACCCACACACACCAGTCAAGCGCAGATGAAAGACTGTTTCAGATCTCGCAAAAGGGTCCTTTATTTTCATGATTGGTATCAACAGACGGCCAGGCACAACACCATACAAAATTAATTCGGCAGCGAAAGCCTTGTTCGAATGCATTTTCCTCCCTCCGCTAACCCAGTAGCCTCCTGAAGGACAACAATGAAATCTATCACAGGAAATAGTCGGGTGTACGCCTCGATACCATGGGTTCTCCCGCTCGGGGGCAAGGGTCAAATTGTAGACTGGGGAAGGCACAAATCAGTACTCCAACCGATGATTAGAGATGGAAAGTGACGAGGGATTACTCACAATGTGTACTTCAGATGCTCGTCGATCTCCATAATTGCAGCCTGGTTGCCGCAACGGTAACAATAGTTGGGTGCTGCAGTAAATGGTGGGTCAGCCATTTGATCCCAACAAAGACCCTCAACAAAGTTTCCACCCTGCCTCGTCTCTCATATCGAGACATACCTGAGAAGATTGTCACCACGTTTCGGTCCTGCGACCAGTTATATCCCTCCATCACAAGTTGGTGTGCTCGTGCAACCAGAGTCAAGCCATTGTTGTGGTTGAACGCTTCCGAAATGTCCTGACCGAATGTGTACCCCGCACCTCGGGGAGAGATTCCCCAACCGCAACGATCATCAGGATCACTCCAGAGCAGATCGCACATGGGACCCTCATGGGGGACCTCTTGGATACGATCAAGCGATCGGATGTTGTCGAGAGTGTCGATAGACGGACTCAGTCCACCGTGCAGACAGAAGATCTGGTTTTCAATGAGAGCAGTGAGGGGGAGGTAGTCGAAGAGGTCGGTGAAGTATTTCCACACGTTCGCATTGCCGTATTTGCGAAGGCACTCGTCGTAGAAGCCGTAGACCTGGGTGATCTGACGGGATTCGTGGTTTCCACGAAGGATGGTAATACGCTGGGGGTAACGAATCTTCAGGCAGACCAGAAGGGTCACAGTTTCGACGGAATAGTATCCTCGATCGACATAATCACCTGCGGAAATACGAGAGTGCTCGTCAGAATGATTGTTGTTTGGGCAAGCGTCCAGCTAACAGCTCGCAAGTTTGGCCCCACTCGCTGCTTCTCCGACCGACCGACAGGAAAGCTACACCGACTCACCCATGAAGAGATAGTTTGTATCCGGGTTGGGGCCACCGATGCGGAAGAGCTCCATTAGATCGTGGAATTGACCGTGTATATCACCGCAGACCGTGACTGGGCATTTCTATGGAGGAGTCAGCGGCGCTCCTAGATGGGCTGGCGAAACCCTCGACCGGTGTAGGCGATCACAATAAACATACCACTGGCTGCACATTCGACTCCTCCTGCAATACCTCCCGTGCCTGAAATGAAGAAAACTGGTCAATTCTTGAAGCTCTGCACGGTGGCCAGTGAATCAACCCACCCGATCGCACAGCCGCCGCACATCCTCCTCCGCTAGTTGCTTGCACGTCATCAAACTCTCAATCCAGCCATCCAAAGTCGGTATGGAGCCGGGGTCACTCGTGGGCGAGAGGTTGTGTGGTTCGGGCGACCGCGCGGTATCAATTTCCATGTTGTTGTCCATGGTGGGCACAGCTGGCGTAAATAGGGAGGAGGGGCCAGCTGGGGGGGGTGGAGGGGCGGTCTCGTGAGAAACAGGCACCGAGTTTTCGCCCAGGGATCGTAAAAGTGAGGACTGAAAGGGGGAAAGATCAAAGGAAAAGCAATTCGAACAAGACAGGGATTTTTCCCGGGAACGATTCCAGGAAACAGAGATAAGGGGGCTAAAGTGGACTGGGGGGAGAACAGAACAGGAAAGGGAGAAGAGATGGGAGTTGCGGGAAGGTCAGGCAGTTTGGCAAGTTTGGAGGTGAGTTTGCGCCACATCTCCTGCGCCACATTTGCGGGCTGCTGCGATTCATGCGCCACACTGAACTCTACTGGTGACACACCACGTCATACGTATTGATCCATTGTTTGTTCCTGGAAAATAGTATTTATCGGATTCAATGAAACAGAAGGCATATTATATGTTTTCCATCATCCAAAATTTCAACTATAGACGCCGATTTGGCCGAGTCCAGCCGCCAGACGAGCAATCCAAAATCGCAAAGAGTAACTCAGCCCTACCACCCAGCAGCATAGTCAAAACACGTTCCATTGGAATTCAAGTACAAATACTAAGCTTGAACATGACATATACACTATTTTAAGCATTCAGGGCAAAAAAAGCAGTGGGCAGCTGCTCCAATGGCCACTGGGCCATGAAAGTCTCCCAGTCGACGGGCTTAACCTCAGGGTAGTGGGAGTTATCCAGATCGGTTCCCACAAAGGTCTGGCCATTGATCCAATAATAGTAGAAGAACCTGTGAAAATTATGATTAGTTTAATTCTGACTATCAATGGGGAAAGGGAAAGCATTCACATGGACAAGAAACTGAAGACATCGCCCGGGTTCTTCTGCCGAAGCTCATGCATGGTCCTGTATAGATCATCTAGAGAACCACGGCTCTCAAGAGTAGGCTTGACTCCAAAGACCTTTTCAAAGGATTGGGCGATCTCCCGAATCGTGGTACGTCCACCGAGGACTATTCACGAAACGTAAGCGAAAACTGAAGCAAGACAACATTGATGGTAGAATCTTACATCGAACAATTCCGGTTGCCTTTGGATCCAAAATGACTGCGGCAGTAAACTCTGCAGCATTATCATAGCTGGATCCCTCCATCACCTCGTCCCCATTGCCCCAATACCGGAAGGTATTCGTACTCGGGTCAAAAATGTTGAAGAATGGACTAAAAATTGGCTCCATGAATCCACCAATAAGGATGTGCACGGCTTGGACTTTCTTTGTCTCTAGATAGCCCTTTACATGAATCATAGGGTCCTTCGGGAACAACTCGCCAAGCTTCAGCTTGATATAGTCCAACGCCCAATCACTAGCAACATACCGGGGAACATTACATTCCTCACATGCATCGATCAAGGCCTTTTGGCCGTCAACCATCAGCTTGTCATCACCGAGATAGCAGCATACGACCACATCGCAAGTGTTGACAAATTCGCGGATGGCACCGTAGTCAAATGCGTGGCCTTTGAGAAGAGTCACTTGAGACGAGGAGGCGATCACTTCTGAAACCTTGCTCGGGTTGCGGCAGTAGCCGCGGATGGCAACGTCAGGGTGTTTTAGGATATGGGATGTGAGTCTTTTCGCAAATTTGCCGGTGATACCAGCAATACCAACGGTGAAGGTCATCTTTTGTAGTTGACACTATAATGCATAGAATGATGACAGGAGAGTGCGTACAGAGCAAATCTTCCTTTCGACCCAGACTTGCCCGTTGACTTATATATGTAGAAAATAAGAGTCCCTCGAAATTTACATGCCACCTGTACACCGAAGCTTACTCAAGAGTATAGAAGCGTCGCTGCCCCAAACAGTGGATGGGCTTCCGCTGAATCATCTCGGGCGGTAAATTAAGCCCGAAGCTGCCACCCTCCAACTTTCATCAACCAACACCCTTTACTATTTTGAACCCCAAAACTGAATTTGGACTCTTGATGACAAGCACATCGGGGCCAAGTGCCTCGGTAAATGCCGAAGTCACAACACAAGCTCGCAGTTGTCAGAAATGCAATCGACGAAAAACGCGGTGCAGCAAGACCCAGCCATGCACTAGTTGCGTCAAGCTAGGGATAGAATGCATTTTTCCACCTCCAGGCCGCGCACCACGGAGGAAGAAACGAGCATTGAAAGCGGAGCTTGTTTCCAAAGTCAAGTCTCTTGAACAGAAAGTTCGAGAGCTTGAAGATGAAAGAAATTCCCCGCAATCAGATGCTGGTGCGAATAATGAGGAAGCATCTACTCGCACCATTCCTCAACCTTTAACAGCTCACGCGCAACATGCGAATCACCCAACGACCTCAGTCGGAGACCATTTAGAGGGCCGATTTGGCCAGCTCATGGTCGACGGAGACTCTAGTCGATATGTGAACCATGAGGCCCTTGCTAGCTTCCGAACGGACGTAAGTCTAATTGTGTTCTTCTCTACTTCGAGCTCGACTAACGGTACGGCAAGATTGGCACGCAGAGCAAGCCCACCGTTTCAGACTCACCAAAACCTTATGATGCTAGATCAACCAGAGGAAACAATTCAAATTCATTCATATTCGGATACGGGCTTTGGCTCACTCACTCCGTGACTTGCATCCAACGCCCCTCATCAGCCAGGCATTGTGGGGTGCATATGAGAAGAATGTCGCACCACTGATCTTGATTCTTCACAAACCGACGATACGGAATCTAGTCAGAAAAGCCGCAACAAACGCAGAGTTTCTCGATGCAAACTCCGAGGCGCTTGTATTTGCAGTCTACTTCGCGGCTGTTATGAGCATGAAGCCCGCAGAATGCCGGCGCCAATTGGGAGTGGACCGCCAAACGGCAATCCAGCATTACCGCTTCGCAGCTGAGCAGGCCTTATCTCGAGCTGACTTTCTACACGCCCGTTGTCTCTCGGTCCTACAAGCCGCTGTCCTCTTTCTGATCGTTGCGTGGCGATGCGACGATGTGCGCTTCGTCTGGGCTATGACGGCCTTGGTCTACAGACTGGCGCAGGGGCTGGGCCTACACCGCGATGGCGAGAAGCTCGGGCTCGGCCCATTTGAGACGGAGATGCGACGGCGTCTCTGGTGGTATATTTACTTGCTTGATTCGCAGACGTCCGAGCACCAGGCAATGAGCCCTCAGATCTACGAGGGAACATACGATACTGAGTTCCCGCTTAACGTCAACGACGATGATCTATCCCCCGAAGCAACGACTCGCTTCCAAGAAAGAGAAGGCTTTACTGAAATGACATTCTGTTTGATCAGATGCGAGATCAACGTCCGCTATCGCCGCATCCTCAAAGGCACCATGCCCAGTCTTGGACCCACGCGACAGTCGGTTGAGGATACAACTCACGCACTCACGGATATGAGCACGTTCATCGAGAACGAGCGTCTGAAATATTGTGATCTGAGCGTTCCCATTCAATGGGTCGCTGCCACAATAACGCGAATCGCATTAGCCCGATCATGGCTAGTGGCCCACCTTTCGCTCATCGGATCTGACGACCTGAGCTCGGACCTGTGGCAGCAACGGCGTGAAGTATTGTTTCAAACTGCCATCGAGGTCCTTGAATTCACTCATCTACTTGAAAGTAGGGCTGAAACCGCTCACTGGTCCTGGATGTTCGAGATGTATCGGCAATGGCACGCGTTTGCCTTTGTTCTCTCGGAGATATCCGTGCGGCCCCCATCACAAGCTACAGATCGTGCCTGGACTATTGCAAATTTAATGTTCCAGCGATGGCAGCAAGATGGACCACCTCAGGGATGGGTCCTTTGGAAGCCGCTTTCTCGTCTTATAGAACGCGTCACTGCCAAGAGGGCCGATGAGTTTTCGGCGGGTAGTGCTCACCAAATGCTGGTTTCTTTCCCAGCTGATTCCACTCATATTCCTTCGGTCTGGGCATCTCGGCAAACGGAAACAATTAACGGTGATCCCGTTGACCCGGCATCAAATACATTGGCAATGGAAATCTATAGAGATATCGTTCGCGACCTAGGTGTTGGATTAGGTGAAAGTTGATCATGTTCGCTAGATTGCTACGACAAATACTACGCCAGAATAACCCGGTCATATTCTTGTCGATAAATTCAGATAACCCACATTTCACCTTTTTACTGTAGTATTCTTACTGTTGGCACAGCGTACTGTCTCTTCCCTCTCATCACCATAAACCACAAGCTTCGGTGGACCCCAAGAGGCTCCCAAAAAGCTTTGGCCTTCGAGTGTGGATCCGAATACAAAGGACAGTAAGCACTAAGATCCTAGTTTGGTAATTTGTTTGAACTGAATTAAGACAAGGTAACTTCTACGCAAGGCTGTGGCTGCTTATCAAGAGCCCGCGCTTCGGCCTTGAAAGTTGAATATCGCCGAGATCCGATATCTAACCACGTCATCGCCCATACGCCGTACGTGATTTTAACTAACCAGAATCTTCTTGGCTACGTATCCAAGCTCGGACTATCTCTGTAATTACTTTCCATAAGCGAACGCCGAAATGCCAGGGCTGAATAATAATGGACTCTGCTACTTGGAATGTTCCCAGAGGAAATTGTATAAAAAGAAGCTAACCTCTGGACCCACCTTTCTCCATTCATCTCCACAATCATCACAGTCTACTTAGACAGTACACCTTCTGTTCGATACCTATCATCTAGATTACTTGTCCATCTTACTCTCAAGCAATGGCTACAATTCTCATCACCGGTGCCACTGGCAAACAAGGCGGTGCTTTGATCAAAAATCTCATCGAGAAAAAGGCGCCCTTCAAGATCCTCGCTCTCACCCGCGACCCGCAATCAGCCTCTGCGCAAAAGCTCGTCAAGGAGTCGAAGAATATTACTCTTGTACAAGGCGATTTGGACAATCCGAGTGAGATTTTCAAGAATGCACAAGCTCAGACATCGGAGCCGATTTGGGGTGTATTCAGCGTTCAGGTATGAACGGTTTCCTCTCTTTATTATATAATTAGATGATTTAGACGCAGAATGCTAACTAAAGCTGTGCCTAACAGGTCGCTATTGGAAACACATCCGCTGAAGACGTCCAGGGCAAGAACCTGATCGACGAAGCGCTCAAAAACGGCGTCAAATACTTCGTCTATAGTTCTGCCGATCGCCACGGCGAAAAGTCACTCGACAACCCGACTAATATCCCCCACTTCATTCACAAGCATAATATCGAGAAGCACCTCATCGAAAAGACCAAAGACGGGCAAATGAATTGGACGATTCTGCGCCCGACCGGCTTCTATGATAATCTCACCCCAGACTTCATGGGCAAAGTGTTCACGACATCCTTCAAGGTGTCGCTGAAGAGGAAGCCGTTGCAGATGATCGCTAGCAGTGATATTGGTGCGGTTGCGGCACAGGTCTTCCTCAATGCGAGGGATTATAAGGGTCGTGCGATCTCGTTGGCTGGCGATGAGTTGACCTACGATCAGTTCGCGCAGATCTTCAAGGAGAAGACTGGTCAGAACCTGCCGACCACGTTTAGCCTCGTTTCTACGGTTATGATGTTTATTATTAAAGACTTTGGATCCATGTATAAGTGGTTTTATGATGAAGGATTTGCGGCGGATATTGAGGAGGTGAGGAAGATTCATCCTGGATTGAAGGACTTTGGGACTTGGTTGGAGACGGAGAGCAAGTTTGAAACGAAATGAGCTGGGACTAAAGAGGAGTGATGCGAATGTTTGAGAAGTATACGAATAATTAGATTTAATGTTAATAATACATGTTTCGCGAAGAGAAGTCCCCACCCAGGTTTCATAATTTAATCGTCGCAGTCATGAATCGTCAAATTGAGTAGCTATTTTGTCTTCAGCGTAGCGCATCTATATGATGTCGCCGCCAAACCCACCCCCAAATCCACCAAAACCGCCTCCACCAGGTCCATTCCCACGACCGGATGGAGGTCCAAATGGCCCAGGCGGATCATAACGTGCTCCAGGTGGTGCACGAGGATCATATCTACCACCCGCGCCCCCGCTGCCTCCGAAGAGGGGATCATCAAAGGTTGGATGCATCCCGCCGCCGCTACCAAAGCCCGGACCCATCGTTCCACGCAGCGGGTCATTGGGACCGAGACCGGCGGGGTAGAGATCCCGCTCGCCGATGTTATACGGGTTGCGACCACCCGGGAAACCGGGTGGGAACCCACGCGGAGGGCGGTTGATCTCAAACTCGTCTTCGAAACCTGGAGGCGCAAAATCACCTGCCGGGTTCGGTAGTCGGGGCGCAGTAGCTAGGGGATCTTCAAAAGGGTATGGACGCGCAGGTTGAGGAAGGGAGTCGTCGCGAAGGCGATCGCGCTGGCGCGAAGACTCGGCTTGTTCCCGCGAGGTCTGCCTCGGTTCCTCGTAGCCTTCCTTATATAATCCCGGCGCGAGCTTTTGAATGACATTGATCTTAAACAGTCCGATAAGGTCACTCAGTCGAGCGGTCGATATGAATACGTCGCGGAGGGCCCCAGTGAGATTTTCGGTTTGCGAGAGTGGGAGCGCGGATGCGGAGATGAAGTCTTTGGCGGGAATGTCGAAGGAGCTGGTGCGGTCATCGCCCAGCGCTAGAGCAAAGACCACGGCATTATTTCCGAGACGGCTCACTTTTAGCAAATATTGCATCGAGGATTGCGCGTGCGCATATCGAAAGGCGAAGGTGGAGTTGGCATTCCATTCGGCGGGGAGCGCGGGGGACTCTGTTGATGAATCTGTCGAAATGTCAGCAATGAAATGACAAGGCTTTGAAATAGAATATCGATGGGTGTACCAACCTAGAGTATGATCTTCTCCAAGTCCCACTAACCGGAAGTCCACCGCTACCATGCAGGCATGGCCGATCAGAGCCACAGCTTCATATGGTGTTTGGAGGCTCGGCTGACCACTGCTGAGAGCTTTGGCTGCGAGTTCTAGGACGTTGTCCGGGCTCAGTGGATTTGTTCCTGTCATTATGATGATTCGAGATGTGTGTTCACTGGCTGCGATGAAAGGTGCAGAGGAGAAGCGTGATTAAGTAGCTGAAGAGGGGCCCAGGCAACTGGTGGTGATGCAATAAGAGCCGCCCCGCGGATCAACAATGATCCCGAAGCGTGAAGTATACACAGCCTCCTCTGGTCGCTTCGCCTTGGGCATCAACAAGGCGAATCATGAAACTCTGCAGGAATCGCAAAATGGGTTACAAATTTTCAATCTAGATAAATTGCTGACTATAGAGATCATCGCTTCCTATGCTATAACCTATGCTATAACAATTTGCTTGATAAAATCACACAAGGATGAACGAAACACCAAATGCCAAATATGCAAAAATAAACCCCCTATTTTTGAGATTTCCAGAAATTACCCAGCGCCGTCGCCATCGAACGCAGAAAGAAAGAGGGAAAATGAAAAGTGGAACAGAGAAAGAGTAAAAGAAGGAATAAAGAAAACAATATGGGACGCCCGACGAAGATCCACAAACACCATCAAGCTTAAGGAGAACGGGCAATCTCAGCGATCAGGTTTGGCATGTCCCAATGAACATGTCGGATATGGGACTTGTATTTGTCTTTGCGTCCAAAAGCCCTCGTGCATGCTGGGCACTTGAACTTGTTCGCGGAGATGTGAGTTGAGTCGACATGGCGCAACAGGCTGCTTTTGACTCTGAATGTACCAGCATTTGTACACCCGTTCCATTCGCACTTGAAGGTGACTGGTTCGCTTGGGTTAAATGTTAGAACAGCCCAGATAGGGATGAGTATGAGTAAGGATCGGCTTACTCTGGAGTGTCCGCCTGTTGCTCACTGCCCAGATTGCTGGCCCTCAACAGCTTCAACTTCAGGGGTTGTCGGCAGCGGCGACCGTGCCTCGACCGGGGTAGTAGTGGAAGTCGAGACGTTTGGAGGAGGGCTTGGGTTTATCACGGGTTGGCCAACTACTCGGCCCGGGTTCATCATCAATGATGGGGCCTCCCCATAGTTTGCCAAGGCAGATCCAAAGAGCGGGTGGAAAGGACCCGCAGTCCAGGTCCAGAGCCCCGGGTCATATTGGGGTAACGGATAGGGCCATGTCAACATTGAACTGAACGGTAAACAAGGATTGGGATTCGGAAGGAAAGGATAAATTGGCAGGTTCACAGGGGAGGAAATGTCGCTGCCACCCTCCGCGGCTGGGACCAGAGCAGAATCAGACTCCATGAATGATGCATCAGTCGTGGATGATGACTTGTGGAATGACGATGGCATTGTGTTGGGAACAACGATGAAACAAGACGTGGGTAGATAGATGTAGTGGATAGATGAATGGTTAACTGTTCAACAATAAGCTGGTATGGGGATTTGGCGGATATTTAACACAATGAAGTTCAGTGGAAGCTTGTGCCTATCTGAAGCCCAGAGCTCGAGCTTTCGAGCTTTAAGTCGCAGATTCAAAGGACATATTGCCGAATAAGGAAGAAGTAAGGGTGGTCAGGGAAAGAAACTGCCCAATCAACTATGTAGAAATCGCCCCCGATGGGGGCCCGCGGAAATTTCTCATAATCTAGATGGGCGCAATCGGATCGAGATCGACCCGTGCACGCCGCATCGTGGCGCAGCAGGCATACACATGGTACCTCAATCAAGAGATCTATCATCTAGCCACTTAGGTAAACCTAGTCACCAGGGGTTGATTCTTAATATCTTCATTGTACTGGTACCAGGTAGTGCCGAAACAAATAGTGTAAAACCCCTGGAGAACCGACTTTGTCTAGTAGCCACGAGTGTGCATGGATATCATTGTAGAACATCTGAAAAGGAACACATGTTTTGATACATGTGTGTACCCAAGGGCGCTCGCTAGAACGGGTCATTAGCTCCAGAGAGTAAGGAGTGGAGAATCTTGTACCAATTTTGAGGTGGTGACTTGGCAATTTCTCCCTACATTCTTCGAATGTCAGATGTCAGATGTCCCAGGGGCTGCTGCTACCTAGCATCCAAACCATGAAAGTCACATTTAGTTAGCAGAGACCTGAATACAGAAGAATAGTGTAGAGTTGAAATTATTAATTGGTTTTAAGGAATGTATTGAGAAATTATTGGCTAAACTAACCAGAACGACCATTCAGAAGACATTCAAAGGATTTCTCGAGAGGTTAAAGTATATCTAGCGAGGCCACTACTATGATTGCCCGACTCGGATTCTTGAACCACTACTTTGTGAGGCATACTTCTGCTTTCTGACCTCGTACTACCAACAACAATCTTGCTAATTATTGAAGAGTGGTCTTAAGCGCCGTCAAACTATGAGCGATGAGTCCAAAAATGACAATTTTTGTGGGTTGGCCGTCGAGGTCATTCCTTCAGATACACTCTTGCGACTGAGGATTCATGAGCTTAAAAGATATCCCACGATTGGGTCTAAAACATCGCATCTTCGTCATTGCTTTTATAACAAAGAGCAAAAAAATAAAACAATCAAGCACAAGCCCCAAGACCTGGCGTATCAAGCAAATCCGCCATATCCCGATGCACAAGTCGAACATGCGCATTGTATTTATCTTTTCGCCCGAACGATTTCCTGCATTTCGGTGCAGGACACTTGAGCGAGTCCGGGGCAAGGTGAGTCGATCTAATATGTCGCCAGAGAACGGATTCTTTGACGAAAGTACCGGTGTATGTACACCCTTCCCATTTGCACCGATAAGTAGTAGGTTCGGTTGCGCTAGTGCAATAGTTAGATTATTGTATATAAAATTATCTATAGGAATCAACTTACGGCTCAGGGTTTGCTTGTCGATCGTTCCGCGGTGGCTGCGCCTTGATAGCTGTGGTGTAGTGGGTGATAGTCTCTAGTTGTGCTTCGACAGCGGTATTGGGAGGTAAGACATCTAGTGAAGTGCTCGGATTGACAGGTGGGCCCAAAGTCGACGTCCACGGTGGGATCTCGGCGTAGTTTGGTAATGCGGGTCCCTGGCCGAAGAGTGGATGGGTACCCACAGGCCAGGCCCAGAAACGCGGATCATATTGAGTTGACGGCGGGTAGGGCCATGCGAAAATAGGATCAATCGAGAACCATGGGTTAGGCAGGAAATGGTATACCGGTCGGAGATTCATAGAATAATTGTTGCACTCCGGGGTTGGCAATAAAGGAGATGTATGTGTCTCCATTGGCGGCGGGTTAATAGTCGCGATTGAGTCGTGAAACGGCGCTGCCATAATGAGAAGGCAAATAGACAATATTAAACAAACTTCACCAATAAAAGGATCAATAGATGATAGTAGAAGCTTTGCTATCGGTTGAATCTGACATATTTTTGTTTTCGAAGGGTTCAGACTTCGGGAAAGTATGGTCTGTAAGGAGAAGAGCCTGATGTGTCAGTTCACAAAAGAGAGATAAAAGCGAGACAGCTGAGTGTACACAGTCAGGAAGGGGAAAAAAGAATATTACCTCATTTGGTTTAGGGCAGCCATGTGTGGAGCACGAGGCCGATGCCGGGTGGGATGTTCGGTGTGATGACTGAGCAACCCCACTAGCCACGAGGAGGCTTGGTTCGTTTTTGTTCTGTTATTCTGTGTATAACTGCGTCTGGTCGACAGCTGATTGTTCAATAAGCAGTGAGAAAGTGTCATTTGATTGAATGATGATATGCGGTACTAAGACACGGACAGTCCCATAAATTTGATGCTCAAGAAGTATATTGTATATCAATCACACAAGCCCCAAATAATCGAAAATTCTACAAAAAAGTCCCCCACTCTAAAGCATCGACTTGGGGAACTTCTTCATCGCCTGTCTAACACCCAAATCGGCCAAAATCTCCTCGGTCCCGCCCAGGATAGCATCGAACTTGTACGTGCGGTGGAACATCTCAATCACCTTACCCATACCGCTCTGCGTGAGGCCACGGCCACCGAAGATGTTGGTCGAGTGGTCGGCAATCTCCTGGGCGGCACGGGTGGCGTGCGACTTGAGGAGACCGATGGGTCCGCCGAGGTGGGTGGCTTGCTCGGCGTAGGTCATGTTGCACATTTGGTAGGCGATGGACTCGACCCAGGCTTGGTTGGATTCAGTGAGGGAGATCATGCGGGCGAGTCTGGCGGTATGTTAGTCTTTATATGCAAATGTGGGATTGCCAGGGAAAGGGAAGGTGGGATCTCACTTCTGGCGGATGGTGGGTTGCTCGATGAGCTTCTTGTCAAAGACGATACGCTGGTTGCACCACTTCAGGCACTCCTCGACAATAGTCATGGACATGCGCACCACGGCGGCAACCATCATGAATCGCTCGTGGTTGAAGTTGCTCATGATCACGATGAAACCCTTGTGCTCTTCGCCCAGCAGGTTGCCCACGGGGACCTTGACGTTCTCGAACTGCACAAAGGCAGTTGCGGCGGCGGTCGAGTATGAGGTCTTGATCTGCTTGGTCTCGACGCCCTCGCCGCGGGGAATGAGAAGAACGGAGAAGCCCTTTTCGGTCTTGCAGCCGGTCACGAAGTAGTCGGCAAACATGCCGTTAGTGATCCACTTCCTATAGAGAGAGGTCAGTCTATGCAATCTGGACACAAGGACGGGAACCACAACCACACTCACTTGGTACCGTTAACAACATAGTACTTGCCGTCTGGCGTCTTCTCCGCGGTAGTCTTAAGACCAGCCACATCCGAACCAGCAAAGGCCTCAGTAATGGCGAGACACATCTTCTTCTGGCCAGAAAGGACCTCGGCGGTAACCTGCTCCTTCAGCTCCTTATTGCGCAGCCACTGCTGCACCGCAGTAAGCGAGATGGCCATACCAGCCATGTTTCCATCCTGGAAACCACGAGCATTCGCCCGCACCAGCTCCTGCGTGACAATCATATCATGCAGATAATCAAACTCCTTGCCATCAACCGCACCGCCGAGGAGCGTGCGACCGTGCAAGTGCTTGCCAGGACCAAGTCGCATGGCCAGAACATTCGTCTCGGCCATCCGGTTGATCAACTCCTGGCTGATATAAGTGCCATCCTGCTCCTTCTCCTGGGCCTCGGGGGTGACGTATTGATCCGTGAATTCGCGAATGGCCTTTTGCAAGCGGCGATGGCTCTCCTTGTAGTAGGGGCTCTTGAAATGGGGGCGCAACCACATCGGCTCGGCGTAGGGGACGGGACTCAAGGCGCCGATCTTGGGATCGATGACCTCGGGCTTCTCGCCTTCGATCGTGCCGATGCATAGCTGGTCGCGGTACTTCTCGAGAACCTCTTGTCGGTGCAGGTTGTAAAAGTCGGTAGTGGCATCTTGACCGGCGACCTGGGCGAGCACGACACTGCCACCGGGGTGGGCGTCGACAAAGTCCGTCAGATCATATACGCGGTGGTCGATAATGCACCAGAGGGAGTCCTCGGTGTTGTGCTTGGCGACCTCAGCGCGGGTGAGGATTTGGGCGGGCATAGTTAGGTGGAGGGGAAGGGAGGGTATATCGATCGGTAGAGAAAGAAAACGAGAGAGGGAAGAGCTGGCTGACGGCCCGTTGAAGTAGTAATCAGGTGCAGTCGGCCAGATGCGGGCAGGCCCATGGGCTTGCACCGAGCACTGGCGTTCCCCAGGTTTTTGCGCCGCCAATCAAGGCGGACGTGATTTTCAACCGAGGCCCGAGACCAGGTGAGTAATGAAAGATGAAGCATTGTGGGCCAATGGATTTGCGGAGGGTCTGAAGAATGATCCACAGAGCAACGGACGAGCTAACGCGTTACGGAAGTCGTCAGACCATCAGAGGGTCACTTCCGAGGCACGATCGTGCTGGGGGATCCACATGCTTTGATAGAGCGACTGGCTGGCCATGAAATGGTCATCTTGACCCTTCGAGCAGCTATCATATACTGTAGGATAAGGACTTGGGTATAGTCTCAAATAATTGACCGAAGATGGTGGCTATACCCTGGAGATACCGTATTATTCGACGACAGCTCGGCTTAGACCGTGACGTGGATCGAGGTACCGAGGTGGTCGGAAGTGATGGCAAAGTATCGGTATCAAGTCTGTATCTCAAAAGCTTCCAAAAGAGGGAGGCAAGGAGAAAATCATTATTGATAAAAGTTTGCCATCTCCATGAATCGACGTAAGTCAACGAACCGGACAGCCGACTACCATCTTAAAGTCAGGTAGATCCGGCGTCCGGGTCCAGCCACAATGGCTAATCCACTGGACCACCGGCGAGGAGGGTTTGATTCTGGGGATTGGGACTGTGTTATAACCCTTGATGATGGTACTTCCGGGGCGGGACAGTAATCCATTGCCTGAACCAGTATCCTTTTAAAAGGATACCGGATCAGGTTAGAATATTGTTTTGACTGCTGGTTATCTTCCATCCACTTGAATTCCATGGAGTCAGCCGGCCGAGTAATTCTATTCAACAGAAGAGATACGGAATACATCAAATATCTGGAGTTATGAGCTCTTCGACTTTGCTGAATTGCAATGCAATGCAGTGTGTATCAATAATCTATGACCTATGTACAAATCTCAACTCCCCACAGCCACGTAGCAATGAATCATGAAAATACTATGGCCGGCGTCCAGCACCAACCTGCGCCTGATTCACCTGAATCTTCTCCATCGCCTCCTCGACCAACCACAAACAGACAGGTTGTGCATCAGATCCAATACGCCAACTACCCAGGACAACGCCCTTCTGCTCGAGAATATCACTGGCCCGTTCCCACCGGCGGCGCCAGAGTTCTTCTCGCTTGTTCGGGAGGGGTTCGGCAGCGCCGTAGCTGCTCGTAGATGTGCGGCCGAGGGACTGGTTTGATGCAGAGGTGCGGAGGTTCTGCGCCGGGGAGGCAGAAAAGTTGAGGCGTTCAGTGGCGTAGCTGAGGGCTGTTTGGGCGGCGGCTCCTGCGGCAGCAGGGTACGATTGTTTCGTGGCCGGTGCTGCGTGTCGCGGTGTTGATGTCCCGCTGGATCCGGAGCCGGTGGTTGACGAGGCAGTGTTGGACCGTCGTGGAGGGGGGACAGGAGGCGGTGCTTTAGTTCTAGAAGGCAGGTCCTGGTTACCTTCGTTTGTGAATGGTTCTGTGCGAGAGCGAGAGATTGATGGAGACGTGTTCAGGTCGATAAGCGAATCCGTCTTGGCCGAGAGACGTCGAGGTGGCAGTGGAGGGACTGGCTTGCGGCGAATGGTCTCTTGAGAGAACGACTTCTCATTGGTTGTTGCCAAATCAGGAACATCACCGACCCCAGACGCCGTTCTGAGCGAAGATGGCTTCACCGGCTTGCTAGGAGGCAGCCGTGGCTTCGTCGTAGTAGGGACCTGAGGCGATGAGTCTTTCTCCTTCGGATCATCATCGCTGAGGTCAATCAAATCCTCACTGTAGGAGCGCTTCAATTCAACGCCCGGGGGAGGCGCCAGTGGCCGACGTGGCGGGAGTGTCGGTCGGTTGACAACAGAGTCCGAATGGTCTACAAGCTGTGGAGTACTGCGACTGCGAACTGGCTCCGGTTCCAGGCGGCCCACGGATTGATCAAAGAATGGCTTCTTGTCTGGTGTGGTAACGTCTCGAATGAAAATGCCCAGAATGCGACCAGGGTTGGCAAGCACGATATCAGTGTAGACCTCGAGATCTGCCTCGCCGCTATCACCAACGAGGATGAATTTGCGCTCCGGGAAGTCACGCATAATCTGCTCCAAGGAGCCTCGTTTGCGCTCTGCAGTCGGCTCGAAGATGCCTTGCAGCATGCCCGAGTACTGCTTCAAATGGAAAGACCCTGGTGGCAGGCCAACCAGCTTGAAGTACCTCTCCAAAAGGGGATATAATTGCCATGGCGCATTGGAGACATAATGGATCTCCACGCCTTTCTTAGCCACCTGCGTATACCACTCGCTGACGCCATCAACAGTCAGCTCAGCCAGCTCACGGACGAATGTGTTTCGGAACATCTCTTTTGCGCCGCTGGCAATGGCGGAGTGTTTGACTGTATCGTCAATGTCACTGATCAAACTGATGCCCACCGGCTCGATGATATCGATCGGCTTCGCTGCAGACAGATCCTCTGACGCGAGAACTCGAATATGAGTTGGGACAAAGGGCATAGCGGCGCGAAGCTTGAAATGCCCCGACTCATCCGTTAGAAGGTTCCGGGACTCGCTCTGTTCATCGTTGAAAAAGAACACCGTCACCGGCATACCAGCCATGGGGTTCGTCAGGAACGGACGCAGTCGCTCCATCAGGTGGGCATTGGCCATGGAAATCTCATCTTTTGTCATGGCCACAGCTTGGCCTATGGCCGTGCCTGCGCCTGTGCTTGGCCTTGTCCGGTCGGTATTCGAGCTTTTCCAGGCTTGATCTGCATCTTTCTCTGCGGTGTCCACAAGGGTCTGCATTCGTCTATCCACGAGCTCATCCTCGCCCTTACTGGGCACTCGATCAGAGCTCTCATCGGTTGGTGCACCGGAAGGAGCTGGGATTCCGCTCAGCGTTCTGGCCAGCTTGATCATCAGACGATGCTTGCGACTCATTGGACCCCGACTAGGCGCATAGATCCAGCCACGCACGTCGACGTCGACAACCGCATTTTCAAGATAGGGATCCTCCTGGCTGTCCCCGGTAGGATTGCTCTCGTCCGATATGCCACGGTATTCATCGATGGTCTCCGACAACGAATCGCGTCTTCGTGGTGCAGCAGTCTCGCTCTTCTTCTTGGGATCCAATCTTCTTGCGTAGCTGGGGAAAAGTACCATCTCCTCATCGCCTGATCGTGCAATCTCCACATCTGGAAACGCACCGGGTGTATTGTAATAATCCTCCGGAGGCCCACCCCGCTGGCTGGCCCATCGCGATGCATACGACTGGCCAACTTCGTTCGCAGCCTTGATCCACTCATATGCCTTCTTGCGCCGACTGCTCTGGGTAGCACCGTCCCCGCCACCCGTTCCCCATGTTGATGCCATCGAGTCTGTCACAGCATCCTTCGCCCCGTCCCGGGGTCCGTCTCGAATCGTCCTAGCACGTCTTGTGAACGGACTGCCCGGTGTAGCTGTATCGGCCCTCCCACTCCGTAGGAGCAGTCGTCTCGACCCAAAAAGAGACGCGACGAAGCCCCGGCCGAGTCTGCGTCTGCGTGCCGCAAGTCGCGCCTGCCGCTGGACGATAGCGCGATAAATGCGCGATTGGGCTCGGTGTCGAAGCGCGGGGAGGACCTCGTGTCGAATATCCCAAATACGGTTCTGTGTACGCCGAGTAGCGTGGGGACCGACGAGGATGCGAAGGAGGGATGAGAGTCTGCTAGGTCGGCCCGGGGCTCGCGACAGAGGTTTCCACTTGGAGAGCAAGTAACTCGCTGTGGGTGGCTGTCTGAAGGGGAAAAGTCTTGACCGGGCGACTGGCCAACGAAAGTATGGTTTGGGAGCCAGGTTTTTCTGTAGTATGGAAGGGCTTGGGTTGGTGATGCCTCACGGCGAGGGGACTCGGCCCTGCTTCGGTGCGGTCGACCGACTCGAGGTGATAAGGATAAACTAGCGCGAGAAGAGAGCACTTTAGGAATGAAGACCATCGATAGTCACATCAGGTCACTTACACAGTAGAAGTCAGAGACAGCGCTGATGCAGGACGCTAAGGATATGCGGTGGACAGCAGCTCTGACGGAGCTGAGCCTCGGACGTTTCTTGCGCGTCTCTGCGGGGAGCGGAGCCGCCATGACGCCAGTTTGTTTCGGGTCAGTTTCCAAGGTGGATTGCTTCACAAGCACACTATGAAAGGTCCCCCGATCATGAGCAGATAGTCGGTTCATTTTCCGATTTTACTTGAAGTCATATGTGCTTGATGATCATATTTCTGTTTAACGATCCAATACATCTTCTGTGATATACATTGGGACCATTTCGATTTCTAAAATTCCCCGAACATTGTTGATAAATATGGAAGTGCTAACAGATATCCCTCTCATTATTAACCAAGATTTTATCTGTTAATTGAGACCGCTACTAGCTATCTCAAAAACACTTCACGGGAAACCCGTGTCTAATAATGAAAGAACATAGTGTTATTAGTGAGCTACGCACGTAGCTGGTCGAGTACTGCGAAGAAGAGTGCAAACAGTGCAAATGCCGCCTTACCACATACAGAAGCAGCCATCGCCAACCATCTTGTTCAATCACCTGGAGTTAATAGTCCAGATGTAACGACATTTAGGTCTCTTGGCTCTAAATGTTCTAACTGACATGCAAGACAGCCTTTGCCCCCTGTTTTCGCGAGGGCCGTCCTCTCTACATTTCGTCACACCCTTCGGCACCACGTCCAACGAACAGACTATCTAAGGCTCATATTATGCGTCCTTGGAGGGGTTCCCTCTAAGCAGCATTAATTTTACACCTTGTCATCAATTCCACATTTATCTCTATCGCACTCGCTGATACGATAGAGAGTCGCTGCAGGGGCGATGGGCCGACCACCATCTCTTGTCCCACCATGCAGATTCTGTCAGAAGCAATTCAAGCGACAAGAACATCTTCGGCGACATGAGCGCACGAAACATTGAAGAATACAAGTGAGAAAATGAAACTTGTTGATTGTAAAGTCCTGGAAATACTGAACTAATTCGAAGTAACACCAGAGCGCCTCCCATGCAAAATGGTATATCGTACAGCACCGTCTAGTATGCAGAATGACAGCCAACGCCGCCTACGCACTATCCTCGGTATAATTGACTTTCTTCGCGCGACTACTACGTCGAGTCGACGTCTGGGCGGTAGTCATGGTATCCTCCATCTCGACAGACAAGCTACTCAACTCCTCCGACTCTGGCGTCAACTCGATTTGTTCAGCCTTTCGTTTCGTGCGGGACTTGATAGACGGCGTCCGCCGAGTTGGAGTCTTGGGTGCTTTCTTCAATGGCGACTCCGGTTCGCCGTTCGGGGTAGTAGGCTCGCTCTTTACCTTCTTGAGGGCGGAGCGCTTCGCTGCACTTGCAGCGGCCTTGGGTTCCGCGACTTTCTTCGCCGGACGGAGCCATTCTTCCATTCCCCGAGGCCAATATATTCTTCCGTCTGGTCCGCCCATGCCCACTTCATCTTCGGTGATGTTGCGAGGTGGAGGTACAGACCCCTCGAGATCGACGAAGCCACCGTTCTTTTTAGACTTGCGAGGGGGCTTGAATGGCTTATTCTCGTCTGTCCGTGTGTATGGAATTAGATCATTGAATAGGTCGTATCCAGGTAGTTTGAATGTGCGCATTAATTCAAACACTGCTTGCTCTTTATCTTTGGCCTCAATCATGAGGTCCATCGTAGGGTCACAGGGTGGTAAAGTAGCCACGCGATTGCTGTGCTTGCGTCGTTGACGAGGAGTGATGGCCGCGGAAGTTTGCTCGGAATAATGCATCTTTTGTGTGATATTCTTCCGCTTCCAGGTAGCGGCAATACGATCATAAAGTGGGATAATGTCTTGCGTGCCTTCGCGCACCTCGTTCGCATCGAATAAGATGTTGTGGTGGTGGTAGTCAAGTACTAGAGGAATGTTCAATTCCTCGCAGATGGGGAGAAGATCATGAACAGTCCAGCTGACATCGTCATTCTCCAGAACCAGTCGATTCTTAATGTCCTGCGACAACACCGCATAATTCTCACGGAAGCGGTCCAATGTCGCCGCTTTGTCACCGAAAACACCACCCATGTGTAGAATCATGACCGCATCGCGATCTTGCTGCGGGGGCAGCTTGAGAAGCTGTAGCATCTCTGAGTGATACTCGAGATCTCGATAAGAGCTTTCGACAACTTCTCGCCTCGGAGATCCCAGCTGTGTGAACTGTCCCGGATGAACGGAGACTCGATGGCCTAGTTCTGCAACCACTCGGCCCGCGTCTGCGAGAACCTCCGATGCGAACGGGGTAAGTTTGTAGCCGTACTCTTTGTGGCTAGCAAACGGGAACATCTCACTACTGAGGCGCATGAATTTGATGCCGTATTTGTCATTCCAGCGCAGGAGTTTGACTAGGTCGCGCGAATTGGCGAGGCCGAGTGCCTCGACAAATGCCTGCCCCCGCGCTACATCCGCTGGTTGTTCGCGATCTGGACGGTTCTTCGTGGCGTGTGGAGGCTGATCTGGATCTTGAAGCGGATGGCGGTTCTCCAATATGGAGGCAATGCGACATGTACGAGAGCAGAAGACGGGTGGATTGGAGTAACGGAGATAGGTATTCAAGCAAGCCTGCATTAATCGATTAGCATTGAGACCTCGGGCAAGGAGAAAGACACATGCTCCACTGGGCGCAACATGAACATACATATCCAAGACGCCCTTTCCACGGCAAAGGAAGGTAGCTGCTGTTCACTGGGGGCGGCCGGCCAAGAGCTTCCTGAAGCTCCTCTGCGTCCACGGGGACCTCTTCATCAGATTCCGGATCAAGAGCAGCCTCCGCCCGACCAGTAGACAAGGGCACATCCCCATTCAAGATATCGGCGGGGTTTGCATCGGCGATTGTTGGATCCACCGCCATGGCCACAGTTTCCGAATCAATGAAGTCCTCGATATCGCGTGCAAGATTCTGGGAGAGAGTGCGAGGGGACGATGCGATAAGCTTGCGAGGGCATGTCGAGAATTGTGCTGGGCCAGCGAGGCCATTCAGACGAGTCAAACGACGTATGCGCAAAACCGGTCGAGCCGCATGACGAACATCGGCCAGAAGCAGGGCGGGTGGACTGGCACTCGCCACGGTCATCGATCGATCGGGGTAGCTCCGTGACGAGGGGTGGCGACAACCCCCTAAGCCAGGGGTTGGGGGCCCAGCATGCCGGATATGCGGTGCACGCAAGAGTCGTGCAAAAGACCGACACATGCAGCAGTAGTACTACCCAGCCTTGAGCAGGAATTGGGGAGGGAGTTGATTGTGAGAGATGAGGTGGTCAATGGTCGGCGGCGGGATGATGGCGCGCTAATCGCGACCACGCGACGCGGAATTGAGTTGATAGGCCAGATTGGGCTAGATAGATCAGATGGATTTGCTCAGGCTGCACAAGGAAAGGTAAATAGAGTCAAATATGTATTCTCGATAATTATGATCTCGAAATGGTGTTCAAGATAGAATTATCATCCATAGAAAGATATGAAACATATGAGAAGAGAAAACGAGAAATCGAGATGGCCATGTACCTAATCCAAGACACTTGAGATTGCCATGGACTAGTCCAACATGAACGTCATCGAAGTAAAGATTGGATTGAGAGCAAGACTGTTCAGTATGATCGGGTAAAAGGGAACCTATGTACCTAAGGATAGGACAGGAATACTAACATGACGAGCTACTATTAGCCTTCCAACTACTGTAGACTACGCTCTGATGCCCAATGGTTGGGAGACTTTCCATCAAAATGGATATCTAGCGAGGATTAAACAACCAGAACTGCTATTAGTAAGATGAACAGATAACGTATTTCACGGTCGACCGGGCCACACGGCCGTCCGGGCCACCCTAAAACACTATACTAAATACGATTTTCTAGGTATCAATATATCAACAACGAGAAGATGCCTCTACGTGGTTTCTAGTATGCTATAATTCCCTAGCATTAGAAATAGCTCAGCATAGCTAATATGTACAGAAAACGATTATCTACTTGTATTACAAAAAATACGCCCTGATCAAGCGATGTAGATATATATATTAACATTGTCATACCCCAAAGTATTTCTTGAGCTAACAAAAATGCCTGGAATGGCATATTCAACACTAAGATACCCTAAGACTATATGATTAGCCTTGAGCGTTGAAATATGAAGTTGTGAATTATTGCATTTAGTATGGCGTTTTGGGGTGGCCCGGACGGCCGTGTGGCCCGATCGGCTGTGAATTACGTTATGGCAAGGTCTTTGAAGTCATTCGCGTTACAGGAGCTATAGTGATACATACCGTGCGATAGTCCCATCCTCCTTGCTGGCTCTCCATGTCTATGCGAGGAGAGCGCGCACCTACCGTGATGCGGACCTTGGAGTATTCTTGATTGCCCAGCATGTCTGTGATAACCACTGGATCGGTAGTGCCCCTGAATTGTGGCATGCGGGTTTCTCAGGGATAGAACGCGAACCGGATGAAATAATCCACCCCTGAGACCATAAAAGCAGGTGTGGTCGCATCCCTGGAAACTCCTAGCTATATAGGACACAATCAGAGTCTCGGTCCACTATATCGATCCTTTAAAACGCTTTCAGAGATGAAAGGGCATATTTGACAACAAGTAAAACCCATGGGAAGACTGTGTATGGCTATCAAAGACCGGAGGCTGAAGACACTCCTGTAAGAGAAAGCAGGGGCCGCCAGGGGCGTGTCGTGGAACTCTACTCAATTCAACGCATAGCAAGTGATTTCCCCAAAAGAAAGCAAACGAAAGACCCTAAATACTATAGACACCGTCTGAACTCGAGGGATACTGCAAGAATTGTCTCGGCCGGTCTATTATCCAACTTGACTCCTTCGCAGACCTGATTGTTCCGTATTGCGCTCAAACCACCCTTTAATTCTTGTTTAATATGTGAGATCATTGTCGGATTCCCTGGCAACTAGGTTCTCGGAGAATAATTTGGACGCGGAATGAGGTGTTCCTGCGCTTGTGGCTGTCATATTTTGGAGGCGTACACATTTCATTCCTCTTTCGAGGTATGGGTGTTGACCGGAGGTTACGCGAGATATCAAACACTGGTTTAACGTTCATAAGTGCTCACTTTTGAGGTATACTTCGCGAGATTCCTTATAAAATGAAACGTGCCGGAGACATCTTAATTTGCGCTCCGCGACTTCCTCATAGCTGCTGAATTGCACGATCATGTCTTGTTCAACAAGTCAAAGTAAGAGCGTATGGGCGCCGTACATTCTTCGCGTTGCGAGGTCGAGAACGTACCCGGGAAACGACTCGGGGTTGGATCGCGGGTTGATGGTATTCCCCATTCCTCTGGTGAACGCGAGAGAATGCTGGAATCCAACGAGTATTTATTTATACTTGGTGTTGTCGAATTTGCCTACTCTTGCTTGTTCAACTGTCTGTCTTGTGAAAAAAAAGTTGAGGAATTATACCCTGGTGGTTGTTGCTTGACTACAGACTGTTGACTTTTGATACGCATTTTCTTCCACACACCCATCTGATACTATACCTCTTGTAAGTTTATACCAGAGGGCGAGCCAGAACTACCATCTTACTGACGAAACTCAGACCACACAAAATGAAGGGCATTGCCATCCTCGCCGGCCTGCTGGCTACCGGCGCCTCAGCACACATGCAAATGATGAAGCCCTATCCCATCCGCAGTCCCCTTAACAAGAACAGCGACGAGAAGAAGGACTACTCCTACACCAACCCACTGCAACCATCCGGTAGTGACTACCCGTGCAAGGGCTACGCCAACGACACCTTCCAGTCCCAAGCAAGCTACTCCCCTGGTAAGAGTTACGAGCTGGAGCTCGACGGTAGTGCTGTCCACGGCGGCGGTTCCTGCCAGCTTGCCTTGACTTATGATCGCGGTGAGACGTTCAAGGTCATTGAGTCCATGCTCGGCGAGTGCCCTATTTCCAAGAACTATACCTTCCAGATTCCGTCTGATGCACCCACGGGCGACGCCCTGCTGGCCTGGACGTGGTTTAACAAGGTCGGTAACCGGGAGATGTATATGAACTGCGCGATGGTCACTATTGGTGGCTCTGGAGGTGGTAACAAGAGTCAATCCAGTTCCAGTTCCAGCAAGGGATCGCACGGCAGGAATATGATGCACGAGGAGATGAGCGTTGAGGAGATGCAGCACATGAACCACCCACCGATGGAGCATACCATGGAGGAACGTGACATGAACGATGTCTCCGTGATGGTGGACCAGTCCAAAGCCACTGCCTTTGACAGCTTGCCTGACCTTTTTGTCGCCAATGTTGGTCAGACCGGTGGCTGTGTGACTATCGAGGGTGAGTCGGTAGACTTCCCGGAGCCTGGTCCACACGTAGTGGGCAAGACCGATGGCAAGGGCAAAGGCTACAAGTGCACGGGCAACGCTCCTTTCCTCGGCAGTGACAGCACCAGCAGCGATACCAGCTCGTCCAACTCGACTACTTCTACCAACTCGTCGATCTCGGGCTCTGCCAAGGACAACAGCACTTCCTCTTCCAATAAGGCCGGTGACAAATCCGATAAGCAGGCGAACGACGACTCCAACAAGAAGTCCGCCAGTGCCACTCGCAGCACTACCACCACCTGGGCCACTCGCAGCACTACCACCACCTGGGCCACTCGCAGCACTACCACCACCTGGGCCACTCGCAGCACCACCACCAGGGCCACTCGCAGCACTACCACCACCAAGGCCACTCGCAGCACTACCACCACCAGTGCTCAGTCAATGACCATGATTACCTCAGCCTCCAGCTCTCCCTCTTCTGACCCCCGCGTCTTGAGTGGCCAGTCGAGCCAGGTTGCTTCCACCAGCAGTGCCTTTTCCAACTACGATGGCCAGTGGACTTGCACTTCTGGCGAGATCCTGTGCTCTCCTGATGGATACACCTGGGCTATGTGCTCCAACCAGCGGCCGATCTTCATGGGCAATGTCGCCGCAGGCATGACTTGCCGCTTCGGCCAGATGGTTCGGTCTGGCTAATAAGAAGCTTCTGCAGTATGTAGGCATGTTTCTCTCTTAGCAAATGCCCTACCTCGACCGACTGGGACGGTTGAGATCGGTCTCTGCGCTTGTGTTTTGTCTGTTCTCTTGTTCTTGTTTTCCTCTGTCGACGGTGATGACAATCCGTGTCGGTGTTGATGTCCTCATGTTCTTGATCTTCCTAATGACTCTTCTGTTATGGCTTGGTTCTTGTTTTTTAACGTTTGGAAGTCTGGAGTCGGGTCTGTTTGTCGGGTGGTTTCAGGGTTATGTCTATGTAGTATTAGGAACAATACAAATCTTATACGAATACTGTCTATGCTACTCCTTATTAGGAACGTGGTTCATATAGTATCAATGAATTGAATAGTGTTATCATTATATTCTTTGCACGGCCGTCGAACCATGCTTATCCAGGTGACAAATCACTTTGTCCCAGAGTATAGTGTACATCAAATCTCTCAAGCAAAACATGGTATCTCAGCTCAAAATGGCGTAAGGGTTCATACAATCATCAACTGACACCGTTGACGGTAGCAGGTGGCCAAAAGAAGTATAGGGGCCGGATGTCTAACAACAGTCAATCGACAGCGAGCATCCAGCCCCCAAGCCCTTGCCAGCTATATCAAAGCACACTCGTGTCCGCATCCACAAAGGCAAAACTTAGATGTTACCAGTGTAGGCAGAGCCACCATAGCCATAGCCATTCTGCGCACCCGTAGCGGGGGTACCGTTGGCGGCATGCTTCTTCTTGCCCCACGAGCCGAACCAGTTCTTCTCGGGCTGCTTCTCAGCGCCCATCTCGATGTCAACTGGGGTGGGGTGGGTGGGCAGAGCGTCCACGCCACCACTGGCCTCGGGGTTGTTCTTCTTGCGGCTCCACCACTTACGGCTGGTGCCGTAGGTGTAGTTGTTGGCGGGAGAGGGGCCGAAGCGCTTCTCGCGCTTGTGGTGGCGGGCCAGGAGGACCTGGAATAAGATGGAGATGAGGAAGAAGAAGCTAGAGGAGAGAGTCAGTACTGGATCATTATGGTGGGAGTGTGGTGGTGGTGGCGGTGGGAACCAAAACTGTGCAACTCACATTCCAATAATCGAGACTGCAAAGACAACCTTCTCCAGCTCGCAGGCCATCTTGAAGCTGGTGCCCGCGGGGGTATTGGCGTTGTTATCGGCATTGCCGTTACCCAGCGGGGTGTTGACGTTTCCACTGCACGTTTGGGTGCCGTTACGGGTCAAAATGGCGATCGCGATCATCGCACCCACGAAGCAGACATCCAGCACGACAGCGAGGAAAGCGAAGAAGGCCACTCCGCCCAAGCAGCAGACGAAGATTGTGCCCAGAATACCGTACAAAGCACCCGCACCAGACAGACCCTCCACGGCCTTGATCCAGGTGGGGATGTCCAGGTTATGGCGGGAGAGGACGGCGAGGAAGTATGAGAAGATACCGAGAATCACTGCCGAAGCAAGGAATTGCAGCACTCGAATAGCGAGGCTGAAAAAGCGCAAGATGACTCCGCCGACTCCCATGATGAATGATGGAACTTGGTGAAGATTGGGAGGTGTGGAAGATGGCTGGATGAAATGAGTATTTAAAAATTGGCCAGCCCGAGGCAACAGGATTCAGGGCCGATTAAAAGAAGACGTACCCTTTCCAGGTGCGACGCAATAGTGGTAGATCAGTGGAGACCGGCCCCAACGGATCCCTGGCGCAGCAGCAGTCCTGAATGGGCGTAGGATGGTCTGCGCCACAAGGCGTGCCTTTAACCAGCGACTAGCGTGGACTCGGTGATGTCAGAATGTGCAAAAAGCCGTTGCTTGGTTGGTCGCTGATTTGCGGAGGGTGCAAGGTTGTTGAGGATCGAAGGCCCACCCTGCCGCTTTGAGTTTGTCGACCTTCTTTTTCTGGACCGAAATATTCATCAGTGGCTGGATAAGTGGAGATCGCCACTCCATGTGAAGAAATTGAGCAGATGAGAAGTACCTTGGTACTGCGAGTAATTATAGTGTGTTCTCCAAAATAGAACTCCGTCACTTTGACATACTGTAGCATCTACTGATGGCCCCGATAGGGTTAACGCGAGCGTTTGCAGAAAGAGTTCAATAGCGGCACCAGCCACAGTCTGCGCCAAACGCACTGGAGTTGCTAACAGTAGTAATTCATGAGAACGTCTCCCTGGGAAACTGAACTCTAAAATACTGCAGTCAATAGTTGGCAATTTTCACTATTACGCAAGTCACTCCAGAGCATGCCAGGCACACATCATAGACTATAGTATACATACACTACTGCAGATCATACAGACCTCGATCTACCCGATCTCCAACCTCCTAACCTCCCAACCTCCCAAATTAACTACCGTCCGTACGAATCCACTACATGGTTCAAGAGCGATACCACTAGGTGATCATCATCTACATAGTCACTCTCGATAGACATGCAGTGCATTCGAGAGATACTCGAGAGGGAACAAGGATGTCCATGACGATAGTTCAATGCATTGTGACTATGAAAGGCAGTATGAATAGGCATGAATTGTGCACCCTATTTACGGCTCTATCATGCCATAGCCCCCCGCCTGAAGATACGAGCGAGAAGGGTCTAGTGTGACTCTATCTAGCACGCCTTGTGGAATGCATTAAGACCGAAATGCACGATCGAAGTGCACTCGATGACTAGACTCGGTCTCGAACTAATTTCAAACTCCACTGTGGATCAAACAACATCGAAGATAAAACAGCAACGTTTCCATTATGTTGGTCGTTCATTCATCAATCATGACTGTCAGAGGCTATCTTTCCACTGACATGTAGGATAGTAGGACATGGTTCAAACCGATGAGCGGGAGGCATGGCGGTGCTAATCTCAGCAAATCAAAAACAGCCAACCAGCCCTGTGCTGGAATATCTGCCAATCAGGATTCTTGCTGGTGCTGCTGCTCTACGAACGCACGCAGAATAGATTCCAGTCCCTCGTTGCGGCGGGCGAGCAGCATCACATCAGAGACGTTGACGGTCGACCGCCCAGCATGTCTGTAGTGCGCAATACTGATCAGCGGGTGTTCGTAGGGCCACCTTGTTCACCAAGCGGCGAGAAGAAAGGACGAAAAGCAGCAAAACTAGCCGCAGAATGACCGGGATTGACACTCACTTGGCAAAAGACTCCAGGTCTTGACTGACAGTCTCTGTACAACAGTCAGCGACGCGAACTCTACCTAGAACAATCGAGGCAGATCGTGATCCTTGTACAATCGATCCCAAAATCAAATGACAATATGCATACGTACCAATCTGAGCCCAGACCATTTCCGTCAGGGCACCGATGAATTGAGGCGTTGCATTGGAGCCTAGTTTGATAGTCTCCTCATCCACGATCTTGCCAATGGATAACCAAAGGGCGGATTTGAGGCGCTATACGAGAGCGAAGAGAATGAAATCAGCACTCAGACACAGCCTATGGGTACAAGGATGATGTACCTCTTCGAGCCCAGCTTCTTCGACTTGTTCCATCTTGAGCCGTAGAGATGATAATCCAAATTGGAGTCCCAGTCCCGCCGTCGATGGCGCGTCCCTTACACCCCAGATGAGAGGGCGCTGATTGGCTGCCGACGCGTTGCCCCGGATCAATAGTTACTCCGTAGTGGCGGAGGGTCGTGCCTTCCGTTTTGGACCTTTTTCTGGTTCCTTCCAAAAAGGACAATCGCGGCTCGATAAACTCCCGACTTGCAAATAATCGCGCAAGCTTCCAGTGCCGTTTTTCCCTTTTTCTTCGTTTTTCTCTCGCCTCCAGCGCTGGGAGCTACTTCTCTTCTTCTCTTCTTCCAGCTCTTCTTGCTCTCCACAATTGAACATTTTTACTCGCATCTCGTTATCACTTGAGCAATTGATCAATCGGCCATCCGCGACAATCCGAGCTCCCGCATCCCCCGCCGAGAGAGAGAGCAAGTGCAAAAAAACACAACACATACAAGCTCAACTACACCCATACCCACAAAAACCATGGTCGAAGAACGCTCCTCCGACCTCGGCGACATCGCCGCCGAGGCTGCCTCGGATTTCTTCAACAAACTCTTCGGCTTCGTCGAGACGATATTCCGCCGCTTCTTCAAGAACTTCTACGCCTCCTTCGCAGAAGTCTCCGCCAAGCGCTGGACCAAGGTCATTGCCAGCGTGATCGTCTACCTCATTCTCCGGCCGTTCATTGAGAAGTTCTTCAAATACCTGCACGACCGCGACCGCAAGAAGGAGAAGGAGAAGAAGGAGAAAGAGCGGGCTGCGCGAGGCGGGAAGAAGGCCAAGATGTCGGCGAATGCGCTGCGGGGTGGAGAGAATGGCAAGGTCCTTGGGGAGGTGGAGAATACGGATGATGAGGTTGAGGAGGATGGGGAGGATGAGTTGGCGGAGGCTAGTGGGGTGCCGGAGTGGAATGGGATGGCTCGGAAGAGGCAGAAGAAGTATCTGAAGAACCTAGCGAAGGGCCAGCGGGCGGAGAAGTTGAGTGAGGATCAGATTATGGACTTGTTGGACTGGAGTGAGGATGAGGGGGAGAATAAGAAGGATGCATAGATGGGGGTGGACTGTCTTGCTGGTATTGGGCTGGCGGAAGAGCTCCTTCAAGGGTTCCAGCGAATTGTGTAAAAATAATAGATTGGAGGGCGGCGTTGTGTATAATTTGCTCATGTACTCTATCTATCAGCATGGTAAATCTGGCCTGATTGACGTCTCTGTCATGGTTCGGAATTATCCTTAAACTCATCACTTCTACTCGACCATTGTATCCATAGTCATCCATCTAATAACAAGATCAACACTGACAAAGAAGACGAATCGAATCCATGCCAACCCGCCTATCTGAAACCGTGCATCATAAACGTAACAACCATTATGTGGAAAACAAAAAAGAGGATATCTCATTCTCATCCAATCCGGCCTATCAACTCAATGCAACCGTCTCAACGCCTCAATCATCCCCTTCACCTCCATAACATCTCTCGAACCCACCTCCGCAACAATCTCCTCTTGCAGAGCAGCCTCGCAATCGAGGAATTGCTCAATCAACTCACCGTCCACGAAGCGATACGGGGTATCTGCCGAACGCGTGAGAGTTCGGAACGCGCGGAATTTGTCGAAGGGGAGGTTGCCGAGCGAATCGACTTTGCTGGCGATTACGCTTTGGAGCGTGATGAGGAAGTCGTTGTGGTTGGGGTTGATTAGGGCGAAGAGGGTAAATGGATCCTTCGACCTGGAGTAGGAGAGCGGCGTTAGTTAGTTTGATGCGTTGGAATGGTTGGAATTGGGGTAGTACGAACCGTTGCGAGGAAAGCCCGCGGCGTTACTGTCAGACTGGCAAGTTGTTGGATGTTGATAGGGCGAATCCGATTGACCATTTCACCCAGGCGGATTTCACTCGTTGGGATGAGACGGTGCTTGTCTTGTTCGGTGACGCCGCCTTGGTTGCGGGAGAGTACGATGAGATTGCCTTCGGCCTCGCTGACCAGGAGCATATCTTTCTCAATGGAAGCAACGGCCGTGGTCCAGACAGTTTGATAATGTCGACCAATTTCTTCCAGTTTGTCGTTGGCACCGTCCTGTCCCTTGGTATATTGGACGATGCAAACGCTCTTCATCAGATCGGCAACCACGATTAAATCATTGACGACGGTTAGATCGACGGGTGCCGTTGACGTCCGGTAAGTCGCAGTCTTCTCCAGCTTCATCGAGCTGAAGTTGTTGTTGATCACCTTGTATACAACCACCTGAAGAAAGACTTAGTCATCCAATTCCCCCCCAAGCCCACGGGATTCATCACTTACGGTCTTAACCAGCGCTGCAACAATGCGGTCACCGATCATTGCCAACGCCCGACATGCGCCCTTGACTCCTAATTCACCAACCTGGGTCAATTTGCGGCCATGATCAACCTCTAGCACCAGGATCCGCCCGCGAATTGACCCTTCCTGTTCCTCATTCAGGAACGCCGTACCAACAATCCACCGATCCTTCTTGAACTCTTTTCCATTCTCATCTTTGCTGGCTGGCAACTCGGCCCGGATGACACTTTCAACTATTTCATCTTGATGCAGTTCGATAGCATCTAAGCGACGGAAAAGAATCTCGTCGGCCAACACGAAGTGACTCCTCACAACCTCCACGCCACTCTCCAGCTTGCGGTCGATTGTGCCGAGGCCGAATGCCTTCTCGGATGGTGAGTAGGCGACACGGCGCACTGTTGAGCCCATTGGCAATGTTTGGATTTGTGTCGTACGCTCCTTATCGACGAGTGCGATTTTAAGTTCCCTTGCTGTGGCCACAGCGATGGATCCCGGGAATGCCTCCGTGTTCAAATGGCAGATTCGCGATGCACCCTCGGAGTTGACGGCAGAGTAGATAATCCGCCCTTCGGAGCCGTAGATCAGACTCGGATTTTCACAAGTGGCGAAGACATTGTACAAGCCGTCGCCTCTGGGTAGTCTCTTAAAAGTTGGCTGTTCTGATCCCAGGATCAACTTCATCATATCGGTCAGTGCATAGGTCTGCGGGTCCAGTGTGAAGGTAATCACGCTGCCGTCCGCCATAGAGATGAAAAGGGTAGGCGGACTATCCGCCAGAACGTCTGCGACTAGGACGGACCGGGGGAATGCCTCTCCTGTCGGCCCCAGCGATTGGCTTTGAACCTCGGATAGATCATTGATGGTTAGAATAGACACCTTGGCGGATTGCGGGAATCCAGCAATGCAGACACCTGCCGGGCTCGACGGGACCGTCACGCCTGAGATCTGCTGGTCTGCACCCATATCCTTTTGCGTGATGAGCTGGGCATCATTCTGGATATCAAAAGTCGCCAAAACCTGGCCACCGATAACTAGCACCAGGCGCTCATCATTGGCTGAAGCTGCAGTAATCGCCTTCTGGGTCGGAGGTGTCCATTCGAAAGTGATCATACCGCTCTCAAGATCGGCAATCACGGCCCTCTTCTCGGTGACCTGCAAAATCCGACTTCCCGGTAGATTGGCAGCCAGCAGCGTGCTCTCCGCCAGAGACAGCCCAAGGAATTCCTCCAGCTCTTCGACTTCCCCTTCAGCACTGAAGCGGAATACTCGTGTCTCGTCAACGAATGTGACCATCAGCGTGTCGAGGAAGTCTCCAGAGCTCTGAGACTGCAGACCCCATAGATCGGTGATGTGGTCCATTTCACCGAGGACACCCAGCTCCTCCATGCCAACACCACTCCGCACGCTTCGTAAAGATCCATCATCGAATGCACCCGATCCAGTTACAATCCGAGCTTGCCCCGTTGAGAACTCATGTGTCTGGATCTCACTCGTACGGTTGCCCAGATCCATCAAGGTGAAATCTAGGATAGGCGCAATGTTGGACAAGGTCTGAATGATCTCAAAAGAGCCATCGCCGATGCGCAGCACCTGAGAATCACCCTGTTGCGAGCCAACAAATAGAATTCCTCCGCCGAGGTATACCAGCTTGGTAGCCCGAGACGTGCTTCCCAGATAGTCCAGTTTCCAGTCTTCGACGTTGCCTTCGTTGTTCAACACAAACATCAAGAAGAACAACCGACCGTAGTCATCAGCAAGCAACCAGCGTTGACTATCGACTTTCTCCCAAGCCACAAAGACGGTGGCTTCCTCGAGATCGCGCGAGATCATGTCGTTCGCATTATCATCGATGTATTTGATAGACCTCTCTCCCAGGACGATAAGACCACCTGCATCAGTAGAGAGGACGTAAGCATGCCAATAAGGACGAAAAATAAAAATATAAAAGCAAGATAAAGAGATACATACCTAGAGGAGCCGGAATCGGAATCAAATGTGAAGACCCAAAGTCTAACTCATGTGCAAAAACACCCCCATCCAGCTTCTTCTCCTGGACCTCTTTGAAAGTCGCATCTGCAGGCCCACTCGACGTCGCCCGACTATACTCCAGCTCTCGAATGCGCAGTCTGACTTTCTTCTGATTATCCTCATACAACAGCGCCAGCCACGGCTGATTAGACCCGGAATGCAGAAACGCCGAGGACCGTACGAACAGCTCATCAATCCGCGACGCCGTCGGCTCGCCAAGTTCTCCAACCTGCGGTGCCTCAACCGCCGATGCTGCCTGTGAGGCCCGACCCTTCCGCTTCGTCGGCTCGACGATGGGAATCACCACGATCACGCCCTCGTAGATCTCCAGCGTCATGAAGCGCCCGCTGGGGTCGACCAGACACCGCGGATCGGTCTGGGACTCGCGGGCTGAGGGCTCGGCGATATCGACATAGCTGCGGGCTGTCCGGGCCTTTTTCTTCTCGGGATTCCAGGCAAGTGTGAAATAGTTGTATTGGTCTGTACCGACGAAGAGATGGTCCGTCGTCGAGTTGGCCGGTGCTGGGAGTCGGGCGAGCATGGTGACCTGCGCGTACAGCGCGCGGGTCTGGGCCAGAGCCAGGCCATCGGGGGTGAGGGTGTAGAATTCAAGGCGGTTGGCTTTTCTGTAAAATTGTGGAAATCCAGGACGTTAGCTTGTGTCGGAGCCTTATCGCAGATCTCGTGCGGTGACGCCAATGGACTCAGATAACGAGATTCTCCAAGGAATGTCTGCCATTCAAGTCACTCACGCTACTACCAGACAGTCCTCTTCGGCATTCATGAAATTCAGCCTCACTGCATGGCGAATGCCGCTCGCCCGGTGAATGGGCACCACGTAGGCCATGGTGAATGTTTCCGCAGAGCTGCGGTATGCTCGCAATTCGTGCGGGTCGGAAGCTTGTTGCAGGACTACTGCGGGGATGACGAGCACCGAGGGATCGAGGAGAGTTAGTTTTAGATCCGGTCGGGCAATGGGATGTGGTTTAGGCCTTGGGTCGGTGATGGCGCATCTCTTGGGGACTAGTGAGGAAATCCCAAGATAGGATTCTGCGCTGCAGCGAGGGGAGGAAGGCCGCAGGTTTGCCGGGGCGGGTGCCAATGACGACGTTTTAAGTCCGCGCTTACAGCCGAAAACAGGCGCGAGTCTAATGGGAGCGTTCGTACATGAGTACTTACAAATCCAGTATTTACTTCTACTGATCGTTTCAGCCGATAAGGTTATGATTTGAACAAAACTTTGTTAATATTCTATAGGATTCGGCTAGGCATAATCTGATCGCAACTGCATGAAGTAGGAAGGCAAGGCTCCGCCCATCCTTGCGACAACGTTAAACCACGAGAATTAGTTCCCAAGATTCATACATGATACAGGGCAAGGGCCTTGAGAATGACAATCCAATCAATTAAAGTTCTTTTGTGAAAAATTTCAACCAAGTCTAACAAAGAGATCATCCATTCACCCCTTCGCGCACAATGCTCCCATTCCCAACAGAAACGAAGCGCTGAAGAAGCCTCCTCCAGGGACAGAATCTGCCCATGAGTCGAGTTCAGATAGAACGAAGCTAAAGGTAACGACACCCAAATAAAGGAAAGAAATCAAGTCAAGATAAAGGAAAGAAGAAAAAAAAAAACCAATTGGCATACATAAGCTCGCCAAAATTTTCGAAAATGTACCTATTCGGCGCACAAAGAGGAGCCGAGAATATATGTATATGCTGGGGTCATCTAGACATCAAGAGGAGAGCTGGAGGAGGGAAGAAGAGGAGGGAGGGTAGGGGGGATATGACTACACTGCAAGAAGAGAGATGGGCGGAACAAAGTCGAGACGAAATAAAGGCGGTTTCATCAATCATGACCACACATCCTCCTGGTAGCTGCCGCTACTCCGCATGTGCTTGACCATCTCCTCGCCCTTCTCGGCAGGCATGCCGCGCTGCTCGGCGATGATGTGGCCCAGCACCAGGTTGACCTCACGGGCCATGTTGGCGGCATCACCGCAAACGTAGAAGTTGGCCTTTTGCTTGAGGAGATCACTAACCAGCTCGGCGTTCTCCTTCAGACGGTGCTGGACATAGACTTTCTTGGCACCCTCGCGGGAGAAAGCAGTGATGATCTTCAGAGAATCACCCATCTGCTCTTGGTAGGTCTGCAGAGAAGGTAGTCAGTATTTTTGTTTTCATCTCTCAGTGGAAAAAAAAAAGAAAGAAAAAAAGAAGAGAGTCTGATTGTGGCTTACCTTGAACTCATCCTGGTAGATGAAATCCTCATCACGCTTGCGGCATCCGAAGAACAGCACGGTAGTACCAACCTTCTCGCCCTTGGCGGCCAGAGCAGCACGTTCCTGGATGAAACCGCGGAAAGGAGCAACACCAGTACCAGGACCAACCATGATGATGGGCTTGGTGGGGTCGGAGGGGAGCTTGAAGTTAGAGTGGCGGACGTGGACGGGCACGTGGATGCCGTCGTACTTGTTGCGGGGACCAGTGATCGCATAAGTCAGACCATGAGGATCGGGAGAAGGATCACCATTCTGCTTCTGCTTGAGAGCCAGGAGGTAGTTGGTGGTGACACCCTTGACCATGTGCGAGGCACCAGGCAGACGAACGGACTCGACAACAGCAGTAATGCTGATCTTGTCCTTCTGAACCGCAGACGAGGAAGAGATGGAGTAGTACCGGGGCTGGAGCTTGTTGAGACCTTCGATGAGCAGGGAGAACGGAACGGCGTTGAACGGCTTGCGGGTGATGCTTTGCAGCGCCTGGGCGATGTTGAAGCACTGATTGGTGATCTTCTCGTGGAAATAGTCCTTGTCATTACCCAGGCGAACAATCTCGGCCTTGGTCTCCTCATCGGGGGCAAAGGCAGCCAGGGTCGAGACGAATTGACGGGAGACGGGGGCGCAAACTTCCATGTAGTAGCGAACGGCGGCATCATAGGTAGTGGGGGTCGGGATGGGAACCTTAGCAGTAACGTCGATACCCTTGATGCTGATGACCGAGTGACGCTTGTCCTCCAGACCGAAGACCTGGAGGAAGCGATCGACCTCGGCACCGGCGTTTGTGGGCCAAACCGCAATGTGGTCACCAGTCTGATAGCTCAGGTTGCTACCAGCGACACTGATCTCCATATGCAGGCAGTTCCGGTCCTTGACAGTGAACAATTCGTGGGATTTGACAATCGGGGCAATGTACGGGTTGTGAGCAGAGTAGGGGCCTTTGGGCTGGCCATCACGGTGGGCGGAAGTAGGCTCTCCCAGGTAGACAGACTCATCCTCGGGCGACTTCTCGTCGTCCTCGGAGACAGAAAAGACAGGTTCATAGACAGATTCACGCTCCTGCAGACCCATAGACTCAGTGAGAGCAGCCCACATTGGCTCCTTCCAGGCGAGGAAGTCCTCCTCCATGGTTCCAGCACCGTCGTCACCCTCACCGGCAGTTCCAATACGCTGCGCGCCCAGCTTGGTGAAGGCGGCGTCGACCTGGCGAACCATGGCGTTGTAGTGCTCATAAGTGTTGTTTCCGAGACCGAATGTGACATACTTGAGGGACGACAGAGGCGAGTCATCGGCAGCGGCGCCGCTCTCAAAGGCGACGTCGTCACCGGTGAAGAACTGGTAGAACTCGACCGCATTATCGGTCGGCTCACCCTCGCCGTAGGTCGCCAACACGAAGAAGGCGACCTTGTCCTCGGGGAACTTGTCCAGGTTCTCATAGTCATAGTCCTCAATATCCGCGACCATGGTCTTCAGACCAAAGCGCTGGGAGCCTTCCTTGGCGAGGCGCGAGGCGTAGTCCTCGGCGGTACCCGTCTGGGAGCCATAGAAAATCACACAGTTCTTGCCCGTCTCCTCCATCTTCTCAATGATATCGCGCGTCTTGCCGCTCTTGGCGGCGCCGTTCAAGGTGGCGGCGGCGGAGGCATAGGGGTCTTTCGGAACGGCCCAGTAGGTTCCCTTGGTGAAGTAGGCCACGCTACCCAACAAGAGAGCCACCAGGACGATCAGATCGAGGGTGTCGAGTTGCGCCATGATGGCTGTGGGGTTGAAGGAAAAAGGAGCGAGATCTTTTTTCCAGTCGGTCCGTTCCCGCAACACACACACGGAGCGGAGGATAGATGGGGGATGTGGAAGTCGGAGAGTTTGGCAGGCGGCGCCAGTGGGGAGGAGCGGAGAATTGGCGGGCGGGCGAGATCCCAAAAAAAAGTCGGGAAGAGGCGAAAAAGGGGAGAAAACTCGGGAAAGAAAACACGAGTCGTCGGTCGAGATTCTAAATTGACCGCAAACCCAAAAGAGAGCAAGACCACCCCTATTCGACGGAGAGAAAGGAAGAGGATGATGGAACAAGAAGGCCAAAGTGGTCTGATCACGGGGAGGCCGGTCGGCGCGAAGTGGAGCTTTCAGCTGCCGAACGAGGACCCCCTCCTGCACGACTGGAGATAATGGGTGCAGCAGAAGCTTGTCGATGGCGATAGAAGAGTGGGTGTCTTTGCTAGACTGGTTTTAATGACTGGTTAGATAACAAGAATGGACCGATAGTAACCACCAAAAAAGGGGGGGGGGGGGACGGGGATGTCGTACAGATGTATCTATACGGGGGGGAAATAATCAGATAGATAGTCTCCTGAGGTTATTCAGGAAACAAAAAGAAGAAAAGTAGAAAGAGAAAAAAAAAAGGCCAGTCGGAAAGTATCCAGACCGGGGTATCAATGATGTTAAATAAAGGTCGACAACTTTTCTCTGTAGATTTCCGTTCTCCGCGTCTTCTCCTATACACCTCATCGCCCTCGGCTGGAGCAGGCGTGCGAATGACGGCGTGGGGCAGATTGGACTTGACCGGAACGTGAACTCGGCGAGCTGCCTGAACGAGAAGGCCTGCCCTCACGGTCTCCGTCACAAACTCACCGTGTGCACAGTGTGCACAGGATATCTCCCCCCACCACTCACCACTCCGCATCTCCAGACTGCGAATCATAACTGAGCCGCCTTCGTCCCCAGACCCAAGATCATCCCCCATTCCCTCGGGTAAGGCCCCATTCGGCACGCCCGTCCGGGAGATCGAACACTGTCGCCTGGGCCGACCAACGAGCCGCCACCCGCCAGAACACAGACCTAAGAAGGACAGGGCGGGTGTGTCGGGTGTGTCGGAGAGTGGCAACCAGCTTGCTGGGACTGGGACTCGGACTCAACGGATGACCGTTTTGAGCTATATCCTGCTGTACAGTACGGAGTACGAAACTATACTCGGATCTGCGGAGGACACTGAACCCTTCGAGTCCTGCTGAGTACCGCGTGTGTGCCTGCATCCATTCTGCATCAGACGCCTACTCGGATCCCACTGTCTTTACTTCCGCGCTCCCTTGACATGTTCTGAAGGTACCCCCGTCCCAGTCAGAGACCCAAGAGTCGTTGACTGGCTCAGGCTGGTCCGCGCTGGCCAGTGCGGACCTATTCCGCTCCGGTGCGGCCATCCATTCCTCGCTGGGTCTTGCCTCTATTCTGGTGCTGGGTTCTATTGGAACTGCTGGACGGCTTATTCGGCTCCCTCCGCATCAGGCAGAACCCAGCGAGCCTACAAAAAGGGGACGACGCCCCCCCTCGCGAGCATCGGGATATTCCCCATACATCTGTTTGTGGGGTCAATGGCACTGGCCATGTGTCGGAGAGAAGGATCCGATGGTTTGGATGAGGATTCCACGGGATTCCCTCGGACGGGCTGTGGCACCGGCAGTGGCTCGTCTTAACTGCCAGTTAGACTTCCCCACATACCTCTCCGGCACTCTATGGAAGATACTGGAGAGTCAATCTAGCGAGTACGGTCAAAAGACTGTTGGCTAGAGTTGAGTGTCTCTACGCTTTGGCGAGGACGATTACTTTACAACTCGGAGCCAGACTTACAGTGACAGGTGCACACACGCGACAGTCTGGAGAACACATCCTACTGAGGACGGAGTATAAGTACGCACTTGGTACGGATCAATGTGGGGATTCAATCTTTCACATGGGCCCTTTCTTGATCGACTACTCATGCTGCATTCCCGCTCAAGAACAACCTTCGCAGGCCAGGGCCCATCGGGGATTGAATTATGTAGTACGTGATGGTAGTATCTCTTACGACGAGGAAATACCTCGTCGCCGACTGACGCTTACCAGATTTTCCTGCCTTGAATATCAGGCCCGTATTTGAGTTGGCTTTGGGGAATCTATTGATCCAGAGTGCATTTGTGTTAGGACTTGCGATCCCAACGTTATGTGCGCTGCTTATATCGGTCCCGGTCATGTCAGAAACATACTTGGTCTTTTGGCTTGTTCGATTAGCGGGTCCGGGCGCGTGTCGTGGCAGTTTGCTGGTGCTTGCGAGTGTTTGCGAGCAACACAACCGAATAGGGGACAGGTCAACAAGCCCTCATGAGATAATCGATACATCCATCCAATTTTATTCATAATCAAACGAGAGTACAGCCCTAACCTTTATCTATTGCCTCCTTCCCCAAAGTAAGCATCAACTGTTGTTATCCCGCTTCTTCTCAGAGTGACCCTTCTCTATCTATACACTTCCTACTTCACCTCTCCATTTCTCCCCACCCATTATGGCGGACCTGGGAACCAAAGAATTACCTTCCGGCTGTGGTATATGCCGCACAAACGACGGCCTCTTCCAATGTTCTGGCTGTAAATGATCCAATACTGCGGCCGGGATCATCAGGTCACTGATCGTCCATCGCACAAGTATATTTGCACCATCGTCAAAAAAGCACGTACCAAGATGGAGAAACAAGAGCGTATTCTACACGATCCCTCCTCGCGTTGGGTTTCTGGAGACCCATTCATCCAAGACATGGGGAACTTCTGGGGCGTGGTCGAAACACTATATGCGCGAGCGGCTCGAGATAGTCCAATACATGTATGTGGTCGACCATGTACACTCGGTCGAGACGCAGCTGGGCAATCTCCTCGGCATGTTGCGCTTGAGTCGTAGAGATAACTGGTCTTGCAGGATATGGTGCCCGCACACATGATCCGTCTCGACATGGACCAGGAATGCTATCGCTTTTTCAAGTGGTGGTGTGTCGATGGTTGCCAGTCGGGATACGAAGCGAATGGCATCGAGCCTCCATGACACAATATCGAAGAGGTCGACGTGTTTGGGCCTGTGAAGCCATTCCAGAGTCACTGTCCGCTTCGAGTCTGGGATCGTGTGTTCCCCGCGAGATCCTTGATCTCATTCAGTCGTCGGCCCTGCAGAGCCCCGTCGTGCGTGCATCCCACAATATCATGACTGGCAAGGATGGTATCCGCTGGACCCTGATAGAAAGGTTGGAGAAGCAATTTGATTTCCTGTACAAGGCAGTTCACAGGGTCAATGAGTATTTCTGGCCCCGCTTTTGCTGATCTGAATGCGCACTTGTTTCAATTCCCTGATGAGTTCTCGCCTGGGAGCGTTGAGGAAATGAAGATGATTTTGCAGTATAATTGGGCCGCCTGGTCTGAGGTCCCCGGCGCTATTGCTTTTCTCATTGCCAAGGTTAAGGGTTGTGTTTAAGTGTCTAATGGGCATCGATACCCCGTTGGAGTGTGGGGGCCCCACAGGACGCTGATGATGGAGAAGACATTGCGGTGACTGTTGGGAGTGTCTGTAAATCCAGGTCTAGTGTTAGGTACTCGTAGGTGGATTCTTCAGACGAGGTCTAATCTCAGCTGATCATTCGAATCTAAATATATCCTTGTAGCTCTTTACACGCCAAATACGCACAGAGCACGTGCCCTACACAGTATCAGGCCGCCGTCGATATATCCTGAACGGACTGCTAGCCTTTAACTAATCTTCCAAGCTTGATAGGTGAATCAACAACTTGACAATTGAGCGAGAGACTAGGTCCGTTCAATATATATCATGTATCATCATACCATCGACATCCATTGTCATCACCGTTCCACTTTCCATCTGTATGGAGCGACCGACCTTCGTTAGCGTGCCTGGGGGCAATAAATCTGGAGGACCTACTCGACTGAGACAGATCTTCAGATAAATCACTCCACGGGTTCCCTTCGGATCGAATGTTTCAGCCTCTTCTCCTTTGGACCCCGCCATACGAAGCGAAGCCTCGATCTTGGTTGTTAACCCACAGCGTGTATCGGCAAATCCTGCCCCAAGGTTAATGATCGCTATGACCGTATCGGTACTTATGTATAGTGAGCTGATCATAAGCGTACCTTGCATGGTCTAAGCACAGCTATAGGTAGACGGTACTAATTCCACAAACAATTGTGAGCTGACCTCATTCTCGGAGCTTACCACCTGTCAGACCTCCTCGGAGGCTTTTGACGGTCAATGTCCTTCGTATGGATGGGAGCACAAGCGCCCAACCCGACTTGCTTTGGGCGGCCCACCACTCAAACAACGGCAGCTGTACTCTCGAGCCGACCTGGAAAATATAATATACTTGGCAACAAGCCCTTATTCAGTGATCATTGGACCTCTTTTATAGCCAGTTCATCCATGTAGCAACCAGTAGACCGTCGTAGATAACAGCAATTTGTGCTCGTGTAAAGAACCAAAAAAAAAAGTGGACGGGTCCCCGTGCACACCAAATTGTTTATCCAAAGAAAGCTCGTCATCCGCGGAGCATCACCACGCCTACGCCTCACCTCCTCTCTGTCCCCCAACCACCATCACTCCTCCCCCTTTGGGCAGCCAGAGATCATGGATTGATTCGCTATGTGCTGCTTATCCCCTCCTGCTGACTCTTTCTCCACACGGCAGCCTGCATGAGATTCACCCGGCAATGAGTCCTTGACTCGTCGATAACGCCAGTAGGTCGCTCTCCTCCTCTCAAAGGAAGCCCCAAGGCCGCCCGTTCTTATTTTCTCTTCTTTGCCTCTTTTCGCCCGCCACCTCTTCGGTCATATCGCAATAATGCTTTACTTCCAGACTAAATGACCCTGCTAACCGCGTCTTCCCGACCTAGTGGCATCTCATCCGGCCAAAGCTGCTGGCCCTGGCCAGCAAACACCGCTGCCCCTCATCCCTGACGACCTCAAATCGGCGTCACATCACAATCTCGCCTCCCCCTCGGAGTGGCGAGGCACACGAACCACCCAGTCAACCCCAATGCACAGTCGTGAGCCCTCCGCGGTTCGTGGACGACCCGCTGACCTTTCCGCCCTGGTCCCAACCCTCCAAGCCCGCCGCGGCCACTCCGGTTCCAAAAGCCCCGACGTTTCAGCTGCCCAACCTGCAGGATACGACGTGGGATTGGAAAGACGACCATCCAACTCCTACGGCCACCACCGCCAGACCTCCATCGTCCATGGCATGCAACATTCGCGCAATCCGAGCATGGCCGGTTCAACTGCTTCCACAAACCCACTCAGCCCGGAGTTGATTGCGTCTCTTGGTCGCGGGGGATTCGACGAGGCCGGTGTGCCTAACAAGCTGGATCAGTTGGATACTCATTCGACATATCAGAGCCCCGGGATTGCGGCCGGTCACGGAGTGCCGGGGACACTGAGTACCATTCAGGACGATGCTGACGACACGATGGATGGAAGTCCTGCAAGTGTGGTACATACGCGGATGAACTCGGGGGGCACGATAGGGAGACGGGATCGATCGCATAGTCGCTCACACTCGAAGCATCACTCGGAATCGAAGACGGTGGGGGAGTATGCGCTGCATCATCTATTCAACTCGGTACGGACAAACCATACTGTGGGCGTGGAAGGTTGTTAAGAAATGGTGAACGACAGTACTGACATCTATACAGTTCGTTGGCAAGGCAGAGAGTAAGATCAATCAGGCCATCTTGAAGTTAGGGGAATCGGACGCACCCGTGGAGGAAGTATGCGGACCTGGCGCGGACCCCAATTTCGATCAGTTGATCTCGGCCTTGGGACATATCGCGAGGCAGAAGCCGAAGCCTTTGATCGATACCATTATGCTATGGCGGAAGAGTAAGGGTGATGCTGCTATCACTGCGAGACAAATGACGAATGAGCTGGTATGTACAATCGATTACACCCGTTTGTAGAAATACGAGATTGAGATGGCTAACCTGGGACGGTGCTGTTGGTTTTAGCCCAAGCCGACGATGGCAGAAAATGGAGTGCTCATGCGTCGCAACACTGAACCTACACAAGTACCTGGCGACCCTGCCTCAGCAGATCGCCCTCAACCCCCAACGCCTTTCCTTAGCCGGCATGACGATGTCGCGCTGGTCGAACGCCGTGCCACAGTCTCTGTGTACCTCGTCTGCAGAGTCTTGATTGAGATCTTCAATCAGAGTAGCCTCGCATCAATCACTCTGGATATGGCAGATCGTCTAGAAGACATCGTCTTCGGTCAGATCAAGACTGTCGACCCCGATCAAATATCCGCATCCCCACTTCGCATGGCAAACTGGAGGATATATGGCCAGCTGCTCGGAATCATGAGTGAACTCAACTTCGCGAGTGTGGCCAACCGTTTCCTGACAGAGCTTGACAAGTATCAGAAGGATGAAGTGGCTCGTGGTCCCTCACGCGATGGCGATGCAAAAGCCGAGCTGTTGATTCTCGGAATGAGAAACCTGCGTCTACCCACGTCCGCTGAAGGCTGGCCCAAGTCTTGCGATTTCATGCGATCGGTGGCACGCTTGTTCGTGAACGCACATGGGCAGAAAATCAAGCAGGCCTACTGCTACGTAATTGAGAAGCTTCTGCTTCCAGTGGCAGCCAACCCGATAGCTGATCTTTCATTGCCACGGTGGAAGGAGTTTTTGGACCTCGTCCAGCCGCGTCTAGCGCAACTGCTCACTAAGCCTCGGCATTGGGCTGCCGCATTCTCCTTGAATGTGTTGCTGCTGTGCATCTCTACCAAGGAGACATTCGCTTCCCAATGGCTGTCGATGATTTCCAGTTTGCCCGCACGCCTCAAGGATCGTCCCACGCGCGCGCCGGCTTTGCATGCTATTTGCCGTCTTGTGTGGACATATTTCTTCCGTTATTCCGACTCCCCTACGACGACCCTTCGTAAGGTGGAGGAGGTGGCCAAGATTGCCCTGCCCACTGGCAAGAGGACTTATCTCAGCGCAGAGCCGGCCTTTGCGGACCCCCTCATCCAATTGATTCGAATGATTGGATTCAAGCATCCTGACGTCTGTTTCCGGAGCATCATATTCCCCCTAATCAACTCGGATTTGTTTCTGTCTGGCCGGGAATTAAAGATTGAACAAATGGAGCCGGAGAAGATGGTTCTTGGCATTCGTTCCTTCTTGGCCACCATGTCTGATCTTGAAACGAGTGATCAGCTTTGCCCTCCCTTCCCGACGGGTTCACTTCCGAACCCTTTCATGGATAATTCAACACCTGCCTACTTCCATCGCTCCCAATTGCTCACTGAGCCCAAAGTTGGCCCTGCTGCTCAAAAGCCCGAACCTTCATCACCATGCCCGGTGAATATTTCTAGACTGAGCGAGAACGTCAAAGAGTACTACCTTCGCTTCTGCGAGGTTCTTGGGAAGATTACAATCCTTTGCGACAATACCTTTGGCGGACAAGCCGTTTTGGACGAAAAGTTTGGTGGCAGCACGCCCAAAACCCCCATCACCGAAGCATTCGGCTTTGGCCGACGTGATGACCATTTGAGCACAGTGGATCAAAAGCAAGGCTTTTACGACCTGCTTCACGTAGCTGTGCAAGCTCTACCCCGCTGCCTCTCCGATCACATCCCGTTTAATTCTCTCATCAACCTTCTTTGCACTGGGACTGCACATGTTCAGTCCAACATTGCCATGTCTTCGGCAGAATCGCTCAAAGCGATTGCCAGACAGTCACATGCCCAGCAGGTGACCATTGGCTTTGCGCGATTTATTTTCAACTTTGATGCGCGGTACTCAACCATGTCCGATGAGGGCATGCTCGGACCGGGCCATATTGAGTCTACATTGAGGCTGTATGTGGAGTTGCTCTGCATTTGGATTGACGAAATTAAACAGAAGACCAAGGAAGCTTCGTCTGACCAGCTGGAGAAGTCTATCTCTGGGAGCCGGGCTCTGCACCTTGATCTGTCGAGTGTTCTCGCTCACGTCGAGGAAATCGAGTCCCACGGGCTGTTCTTCTTGTGTTCACAATCTCGACGTGTCCGTGCCTTTGCTATCAATGTCCTGCGGTTGATCACCGAATTTGACAGCGCGCTGGGCAAGGAGAACACGCGGATCATTAGAATTTTAGAGGCCGATTCTCAACAGATCCTCGATCTGAATGATGAGCAGCTTACTGTCGCCGAGCGGAGTCGCATCCAAAAGGGCAAACGGCGGAGTGCCTCTCAGAACACCCTCATTGAGCTCTGCAGCAGTGAGGTTTCCTACGATTCGACTTTGTGGGCCAAGGTTTTCCCGAACATTATTCGGGTTAGCTTCGAGACTTGTCCATTTGCTGTGACACTGGGACGAGAGATTGTCTGTGCACGTCTTGTCCGTATGCATAAGATGATCACCTCACTGGCGGAGCGAACAAGACATCCGCAGTACTCCCCCGTAGATGTTTACCATAGTCGTCCTTTGGCGCGGAGCAATATGACGGCGGAGATTTTGGTTGAGCAGTGGAAGCTGTACCTCGTCATGGCCTGCACGACGGTTACTAGTGTCGGTGCCCAGTCTCAGAGCCAGCTGGCGAATGCTCAGCATGCGCGGAAAGCTTCCAAAGGAGCACAGTCTTCCGATAAGATCAGCTCGGCTCGAAGCCTGTTTGCGTTTGTGATACCTCTTCTGTCTGCAGAGCGAGACTCCATCCGCAATGCCATCGTGGTCGCCCTTGGTGCGATTCATAAGAACCTGTATCGGACTCTTTTGGAATCTCTGCAGTACGCTGTCACTACCTGCAACGAAGAGGCGAAGATCCGTATCGGCACACATCATCGCACTCCTAGTAGTTCTCAACGAAATCGAAATACGGACCGCTTGCGCACCGAAGTCACGCACGTCTACAAACTAACATCGCACTTCTTGCGTGAGCCAGAGGTCTACAATGACGACTGGATCGTCAACAACATCATCACCTACGCCAAGGACCTTCGTATCTTCTTAAGCGATGCCGAGGTTCAAAACGACTGGGAATTCCAGCGTCTGCGTTTCCACTACTGTGGCTTGATGGAAGAGCTCTTCGAAGGTGTCAATCGCACGAAAGACCCATCTCGATGGATGCCGTTCGAGTCCAGAAAATCTGCGTTCTCGCTGATGGAGGATTGGTGTGGATATTCACCCAATCAAGCGCAGATTACCGAGAGAGAAGAGCATATGCGCAAGTTTGCTGCGGCACAGCCGCATGAAGGTGGCGAGATGCGGAACGCTGCTGCTGCGATGGAAATTGAGAAGAAGAATCTTCGTGCTGCGGCGTTGAGTGCCATGGCCTCTCTTTGTGTATGTGCTCAAGACCGAGTTCTTGTTTTGTTTTTTTGCTGACTTCAATTTCCAGGCTGGACCCATTAGCATTACGACGGAGAGTGGATCTGTACTTCAGTTCGACGTGGGTCGCATGCTATCGTGGATTGACATTATTTTCAATACAGTCAGCGACAAGTGGCATTCCATTGGACGCCGCGCGCTGAAGAACCTGATCATTCACAATAAGGAACACTCATATCTGATGGAGCGGTCCATTGAGATGTGTTATGTGGCCGAGCGCCCCAAGGCACTTGAGAGTTATTTCGAAGTGTCGACCGAGGTTCTCATTGAGCATCCAGATTACCCACTAGAGTTCTGGAGGATCCTGGGCGCCGTGCTGGTCACTCTTGGCAGTCAGAAGCGGGAGATTCGGATGAAGTCTGCCAAACTCCTCCGGCGACTCGAGGAGCGACAACAGAAAAGTTCTCGTCTCCAGGACTTTGACATTAGCATTTCGGACAAGACTACCGCGGTGTATAAGTTGGCGCAGTTCGAAACATCCAAACGACTCGCCATCCAGCATTCCGATCTGGCATTTACGCTGTTCTCTGAGTTCTCGCTACACTTCCGAAATCTGCGTTCTGATAGTCAGCGAAATATGGTTGCCGCTATTTTACCTTGGGTGCAGGCCATGGAGCTGCAGGTCGATCCCAATGGTGGTCCGACCGCTTCATCGTATATGCTGCTTGCCAATCTCTTTGAGATCACCATTCGCTGTAGCACCACCTTACCAAACCAGGTACAAGCCATGTGGCAAGCCCTGGCCACGGGTCCCCACGGCGGCAATGTCCAGCTCGTCCTCGATTTCATCATTAACCTGTGCTTGGAGCGCAAGGAGCAGAATTTCGTGGAATATGCCAAGCAGGTCGTCGTCTTCCTCGCTGCCACCCCAGCGGGGTCCAAGGTCATTGAGTTCTTCCTTCTAATGGTTATTCCCAAGAACATGGTACAGGAACGCAAAGACCTCACTCCCCAACCTCCAGATGTCAAAACTCTGCCCTATGTTGCGGACTTGGGTACAGTGCTGCCGGTGGGCAACAAACAGGCTGGTCTTTCTCTTGGACAGGTTGCCCTCATCTTCCTTGTTGACCTTATGGTTGCTCCCGTTACTCTCGCGATGGAAGATGTGATCAAGCTGCTCCACGTGGTGCTCATTCTGTGGGATCACTACACTGTCACTGTGCAGGAACAGGCTCGAGAGATGCTGGTTCACCTAATTCACGAGCTTGTTGCTGCCAAACTGGCGGATGACGCCCCTGCGGAACATCGCCAAGCCGTGGAGGATTTCGTCGAGTTAATCCGTCAGAGTGACAGTGCCGTCGTCTGGGAATACGAAGAGAATCAAGGCAAGGACGAAGACGCAGATGATCGCCGTGTACCCACCGCCATGGCGACCGTGACGCGCGAGGTGGTCAAGTTCTTCAGTTTCGAGAATGAAGGCGTGGGTGATCTGTGGGCCAAGGAGGCGCTCAACTGGGCGACCTCTTGCCCCGTGCGGCATCTGGCCTGCCGCTCGTTCCAGGTGTTCCGGTGCATCTCGACATCGCTGGATTCGCGGATGTTGGCCGACATGCTGGCTCGACTGTCGAATACCATTGCTGATGAGGAAGAGGATTACCAGACCTTCTCTATGGAGATCCTCACCACTCTGAAGATTATCATCAGCTCATTGGCCCCAACGGATCTCTTGCATTACCCCCAACTGTTCTGGACGACTTGTGCCTGCCTCAATACAATACACGAGAGCGAGTTCATCGAGAGTCTAGGCATGTTGGAGAAGATTCTTGATCGGATTGACCTTAGCGATCCCCTTGCTGTGACGCAGCTCTTGGAGGGCCAGCCACCGAAGTGGGAGGGTGGATTTGACGGTCTTCAGGACCTAGTCTTCAAGGGACTCAAGTCATCTGAGTCGTTTAATCGTACTTTGGATGTCCTCCATAGCTTGAGCGGGCTTCCAAACAACGAGCTCATTGGAGACGGTACTCGACATCTGTTCTCTATCCTGGCGAATCTTCCCTTCTTCCTTCAAAGCTTTGATCAAGGATTCACAGATCAAAAACCAGTCATGCATGCCAGCCTCCTTGCTCGTGTCGCTGAGAATGAGCGTTGTCCCCGGCTTGCCGCCTCGTTGTTTGGATTCGCCAACCAACAGTACAAGACCGAAGGTGTCTTCCTAGACCACATTATCACGGAGATCAAGTCGTACTACTTCCCGCAGCTTGATTTCCAGTGCTTGATCTTCCTCATGGGTCTTCTCACCAACACGACTGATTGGTTCCGTATCAAGACGATGAAGATTCTCTGTGTTTTGATTCCTGAGGTAGACATGCGTCGGAACGAGGTGACATGCCATGGCCCTGATCTCATTTCTCCCTTGCTCCGTCTTCTCCAGACCAACCTGTGTCCACAGGCACTTGGGGTTCTGGACAATATCATGACCGTCTCTGGCAACCCAATGGAGCGGCATCATCTTCGCATGAGCATGGCGTCGGCCGTTTCATCTCGGGCCATTCGCAAGGAATATGAACGTATCCAGAGTCTCTACGGCATTCCTGAGGAGACTGGATGGTCCGTTCCTATGCCGGCGACACAGTCAAGCATGACTCGCAACAATGTACATGCTGTGTTCTACACATGTGCTGATGCGGACAACATGAATGTGGAGGATACCATGAACCCTGATGTCGAGTTCTGGGCAGATGAGTTCAAGGACACGTTCTTCCCGATGAGGGCGGATACCATGAAATCCATTGATACGCAGACTGACGGGAACATGGGTGATATTGTTCAGAAACTCGACAGCCTGGATGACTTTTTCGAGGAGACAGAGTCTAGCGTACCGTCTCTCAATCAAGTGGCTCCACCAATGCTGCGTGGGTTCACAGGGAGCTATGTCGATACCAATGCTCACCTGTACGACCAACAAACAGCACCCATCCTGCGAAAGTCGCTTGCACGAACAGGTTCCACGTCATCCTTCCACAACGGCCTGGCCGAATCTCGCCCTGCCAATTTCCGGTTCGATGGTCCTGGCATGCACTCACCAGCCAACCTGCCACCTCACAGCTCACAGACTCTCCGTCCTGCCTCGCATACTCGCTCAGTGACCTCGCCTGCAAACAATCTCTACATCCACACCCAACAGCCAATACCACATGGCACACCGCCAGTGGCCCTGCACGAGTCAGCATTCCTGTCGGACGATGAAATTGAAGACGCATATTCCGACCTCGATGACCGCTCCCATACCAAACGAGGGCTTCACCCCCCGATGCCACCACCCATGGTGCGCAGCGCTACGGACGGCTCTCACTCCCTCGAGTCCATGATCCGCAGTGGTATGCGCCGGCTCACCGGCGGTGCAGCAAACAATCGCGAAAAGGAGCGACAGCGTGATCATCTCCGCGCCCAGCACCGCGCCATGGTACAGACAGCGAACTCACCCCGCGTACCCAAGGTTCCGGAGGAGTATCTCGCAGGCCCAACCAGCCATCCTACATCGCCGAGGTCATAGTGTGCACCCCCCAATCACTCTCTTACCATCCCTCCTTCCGATATCCAAATTTCACATCTATCTTTGATTCTGTCTTTGCTGTATTCAGCCTGGGGCATTTCTGGGGCGTTTGGATCGAGACGTCATTCACAACATACATACCCTTTTTTTTCGCCTTTATCTATTTTCTTGATTTGTTTTGTGTGAAGTACACTGGGAACTATCACCTATTATGTCGATATTTGTATACTACTTGTCGTACATGGTTGTTGGGTCGACGAATGTTAGTTTCTGATATTAGAATCAAGATTTCATATGGAAGATTTGTAATAATTTCGCTTTGCTGTGCATTTTATACGGTGGCGGTTTGGAAGTTTGTAATTTGACAGGAGAGAAAGGTCCTACTAGACATGGTTCAATTTCCGCCTTCCTCCCTTTGGGAAGGTCTTTTGTAAATATCTCCTTCATGACTTGAGTTGAATCCTTCATTTCGTAGCCAAAACCATCTGTAAGCTGTCCGCGAGGAGACCGCCTGTACCTGGGGTGGCTGGGGAGGTCGCGAGAGATGCCTTCTTTTCCAGGACGGGTATGCTAGTGGTGATAGTGGCCGTGGAGATTGGACATGAGGCGCCTTTGATCGTCATTTTGATGGGTGGTGGAAAATTGATTGATTTGCCCCTTTCACTGTTAGACATGGCCTTATCCACGCCCGCCATTGATTTCAGCAACCCACGAGAAAGAGATGGAGGTGTTTAAGGTGCACCTGAACAGCAGGTCCCAGACTCCGGCCCCTTCCATCTCGAATCCAATAACTCCCTCCTTTGCAGCTATTTTATCGCGGTGCTCTCCAGATTTCATAACTGTGTCGGCTGACGCAATCGTTCCTATGTGGATAAATGGCTTAGCAGCTTCTACACCACATCGGCGACGATTGACCGGCTTCCCCACACATCCAAGGCTATTGCAGACTTTTTGCATTGCCTCATCACAAACGGGGTCATGGCTGGACGTGCAGTAGAAACAGATGTACTTTGCAGCTGAGTCGTGCCGATAATGCTTATGGCGGTATGAAGCCTTAAAGAGCACATCATGCATAATAGCTGGGCGCTGCCAAACAGTTTCCGCTTGACCTTGAAGAGGCTGGAGGTGTTGGTAAACCCGATCTTGCAATTCTCCTCGTGTTTTGCAACCCTTGAGGCCTGCAAGAAAGGCACTAAATTCTTGGTTGGGTCGCCCAAGCGTCTCTTTAACATCGATTTTTCGCCGAAACCCGTCGGGATATTGTCGGCCAAAATCATATTCGATCACACTGTTACCGATGATGATGTCTCCTAGTATAATCTCGGTGTTTCCGGATGGAAATGGAACACCTCTACAGATACCGACCACTAGGGCTAACCGGATATGGGTATAGCTAACTTGTAGATTAGCCGCTATACCTGCTGCACTCCCTTTCCCTATACCTGGTAAATAACACAGGACAATACTATGTTGACCAATCCTTCCATTGATGTGTTCATTCTTGTCTCCTGACTGTTTACCATAAACTTGGCCGAATTTGTCGTAAGTTTCATCAAATAGCGCTTCGACGGCATCGGCTCTAGTGTGAGGGCATAGATAACGGCGGTCTCAAATATATTGCGATTTGCAGGGCGAATTCTGACTGGGCGCAGGCAGATTTGTCACTTATTCAACGAGATAGTCAGCTTCTGCTCCTTAAGCAATCTGATATTCAAAATTATTAGTATATACTCCTCTGCTGTAACTTTCGATAGCAGTAGAGATTGGTGGTATTGTATGCTCCTGGTGGTGATAAGAGCCGATGGCGAAATTTCTTAGGAGAGGTTGGATGAAAATTTAAGGAACATGGCGTTGGCCTCTGACCTTTTCCTCAGGTGAAGCTGTCTTACACTTCCCCGCTTGACAACGTATTACACCTTCTAGCTAATGGTAACTCAATAATAGGCGCTTGTGCAGCTATTCGTAGTGTCCAGCCTTGTGTTGGGCTTGGGTCGCTCAGCGAATGCCAGGCAGCCAATCACACGTGTCGCTCGCTGACTCGAACGAAAACGGGACATAAATCACGTGCACATGCGTGCGTTGGAAGCGGCGTGGGTGGGCGCCTGGATATAAATAAACTCCCGTTTTTGACACGGGCACAGGATATATATATTTTCTCCTGGTCATCTCCTACTCACCACCATCGATATCTATCGAGATGGTCGCATGGTAGATATCGCGTCCCAAATTGAGACGAACCCACTCAGTACATATTCTCTAAGTAGAGTTAGGGTATGTGAGTCTATGCGATTAGTTGAGTATTTCACCTTTCCTGCCACCAATTTTCTAGAATATGTAGAAATAAATACAGTTTCGGAACCTGGCGGATCTAAGCTTTCTCTCCATGCTAAAATGCTTTTCACCTGGGCATTGTGGTGTTGTAGTCATAAGTCACGATTTGCCTACTGGTAGCCCTAGGGCCTAATTCGATCCACCATCCACGCCGGTCTCACTTCAAATAACGGGAAACCGCTGGGTGATAATACCAGACAGAGTATCGGGGTGCAAAGCTATATCTTGGAGGGTTGTTTCGAGTCGGCTTCGAGGAGAATTTTTGATCAATGTTCGAATCGATGATGAGCGAGTCCGTGGTCCCTCTTCATCCTCGAGCTTTGGTAATTGCAAAATAAGTGCAGTCTTTCTTACTTTATCGGAGGAGTATAATGTCCTATCGGGGTGGAAATTAGAACAGTGAGAGATTCATATTTCATTGTCTTGGCTAGACTCACACACTACTGTAAGAATCCCGTATCTGAAAATAAGTTGCAATAATCGGCTCTCCAACTTCCAGCAACTTAATCAATATCTGGTATGCCCATGGGCGCCAACTCCAGAAAGAAAATGCCAACACCCAGAGATAACCAATAATTTTCTTCGCAGCCGAATCCTTTGCCAGGACGCCATATCTCTTCGACAGATATTTAGCCACATCCTCTACCGCAAAGGCAATCGGCTGAACTGGAAGAAATGCCATAGCACCTGTATCATTCAGGGATATACCGAGCGCCATATCAAGGAAAATATGTATCAGGCCGGAAATAAAAAAGCAAAGGAAGTAGCGCATGTATCGAGAAATGACCGTGTTTGGACGAAGAGGTGATACAGAGATTATGGAGTCCGCATTCGAGGAAAGAAACCCCCGGAATGTTTGGTGCCAGAATTTGCTTTATGTATGGAGTCTTTGTTAGCGGTTATGGATAATTGAAAATGGTGTTATGTTGGTCACTCACCCCCAGAACCTGCGAATCGACCATGCTTCTCGAGCCGGTGCTTGAAATGGTGGCCAGTCTGCGGGAGAAGAGAAACGGATAGATACTGCGATAATCGAGAGAAGTGCATAGATAGCTTTGTGCAGCAGGAAGGTAGTGAAAATAAAGAGTATATAGAGATGGATCTGCGCTGGCAGACACCTCCAAGATAAGCATTTTCTTTGTTCCAAGAGAGGAAAGATATCTCTCTGCTCAGGGATCCAGCCTAAATAGGAGTAAATCAAGAATAGGAACACCGCTGTACAGCAAATAAGGAATATACTCTGGAATCTCTCCAGGAGGAATATTCCTCTCGAGGGAACTTTCCCTAGGTTGCTATTGAAACTATACACCGGAATGATTTGCCATTTGGTATTGAGGCGGCGGAAGTTATTGGGAATAGACAAGGCGAACCACATAGCATCCTCAATTGCAATTGATCCTCGTTCATTCTTCCACTCAATGTGCTCCATATAGTTGATGCGGCTGTGAAGAAGGATATCATGGCTATTGAAAACCTGGATCCAGGCACCCATCGCTAGGAGACCACGTAGGAGACTGGGGATATTAGGAGCGTGTTGGATGGTACGTTGGATGGATACGGCAAGCCCCAGGATAATCCCAATGGCAAGCGGACGTAAAGGGCATTGACCCGAGGTGAAGGTGGCCACAGATCCAAGAATGACATGAATCAGAACATACTGGCCCCCGACCTTTGTGATACCTAAGACGAACTGAAGAAGATCCATTTGGAAAGTCTTTGAGACCCCCTGGGCCCGGAGTGAAGTCCCGAGATATGTTTTGCTTAGTTATTCTTCGAGATGATAGCAATGGAAAATAAGAGAAACCGAAATGGAAGAGTGAAAGTGAGGAAGGAAAAGGAATGGAAATTTCATGACAATTCAACTTGCTTTGCTCCCGCACTAACGTGAATTTCAATAGTCAGTAACCTACCCCTTGCGTCAGCATAATCTACTTGTACCGTATCGTTTCGTAGATCTCATATCGGTAAACAGAAATAGGGGTGGCAAATAAAGAGGAAGCGTTTACCTTCATGTGCAAGGGCTACCCCTGTTATCAGAAAAACGTATGTGAAGTTGCTATTAGCCGAATTCTTGTCTTTGATTCGCCAGGACTTCCTTCGCAGTTTTTCTCATTAGCTCTCTCTCCCCCCCTCTCTACGCTCTCTTTTGGTTCGGTTTCCTTGTTGGGCCCGGCGCTGGCGCTTTTCCATCTTCTTCACTGGCTCCTTCCACTTTACTCCTGATTTTGCTCCCCGTGCGTATTCTCTTATTCGCCTTTCCTCCTTCGAAACGCATACATGCTTTTGCGACGGTCTTCTATAAAGTCTTCCTTTAGTTAGTTAGCTGCCTATCTACCTTCATATTATGCCTCATCGCTATTGCTAATCCATAATGCCATAAAAAAGACAAGGCCCTCTAACCCATAGGGGTGAGTGGGATGTAAGTTAGTGCATCCTAGTAGATGAGTCAGCATTAGGGTTAATTTGAGTATGGGAGCCAGGTTGTATATACTAGTTAGCGTTCATCCTAGATACTAGTAGGCATTTTGAAGTGGTATAAAGCTCAAATTAACGTTAATTGTAGAGTAGTGGTCTCTAAATATTTTAGTAAATTTTCAAGGTCGTTACTCAAGGCAAAAGGGTAGTTACAGGGATCCAAAATCGGATTAGGTTTTGATGGGGTAACGACTAGGAGAATCATAGAGAGCATCACGCCCTACTGTCATAGTCTCTTCGGAAGTGGCACCCATTTCACACTTTTTGTCCGTGCACCCCATAGTAAAGAGTCCGGTCGACTGCAACGACCTGTCCCGCCATTACAGTCCATATCTATGCCCATGTGCTTCCTGACCATGTACTCCTACCATCCTATATAATCATCGCTATAGATCGAGCCATGCTTCCTCCATACCTGGACATCAAAGGGAATATCTAGCCTGCTATTGTTCGGACCTAACTTTTCATCGGAACTGGCAGCAATGCCCAGTCATCTATAACGATGGCGTTGACAATTGGAGGTATCAGAAAAAAGCAATTTGTCTGCCCTGATGCGACACACGCGACGCGTCGCGCGCTACCAGAAAATGGTGCACATAGGGAGGACCTTGGACTTCCTGCACTCTCCCCCTCCTGGTCATCCTTTACCATTTTCGCCCCATTTGTGGTACTTAAATTTTGGTCTGCTCCAATGTCACGTCCATTGCCCCTTGCCTATCCGGTTTCCACGCGCGAATGGCCTTCACTCCCGCTGTATCTGGATTGGGGGGAGCATGTTGCAATATGCACCCTGTGCCAGTACGCGATTTCAACCGAAGGTGTACAGGCAAGCACTCATTTTCGAAAGAAACATCAGATATCGGAAAGCCTAAATATATTCGGGCCAGTAAATTTTGGGGGCGAAAGGGGGGGGGGGGTTACGAGTGTAAGTAGGGCTTATACGTTAACCCCCTCCCTATCTCTATTAAATAGTGGTATTTTCCGATCGGGCTTTTTAGAAGTTTTAATAAGATAGCCTAAACTATGTAGATTTCCTACTAGAGGGGGGTTACCCTAGGTGGTTGCGGTTATGGCAATTATTTTTTGATGGGGGATGCCAAGGCCAGGTCCTGCGAGTGTAGTCACTGCCCATATGCGCATAGGACCATCTCACTCTAAACTTCCATCGTCGGGCTTCCAGGACATTATGACTAGACGAATGGCCGCCTGGACACCCAGAAAGAAGACAGCATTCGTAAGGTTCCGAATATTATCTTCGAAGACCTTTTGTACGACACGCTCTTCGCAAGGACGTTTCAGAGTCAGGTTGACGTTGACGTCCACTGCATCTTCTGCGCCGATAGGACCGGACGCGGACACGCACGCCGAGTAACAGGGCTGACCAGACCCATGATCAATCATGTATCGAAATTGGAAGTAGTACTGTTCGGCAAATCTGTCTTCGAAAATCCCTCGTATTCCGTAAACCGCCATCTGGATGGGATGGGCCCGGGGCTGTTAGTGACATGGATCTCGTTGATCAACGGGGCTGTCTGGGATTGGACTGCTTCACGTACCTGGTTTTCGCCGACTGGTGATACGTCTCGAAGGTCTTCTGTGTCCCATATAAGCTGGCAGGTATCCCAGAGCACTTGGTTCCCGCCATGATTGAGGATGTAAGAGAGGCTTGTTTGGTTCACGTCCTCGCATTCAAGGACCTGGCGGGGTAGAGAGGTCATTTCCTTGGTCACGACCGGTGTTGTGGTGGAGAGGTTGAAGAGGTGGTTGACGAGGTTGAAAAAATTGAATGATTTGCATCACTTGATGGGTAATGGGATTGGTGATGACTGGCAAACGCTAGATCACAAACAAAGTGATTGATTCTCATTGTGTGGAATTTCCCGGTTTAATCAGTCCAAAGGGAAGTGACCAGCCTCGAGGAGCAAAAAGATAGAAACGCCTGACCGTTGTTCGTTGAGCATTCCAGCTTCATTGATGAACCCATGAAAACCTCTCTTTGAGAGATTCCAACTCCTGAGTTCAAAGACAGTGACTTTACCAAGCTAATGTGAACCCGATTTCCTCACGTTCTCCGGACGAGAGAAATTGAAGAAGTCCACGTTGCTCCAGGTCCTGATATAAATTCCTTTTCGAAGGAAAGTCATCTCCCATGAGGTTTCCCTCTAGCTCATCGGAGCTGTCTCCAATAGCTTGCTCAGTTCCCATGCTGCCAGTGCTCTGGGGTGCTCTGTCCGGGCTTTCGTGCAAGATCTTCTTTGTATGGGCGGCCAAATCTGACACCGTCGTGTATCCATTGTGCCAGCACTTGTCAATAACATCGTCAACCAGTGGATCGCTAGCCAATTTCGGAAATTCCATGTTCTGGAGTAACCTCACGACCTTCGGGCTGTGGTCATAAGGATCCTCAGTTAAGCACCGATCCCCATAGACTTCAAAACCGTCGTTGATGAGGTAATACAGTGACCCAAGAGCAAATTGCTCTGTCCGGGGGCCTGGAAAGCCGAATGTTCCAGGCTCACCTTGGCCTGCCTCGGTGTGATTGAGTATCCTGCCATATGGAGCCATGCAAGCTTCGTGATTTGCTCCAATTGCGCCGTACAGTCAAAGTCGGATAGTTTCAGTCAATTCCGATCAAGGAGGATATTTTCAGGACGTAGGTCACCATGAGCGAAGTTGAGGGATTCCAAGAATGCAACCCCCTGAGCCAGGTCCTTCATCCATTCTAACCGGAGGGAAAGAGGTTCTATCTTTTCCACTTTGGTGACAACCATAGTTTCCTGGTTCCGAATATGGTTGTTTTGTATCCTAGAAGAGAGTGACTTGTCTAAAAGGTTAGACAAGGGTGATTAGTTAGGATCTCATGGCTAAGGACTTGACGTAGCTGATCCTGAACTCTTATAGCCAAAACGGGGTCATACCTCTCATATATTCGAGGAAGATCCCGTTGTCTGAAAGATAGAAACACTGGACAATCGAAGGACAAGACGAATGCTCTGAGAATGCTCGATAGATGTCAACCACTTTGAAATTGCTCTCTTTCAAATTCCCCCGACTTTGGAACCTTAACCACAATCCGGGGGGGACCTCGTAAACGAAGGAGATCCCGCCTCCCCAGATCCAATGCACACCCGGGAATCAGCGTTGATTGTCCATAGTAGAGATATTGAAGCACAATAGTGTATCTGATGTTTTGAGTAGCTCAAAAAGAGGCAATCGCTTGTGTGAACGAGGGACAATAACGTTTATGGACGAAGGGTGGTTAGAGGACAAGTTGAGAAGCGCCGCGGACATGGGGCTGATTGGATTCTTGTCTCTGCCTTGTTTTTCAGGCAGGCAAGATGATGTGCCATGTTCACAAGCAACCAGGTAGTCTTTGCCGGAGATTCTCTCTTGGAATTTTGATATAAAGATCCTGTGTAGCTGCAAGGGCTAGCAATTTCTGGTGTCATTGTTGTCTAGAGTGGAGAAGGCCCTTTTTCGAGCACTGGAAGCTACCGTTTTGCATGTCCGTTTTGCATGTCCGTTTCACATGTTCTTGAACTCTTGTGCGCGATCAAAACAGTAACCAAAATCCTATTTACAGGCGGTAGATCAGCTGTCAGGAAGTATTCAAGAGGCACTTTTGCAAGACAAAGCCAACATCGCTCTTTTGTTGTCTGTTCTATAGTTCAGATGTACATCGTTATCACCACGTGACTCCACTGGCCCTAGGGAGCTTCCCCGCAACCAACCTTCGGCGCCGAACTGGGGTCACTGGGCCAGCTCGGAAAGCCACGGCCCTGGGGATAGGCACTCGGTCCGAGGCCCGTCTTAAATACCTCCCCAAGCCCCTCCGTTGCACATCGTTCATTGCTGCACTTCGTTCGTCTGGATCTCTGGCACCATTGAAACTGCCCGTGCTTTTCTTCCAGTTCATTATTCCCTGCAGAATCACGCCATGAGTGTCCGCGCTGCCTCATCACTCCCCAGAGTTGCCCGCCTCCACACCGCGGCTAGTACCCGACGCTGGCCGTCCAGCTGTAGCTCCGCGAGCTCGGCCCGAGCATTTTCAACAACGCTGCACCGCGACGCGACATGGGGTTTCGTGGGACTGGGCCAGATGGGTATGTACTGGTGAAGCTGACGACCGACAGGCGGTCGGTGTTTTGGCTGAGATGACTGAACGCCCACTGACACTGCCGCAATGCCGACAGGGTACAATATGGCCAAGAACCTGCGGGCCAAGATCCCCGCTTCCGACACGCTGATCGTCCGCGACGTCAACGAGGAGGCTGCAAAGCGCTTTGTTGCGGAGGCACAGGAGGCCGCTCGGAGTAACGGCGCTGGCGCCGACGAGGGCCGCGTCGAGATTGCCGAGAATGCGCGTGAAGTTGCGGAGAAGTCGGTATGTTATCTGATGTTGTCCGGTCAATTCAATGGCTTTGCTTCGATCTTCAAGAGCTCCGCGCTATGCGCATCCCCCTGACTCCAATCACCGAATTCCGATCACTAATCGCAATATGTAGACCGTGATGATTACCAGTCTGCCCGAGTCGCAGCATGTCATTGAGGTGTACCACTCGATCCTCAAGCAAGGCGAGCTACCCCCGCTCGAACAAGAGCGTTTGTTCATCGACACGTCTACTATTGACCCTGTGACGTCGAAGGATATTGCCAATGCCATTCAATCCACCCAGACTGGCCGGTTTGTGGACGCCCCCGTCTCCGGAGGTGTGGTCGGTGCCCGTGCTGGTACGCTGTCGTTCATGTTCGGTGCCTCCTTGCAATCGGAGGAGTTCTTGGAACGTGTTCGAGGAGTCCTCGCCTTGATGGGCAAGAAGTTCTGGCACCTTGGTGAGCCAGGAGCTGGTGTCTCTGGCAAGCTGGCCAATAACTATATGTTGGCCATCAACAACATTGCTACCGCCGAGGCCATGAACTTGGGCATTCGCTGGGGACTTGATCCCAAGAACCTGGCTGATATGATCAACTCCTCCACCGGCCGCTGCTGGCCTTCGGAGGTCAACAACCCCGTGCCTGGGGTGATTGAGACGGCCCCGGCTTCTCGGGGATACGAGGGAGGATTCGGGGTCAGCCTGATGAACAAGGACCTGCGTCTGGCCCTTGCCGCTGCCGAGGAGTCTGGTACTCCTCTGGCTCTGGGCAGTCAAGCTCGGGAAGTGTACAATGCTGTGGAGGAAGCCCATCGGGGCAAGGATTTCTCCGTTGTCTATCAGTGGCTAAAGGACAAGTCTGTTCCTCAATAAAGACTGTATTTTATCTGTCTCTATATTGCTTGCCGGCCTGTCTTTCTTTGAACTATGTGGCATTTCCTGGATATCCCCCTTGGGTTCTTACTCATTGCGCCGTGCTATAGATGGGATGGTTCAGCATACTCAATTCGATGATATTTCATTTGATCTCTGACATGAGGCTTCTTTGTCCTCCTCCTATCCTGTCGATTATGACAGGCACTATATTACTGTCCGCCTTTTGGTCTTCCTTATCACATTCATACTATCCATATTCCTATCGATATCGATAAGTCCTGCCCACCATTCGCGGCGCCGAGGGTCACGAGGATATCGTCGACCGAGATTTCTTTTCTCTTTCTTCTTTTCTTCCTTCCGCAACTTTCTCCTTCACCATCTCTCCCCTTCACCCTCTCTCTCTCTCATCATTTCCTGGTCTTCATCTTTACGAGCCCGCTCTATCAAGTATCGGCGCCGAGTAAAGTGACCTGTGTACTCCTTCCTCAGCATTGCACTTCCTCTTCAATCTGCTCTTTCTCCTCAAGTGTCTCCTTCCCTGCTCGCTCCTCTCGTCCTTGCTCCTGCCCTCGTCGCTCCCCTCCTCGTTTCTCATTCCCCTTTTATCAATCTCTATCGCACCTTCCTCATTCGCCATTATGTCGCTCTTGCCTTAGTCTCTTTTATCTCTACTCTCCATTTTAACGCTCCATCCTCATCTCATTCTCTACATTCCCATCCCATCCCAATTTCACCCCTCCAATCCAGCCCTATACACACAGAGTATCCTGTCGTGTGTCCCAGGTTCTCTTGTTGTCTCGCATTCTATCTCTTCTCAGCCATCGTCCAACCTCAGATTTCTTTTCCTCAATCCAATTGCTGTCAGAGAGACTCTCAGAGCTTCTCCTGCAGCTGATGTGAGTATCCCCATATGTATACTCCTACATTGTACCACCGAACTTTCTCTTTGCTTGATGAACTTCATTGACTGAGATTTATAGTCATCGGAAACCACGGCTTCATTTAATCCCTGGCGTCTACCGCTTGAAGCAGTGAGAGGTGAGCATCTTCATCTTTCCAGTTGACGCAATTGTATTGCATTCGACCGACGTTGTCTGGCCAATTGCCCATTTGAAATGTTGTCAATTCCCTTAGGTGCTTGCGTTTCATGTTCACAACACCATGTCCCCATGCTTGACAGAAATGGTGCAGACATGCTCACACGAACTCAAAGTCCAGTTGCGTCCCAATCTTGGGAGACATTCATACAATGCGTGCTCAACCTACTCAAGCCACCACTCCTTCTGGTCCCGGAGCAGGGGCCAATGGCATGGCCACTCCATTCCACCAGGATCCTCGCACGCCTTACGTATCTGGCTTTCAGCAAGGTTCGAACGTTCCGATTCATGAGAACGCTGCCCCAATGGCCCAGGCCTTTCCCGGCATGAACTTTCAGCATCACCGTGGCAAGTACGCAGGCAAAGGTCGTGCATCCGTTCCGGTGAACATGAACGCCAATATGGACTGGTCTCATGCCAACGGCACTCCATGCGGCAATCCGGCCAACTTCTTCCCAAATTCGAATTTCATGAATGGTCTGCCGCAGATTTCATCCTTTGTCCCCAACTCTGTTTCAAACACAATGGGCATGTACCCAGGATTGAATACGATGATGCAGGGACCTTACTCGTGGCCATACATGATGAACTACGGCCAGTCTGGCATGTCTAGCGTCAGACAATCTCCATGGACTACCCCCGACGGCCAAAAGGGACCCCAGACCGAAAATAACACGCCTAATCGGTACTTCCTATCTACGTTCATCCCCGACATGAACAGTCCCGCTCTTCCGGGATTCGCTTGTGGGAACATGTTCCCCCAAATGGGACCCAACCCATCCTTCCCCCTGCAGATGATGAAGACTGCAAGTGGATATGTTGCACAGGATATGGAGGCTCTCACCCAACAGGAGCCCGCAATCCCACGTGCAGTGCCAGCCATGTGGACCAACCCGTCCGATATGACTCTCGCCAAGTGCCTCGAGAACCGCGAGGGCATCACCAATGTCTACATCAGAGGCTTCCTTCCCGAGACAACCGATGAGATGCTCCATGCATATGCTGCTCGATTCGGCGAAATTGAACGATGCAAGGCCATCGTTGATCTCGACACGGGTCTTTGCAAGGGGTATGAGAGATGAAAACTACATTCACCTGCTGCTTTCTGAAAGCTAACCCTAATTTCTACAGCTTCGGTTTCGTCCAATTCTACCAGTTCTCCTCCTGTGAGAACTGCATTCGCGGATTCTTCTACCTTGGTTACCAAGCCAGTTTCGCCCAGAAGTCTCGCAACTCTCGCCTCAAGGAATTGGAGGACAAATCGTCAACTAACATCTATTGCACCAACATCCCAATCGACTGGACCGAAGCGGTAAGGTGTTGAAACATTACGCTGTTGTTATCCAGGCTAATTCGTACCTCCAAAATACAGGACCTTCGACGTCACTTTGAGCCCTACCATGTCGTGTCAGAGAAGATCAGTCGAGATGAAGAGACCGGCGTGAGCAAGGAAGTGGGCTTTGCTCGGTAAGGCGATTAAGACTACCTTGTCCCGATTCCAGACCTTGGGCTGAACCTCATATTATACAGCTTCGACACCCGAGAGATCGCCGAGAGAGTTTTGGCCGATTTCCACAACGTGACCGTGACGCATGACAGTGTGAAGTTGCTGTTGCGCTTTGCCGACACCAAGGCCCAGAAGTTGCTGAAGCAGCAGAGCAATGAACGTCGCGCATATCGGGCCGGAGAGTACAATTTCTCAGTCGAGGTTGTACAAGGATCGACCCCATCGCCCACCATTCGGCGCCTTCGTCAGGCGAGTGCCCACATCACGCCCGACTCTCAGCAAAGCTTCAAGATCTCTCCGGGCGAGATCAGTTCCAACTGGACTCCTGCTACTTCAATCTCACCTACGTAAGTGGCCACGAGAGATTCGATGATTGCAAACGGAGTGTTGATGGTCCCTGTACTGACAATGCATTCTAGCTACGCCTTGATGAAGAAGCCTGGAAACGGCGTGCTGCGCAGTTCTGGGGTCCAAAGCCTGTCCGCTTTGGAGAACACCACAATGTACCGAGAGGGCTTCTTGCATCGCCGTTCGGTGACCGAAGTCTCCGGCTCATCCAAGACTGCTCGACCCGACTCTCCCAGTGCCGAGTCGTACATATCAAGCCCCCGCAAGGAGCACCTTCGGGCCAGCTCAATGTCCCCCCTTCCATCTCGAATGGTGCTTACTATTCCGACCCCCCAGACTTAAGCTTGAGGTATCGGAGTACAAGTTGCTTCGAGACCCAAGTGAGACTGGATGAAGACCGTTCGACTCTCTGTTCTATTTTCGATGAGTGACATACGTTAGTTGTCCGCATCATGTACCGCGATGTATGATTGTGAAACAGGTTTTTTTTTCTCAGCTCTTCATCCTACTGATTGTGTTTCTGTTGAGAACGCTGCCGCTTCTTCCCATCATGTCTTCGGTCCACATCTGGTACAAGTCTCACGAATGGTCGTGAGACTAGTCTGTTTCTGTTTCTTCTTCTCGCAGCTAGCAAGGGAATCATGTCTTTCGCGGTATATGTTTTGACTTCATGTTTGCAGCTTTGCCTCTTTCGCAAGCTGTCCAGGTTATCCTTATTGTCTGACCTATTGTTAGCGAGGCATTCTTAGTCTGGGTTATTGTTTGTCTGAGTTCTACCACAACACGTTTCAGGAAACGAGCTTCAATGAGAAATGCATTTTTATGCTCGAGTCAAGAACATCCCACGCGCCTGTAGACAAAATTGTTCGCTAGTAAGCATGAGAGACTACCTGCATGTTGCAATCACTTTTTTGGGTACGGCGAGAATGACGAGTTGAATGGTGAATATCATATGGGCAACCAATTCGTTATTGTAAGATGGACAATATCGGCTATTCTATCATTAAAAAATCTGAGATCAACGCCATGGGCAACCCAAAAGAGTGAGGATAATGATGATTTGACGACGCCGAGTGATGTTTGTGCCATCCGCCACCAATTGTAGGATGAACTCTCCTTGATCACCAGGAGCTCGCCTGCATTTCCAATCATAACCAAGCAATCAATTGCGTCCCAATCGCTCCTCCAAATCCCGAGTAAGCTCATAAGCCGGCAAATACCCTCCGTCCCCCTCAGCATCAACCGCACTCCCATCCCCAGCCTCGCTCGCCCTCCGCAACTTCGGATTCGGATGCGTATCCGACGTACCCCCCAAACTCGTATACCCCATATCATAGAGCGAGCAATACGCCAAATCCAAATGGCGAATGAACGCCCAAATCTCCGCATAATGCCAGTCAATAACCGGGTGCACGCGCATAAAATCGGGCCAGCCCTGGTCGGTGCGGTCGAAGTGTTTTAGTTTCGCGCCGTGCGGGTCGGTGCGGCGGGTGCCGACGAAGATTGCGCGGATGGTTGGGTGGCGGGTGAGGTAGTCTTCGAAACTGGAGCGGAGGGTTGTGGTTGGTGGGGCGGTGGTGTATTTTGTGATTTGGAGGTGGTAGGCTTGCGCGGAGGTGATGACGAAGTCTTCGACGGCGAGGAAGGGGTCTGGTGGGAGGGCGTAGATGGCAGGGATCGAGGAGATGGTGCTAGAGGAGTTCTCTTCGTTTGTGCCGGTGGTGGTGGTAGTAGTGGTGGTGACATTGTCGGACTGTGTGTTGGTTTGGTTGGACTGTGTCGCACTCAGATGCGGGTGTAGACCCGCCAGGAAGAGGATGAGCATGACCAGACAGTCTTTGCCGCCATTGTAAGAGACCGAGAGCTCGGAGAACTTGTATTGTGCGAGAGCCTTGGAGACGACGTCGAGTGAGATGCGGGTTTGTTGCTGGACCGAGGCGAGGAGGGAGTCTGGTGGATGTGACTCCTCCAGGAAGGCTTGGACACGGGCATGGATGCGCGCAATCACCGTCGGCAGCGGGGGGATCTCTTCGTTCTCGGACGCTGCAGTAGTAGATGATGATACATAGCCGTTGGCGTTGCTATGTGCATGCGCCGATCCGTTCTGTTTCTGGTCTGTTGTCGAGTCGGCGGGTTGGTTGTTTTGGTTCATCGTGGTGGCCTGGTCGGCTCCGCGGGGTTCCAGCGGGTGAGTGATAACCGGTCGAAAAGGTCGGAGATGGTCCTGGGCGCATGTCGAGGAGTATGCAGAGACTAGCGGCTCAGCCGGCCGCTTTCCAGGTACCACGGACTGTGCCATTGTGCAGGAGAGTGGCTTGCAGGAGAAAAGATGGAGGCCGAGGCGGGGAGAGTGGGTTGCTCGGTACTCGGGGAATTCGGGGAGAATCCAGAATGATCGAATCTCATGTGGGGGGGAAGGAACCCAGTGGAACGAGGAGTGGTCTGCGGAACAGCCACGGGCTGGAAATGAGCAGGAAAATAGGCGGAACGAGTGTGTGAGACTAGATTTAAAGGGAGAAGATTGAAATGCTGAAAACAATAGTGCAACCACTAGAAATCACAGTTCCAAAGTGAGTCCCAAGATGGGACGGACGGTCTAATTCAGAACGGCATATTGAATCGAATCTTGCACCATGTAAGCTTCTTTCGAGAAGGAAGTTTCCAAAATAGGCTGTTGATGACTACAATATTATGATAGATCAACCTAGATCTTCTCATAAGGAAGGCAGATTCTAAGGACAAGCTATACTGGGAGGCGACTACGAGAGTCCTCCACATTACACAAGGAGATACGAATGCAGTCGTCCATTGCACCATGCCGCTAGAAGGGAGTAGGTAGGATGAAGACGAAGAGAAAGTATAAGAAAGACGAAAGACGAGAAGGGATTCAGGAAACCAATTCATCCAGGTACCCCGTGAACCCAACAGGCAAGATCCAATTCCAAACGCCGTAATGCTCGTCTCCTCCAACTAGCCCAGCACCTTCATCTTTTTCGTTTTTTTCTTCTTCTCGTCGCCAGTCTTGCGTCCCTTTTGCCAATCCCGCCAGGTCCCAATGCGCTCCTCTCGCGTATCCTCCCACGCCTTGTCCTGATCTCGCTTGCGCTTACGCGCATCTAGTTCTTCCTCTTCCTTGCGCTTCTCACGACCTTCTTCTTGCATGCGCGCCTTGGCCTGGCGACGTCGCCGAGCCTCTTCCTCAAGAAGCACCTGAACGGCCTTTTGTCTCCATTCCTTCTTGAATTCTTCCGTCTGGAGCTCCGGCGAGTCCAGCGTGTATTTGTGTTCGCGGATCAATAGCCGCCGAGCATCGGCAATGCACTCGTCCAGATAAGTGCGCTGCTTTTCATCGAGGAGGGCGGTTTGCGCTTTCTTGAGCCGGTCAAAGGCGTCGGGCGCGGCGGGATTCTTGGTCTTATCAGGGTGGATGAGGAGGGATTTTTTGCGGTACTGGACTTTGATGTCCTTCTCGGTCACACCGGGCTGAAGATCGAGGACGGCATATCTGGCCAACAGTCAAGTCAGTGAAAGCAGTCGGGGTATTGTAGGCTTGAGATAGCTCCACTCACGCATCGAGAGCAAAGGCCGAGCGGATGCGGTCGATCTCCGCATCCTGAGATTGCGCGTTAGCTAGATCCTTTGATTGTCGCCATCGGCGGGGGGAAAAAGAGACAAACCTTCGTGAATTCCGAGGCCTCTCGCTCAAGCGAGTCGAAAACGTCCTGATCCAGCTCGTCGTCCGCCATGAAGGAAAAGTGTCGAAAGCTCAAGTCGCAACGCGATCGGTCGGTCGCAATTTGGAGAAGAGATAAGCCGCTTATCGGTGGCTGAGTCAGCCCGAAAAAAAAAGTCGCGGGAATAATTTGGAGACTTGAACCAGCGAAGGTTCGCGATAAGAAACTCTCGAACAAAATTCAACACAGTTCCCAAAAATCAATATGGCTCCACCACGGACGTCTCGTGGAAAGGGTCCTAAACAAAAACATGACTCTGGCAGAACTTTGAAACGCAAGCGCGGCGACGACCAGCTATCCTCGCTCGCCCAAAAAGTCGAAGATCTCGACATCAAGACCGCCGTCAAAAACTTCTCCGACCTGCCCCTCTCCGACCCTACGGCGCGTGGCCTCACTGCTTCACATTACAAGGTCCTGACCGACATTCAGTCCCGTGCGATCAGTCATGCCCTCAAGGGTCGCGATATTCTCGGCGCCGCGAAAACCGGTAGCGGCAAAACTCTCGCGTTCCTCGTCCCAGTGCTGGAGAACCTGTACCGCAAGCAATGGACCGAATACGATGGCCTGGGTGCGCTCATCCTCGCCCCAACCCGTGAGCTCGCTATTCAGATCTTCGAAGTGCTCCGCAAGGTGGGCCGATACCATGCGTTCTCCGCTGGACTGGTCATTGGAGGTAAAAGCTTGCGTGAGGAACAAGAAAGATTGGGACGAATGAATATTCTGGTCTGTACGCCAGGACGCATGCTTCAGCATCTGGATCAGACTGCCATGCTGGAGACGAACAACTTGAAGCTCCTGGTGATGGACGAGGCGGACCGGATTTTGGATATGGGTTTTCAGAAGACAGTGGATGCTATTATCGACCATCTCCCCAAGGAGCGGCAAACTATGCTCTTCAGTGCGACGCAGACGAAGAAGGTTGGAGATTTGGCTCGTCTCAGTCTACAAGACCCCGAATACGTTGCCGTTCACGAAACCGCCGCCGCGGCGACCCCCTCAACTCTTCAGCAACACTATACTATTACCCCGCTTGCAACGAAACTCGATGTCCTGTGGAGCTTTATTCGCAGTAACCTGAAGTCTAAGACGGTGGTGTTCTTGTCTTCGGGCAAGCAGGTTCGATTTGTGTACGAGTCTTTCCGACACCTCCAGCCTGGTATCCCTTTGATGCACCTACACGGCAAACAGAAGCAGGGTGGTCGACTTGACATTACCACGAAATTCTCCCAGTCCCAGCATGCCGTTCTCTTTGCGACAGATGTCGCGGCCCGTGGTCTCGATTTTCCTGCGGTCGACTGGGTTATTCAGGTTGACTGCCCCGAAGATAGCGACACCTATATTCACCGAGTCGGAAGAACAGCCCGTTACGAACGAATTGGTCGTGCCGTGATTTTCTTGGATCCTAGTGAGGAGAAGGGCATGCTCAAGCGTCTTGAGCAAAAGAAGGTGCCCATCGAGAAAATCAACATCAAAGCCAACAAGCAGCAGAGTATCAAAAGTCAGCTGCAAAATATGTGTTTCAAGGACCCCGAGCTGAAGTATCTGGGTCAGAAGGCCTTTATCTCTTACGTCAAGTCTATCTACGTGCAAAAGGACAAGGAAACCTTCAACTTGAAGGAGTTGAAACTAGAGGAATTTGCCTCTAGTCTGGGTCTTCCTGGTGCTCCTCGCATCAAGTTCATCAAGGGAGACGACACCAAGGAGCGCAAGAATGCCTCCTGGAGGATGTCTCACCTGACCGACTCCGAGAACGAGTCGGGCGAGGAGGGTGCGGCCAAGAAGGACAAGAAGGATGAGAAGGAAGTGCGAACCCGTTACGACCGGATGTTCGAGCGTCGAAACCAGGACGTGCTGGCTGGGCATTACTCCAAGCTTATCAATGATGATGGCACGATGATAGATAACGGTGCTGCAACGGCCACTGGCGAAGATGCCGACGAGGACGCCGATTTCTTGTCCGTCAAGCGCGTCTTTGCTGCCGGCGACGACAACCTAGGCAAGAGTGATTCATCCGATTTCGAAGATTCCAGCGAGGACGAGAAGGACACCAAGGTGGTGCAGCTGGATGGCAAGAACGAGTTGATCATCGACTCGAAGCGCCGCGAGAAGCTGCTCAAATCGAAGAAAAAGTTGCTCAAGTTCAAGGGCAAGGGTACCCGGCTTGTCTACGACGAGGAGGGCAATGCCCACGAGGTATACGAGATGGAGGACGAGGAGCAATTCAAGGCCCGTGGCGACGCCGATACCCAGCGCGAGCGTTTCTTGACCGAGGAAGCCGAACGCACTCGTGTTGCGGATCTCGAGGACAAGGAGGTCGCCCGCGAGAAGCGTCGCGAGAAGAAGGAGAAGCGGAAGGCCCGCGAGCGTGCCGTTGCCACGGAGGAGGCAGAGGACGACGAAGAGGGCGGTGTTCCTCATGGCCTGCCTTACGTGCCTTTCGAAATTCCCGGGCCCGATTCTGGATCCGAAGCCGAGGAGAAGGAAGAACCATCACGACCCAGCAAGAAGCAGCGCGTTTCTTTTGCAGAGCCCGGCTCCGACAGCGAGGAGAACTCTCGCCAGAAGCGCACCAAGGGCAAGAAGGCTGCTGCTGCCCAGCCCCAGATCGAGACTCTGGCGGATCTGGAGGCGCTGGCCAGTGGATTGCTGGGTTAATTTTGCATGGACCTTACCTACTGGCGTATTCTTGGGCGTCTTCTGCTCTTTTCGTTTTGTTAGATATATTGTCATGTGCTAGCGAAGCCTCTAAAAAGCATTTGTCATGTTTTATTCAGCATGAAGTACATAGTGAAGTCGACAATTTTGTGATCATTGGTACACGTCAGCGCCAGCTCAAGTTCAAGTGAATGTAGACTTTAAGTAGATTTAGGTTTAGTGACTTGAAGAAACTAAGTGTGAGGAAATTAAGAATACCCAATCAGACAGACTTGTTTCAGCCCTGCAGCACCATCTGCCACAGCACACTGAACAGGTTAGCATACAAATTCATGTTTTACCAGTGATTATTCTAGCTGCGGTCACTAAGCTTTTATTCGGAGACCTTCTCCAGGAACGCGATCTAAAAATTCCAGAAAATTGCCGATGAAGTGGAGCCGCTCGAGTTTTTTTCATGTCATCGCCTCCCATTTCGACGACTCACAACGACTCTCAGCGGGCCCCTTCCCGTCCACTCATCGCAGTGTTCGAGCACGCCATCGCAAGAAACACGCTCGACAGACTTCAGATTTTGCTCAGAATGATCTTTCAAAATGGCTTCTCTTCTCTTATCATTTCTTGTTTGCGCTACGCCTGTCATTATTGTGATTGAAGATCTGGGGCAGCCACGTGCAGGTCACGAGATTTAGGGCTTTGGTGAGTCGAGTCAAGTTTTACATTTTGTTTTGCTTGCATTCGACTGCAGAGGAAGGGACGATGGACTGATATTGTATCACAGTGTATTCACGATTTGCGGCCTTCTTCAACTTTGGGAAACTCGACTGCTGTCGGTGGCCTTGTCTGCATCATGGCGGCTCTATCAGACCCCGAGAAGAACCCGTCCGAGTCAAATGTTCAGGATCAGGTCTTTGATGGCTCTGCAAGCCCCTTTGTCAATGCTGACAAGCTAGCCCGTCGCCTCTCTGCCCGCCAGGTACAGATGATCGCCATCGGCGGTACGATCGGTACTGGCTTGTTCCTGGGTACTGGCAGCTCTCTTGCAAAGGGCGGACCCGCATCGACTCTCATCGCCTACGCTATTTGCGGTGCAATTGTCTTCGTCACTATGCTTTGCCTGGGCGAGATGGCTGCTTTTGTGCCCGTTGCTGGGTCTTTTTGCACATATGCGGGGTGAGTGGCGCGATTTACCTGACTCTTTGACCCTGGTGAGACGAGGTTACATTGGATCTGCGATGACTAATCTTCTTTTGGATAGGCGGTTTGTTGATGATGCACTGGGTTTTGCTTTGACTTGGAATTATTGGTTTAATGATGCTGTCTCTACGGCTTCGGATATTATTGCTCTTCAACTTCTTTTGGAGTTTTGGACGGAGAATTTCCCGGGTTGGGCAATTAGCTTGATCTTTTTGGTCGTGGTGATTGCGCTGAATATTCTTTCGGTCCGCGTTTATGGCGAGGTACGATCGGCCCGTCTTAATGGTCTGCGTATTATATACTAACTTGCTGATTCCAGGTCGAATACTGGCTGAGTTTACTCAAAGTAATCACTATTGTTGTATGTTACAAAATTACAGTAGCTTTTGTGTCGGGCCGCGCTAAATAACTAAATAGATCTTTATCATCCTCGGCATTGCTGTTAACTGTGGCGGCAATACTGACCACCAATATATTGGCGGCAAGAACTGGCATATTGGAGATGCACCATTCGTTGGTGGTATTGGTGGATTCGCCTCTGTCTTCGTCACAGCCTCATTTGCCTAGTACGCCTAAGAACCCGTGTACCCCTTCAAAGGAATGGCCCTAACTAACACCCTCCAGTGGCGGCACCGAGTCCATCGCTATTACCGCCGGTGAAACCAAAGACCCGGCTAAGAACATGCCCAAGGTCGTGCGTAACGTCTTCTGGCGTATCCTGCTATTCTACCTGCTTTCCATTCTCATCATCGGTCTCAATGTGCCCTACAACTACCCGGGCCTCTCCGATGGTGACACCCACACTAGCCCGTTCACCATCGTCTTCCAACAGGCTGGCAGCACGGTTGCTGGTAGCTTCATCAACGCGGTTATTATGACTTCCGTCATCTCCGCTGCGAACCACGCCCTCTTTGCTGGATCCCGTTTGCTATATACGCTTGCAGTCGACGGCTACGCTCCTCGATTCTTCGGGCAACTAAACCGCTTCCACGTGCCATGGGTCGCTGTACTGGCTACTTCAGTTATTAGTGGACTTTGCTTCGGCGCGAGCTACATAGGCGCTGGTCAGCTGTGGACTTGGCTGCAGAACATCGTTGGTGTCTCGAACCAGCTATCCTGGATCTGTATCTGTCTTGCTTCTCTCCGCTTCCGAAGCGCGGTGCGCGCTCAGGGTATTGAGCACCTCCTCCCCTTCAAGAACTGGACATATCCATACGGTCCTATCTTTGCAGTGGGTTTGAACGTCGTTTTGGTTCTTGTTCAGGGCTGGAAATGCTTCAGTCCGCACTTCAAGGGTGTCGACTTTGTCTCGTACTATGTTGAGATTGCAATCATGGTCGTCATGTTCTTGGCCTGGAAGTTGATTAAGCGTACCCACTTTGTGCACAGATCTGAGATGGATCTTCGCACAGATCGATATGACGGCGGTGCGGACGATGGTCATTATCGTGAGGAAATTGCCGCGGAGGAGACGAGGAAGGGATTCATTGGCAAGCTTCAGCACTTTGGTCAGTGGTTGTTTTTTTAGTTCGCATTTAAGATACCAGTAATGTCTATTCTTGCATTTTGACATGAAGAATCATTGCTTCATGTGAGCCTACATTGATAATTGTTGAAATGAAACCAACTCTCTAAATTAAGAACAAATGGATTAAAAGTTTGTATTATAGGAAAAGTAGTTTGAATCCTCGAAAATTTTGCACAAACTGTACACTGATGTACAAATGTCCCACCATGACCACGTAACATATCCAGCGTGTCGTCCTGAACATCCCAACATCAATGCATGCCAGATGAATCTAATAAAATGAATGAAAAAATGGAAATGAGAAAAAGCGGTGCTAGATCGCACCGTTCCCACTCCGCGAAACGCCATGCCATGTCTTGAGAAAAACACCATAACTGTAGGGGGAATCGCGAGAAAGAAATGTAAAAAATGAGAAAACCAACAAACATAGGAAATGATCTCGGTGGACAGATCCTGCTGCAAAGATGTCAGTCGGATCCAGTCCAGAGGCACCGAGATTGAGATAAAAGACCACCTGGTTATCTGATATCAAGTCTGGAACCGTGAAACAAGTCTGAGAACAAATATCAAAGTCGAGCATGGACATAACGCAGGCAGAAATCAACACAAACAATTTCCGCAGCTTGATTGCACTCAAATCAACAATGCGCCATGATGAGAATCAGAAAACAGAAAGAAATGGGGTATATCAATCACTTCCCGTAGACCCTGCTACAGGATGGTAGATTATACAGTATAAAACAGCATAATGCAGATGATAGCAAAAATGCAGTTGATCGATGACGAGGTGTGTTTTGTCGGGTGGCGGATCGCACAATCAACCGTTGACCATATCATCCAGAGCCATTCTGCGACGTTTGATTGGTCTAGGCTCTTCATTTTCACTTTCGGTCGTGAGATTAGTAGTTGTTCGCGTTGTTGCGGGCAAAGCATGACTGAGAGTTGATGGCGAGGGAAAGTCTACAGGGCCTAGATGCCGTGGCACTGGATCGAGGGGACCGGTCATGGATGAGGAGCGCTGGTGAGATGGCGAGAGCGAAAATGCCGAGCTGATTGGTCGTTGTAGCTGGGCTGGGGATCTCGGCTCCCTCAAGATGTCTTCATGCCCGGACGAGCTCCAGCTTGTCGGGTACGGGTCGCTCAAGCGATGGGCGTGATGCGGCTGGGGAGGAGGTCCGGGACTAACTGTGGCTTGGTGTATAGGCGGTAGTCGGACCGGTGATTCGAGATACGGTTCACGAGGGCCATGAGGCATCCGAGGATCACTCAAAGGTTGGTGTAGGGTCGCAGTGGGAGCCTCAGTGTAGGGCAAATAGTGTACACCTGGTGAATGATGCTGAGGAGGAGATGTCGGAAGCGGCAAAGCTGGACCCGCGTAAGGTGGGTACCTTCTCTCTATTCCTGGTGGCATCGTTCCTGGTTTGAGAACTGGATTGAATCCACTTGTAATTGGTACGAATGCTGGGGGTGCGTAAGCTGGCGGTCCTGATGAAGAAAATGGTCGTCGTCCCACAGCACCCGGCATCGAAGGAGACTGTCCCATAGGTCTCGTAAGAGGGAAGACAGATGCAGACCATCGCTGTGGTTGGCCGCGTGGCACTCGCATTGCTGCAGCATTTGCTGGTACTGGCTCGCCTATGCCTTGAAGATCCGTCATCGGCCTCAATTCGCGGGATGAGGTTCCTCGATGCATCACTGTTCTTTGCGGGCCTGTCGAAGGCTGGACTTCAGCGGTCATCGTTGTGTTATCAATATGAGCATGGGAGTAGGAGCGGAGAGAAGAATCCTCGGCCTTCAACGGTGGTCGCCCTCGCTTCTTGTGTGTGACATCCACGCATGAAGACTTTGCCCCCATTCATAATTAGTCTTCGATCGGAATTCCTATATAGAAATGTAATAGTATGTACTTACGGCCTTGCCAGCGAGGACACATCTTCGACATGGACGTGCGGGATCGCACCCCAGGTGCTTCTTCTTGCAGTTGACACATGCCGAAGCTACGTGAGCTTTAGTACGTCGTGTTGCTTTCTGTGCAAGTGATCGGTGCGCTGGTCCCGCTATCGATGATTCCATCGCTGAGAGAGGATATGGTGGAGCTCCTGGTAATGGTTGGGATGGGCCGACACCGAATGCTGCCGGCGGTGGCCCGCTAATTTCTGCATATCGTGGAGCCCCAATATGTGCTGGGAGAGGCTCACTGACGGATGACAGAGGCTGTGATAGTGTCGGCCCAGGAATATGGCCACTAGAACCGGTGGTTACCTCGATAACAGTAGCTACTGGTGCAGTAGTTATTGCCGGCGAAGAAACGGACGCATATGCTAAAGTCGGCTTAGGGTTTCCGGCTGTCACTGGGGGCTCTTCGGCCGGCGGCGAGCCAGACATAGATTGACGGGGAAGAGGAGCCCGGGGGCTATACCCTCGAGCATTGGAAGACCAAGACCGATTCAACGAAAGCCGCTCTGGGCCGGAGCTGAACCGTGGCTGTCCGAACTGGGCGGTAGCAAGGCTCGGGGGATGAAGCACGAGTGGTTGCATCGGGTGTCAGGCGGCAAAAGGAAAGGGCCCACAGAGGCAGCAAGAAAAGACAAAATTTCTTTTCTTGAGAGAAGATGATCCAACAAGGACTTATCTTGAACTATAGGGGACCACTGGCTCTGCGTCGGACTGTTGACAGCAGCATATCTGGCAAAGGGATCCCGGGTACAGTGCTAGACTCAAACTAGGCAGGGGTGGGCAGACGGGGATGGGATGGGATGGGGATAGGTGAATGAAGGGAGTAGGCGTGGGATGTAGGAATCAAAATAGGAGGAATATCTTAGGAACAGAAAGGCAAAAGGTATGAAAAGTTATGAACGGGTATAACCAAGAGGGGCAACAGGAAGGAGGCAGGGAAGGATGCAAGAGCTCAGCAGCAAAAGCTCGCAGCGGTGTAGGAGAAAGGAGAAAACGGGCAGACCAGAAACCAATCAGAAAAATAGAAGGAAGAATCAATATAAAAGGCGAATTAAATAGATTCCCCGAAATCGAAAATCAAAAAGGCGTCGATATCCGGGGCGTCATCAAGCTCTCCTCTCATAGCCGGCCGAGGACCACCCGAGCTTATAATCCGTAGACAGAAGAGATCCGCTATTGGAGGAGTCAGAAAATAGACTGCATCGATCAGCGGGAGATTTCCAGATCATGACAGCAGGGTTACTCATAGCCGCGCATGTCTTTCCCCTCCTAGGGCGATTTATTGCAGGATAGCGGTCGATCATCGAGCTAGGATCCAGCTGCAGCAACGCCCCCAGTGTCAAAGCCACCCCCCACGCCTTACTGGTGTCTTGATTCCAAGGCCCACGTTCCGTCCACTTGGGATTGGTAAAGACCCATTCGGGAAGACATACGGCAGGATGAAGAATGATCCTTTAGAGGGAGAAGGAGAAGGGTAGGGGGAAAGATAGAGGGAGAGATGATAGAAACGGTGAACTATACCCTTTAGATGACCGTTCGATCCGAGTGTCGATGGTAATGGTGAGACGCAGCGTAGCCCGGACCTTGTTGTTCCGGTGGAGTGGTGGTATAAGAGGTATACGTATAGTATTTACTCCCGTATATTGCAGATAAATGGTTGGGTATGCCCGGATGTTCCAGATAGCTTTCTACTATCGGCTTTCCTGGCTGCTTCGACGTTGTCTGCTTGGCTGTTCTTCTCCCCTAAAGCTTATAGATTGCTCGACAGGCACGAGGTTCTAAAAGGTAGGAAAGGGAGGTGTAAAAAGAGAAAAAGGTCAACCCAAAACAGCCACAGAAGAAGAGGATCCACGGGAAGAATAATAGTCCTCTTTTCTCTCGCCAAGGATGGAGCAGCACGAACTGCGGGCTCCAGGTTCAAGGACTCCCAGGCTTTAGGCTCATACCGGAATTGGAGAAGACACAGAGGTCAAGTGGGCGGGTCCTGGACCCAGAGTAGTGAAAGTAGTGGTCAGTGCAGACGGAACTAGTAGCTGATAGACTTGATCTCCGTCATGGTAGATCTTTCGGATCATGGGACGGTATTACTGTAAATCTTTCAACTATTTCTTATCCCATTTTTGATTTTCTTTTTTTTTAATGGGCCAAACGTTAGCTGGATCGAAGGGGGAAGAATACTTATGTAGTGACCTCTAGCGTACCGCCTGTCGAGTGGGGATATCCCCATTCATTGTACTGTATTATTCTCATTCAAGCTCTTGGTGGACCTTTTCTGACCCCCTATTCTTCCGAACTGGAAACAAAGTAATGATAATTAAGGGATGTATTGGAGAGTTGGAAGGCGAGGAAGGAAATCGAGGGGACAGGACTGGGTAGGGAGCCCGGAATCCATAGACCGATCTACCTATTCAAGTCTGTGGGTTGGGGAACTACTCGGTCTACTGGCTGGGGTGGCTTGCATTAGACGGCGAGTCGCTGTCAGTGACACCCCTTCCTCTCCGTGGGACTGTTGGACTATTTAGGGTATCGTATATAGAATACCAACAAACTTAATACCCCGGTACGAAATACGGACTAGCTAAGCATCATTATTCTAAGTCTCTTCGGGAAAGAACAGACCAAAACAGCGTACGGAGTATCATAGAGGCGGCTGTAACGAACCAGCCTGTCGAAAGAAAGGGATTGGACTACGCTAGAGACGAAAAAAGGAATACATGCTGCAGTGGCTTTCCTTATTTCATCATTTGCCTGCATGAGTTGAATTTTTTTTTTTTTTTTTTTTGAATTTTTTTTCCATTTATTGTAATATATTTAATTGTTGACGTGGAAGGGAACCCCATTCGATGCCAAATCAGACCCACGAAACAAGGCGAACGATTGACGGATCGACGTCGGGACCCGCCGCCATTGCCAATAGTCAGGCTCGGCAATGAATTGCGCATTCCGTTTGACATGCACAAAGTACATGCTTTTTCCTCGTCATCATGCGAAAGGAGGGGGGGGAGGGGGTGGCCAGTACATCACCCATCATCATGGGATCAGAAGCTGTACGGTATAGAATAACAAATACTGTGCTTTGGGGTCTGTTTAATATCAAGTCCGTGGAATGCAATTCACCACTTGGAGGGGATGAACCATTAATTAGTTTAGCATGGCCCAGTCCTTCTGCTAGCTCGACCAGGGCCAACTATAGCTTTGGCCTTCGAGTTGATTGCTTACTTGGAAGGTTCGTATTATTCCGGCCAGTCGGTCGGGTCCATTATTGATCGAATTGTGAATTTATTGTCTGCCGTATTTCTCTAGTGATCTGTATTGTGATTACTGCTTCATATTATTTGCTCCCCGCTCCCGATCTTAAACTCATTATGTGTTATGCTAGTTTAAGTCTCTTTCCCATTCTGATTTTTGATTTTTGAATTTTATGATTTGAGTTTCCCACCTTATTTGGGCTCCACCGTGTGCTGCTTTGACTCCTAAGTCACTGGATAATTAGGGAGGGCTGAAAGAGGCTACATAAGTAACGGCGGCGACCAGGCCAGCTCCAGCTCCAGCACAAGCATTACCACCGATATCCATGCCGGCAGGACATGCCTGAGCGAGAACCGAAGGTCGAATTGATCAACCGGCACTTTGTTCAATGTCCCTGCATACCCTCGATGTTTGTCTTAGCTGTCTCAGTCTTTAGCTTTAGACTCAAGACCTTACTTGATAGGATGATTACAGTCTATATTCCCTTCATACAGTACTCCGTACTCCCACTCTCTATAGTAGTGCGCACGATGTCATCATGTCATCAGGAAGAATGTATAGTACTGAGCCGTTTCCCAAAAGTGTGCCTAGTGATGTCAAACCAGCCGAGAAGGACGCGGTCGCGAACGCCTCCCATCCCATGGTCGTTATTCTCCGCAGTGGAGATAAGGGGGTTGCCCCCACCAAGGCACTCGATGACCGAGTCGATCCTCCGTGATTATGCGGCGTTGTACAGGAAGGGGTTACTGTTACAATGAAGCTTGACCGGACGGAAGATTTGAAGACTCATTCACGGCGGGAGAAAGGAGAACGAAGTGGTCTCACGGGAGGCCGTAGTTCATCCATGAACCATGGGCCGGAGAGCTGCAGGCAGGGGTTGGAGGGGTTGGAAAGAGGGGGAGAATAAGGGTAAGGAGGAGTGGTACCAAGGTACAAAGTACGCGATACACCGTATGAGAGGAAGGAAAGGGTGAGGGAACGCTTTTCTAGCTTTCTTACTCTTTTTTTTGGTTGTATCTGTCTTCGGGTGTTCGAGTCCAGCCGTCCGCGCTGATTCGATCGGGCAGAGTACAGTAAGGAAATAGTTCGCGAAGGGCAAGTGATACCGATGACGGGGCCCAGCCCCTCGATTCAGGGCGGGATCCTGTCGTGATACCATCCATCACACCTCACACACCCGGGCAAAAGGACTGGCATGGAACCGTAGAATAGTGCGAGAAGAACAAAACGGGAGGCACGGGGGAAGGACGAGGACGGGAATAATCCCCCTCAAGGTCTCCCAATTACCCGTTCTTTTGATCGACTTTATTCTTTATTTTCCGGGAACTCCAAGTCACCAACAGCATTGAGCACCAAGATGTGGCTGCAGCCTCAGCAGCCTTGGTGGGCGATCACCGTCTTCCAGCGCGTGCGCATTGCTCATCCCTGGCATCTTGCTGCCTTTCAGCTGCAGGGAAAATCCAGCTCACGTCATTGGGTAATTGACAGGTGGAAAGGGGCCAATGATACGAATCGGTTGAACGGGGGAGAAGGGATAGGAAGAGGGGGTTGAACGGGCATCTGCCGGGTGCTGCTGAGGGAGCGTAGACATTGGGCACCGATAGACGGAGGATAATCGCCCAAGCTGCAATTGCGGGCGCCTTGGCTTTGAGGGGGTCTGGCCGCCCCAATAGCTCCAGAGGGTGGGCACTGGGGCAGGAGGAGGAGCGAGAGCAGAGCTGGGCATAGCTGTGTGGAACATGCGGCACGCGGAGCAGCAAGGGGTCTGTCACCCCCGTTCATGCACGATCGGCCACTGGGAGTCAATAGTGCGAACCGCTTGGTGGCCCCCGTCCGTGATAGTTGGTTAGTCTGCCCGTTCAGGCTTAGTCATGGCCAGTCAATTCCCCTAGGCCCTTTTTCGAATCCAATGTCAAATGCCCCGTGAGTTTAGTCAGGCAAAGGCACCATGGATTGAAGATAACTAGCTGATCATTGGTCAGTTGCGTCGCGGGACAACTTTCAAAGTCGACGTTAGCGTGAGCAAAGAAGATCCCGTGAATGTGGACACTCGCGATTGTCAATTTCCCAGCGCGGATCCCTGGAATAATTCGCCGACCACCCGTCACGACGGAACTAGTCAATGATAGTGACCAGTTAGTCTTGCGCCAGGAAATCAAGAAGCGGAGATTATTCGGGACTAACGCCTCGTGGGGGTGATGGCCTATCGCCTGTCAGACGAAAAACCCGAGGTTGATCGTCTAGATACTCGACGATCCAACTCACATGTGCGTGATGTGATGACTTGGTCAGAAGCAGGCAGAATCACAGAGGGAAAATCAGGATTAGAGAATCCATCCATTCTAACGGTTCTTCCCAGCGGTCCGAGGCTGAGATCACACTGTGATTGGGCCCTTGGGTGTTCTGTATTGAGCGAGACGAGATAGTATGTCAATATCGTCCGACCAGTTGGGAATTTGGCGTTTATAACACTGGATACGAGTCACGGCCGTTCCACATTGGTGCATGCTAGGCATGTCAGGTACTGCGCTTGGCTAGTACAGACCTATAGCTTGAGATCAGTATCTCTTAGTGTAAAGAGGTAAAGCATGGGTCAAAGACGGGCAGATCATATGATCTTGAAAGTAGAAGTGAAGTGCGCAGAGTAAGAGAGGCAGAGCAGGGTTGAATATGGTTGTGTTCATGATAACAATAATTGGTGTGGTATCTCCAAAGCAGATGGCAGGTATAGACATCATCTTAAGTAAAAATGCAACCTTCTAAACTATGTATACAAGAATGTACCCATCTTTCCCTTGCCCTTTCCTAACGCTTCTTCGAAGGGCGCGCGTTCTTGTCGCGGCGCTTCTGCTGCAGCTTCCGCGCCTTCCGAATATCCTCAGTCGAGCGAATCTCACTCTTTCCGCGCGCCGCAGCACCGCCAACTTGTGATTGCTGACGCTCCCGAGCCGTCTCATTCCTCTTCTTCTGCTTCTCGTAGTCAAACCGCAACGGGTCGGCCCGCTTGGGAGCCTGCTGTTTCTGGTGGCGGAATCGACCACCAGGGCCGTGAGCACCAGGCATGCCCGATCCCGTGGAGAGACCGGGCGTCTCGGCTTCACCCACGCGAGGCAGGTTGCTCATACGCTTGCCCTTCTTCCAGCTCTGGAATCGGCCACTGCGGAAACTGGCGGCGATCTTGGCACCACTCTCACCGCGGACGAGGCGCGTGCCCTTGGATCCATCCTCGTCGTTCTGGCGAGCGACATACTTCTTGTGTCGCTTGTCCCAACGCATGACGGACCGGTTCTCACCAAAGTTCTTTTGACCTTCATCACCATTCAGGTCCATGGTCGCGTTCCGCGACTCGTGTGCGAAGTTGGAGTTGGTACCAGAGTGGACACCGTAGGCCCGATCTTCCGCACTGTTATGGTTCGCGGGTGTGTAGCCCATGAAGTAATCAGGATTCTGGAATGAAGTCGCCGATACCCCGTTTGAGGTGTCGGTCTTTTTGTCCTTCTGGTTGTAGGCGGAGAATGTGACTTCAAGCTCAGACTCGGATGCCTCAGACATGTTGTCTCCAGCTTCATCGGGGATGTTGTCATACTCGGCATCGACGGCATCTTCATCCGGCTGACTGACGCTGATACCCAGTTCGGCCAGCTCAGACTGTTCCTTATTCTGGGCACGGATTTTCTTCTTGTCGACTGTAGCACGGATTCGTTTGATGGTATCGATAGCTTCCCCGCCCTCTTGCTTGCCACCACGTCGATTCTGGACCTCGAATACGGTTTCCGATGGTCGGAAGCCGCCGATGCGAGCAAGCATCTTCTCACGCTCTGCTTCCATCTGACTCTCATCGTCGTTAAACAAGAGATGAATCGTAGACCAGTCTTCGGTGGCGGTGACCTTCTTAGCTCGCTTCGCGCTCTCCAACGATGCAGCATTTCGAGTGCGCATGTAGAGCTTTTCACCGCGAACAGAGACCTGTCGCTGAGAGGCAATATCGACAGCCTCACTAAGAACTTTGTTGACCCATTCGCAACTCTGGGAAAGAGGGTCGCGGGGGATGGTACCGACTACCACATCTTCCGCATAGTTGACTTGAGTCCCAAACTGACGGCCCAAGACCAGCCGTCGACCCAGGAAAAGTTGAAGATCAAGCAGGTATGGCGCATCCGCGTCGCGGACCAGACTGTAACTCCATCCTGTCTGTCCGGCACGGGCGGTACGACCAACACGGTGAACAAAGATCTTTGGTTGAGAAGGGAAGTCGTAGTTGATCACATTGGCGAGGACAGGAATATCAATACCACGAGCAGCCACGTCGGTAACAACAAGAATGTTAGAAATCCCCTTCCTGAAATTTTCAACCTGTGTTGAGGATGTCATTAATTTCAGCGTCATTTGAGGTTTGATATATTGGAATCACTCTACCTGAATCTTTCTTGCCAGTTGGTCAAGACTACCGTAGGCGTAGGATGTGGCAAAGCCGGCTTCAATCAAGAGGGAGTAGAGATAGTCGACGTGGTGTTTCGTCGCAGCAAAAACAATGGTAGAGTGCTCGGTAGGAGACTCCTTGTAGATAGACTTTCCTGAGTGTGGTCTCTTGCGCTTTCTGTTCTTGGGATCTTCGGCTTCCGCCTTGAATCTTTGGGTAACTTCAGTCGGGCCAGTTGGCATTTTAATGACGTTGTGCAGGATATGAAGCAGCGCGCCTTCCTTGTCGGACGATTTGACTGAGAAGAAAGCATTTTGAAGGTCAGGGGAGATTTTGCTCTCGGTATCCAGGCGCACGAGGCTAGGCTCTTGAAGACCAGCACGCGCGAATTCCACAAGTGACTTGGGGAGGGTGGCAGAGAAGAGGAGTGTCTGGCGGTTGGAGGGAAGGCCGTGAAGAATTTCCGTCAATTGCGCAGCAAAACCCATTTCGAAGAGTCGATCAGCCTCGTCGAAACAGACGTAACGGATGCTTGATAGATCGAGGTCCATCTCAACCTTCAAATGCAAGAATCGACCTGGCGTCGCAATCACAATGTCGGGATTACCAGCCATCATGGCAAACTGATCCTCCAAACTATCTCCACCAACGAGCAAGACCGATCTCAAATCCGTTCCACGCCCCATCTCCTTGACGACCTTCAATGTCTGCAGAGCAAGTTCACGCGACGGCGACATGATCAAAGCTCGGGCACCAAAGGTGGCACTGTGACTCTTCAGTTTCTCAATCATGGGAATAACAAACGCGGCAGTCTTTCCCGAACCGGTTCGAGCCATGCCGACGACATCTTTGTCGTCCATAATCACAGGAATTGTCTTGCGCTGGATGGGAGTTGGTACTGAGAATCCTTTCCGGGCGATGGCTTTGAGTAGATTGGCATTGAGACCCATGACCTGGAAACCACCACCTTTCTTCACCGTACGACCCTTGAGATTTGACCCTTTTCGGTTCGCCGATGCCTGTTGTGTCGCAATAAAGGCCGCATCACCATCGTCGTCGGCATTGAGGAAATCAAGGTCTTGCGTGGTATTGGGTTTCTGTCGGGGTGCAGAACTGCCGACATCGACGACGGAATCATCATCATTTTGGAAAAGCGCACTTGTGATGTCGAACTCGTTCTCCGACATAGCCGGAGAAGCTTCGCGACGAGGCATGGTGGTGGATGTGGGCGCACGAATAGCCTCGATGTGATAACGCCGATCAGAAGCGCGGGAAATGACGATTATAACCGTTCAATAGCTTAGTCCATCAACAAAGAGAGGACCAATGAACCCGAATCAACACAGATATAATGCTACCGACCAGCACTAAATCTTATCGAATCTAAGGCTGAAAATCACTCCAAGCAGGTGGTTCACCGACGTCGAGATCAACCATCGAGTTGGCTGCTCGAAAAAAAAAATCGAGGATATCAGCAAGGCGGTGAGCAGCGGATCAACCATGGCCCGCTGCAAACAAAGCAAACATCTCCCCGCGACGCGTCGAAACACGCTCCCAATTGAGTAAAATGATTTCACGACTGCACAAAAGATCATTATAGACTTTCATTATGGGTAAGTTCCCTCATTTCAAACGGATAATTCTCTTGCAAACTCTGACTCTCTCATCCAGACGGAGGCTACAACAACTACAACTCCTACGGTGGAGGCGGCGGAGGCGGCGGTGGCGGCTTCATGCCTGGCGAGATGAACAGCCCTTCTGGCGGAAAGGTAAGAATCGGTTTAGCATTTACCTGTGAGTCAACGGCTAACACATCTTCCAGGGTGGTGACCGTGACAACAAGACGCTCCGGCCCGTGACAGTCAAGCAAATTGTGAACGCATCCCAGCCCTTCCCTGAAGCCAACTACCAAGTCGATGGCGCCGATGTAGCCAGCGTGCTCTTCATCGGCCAGGTACGCAATATCAGCTCCCAAAGCACCAACGTCACATATAAGATCGACGATGGCACCGGCGAGATTGAGGTCAAGAAGTGGGTCGACTCGGGCAGCGCAGACAGCATGGACACAGACGAGGGCAAGGCCCTCGGGAGCGGCAAGAATGAGATCGAGCTGAACGGCTATGCTCGTGTCTCCGGCGCGATCAAGTCGTTTGGTAACAAGCGGTATATCGGTGCGCACAATGTGCTCCCGGTGAAGGATATCAATGAGTTGCACTGTCACATCCTCGAGGCTACTGTGGTACACCTGTTTTTCACCCGCGGTCCTCCCGGCGGTGCGAACGCTGATGCCAAGGGTGCCGCCGCCGGTGGTGATGCGTTGATGGGTGGCGCAGATGACTATGGCGTTGGCCAGAACCGGGCCCTCATGTCCATGTCACCGCTGGCCAAGAAGGTCTACCAGGTGCTGAGGACCGAGCCCCAGGATGATACTGGTCTACACGTGCAGCAAATTGCCGCCAAGATGAACGTTCCAGCCACGGATGTGGCGCGTGCTGGTGAGGAGCTGCTGGGTGCGGGTGTGATTTTCTCCACGTCGGACGAGCAGACCTGGGCCATTCTCGAGTACTAGGCAGACCCCGACTATGACTGACAGGCTTGCATGATCAAAAAGCCCGTCTTCTCTATCAGATTAGAAGCGCTGCGAATTCAAATGATATCATGATTCATCTCTTTACTTTTCACGCGTTATCTGAGGCTCTATCTCGCTCCTATGTACAATCACGTCTGATAGTATGCCGGTAGACAGGCCACACAGTCGTTTCGTCATGTCTTCAAACCTCCAATTCCTCAATCGTAAGCATGGTATCGTGTGTATATCTTTGCAAATCCCCGTCCACCTCCTGCATGCATGAGTTATCACATTTCACTCAGATCGTCTCGTTCCGCAGCTGGGCTTCTTCCACAGATCGTTCCCAGCTAATACGGCTAATAAAGAGAGCCTCAGTGGCAGAAACCAGCAAGAGCGCAATCGCGACACCTGTCCAGAGACCCATGACTCCCCAATTCCACGTGAACGTAGTACCCATACTAATGGGCATAGCGATGACATAGTAACAAAACAGTTGAATATAACCACCGATCTCCTGTCGACCTAGACCGCGGAGAATACCATTGCAATTGGCCGCAAGGGCATCGAAGAGCTGGAATGCGGCGCACAGAGGAAGGACCTCGGCGACGATGTCGATTACTTCAGGGTCGGAACTGAATAGCATGGGAATATAAGATCGAAGGCTCGAGAGAAGGATCATGTTGAACAGGCCGACGATGGTAGCTCCGCAGAAGCTCACCTTGGCCGATGTCTTGGCAGCGCCTACTAGTGTAGCACCGATCAGGTTTGCAACGCGTGTGCTACCAGCGATGGACAGTGGGAAGGGGATCTGCCATGTGATGCTCGAGATTGTGGACAAAATGGATTGGGCAGCGAGTTCAGATGTGCCCAGGTAGCTCGAAGCCAGTGTGAGAACCTCGAAGGCGAGACACTCTGCTTCGACCATGATAAGACCAGGCAAGGCAAGGCGGATCATGGGGCCCCAGTTGTCAAAGGCGCGTCTTGTAAAGCCGCACCAACATTCAGAGCCAACACGGAAGTAGATGTATGTGAACAAGCAAATAGGGAGGAGAGTCTCCGTGATGACAACCGCGATAGGAGCTCCGACAAAACCCCATTGTAGTTTCTGGACATTGTGTGAGTATGGGTCATTCTAGGTTGCAGCTCGTCCACTTACCCAAACGAAAAACCAATTCATGAACGCATTGAGCGGTGCGCAGATGATCAGGACATACAGAGAGGCAGAAAAGACACCTTGGGCCTGCAGGTATCGCTTTCCGCTCTCAAAGCACGCATATCCCGGTAACCCTAGGAGCGCCACCTTCAAGTACAATCCGGCCATTTCAGCCACTCTCTTCTCTGGCACGATCTTGGCCAGAACATGCTCAGAGAAGTACCACAATGTAGCGATAGGAATAGTCACGACCAAAAGGAAATAAATCATGCGAAGCATTTGAAGTCCGACCAGCTTCTTCTTGCCCGACCCATAAGCCTGGGCACAGAGAGTATCCAGACTAGTGGCTAGACCGGAGTATACGGCGTTACCAGTGATGGAGACCGTCATCGAAGCGAGACTGACGGCACCCAGTTCCTCCTTGCCTAGGTGGCCGATCGTGAAGATACTCGCTACGGTGAGCGAGTACTGGAGCAGGAAAGTCACCATCAACGGTGCAGAGTATCTAATGATAACCTCCGTTTCCCGTTTCCACGTCGTGTTGATCAGACCTGCCGTCACGGCTTCTTCCCACTTGCGATCAATCTCCTCTGGCCCCATTTGATTGTCTTTCGCAGGCCCCAACAACGCGGTGGTCTCAGTATCCCGACCATCGGCGCTCCGAACCGTGCCATATTGCTTCGCGGGTCCCTCCTGTGACGAAGAGGCCGATAAGACCCTACTCAGTTTATGTTGCAACCCCTCCGGTTCTTCCGCTGGAATGACTCGGTTATCACTCAACAAATTGCGCTCTTCGGCAATCGCCTGTTGGAGCTCGGCCTCCGTTAGTGGTTGGTAGTCTCCATTTGACGGGAGCACGGTAGCATGATTGACGCTGGTGAAGTAGCTCGGGCGGCGATATGACCCGGTCAGCGAGTGCGGATTGGTCCCCGCATATGTGCTGGATGGGCGTCTACTCGCTGGGCGGACCGTGGACGCCTCGGATGCTTCGTCAGTGCTTGATGTCGAGTCCTCGTCGGCGTAGTGAGCCAGATCGCGAGCAATGGCGGCTTCGGCGATAGGCGAACTGGATTGGAAAGACCGGCTAAACGGGCTATGGTGCTCTGCGGACTCCGCCGAGAGGATATTGCGGGGCGGCATGGCGGATGGCGGATGATAATGAGATGGTGGGTTTGGTGACCTTTACAATACCACCTGCATCATCCGGGGAGAGAGCAGAGGAGAAGGAGAAGAGACAGAGGAGGCTCGCTACGCGGGGAAGAGATTGGAGGTGAATGCGGAAGTTGGAGGCGTGCGGGCAGAAAATACAGAAAAGTGGGGATGCTCCGTTGATTGTAGTTAACTAAGTGATTTTAGGTGCTTGACTAAGATTCACAGATTGACTTAGTCAACGTATCGCTGCCGAATCCACATCGGATATGGGCCCCGAATGCGTACAAGTCCACCACTTATTCTCCTCCAAGGTGAGCTTAGGTCTTTACAATCCGATACAGCGTACACTACTCTCCTTCAAGGAGATTGTAAGATGAGTCAAGGCCTCGTATGCCTCGATGATCGCTGGCGCTGGAGTGGGACCCCAAGCGATAAGACCCACTGGGCCGTGCAGTGCTCACCGTTTTCTTCCAGAGACAAGAAGGGATGGGAAGGACAGCGCTCGCTGTTAGGAAATGCATTGAATGAGAAGAAAGACCCAACTCGAATCACCAACTGCCTTAAAAGACCAGAGTTATCATAATAATCAATCTTATATGACAAGAGTTGTCAAAGTCTATAGATCACCCGCATGCGATGACACCGCCAAATCCGGTCTAGTGCCATCCTCACGTGCTCTATCAGGTGTTCCTGGCAGGGCCCGCTTTCTCCAGATCTCCAGATCTCCAGGTTTCCAGGTCAGGGTCTTCTCTCGGATGTTTGAAAGATATCCAGTCCAGCTCCTGCAGCTTGTCGGACAGCATGGCGCAATCGGTCACGACCAGCGTGGCCTCGTGCGCCCCACGCCGCTATAACCCGCTAATCAACCCAACCCATTCAAGGCCGGCCTTGGTGGAAGAGTAAGTCCAATTTTTAATCCGAATTCCTGCACGCTACCGCCCACAGAACATGTTTTCTTTTTGCCTGTTTGCCTTGTTTTCCTTCGCTCCAGTCCAACCTGGTATAACCTGGTATCTTTTAAGGTTGTTGGCGCATTCCCTGGCGTGATCCGGTGTGATTCATCGAGAAGCCACTAGGCATGTGGCCTGGCCAGATATCTGCACATCCCCGCATTCCATGAGCATAGGTCCCCAGTCCAGAGTCTGATCTAACGACCTTCCAGACACATCGAGGATCAACACCACATCCTCTTTTCCCGCCCTATACTGGGCGCTCTACTTTTCGAAAATACTACCTCCGATGCGCGCGACCACTGCGCCAATGAGCGCACATTCCTCTCCTGGCTACGTCTCTCCATGTATTTATCCATCGTCTCGCTAGCCATCATCATCTCTTTCCATTTCCGCGAGCAGCCCTCGGGTCTAGAGCGGCGCATGGCCTTACCGCTTGGTATCATCTTCTGGCTGTTAAGTCTCACGTGCCTGGCAAATGGATTCTTCAATTATGCCCGCACTGTGATGAAATACAGCCGGAAGGCGGCGCTGGTTCAGAGTGGCTGGAAGACCCAGGTCGTCATGACCGTCATCGGGACAGTCATTCTGGGAAGTTGTATCCTGTTTCTATCGACTGGTCACCAATCGTGACCACTACAGTCTGGAGTATCTTGTGCTTTCAGCTGCTTCATTCTCGGCGTTGGGTCATCAAAGCGTTGCATTGCATTATATCCCCCTATCCAGCAAATAAACAATGAAGATAATATTCTCGATTCATTTTGAAATATCTCCGAAATATTCTACATTATATAGGGAATAGCATGCACGAAGGTAAGGTGGTGCAGATTGAAAACGAGATAAAAGGTATCAGTAGGGGAATGCATGAGGCTGGCCAAAGAAAGGGACAACGATTTCGATGGAAAGATAGGGTGATGGGAATTAAATTGACCCCAATAATTCCTTATCCTACATCCGGCGAATTTGAGTCTCGCCCTTGTACTTGTCCAGGGCGGGGGTGCCCAGGTGGCTCCACCACTCGAACAGCATCGAGTTGCAGATCAGCTTGAACCAGGGCGTGAACTTGAGGCCAGGCTGCTCGAACATGGCTTTCAGCTCATCAGCCGACACGTACTTGGTGTCCCGCACCTCATTCGGGCTGGGCTCCAGGTCGACATCGGCCTGGATAAAGAGAATATAGTCCACTAAAAGACAGGTTCAGTAAGAATGAATCAAACTAAAAGAGCGGCGATTGGAGTCCGCGCGATTGTTATCACATACCCTCGTGCTCTCCCCACTTGCCATCACTGGGAGCCTTGTAGTGAATACGAGTGAAGAACTCGAATTTGTCCAATGGCACTTGCTCTGCCTTGATACCCAGCTCGTGGTTCAACTTGCGCTGCGCCGCACGCTTCACACCCCCTGACAGCTGCATCGAGCTCGGCACCGGTCTCACCGGGAATACCTAGAGGGTGCGAGCAGCAGGTGTTGGTCCACATGTCCGGGAAGGTGATCTTCTCAGTGGCGCGTTGCTGGAGCAGGAGGCGGTTCTTCGAGTCAAAGAGGAAAACGGAAAAGGCACGGTGGAGGAGACCCTTGTCAATGTTGGTCATCAAGTGGCCTGAAGAAATGTTGCGGTCAGCGACCATGTTTTTGATCTATCGGGTATCGGGTTGTTGTCTCCTTTAGCCCCTCTTCAGGAGGGGCAAATCCGGGGAAAGACAAAATGCAAAGACTTACAAGTCTTCTTGCTGGCGCTGCCAATCGGACGGTCATCATTGTCCGTAACAATGCAGACCTCTTCCATCAATCGAACCTGTTCCTCATCGTATCCCACGAGCTCAGAGCTCTGGGCGGCTCCGTTGCTAGTGGCGGAGGGGAGGACATCCCGAGCGAGAGAGGTGTCGACGTCGGGGAAGATAGTGGCAACATTGTCTGCCGTGATCTCCACCGGAGCGGTCACTGTCATCGTAGCACTCATCTTGAACTGGACTTGAGTTTCAATGTGTATGTCGACTGTAAAGCCTCTTCCTCGGAAAGAAGAATGCGGGCGGTGGCCATGGGAGTGTGCTTACCCCAAGGCGGTAGAGATCGGCAGATTGGGCCCGGTCTTTAGCGTCAACAGCCTCTCCTTCATTCGCTGTCGCAGTCTCTATAGCTTTCCGGGTCGCTGTTCTTTCCCATAGACCGGAGAGCATATGTGAAACCTCGGAGATACATGGCCTCTACTCAGGGCTATCTGAACTAGATTCAGATTCCCAGTCCAGTTTCTCTGAAAAAAAATAAAATCCTACTATTCAATCTCAAGCCTGACCTAAAGTATATTCTCAATGGCTCACTTGATCTGTAGCTGGCCAAACTTCTGGAGCTCCTCGATTTCCTCAGGTCCCAACAGTCCCAAGGCTTCTCGTCGAGTGGGCGCATTTGCATCGAAGACGGGCTTCTCTGCTAAAGAGGTCACCCGAGTTCCATGCCTAGGCTGCGAGCCCTCATAATCCCAGCTTGCGTTATGAATGGTAATTCTGTGGATTAATGAGTCTATTGAATAAAAGAAAAGAAGTAGTGTCTGGAAGGGTCCCAAATACCTGTTATCCCACAGTACACTAGTTCGCGGGCTCCATTTGAATCGCACTTGGATGTCAGGATTCTTCTCATACACATCATACAGGTATCCCAAAATCAGATCACTCTCTGCCTTATCCAGACCGACAATCCGACTTGTCATAGCTCGGTTCACCCAGAGTGCCTTCCACCCCGTAGCTGGGTGGACACGTACAATGGGATGTTCGCGTTCAACATATTGTGGCCCGGCTTCGGGATTCCCACGATCGAGATAGGGATGCGCAGAGCGGTAGATGGCGGTCTTCCCATCAATGAACTTGCGGAAAGATGGCGAGAGCTTCTCATATGCAGCGTATCCGCTCGCCCAAAGAGTGTCTCCTCCGACTGTCGGGACAGTATCATTATGGAGATGTGTCACTCCAGCAGGCTGCTTCTCGTGAACGAGATCGGTATGCCACCGAGACGCCCCTCCTGGTCGACGGAAGCTTGCTGGATTCTCTGTTGCTTGGAGTGCAGGCCAAATCACACTCACTCCGGGAACGCCGGGAACCTGAGGCACTTGTGGCTGTGAGAAAGAGCCAAGATCACAAAGTCAGCAAGCGGTATCAATGCTCGTTGCGGCTACAGTGGAACTCATACGTGGACTTCGACCTCGCCAAAGTACTCTCCAAGGGCTTTCTGTTGCTGTGGAGAAATATCCTGATTGCGGAAGAAGACCACGCTTCGCTCTGCGATGAGCAGACCAAGCTCGTCCTTCTGCTGATCTGTCAAGTCTTTGAGCTGAAGACCAACAATTTCTGTGCCAATATGTCGGGTAAGGTGTATCACTTCTTTTGCTTCAGACAGAAGCGCTTTCTTTTCGGGGTCGGCGCGGGTGCCTGGATCTACATGGTCGCGATCCTGATTTCTGATCTTGTAGACATCGTCAAGGTAAAGAGGGCGCGACGGTCTATAAGGATAACCCTCGCTCAGGTCAATTCCTGCTTTTTCCAGGCGAGCTCGCGCAGGCCCAGGAAGACCAAGAGTGTCCTTCTTGGGCGGTGCAACATCTACAATGCGAGGGTCAATAGCAACAGGAGCCATGATGATATTTCCGGTCAGTATCAGACTCTACCTTAACACTAAGAATTTGACACAGGAATTGGTATGTTCGGCTTGGCTTGTAATATTATATATACCGCCTACTTGTTGAATTTCAAGTATATTACCAAACTTGCTTGAGTCGTTGAAGTGTGTCACTTAAGCACCTCATCAAGCGGACGCATCACGCCTTCCCTGCAACTCAGTTTATGGAGTGGCCGAGATGGAACAACTCGGATCAGGATTCGTTTTAGATGATGCATATTGTTGCCTCCTCGGGGCTTTTGAATATTTACCCCTCACTTGAATCCAATAGAATGATACTGCTCCTCCTGACTGACATGATCTAGTGCCAATCTATGGCTAGAATGCCCCGCATCACTAGGAGTAGGCAAGGTTCCTATCGCCTCATCCACGACGAAAATCACGCTGATCGTATGTTACCGATTTCTAATCTCTAATAATAATGCCGATTCATCCGATAGATAAGGCCCGGCTAATTTTCGCTGTGCTCTGTCTGCGTCGTAGTCTGGATGGCGAAATTCCAAGCCATGAATGCTTCATTGTGGACATTAGTCGAGCTATTTCAAAACTCAGGGTGGGGAGTAGGACTTTTGATAATGTAACCTTAAAGCTGAATTTAATAAAGTCCGAGTTCTCTTCTTCATTTACTACTCAGACTTTGACAAAATCATGGCCGACGGCACCATTAGACGCGTTGCGGTCATTGGAGCCGGTATTAGTGGCGTGGTGAGCGCTGGCCATCTTCTCGCAGCTGGATTAGAGGTCACGGTATTTGAAAGAAACCAAGCCGCGGGAGGGGTATGGCAAGTCTTCACTGTCATTCCTCAAAAGCTATCTCTAACATCCAGAACAGGCTGCATGACAAGCGAGTGCCTGTTGAGCTTCATTATCCTTGCGTCAAGCCGGGAGATGTGGCGAGACACGGAAGAGACGAGCGAGATGAAAAAGAGATGCAGAGATTGATACATGCCCCACCGGGGTAAGCCTAGCTTATCGCAGTCTTCTTTATACGAAATCATCTGACTCATAATCTCCTAGGCCGTGTTACGATGGCCTCGTCAATAACGTTCCGACTTCGTTGCTAAGAACCAAACTCAACGCATGGCCACTCGGAACACCCCCGTATGTCAAGCACCATGTTCTGAAGGACTACATTCAAGATACATCCAAGCAAGCTGGAGTTCATAATGCGACAATCTACGGCGCTCTAGTCACCAAGACCTATAAGAAAGGCTCACAGTGGCATGTGCATTGGAACTCATTGCATGAGGACTCTACATCAACGACCTTGGTTGAACGTGAAAATGAGGGGGTAGGTATCTTAAATAGAAAAGATTTGAGAAGAACTGCTAACAATTTATGTAGATATTTGATGCCATTGTAGTTGCTTCTGGTCATTATCACACGCCCTTCATTCCAGACATCATTGGGCTGGCTGAAGCCAAGAATAATTGGCCGTCGAGAATTTTTCACTCCAAATCATTCCGGAATTCAAATGGATTCGAGGGCAAGGTGAGTAATAATCTATTGGGTATATCTCACATAATTTTAACTAATTCAATTCCAAGAATGTACTTCTCATTGGAGGAGGTGTGTCATCTACAGACATAGCTCGAGAGATAAGCCCTGTCGCACACAAGATATATCAGAGTACGAGGAATGGCACCTTTGATATTCCGGAGACAGCCCTCCCTAGCAATGCAACTCGCATTGGAGAAGTCGCATCATTCGAAATTACCTCTCCGCAGACGAACTCGGAGCTGCTCCCTCTTATCGTACGCTTGAAGTCTGGCCAAACTCTGGATCATATCGACACAATTATTCTTTGCACGGGCTACCAGATGGTTCTTCCATTTCTTCCGGACTATAACACGAACGAACTTAGCGAAACAGCCATTGTGACCAATGGCCAGCAGTTCCACAATCTGCACCAAGACATATTTTACATTCCCGACCCAACCCTCGCTTTTGTGGGCGTCTCTTTCTACACAGCTACGTTCACGCTTTTCGAATTCCAAGCAATTGGTGTTGCGGAATTCTTCTCTCGGACTGCTCAACTTCCTTCTGTTGAGAGCATGCGAGCAGAATATCAAAATCGAATTGAACAGAAAGGACAAGGGAGAATCTTTCATTCGCTCAAAGGCGAGGAAGAAGCATATGTCAGGCAGATCATCGAATGGGTGAATAGTGGTCGGGAAAAACAGGGATTGCCTTTGATTCAAGGTCATACTGGCTCATGGTTAGAGGAAAGGAAAGCTTATGCCGAGAGGCTTGCTCTGTTTCTCCAAGGTGCCATACCATTCGGAAACATTGCCGAACCACTGCCAGTAGTAAAGGTCTCAGCATGAGTTTTATCTTGAGATATAATACTCCCAGCTTACTTTTGAATTCAATTGTCATCAGAAGTCTTCCTATTGCAGTGTTGAATTATAGCACGAGTTGACGCCTACAGGGCATCTCGTCTGGGCATAATATCTTAAATTCGTAATTCTACATTCTTAAATCAATTGTCAACCACCGAAATTCGTACTGGATCCAATAGGTTGACGCTGAATATATCAGGATACTTTGGTTTACCACAAACTGGGTGCTACGGTATGGATTTAGAGTGGGGTAAGTAAGTGTGACCTGGACGCATCATTCGAGTACTCGATGACGAGCTCCGTAGTGCAGGCGATAGTGATTATCCTGGGTAATTCTCCGCACAGATATCAGGCACGGAGGTTTTCCGTCGGAGTTCTTTCTTCATACTCGCAGAAATTGCGTAAATAAGATCTGCAGCAAATTGAGTACAGGTGTGACACTAACTCCGCCTATCAAGCCAATAGTGAGATAACCCGACACATATTATCGCTCCACCACGTTTTACCAATTAACACATAAAGCCATGAAATCACGCGATGGCGTCCAATGCACTGGGCACGTTGAGTGTCGGCATCTTACAAAGGTACAGAGAGCAGAATACTGTGGAAACTGCGGCAAGCAGCCCTCCGCTTGATTAAGCGGGAGGCTTTCCCACACTTCCTTATAAGAATTTTCCCGGGGACTTTTAATTTATCGATTTTCCGTGGAAACCTAGAATCTTTCCAACCCCATGATGGCAGTTGAATCTCAAGCAAACGAAGCGGTGATCCCTTCCTCGGTACCGAAAGTTCAGGAGGCACCGAAGCGCAGGTGGACCAGCTACATCTGGGATACCTTCGATAAGTCACCGGAGGAACGTCGACTGCTTTTCAAGTTAGATACTGCTATTTTGACCTTTGCGTCTCTGGGTAAGTTAAAACTGCGCCTTTATAGTAGATCTATGGCTTACATCATATGATCAGGTTATTTCATCAAATATCTGGATCAAATCAACATCAATAATGCTTTTGTGTCTGGGATGTGCGTCACAAATTACGGCATTCTTTACTCGGACTTTCTCTAATAGTTTCTGTGATACAGGAAGGAAGACTTGGGGCTATATGGCAACCAGCTAAACTACATGCAAACATGTTGGACAGTTGGATATGTTATCGGAGAGATTCCAAGCAACATCCTGTTGACAAAAGTCAGACCAAGATACTGGATACCAGCTGCAGAGGTAGGCCATCTTCTGAAATGCATGCTCGAGGATCTCGTTAACTAAAATTTCTCAGCTGCTATGGACAGTTCTTACTTTTTCATTGTCAAGGTGCAATACTGCCACTCAATTCTATGTTTTGAGGTTCTTCATTGGTAAGCATGCCACTCTAAGTCAGTGTGCCTTGGAACGCTAATTTTGGAGCTCGAAGGTCTTGCGGAAAGTACTTTTTACCCGGGAATGCAATACATTATCGGCTCATGGTATCGACGAGATGAGCTTGCCAAGAGATCATGCATCTTCCACACTAGCAGTGGTATTGCTAGTATGTTCTCTGGCTATCTCATGGATGCCGTATACCATCTTGGAGGTAGAGGGGGCTTCAAAGGTTGGCAATGGTATGCAAAATACGTCTCACTTCCATTAAAATGGACCATAACACTGATATTTATTGTCAGGCTGTTCGTGATTGACGGCGTGATTTCTCTTCCTGTTGCAATTAGTGGGTTTTTCCTGCTGCCTGATGTTCCGGAAATTTCCAACCCATGGTATCTTAGCAAGGAGGTTTGTTGGTCCTACTACAACGTTTCACAAATTATCGAGCACCCTTTGACCCTTATCGAATTACAGGAAGTCGCCTTAGCTCAAAAGCGAATGAAGCTTGAGGGTCGACAGGATAGAGGCCCTTTCACGAAAGCGAAACTAAAGAAGATATTTTCTTCTTGGCACATATATCTCTTGACGTTGTTATATGTGTTCGTGTTTAAAGCCCGGTTTCTGCCGACTTGGCTAACACCTACTCTAGACTTTTCAACAATGGGGCTGCCGGTGCCCAGCCCGTCTTCCAACAGTATGTGAAATACAGAGCCTGTAGAATTTCTCTCTAACTTGTGTGGCAGATTTCTCAAACACTCGACAAACCCAAAATACTCCGTTGGTCAGATCAACGCATATCCGACAACAACCAATGCAGTCCAAGTTGTGACAACACTGGCTTATGCTTGTAAGTTGAAAAAAAAAAAAGAATTTTGGTGCCATCAAACAGTAGGCGTATACTCATCTCGTACAGGGTCTTCAGACACATTCTTGAATGGTCGTCGCTGGCCCCCAATCATATTTGGCGGCGTGAGTTCTCCTGTTATTTCATATCCGTAACGATCCGTCTTTATTGACAAATCTTATAGGTTGTCAATATCATAAGTTATGTCTCCCTAGCGGTGTGGGAAATACCGATTGGATGGAAATGGACCTGTTATATTATTTCTGGGGCAGGCTTTGGTCTCAGCGGGCTGTGCATGGCGTAAGGCAATTCTTCTTACCATGTTACCCCAATAGTGATTCTGACTGTCAAAAACAGCTGGGCCCACGAGATTTGCTCTGAAGATAATGAGGAACGAGCGCTTGTGATTGCCAGTATGAACGAGATGGCATATGTCTTGCAAGCTTGGCTCCCACTCATTGTGTGGCAACAAGTCGACGCACCGGAATATCGAAAGGGATTTATTACAGTGTCTTGCATATCTCTCGCTTTGATCGTCACAACATTTGTTATCCGAAGCCTTGATCACAAGGGAAGAAGGTCGAGAGGGTATGTTATTGGATTTAACCAGAGCCTCTTTAATAAAATCCCCAATGGCCTTTATTGTCTAACGTCTTTCTCTAGGGCCCTGAACATCCACGGGCAAGAAGCAGGAGACAGCCTCTCCGACTCCATATCTGTTACTCCCGTTGACACGCAGCAACCTCGAAAGGTCTGAGTTGTATGGTTGAGTGTCTTGGAATGCTCCGTTAGACATATATCCATTGTCTCGTCTTTTCCCCAAATTTTCAGAAGAAGAAGAACCACGTTGACCATTGTCCCAAACCTGTATATACGTATACGTACAGAGACAGTCAAATTCTGTAATTTACAGATAGAACAATCCCATCTTTGCCTACCCGAGCCATTCAAAGCTATCTATATGAGAGCCAAGCCACGAGGCGTCAAAGAAATCGGGGTCAAAGGCAAGTAGAGGATCGCCGTTATTATCATCCAAGAAAGCCATCTCCGAGGACCCGAGAGGATGTTCGGCATCCGAAAATAAACTTTGTCTCTGTGAGATGGATACTCCAATCGTGTCTGCAACGCAAGTCAATGGTTATGGTGCTAAAGGTCAATGCCCGAACTGACCTCTTTTGATGATTTGGGCGACACGAGTGTTCAAGCAATGAAGGATTTCCATAGCTCGTTCCACTGACCCCATCTGCGGTTTGAAATGGTCAAAGATTGCCATGCAACGAAGCCAAGAGTTATTCAACGCTGATTCCGCAAAAAGATCCCCTTCAAAGGGGCATAAACGAGTAATAGATATGACAATAGCGCAAATGAATGCATCTAAGGCAATTAGGCTCTGTGTGGTTGCTTTTGAAGTGAGATTACTCACAATGGAACTCGCGCCATCTTGGGAATGTAGATCCGCTTTCAAGTATACCTGACATGTGCTCGACGAGTTGGTGAACTGTTTCAATGCACAAGGAACAGCAACCACGAGCCGTATTTTCTTCGAGTGTCATCCGCATCTCAGCTGTGTCACCCTGCTTTTTCAGTCTACCCCGAGCGGTAGCAGCGGACAAAAGTAAAGGTCTCAAAACGAGCACTCGAATGTACAAAAATCTAAGAAGGTATCAGTGGTTTTATTTCAAGGAGAATGGATTGACTCGGTGGTACCTGCAACGAAATACATAGCCCTGCCACTTGATTGAATTGTCCAAGGTGTGCCAACTCTCCTGTTCGCTGCAATCTTGACGCAAATATCCAGGAAGCTTTGCAGAAAGATCATCGAGTGCTTCGTTCAGGGACATAATCTGCCCAAGTTGTTTTCTTGGCCACCACTGAGCAACATTAGGCTCGGATCGACGATCGGTGTGCGAAGGATGGTAAACATCTTTGAGAGCAAGGTCAAGAATATCAAATAGTTCAATTGAATGAACAAAAAAGTCCAGGGGCGTGGTGTCAATTTCCTGTTTCTCGACCTGGCTCGTACGAACGGATGGATTTGATTCCTCAATAGCTCTCGGAATCACACCGGGCAGATTGAATAACAGAGAAAGAAGACTAATGCGGCAAGTCAGCTAGAGTGATCTCGAAATTCGTCAACTGAATAAATGAGAAGAAACAGACCGGTCAATGATGACACAGCTATACCACACCCTACGTCGCATCTCCTTTTCTATTTGGAACGTAAACTCCTGACTTGGATGCTCCAAGTCTAGCCCCAAGTACTGCGCATATCTGATGGCCGAACCGATCACACCCCAGCATCTGCTGGCATATTTGGTCGATTGAAGATAAAGTCCAGTGAGTAGAAGCAATTGCACAATTTCCAGCGATGGTGAATCGACAGTATCTGTTGAATAATACTCCCTTGACTTGTAATAGAAATGTTCTGCAGCTTCTGCTTGGTTGCCGCTTTGGCAGCTAAGGGCAAAGACGATTTGCAGGATAGCTTTTTGAATTTGGCCGTCTTTGCCAAGGCCACCGTTCGGGAGCTCGACATTCGGAATCCAAAGAGACTGGTAAATAGATTCAGTCGTTGGTCTATGTAGCAGGGGAAATATCGGGTGTATATATGTCCAGAAGTTGAGCATTAGTGCATCGGCTGTTTGGCGAGTCGGTAAGGAAAAAATGCCAGATGTATGGCTTGGCAGACCTTTATCAAGGACCAAGGAATCGCCATTTGTATCTGCCTGCGGGAGTTTCTGATCAATCATTTCACCCATTCCAATCTTATGTGCAATTGAGTAAAGCAGAGCCGTAATAGAAGATCCTCCATTCAAGCACGGAATTCCTTTTGGTGAAGGTACCATAATCATCGCATCGACTCTATCAAGAGAACTCTCTGTCAAGGCAAATGGAAGTTCTTGTCCACTGAGTAAGCCACCCTTTTGAGGGCATTCAACGTAGGGAAAGGCCCTCTGACTGTCTCTAGGAGTACCTGATGATAGCCAAAAATTAACCCTAAGCTTGTAATGACATTGGAACATTTTCTTTAGCAGAAATACTCCGTACCTTGAGCTTCAAGATCGAATGATATTATATCACCTCGGTTGGGATATACCGTTGATTTCTGGGACTCTAACTGTAGAATTCTGTCTTCAAGGTGAGCGATATACCTGTGATGTATTAATTAGCGTGTAGAATAGGACTCGGTAACGAAACTCCTATACCTCTGTGTTTTCAGTGTATCTTTCTCGTAGACACAGCATTGGTTTTCTCCCTTGCTTGCACACCTAGAACAATATGGCCGTCTGCCATCACATCGACTTTTGCTTTGGCGACATGCATTACAGGCTAGCCTTGTCTTTCGACGTCTAGGAGAAGTCCCGGTAGAATAAGTTTCACTCTGGTCTGTCCTTTCTGCATGCAGTATGTCGGGCGGATTGAGATGTTCGTGCACGAAACGGAATTTTGACATCGTTCAGACACGTTCCGTTTGGGGACTTGCCCTTGAAAGCAACCGAAATCACGTAGAAATTTAGCGACCGAAGAGTCAACGGAACCGAGATGAGTTCTGGCCTTCTACTTCTAATTATTGCGGGGGCTATTGCACCCGCCTGGCAGTCGGAAGGTTCGCCACAACAGCTCCCGAGTGCGGGGAGAGCGGCATCGGCATCTTGGATGTTGTCTTTACTTGCCCCATCCGATTTAGTGTCCCCTAATTTTTTCAGCTTCAAGACTCAATATTGCACGGGAAGTGAAAGAGGTGCTTTGGCTGAGTGGCTCATGTCTCCCCAGGACTGATGCGTCGCAAAGGATCTTCACTAGGGCCCATAGCACTAAATTTACCAAATTCCTCGCGAGGAAACAGGATTGTGCGAATATCCTGGACTCCTGTATGCATGCAAACGACTTCTGACCCTGAATTACTTTTGGCCCTACATAGTAGACGGACTCAACGGAGCACAATTTCAGCCAATTTCAGCCAATTTCCCCAAGGTCTAAAACTTGACTTTCTAGTGTGATTTAGTAATTAGCCAATGCAAAATTCATATTCAGTATCAAGGGACAGTTCATATTCGATATCAAGGAATTATGCCACAACATCAGATCAACATACGAAAAGGACTGTTCATTCTGATAATCCAGGGCAGTTCTGCGCTTCCCTTTTCCACCCACTACGGTCTCACTTGGCCCTCCTGTAACCCTTTCAATCGTTGTCTCCAAGAGGAAGGGCATGGGTCCGCAATTCTTCAAACTGCAGTCGAGCCTTTATCTTCATCAAGTGCCTTTCGGGCAAATCGATTGCCAAGCGGGAATTGCATCGAAAATCCGAGAGACGCCAAAGTCTGCGCAAGAAGAACATACCAACCTCCGATAGCGGTTATGAAGAAAAGCACCTCAGATGCCTGCGGTATCTAATCAGCAAACTCTTATTATCGAGTAGGTGGGATGTCAATGAACTGTGCAATCTGAAGGTTATGGGCAGAGAGCAAATGCTCAGATGCCAATCTCTAATACGCTGCAGCGAGAAGAAAGAAGCCGGTTGCCGCAGTCAGGAAAATGATGAAAAATGCAACATTGGTTCGAGTGGAACAATTGTGAATAGTGCATTCAGCACACCCATCATGACTATGAAAAATGCTGCTTCCATATCGATCAGCAAACGCTTAGAAACGCTCAGTCAGAAACATACCGATACTAGACTGAAAACTTGAAGACTCCATTCCCTGCAGTGTATCTGAACCAGTGGATGAAAGTACCCCGGCTGCATTATAAAACGGCTGTGTCGTTCCTGCAAGAGCAAGAGCAAACCCGCCTATAATGACTTTTATCAGCGGGCAGCTTGCGGCTGATATCATTCATCAGTGAATTTACCATATGACAAAAACTACGCATGAGAAGGTGTTCCCCAGCAAAAACTCCAAAACACTGCTGATGATAAGCATCGGGCCAGTTACGAACATGGAAACGGCCCTGATACATTATAAGAAATCAGCGTTTTGTGATGGCCCCGAGAAGAAAGTCTTACGTGAATGCCTCCGGTTTTCCACCTGGGCCCGCCCATCCCATCAGAATGTAGGAAAAGGGCGTTACACCCATCACAAAGCCAAGTAGGCCACTATAGGTGAAGAACTAGCCCTTTTTCGAGTGGCAACCTTGGGAAGAGACTCGACGTACATCGGCGTTGGGTTTCCAAAGGTGCGACGGAGCTCCCCCCTCGACTGCGTTTTGTGGAGAGAAATAGAGCTTTTCAAAGAGTCCCGGAGAAACATAACTACTTCCTGTAGTTTGCAGGCGTTTCGGTTCCTTCATGAATGCAAGGTCTTTTTGATCAACCCCAAGAACGCCGATGTCGTCGTATTCTGCTTCACCGGTCATAGTGTTAAGTTAGTTGTCAGTGAGAAGTTCACTAAAATTTCAGATGAAATAATTTTTGACTAAAACGCGTAGACTTGGAGAGCCTATAGCCAGCTATCGGGGGTGCTGGCCTGTCCACGTTTGCACGTTGAGCAAATTTATACACATATCTAATTGCAAGGCCTGGACTGTTCACTCCATGAATCTGGCCTGATACTGTGTACATGCTCAATCCGGATACGCTTCCGATCCTTCGGAAGCTTCCTTATGCGTCGGAACGTGGCTCTCGACTCTATTCCATGATCTCGACGTTCTCTAGACACTGAAAGTCTAAAGATCTAACAGGGTTACCTGGCCCCGCGGGATTAGAACCTATTCGCCAATAGACACTCACGGCAAAATTGGACGCAAACTACTTTGGCTTTTCTGGATCGGATAACTTCCATCGTGATTTCCGCAATAAGCTCCGCGGCTTGGCACGGGGAGATACGGTATTGCCAGAATGGGAGCCAAAGGTGGAGCTGGGGAACCCCGCATCGTTGGTTTATCCATATTGATTATGCGGGGTTATGCTTGGGGGTCCCCTGTCATTGGCTCTGAACGGGGGATTTCGGATTTCCCTTGAGAGCATTAATAATTCCATGCATAGCATGATGGCTATGGGACTAAGAAGATGTGGGAAATTGACGTACTATCTGAGGCAATATAAGAGGCTGCCTGGCGGCTTTAACGAAATCGAGTTATCACATTATCAACGTCAGTCAGGCAAGAAAATATGCTCAGAGAAATTCCACTGGCAAGAGAGCCACAGGTCAACGGGGCTATGGCACTCCATATATTCGTTATTATTGGTCTTGGATATGGGATACTATCGACGCTCTTTAATCTCTTTTTGCACCCCCTACGGAAAATTCCAGGTCCGTTTTGGGCACGTTGCTCGAATCTTTGGGGTCGCTATCAGAATCTTTACGGACAGAAAGCACACAGTATTCATGCCGCTCATAAGGCATATGGTGAGCTCACATCTAAGTCGCCGTATGATGGATCTAACTTTGATTAGGACCGGTTGTGCGGATTGCCCCTAACACCCTGTCTTTCTCGAATCCATCTGTCGTACGTGATATCTATATGTCAAAGCTATTCGTCAAGGAGGAAAGCTTTTATGTGAGCAACTTCCTTGAGCTTTCTACTATAGAACCATTGTGGCATAAAGTGCTAACAACATCCGCAGAGAGCCAAAAGAATTTTTCATGAAAACCATCTACTGAGCTTTCGGCATGATTTACACCTTCCCATTAACTCTAACTCTTACATTATCTCTCTGCTGTGCGGCTGATTATTAGCATCAGGGATCCGGAAGCACATCATCAACGACGAAAACTCCTTTCTCGTGGGTTTTCGCAAGCATCCCTTCTTGAATTCGAGCCTGTTATCATATCTAAAATCGATACACTCCTCCAGCGGTGGTCAACGATGGCATCAAAGAATTCAACGATTGACGTTTATCCATGGGTACATATGCTCGGTTTTGACATCATATGTAATATTAAGAGTTCCACATTGTTTGTATTTTGTTGTTTCACGGCAAGCTAACCTTCATGATTTTCCAGACAACCTGATGTTCGGCATCGATCCTGGAACTCTCATATCAGGCAAGGAACACACGGTCATGCCATGGCTTCGAGCATGGCGTCCCACATACATATATGTCTGTGACCTACACCTACCAAAGGTCTACTACTACAGAAGCAATATTGACTATTTCGTTCCAGAAAGAACTCATCCCCTCGCTTGAAAGTTATGGACCCTATGTCCCCGGTAAAATAGGGAACGATTTCCGGGATGTACAGAAATGGAAGATGGTGAGCTGGGTATTACTCTGGTGAACACTAGCATCATAGCTAATGTATTCGTCGGTATTCAACGATCAAGTTCGCGGTTGAGATAGTGAAATCTTGCCGTGAGAATGGGACTGATACGCCGTTTCTCAGCAAAGTACTAAACAGCCAAGATGGGTTTCTTGGTCGCGCTCTCACTGACTCCGAACTTGCAGAGGAATGCATGGGCGGAATGTATGTTCTCTCCATCTGCATTACAAAACTAAGCCATGAATTAACAGAAATAGGTTTGGAGGAAGCGGAACAACAGCCACGACCTTTATCTATCTACTATGGGCTGTCCTACGACGACCGGACATCGGTCAGAAGTTGCAGAACGAATTAAAGACGGCTTTCCCTGGAGGTGATAAAACTCCAGATTCTGTGGTACGTCGTGGAGCACTCATTACTGCAAATATGTTCTAATCCAAGAGAAAGACATGCAACAAGTTGCCATATCTGCAGGCTGTATTGAACGAGACATTTCGTCTTTATCCTGCCACAATTGCGATCCTTCCAAGAACAGCTCTCGTGGAAACCACACTGGACGGTATCCATATCCCTCGTGGTGTAAGAGAATTCCCAAGGATAGTATAATAAGTTAGGAGGAAACGGTCTAGCTGATGAATTTACAGACAACTGTTGCAACGCAAAATTTGACCATCCATCGCGACCCAAAGACCTTCGACAACCCGGATAACTTTGATCCAGAACGATGGTTAAAAAATGGCCACGATAAGCTAAAGGAAGCTCTGACCCCATTCTCTGTTGGTCCACGCAAATGCATTGGCTCGAAGTAAGTGAATCAAACTATGCTAAGATAAATTGTTTGCTTAGTTGCTGATAATATACCAGTCTTGCTGAGATGGAACTTCGATTACTGGTTGCATTATTCTTCCTTCGGTTTGAAGCCTCTATTGATAGCTCCATGAACGATTCCGGAATGTTTATGTACGATACCTTCAACATGTCTCCGGTCGGTAAGAAACTTTTGGTATCGCTGGGAGCAAGAAAATAAGGATCGAGATCTATTCGCTGGAATTCACATGATAGCGAAAATTTATGAAAGCTTCATGGTTTAACGAGTTGTGCAAAATCAGATTTGAGCTCCTTTTCACCCTTTCTGCAGCTTATATGTCATTCCTTTCCAAGTATTAACTCCCTCGGACCCTCCTTGATCAAGGTACACGTAGGCAGTGAACGGGTGATCCGTCATGTTACCCGTGGATGAGTGGCGGAAATGACTGTTACCTATCATGAGATTAAAGAGTCATACTGGTACTATTTTGGAATTTAATCTCCACCAAACTCCTAGTGGGTCTGTAATATCTTCCCCTGTTCCTAATTAAGTGCTCAGTCACATCCGCCCGATCAGGGATGACCTGCATACGAAGTATACGGAGTTCTCCGGAGATAAGTGACCGGGCGTTATGTGACTTTATTTTTTTGGCGTCATGGGCCTCTACAAATTGACCATGGAGAGTCAGGCTCAATCTCGTCAGTCAACGGAGAACCCCAGAAGCCTCTTGTGCTTTACCGACCAATTGCTCTGCTTCCTGTCGCTGCATTCGAGCATTGACCTCAGTGAGAAAAATCAAAGCATGCGGGGAAAGATAGAATTCTGAATTCCGAGTCTCATGCTCTCGATCAACAGTCTGTGTGCGTAGTCAAACAGCACGCTAATGCACGGAATAATTGTACCAACACTCGCAAGAGCAGTCGGTCATTCTGCTCAGAACTCCCATTATGTGTTTCTCGGCACTTGACTGCTCTAACGGAATACCAAAGCATGCGTCGTATACAGGCTGGGTGTAGTACTCACAGCTTACTCCATCCTTCGTAGAGATTCAGGCTTGCGGGGGAGGGAGCTTGGGGCAGCTACTTGGGCCGGGATAAGCTCCGGAGAACGAGCAAAAAGGGGCCTGGTCTACATATCAGAGGACGGCGGGGGTTGGTTTTGAAATTGCATTTCCGTTAATGTCGATCATGGGCTGGCCTGCCTCAAAGACCCATCGCCCCATTTAGCGTGTGATTCGGCTTTGTCGAGTGGAGACTGGCAAGAGTCGAGAGACTCGAGACTCGGTCAGGCCCCTGGTGGTTTTCCCGTGCGAGGCGCTGGTTGGTGGATACTATGCGTTGTACTGAGGATCAGGAGTAGGGGAGCCCGTCTGAATACTAAAATGATCTCAAGTGCATAAGAGGAGTTCATATGTTTACCACGAAGTGCACCTAGAAACTTGTCGCCTTCGCTTACATGGAGAGTCCGTATTCAGTGAGACAGGGCCGGCACCCTCCACTGGTGGGATGCGTGCCATTTTGAGAAGTCCGAGGACTGAAAAGGATGAGAATTTATTTGAGATCCCCGCTCGCTCTCACGTGGAATCTGGAAAGTAGGGGTCCATTGAGAACGACTCGTGAGCTAGCAAGTTAATAACTTAGTGGTAAGGTACAGGTTGCACCAAGGATCCGCTCCGTGCGCTTTACCGCGCGCGTATCCAGGCCTTCACACATGCACGAAATCACGCCAAATGAAATGGGATGCGATCAACAATTCTGATGCTCGGGGGCGCTATGAATGCAAATCAAACTGGTAATCTGTGGATCAAAATTCACACTAGACAAGGGTACAGGTACATAAGGGGCAACAGTTCTTCCCGAGGTATAGGGGTGCCTCCAGGAAATGTAAATGGAAGAAAATTGCAAGGAAACTCTCAAGTCCAACCAATCCAACACCAATGAAAATCGGACATATCCCAATTTTTAGTCTCGATGAAATGATCTTCGAATACAAAATCGCAAGCGAAATTTCCCACCGTGAGAAGTATTGGATGTTTTGGCTCCACCTTTACACGTTTCCATCTAGCGGACCCATATACCCGAGGACATACGCCTCGGACCCGGGCTCAGGAGCAGTTTGGGCTTGGTTGCCGATGGCTAGAGTACTAGCTGTGCTGTCTAGAAGGACTAACAGAGGAGTATTCCGGATCTTGTGACAGGCGAGGGGGCGGAGAGGGTCTCCTCTCATTTTCTGGTTTTTCTTCACATTCCGCAAAATGCCTAGAATAGATGCTCGTCAGTAGACGGGACGAGGATTGTTTGCACAATAAGTTCAAGAGACATTACTAACTTTGCCATATTTTCCCACCGAGTATAGCGACGAGAGCACCATCTGCAGACGTGCTTGCGAATCCCACGGTGAACCTAGCCAAAACTCATCAGCTCCAATCTTTTCGACTATAGATAAGGCACCACTCACGGTATCGATATGTCCCCGGAGATCTGCGTTTCTTCCGAATGATTTGCTACATTCTTCACAAGGGATGGCTCGGTGAAAAGTGGGGTCATGCTTCTTCTTCTGGTGGGCGACACAATTCGAGCGCCTGGTAAAGTAGAAGCCGCACACAGGGCAGTTGCATCCCTTCTCCACGGACGGCTTCCTGCCTCGCTTGGTTGTCTTGGAAGCTTCGGCTGTACTCTCGCTGGCGGATAACCCTTGAGAGCGAGAAACAATGGGTATGTTTTTAATGTGATCCTCGCTGGTCGGTCTGCATGCGCTGCTCTGGTTTGCAAGTGGGATTGGGGCATTGGAGGTCCTAGATTGCGGTATGGCCTGTGACTGAAAAGGAGTATTTGGCTCCATATAGATTCCATGATCCCACGGGTTCTCCATTGTCCGATCTGCTGCTGCAGGTATGGACTGTATCGGCGTCGGTGGTGCTGAGATTGTTGGTGTATTAGCCCAGGGGCCTGTCATTTGGTGTATTTGCCCCAGATATGCACCTTGGCCAGCACCAACCTCCATCGCAGGATCATAACTGTGGGTCATGCTCATGGACTGGGCTCCGTAGAAACCGAGCGAGGATTGTGGAGCATTCGGGTGGCCGTTGTATAGTTCGTAGCATGGCCTGCCGCAGAAATCGTCGGCCTCTAACGGGAGGTTATAGATGTTCTCGACCGACATGAGGTTATTCGACATGGTAGGATTCACAGGAAATGGTACTTGATTGGAGTACCTCGTCATAGGATCATAGGAAGATTCAAGCCCGCAGTCCGAAATACCGAGCCCAACATTTGCTCGGAATACTCTTCCATGGGATGATGTTGTTGATACTGGTGACGAGTAACCAAGCTCCGGCATGGGAGAAGCCATAGTGTCTTGTTGATGAAAAGACTAATACTAGAATAGAACGATGGCACGCGAGGAAGACCGACTATGATAGATAGCCTTCGAAAAGACCAAAGCCAACCAAATAAAGTCTGCTATCCTGAGGGATCAAGACGGATGGCAGCAGTGCCAAGTATAAATAAGGAGTTGTAAGTCAACAGCTATCGCTGTTGGTGACGAGTAGATGCATACATGAAAGGTGGCTGAGGGGTGAAGAACGAGCACAGGGTCATTGGGAGACAAATCTTGGTGCCGCATTGAGACCGTCGGCATGAAGAAACAGTTGACTTGAATCCTAGGCAAGGCAGATTTCCAAGGAGAAAAGGACGGGGGGTGATAAGTGACCTGCCAATGCGGTGGAAACATCAAGTGGGGGGTGGTTGTGCCCCAGGCCGCAGAGACCAGTCTACATTGCCCCAGATATTTAGCGCTAAATCCATAGTAGCGATCAAATAGTGTCCACTTCTTTAACTTCAAAAAAATACGTGAGATATGTTTTTGGTAGCTTACCTCCGTGTTTGGGCCCGTCGGAGCACTCCACTGCTCTCCTCCGGATGCTGAGCAGGGCACGGTAGAGACACAGGACGCCACGACGGATACTCCCGTGGATTGAAGATAATATTCGCAAATAAAGTAATTAGAGTATGTCGGGTCAGGATGGCTCTGTGAATAATACCCTTCAGCTACAGAAGACTCAAAAGCCGTGACATCCTACAAGGGTTGATGCCTATACAACGGCGCCTGTAGCCTGGAATCTTGGAAAAGGCTAACCATTCATTTAGTCGCCGCTGGAATGGTGCGTCCAACAGCTTGGGCTACCATGCATGTAGACTGGCCAAACAGGAATGACATTCAAATCCGGTGTTGTGGCTCCTGGCTTAAAAAGGTGCATGGGTGTGTGAAAATGATTGCTCGCCTCAAGTATACTCAGACGCGTCTCTCTCACAGGAGCGAATTTGGGGGCTCGTGGTACAGGCCCATGCCCAGGTCATCAGGATGTAAGGGATATTGATCTAAAATCTATCTTTGTGAGTCATGTTGCCGCATGCACGAGGATCTGGGCCACTCGTTCCTCATGGACTATGTTGTATGTCCAAATTCGGTATGTGTATTCTATAGTGAAGTCCCACGGGTATTCATTGCCCACTGTCGAATCAAGCCTACCATTTTCCTGTAGGCAACGCTTCGCTATTCTCAAATCCGCCTCGCAAACAGCCCTAGCATTTATCTACAAGACAAAATGAAACACCAAGAGGGAAAAGAGGAAAAAAATCAACTTCCAAAATGAGATAGCCCCAGCCAACGCCCCCTCGACACTTAGTCTCCTATCTATGGGGGTTGTCCTGGGTACCTCAAATCATGCAAGATGTCAGAGTGGCTGCCACTAATCTACACTTGGCCTCAACTCACGAACAAGCGCCAGCCAGGTCCGTGAAGGGGGCAGTGCGTGGATTTAAGAGCTTGGAGCTAAGGACTCTCCCCTGGCCCCCAACCCTTAGATAAATGAACCTCTTTCCCGTTTTTTCTTTTCGCCTGCAACATAAAGAACCAGCAGCGAAGATGCCTTGCAGAGCCATCGAGATGGTTCAACTCCGTTCCCGCGCGGAAAGTCCAGTCTTTACGCGCTCCACCTGCTCTCGAAGTTGATCCACAGCGCTCAGAATCTCCGCAAGCTGTGCCTTTTCGGCCCGCACCAGGCTAGGTTCGCGTGAATCATGCAGGTCAACGCTGATTTGTCGAAGGTTAGGATCCATTCGACGGGTTTCAGTGATAGAGGAGTGCAGTGGGTCTTGGCATCTGGAGACACTAGGTTCGCCGCCAAAAGTACCATGATGTCGTGCCGTAGAGACCGGGGGTAGGCGGGTGGTCGGCCGATGGAGGTGTCGTCGAGTAGATTCATAAGCTAAAATCATCATCACGAAGGGCAGGTGGGTTGCCCGAAGTAGCATGATGCGCACACGACGAACGGACCCCGCAGATAGGAAGAGTCGCATAGGGCGGATGCAAAGGAGGGGAATTAGATTCTGCGCCTGTGTTAGCTCGCAAGATATTCTAGAACATAGACAGAACTTCCGTTCCGCAAATCGCTTGAAACTGTAGCCAAGGGAGTGTGGGCGCTGACTGACCAGGGGCGGCATGAAATACGTCAGACGCCGGGAATTACTGCTCTCCAGGACATAGATGGACAATCTAGGAAAATTTACCGTCAGTTGAGGCCTTGCTTTCCCTTCATAGAGTGATCCCTCATGTTCCTGGAAGGAAGTTTACTAACTGGAATAGGTATTCCTCACGGGCGTGCCGCATCACCTAGAAGATTGGCCCCAAAAAGGATCAGTAACCAATCCAATATGGGGCAAACCAACAAGACTAAACTCACCCCTTCTAAGCTCATACTCATCAAACTAATCAGCGAAGAGAGGAGCAAAATGTTGGTCATGGCAACGAAAATCATCCTGGAAACCTTTTGGTTAGCATGTTGATGAGGGGAGGCCCACGCGGATCACTGAAGGGAGCGTGGAAATAACTGCGGGGCTGTATTCGTAGGCAGACGCCGTTACAGACTGCCCTCGCAAAAATAAAATGGAAAAATGATAAAGAAGAGGAGGACCCAGCGACTGCAGGTCGGCGTCAGTTCGCGCGAGGCGAAACGTGATCGATCGCGCATGCGACATTCTTCCTCTTGCTGTTCTGGGCGCAGTCTCATAATCAACTAGGAACTCACATCAAGCCATAGCCGAAGATCGGGGAGATCTAAACCATACTAGCGCGTCAGTCAACTAAACGCGATAACCAACCATTTCGGCAATCCTCTGCAATGCCAACTCTAGCGCTGCACAACCGCCACTTCTGCATGCCACTTACCTCTGATGCGCTATCCTATCATCCAATCAATTCAGCCACCGTCAGTCACCAGAAAGGCACCACAACGCCAACCCAGGCAAACTAGAGGAAACCCACTAAACCGAGAGAGCCCGATCTGCCTCACACGATTAGCCCAAGACTTTCATCGCCGGGAGCTGATAGTTCACCGCCATACCCGAAGAACACCTTGACAAGCATCCACGACATTTGCTTGAGGGATAAACGGTCACGGGCCAGCATAGTGAACGTGGTGAGGAACCCTGTAGAGATCCACCTCGATGTCAGAACTCCGCTTCAAATTGAGTGAGGCTGTGCTTCTGAGCCACCCCCGTCACCACCTTCCCTTACCAATATACAAAACTATCACGACGGGCAAGAACCGGAAGAATGCTTTTGTCTGAGGTTGTCGCAAGAATATTAGAAGAATCAGCCTTGTGGACCTTTGGCCCCCGGGTAGTGTTCTTGGAACTGAGACTTTACCATCTCTTTCAGCACGGGTATCTGGTCGCACCATTAAAAACTGCTTTGGGTTCGAGGCATCTTTCACAGTGGATTTTGACTTACCAGGCTGCCAAAGTATGAATTCAAGCTCACGAGTGAGCAGATCCTGCGGGTATCCGCTCTTCGTCAGAACCGGAACTTTCCTAGCGTCTACCATCTGGGGGCGGAGATCAGTTTACCTTGGAACTAGAAACAACGCCTCCAGTGACAGAATATCGAATGAAAGATCAAGAATGTAGCCATCGCCCCTGGCTAATCCGACGGTCCCTGTAACATCTCCCGTTAGCCCCCAAAATCTTGACACTCGGAACATTCACGACCTCAAGAAGGTAGAATTCACGACAAGGGGATGAGATCTGGGACGTACTGGTAAGGATGAAAGCAAAGCCGACCCCAATGATTCCTAGATTCCAGAGGCTCCAGAAATCCATCTGGTAGAATAGCATCCCAGCATCGATGAGGCCACTCAGTTCATCATAGGCAAAGGCCACGATCCAGACATCCATGAGGATCTCAAAGAATCCAAGGCCATCTGGTTTGCGCTCGACGAGTACTGAATAGTAAAGCAGTAAGAATGAGATAAAAAAGCCCGCTTCAAACATTTTCCGGTAAACTGGAATTCGCAGTCGCGAATAGGGATCTGCCGTTCTGGACAAACGGGTAAGCATTGGTACCAAATTGCACATGGCTCGGTCAGTGACTCACTTTCTGTTGAAAATTTGCGGTTTCTTGATTGAATGGACTGTGAGAGAATCCCAGAACACGATTTCACCATTCCAAATGTCGTTGACCACGCGTTGAACGACCCGTTGGCTGAGAAATCTCTTGGCGCTGGCAACTGCTGCAACTTCCAACGCGTTCAGACCAAAGAATCGTGAGTATCTTGAGAGATTGCAATCATCTGCATATTCAGTCTGGGTTCTCAGGAAAGCCCGCCGACTCTGATTTTCAGGGTTCTGTTTGCCCAGCTCTGATTGACGACCAGGTGTGGAAGCACCTGACCGCAGAGGAGTGGACTCTGTCGAGCCCCGGGTAAGGCGGGAGATGCCTGTTTCCACTTCACTGGGATTTGTCGACCTGCGCCTGGGGCTCGGAAGCTCCTCCAAGAGGAATTCGATCGTTTCGCGCTGGTTCAGGTGACATAGAAACTGCCAGGCAACAAACTCGCATGCTGCTCCTCGGCTTCCGTTCAGTCCCCAGTCGTCCTCGGCTACGTTTGAGAACTCCCATTTCAGTATCCTGTAGTGAGAATGTTAAGTGTGTTGGAAATCAAACGGCGTGGGGTAGAGTAGCCTTACATCAACGCAATGATGATAAATGGGTTATGGCTGTCTGTTGCAAGAGCATGGACCAGCTGTCTAAGATGATGCCCTCGAGCTCCATACCTCATTTGCTCAAACGAATAGGCCATGTCGCCGACAGCCATACTAATGAAACTGAAGAGGCTGTCAGATGATAAACCAGATGATAAACCGGAATAAGGTTAGGATTCGCTTACTGGGATAGCTTGGGAATCACAACAAACAGGGACTCCTCAGTCTCTATGACGGGAATATCAAAAGAGTCCTGGATATCCAGATCCAGATCGGATGCCATATCCGAATTGGAGGTCTCCTGCGGTCGACCGCTCATGCTCATGGCAGCTCGAGCATAACCCATCTCAAATATGGACTTGTCAGTTTCTGGGTATCAACGGTCCAACTGATCTAAGAGTTGTGAGAGCTTGGGGTTGTTCAAAGAACAAGTGGTAGCCTTCTTGGCAGGACAGTAGTTTATCTCGCTTGGCGATCAGCAGATCCGGATACTGCTGTTCAAGTGCGGTAGGATCGAGACAGAGAACTAACACAGCTCAGAGCACATGATTGAATGTGGAAATTCGGAATGACCAAATCTGACCTCATTTGAAGTCTCTTCCTACCTTTTCTCTTTTTGGGTTTCAATAATATTTCGTAGAAGAAAGTGCTCTTCCCCCTGTCCCAAACAAGTCCAGTCCATGGTGTGGACACGTCTCACCGCCTTTCCGCGCCATCACGTGGGGACGCGTCAAGTGACCTCACTGCCCAGGCTTATCAACTTGTCACACCTTAACGCATCAACATCTTCATCTGGAAAGCTGGGAGATGAGGCCCAAACGACATCATGGGCCAAGGCTACTCCCTCACAACCCTGTCGGCAGGGTCGGCAGGGATCGACGTACCGGAGCTTTCGGATCTGGTATATGAGAAGTCGATGGGTGGGGGCAGGTTCATGAAGAGTATCCGTGCTAGGCAACAAAATGGTCTGGTCTTTGTGAAGGTGATCATGAAGCCTTATCCAACGATGCAACTGGAGCCATATGTCAAAGCAATCATGAGTCAGTCCTTCTGTCAATTATTGATAACGCGAGTCGATGCTAACATGCCATGCAGGGGAACGGAAGCTCTTATCGGATGTACCAAATGCATTGAGCTATGAGAGAATCTTGGAAACCAGTACCAGCGGATACCTGGTCCGTCAGTACATTCATAGCTCTCTTTACGATCGAATGAGGTCTGTGTCCTGCAATAAATCCCGTTTTATGATCAAAATTCCTAACAAGTATGCAGCACTCGCCCATTTCTGGAGGATATTGAAAAGAAATGGATCGCCTTCCAACTCCTCTGTGCATTGCGGGACTCCCACTCCCTAGAGGTTTTCCACGGTGACATCAAAACAGAAAACATTCTGGTCACATCGTGGAATTGGCTCTATCTATCTGACTATTCGTCATCATTCAAACCAACATTCCTCCCAGAGGATAACCCTGCAGATTTTTCGTTCTACTTTGATATTTCCGGGCGGAGAACGTGTTACCTTGCCCCGGAGCGATTCCTAGTGGCCGGTGAAGAACCGGGCAGCCGTCACGTTAACTGGGCAATGGACATTTTCAGCGCCGGCTGCGTGATCGCCGAGCTTTTTCTAGAGTCACCGATTTTCACGCTCAGCCAAATGTACAAATATCGAAAAGGCGAATATAGCCCGGAGCACAGCCAGTTGGTGAAGATCGAGGATCCCGAAATCCGAGAACTTATCCTTCACATGATTCAGCTGGAACCAGAATCCCGTTACTCTGCCGAGGAATACCTCAACTTCTGGAAAAACAAGGCCTTCCCGGAGTATTTCTACAGTTTTCTCCACCAGTACATGTCTCTCATGACAGATCCGTCTTCGGGAAGAACCAAGGTGGATGCGGAATCAAATAATCGAGGGGAAACGGATGACCGCGTCGAGAGAGTCTCCTTGGATTTTGACAAGATATCCTATTTTCTGGGGATTTCAACTCGACGTCCGGCGAGCCGTCCATCTAGCACGAATGCAGCTTCTCGTCTCACCGGAAACACCCTCCCAGTGAAGCTCGACCTACCCGATGGTGATAGTGATGGAATCCAAACAATAGCATCGTCCCCTCGATTGCAGTCTGATGAAGGTGTCTTGATCTTCTTGAGTCTAGTCGTCTCCAATCTTCGGACGACATCCAAGGCCTCGGCTCGAATCAAAGCTTGCGATATCCTCCTTGCCTTTGCGGAGAGACTATCAGATGAGGCAAAGCTCGATCGAGTGCTTCCATATATCATGATTCTCCTGGCCGACCGTACGGATGCTGTCAAGGTCGCGGCGATTCGCACTCTGACTCAATTACTGGAGATGATTCATGTAGTTTCCCCGGTAAATGCCTATCTGTTCCCCGAATACATCTTCCCTCGCCTTCAGCCATTCGTCATCTCCTCCAAGAGCAGCCCAAGCCCCATCGTCCGAGCTGCGTATGCGTCATGCATAGCATCACTGGCGCAATCCTCCTTGAGGTTCCTGGACATGATTCAAGCGTTACGCTCTGATACCCGGTTGACTTCGCTGATTCCAGTTGGCTTTGAACCACGATGGACGGAGGACGCAACCTATCACAATCTCTATGATGTAGCTCGACTCGACCTTCTCGAATATTTTGAAGTCCATACCAAGTCACTTTTGACAGATACAGATGCTTCCGTCCGCCGTGCCTTTCTGGGATCTGTCTCCAGTCTGTGCGTATTCTTCGGCAACCTCAAGACCAACGAGGTTATCCTTAGTCACTTGAACACCTATCTCAATGATCGGGATTGGATCTTGAAATGCGCGTTCTTCGAGGCTGTGGTGGGTGTTGCCGCATACGTTGGAAGTACCAGCCTAGAGCAGTATATCCTTCCTCTCATGATTCAATCTATGACAGAACCGGAAGAATTCGTCGTGGAAAAGGTGATCTGCTCTCTTGCCGCCATGGCGGATCTCGGCCTATTCCAACGAACAACTACGTGGGACCTTCTTCATATTACCATTGGGTTTTTGGTTCATCCAAACATTTGGATCCGTGAGGCCGCAGCAAATCTCGTGGTCAAGTCGACCAAGTTCTTGTCAGTCGCGGATATCTTTTCTATCCTCACTCCTCTCATTCGACCGTATCTCAAGGTTCAGATTGTGGGTTTCTCTGAGTCGGAGCTGCTTGAAGCTCTGAAACGACCCATGTCGCGGAATATCTATGAGATAGTCTTTCTATGGGCTTCTAAAACAGATAAGGGAATATTCTGGAAGTCCGCGAGTCGAGATGCATTCAGTCTTTCGGAACCTGGCAGTTACAGCTCTCGTATGGGAAGACATGTCAGTCTGTCGATGAGCTCGCAGTCCAAGAATGAGGAAGATGAGCAATGGCTTTCACGGCTGCGAAATCTTGGGATGACATCTGAAGACGAATTCAAGATTCTGGCGCTCAAGGACTACATATGCAGAGTATCGCTCCGCCAATCAAGAGATGTTGAAGCGGAGGCCACATTGCCACTCGGCGAAATCGTCGGTCTCTCACAGCAAGGAGTCACGCCTCAGACTGTCTTCTTCGACAAAAATCTGAATGAGAAGTCACGCAATACATCTTTGGAAAGAAACACGAGTCGCACGCCCGCTCCGCTCGATGACCGGAGACCGCGAACTATTGCGGATGCGCTCCTTGATGCCTCCACAACAATTGAGCGATCACCATCCACGCATCGTAAACATATCCGCACTAGAAGTCAACTCCACAAAGAAATCGAAGTCCCACAGCTGCGGAATACTGTTGTCGAATCATCCGCATCTTCCCCTGCAGCCTCATCTCCAGCCGCAGCTCCCGGGTCACGCCCAATGTCGCCACCAGGCTCAGACATTGAGCGACAGAGCAACCCTCCTAACCGCAGATTGAGCTCCGGTCAAGAGAGTTCGTCAACAACTCCTACAAATGCAGACACATTGTCTCTCAGAGGCGTACCCGTGCAACGCAAGTCTAGCGCCATCAATCTCCTCAATCGCAATGAGACTGCAAAGGCGTACGCAGAAACGAGCACGAGCTCCGCGAATGCTTTCGGGAAAGTAGACGCCCATGTTCAGAGAAGCGGAACCCCACAGCCCTCTGCTCTCTCCCATGCAAACGAACGTAGACCAACTCAGGCCGTGGCGGCATCACGACGGTATCGCGCCAATCACTCCTACACTGGTGACGATCCGGTGGTTTTGCGACTGCTGGACAACGTTTTCGCAGATAGTTATCCTACAGATTTGTTTGACTTGGGACCCTATGTCAAAGAGCTTGACTCTCGACAGCCGATTCCCAAATCCAATACCCACAATATCAACAAACTTTGGAAACCCGAAGGCAATCTGGTTGCCACGTTTGGTGAACATAGTGGACCAGTCAACCGCATCGCTGTGCCCCCAGATCATTCATTCTTTGTGACTGCCTCTGATGACAGTACAGTCAAGATCTGGGATACAATCCGGCTGGAACGAAACTTGACACCTCGATCTCGTCAGACTCATCGCCATTCACCTGGTGCTCGTGTCAAGGCACTGACTTTTGTTGAGAATACATACACGTTCGTCAGCGGTGCCACTGATGGTAGCATCCATGCTGTTAGAATTGACTATCAAAAAGTCAACGACACTGCTCGGTATGGCAAACTCCAACTTGTCCGTGAGTATCAGCTACCGGTCGCTGAGAACGGGTTGCAAGAGTACGCGGTCTGGTTGGAGCACTTCAGAGATGAGGGACGATCAACGCTCCTTGTCGCTACAAACACCTGCCGCATTCTAGCTTTGGACATGAAAACTATGCTACCAGTCTTTACTTTGGAAAATCCCGTCCACCATGGAACTCCGACAACCTTTTGCTGCGATCGGCGCCACACTTGGCTGCTCGTCGGGACCACTCATGGTGTTCTTGATTTGTGGGACCTTCGATTCCGGGTGCGACTGAAAGCATGGGGCCTACCAGGTTGGGGCTATATCCACCGAGTTCAGTTACATCCCATCAAATCACGGGGGCGCTGGGTTTGTGTCTCTAGCAGCGGCAGTCATGGAAATGAAATCACCGTGTGGGATATCGAAAAGTTCCGCTGTCGCGAAGTATATCAGGCCGCGCCACTAAATTCCAGCGAGGCTGCTACTTCCAATGGCGGGGCTACCACTGCTCATCATAGGAGCTCCCGGGCTGCCACCACTGGCCGGGCACACCGTCTTAGCATAAGAGATTTCGAGGCTTGGCCTGTGGACGAGGACCGGCCGGAGGGTATGCTCAGCCGGTTTGCTACAGCGAGCCCCGCTGCAACTGGTATGGACGCTGGTTCACCGGCCGGTGGCAATAATGGCTCAGCAGCACAGTCCACCAACCTCGCAGGCGATCGCATGGGCACTTTGGCATTCACGGGAGGTCTGAACACTCCGGATGACGATAAGGCCGCCAGCAGCAACAGCAAACTTGGGTTCATCGTCTCGGCTGGAAGCGACCGACGGATTCGGTTTTGGGATCTTGCCAACCCGGCAGGTTCAATGATAGTCAGTGGACTGGATGCCGTTCCGAACGGCAATGCTGCGAGTAAGCCACAGTACGAGAGCACCCAGCCTGGACCCAACCTCTCCATGGTCACAGAACATATGCCCCGCTCGTCGGCCGATGGTGCCGCCGCGGCTGGCTCGAAGAAGGGAGCTAGTCCACGACCACCTCGCAGCACCGTGATTAGTCTTCAGCAGCAGATGCTTCTCAAGAGTCATTTGGATATCATCCAGGATGTCGCGGTGCTGCGTCAGCCGTATGGGATGATCGTGAGTGTAGACCGGGCAGGTATGGTTTATGTCTTTAAGTAGGCAAGCCTTGTTCTGGAGGCCTGTTGCTTCTGATCAATTGCTTTTCAAGTAGCAAATAGATACCCAAAATCAGATTCAATTACAATGTCTTCACACTTTGGATGGTGGTGAACAAATTGGTTACTGGGGAGGGCGACACAGCAAGAATAGATCAGGCCTGATTACTTCCTCTGTAATCCGTGGAGCGCTGCATATATATCTGACACCGATCTTAAAGCTTGAGCCCTCGGCATGGTAATAATAAACCTGCAATTACAAATGACAAGCAGGAGCAGTCAAGGCTGTGAGAATACAGCGATACCAGGTTAACCCCCATTTGACTTCCACATCGACATTTATCTGCGTGATTAGTTAGGAGTGGCGAAGTTCTGCTGAAACAGGCATTTCGCTTTGGCTTCAGCCGTCTTTCACCGTGGCGCCGAGAGAGACGCGAGAGAACGCGATATCATCTTTGGCACGCTTAGGTGGTGTTCCATTCCGATAGTTACTGTTAAACTACAAAAAATGGATTTCATGGGGCATACGTTGAGTGATAGGTAACCGAGTCATCCATCGGAACCGGGCAATTGCACATCAATGTCCGTACTGCGTAGACAAAGGAAGAGCCTCAGGCTCGATAAACCCATGAATAATGTTAAGGTTCCACATCTCTAGGCTTTAAGCCTGCTCTCCCCCCCCCCCCCCCCCCCTTGGTTTATCTGGGGCAGGCTTCTAGATGCGAGCGTTCTCCTGATGGTCGAGGACTTTGCTCCTAAAAATTTCCTCTTCTTAAACGAGAAAGAATGGTCTATCGTGCTTCTCAGATCGATAGTGTAATAGTTTATCTCCTCTTCTCTCACTAGTTTAGACATTGCCTCATGATCGGAAGTGATATCTTAACTCGTTCATTCGCTGCATTTACCTGTGATAGCTGCCTGCCTCAAGTATTTGGTTAGTGACCCAGTCATTCTTTGATTGTGAATATATTCTGGCTTTTAGCTGAGCTTGTAGTATAAGCCAGCCACCATGGAGTCACGGACAATATCGAATGCGCCGCCCTTCCGATGGTCTCGCGTACGGAGTATATTATTACCGGCATCGACATATATACTCCGTACTATACGCATCGTGGATCGTGGGCTCGCAGACTGCGCGGAGACAGCGGAACAGGTGGGTCACAATCCACCGATGCGAAACAGTGGTTTCTGGCTGGGGTGGATGGATCGAGGGGTTGATCGGCAGTCACCCACGGTCCCAAAGTTCAGACCCGGCTTACTGTACCTCCACCGAGTCCACCCAGACCAGGGAATTCCAGGAGGAAGTTACTGTAGGAATTGTGCCTCAAACCCCGTACAGACAGAGTGCTGTTTGACGGCATTCTTAGCGTGCTTCTTTGCTCGGTCAGACGCATGGATAGCTGGTTCTGCTGGGGGCTATGCATCTCATTCGTCGTGTTTAACCCTTGCCCTTGCAGATTAGGGTGTGCAAAGACGCGCAGGTGCAGCGAGGGAACTGATGTGGGTGGCCAGAGAACGAGGAGATCCTGGTCCTTACTCCTTGAGCCTTGGAGGGCGTTCATGGTAAAGACTCCGTGCTGGACGATCCTGACAGACTAATAATCTGTAGTTATATACTCCGTACTGTATGATCTATAATTCCTGTTTGACCTCGTCCAAACCTTGGAATCTTGATCTGGCAGGTTTATGATGTTTCCAATGCTGCATGAATACTCGGGGGAAGACCGTGCCGGGGCCTCTCCTAATGTGCTATACGACCAACTCTCTTTTCCCCGGCGATAAATTCCATTGTATTACTGCGGATACTCAAATGACAGGGTTCATTTCAGTGACAAGGTTGCCCACCTGCCCGAATCCAGGAGATTGGCCCGGTGGGAGGAAATAGGATCTCCATTACGAACTTCCCGAGTTGGCTCGGTACTGAGGATTTGACATTTAATACCGGGCAGTGGAGTCAGTCAAGTGGATGATGAGGGATAAAAAGGGAAACAGTCGAGAATAATGGAGGAGAGTGTTTTGCTTCGGAGTCGCCGGATGGAAAAAGCACAGTCTTTGAGCATGGACAATGTCTCTCATAGATGAAGGAGAAATGGAGACAATCAATACGGAGGACTTTATACTCTGTCGCGATTATTCTTCTCCGCAGGGTAGCGCGGGACGGCGGAATTATTGGCGAAGATTCAGGGGTCAACCGAAAATAGGCCCCGGCTAAGCCTCTGAGAGAGTACACTACTACCCTTACAGTAATACAGGAGTACTGAGCCAGGGGAACAGTTACACACAGACCATCGCCAACCAGGAAAGCTGCACGCGGGACTCGGGAGTGCGATCGAAGCCGCTCGAATACGCATCTCGGCCGTGGGGCTCACGCGCTGCTGGGAATGGGAGAGGAACTTGAGTCGAGTCCGTTTTCTCTGGTAGTCTTCTCTCCGTCTGCCGAGTCCGCTTGTTCTGCTTAGTCCCGTTGGAGCTTAGATTCGGGCCCGTCAGGTGGTTGCACCACTCACACGGCAGCAAACTTGGTGCAGGACGGCAGAGCTTGGGGCTTGAAGGGGGGGCAATTGGAGGGATTTGGCCATGGTTCTTGGAAACTTCGGCCCCAGCGACGCCAGGAACCCAGGAACCATGGCCCATACTGGGGCCCATCGGGAGCCATGACAGTTGATGGTTTTCAGCTCTGCACGGAGTAGTGTTACTGGCTGAGCAGTTCAACACAACTGGTAGCGATGGGGCATCTCGATCGGCAGGTTCTGGAGCTCGATTCGAATCGATCGGAAAAGAGCATTCTGTATTATTGAATGGTCGGGCCCATAAACCCGTATTCGTTGAAAGATGGGCTCCAGGGGGACAAAGTGGTTCTCAAGGCGTACCGACTAGCATTGGCACCATTCCTATGATAAGAATGTGCATTGTGAGGGTGTCCTGGTCATTGTATGTGGCATTGTGAGGGTCGCGCAACGACCCTAGAGAACTCTACGGTCTCCTCGCTGCTTGCAGGCGAGACATGAATGGTTTGATTTCGTATGGGATGTCGCTGCAGCTTGAATTTTTTTTGTTCTTGCCCGGTCGCACGGCCAATGCGCCGAGCCTTGAGGATCGAGAATCGAGTCAGGGACTGACGGGCTGATACTGTACTGTCAATGGAGAGGTGGCAAGCGTAGACTTTGGCCCCTCTGGCGGTCTCATCGTGGAGCAGATCGGTGGCGAGGATGGGATGGGTTCTTATGAATCGATTTGCGCCCGTTGATCTGTATCGAAGAATTGGACCAGTCCACGATTTGGGAAAGACCGAAACGATCTGAGCCTGAGACAAGTGGAGAGGAAACGAACCGGCGGTCAACCGTTGGGGACGATGAAACGTTGTGCTGCGGAGGCATTCCAGACCTGCAGGAATTGGATGTGTCGACTTCCATAGGTTTGGAGGAGAGTCGCGAGAAGACGAGTCCAAAAAAATGCTTGCATCGACTACTGGACTGGATCCAGTACCATTATTGGATTTGTAGAGCCTCGAGCAAGTCAAACATCAATAATCATAATAACATAGCCACCAATAACTACCTAATAGTGCTTACGGAGGATATGGAGCAAGCACTATCCATTTTTCGTAGACTACGGAGTATCTGTTCACACTTTGTCCACGATAAAAAGTAATATCACAACTCGTATTCTCTGCCATGATTACTATTGTATACCCCCCTGTGATTATGATGGACCAGACCCCTGACCTCGACCAAGCTCAATTATTCGCCAGAATCAAGGATAGTGAGAACTTACTGTAAGATGCTCTAAGGTACAATATTAAATACCACAATTCTACCAAACTACCAAAAATTTCCGCGTTTCCATTCGAGCAGCTCCTGACGCTTTAATTAACAGACCGGGGCCCAAGTGGAGATGGCCAGGAGCAGGTCCCCTTTCACTGGCCCAAGCCCGTTCGATTGTCCACTTTTCTCACTAAACGAACCCTCTTTGAGCCTTAGCTTCGGTCCAGCTCTCCTCCTATGTTTCCTGGCTCTTCGGACTAGTCCTCTTTTTGTTACGTGAACGACTGGAACTTACTCTCTTGAGTTTCTTAGTTTCTTAGCTCCTTAGTCTCGCCGAGCCCGCTCCTCATCTCCTCCTCCTCCCCCTAATCTCCCTCCTCCGTCCATGGTCCATTATTCCCTTCTTCCCTTCTCTCCTTCCACCGTCCTGCTTGGCTTCGGATCTCGATTGTCGGGCTTCCGCGAAACCAGCGTGGCCGCCTTTTCCCCGTCTTTGTATACTCCTGCTGGTATACTTGCTCGCCACTCCCATTGATGGCCTGCTCTGCCACCTATCGACTTTGAGTCCAGATTAGAGTCTCACCCGACGTCGCTCGCTCTTTCGTCGGCCCCTGGTCCACGCCAATTCTTCGTCCTTCTCTTGACCTGGTCCGACATTTTGTCATACAACCAACTTGGTACTCGAGTAGTATCAAACGAGCCTCTACAGTCCATTGTAGGCTTGTATCATTCTAACAACGTCGCCGCCACAACTCCCACCATCCGGGTCCGATCTATAGATCTAGATATCCAGTCTATATCGCCAACCAACATATACCGTCACAATGGGACCGTCTTTGAGAGACCACTCATCTTTCGTCCGGCCATCCACTCGTGATCGGCCGACGACTCGCGGCGAGGGGGAAAATTCGCTGGTCGTCCCCAGTCGCACGTCGTCGCTACACTCGCGCATCACCCAACCCATTCCATCCACTCTCAACATCAAGCCCGCCCAGCGGACTCCCAAAACTCTCACTCATGCATACATGGTCTGCGGTGTCGGCCGTGAGCCCTCACAATGGGTCAAGGCACCTACCCCCGAACAGGGCAAGATTGGCCACATGAAGGGTGCCGTGGGTCAATTCTGGCTTCCTGAGATCCTGGGAAGCAGCCCTCGATTGGAACAGGATAATGAAATTGCACGAGCCTTGCACTCGGCTATGAGGGTAAGCTACTGAATTCCTGAATTCCTGCATCTATATACGTATACACACATCTCGATATAAAGAGATTGTAACAGCACGTTACATGGAATTGTGCAATCAGCAAGCCAAAAGCATCTTCTTCAAAAGCGATCGAGATCAACTAACATTCTCTTCTCCATCAGGCATGCTTCCCCCACGATGTCGAGATTTGCACTGGCAAGAGTCAGCCTCATTGCGCCCACCACGCCTTCGTTCTCCAGCAAGACTCTTCTCACACTCTGTACGGTATCGCGCTGCGCGTCTGGTCCCGTGCCGACGAGAAGCGCGCTGAGACCATCCGTGAATTGCGCAAGAAGACCGAGCCCGACTTTTATGACAACCCTGACGAGACCTACTGGATCCCTTACTGCTTGAGCTTCCTCTCCCGCTATCCCCTGTACGACCTGCTGGGTGATTACCTCCGGGGGATGTGGATTCACTGGAACAAGGCCACGAACCTGTTCCACGCCGAGGAGGTCTCTCGGATTCTGAGCTTCCCAGCTCCCCGCCTGAACGATCTGGTCCGCATCGACATGAAGGACTACGCTCTTTGCTACCAGTTCCCCTCGTCCCCGACTGGCTTCCAGAACTTCTCCATGTGGCCCCTGTTCAACTGTCTCTCGATTCCGAACATTGTCGGAGTCATTGAAGCTGCGGTCTCTCCAACTCGCCGAATCATCTTCGTGTCTCACTACCCGGCTATGCTGACCGTGGCCGCTGAGACAGTCCGCTACTGCGTTCGTGTTTATGAGTGGAGCGGCTTGTACGTTCCTGTCGTGCACGCTCGTCACGTCAAGGAGCTCGTCCAGGAGCCTGGCCCGTACATCTTGGGTATCACTGCTGAATGCCGTACTTTGTTCAACGCTCCTTCAGATGCTCTCGTGGTGGACCTCGACCGCAACTTTGTTCTCACCTCTAGCCCGCCCAACGTTTTGAACCAGGGCCAGCGTACCAAGTTCATCAACCGCATGACCCAGGCTCTTAACGGTGATGTGTCGCCCTCTGGTGTACCCACTCACCTCCGCTCCGCTTACGCTGGTGGCAAGCTGATCCCCGCGGGTCAGATCATCGTCATGCGCGGTGAGGTGGAGAGCGTACAGGACCCCAACTGGTGGAACCAGGATGCCGTCATGAGTGTCATGGACCATGTCTGCGAGAAGCTCGGCCGCAACACCGGCATGAAGGCCATCTTCGGCGGTTCCGTCAAGAAGCCACTCATGACCAAGGTGTCGATGCGTCACCTCAACGAGATCGTTCGCGAACGCAACCAGTACTCGCGCGATGCTATGGAGGCCTGGCAGGACTTCATCAACCTCAAGGGCCGCATGGATACCGAGCTCAGCAAGGTTACCAAGCGCAACAACTTCCTGGTCGAGGAGCTCGAGACTTGGAAGCAGCAGTTCCTCAAGTTCCAGGCATTTGCTGAGCAGCTCACCAAGGAGACCTCCGAACTCAAGGTTAAGATTGAGAATCACAAGCGCGAGAACCGTCGCCTTACTGGTCTTATTGACCAGCAGAAGGATGATGTCGCTCGCCTCACTCTTCGCCTGTCTGGCACTGAGAAGCAGCGTGATGACGCTCTCGAGGCTTTGGTTCTTCAGCAGGAGATTGCCGAGGAGCTCGAGCGTGAGCGCAAGCGCAACCAGAAGGAGATCTCCGCCCTCACTCACACTAACTCTACCCTCTCTCGCCAACGCGATGACGCCCAGCGTGTGGTTCTGCACCTGCGCAGCCTGATCAATGGCCAAAGCCACCACATGGAGCACATTGTTCGCTCCATTGGCAGCAGCTCTGAGATTACTGAGATGGTCGAGCAGGGTTACGAAGACGCCCCCGAAGAGGCTACCGATAGCGCTGAGCGCTTAGAGACGGTGATGGAGAGCAACGCTCAAAAGGCAACTTCGGTAAATGATATGAAACCCGAGCTCGAGCAGCACCTGCTGAACCTCAGCAAGGACCACAAGACCCTTGCCCGTCTAAGCATTACCGATGTCGCGGACCGTTATCTCCGCGACAAGACGGATGCTATTGCGGACATCATTCGTAGCATCAGTGACCAGTGCGCCGCCGCCGTCGAGGGACTCCACCTCGCCCAGGACGCCGAGGAGGATGAGGAGATTGATTCCAACTCCAAGTCCGCCTCTCGCCAGAACGGTGGTGACCGTCTTGGCTCGGAGTATGATGAGGGTCGCGCAACCCGCGCCACCAGCGAAGTGAGCGACAACGACAACAACTCGCTGCACCCGGAAAACCGCCACTCTAGCATCCCTCCCACCCCCGACTTGGTGCACAACCGCTCCAGCACGTCCATGTCCATGGTCAGCAGCTCCACTTTCCCGGAGCGCTCAAGCCAGCAGTACGGCCCTGGTGATGTCCCGACCCGTATCGTGGAGGATGATGATGAGCATGCCCACGAGACGGAGAACATGGATGACCAGGCTACTGAGACTGGCACCTTGTCCAAGCAGGCCAGTGAGGATCTCATGCGGCCTCAGACCGCGCGGGTGATCTCTTAGTCTTGCCCTCCCTTCCACTAGCTCTGCCTGAGGACGATGTGCAACGCTTGACCCGAGACGACCTTGTTTGAACCGCTTCTCTTGACACATTCTTGCTTATATTGGCGTGGTGTTTCCTTTCTCTCCCTTTTCCCTTGTCTCTTTCTCTTCTCTGACTGGTGCCGTGAATCTGCACACGTACACCAATGTTCTGGTTGTCCGGCGTAGTCTGCTTTCTTCGCTTCGTGGTGTCAACTTCTGATACTCCTATATCCACTCTCCGTTTACCCATTCTTCCTTGTCCATCCATTTTACCTTACACCATTGCTGGTCCTGTGGAGGGAGGCTTTTTTTTGTTTCCTCCCAGGAAGTCTATTATTGTCTTGTCTTTGGTGGCCGTGCCTTCTGAGTTGGACCGGCTTGTTTGCTTGTCACTTTGCTGCTTTCCGCGCCTTACCTTGCGCCTGAGGCCTCGAATGCTGTTGCGTTGATAGACCTCAGCGCGAGAGAGCGCTCCACTTTGCACCCCCCATCTGCAACCTCTCCAAATTGCAGATACATTTCCTTGTTGTCTACATCGTGTGCCATGCACCTTGTTTTCCTTGTCTCTTTTTTCTGTGCAAGTCGTCGACCTGGACTCGTCGATTGTATATGGGACGATCCATCCCACCTGCTGTATTTAAAAATGGATTCTGTTAATTGTTCTACTTCATTCCTCTACTTGATTAGTAGTAATCGTAGCTCTTACTGCAGCTTGTAATTTTGCTATCGTGCCAATGAGGTAGTTTTAGGCAGTAAAAGCCTGGAAATTGCCAATTGGAACTATGTACAAAGCTATGCAACAAATGATAAATTTATTATGCAAGCTTTCCAGGAACCACCGGATGTCCAGCACTCAAGCCACCGCAGACAGCCCACGCCTGCCCATTGACATAGCTGCTCTCATCACTGCCGAGGAACAATGCCACACGAGCAACCTCATCAGCAACAGCACCGCGCTGCAGGGGGTTCAGCTGGCCAATCTTGCGCTCGGTGCCACGCTTACGGGCACTGTCAAAGACTGCCTGCGTCATACCCGTCTCAATGAGGCCGGGGCAGATAGCGTTGATGCGGATACCCGTACCGGCAAGCTGGTAGGAGACAGTTTGGGCAATGGATACGACCGCGGCCTTGGAGGCAGAGTAATCGGTTGAACCGGCATTGGAGCGGAGTCCTGCAACTGAGGCAGTGCAGATGATGGAGCCGCTGGGGTATGGCTTGGCCTCGGAGGTCACCTTCATAGCCGGGGCAGCGTGCTTTGCAGCTAGGAAGACACTACATTGAAGAGGAATAAAAATTAGCAAAATCCCAAATTAGCGGGGTAGAAGATGACTCACCCAAGGGCATTCGTTCGCATCGTCTTCATGAACCCGTCACCATCAATCTCAGTGAAGATCTTGGGTTGACCGACAATGCCTGCATTGGCAAAGAAAATATCTAGCCGGCCATACTTGGCTATCGCATCATCAATGACTGCTATAACGGCCTTTTCTTCACCAGCATCGAATTGCCGAACATGGACATCGACGCCGGGGTAGAGAGACTCCATCTCCCGCTTATGCGTGGCAAGGTGCGAGTCGTTATAATCGCAGATATAGACGGCTTTGGCGCCGTTGTTTGCGAATTGGTGGGCACTTGCGCGGCCGATGCCATTAGGTGAGTTTGCTCCTGGATGTTCTTAGTATGGTGGATATGATATCTGGGTCGAGGAAGCCAGCGTACCGGTTACAATTACGACCTTGTCCTTGGTCCGGCTATAGATCAATTAGCTTCTGCCATGCTAGGTTTGCTTCAATTGAAGTTTTGATTTGTTATGGGCATTGATCAGATATGGGACTTACGGTCCAGCCGAGTCTGAAGCAACATGGCGAATTCTGGGGATTCCTTCAAAGCTACCCTCGTCGGGAATACCCTCGACCAGCTGCTTACTGAGGGCCTGAAGACGTTGCCGAGCTGCTGCTGCGGAAGACATGATGATGGTCGTGGATAATCAGAAAATACAAGAAGCGATAGGCCTAGTTCCGCCTGTCTGGTACTGGAGTAACCTCAAGATAGACAATGTTAGAACTGGCCGGGGAAGATGCAAAATAAATAGGAAGGAGCTGTACCGAGTTGCACCGCATCGCTCCTTCCCCACTCGGTTATGCGGAGAGCCGAGGCCCAGGTCACGTGGACATTCCTGGAGAACCTTGTACCTCACGTGATGTACAGGCCCTATCCCACGTGATTTACATCACGTCATGTGCCAGTGCTTGTTTTGGGCAGAAGAGCCTCGCATCTGGCCACCAGATTGTTTATAGAGTACAACTTTGCGAGTGTCAATTTTCGGTTTATTTTGCCCCTGGGCCTCCCAGGCTGCTTTGCTCACTGTCTTCCCAACGGCACTGTGGTTGATCTCCCTTCATTCCACAGATCCACTCAGGATCGCCTAGATCGCCAAGGGCGCGCGCAACACGCCCCCAAAAAAAGGCTCGGAAAAGCAAAGTGAATCAACGGCCGGTGTCCTCAGAGGGAACTGTTGCTATCCTCGCTGCCTGACCCTCTTACTTCTGTCCGACGAACCTACAAAAGCATTCATGAAGCCTGCAATCACTTGTTTCGACGTCTACGCCATCCACCAGTCGTTGAGTCATGGCGGAGCCCGATATTCACACCCAACGACGGTCCTCCTCTCAAGCGTCATCTACATCGAGTAGGAGCCAGAAGACTAGAACACTTCGACACAAGGCACAAAAGCGTCATTCGGCTTCATCGAATGCGACTACCGATCTTACATCGTTCCCTTCGCTGTCGCCCCCCGATCGTTCTCCTACCTTGACCCGAGGTTTGACGAATACAATGCTAGAGGGCAGTGAGGGCGGAGATGGCACAAATGAAGTTGGGCGCGGTCGCAAGGCTACCATTGCAAGCTTGACGACGGGATTATCACACACATCAGGCAGAGGCGCCCTCTTCGCTGATTCGATCCCCCAGCGCGATATTCCAGGAGCTTTGCACTTGGCGGAGGATGCGCATATTGAGCGGCTGATCGCTACCACCGGGGCTGTCAAGATTGTGCGACAGTTCGCCCGTGATTTAGCCCAGCGAGATGCGGAGATTTCGTCCCTGCGGCAGCGCGCTGATGCTAGGGAACGGGAGTTAAAGAAGATGCTGCGTGAAGTGTCCGTCTCGAATCAGGATATTGAGCGCCGCCTTTACCAGTTGGAGAATCCTACGGGGGATGGCAATTCTGATGGAGAGAGTAGCGCCAGTGGTGACCATGGTGGGCTGAATGGTCTCATGTCTCAGGCCATGACGGACAATGTGGGGTCCCAGCTTGATGCCGCGTCTCAGGGCGTCTCATCCGATCTACAGGCCACCATCCGAGCTGCTCAGCGATCAGAGAGTGAGAATCGCATGGGTGGCGCGTCGAACACCGACTCTAGCGACAACCGGAGACGACAAGGTTCGGTTCGTGGTTGGCAAGAATACCTCTTTGGCTCGACTAATGCCAGTCGAAAAACAAGTCGTGCTAGCAGTATTATGAGTGATATGCACGAGGTTGAAGAAGAAGATTCGACAGAGCGCGTTCGTGTGCCCAGCAACCCCTCGGTGCGGCGGAAAGCTCTTGACGACCAGCTTTTCCAGCCCCCCGGTGCTGCGGTAAGTGAGATTCTGAACAGGAGAATCGCGAGTGGGTCTACCACTGGTGATGATGTCAGTATTCACTCGCGAAAGTCGTCGCGCTCACTTGGTTCATGGACCGTCAAGCTGTTCGCCGGTAATGCGCAATCAAAAGACGCCAGTGATTCTGAGACCAGCCGCAACAGAACAGCATCAGACAATCAAGACAAGGGCAAACCAGTTGGGGCTACTCTTTCCGGAGCTTCTTCTACCAAGAGTGGGATGTCTGCGGTGGCTGCGCTGAAGAGAATCAACAGCAATTCCAACGTTACGACTTCGACAGGCCGCACGGGTACCGGTAGTGGTACAGTCAAGATCAACCCACAGCGAAGGAACCCTGCTAGTATCGTCCCACAAGGTACAGCCGTTGAAAGCGCCGACAGAAGCTCGACAAACTTGGGACCTGTTGAAATGGATGCTATCTTACCTATGGAGTCTCGGCCTCCAACTCTGACTCCCATCTACAACAACTCCCAACCGGGTGAATTCTTGACTGATCGGTTTGGCTTCATTTACGATCAACGGAGGAAGAAACGTCAGAGAGAGGCCAATGCAGTCAAAGGTCACAAGTCACGACTAAGCATCGCCGAGACTCTTGGCAACCACCGCGCAGACTCGTCAGATGTTGAGGATGATGCTCAAATAAGTCCCATCGCCCAGAAAGCCGTCGACACTCCGGGATCGCATCCTGGCTCCCCTGATGACGATCCTGAAAGTGGAGCTATTGGGGTGCGTCGGTGGCAGGATTATCTAAGAATGCCAACTCGTCCCACAGAACTTCTGTCTCATACGCCCTCCGCCGGTCCCATCGTTTCGTTGATGACTGCGGGAGAGAACCGTCCTCACAGCTCGCTCGTCTCTGTGGACAAAGGCGGGGCTGTATCGGTTGGTACCAGTGCACAGCCCTCTGCTTCTACCTCGGCCATCATGGCCGACCGTCCTGAATTCGCTGGGACGACCTCGGAAGATTCGGCCGCAGCAGCGTCCACTGGGGCTAGTGCTGCCGAAACCGAACCAGTGAAGCTACTCCTAGATCAACTCACGGATCTCCATGATTCTCTTCAGCGAGATCGGACTGTGCGATGGAATGAGTTCCTCCGCAAGGTTCGTGCTGAACGCAGAAAGGAAGGCGAAGCTGCTGCCGCTGCCGCTGCCGCGGACCGGTCCGTGACACCTGTGGACACGCCAGAAGCATCGCTCGCGGACGGCGAGGTCATTGGCATTGCTGGCCTCGGCAACAAAGGCAAAGTTGGACGTGCCAAGTGGCGAGAGTTCCGATTGTTGGTTCTCGGTGGGATTCCCGTTGCCCTGCGGGCTAAGGTTTGGTCCGAGTGCAGCGGCGCGTCTGCCATGCGGATTCCCGGATACTATGAAGACCTTGTGCGAGGAATCGGCGGCACCGAACCAGATTCGTCAGTCGTTGCCCAAATCGACATGGACATTCGGCGCACTCTCACCGACAATGTCTTCTTCCGGAAAGGCCCCGGTGTGGGTAAGCTAAAGGAAGTTCTCCTAGCGTATTCACGCCGCAATCCCGAAGTTGGATATTGCCAGGGCATGAATCTTATCGCAGCTTCGCTCCTCCTCATCATGCCGACAGCCGAAGATGCATTCTGGATTCTGACCTCGATGATCGAGATCATTCTGCCACATCATTACTATGATCATGGACTTCTTGCGTCCCGCGCGGATCAGGTTGTTCTCCGACAGTACATTTCAGAGCTCCTGCCCAAGTTGTCAGCACACCTGGAAGACTTGGGCATTGAGTTGGAAGCGCTTACATTCCAGTGGTTCCTTTCTGTCTTCACTGATTGTCTCTCTGCGGAAGCATTGTATCGTGTATGGGATGTGGTCTTGTGTCTCAACGTTACCAGTACAAGCACTGTCCCCGCTGGCCCTGCACCAGCCACCACTTCATCTGCCTCAAGCCTCAAAGATGGCACAGAGAAGGCTACTCAGCCGAGTGAAGAGCTTGCTTCTGGCAGCGGAGGAGGAAGTACGTTCCTCTTCCAGGTCGCCTTGGCGCTCCTGAAGCTCAATGAGCCACAGTTGCTCACCACTTGTACCACTCCGGCGGCGTTGTACACATACATCAACCACCAAATGACCAACCATGCTATCAGTATCGACGGCTTGATCCAAGCCAGCGAGGCCCTACGTAACATGGTCCGTCGCGAAGATGTTGTCGCTCGCCGAGCTATCGCTTTGCAGGAAATGCGTGAGTTTAGCGTTGGCCGGTCCTAGGACCTCATCGATTCTTTTGTTTTATTCGATCATTTCCATTTGTGGGAGTACCCAGCGCAACCCCATTTCCATTCCCTGTTTCCTTTCTTTTTTGTTCCCATCTAGAGCTGAGATTATGCCGATACGATTGCGAGCATTGGGCGAGGAGTTTGGCTATTCTTTTTCCTCCAATGATATCCCACTACCTATTTCCCATTCCATGATAACCACCACTTATTGGTCTGCTTTCTTTAAACTTTTGCATTCAAGATACCCCCAATTACTTCTGCAACCGGGTTCAATTTGTTCGAGTTATTGCCATCAGAGTTGCGTTTAAAAAATAGAATTGATTTACAAAATGAAATGATCTTACAATCCTTCGTTCCTCTATATGCGTCTAATTTCTACTATCCTTCCTTTTCCGGTGTATCAAAATCCACTCACTAACTCTGATTACTCCCAACCGAAAACCGACTCCAACTCCGAATCCGAGATCCATATATCATAAACACAATCGGCGAGACCATAATCAGGGCCGATATCCCCGCCAGCAACGTCGCAGACCAATTAATATGCAACCTTTCATACATGGGCCCTTCAACGATCGGAAAAACAGCAGAGACCAACGACCGAACCATGACGTGAATCGATATGGCCGAGACGGTATTCACCAGATAAGTATCGACGATGTAAACAATGCCGCTGGTGAAAATTAGTTGCAGTGCCATCCCGATGAAGAAGCAGGCGATCGTCTGTGAGATCCAGTGGGCGTTTCCTGACCAGCCGAACCAGATGAGGGCGGGTGGGAGGATCACTGCGCCTAGGATCATGGGGGGTAGTCGATGTTCTGGGGTGATTTGGGTGGATTGTTTCCCTTTTCCTCCTGTCGCTGCTGCTTCTTCTGGGTTGGCCTTTTGTGAGGCTAGCCACCGTGTCTTGTACCAGGTCATTGTGAATAACGAGAATAGTCCCAGTGCGGCCAATACACCCAATCCGACGGAAATGAAAGGTAGAGTTGCGGTGGGCTCCCTCCAGCCTCGATTCTGAAATGCCTTGGGGAATAACTGATATGATAGGTAGAGCGTGCCATAGACGAGAGTTAGGTATAGGGTCATGACTATCAGAATGGGTTCTTGGATGAACATCCGCACCGGTTTGGTGCAGTACTTTCGCAGTAGGACGCGTGGATCCAGAGATGCCATCTCAGCGCGAGCACGGAGATTCGTATTCCCCGTTTCACGGCGGAGTCTAGCCGCGCGACGCATGAGGATGCGATTATGTGAGGACTCGCGGAGTAACAGCGCAGCGTGAATACCCACGACACCGCAGAGAATCAACGTAACCCACGCCGTCCACCTCCAACCACATCGATCAACGATATAAGCCCCCGCAATCGGAGCAATGATAGATCCCAGATTCATAATCGACGCAGACATACCCACCGCCACGCCGCGAGCAATCGGCCCGTAGATATCTGCCAGTATCCCCGAGCCCACCGCAAGACCTCCACTACCCAACATCCCGGCTAGAAACCGACAAACCAGGATAGTGACCACACTCTGCGCTAGAGCTAGCGGGATTTGAAAGAGCGCACACCCCGCCAGTGCAACAGCTAGCACGGGAGCGTTACCGACGACTTCAGCCATCGGCGCAAAGACGAGCGGGCCCGTTGCGAATCCGGCAATGAACAGTGCCACTCCTAGAGACATGACTTCTTGGGAGACGCCGTACTCGGCTGCTGTGACGTCGGCTGCGGCACCGAAGACGCTGGAGGCGAATGCAATGGCGAAGATTACGGTCAGTGCTGCTGAGGAGCGCAGGAGCTTCATTCGCCGTGGCCAGTTTTGTGGGTTTTCGGGGTCATTGGGACCGGTCCAGGTTATGATTTCGAAGTTTGATTCGGGCTCGTTTGTTGGTGTTTTTGTTCCATTGGGTGTTCTGACTCCGTCTGGCATTACGATGAGGTTGATGATGGCTCGGTCAGTCTGTTTGACTCCCAGCGGGCCATCTGGTATGGATTGCATTGTGCCAGCGTGAGAAGAGAGGATTTACTTCTGAGAGTAATCCTGGCTTGTGCAAAGAGATTTCTTCCTCTAACAGCTTGAGGATCGGCAATTGATACAGGCTGGGTCCACCGTTCTACATGCGCGGATGATCTCCGAGGTCGTCGCAGGCGATGTCATTGACATGCGAGTGTATCGATGTATCGGAGAGATCCATATACTTCAGATTACTGAGCAGCGTGAATTTAGAGCTAGAGTATCTCTTCCTCGAGCCAGCGAGGCGGGTGAATGTAAAACAGGACTCATGACATTCTCCATTCAGTTAGTTCATACTTCGCGGGAGGCCCCGAACACTCAGGGCTCGGCGAGATGGCCGAGAGTGGATCATGCCTAATCGCGGTCCTCGACTCGAGGCTAGATCGCTGTTGGTGAGTGGACAGACAAAACTAGAAGAAGAAACAGTAGTCCTTGCAGGCAATTCTGAACTAGGCTCGCAGTATCATAGGGTGTAATCAGTAACTACATGCACATCATAGAAATAACTACACAAACGGCCAGGAGATATACAAGAAGCTGCAGGCTGTCCGTATTATCTTCTAAGAATCCCATTGAACAGAAGCAGGACGAAATTTCAAGTCTACAAACAGAATTTGACTAAATGCAGATGGAACGTAAGACAGTAAGCTAAGCATGGAAGATAAACATGATTTCTGGCGGATATGCCTGACCACTGCGGGTCATGATATGATAGTCTATGCGAACAAGTTCTACCACCAATAGCTTCATGGGTATTGCTCATAGCCCGAGAATATCTGTATGGTGACCGCTCATCTTCTGCTGCCGAGAGCGGAAGTGCTTTGCCGTGCCAAGCTGCATCAAAACATCCCTCCAGGTGGGAACATCTCTGATGAAGTGCCGGGTGCTAAGCAGCGTACTGCTAGATTCGGAGCGGAGGGTCATATAGTCCCTCATCTGATGATGAAGGGCCAAGGAAGGGGCGCCAGTGTAGTGTAACTGCACATCGTCCACACTGGCCACAAAGCAGAGCTCTCCGAGCCGTGATCCGCAGACCAGGGTGGGGCATATATCGAGGAGAGTTTCAGAGGGTCCCGAGGTTAAATCGTCCTGCCGCTGTGTTGAATTCAACTAGGACCATCCTGAATCCAGAACCGATCATTGACATCCAAGATCGAGGTCAGATCAAGCGAGTCAATGCTCGGACGAACGCCCATGTCCAGCACATCACGCGCGACAGCCTTGATCTGGCGCATGATCGATTGGGAAATGGCCCAGGTACGGGCCAATGACTTGAAAACGCCGATGGTGAGGCCAATCCGATCACGACTGGGATCAGGCATCTGGCCTGCCTTCACGGAGCAGGCTGCCAATTGTACCATGCAACTCAGGGTAAGGGCGCAGATGAAGAACGGCGTGTGCCGTTCGACGGGCAGACGGATGGCCGCCAACGAGGACAGTTCGCTGGCTGCTTTGATGGCCTTCATGGCATGAGAATGGTGGGAGAAGGCGGGGACGCTGATCGGACCATGGTGACCACAAATGACCTCTGAGGCGACCGCGGGGGACGACAGCAGATCCGACCGAGGGAAGTTCAGGTAGATGGAGGCGCCATTTACAATCATGGTCGCCTGAAACATGACCTCATCCACCGAACCATCCGGTCGCATCAACTCGGATTTGGACTCAGGCAGGTGGTGGAACCAGCTCGCAATCCGCGCATCAATGGCTTCTACATGGTCCTGTTGGCCCTCTACCATCTCCTGAATCGCCACCACGCGACCGAGAATCCGCACGGCCTCAATTCGATATGAGTAGGACGAGAAATCGCGCTCATCATCAGCAAACACACGCTCATCAAACTGGGCAATGGTCGGCGGGGGTGGCGGGGTCAGGCCGTCTTGGTAGATGCGCTCCTCGCACGGGAGGGGCACCTCGGGTGGCACCAAGTTCGTACGGTACACCTGCTGCAAGCCAAGGGCCGTCAGGAGGCCCTCGACGATAAACAGCTCCCACCAGGTGCGCCGGAGCGACTCTGCCCGAATGGGATCCCCGTTACTTGCTGCCTCGGCATACGTGGCCTGGTTCAGGCCAAGCTCGAATGCCAGGTCGATCGCAGCATCTAGACATTCCTTGGCCTCCCCACGCTCGTTGCGCGAGTGCAGCACGATCGCCAATAGAAGCCATGCTTGCACCTTTTCAACGGAGGGCAGCTGGTCCTGTACACCAGCGACCACGGTCGGACGATAGGTTTCTGGTGAGGCCGCCGGGGTAAAATGGGCGGCAATGAATTTCATCACGTGTTCCAAGTAGGAAGGGCACTGGTTGCCACGAAAGAGTAGGCGCAGTGGTGGGAGGATAGGGTGGGCAGAGTGGAAGTAGGTGTAATAGATGTCGAGGAGGTACCCGTCGCCGCCGACCGAGGAAGCTGATTCTGGTGTCATTGGTCCTGTCATTGGGCGAGCCGGGGGCGTGCTGGTGATAGTGGTAGTTGTCGTGGTGGTAGTCGGGGGCAGGCTATTGAATGACGGGCTGGTCGATCCTGAAGAGGGCAATGGCACTGTGGTGATTGGCGCATAATTAAAGCTCCCTTGTAGAGACCAGTCGATGGGCACTTCGGCCATGCCAGGTGCAGGATCCGTGATCAGTTGGTCGGGGGAGTATGGCTCGGCGCGACGCTTCTTGGAGGGGCCCTTGTATCCCCGGCGCGATTTGGTATATTGACATTCCGAGCCGGTCTGTTGACAGCGGCCACAGATGGGCGTGTTGCCGTCACATTTGAGGTGCTTGTGGCGACAGAGAAGACATGCGAGCAGCGAAGGGCCGGCGGGCTTCGCGGACCCGGGAACAATAATCGGGGCCTGCGGATCGTTCATGATGAACCGAGGAGGCGCATGAGAGAAGAGGAAAGGGAGGAGCACACGAATGGAGAATGAGGAGTCGTAGATTGAAGACGTGTTGAAGAAGGTTGAGAAAGAAAGAGAAATGAGGATGGAGGGAATGGAGGGAAGAAGAGGGCGAGAAGAGGAGGGGAAAGAGAGCAAGTCCAGAATCAAGCGGGAGGACCGACTTGGCACTGGCCACTGGCCACTGGCAACTGGCGGGTTTCACGTAGTCCTGGACGTACCGTCCGCGTCGTCCGTTCGCGCTAAAACGTTTGATGACACGTCCTTCTCTCGACTGGTCCATTCCACTCAACCCGTTCCTTGCCCAGACCTCCCCAGACTTGGTCCCTGTTCCTCCCATTCTTGTTCGCTCGGCCTCTTTTCATCCCTTCGACGTCCTTTCATTGACCGATTTCCCCAGGTCTCCGAACTGCAGTCGCCACTCGCGCTTGTTCTGGCCAGCTCAGCCTAGTCGCTCAACGGTCAACACCTTAATTCAAGCTTCGCTGGTGACTCCCATTTCTCCACCTTCACAATGATCTCCGACGGCGACCTGTACCGCTTGGCCATCTTCCTAGGCTCATGCGCCATGATGATGATCGTTCTATACCACTTCCTCGACGTCAATGCCCGCGATGATAACGAGCCCGCCGAGAACAACTCCGCAAAGCCCGCCCGCACGACAGCCAAGGCCACGACATCATCTGCAGAGGCTACACCCACCTCGCCGCCACCTACGGGGAAGGCTCTATAATATGGCTAGGACCAGGGGATGGGACTGGATTCTAGATCTCGGGTTTCGATCTCGGGTCATCGGGTTATATGGACGGCATACACTGCTACTGCTACACCTTTCATCAAAGTCAATCCATGCATGTATAATACCAAGCTGCGCGAATGCTGGTTGATGATTTTCTGGCAAAATACCAACTGGCTTCCACCTTGTTTTTTCCCCCTAGGATCCCAGGAACTACAAGTACTTCAGATGGTCCATTTTCATTGATGGATAGATTCGTTCATTCATACATAGTCCAGCCGAGTAGTCATGTCTTCGCCAGCCAGCTGAGCGATATCCCCCAATGCTGGTGCCTTGTAGAGATTCGTCGGACCGAACACAAATCCGCCTGCATCAGAAACAGGAGGTATCGCCCATCCATTCAACTCCATTGGGGATCGCTCAAATCACCACTCGCATATCGGGCACAGTGTACGCCGTCTCCGTGTGGCTGCTAGCCATCAACCGGGGTGGCGTGGAAAGGGGTCGATCACTGAGATCCGTGTCAGGCCCGGCGTTTTCCTTCCAGTGGAGCCCAGCCTCTTCCATCAGCTCCGCCTTCTGCTTGTTCGTCTGGGAGCCATGGATGCGACTGAAGATCTTGACGGAGTCGCGATCCGCCGGAAGGGTCATTGTATCTTGTCGTCCCTGGCTAATCATCTCAGGCGATTGGTAATCATCTGCAGCTAGAAATACACTACCATCAGACATGTGTCACAAATCTCAAATTTGACCACAACGTAATCATCTCAAGTCAAAGCAGTAGATGGAAGCAGGTCGACATCCTCACCAGTTACCGAAGCCGCAGGGCCATCGCCCAGTTCCCAGGCCAGGGGCCTCATGTGATCATCTCGGACGTGTTCCCACATTTGCGCGGCGGCGCGAGGGTGCTTATCGGTGCAGTTATCCCAGACACACACGATGTGATGGGGAATATGGATTCCCAGAATGTGTGTGTGGATGGCTTGCAGGTTGTGGAGCTCAGCCTCGCACCCGGTCCACTTGCACTTGAAGACTTGGTACTGAGTGGCAGGGCGATTGTCAATCTCCACCTCGACCTGAACATCTTTGTGAGGAGGTCGGCCGGGCCTCTTCTTGATGGGAGCCATTGCATGTGGAGAGGCTGGAATGACAACTTGGGGCTCGCGTAGCCCTTTTGGCAGGGGTGATTGCCGGGAAAGCTTGCCGCGAGGAGATTTGGGGAAGGCGTTCAAGCTGACTGCCGAAGGCGGTGTAGATATAGGCTTGTGAGTGGCCTTGGGCGTTGATGATGCAGATGAAGTTGTGGATGAGATAGCAGGGGAATAAGCAAAGTTGCTGGCACGGAGGTTGGTGTTTGTCGCGCTTGTGCTGGCCACATATGCATCATTCCTGCCTGAATTGAACGAACCTGAACTGATAAGACCGGGGCCATCCAGGCCTGAGCTGGTTATGCCTGCACTGGGAGTGTCTGTACCGGGCCTGGTGGTGCCGTTGCCGTTGCTGGTGTTATCGCCAGGGCGTCTTTCGGCGGGACGCGCGAGCGGGGCTGTGGGGGCATCACGTGCAGGCACGTGGGACACCCCTTGTCTGGCAGAATCCGGAAAGTTGGGCGGAAGGTTTGGCGCGCGCATAGTGGTCTCGAGCCTCAAAGTCGAACTAGTGGGTGTTTCTTGAACCCTGGAGGCTGCATCGAGAACCCACGGCGGGTATTGCACATAAGGATCCACAAGGTCCCACCGGAAAGTGGCCAAATCTGAAGAGTGGTCTACAGCCTGGAAATTCTGACGAAGACTCTGGAGATGATGGTTGAGGACTTTCTCGATTGGGTGCTTATCCGCGACAATCAATACATCCCGAGCAATAGTGGCTGGATCATAGTCCAATTTTATCAGGATATCCGAGATCTTGACCGGGTCGACAATGTCAGACCGGTATGTAATGTTTTTGCGGCTCGGGGGTTGGCGGATGTATCTAGGCAAGTACGTAGTCTTTGATGGAGGTGTCACAGCCTGTTGGGAGCTATCATCTAGCTTCCGCAATTTCGCAGCTGGTGGCTGTGTGGGACCATGAGCACCTTGACCGGCGAGTCTTGCCGCGATCTTGGCCGAGTTCGGCGGAGGATTGTACACTCGGGCAGGCTGACTTTGCGAGGATGCGTTCAGACCCTTGGATAATTGACTTGAAGCAGGCTCAAGTCTATTTGCCAGGGAAGAAGGAGGACCGGGTGCTGGATATACAATGTTTGGGTGAGCGTTCCAAGCTGGTGGGTGAGCACGCGGAGGGGCAGGGGCAAGGCCAGAAGCAGTAGCAGGCGCAATATTTTGAAGCACCGGAAGGCCGTGCCTTGGCTGATCCTGAGCAGGCCCGACATCCGGAGGGGCATTCGACGTTGAGTGCACCTGCCATCTGTCATTGAACCTTCCAAATCCTGCTGGTTGGTTGACTGAGTCCACAGCAGTAGGATATTTGGCGGGCCTGCCTAGCTTCCGTGAAGGTCCAGCTAGAGTGGAGGCCGGCACAAAAGGTGCAATGTTAACTGGCGGAGCAGAAGGCGTAGAAATACTGCGGCCTGACTGAGCGGAAGCGGGAATAGGAGCAGTAGCCTTGGCTGGCTGTGGTCCGGCGGGAACAACTGGCTGTATCACTGGCAAGGCCGAAGAAACAGGAATGCCGCGAGCGGTCGGAGCGGAGCTTTGAGAAGGGGCAGTAGCATTGTGTTTCTGCGCAATGGCGGGAACAGTGGCCTTCGAAATCAGTGGCCGCACCGAGGGAGCAGAGGTACTGTGAGGTATCTGAGCGGGAGCTTGAGGAACTGCGGCCAGGTTTGTCTGCCGTCCGGTAGGAGTAGCCGGCTTCGAGATACTGCGATCTGTCTGAGCAGAGGTGTTATTCGCCTGCGGGGGATATTCCCCGATCATCCGCAGTGTTGCATAGGTCCTGAGCGCCTGCGGTACAGTATTTGTCACAGGAGGCACAGGTTGCGTTTGATCCTGCTGATGGCGGGAACTAGACTGAGCGTGCTCTTGATGTTGAGCCTGGGCCTCTTGGTAGTATTGCTGTAGCTGGCCCCGGTGAGTTTGGGGTGGCGGGCGCAGCAGTTGCTGGGTTTTTTTCCGCGCTTGGAACTGCGCATAGTTCTGAGCTAGTTGCTGAGCTTGCTGCTCCGCCTGCTGTCGAGCTTCTTTCTCTGCCTGTCGCCGAGCGTACTGCTCCGCCCGCTGTCGAGCCTTTTCCTCCTCCTGTTGTCGAGCCTGTTGTTCTGCCCGGTGCTGCGCTTGATACTGGGCCTGATACTGTGCTTGTCTATAAGGCTGTGGCTGAGGTAGGCGTGGAGGTTGTTGCTGAGGTTGTTGATGCATTTGCGGTTGCTGCTGTTGCTCGTACGGCGAGTGCTGGTGTAATTGGGACCGGAATAACGTTTGATCCATTCCCTGAGAATATTGCGCCGAGCTCTGTGCTTGTCGATTCATCTGTACACCTCGCGCCTGAAGGGACCGAGATTGCTGGAGTCGAACGTAGGCTGCATCGGCAAACGCAGGGTGCGGGCTCTGTTGTTGGTTTTGTTCAGGGCCAGCATTGTTGCGATTCACTTGCAGCTGATCCTCTTCTTTCCAGCCAGGGAAGAAGTTCTGTAGCCAGTCGTAATCATTCTCCCAATCGGACATATCGAAATTGTGCTGTGCCGCCAAGGTATCATTGCTGGCGGGCGGTTGGATCAGAGATACTGGAAGCAGATGAGAAAAACGACTGCGAGCCGTAGATATGAATCATGCTGCTGCCGAGGTCGAGTCGAATGAGAAACCGGATGCGCCTGGTGCGGCGAGTTCTCCGCCAATGCAAGACAGGGAAAGCCAAGGTCGCGTTGCGACCACTGCAATCGGCCAAAACCCGCGTAATCGCGTCCGAGAACAGTGGATCACTAAAGCTAGCCAATCAGAAACGATCAGTCACGAGACCACAGAGTCCTAGCTGGTCATGTGATGCCCAAATCATCAGTAATTTTTCTGCCCCAACATTCAACGATCCCTTTTCCTTTCAACTCCCCCTTCTCTTCTTCAAAGCCAAGTCATGATTTAATGCTGTCATGACAGGCAATACTTAGCTGCTTCTTCAAAACCTACTCCCGTCTCCTCTCTGAACTAACCTGCACATCAATTTCCATTGAACACATTGACAGATACACAGCGTCCAACCCTTCAGCACATTGGTCAACATACATTACTTTCTTCGACAACCATAATCAGATGTTGGATATTACACGCCTTGCTGTCTTCCTACAAATCCTGGCCATTGTTTATCTCTCTGCTTCGAAACAATTGCACCCTTGAGATTCATCTGGGGCAGTCAATATCCTCCAATCATCCTCCTTGTCGCGTCGGTGGTCCAGTTCTCCAACGTACTTGTACACTGTGGCAGTGTATTCGCCTAATTATCTCCTCGTCAATCCCGTTTCTACGGACCTAAGTGGTTGAAGAGGTAAACGAGTGGCGTATAAAAATTACAGATCCAGACTCGCCGGTCAACGACCGGCTGGTTCTGTCTCGCTTGCAGACTGACTCTGATGCCTTCGGGTGCGGAAGACGTGAGTTTGATAGTGAGGTACATCTCTTCCTATAAGCAAATATATTCTCGATCATTATCTATTTGGCACCCAGTCTACTTCTCACCCATATCAAAAATAGTATCGGTTCTCCACAACGCCGGTTCTTTTTCCATGTACTTTTTGACGGCCCTTCATTCCTACATGGTCGGCATTTCATCATATCTCAATATCTCTAATGTATCAATTAGCTCTGGAACATGACACAAACCTACCCTCCATTAGAACCCATATTTCCCGACATACTCATCTCAACCGTCTTTGCTACCAAGAGATATATATGTAACGCTGTTAACTCCTCCAGTCTCTGTCCTTCATGCCCAAGGCTTCCTTTCTTTAACCCTCCTTCGATTCTACGGCAATGGTCATTAAGAACACGATTCTAGACTCACCGAGACTCAATTGAACATGCACCCAATTATGGAGAGGAAAATTTTCACATCTGAAGAAGCTGACGTTGACAAAGAGAGGAAGAAGGATCGGCGGTTAGAAACAAAGATAAACGTTTACCAGTAACCAAGAGCATGTGCGCCTAAACACTGGTAACGTCTTGGATGAAGTATGTTTTTATACAGGGTTACTCGAGATTGTCAAGTAATAAGATGACTTGCTCATTACGCGCTAGATTGGTCAAGTAGCACGATCTCAAAGGCTATAGGATGGCTATACAAAGGACTACGTATTGCACTGCTCTTCAATCAAAACCGTTGCGGCTGTTCTAAAAAGGTACCATTTAATGTTTTCAAGACCCTGAAGATTACCTTCAAAAGAGTTAGAGTTCTCTTTGTCAACCCAGCCATCAGTATAACCTCCTCCAAAGTCAATTGGATACGGATCCTCATTGACATCAATGAGCAGATTAGCTGCCTTCGCATCTCCCCAAATTATACCATGTAAATGTAGTTGCTTTAGTGTGTGTGAAATCTGATCAACCCATTTGTGTCGTATCTCCGACTATTTGGGATCTTGTCCATCAATACAATTGAGTTTAGCTCCACCACAATCAATGTATGATAAGAGCATACCCATGACATGACCAACGTCATCCTGGACCAGGCCCTCGAGCCGTGATATCGGAATTGTTAAATCGAAATTAGCCGCGCGAATTTTTGCGTATGTCAAAAGCTCTCTGGTCGTGATATTCGCGTTGCCCCCGTAGACAATCTTGAAGAAGCGAGGTTTTGGCTGCCTCTAAATGAATACTCTTTAAGGAATTCCTGGCAGCGCTCCTGACTTTGAATTAATCGAAACCTGGATTTCCCTGGGTTGGTGGACAGGGAAAAAGCGAACAGTTCACGGAAGATGGTAAACGTGCTCCGATGAGATGATTTTTCTTGTTCTTAGTGATGTTGAGAAAAACAGGAACTAATCCATCCCCCACTACATACACTGTGTAGTGCAGTTCATCTGCAAAGAGACATTCATCAAGCGTGTACTGCTGAAGCGGGTTCAGGGGTGAAATTGCTTGGAAAAATGGCAAAAATGGTTGCAAGATCCAATCGTGCATTTCATCAGAAGGGTCTTCAAAATCGCTAACTGAATCTAACTCAGACTCCTCTGGGACCCATTCTGGTTCTTGATGTCGGACATGTCGAAGATATTGGGCGAGAAAAGAAGGAGAACTTTCAAAGTTCGAAGTAAAGAGATCAATTTTGAAGCGTTTATTGGAGACGTACACATTCAACTCCGTGTCTGTGTTTCTGGTACTTGAATTAAATGGACCGATATCGTAGATGGTTTGCTTGTGTGACATGTTTCGTCGCCGATGATCTGAGGCAAATTAAACTAGGGATAGAGTAAGATGCTGGCAGTCAGGGGAGAAGGAGCTATATGAACTTGCAAGTTCGGTACAACAATGGAGTAGATAGCACCAAGTCATGTGACTATTAGCCAATAGAAAAGTGACTATTCCGGTAAACTCAGTAGGATTCCAATGCCGTAGGAGTAAGAAGGGAGCAAAGTGAAACACTTGTATGCCCGCGGTAAGGAATTGGGTGGCAGAGTGCATACAGAAACTACCTAATCTGAGCAAATGTGCTCGAGAGCTGCGAATGCCAAGAAACCACTGTACATATATTGAATAAGGCCAAGACAGAATGGATACAGAATGAACTTAATATACACATAGAATCATGCTGAACAATGCCAAAACTTCGAAGCGAAAAGCGAGCGGGCGGCATAAACCGTGTATCGTAACTCATCAGAGCTAGGGAATCAATCGAAAAAAAGAGGTAGAGACAAGAAGAGAGAAAAAGAAGAAGATGAGGAGGGAAAGAAAGAGCTAGCGCCACGCTCGCTGATCGAACTCGAACTCGAAATCAAACCGGGAGGATATCCACTAGGAACTGTGACCAACGCACTTCCCCCATGCCGGAAGCCCACACCCCATACCAATAAAGAGGTATAGCAGGAAGACCACCACGAATCCCAGCAAAACCATCAACTTGACATTCTTCCACCACATGCGGCGCCGCAAACCGCGGCTCCGAATACGGAAATCATGCGCGCTCCCTCCAAGTCGATCCGTCTTATCAACAAGCAAATCAATCCGCTCCCCGCGCTCAAGCACCCGCTCAATATTCTCCGTCATAATGTCGCGCACGCTGTCGATCTCCCGACGCGCCGAGGCAAGCGAGTCCGCCGGCGGAGAAGTATTGTACGTATGCAGCAGGGAGCGGAGCTCGGAATTAAACGCTGCGCAGCCGTAGGCCGGGAGCGAAGAGTAATCCGTGCTCGAGGGCGGGTAGGTCGTTAGGAACTTGCGCTTCATTTCTAGTAGGTAGGCGAATGGGATGCGGCGGCCTTGCTCAGCGGACGCTACGACGATGAAGCTCAGGGGCGCGTAGGAGGTGGGTTCTGTGCGGCCGCTTTGGTCGTCGACTGCGCCTCCGGAGGGCGAGTCGGCGATATAATGGACGAAGAGCCGTTCATGGGTGTATGTTAATTTCTGGGATTTGTCGTGGGAGATCTTTGGGAGGATGATTGAGGCGAGAGATGAGGCGGCTGTCGATGAGGCTCCGGGGGAGGAGTGTTCGGCTAGGATGGTAGTTCGATGGGCGATGCAGGAGCTGGTATCGGGTGAGGTTTAGTTAGAGGGCCTGTTGGATGGATGATCTCATCGCGTTGTAGGTGTACTCACTAGAGCAAGAAGCTCGGGGACTTTGAGGAGGAAGCCATAGTGGCTTGGGTATGCAGTCAGAGTGGCCAAGAAGTGCTGAGCTTGAGTGAATTCAACCACCTTTGTGTCGGGATGATGGAGGCGTCAAGCAGTTGCGTTGCTTGGTCCAGGACACGGGCCCACTGCCCAGTTCCCGTGAACTTGCTTAGTCAGGATATCAGGTGCCTGACCTTTCCTGTTTGAGAAGTACGTAACCAAGTCTACAGATCAAATAGATTCCTTCATATTTTCTGTCCCTGAGACACGTACTATCCCAGCGACCTTGACTCCGTCTATTTTAGATCCTTTTATTTAGTGGAGATTGAGATAATCTTACGTAGGGCCATGTGAGAAAAGGCAAAGATTTCCCTAACTGCGATGGTTCAGTTACTGACACCAGGCTGAAACAGACTGGATAACAAATGAACCTCATAACATATGCATTGATGCGAAATAAAGAGTACAAGCCATAGCTTGACATCATAAAGCTCTAAGTAGTCATAACTCATGAGGCATGAATAGGGAGGAACCACTGCTAAAGATAAAAAGAAAGCCTTCAAGCGAGCGGCGGATTGAAATCAGAGCGAATCAACTAGCTCAAAGCCATCATCATGATTATCATGAGAGTCCTGGCTATCATCAGTATTGTCATTATCAGGATGCTCCATCTCAAGATCAAATTCTTCGTCATCGTCAATGTCGGAGAGTCGGGGTGAGCCCATGACTACCGTGTCACCATCGTCACTTCGGACATCGAAATCGTACTCATCTTCGAAAAGGAACGCAGATGCAGACATAGAAGTCCCGGGACCATATGTCTGAGTCAGCCCATCGTGGCTCGCCTGAGATAGCCCTTCGACAGAGTCCACTGACAACAGATCGGAAGCGTGAGAGTGGGTAGCTTGGTGAGAGGCGCCTTGAACAGTAGACAAAGAATCATCCGGGTCGATCTCACTGAACGATCGATCCGTATTGGTTGAAGCCACGCTTCCAGTGTGCACAGCAGGGCCTGGTGCCGAGAAGCCCCCGTTTCCATTACTGGGATGTTCTGGTCTGTGAAGACGCCCCCCGATCCGTCATCAAGGCCACCTGCCCACAGGGGCAGGAATCGAAACTGGTTGTCCTTCAACGAGAAAAGAGTGTCGGTGGCTTCGAGTGCCGTGGTGTTTGCACCGTGAGGGAACAGCAAAGCGCGTGAGAGAACGGTCACCCGGGTGAAGGCCCCAGAGAGGAAATGGTCTAGGTCGAAGGTCCTCTCCTCTGCGTTGAATGGAACGCTGGTGGATTGCTGGATAGAATCAAGTACTGGTGTGGTCGTAGAATTGAGAGGCAAACTTGTGTTCATGCCATCAGAGCAGCGCACGGGAATCTGATTCTCATCAGAAGGGGAATGAAGGGAAAGGCGGAAGGGCAAGCCGAGTGGATTATCAGATGAGCTTGAATTGGCTGATCCCTGGACTAGCTGCGATAGCTCCGGGTATCGTAGGTTAATGGTGAAGGGCTTGCTGTGCCCATCGTCCATTGGCGCGAGGGGCTCAGAAGCTTGCAAGGGGCGACTCATATTGACGGACGAATTCGAAAGGTGACCCCTATTCGCACCCAGCGCTCTGCGTTTGCTAGGATGGAACATCACGACAGATTCTTGATGCTTGACCCTCATGTTGAATTCCCGGACTTTCTGCTCAACGGAGTATTTGGGGACATGATCGACGCAAGCATTTTCTTGACCTTCAAACGCGGCCATTCCATGCCCAATCTCTGCGATCGAATTATGGTATTGGTCGACCGGGAGAACATGGCTCGAGTGCAGATCCAGAGACAAGAGATCACGCCAGAAATTTCTGCCGATGATGCGCTGGACAACTGCTGGAGGGTCAAATTTGCACCTAATATTGTCATCTTCCGTGGGTCCGGGAATACTGCATGATCGACGAGGGTCTTTGGCGTTGCAGAGAACGCGATAGATCCGGGCGCGGATGAAGTCTTTCAGCAAAGTGATCAGTTGGCGTACTAGCGCTTCATCTTCCGGAAAGTCTCGCCTGTGCTGATTTAGTTTGTCGAATTCGCCGACGTCTGCTATCCACGGCATATCGGTCCCAACCAAGCGTAAGAAATCCCCGATAATCTTGTCGGCAAAACTCTTGCTGGCGTATTCGATGCGCTGCACATCCGTGTCATCCAAGAAGTCGGCAACGCGGCTGCGGTCAAGAATAGGCGCCCATGCTCTGGGCGGCGTTAACCTTGCCTCCCGCATGATGTAGAGAAGCGCCTCATCTCCGACCAGTCCAATGAACGAGTCCACACAGAGAGGGGCCACTTTGATTCCACAGGACACACGGTACGATATCTCGGGGTGGATCTCGAGGAAGTGGATGTTTGTGGAGTGATAGAACCACGCCATGATATATCCACTCACCGCAGGGACTTTCGCAACGTCAAGGATTTTGGCGACTGCAAAGAAAGTCCACAGTTTGCATGGGGTATCAAGTGTTGTATCCAAGCCTTCCAGGACATGCAGGATTTGCTCGATCGCCTCACGATGGCGCTGGGGTGAGTACTCGATGGGCAGGGCAGTCTGAGCTGGTTGTTGAGGCCACACACTGCGGTTCATTCCTTCGCTCAGCAATAGACCTTCGTCCTCCGCTTCAGAGTCAAGGATGCTCGGATGGGTTGCCTTCTCTTCTTCTAAGGGTGACTTCGTATTTCGATGACCTGCAGGTCGCTGGGGGACATCTGACAACACTTCCAGTTCATCCTCTCCTCCAACGCAGGAGGGGGGTAGATTCCATTCTTCCTGGAGCAAAGCCCAGGTTCGGATTGGCATTGGACAGGACACCTCGGTCAGGACAATGATGGCATCCTCATCCACAGTAGGAGGAGTCAAGTCAATAACATACTTGACGCCTGCGGGAAGACTGTTGGCAAAACCGCGGCGCTTTCGGATAAGAGTCTGGCATCGGGTACTGAAAAGCCGCTGGAAGTATGTTGACCCCGTGGCCAAGAGCTTCTCACTGTGAAGGCGGTGGGGAATGGTTGGAGGTAAGAGATAGTTCCTGGAGTGGTCCTCTGGAGCGGGATCAATGAAGACCAGAGTATCCGCATCATTCAGTAGCAGCATGGGTAGCATGGTTTTTTTCGGAGTTTCGGTCCTCTCAAATGTGTAAGAGGATCGGCGGTGACGATAGTCGGTCCTTGTAGGTGAAGCAGTCAAAGGGCGGGATTCAGTGGTGCCGTGCCAGGGTGAGACGGGTGATGGCATAGAGGGACTTGAACTCTCGTCTGAATCCATGAGGCTTGGAGGCACGGGATATTGTGAATCAGCGTCTCAGTGTGCCGGGGAGCCCTAGAGATCTCAGCGACAGAGACTCGGCAGGCAGTGAAAGATGATACGAAAGCGAACCGTGTAGAAGCGAATTGATAAAGGACGATGGTGGGTCCACAAGTTGTAGGCGATTGAGCATCAAATGAGAGTGAAGTTGATAGAGAAACGAAAATTCGAGGAAGGAAGAAGGAAGATGGAGGGAAGGAAAGAGGGGGTGAGGCTGAGGGGGGCTTGAGCCGCACTGCTGCACAGTCGCTGCCTTGGGCCGGGCACTAGCCACGCCACGGTTAGCTAGAGGAATAGCTGAGCTTTGCTGGTTCGGGCAATTTATTGGGAGGGAAATAGCGATGTCATTACCCTGATTATCGTTGAAGTGAATGATATTCTGCAGGATTGTTAGTTGACGAGCTGGTCGATTCGTCGGAAAGTAGAGCAGTTGTGAAACGGAAACGGATCAGGGATACTTTTGAGAGTACATCTGGAGGAAAAGGACCACCGACTGAAACACCTCCGCGGCTACATACTCAGGCGCTTATGTACGTACCCAAGAAGTACTTAACGAAGTCTATCCTCAGTATACTTCCTGCCTTATGAGTAAACGGGAGGATGCCCCACTGCGGCAGTGGCGGGTAGTGGGGCAGAGACATTCTTAGCTCCAAGAATTACTAGATCGGAGGGAGAAACCATGGAAAATACAGCACTATTCGTCCCATGCTTATGGATTAGACGAATACTCTATGACTTGACTGGAACCTTCAAAGTCTTAGATAACGTTGCAATACTAATGACTAGAACAATCATGGTCAGTGCGGTGGTATCATAAACATATCCGAAGATCAATGGTCTCTGGAGAAAAGACCAAAAAAAATGCAAAGCGCCATGCATACAGTAAACCGCAAAAAAGCCACCCCATTTTCAAGTGTACAATGGGTAATGCAAATGCAAAACCAAAAGCAGAGATATCTCTCAACGATAATGGCTGATGTTGAGTGAGTCATCAAGGACTGAGTCCACTGGAAATGAATTACTGGGTATCATCCGGCGGGCGGGACTCATTGGCCAGTGACCCTACACGGCCAACCGGGTTCTCTTCAGAAGAATTAGGTCTCCTCTTTTTAGGATCCTTCTTCTCGGCAAGTTTCTTCTTCTCTCGAGCAACGGGGCGAATCTCCTTGGTGCGGCTGCGGCTATGGCTACGACTGCGGCTGGACCCAGCCAGGCGGAGATCTTTGACCTCTTTAATCACCTCCCGGAAGCCCTCTTCGATATTGTTCATTCGAGCAAGAACAAGCTTGCTAAGCATGTCCTGTGTTTGCGCTTGACTAGGCCCGTCACGACGGAGGCCTCCCGTGGCAAATGCCAGCTGTGTATTGAAGCTGGATGGGACAGCACCGCCAAAGGCCCCGGCGACGGCCTTATTGTCGCCCAAGTCGGACCCGAGGTCAAAGAGCAGTGACCGTTGGCGACGCTTCGAGAGAGGCCGATCCGACAAGTAAAGCCCGTCAATTTCAGGGACGGACATCGGGTTCATGCTCAGATTGCGGGCAAGAGCGGTCCGATTGATCGTGCCTCGGTCCACGGATGTAGATACGAGGGGCAGACGATCTTCGTCCGCTGAAGAGGTGTTATCATCTCTCGGAGGCGTCGTTTGCCCCTCGGTTCCCAAGTTTGGTGAGCCGATGGGATTGTAGAGCATGGTGGCACCCGAGACGGTTCGACTGTGTTTGGGGCGGCGGGTAGGACTGCCACGACGGGATATGATACGTGCCGTGGACGGCCGAGAGCTGTAGAATTTGGGTGTGGTTTTCTCGCTGTTGAGGCCCGGGTTTGCCTCATCATCATCACTACCAGAACCCTTGTCGGAATGTTTGCCATGGGATTCATGGTCGTCGTCACTGGTAAGCTCATCATCGCCTTCCATATCGGTGTGATGAGAGAGCTGTCGGGTGCGACTGGGCGAAATTGAGTCTCGCCCATGTCGTTGGAAAACGGGGCTGGCAATACGGCTGGTTCGATCTTCCGGGTTGGATGCCACAGAACGAGTCGTTTCCGTAAAGTTTCGTCCATAAACTGCCAAGGACTTTCGGAATGGGAACCGCAGCCGTCGGACTGGCATCTCTAGAAGATCACCTGCAGCCGAGTCCTGCTCATCTGGAGTATGAGCCGGACCAGAGCCAATCTCCTGCATCCAATCTTTGATGACGGTACTTTTCTGCCGATCCCGCATGGTGCTTGGGCGCTCGCCTAACCGATTATCTCCAAATGGTCGTCGGAACACCTCCTCGAGCGCCTGATCCTTCTGATATGTTGCAACGGAGGGTTCTCGCACGAGACGAGCCCGATTGCTGAAGGCGCGGAATCGGCCTGGTCGCCAAGCTTCAGCTTGCCCTGGGGTCCCCTCATGGGGCGTTGACTCAACAAGATCCATGGGCTCGACTACTCGGGAGCTCAAGATCATCTTTTCGTAGAAACATATTGTGAATAGAACCGGGAGGTGAGTGATCTTGATGATCGTCCGATTCAGTCGAATGAACTGGCGGAATGGCATGAGGCACCTAAACGGTGTGACTAGCCAGGCGATGATATTGGTCGGGGCCACGTAAGAGAAGAGAGCATCTGATTTGACCATCGAGATTGTATTGACAGCAAACAGGAATTGGTGCTCCTGGTTGGCATTCTGCACGATCCTCATGAAGGAATTTGTGAGCACGGTGATAAGAATGGTGACCACCACGAAGTGACAGATGAAGAGAAAGACTGTTAGAATGCTCTTGCCAAGCAAATTGTATTCATCCCACATTGCCCATGCGGTGGGAGTGAATCCCATGAGCATCTGGAACAAGCCGTAGGCCACGGTCTTGGGAGAGTTGTCCGATCCAAAGGACAAGAAGGCGACGAAGAAGCCACTGCAGGCAATGACAATCAAAACGAAGACCGCGATTAGATCGGAGGCCATGATACGGAAGGCAATCAGCAGTTGCGAGAAGTAGCGGTAGTGATCGAGGATTGAAAAGAGCCGAGGGAACAGGAGCACAGCATTGGCAGCCAGAACGTCGTACGCCTGGTTAGCAACCTGGCGATTTCTCGGGTAGGTCAAAAATGTCCCATAAATCCGGAGGCAATAGTAGCAGACCAGCAGTAGCAAGATGCCCAAATCGAACAAATTCCAGAAGCTCATCAGATACAAGCTGAAGCCCTGCTCGTTGAATCCAACGATCTCATCGAGCATGAAGCCCGCACTCCAGAACCAGAAGATGACCTCGAGCGATGTAATCTGACGACTGCGTTGTTGGAGAACTGCCAAAAACAGGCCTAGCAGTACTGCAAACGAAAGCGTGGACAAGAATTGGCGATAACGCGGTACTCGCAATCGGGAAAGTTTGAACAGTGAAGCATCTCGCGGGTTGTATAGAGTCACTGATCGACGGAACGTCGCGTTTCCTGATGAAGGTACCCGGTCGCCATTGTAATCCGTTGAAGTTCCATAGCCCCTTCCTCCAGCGGCTTGATGAGCCCGCCGGTGCAAATGGTCAGCGGCCGAGTGGAAGACAATCGTTCCAGCCCAGATCGCCTCCAATTGCTGCACCACCACCGGATGGGCCAGGAACCGCTTTGCCTGAGCTCGAATGGCGACCTCGAGGCAGGATACGCGACCCGTCCCCGCTAATCGCTTGCCTTGGCGACCCGATGCCCATGCCGTGGTCGGATCTTGACCCTGAAGGGGGTAAAACTCGTAGGACAGGGCATCGATCAATTCCCGGGTTGTGTATTCTCTTAGCAGCTTAATCGCAAGCAGCTCACTGACCATTGCCCGCGTTTGACTGGCACCGCTGTTTCCCGGGTTAAGATGGATCTCCTTTTCAAACTGCAAGCAGTTGGCCATCAAGGCATAGAGCGTGGCTCGCGAGAAGTGGGCGGACATGATCTTCTGCTGGATGGGCTTGACCAGGAACTGCGACACCTGCGGGGAACGCAGCTGGTCCCAGGTCAATGTGGTTTCACATCGGGAGGCGATCAGCGGGCGAATGGCATGTGTGAGGTTGTACACGGGGAGGGCATCTAAGACAGGAAACAGTTCCGTTCTTGTTAGACCTGGGATCCCTAACTACCAACTTCGACTTCACGCGCCTTGGGTTGAACACCTACCGAGATGCGAGGCAGAGAATATGGGGAGGAGCGGCGTTGTATCGAGGGGACCCTCGTCTTCGTGATCGTCTTCATCCTCCTCCCCAACCCAGTCGTGGTCCCCATCCTCGTCAATGTCCTCGAGCTCTGGCGCGTGTTCGTCGTCACTGTCTTCGCCCCGGCGTGCGCGTCGTGCGCCTCGACGGCCTGCCGCTCGAAACCATGGGGAGCTGTCGCTGGGTGCTAGCGGTGACGAGAAGGAAAAGGGAGTCTGGTCAGTCTGCTGGCGCCGTGCTTTTGGGCGGAGCAGAGAAGCTAGCATGGTTGTTGACCAGCTGGTTCGGGTATCGGCATGGCCTCGGCACACAGAGAGTACTTTTGGCGAAGGGCGCGCTTAGCGCATGGCGGCAAGTTTGAGGTTCGTGTTTTATTTGGGGTGGGGGAAAATGGTCAGTTGAAAAATCCAAAGATCAGACAGAAAGAGGGAAAGATAAATCAAAGTTTCAACCAAGGGCAGCAGTCTGGGCAAGCCCATGCATAAAACAGGACCCGCGACCGAAGAGAGCGCGATTAATCACAAGCCCAGTTCAAGCTTGCGGCGATCGGCGAGGGCAATCGGGTTCTCTACCGTAGGCCCAGCCTCAAGCCCAGCCTGGCCACTGAGCACGTAGTCGCACTAAGCGCACGTCCCGTGCCCCCTCCAACTCCCGCCCTGTCGTCATGGCACGTCTCAGGTGACCAACACACATTCCTCCGGTTGTCTTGGTTTCGGATGGTGGCTCTCGTTATCGTAGGCGAAGCGCACAGACGGGGCTGATTGGGTTGTGGAATTGTATATAGAGTTTGTTGATATCCGACCCTTGGGAGCTGTGTAGGTATTTGAGTAACTCTAAGTGACGGAGTAACGAGGAACTGGTAACTACTGTCGTGATTGAATTACGCTCGCAGCTGCAGCCTTGGCTACGGTAAGAACAATTCTGCAACTCTGTACCCTGTTTTAGTCGTAATGTCCCCATCGAGCTTCTGCTGCACCGATCGGCCTTATCGGCCCTCACCGCCTGCACTCTGCCGGGCGATAAATTGGGCGATTCGATCGAAAATAGCTACATATGGAGGGGTAGACAGGACGCGACGATGTCACAGCCTAGAGCCCACGATAGTCTACAAGAGTCCATTTTCAATCCATAGGAGTATCTGATAACTGGAATCACCCATTGTCAAGCTGACGAGAGGACTCAATGCCTTCCTCCTCCCAACAAAACCCTCCTTCGCCAAATTGATCGCCCACGCGATCATCGTCATAGGCTAAAAAATTCTGAGGCGGTGAAGAGCGCCTCCAACCACCGAAAGCGGACCACGGTGGACCCGCCGTGGGCCACGAAAATTTTATTCTGCCAGCCGACTCATTCTTCTTCTTCCTTCATTCCCCAGCTCTTGCAGCTGCCATCTCTTCTATACCCTCCCCCTCCTCTTATACCCCTCAAAAGATCACAATCCTGAAAAACCTTCTCCAAAAAGAAAGAAGATAATCAGAAAAAAAAAAGTTCTTCTGGTGGATGCTGTGATCGAGTGACTTGCACTCTCTCAGATTCGTCCCCGAGAGGACTTGTCCCCTCGTTTTTTTTCTCTCTCTTCTCGCCAATTGCGATGTCCCAGCCTGCTTCCATCGAGGAACCAGTCTTGCCTACCAGCCCGACATTAGGTGGTGCAGTTGCCTACATCAACAAGAAGGATCTCTTGCCCACAATGGCCTCTGCTAGTGTGATTACCCCGGCCTCCATCCCCGTCCGGGGTGGCACGGACAGGCTGGTCGCCCTCGAGCTGGAGGATGGCACCGTCTACCAGGGGTACAACTTTGGTGCGGAGAAGAGTGTGTCCGGTGAATTGGTCTTCCAGACGGGTATGGTTGGTTACCCCGAGTCCATCACCGATCCCTCATACCGCGGCCAGATCCTGGTCATCACCTTCCCCCTGGTGGGTAACTACGGTGTGCCCTCCCGGGAGCAGATTGATGATCTGCTCAAGCTCCCCACATACTTTGAGTCGAGTCAGATCCACGTCGCAGCGTTGGTGGTGGCAACCTACGCGGGCGAGGACTTCTCGCACTTCCTGGCCCAGTCCTCCCTGGGTCAGTGGCTCAAGGAGCAGGGTGTTCCTGCCATGCACGGTGTGGACACCCGTGCGCTGACCAAGCGTATTCGTCAGAAGGGTAGCATGCTGGGTCGCATGCTGCTCCAGAAGACTGGCGATGCCAATGGCGTCGCTGACGGTGTCCACGGCGAGGAGTGGAAGTCGCACTTTGAGCAGATTGAGTGGGTGGATCCCAACAAGAAGAACCTCGTCGCTGAGGGTGAGTGAACCATCGAAACCTAGGTCCTTTTCACTGGATGTCCGACAAAGGAAACGCGATGAATTAGAATTGACGTTGCTGATATCACATCTTTGACAGTCTCCATCCGTGAGCCCAAGCTCTACACTCCCCCTGCCGATGTTGCCCTCAAGCACCCCTCAGGCCGCCCTGTCCGGGTTCTGTGCTTGGACGTTGGTATGAAATATAACCAGCTGCGCTGCCTGCTCACCCGTGGCGTCGAGGTCATGGTTGTCCCCTGGGACTACGATTTCCCCACCCTGGCCGGCAAGGACTACGACGGTCTGTTCGTTTCCAACGGTCCCGGTGACCCCGCCACCCTGACCACCACCATCAACAACCTGGCCAAGACTCTCAAGGATGCCCGGACGCCGGTTTTCGGTATCTGTCTCGGCCACCAGCTGATTGCTCGTTCCGTGGGCGCTACCACCTCCAAGATGCTGTTCGGTAACCGCGGTCACAACATTCCTTGCACCAGCATGATCTCTGGCAAGTGTCACATCACCTCCCAGAACCACGGTTACGCCGTGGATGCTTCCAGCCTCCAGGACGGCTGGGAGGAGCTGTTCGTGAACGCCAACGATGCCAGCAACGAGGGTATCCGTCACACCAGCCGCCCCTTCTTCAGTGTTCAGTTCCACCCCGAGAGCACCCCCGGTCCTCGGGATACCGAGTACCTGTTCGACGTCTTCATCAAGACCATTATGAACACCCTTGCCACCCCCGAGGCTCTGTCCAAGCCCGTCGAGTTCCCCGGTGGCATCAAGGCTGAGAATGTCATGGCCGCCCCTCGGGTGCACGTCAAGAAGGTTCTGGTTCTGGGCAGTGGTGGTCTGAGCATTGGACAGGCCGGAGAGTTCGATTACTCTGGTAGTCAGGCCATCAAGGCGCTCAAGGAGGAAGGCATCTACACCATCCTGATCAACCCCAACATTGCCACTATCCAGACCTCCAAGGGTCTGGCTGACAAGGTCTACTTCCTTCCCGTGAACGCCGACTTTGTTCGCAAGGTCATCAAGCACGAGCGTCCCGATGCCATCTACGTCACCTTTGGTGGTCAGACTGCCCTGCAGGTCGGTATTCAGCTCAAGGATGAGTTTGAGGCGCTTGGCGTCCAGGTCCTGGGTACCCCCATTGATACCATCATCACCACCGAGGACCGTGAGCTCTTCGCTCGCAGCATGGACTCGATCAATGAGAAGTGCGCCAAGTCCGCCTCTGCCTCCACTCTGGACGAGTGTCTCCGCGTCGTTCAGGACATTGGCTTCCCTGTCATTGTTCGTGCTGCCTACGCTCTGGGTGGTCTTGGCAGTGGTTTCGCCAACAACATGGGTGAGCTGAAGGAGCTGTGCACCAAGGCTCTCGCTGTCAGCCCCCAGGTCCTGATTGAGCGCAGTATGAAGGGCTGGAAGGAGATCGAGTACGAGGTTGTCCGTGATGCTCAAGACAATTGTATCACTGTCTGCAACATGGAGAACTTTGATCCCCTCGGTATCCACACCGGTGACTCTATTGTCGTTGCTCCTTCGCAGACCCTCTCCGACGAGGACTACAATATGCTGCGTACGACTGCCGTCAATGTCATTCGCCACCTTGGCGTTGTCGGTGAGTGTAACATTCAGTACGCCCTGAACCCCTTCTCCAAGGAGTACTGCATCATCGAGGTCAACGCCCGTCTGTCCCGTTCTTCGGCCCTGGCCTCCAAGGCTACCGGTTACCCGCTTGCCTTCATTGCTGCCAAGCTGGGTCTCGGTATCCCCCTCAACGAGATCAAGAACTCCGTCACCAAGTCCACTTGCGCCTGCTTCGAGCCCTCGCTTGATTACTGCGTGGTCAAGATTCCCCGCTGGGATCTGAAGAAGTTCACTCGTGTCTCTACTCAGCTCGGCTCCTCCATGAAGTCTGTTGGTGAGGTCATGAGCATTGGTCGGACTTTCGAGGAGGCCATTCAAAAGGCCATCCGGTCCGTTGACTTCCACAACCTGGGCTTCAACGAGACCAACGCTCTCATGTCCATCGAGGCTGAGCTTCAGACTCCTTCTGACCAGCGCCTGTTCGCCATTGCCAACGCCATGGCTGCTGGCTACAGCGTTGATGACATCTGGAAGTTGACCAGCATCGACAAGTGGTTCCTGAGCCGCCTGAAGGGACTGAGCGACTTTGGCAAGACCATGTCCAATTTCAACGCCACTACTGTGCCCATCAACATGATCCGTCAGGCTAAGCAGCTTGGTTTCTCCGACCGCCAACTTGCCAAGTTCCTGAGCTCCAACGAGCTGGCTATGCGCCGCATGCGTGTTGAGGCTGGTATTACTCCTATCGTCAAGCAGATTGATACTGTCGCCGCCGAGTTCCCCGCTGTGACCAACTATCTGTACCTCACCTACAATGCTTCTGAGCACGACCTGAAGTTTGACGACCATGGTATCATGGTTCTGGGTTCTGGTGTCTACCGTATCGGTTCCTCGGTCGAGTTCGATTGGTGTTCTGTCCGTACTATTCGCACTCTCCGCGAGCAGGGCCACAAGACCATCATGGTCAACTACAACCCTGAGACCGTCAGTACCGATTATGACGAGGCTGATCGACTCTACTTCGAGAACATCAACCTCGAAACTGTCCTCGACATCTACCAGCTCGAGACCTCCAGCGGTGTGGTCATCTCCATGGGTGGTCAGACTCCCAATAACATCGCTCTGCCCTTGCACCGCCTGAACGTCAACATCCTCGGTACTTCCCCCGAGATGATTGACAGCGCTGAGAACCGTTACAAGTTCTCTCGCATGCTCGACCGCATCGGTGTTGACCAGCCCGCCTGGAAGGAATTGACCAGCATTGAGGAGGCCCGTTCCTTCTGTGACAAGGTCGGCTACCCTGTGCTCGTCCGTCCCTCTTACGTGCTCTCGGGTGCTGCCATGAACACTGTGTACTCCGAGCACGACCTGGCCAACTACCTGAACCAGGCCGCCGATGTCTCTCGTGAGCACCCCGTTGTCATCACCAAGTACATCGAGAATGCCAAGGAGATTGAGATGGATGCTGTCGCCCGCAACGGTGTGATGGTCGGCCACTTCATCTCGGAGCACGTTGAAAACGCTGGTGTCCACTCTGGTGACGCTACCCTCATCCTGCCTCCTCAGGATCTGAGCGCCGAGACTGTCCGTCGCATTGAGGAGGCGACTCGCAAGATCGGTAACGCTCTGAACGTCACTGGTCCTTACAACATCCAGTTCATTGCCAAGGACAACGACATCAAGGTCATTGAGTGCAACGTCCGTGCTTCACGTTCGTTCCCCTTCGTCTCCAAGGTCATGGGTGTCGACCTGATCGAGATGGCCACCAAGGCTATGATCAACATTCCCTTCCAGGAGTACCCTCCCATCAGCGTCCCCAAGGACTACGTTGGTGTCAAGGTCCCCCAGTTCTCCTTCTCTCGTCTGTCGGGTGCTGATCCCGTCCTGGGTGTTGAGATGGCCTCCACTGGTGAGGTTGCTTCTTTCGGTCGCGACAAGTACGAGGCCTACCTCAAGGCTCTGCTGTCCACTGGCTTCCGTCTGCCCAAGCGCAACATCCTGTTCTCCATTGGTTCCTACAAGGAGAAGATGGAGATGCTGCCTTCCATTCAGAAGCTGCACCAGCTTGACTACAACCTGTTTGCCACTGCTGGTACTGCCGACTTCCTGAAGGAGAACGGTGTTCCCGTCAAGTATCTCGAGGTTCTGCCCGGTGAGGAGGATGACATGAAGTCTGAGTACTCTCTGACCCAGCACTTGTCCAACAACCTAATCGACCTGTACATCAACCTGCCCTCCAGCAACCGCTTCCGCCGTCCGGCCAACTACATGTCTAAGGGTTACCGCACTCGTCGTATGGCAGTTGACTACCAGACCCCCCTGGTCACCAACGTCAAGAACGCCAAGATCTTGATTGAGGCTATTGCTCGTCACTACCCTCTGAACATCCAGACTTCGGACTTCCAGACCAGCCACCGTACCATGGTCCTACCTGGTCTGATCAACATCGCTGCCTTTGTTCCTGGCCTTGCCACTCTTGGTTCCAAGGACTTCGAGAAGGTCACCAAGGCCTCGGTTGCTGCTGGTTTCAGCATGGTTCGCGTGATGCCCGTGGGCGTCGAGGGCTCGATCACCAAGGCCAGCGATCTGAAGATCGTTCAGCAGAACGCCCAGGACCAGTCGTACTGTGACTTCAACCTGTCCGTTGCCGCCACTGCCGACAACTCGGACCAGATTGTTCAGGTGACTAGCGAGGTTGGCTCCCTTTTCATCCCATTCAACCATCTGTCTGGCAACATCAACAAGGTGGCTACTGTGACCGAGCACTTCGGTGTCTGGCCCTCGAGCAAGCCTCTGATCACCGATGCTAAGGGCACTGACTTGGCCTCCATCCTTCTGCTGGCCAGCCTCCACAGCCGCAACATCCACGTCATGAGTGTGACCTCCAAGGAGGACATCAGCCTCATTGCCCTCAGCAAGGACAAGGGCTTGAAGGTCACCTGCGATGTCTCGATCTTCTCCTTGTTCCTGTCCCAGGGCGACTTCCCTGCCTGCAGCTCCCTGCCCACTGCCGAGGACCAGAAGGCTCTGTGGGGCCACCTAGAGACCATTGATGTCTTCTCCGTTGGCAGCATCCCCTACCAGCTTGCTGGTAAGGAGGCCTCTCCCGAGGTCGGCATTGCCGAGTCGCTCCCCCTGCTCTTCAGCGCTGTCGCCGAGGGTCGTCTGACTGTGGACGACATTACTGCTCGTCTCCACGACAACCCCAAGAAGATCTTCGAGCTGCACGACCAGGCCGATTCCTCGCTTGAGATCGAGATTGACCGCCCTTACCTGTTCCAGAGCCCCAGTGGCACCTGGTCTCCCTTCAACGGTAAGATGATGCGTGGCTCTGTCCAGCGCGTCGTCTTCCAGGGCAAGACCTCTTGCCTCGATGGCGCCCTCGCCAAGGATGCTCTCATGGGTACCGACATGTCCTCTCACCGGATCATCCCCTCCTCTCCTGTGCACAAGCCCACCACTCCCATGGTCCGCCCTGAGAGTGCTCTGGAGCGCCAGACCACCCCCAGCCGCCACGCCCGGGCTCGCGCTCTGGATGCTGCTGTCCCATCCGTCGGTGAGCTTGGACCTCCTCTGTACCCCCCGTCCTCGCAGGTGTCCTCTCCTCTGTATGAGATGCTCTCCCGTTCTACCTTCCGCGGCAAGCACGTTCTGTCCGTGAACCAGTTCACTCGCTCGGACCTGCACCTGCTCTTCACTGTCGCTCAGGAGATGCGCCTGGGTGTTCAGCGCCACGGTGTTCTTGACATCCTCAAGGGTCGTGTCTTGGCCACTCTCTTCTACGAGCCTTCCACTCGCACCTCCGCCTCCTTCGACGCGGCTATGCAGCGCCTGGGTGGTCGCACCATCCCCATTGCCACTGAGCACTCTTCCACCCAGAAGGGCGAGACTCTCCAGGATACCCTCCGCACTCTCGGCTGCTACGCTGATGCCGTGGTCCTGCGCCACCCCGAGCCCACCAGCACTGAGGTCGCGGCCAAGTTCTCCCAGGTGCCGGTCATCAACGGTGGTAACGGCGCTATCGAGCACCCCACCCAGGCCTTCCTGGACCTGTTCACCATCCGCGAGGAGCTGGGTACTGTCACTGGCTTGACCATCACCTTCACTGGTGATCTCAAGTACGGCCGTCCTGTCCACTCCTTGATCAAGCTGCTACAGTTCTACGATGTTCGTGTGCAGCTTGTCTCCCCCAAGGAGCTGGCTCTGCCCGAGGCGGTCCGCGAGCAACTCGTGGCCTCTGGCCAGCTGGTGTGCGAGCCTGAGGAGCTGACTCCCGAGATCGTTGCTCGCTCGGACATCCTGTACTCCACTCGTGTGCAGAAGGAGCGCTTCACCGACCTCGCCCAGTACGAGCGTCTGAAGAACAGCTTCATCATCGACAACGCTCTGCTGAAGCACGCCAAGAGCCACATGGTTGTCCTGCACCCGCTGCCGCGCAACGCCGAGATCGCTGAGGAGGTCGATTTCGATCAGCGGGCTGCTTACTTCCGCCAGGTACGATGCGCTCCCTTCTCTTTCATCACTGAAGACATGCTGACAGTTCGATTACAGATGAGATATGGCTTGTACTGCCGCATGGCGCTGCTGGCCCTGGTCTTGGCTCACTAAATTATCGCATTCCGCCTCTTATTATATTCCCCTATCTGAGACCGGGATCCCAAAAAGCGCGCCATTCGATTTTCTATCACGCAAGACATGTCTTCCATTGTTTCCTGTTCTGCTTTCAAAAGTTTCCGTTGCCCGTTCTGTCTGGATATCTTCGTAGGTACAACTACCGCGATAGAACGTTGAGTTGTATAGATTAGACAATCTCCGTTTCATGAATTCGATGACCCCGTGCTGTGTATGTCTGTATATTAGGTGGATTCAGTGATTTACGTTATGTGTGACGTGTTATGTGTTATGTCTATGTTTTGGTGTCATTTTGCGTGGCGTGTGTTTTCTGTGTTTTGTGCGTGTGGTTTGTTTTTCTTGGCGTTCTTTGGGATTGGGGGTTCATCATCAGGGCATTTTCTTTTCGATACCACTTTCTCTCTCTCTCTGCATTGGCAATGACCATGAAATGATCATATCGTTTTCTTCATCTTTTCAATTTTAGTAACGTTCGTTTGAAATTGTCGCTGAGTACATTTTTAGCGGGGAGTCTCAATAAATACAATTGACGATTCCGGCGAAGCACCCCTCGAGTGTACATGTACACGTGACACTGCTTCAAAGTACACTTCGTCTTAACTCAACTGTTGAAAGATCCAGAGTAAATAAACTACAAATTCTCTATAGGTGTAGCTAGCATACGGGGTACAGACCGTCTCCATATTCAGTCGACCCACCAAGACCCACTAAAAAGAGCTGACATCAAAGGCAGTTATCAACCTTCCTCAGTGGGCGCAACTCCACCCGTTGATGGTGTCATCAAGGCGCTTTGTTGCTCATCGACTTTGCGTATTCGCGAGCCAATAATAGTCCTTTTGCGATGGACTGCCCATTTTTATTTGCCTTGTTTCCCGCCTGTATCTCTCGGCCGGGTGGTTTCTTAGCATGATGTAAGTTGACACTCTTCGTCAGATCTGCCTTGGGCCTCGTGGCAGAGATCAAGCTAGTTTGTAGTATTTGCTCTCGCGTGGCATATCGCGCGAAGCGCGCGGTGGATGATGTGCTTCGTAAAAGCTAATGTCCTTGCACACTTAATATTTGAGACCACAGTCCCTCTTCAGCTCCACCCTTGGATATTATCTTATACCTCGTTCCTCGTTCTCTTGACATCGCCATGTCGACTGACGATAAGCAAGAAACAAGCGCTTATGCGGCGCCTGAGAATGTCGACAGCTCGCCTTCCTCTAGTATCGCTGAGTTTGCAGGAATTAATGAGAAATCTCTGCTTCGGAAATTGGATCTTCGTTTGCTGCCACCTTTGACGCTCCTGTATTTACTCTCTTTTCTAGACCGCAGCAATGGTTCGTTTGCTCTCATTCTTCACTCATCCCGGAATATGTTGTGGCTCACTGATTGTTGTAGTTGGCAATGCCCGGTTGGAAGGAATGACGGACGATATCAAAATGAGTATGCGGTACCTCAAACTCACTGCATGGAATATTCAGCTAAGACATGATCAAACACAGCGGGTAACCAATACTTGACCGGCCTCACCTTGTACTTTATCGGATACGTTCTTTTCGAAGTCCCAGCGAATACAGTCTTGAAGTTGACCAGACCGAGTATTTGGCTACCGACTCTGACATTGATATGGGGCGTCGTCGCAACACTCCTGGGAGTGGTTCAAAACTATCCTGGCTATCTAGCTTCTCGCTTCTTCCTCGGTGTCGCCGAGAGTGGCCTCTTCCCTGGTGTGGTATTCTATCTTTCTATGTGGTACAAACGCAATGAGCAGCATTATCGAGTTGCTCTGTTCTTCTCCGCGGCTTCGTTAGCTGGTGCCTTTGGTGGTATCCTGGCCTGGGGAATTGGGCATATGGAAGGCGTCGGCGGATACAGTGGGTGGCGCTGGATCTTTATCTTGGTATGGACTATCATCAAGATTGCTTGTCTGAATGATCATTGGCTGATCTATTTGTCTAATCTAGGAGGGACTTCTAACCATCATCGTATCGGTAATTGCATACTTCTGGGTACACAATTACCCTGGAACGGCCAAGTTCCTGACCAAGGAAGAGCGAGAATACATACAATTCCGCCTGAAAAATGACAATGACTCGACTCGTGATGAGAAATTTTCCTGGTCAGCAGTCCTTGATGCGTTCAAAGACCCGAAGGTGTTGCTATACGGTCTCGGTTTCCACTCGTTGAGCCTGCCACTCTACACCCTTTCGCTGTTCTTGGTATGTTATATGCCCGCCAATGAGATCACTTATCAGATAACTGACCTTCCCAAAGCCTACCATTATTAAAGAGCTGGGGTATAGTGCAGCACAAGCGCAGCTGTTGACGGTTCCACCCTACGCAATTGCAACTATGATGACCATCGGTGTCGCCGTTCTTTCTGAAAAGACACGTCGACGGGCTCCCTTTATCATGGGCGCATCAAGTCTAGCTTGCATTGGCTACATCATCCTACTCTCGCAGCAACGTGCAGGAGTAAGCTACGTGGGCACAATCTTCGCCGCAGCAGGAATCTATCCTGCCGTTGCTATCGTGCTCTCTTGGCCGGCAAATAATGTCTCGGGCCAGACTAAACGCTGCATCGCCAACGCCCTTCAAATCTCCATTGGTAATCTTGGAGCAGTGATTGGAACACAGCTGTATCGAACTGAGACGAGCCCACGATTCTTGTTGGGGCACGGCTTTGCGCTCGGGTATTTGGTAGCTAATATTATCGTGGTTGCGGTAACATGGTGGGTTCTTAATCGAGCAAATGCTCAGAAAGCGGTGGAAAGAGAACAGAAAGGGCTTCGTCCGTTGATGGGTGATGTCGGAGATGCAGAAGGAGAGTTTCTTGGAGACCATGACCCTCGCTGGGTGTTCCAGACCTAAGGTGCACCCATACAGACAAGAAAATTTCTGGCGGGTGGGAAAAAGAGACGAGGGGAGAGGATCAATTACCATATTCCAGTGTTCATTGAGCTCACGGTACCTGAAGATTTATGACGTAGCTATAGGACTGTGCCTAGGCGGACAAAGGAGATACAGTGCCTTGTTCTAGTGTAGGAATAGTATTTCAGGACCGAGGACCGGTCACGTATGGCATGTAGTACGCCGAAGGCATATAACCTGGTCTAGAATTCTTGGATTCAATTTTCAACAACTTCCATGCCTAAGCATGGGGTTGATATCATTGAGCAAGCTTAAACACCTACGTATATTACAACACATTCCGACTTGCGGCGCTTGGAATCGTCCTCGTGACCCTGTCGGAACCACCACGTAGGCCACCATTTCTTCATAACCCGTCGATAACGCCGACCTCACAAAAGCACTAAATTTCGAGCGAACAGGCCATTGACTGACAATCTTTGAGACCAATGACCCTAACAAGCTTTCGCATGAACCCCAAATCGCAAACGCGGATCATTCAACATATCAGTGTCCAGCAACGTCAACCATGGGCACCACGGTAGCTGAACTCTCCACCGGAGATCCTCCGGGTTTCCCACAGATTATCTGGTATATGTAGCTAGCGCCTATGGTTAGGAGAGCAGTGGTCAGATATGGGTGTGCAGTTAAAGAGTCTGATATATTGTCAAATGCGATGATTTTCTTGACTTGTTCACTTGGAAATTTTCATGTCAATGCATAAATGTCTTATTTCATTTATCACGGCGAGGATGATCAATTTGATTCTCGTTTATTCGTCTATACATTGGTAAAGTAGCCTTCTTATCATCCCACCCAAGAATCAAGCTCTCTCCGGCCAGTACTTTTGAACCAGAATCTTCTTGTTTACCTTCCCCATAGCATTTCGCTCTATATTATCGACAGTCTTCAGAACAGAAGGCACCTTATATGCCGCCAATTCCTTCTTGAGTTCAGCGCGAAGGGTCTGCAAGTCCATTTCGGCACCCTAGTGCATGTAAATTAGTAAACCGAAAGCTTTTGCCAAAGTCGAATGGGACTTACTTCGCGGAATTTCACTACAGCAGCAACTCGTTCCCCCCATTCAATGTCTTTTAATCCAACAACAGCCACCTCTTGAATCTGGCATAAGGCAAGCATAACACGTTCCACCTGTAGGGCGGAAATCTTGTAGCCTCCGGATTTAATAATGTCGACGCTGGCACGACCTTGAATGAAGTATGCACCGGTTGAATCACGAACAGCGCAATCACCAGTCTTGAACCATCCATCTGCTGTAAACTCCGAGGCGGTAGCTTCGGGCCTCCTCCAGTATTCACGGAAGACATTCATTCCCTTGATTTCAATCATTCCATCTTCGTCGACTGCATCGATAATCCGACCAGTCTCCTTCTCTGTCAGACGAACCTGCACACCTGGCAAAGGCCAGCCAACGCTGCCGTCAATGCGCTTCTCCACTTCCAGCCCACAGCTTATACCCATGCCAATCTCCGTCATACCATAACGCTCGAGCAAAACTTGGCCTGTAATTTCGGCGAATTTGGCTTTGATTGGGGTCGGAAGTGCAGCTGATCCACTGACAACTAGACGCAAAGCCTTTGCACCGGCTCTGGTTGAGGTCTCGTTCTCTGTTCCGCGAATGTGGGCGTCAAAGTAATCGTTTAGGCGAGAGTATATAGTGGGCACTGCCATGAACATGGTTGAAGAACCGCGGTCCTGCCATCGCTCCCAGATGACTTTCGGATCGAACTTGGGGTGCATTTCCACTGTAGCTCCGCTTAAGAGACTGGCTGTAAGTCCATTTATAATGCCATGGACATGGTGTAGTGGGAGAACATGAATCAAGTGGTCGGAAGGTCCATAGTCCCAGGCCGTGACGAGACAGCTGGCTTGGAAAATAATGTTCTCATGTGTTGTCACACATCCCTTGGGATTTGAAGTTGTGCCACTTGTGTAGATCATCAAGGCTCTCCGGTCCAATGGGAACGGCGAAGAGAAAGACGGTAGGGACGGGTTGTCATTGCGGGTGAAAGGGTCGAGGCCGATGAAAGGGATTTGGATGGGCACTGCCTCGCGAAGAGCTGGCGCAACTTTCTCGAAGGCGGGATGAATGATAATTAGGGAAGGATCTGAGTCTTCAATTGTATACAGAAGCTCCTTGACAGGGTGGGATGTGCCTGATGAAATGCGGATTAGCGCTTCCTGAGCTCCTCTAGACTATACAGGACCATTTCTTACATAGTGGTACACAAACGCCTCCAGCAGCCCAAATTGCCCAGCTTGTGACAACGTAGTCATACCCAGCAGGGCACAGATATGCCACTCGCTGCTCATTGAGATCTCCTGATGACGTCGATCCTAGGGTTTCGATGATATGCTTCCGGAGCGCGGCTGCATCTTCAAGAAGTTGTGTAAAAGTGAACGATTCCTTCTTGGTCACATCGATCACTGCAATCTTCTTTGGGTCATCTTTGGCAGTTTGTTGCGCCGCCACGAAAAGTGGCAGCGAAGGGATAGGCATTGCGGGGAACGGGTTTAGCGCAAGGTATGATAAAGAAGACGAGATCGAAACGGTGAATTAGACGCAAACCAACTCGGTATCAACGCAACAGCATGTGATAGCTCAAGCCCAGCGATTCTGGCATCGGACACGAAATTTGTCTTGGAAAGAAATTCGACAGGGGGGTTTAGGCGATCTGAGTCCAATGAATTTAGCCGACCTCGCGATCTGATGCGGCGAGGAGCCGAGGTGGAGTCCTTCGGCGTGCAGTTGTAGACTCCGATCGGTGGGAAATAGCACCGACAAGAATTGGCCTGGAAAAGTGTTGAACTTGGTCTGATTTTGGTTGAGGATCATTCAAAAACTTGTTCCGATCTTCTTCCATTATTTGAGGATTTCAGATTTCCATTGCTTAACGAGATGTCTACTCTGTTATGTTAGAATTATATATGCTCCGTATACTTCAGAGCTCAATCAATTTGGGCTGCGTAGATCCTCCGAATTCAACATCGAACATTCTAGCTTTATGCCAAGCATGATCATCTTTTTGTAACATGATTCTCTACGTTTACTTAAAGTCTTGTTAAGCTTCATTTCTATAGTTCAGATCAGAAGACTGCTTGGAAGGAGGCACGTGACTATCGTTAACCCCGAATCTCCGATGACGGAAGGCTTTTGAAGCTACGAAGCTCGTTGACTCAAAGCTGGGATTACCTCCCACCTGCAACCATGCTTCTTCGAACAAGCCTACGGGCTCGTTTGCTGCGGCCCGCTGGCTTTCGCGCCGTGCGATTCAACTCTTCAGCACCGCTTATTCGCATTGAGAACGGAACTTTCTACAAGCAATATCCGACCGAGGACAATGCCACAACCAATCTGCCTCTGTACCCGAACCTCGACTTCACTTTACCCTCCGAGGCGGTGATCTCTCCCACGAAGGGACCCTCACTGCAACATTGGGCCGTAATTGGTCCCTCGACTCGAACAGATCTACTCGACATATTCCGTGGCCAGCACATTGCGATCCCTCCTACCGCCCGGTCATATCCCTACCTCCTCTCCGATGAAATCGCTGCGAAGGACCCCCGGCTACGCATTATTGGAAATGCCATTCAGTACATCGGATTCAGTGGTGAAGGTTCTGGTGCCATTGGAGGTACTCGTGGCGCATACTTGAGTGCGCGCTATGAGAGTCTTCGCGAAGAGACCGATTGGACGGTGGAGCAATTCCTGCGAGGGCAGACATCGCTGAATCCTCCTGAGGGGGAAGAAAACGGTACTCTGAAGGATGAGGAGTTGCTGAAGGAAGTTATTACGGATCTGCACCTGGAATCGCTGCTTGGCATGCCAGTCGCAAATCTGAGCAACGGACAGACGCGACGGGCTCGTATCGCTAAGGCCCTGCTCGAGAAGCCGGAATTGTTGCTCCTAGATGAGCCTTTCAGTGAGCTACCACGCCGTTTCATATTGTGATATTGGACTGTAACTAAACTTTATTCTAGTGGGATTGGACCCGGCCACTACCCGAAGTATCTCGAATCTGCTTCACCGACTGGCAGAGAAACAATCACCCCGGCTGGTACTGGCACTTCGCCCTCAGGATCGGATACCAGACTGGATCTCTCATGTAGTTTTGGTGGGCAAAAATCACCAGGTACTTCAACAGGGAACAAAGCCAGACATTCACGCAACCCTTCAGGCATGGCAAAAGATGCCTGTAACAGGAAAGAGATTTCCAAGAAATCCCGAAAAACTGGCTAAAATGCTTGAATTTCGCGCTCATCTAGAGTCAGGGAATCTTGATGAGCAGTTGCTCCAGGACTTCACCTTGAATCAAACCAAAAAACCTCTAAAACAAGAACATGCATCACTAGGCGGGGAGGCCCTCATTGAAATGGATGGAGTTCGTGTCCAGTACGGTGATAAGGTCGTGCTGGGTGACTGGAAACAGAAGGTGAATGATGAAACTAAGGAGGGCCTTCACTGGCGGGTGCGCCGAGGGCAACGCTGGGCGGTACTCGGTGCAAACGGTTCCGGGAAGACGACACTGTTGTCGTTGATCACATCGGATCATCCACAAGCATACTCACAGCCCGTTAAGATCTTTGGTCGGTCTCGTCTTCCTGAGGTGGGCAAACCCGGGATTTCCATCTTCGAACTACAGTCTCGCCTCGGCCATTCATCACCTGAGATCCACGCCTTCTTCCCACGCCAGTTGACGGTGCGGCAGGCTTTGGAGTCGGCCTTTGCGGAGACTTTCCTGTCCAAACCAAGTCTTGATCACGAGAAGGATCTCGATGTGAGTGCAGCTCTCCGAGCTTTCAAGGCCGAGCTGGACCCCAATACCTCCCCCGAGGAAGCACCAACGGTATCCATCGAAAAATTGTTCCCGAAACTGGACCCGGAAGGCTCAGGCAAGGTAAAAAAGCCTGCCACTTCCACTTTCTACATGCCCTTGGAATACCAGGTTGAGTATGCCGACAACATCAAGTTCGGTGAGCTGAGCACTGCACAACAGCGAATTGTGCTATTCCTGCGTGCCTTGATTCATAAACCGGACATTGTCATCCTTGACGAACCATTTTCGGGCTTGACCGCCTCACAACGCGATAAGTGCTTACAATTCATTGAGAAGGGGGAAGCTCTTAAGGACTTAAAAATCCCCCGTGGCGTCCCACTCCGACACCGCGGGTTATCAGAGAATCAGGCCTTGGTTATGATCAGTCACGTGAAGGAGGAGATCCCGAGCAGTGTGCGGTATTACATGCGCCTACCGTCTGAACTAGGCGAGGGTGCTGAACCTGTCGATTTCCGCGCTGGCATGCTGAAAAGCTCCAGCGTGCTAAGCGATTCGGCAGTCTGGGATTTGGTGTGGTCCCCGGCTGGACAATTTTCACAAAATAGTGAGAAGACGACCATTGAGCAAACGTCTAAAAAGGTTGGACACGATGACTTTGAGAGATTCGGATATTACACGATATAGAGGCATTCCGGGTGTACAGCTAGTCTAGAAGTTGGGCTCTAGATTTGTATTATGAGATTTCAATGTAACATAGTGGAACCTTTATATTTCTTATCCGTTGCTAAAAAATGGTCTTAATGACTTCCACATTTACCCAAAGACCAACGCCCTAACCTCAATGCTCTCCCGCGCCTTTCCACCTGGGGGAGTATTGGGATCAGCAAATGAAGTATGTGCCACGCGCTTGGCCACTCCGTCTTGGCTATCAAAGCACTTGAGAAGAATTCTCTCATCATCATTCACGCCAGCGCAGAACCTCCACTCCGTCCTAGGATTGTATTTAACACCCATGATCTCCCCATTGAAAGTTGGATACCGGTGCTGAATAGTAACAAAGTCTTCATCCTCGGTCGTTGTTGTAGAAGCGAATGCCAATGGCGAAGATTCAACGGTGCCATTAATCGGTCGCCAGACATTAATGATGCGATATCGCTCGCTGAGGTACTTCTTCGCCAACTTCGGATCAGATACATGCTTGCGCACTCGCGATTCAGCGGACCACTCGGTTTGGTCTGCGTGGACCTGGTTGACTGGTTGACGCGGGGCATGGGGGTTTGCCCGGCGTATGGTATGATCAAAGAATATGATAGTGTGGGCTCCAGGAACTGTTTCAAGGAGTAGTTGTTCCACCTCGGGATAGTATATCTCCCGAATGGCGTCGTCGGAGTTGAACGTCTCGTATTTAGTTGTGGACGGGATGTTTTTCAGGATTTGAAATGCATCGCGATCGAGGGAAAATTGATCTTCGGTGCCTCGAATGTCGTGAATTGGAACTGTACGAATATCGCTATTGTAGTTGCGCCATGGCTCCCCCTGTGGTGGCTCTTCCACGTAGTTGTATGGAGATGTCCCATCATTAGGGGCCTTGTAGAAGACCAGTTCTGCGTGGATGGTAGGACTGGTCATTGCACTGAAATGGATCTTGAGTTTCCGCGTGTGGGAGGTGGGGGGAGAAGTAGATGGAATGGAATTATAGCCTTGTAGGTTCTGACAAGCGTGCTTTATATGCCACGATTAGTCTCCGAACTTCCGGTTGAAGAAGGTCTGACGGTTTCTTTCCGCTCGGGATTTGAAATCTCACAGTTGAAGCATATCCGGCTTTTGTTAATCTGTCGCAGCTCAAAAGTTTTAATCTAAGTACAAGAAAAAATAAGCTCCCAAATATGGTTTGAAATTGCCCCCCAAAGTACGTGACTTGATGTGTATTGCTTTGCAGCTTTTGCATTTCTCGGTCAATCTCTCAGTGATACGCGTGTCTAAGGAAAAATTGTGGGCAATATGCCTCTACACAGGCCGCGGTCTATACCTTTCAATATGTTGATAGGCTCAACTTCAGCTTCTCTTGACAAGCACGCCATGCAAGTATGGGAAAGTCGAAAATGACGCAGCCATCTCCAAATTGTTCTCGGCCCACCCGCCATCCCCCTGTGCGGCCTTCACCAAAATTTGAGCTGTATCCTGGTTCAATCGACAATCACCAATGAAAAACGCCCAACCACATATCATGTATAATTGCTGAAAGATTCGGGCCACAATACTTCCCTTGGGCTTTGTCCATGGGTTGGCGACGTGTTCGCAAATCAGCATACGTCCTCCTGGCCGCAAAAGTTTATAGAGCTCGGATGCAGCGGTCTGTGGATCCGAAATGCTGCATAGAGCTCGAACGCAAATGATGGTGTCAAAAAGAGTGTCGCCTTCTTCCCAGGAGGTAATAAATCCACCGCGGAGAAGCTCCTTGACTAATTGATCGGTGCTTGCGCCCGCAGCGAGAATTTGATACCGTTCATGCAGATTTTGGTCATTTGCTTGTGACTGGAGCTTCTCATGAAGCTCGATGCATGGCTCGGCACCATATATCTTGGTGATTTGGGGCCCCTTTAGAGATGACATTTGCGAGCCACTTCCGGGTCCAACCTCCAAGACGATGCCCGTTGCTTGGGCAAGTATTGGGGGAATCAGACCCGCTGAGAGAGATGGAGGTGTGCCAGGAGGCTTGGGAGCTAATATGGGGGATTAGACTCAAAATGAAGGATTGGTTACTTGGAATTGTAGTCATACCAGAAAACTCAAGCCAAAGAGAGGAAAATGCCGTTCCGCGTATCTTCTGCCATTGGCTCGCGGACATGGGTATATCTCCCTTCACTACGGCGGAGAAGACCGTTTTCAAATAGTCTAGTCGCGAGTTAATCTTTTGAGCTTGTCCCTAGGATAGCCAACAAGAAACCATCCCCCGCAAGGGATATGTGACGTACGATATATGGCTGACTTTAGCATCAAAGTCGGCTCAAAAAGAGACCATGCCCATTGTGATGTTAGGGAAGTCATTATAGCAATTTTGAGGTTCAAGAGTCGTTCGAGGTAGATGCAACTTGAGAGTCTGTAAGAGAGCAAATCAGGAAAACGGCCCAGTCACGGTCCTGCCGACAAAGCGGGGACTTTGTTCTGTTCGGATCAAAGGCCGAGCAAAATTTAGAACGAGTGTCATTTTAGCCAATGAGAGCCCTGGGGGTGCCACTCGGCCTTTGAACCTATATGTGATGCTTCGACATTGAACCATTCATTTTTTATACAAGGCAGATCTTATAACCTTCAAGCCAAAGAGATTGATGAAGATCCATTTCAAAATTGTCACCTCTTGATATCCAAAAATGTCGTTCTATAACGCATTCAAGAAATCCCTCCCATGGGTACAATCACCACTTATCGCCAACGCCCCCATGAGCGGCGCAGCATTCAACGAGCTCGCCATTGCCGTCAGCCGTGCTGGAGGGCTAGGTCAAATCGGCTTCTTGGATGACATGCACGAACTTTCAAACGAGCTACAGGTCGCGCGTGACAAACTACAAGACCTGATGTCGACTCTTCCCGATCCACAGATTTTACCAATCGGAGTTGGGGTGATAGTTTTCGGGTCCCCAAAGGACGCATGGATGACGCTTTTCAGAACGCACAAACCAGCCGTGGTTTGGCTTTCGTTCGCAGGGACAAGTGAACTTCGACAATGGACGGAAGCAATTCGTCAGGCATCACCAAAATCACAAGTGTGGGTTCAACTGGGCAGCGTGAAAGCAGCTTTGGATGTCGCGCAAGCATGTCACCCCGATGCGTTGGTTCTACAGGGCAGCGATGCCGGCGGTCACGGCCATCAAGATGGGGCTAGTATCGTGAGCCTCATTCCCGAAGTCACGGATACACTTCTGCAGCATGAGATTGGCGATATTCCCTTGGTCGCAGCGGGTGGCATCGTTGATGGCCGAGGCACTGCTGCAGCCCTGGCCCTCGGGGCATCGGGAGTGGTGATGGGAACGAGATTCCTATCAGCACCAGAAACTCGAATTCCGCAGATCTATCGTGATGCAGTCTTCAAAGCTTCCGACGGAGGACAAGCTACCGCCCGATCGCGAGTTTTTGACGAGATCTGGGGACCCAATTTCTGGCCAGCTACTTATGACGGACGGTGTCTCCGGAATAAGGTGTACAATCGATATGCATCGGGCATGGATATTAACAAGATTCGAAGTTGGCTGGTATCGGAAATGAATGGTCCGGGTTCTAAGTCGTTGGATGTTCAAGATATGGGCAGCCTATGGGCTGGGACGGGGGTGGGAATGGTGAATACGATGCAAAAGGCGGGTGATATTGTCCGAACAGTACGAGATGATGCCATGAAGAGAATTGGATCTCTCGCTTGAGAGGAGTGACTCAATCATACAGTATATAATTAGCTGCCCGACATAACAAGTATAACAGCCTGGTATATGCCACATACTGCGTGTTTGGAGTCGAACGTGCCGTTTGTGGCTCTTTTTACCTGTCATCTGATCCTCTAGTCCAATCTCGCACAAATCTAAATCACAAACGAAGGGATTGAATTGGAGGGCCCAAGGAACGCAATGACCTGCTCTCAGCTGGTCAAAAATCCGATTCGAACGAACAGAGAAAGGATCTCGCCAGTTACGCTTCAACTTGATCTCTTGAAAGATCCTTGTATAGGTCTTGGGATCGTCTCTTTAAACAGCGTCTGGGTTGACTCGCGAGTTACCTTGGAAGGCAAGTCTATCCGATTTACGTTTTGAAGTTTGGTGAGGGATTCCATTACTACCCGCAAAATCTATATATGCCTGGACGAAGCATGTTATGAACTAGGCTTGTTACGGATAATCCAATCTAGGCGGAGGCCGCCACAACAAAGGGCAAGTTACCCAAAGCCAAAGCGGACAAGTATGCAGTATAGCTGATGATTTTCAAATGTCCCATGGATGAAAATACCAAATCTGGAAGCGCTGTCTTAAGCCATACTAGTTCATAAGACCAATATCCCAGTTTCATATATTTCCTCTCTACCTCTCCTCATGCTTTTGACTTCACCATCACCATCACCACCACCTGCCACATACCAGAATGAAATTCTCAAGTGCTCGTCTCGAACGCTACCTCAAGCGCTCGAACAAATCCAAAAGCCTGTTAAGGGAAGGGGAATTCGATCCGTGTGGTCCCAATTTAAAGAACGTTTGGCCGAATCACGAAGAAAAAAGGCTGCGGCGAAGAGAACTAAACGGAAAAATCCAGTTTCTCACTCGTCTTCATCGGAAACCCGCCCACATGTTTCTCTGGACGACGTTTATCTCCTTCAACGGGCCCCCAGATAATGCTGTGGTATATCTACTCCTGATCAACAAACAATATTTGGCTCCTGCGAAGCTACTATATACTCGGGTACCTTATGTCCCTGGATTAAATATATTCAAACAGAAAGACTTCTTGAAGTATGGATTTAGGGTGAATGAAAGTGGACTGACTGAGAAAACTTCCAAGTAATAATTGTTTCTACTTAGCAGAATTGATCCGAGAGATGCACTTGAGATAATTGTCTGTCAAATGTCATATTAGGAAAGAGCGATGTAGAGAAAACGCTTCGTATCTTCCTGCTCATCTCATCTCGCTTGTTTGTTGATCTCAAGATCAAATTCCATATATTCGTGAGCAAGGTCAACTACAGTACTGTGAAAAACGAAAGGCTGATTGCGTACCAATGCATTTATAGATGCTCGTTTGTGGAACCGCCACCGCTCCCGTCTCCTTGGACGACCTCGAGTACGAGCACAATGTTGAACTCAAGAACATGTGAAATTCTTGAAGGGAATTTCCGAGGGTGTTGCGAGCCTCGTAGAGAAGAGCAAGGCAGAGAAATGTAAGCATATAACTTGTGACCACTCTTGGGAGTCACTGACTAACTCTATATTACTTAGGGGAAGGAAAAGGCTGTGGAACAGGGCCTCAAGGATGACCAGGGGACCCTTAAAGATAGGTCGGACAAAACGGTCAAGCGGGCAAGCAGATTGAGTGTTGGCACTTCCTCGTCCGGTCCAGCTTGGGTTCAGAGCCGGGATCATCCACATGTTGAGTTGTGATATTTCCGGTGACAGCCCCCATTTGTTTATATCTTCGGATATTCGGAACAGTCACTCGGCTGAAGAAAACTATGAGGGTACGCCTGGCCTATTCACACTTAGCTACTACACCAGAGTTCGGAGGGACTGCAAATTCCTGCTTTTGTTATCCAAGACTCAGCCTGAAACTCTTTTTGTTTTGCCTCTTTCACACCTGCTAAGCCTATTACATTTGGTGTTTTCTGATAGTAATTAGCCCGCAAGTAGTGTTTACCTTAAGGTAATATCTCCTGTCCTAGTCTACGCTCTCAAGACCTAGTTTAGGTGACCGAGTAAGAGGTGCACAATGTTATTGTCGAAGAAGGATATGTAAAAGAAAATGTGTTGAAGGACATGTTGAAAGATGTATTGAAAGACAAGCTAAAAGACGTGTCGGATGATGGTTGATGAGAATACGCCGAATACTGGTACATAAAGAGCATCTTTAAAACTAAAAGGCCATTCGATAAAGAGAGTATCCAATGTAAAATTTCTGATAACTTGTAGTACCGCTCAGCTGTAAGCCTTCTGGGTACTACTCGTAATGTTATTTTAGCTACCACACTCATTGTATGATCATACCAAGTACACCCCCTAAATCACAGGAGGCTGAGCCGCAGCTAATTGACCCGGTTGAACAGTTCGCAGTCCATCCTCGCTGTGATCTTCCAGCCCCCGAGCCACAAGGTCGGTGAAATCGACCCCAACCTCGGTCAATAGGGCAGCATGCTCATGCACGATGTCAAGACATCTGTGCCAGACGGAAGTGCCCCGCTGCACGCTGCTGAGCTGGCGGCGAAGTAGGGCGTTGAATCCGTCGAGGTGTGTCTTTGCCCATCGGATGCAGGAACTGGTCATGACGCTGGGGAAGCATTGCTGGTAGATGCTGATGGTGTTTTTGATCAAGGAGAAGTAGACGAAGGAGATTTGGAAGATGTAGAGTGGGAGGTCACCCTCGAAGACACAGGCCCTGTTTGGGTCCAGGTTAGTACGGTAAAGGGCAACGAGGAATTAGTGGGTGTGCATAGGTTGCAGGATCATACCGGATACGTTGCGAAATCACATCAGACCGTGCCTTCAGATAAGTCTCCCGCGCTTGATCCTCGAATCCCAGGCGGCTGAGCCAATTCACGTTGGTCTTGGTCGCTCCCGGGAACGAGTGCGTATCCACCAACGATCGCGAAAGCATGCCAGCCAGCCGCGTCGCCCGTCCATCGACCTTGACATTAATGACCTCTTGAGCAATTGCATTTCCTTTGAGCCCCTTTGCAAGTTTTCGCAATCGCTCAATACTGGAAACGGCCGCTTCAAAGTGTTGCAAGGCGATGTCAATGTCCAACTCGTCGACCTGTCCCTCCACCCAGCGGAGGTTCTGCTGTTTGCCATCGACATCAATACGCAAGTCAGATTTATCGCGCGGGCTATCTACAAGATCAAATGCTTCTGCCTTTTGCGAGTACGACAGATGTCGCCCGGCGAGGTATCCATATGCCTCCAAGGGCTTGCTTGCAGCCTCGGTTTCGGTTCGCAAGTTTCGTCGTAGATCTTCCACGGTCTTACGGAACGTGGCAAGCAGTTCATTCTTTGTGGATGTGTCGCGTTTGTCTTGTCGATAAGTAAACGGCTTGGATCCCACCCGGATGCTGATCGCATTCGCAATACCACGATCCAGTGCCTCTTCGCGAGCGGCACCCGTGCCCAGGTTCGCCGCCAGATCGATCATGTCGATGTCCTGCAGTGGCCAGCACTCTTCCGCGACGAGCTTGGTGGGAACTGGACCGCGTTGGTTGGTTTGGCTCTGATCCACTCGTTTGCGCTTCTTGGCAGCTACCAGCAGGTGATCATTTAACAAAACAATATGCACTGGTCTCTTGGGCTTCCAGGTGGCCGAGTCCAGCTCAGCCCAATTGCCTGTTTCCAGCACAATATGCCGTCCGGGCACTGCCGGCAAGAACTTCTGGGATCCTTCCACCGTCTTCCACAATGTTTGCAATTGGACACTCCACATGCTTTCCAAGTTGGCGACCGAGCTGCGGTTCGCATTGCGTTTGGGGAACTGATCATCTGTGGGCGACATGGGGTTCGGCGTGTTGGCCACCGTGGTCTGTCCGAGGGCAGTGGTGAGCTCGGACATGAGCGTGCGAAGTGTCCGCATTTCGTCCTTGAGCTTCTCCGCCTCTTTACTGATCTTGATGAATTGGGTGCGATTCTGGTAGACATTCTGTTGCAGATCGGTCGAGGTTCGGTTTTTCACTTTGCGTAAGCTTTCCTGGTACTTCTGGATCTCTTCCTCGGATGCATTGGCGAGCAAGTTGGCGACATCTGTGTGAGAGGAGAGGGGCCACCTGTCAGCTCAAGGTCTTTGATTCAGGCTGCTTGATGGTAGTACAGTAGACGCGGGATACGTACATCGCTCCACTGGTAGACTAGGATCTCGCAATGCGTTCAAATCCACCTTGGGCGCGCCATCCGCCGGCGATGGTTGCCTTGGAACTGCTGCTGGAGCTTCCAGCCCTCCATATCCACCGGGAGCTTGCGTAGGCAGAGCGGGTACTGGAGGCACACTCGCACCAAAGTCTGGGACTGCATTGAACCGAGTTGAGTATCGGCGCTTCACGAGATCGGAGGTGGCCTCGCTCTGGGGAGCTCGCTCGCGACCAACGGGGATGGAACCTTGAGGTGCATCGGGGGCTCGGGTGTTGGGGGGTAAGGGGCCGGAGATGGGTTTCGGAGCACTGATTTGAGGCCTTTGGCGACGGGACTTGCTTCGTAGGGTTAAGCCTCGGCCTTCCATGATGTCGGGGGGAATTGGGCGGGGAGGACAGATCAATGGAGGAGGGGACAATTGGGGGATCGTCGAAAGGGAGGAAGCGTCAAGTCAACACGGTCGGGACTGGGGGAGAGCGCCAAAAGAGGCATAGCGCACGATGACGAAGTATACCTCGACGATACCACGTCTGGACTCTCACGGGGGATTTTGAGTTGAAAGAGAGCTTGGGCAGTAGAATACTCTGGCTGATTGGTCCTCATATATTGAATTAATTCAATTTATAAGGATTGGATGCTTGACAGTACCTAGTAGTAGTAGTAGTAGTAGTAGTAGTAGTAGTAGTAGTAATCTATCGGTCGAGTAAGTATATTCCGGAACCAACCTGTATATGTCTATCTCTGTTACGTTACCGCTATGGTTTGTGGATATAGATATATTTTTTGACGCTATAATCAATATGCATAATCTACTGGTATCTTCTTCTATCTTCCTGATTTCCTTCTATTCTGTTTGCCTTCCTTCTTTGCTGTTCACTGCTCCAGTCATTGGGGAGTCCAATACTCGTCTGTCGGAGCCGACGGAAGAACGTAAATCCTCCCTCAAATTTATCGTCCCCAAACACTCCCGAAACAGCTCCCCGTTGGCTTCTTTCACGTCACTGTCCTCCTATCTTTTCATCCGCGCTCTCTGGTCGTGCAGTCGGTCGCTTACCAGTTCCCTTTCATCACATATATTTCCACATTCCATCATGCGGACATCTGTTCTGGTTGCCGCGTCGGCCGGCACGATCGTCACCGGCCTGCTCGGTAAGAACCCATCCCCATTGAATCTTGCAACCATTTCAGAATCATCAATTTAGCTTTTCGTGGATTCTGCCTGCTGTCTTTATGGGAATTCATGACTAATCCGATTGCTTTGCATGTACAGCCTACGCCGTGTACTTTGATCACAAGCGACAGACCGACCCCGAGTTCCGCAAGTCTTTGAAGCGGAACAACCGCAAGCTCGCCAAGGCTGTCAAGGAAGAGCAGGATGCCCACGGAGCTGCCCAGCGGGATGCGATCAAGCAGGCTGTGCAGCGTGCCAAGGAGGAGGGCTTCCCTGCCGACTTGGAGGAGAAGGAGTCCTACTTCATGAACCAGGTTGCCAAGGGTGAGGGCTTGTGTGCTGAGGGTATGTGGCAGACAATCGAGAATGAATGATGAGATGGATGCCAATGGATTGCTAACTGAGATCCTTTTTTTTACTATGTGACAGGCTCCGACAACCTCGAGGCTGCTCTTGCCTTCTATAAGGCCCTCAAGGTCTACCCGCAGCCCAAGGACCTGATCTCAATCTATGACAAGACTGTTCCTAAGGAGTGCCTGGAGATTCTGGCTGAGATGGTTGCCATGGACTCTAGCCTCGACCTGGGTGGCACATTCACTGGTGAGGGACCCGTTGCCGGTGCCGACAACCATGGTGTTGAGTAAATTCATCACTCGTGCATGGGTGACTTCCCTGGTCATTTCGATACCCCCGATCTTGGGCGGTCTGGGATATCTGAATGCCTCAACTCTGACGAGCTCTTGGATTGCTTTTCCTTGATCTGTCTTGCCTGTAATATCTGACTGTCCTCCTTTGTCTCCTCCTCTTTCCAACCATTCTCTGCGGCCTTTTTTTGCTCGATGAACTCCTCGACACTGCCCCCCGCTCTCCACTTCTTTCTCCCTCTTTCCTTTTTTTTTTCTATTTTTTATTTGGGTCTCCTGTACTGTGTATATCTATTGGGTCTTGGCCGGAATCGGCGTGGCATCCGCGGCCTTCGCGGCCTTGGTATTTCTGGGCGCCATGACTTTCCGCGCAACACGGGCCCGTGTTGGTTGTGTTGTGGCTGTTCTGTTTTCTGTTGTTTCTGCATTGGTTGTCTTTCTCCTCCGGGCTTGAGGGGGGGTCAGGCGAAGAGGGCATGGAATGGATATATACGGCCTGTATTTTAGAGCGCAAATGCAAAAAGGCGATGTTGGAGATTTACGATCAAGGTTTGGAGATCCGCGTAGTTTGATCGTCGGAGGGTATCTGATTGGATAGAGAAATGTAGGTTTTGGGATCGGAGATCAGACAGGATATAAGTTCTGACAATCCCATTAGGAGTATCAATGTCATTCGTACTACTTCGTACCATCCATGATGACTCTGGCGATAATATCCTCCCTCCCAGACTGATCTGGTCACTGATTCAGATGGCAACCACTAAAATCTCACGCTAACCCACTAACCCGCCCCGTCTCCGAGCCACCAGTTGAACCTTCACCTTTCAGGGTTTCATTGGTCCCTGGCGCTAGTCTGGAAAAGGGACTCCACTGAGTCTCACCATTGGCCTTGGTCTCTTTCTCTGTCTCTGTTCTCTGGTGGTGGGCGCCAATTCCCCCGCTGATCCTGGGCCTCTTCGGTTTAAAGCCCGCCTCCTTTTCCCCCGACCTTCCTCTTGTAGTTCCTTCTGACTTCTTCGTCGAAGCATATTTTTCCTTCTACTTCTGCTTCTCTTGTCTTTGTCGCGTGTCGCGCTCCTTCTTTTGGTCGATTTCGCATCGCCTGCCACTCGTTCTTTCCCTCGCGCACTGCGCTGTCGCTCTTTCAGCTCTCGACTTCGACTTTCGACTTGCCGAAATCTACGTTTCCTGTCGCATCTTTCATTCCTCCGTCTCACATACAATCCCTTCAAGATGGTTTCCGTACGGACTGCTCAATCCTGCACGATATGCAAAGTCAGAATTTAAAACAGTCCGCTGACACCCGCCTCTATATAGTCCTACACTCGTCTCCTCACGGCCATCTGTGCCCTCGCTGGCTCCGCCGCTGCCGTGACTCCCCTCAAGGTCCAGGGCAAGGACTTTGTCAACTCCAAGACCGGTGACCGGTTCCAGATTCTCGGTGTTGAGTGAGACAATCCCTCTATACTCCCATTCCCCACATTCCAGTGGCGGCCCCGTGCGAACCCTCGCACACTCGCACACGACAGTATATAAACTGTACCTGAACTGGAAACTAATGTATGCGACAGCTACCAGCCTGGTGGTTCCTCTGGTTTCACCAAGGACAAGGATCCTCTCAGCGATGGCGATGTCTGTCTCCGTGATGCCGCTCTGATGCAGCGCCTGGGTGTAAGATCTCAACCAACGTCAACCCCCCATGGATGCGAAGCCCTAACTGATCATGTCGCATTAGATCAACACCATTCGGGTCTACAACCTCGAGCCTACCCTCGACCACAACAAGTGCGCCTCCATTTTCAACGCCGCCGGTATCTATATGATTCTCGATGTCAACTCCCCTCTTACCAATGGCTATTTGGACCGCACCGCTCCCTGGACCACCTACACCAACGCCTACTACCAGCAGGTCTTTGGTGTTATCGAGGCCTTCAAGTCCTTTGACAACGTTCTCGGCTTCTTCGCCGGAAACGAGGTTATCAACGAGGATGCCACTCGCCTGGCCCCTGCCTACGTTCGTGCCGTCATCCGTGACATGAAGGATTACATTGCCAAGCAGTCTGACCGCGCTATCCCCGTTGGTTACTCGGCTGCCGATGTCCGCGACATTCTGATGGACACCGTCCACTACTTTGAGTGCGATATGAAGAACTCCACTAGCTCCCGCGCTGACTTCTTCGGTCTCAACTCCTACTCTTGGTGCGGTGATGCCACCTACAAGTCCAGCGGCTACGATGTCCTGACTGAGGACTTTTCCAACGCCACTCTGCCCGTTTTCTTCTCCGAGTACGGCTGCAACGAGGTCAAGCCCCGTGTCTTCACCGAAGTGCAGGCCCTGTACGGCGACGAGATGACCCAGGCTTTCTCAGGCGGATTAGTGTACGAGTGGACTCAGGAAGATAACGACTATGGTCTTATCCAGATCAATGATAATGGTACTATCACCACCCTGATCGACTTCGACAACCTGCAGAAGCAGTTCAGCAAGCTTGACATGAGCCGTATCTCCGCTAGCAACGCCTCCCAGACCGGTGTCACCCCGGAGACTTGCGACGCCTCTTTGATCACCACCTCGACCTTCTACAATGCCTGGAACCTGCCCGATGCCCCTTCCAAGGTCTCAGACTACATCAAGAACGGTCTGCCCAACAAGCCCTCCGGGTCTCTGGTCTCGGTGACAGCTACCACTCTGTCCGAGAAGGTGTACGACTACACAGGCCAGGAGATCACCAACGTCGAGTTCAAGGTTCTGGCCAATGACGAGTCCAACACTCCCTCCAACTCGTCCGTTTCTAGCACCTCTTCCTCCTCGTCTTCCTCGGGTACCTCCACCCACTCCAACGCCGCTTCTTCTCTGAACGGCGCCCCCTCCATCGCCCTGGGTGGTTTGAGCGGTCTTTTCATGCTTCTTGCTTCGCTGCTGTAAATGATGTTTTCTTTCCATTCATAGGGAGCATTAGTGTCGGACTATTTTCGAGTTGACCCAATCCTCGATTTGTACAAACTATTCATTGTTCCGACGCTTGGCTGTCATGTGATTTACTCCTTTTTTTTCAGTTTCGTTGTACATGCTTCGTTGGAGTCAACGAATAATGTCATTTGCTTCTTGACAAGTGCCTATCCATGGCTAGTCAATCTTATTTGTTTCCCTAATGCCCATGATCCGCGGGTTGCAGTATAACGTGGTGAGAGTAAAGTTAGGCGTGGTCAGATGCCCTTTTTATACTGTTTCTGATAACCTTTAGCTATACGTTTAATTATCCAGTTTATACTATCTCTCTACGCTTAACCTACTCATTTTTAAAGATGCTTCTTATACAGTATCTTATGTAAATTATTACTAATCTTTTAACAACTCCTTCAACACCTCCTTTTACACCTCTTTTGTTGAATATTAATTTTAATAACTTTCATACGGCCGTATGATCCAACTTCATCTAGTGTCTTCACTTTGTTTAAAAATAGACTCTAGTATAGTTGAGTTCTTTATGTAAATACCACCAGTCCAATACGTGCAGCTGGAGGTTGAATATAACGAATTCAATCGCCAATCTTGAGTCGCTCATCAAGAGATTTCTGACCACGCTCAACATCAAGTGTGACCACATTCTACTGTGTGCCCTTTGATCCGTATTTCAACCCATGTCGTAAGATGAGTAGAATTTTGAACGCTAGTTATGAGTGTTTGTGTCCGCGATTTACCTTGAAACGCCGATTCGACGCCGTTGTATTGAATAACGTGGTTTAAGCTGGAGCTTGGAGCAGATTGAATCATTAAAATCAATCAAAAATCAAATGTAAATATCACAATAATCAAGAACTAACTAACTAACTAAAATGATAGATGATTAATGCAATGCCAACCAATCTTGCTTGCTCTCTACCGAGCCAGTCGAGGCCGTATCAAGGTAGAAAAGGAAGATCGAGATGAAGGTACCGAAACATCCAAACAAAAATGTATGCAAATCGAAATGTAACTCAAAATCCAAAATATTCATCATTCACCACGCCCGCTCTTTGCCCTTTCCCTTGCCAGATGACTGGGAAGGCGAGAATGGTGTCGATGCCAGAGCTGGGAACTCCTCCCATTCCTCGCCGGTCACATCGCCGCGACTCTTATCCTCGGCCAAACTGAGCTGGATGGCAAATTCCAGGTCATCCATTTCCTGCCTTTGACTCCTTTCAGGCCCTCCATGGTCCGGTGATGAATGCCGCGGTCTGCGCACTCCCTTTGCGTACTTGATGGGAATCGAGGGTGTCAGATCCTCGGTTGTAACTGAACTCTTGTCATCAAGCAAACTGAGGCGAATGGCCTCGGCGAGGTCATCATCAATGCTCTCCTCTACCGGGTCTTGGGAGGGTGAAGATGAAGACGACACTTCAGCCAGACCGAAGGAACTTGGTCCGATGACATCGCTAACAGAGGTACTGGTAGCAGAGCTTGCGATGGCTGTCCGGTCGCGGCCGTCACGCTTGCCCGCGTCCACACCCGCAGAATAGGCTTCTTCGCTCAGGAGTTGTGCGTAAAGCAAAAGTTGCTCTTCATCGATCTCGGGCCCGAGAAGGTCGACACCGAATCGAGTACTCAAGTGCGCTCTTTCCTTAGCAATTTCGGCCTCTCGTCGCTTTAGTTCGACGTGCTCGTCCTCGATAAAGTCGCGAATTGCACCACGTCCGCTGGTGGTGAAGCGTTGACCGTCAGCAGCACCGTTGCTACCCCGTAGAGAACGGCGAAGGCGGCGTTTGCTGCACTTGTACTGGTCTGCGGCTGACGAACTATACGACCAATAGCGAAGATGAGTACCCAAGGATACCATTCCACGGAGGATGGTCGGATCTGGATCCAGGCAAATCGCTCCTGTCGCGAAGTAGTTGCTTCCAACCCCGAGCATGGAAGCTTCTGCCTGTACCAAGCGGCGTCGCGCACGGGAAGAAAAGCGCGAGTTGATTGTCCGGATTGGCCGGGTAGACGAAGCTAGGGGATCCCAAGCTTGCACCAGACCATCGTTACCACCGTGAACTAGGTACAACGATGTCAAGGCCACGCATGATACCTGCGGAGACTCGGTTTGAATGAATCGTAGCGGTGCAATCGAGTTGATCACATCGGCACTGTGCGCGGGGGAAGCACGGATATCCCAGACAAAGACTGTACCAGTGGCCGTTCCCACAGCCAGATAGCGCGCACGTTGACCAGGGACCTCGAGGGTCGAGTGCGGCTGCTCCATATGCGGTAGCATTGGTGAGGACGTTGCAGAGGAGAAGGAACTTCCAGAAATTGCAAGCAACGGATCTTCCTGCGCGGTGACGGTCGCAAACATCGAATTGTCCATCGCAGTAGCTGTGACTTCCACCAATTTACGATCGCCGAATGTGAAATCCGAGATGCGCCATTCCGTATTCAATACACGTGATCGTTCGCTGAACCGGCTTGATGATCGAGATGGCGGGAAGCTCGGAATGGGCGTCAAGCTTGAGGCCATCGCTGGACCACCAAAGAGGGACGTGGCAACTTGGTCCCGGGAGCGAGCAGAGCCACCGGGTGTTGATGGGGACGACTTGACATCGGCCTTTGCTGCAACACGAACATATCGCCTAACGGAAGCCCTCTCCGTCTCGCCTTCGCCACGGACTATCACTACCACAGATTCGCCGTATCCACGACCATCATCGCCGGCAAAGTCGACCTGAAGATCGCGGCGCATGTTCCAGCCCTCGCAAACCTTACGGAAATGTTTCGGTTTGAAGGAAAGAAATTTCTCAATCTCTTTCGTCTCCGCAGCAATTTGACTCTCTTCAAGGAGCATCGAATCCGACGAAGAACGTGGGCTATAGCTACCATCAACTGAATCTCGACTGAAAGGATCTGGGCGTGCGGTACGCCGGCTCATTTCAACGAGCTCCCAGCGAACGGTTCGGCCGGTCTTCCATGCAAGTTCATCGAATTGCTCAGCGTTCAACTTAGCAGTAGATGGGACATCTGGCTGTTTGGGAAGATCTGTCAAGTAGAATATTTCTCCCAGGGCATTGAGGGCAACTGCCCAGATGCGTCGCTGGGCATGATGTTTAGTCGAATACCCATCGTCCACGGCGATACCGATGATAGGCACACCCGGGCTCAGAACCCACTTGGCTGTCACCTGGCCACGCTCGTATCGCTTCTCATATGTGGGGTGGGGACCCATGGCATATGCAGAAAGGATTCCTGAAGACGAACCAGTCATCATAGCAATGAGGCCACCTGTTGCCTTGAGGATTGAGGGTGACTTGGCAATCCAAACCGAACAGATAGCGTGGGTAATCATGTTCATGGCAGGAATTCCCAACTTGGGGTGTGAACCTAACTCCGAGGGACCAAGGAAGCGACCACGCTGCTCCGAGGTTGAGATGAAGTAGCTGCGGCCCTGCGGGCAACCTTCGCCATAGATCATGCCAAACGGCTGGCTGACATCCATTGAATTGGGAACGCCAACCATGTCACCAGCCCCAAGTCCGTACGGTGCGTCGCCAGGGAAGCTATCAGCAAAGTGCCGGAACATTTGATGGTCGGAAATACCCCAGGTCGTCACCTTGACAGCAGACGGATCACTGGCGGAGGCAACCCCCTGTTCTGAAGCACCATGGATGAAGTTGGGCTCCTTCTCGACGTTGTTGAATGACCCGTGGATATGGCTCACCGGAAACAAAAGTTGGGAGGTGTATGTTGCTACAGCACTGCCATTGCGAGAGGTCGCGGAGCGGACAGCACCTTGCTTCTTGGAAGGTTGAAATTGAGCTGGTTTACCTCGCGACAACGATCGCATCAACCGGGTACGTAGAATGTACTCGCTGCGCCAAGATGCCAATGCAGTGAGTCTTGCAAAGAATCGTCTGTCTGACATCACGTCCTCGGGATTGGTCGCAGTCCATCGTCCATGGTCCGCAGCCTGCGGACCCGGGAAGAACCGAGAGAAGGCGATTCTCCAGGCATGAGGGGTCGTGACTAGTGCATGAAATCGGCGAGATACCAGCGTGATAGCCGAGAGAGACTGCGGCGGCAAATGCGACAGAATATGAGTGAGAACCTCTGAATGAAGAGGAAAAGTTAGACTAGGGTCCCGTTTGGGTGAAGGGTTCTCGACTCGGGCATACCATTTGGAAGCGTTTCCAAGGGCAGATTGGAGTGGCCCACAAGTGACGGGACTTGGAATCCCGCATCACCTCTCTTCTTCGTCGGGGTTCCGGCATTCTCATACTCGCTCACTCGCTGGGCAGGTGACGAAGGCGGGGTAGAGCCCATGTCGCTCAGGAGCGCATCGCTGGTTCCCGGCGTGGGAGATGCCCATGCTGAACAGTCTCCAGTCTCCTCTGGGTGAAGGAGGCCAGAGACTGCAGCTTCATCGATGTCATTTCCATGTTGGATGGGGGCGGGGTTGGCTTGGGATGAGTCAATGGAGGGTGAATGTTGAGATACTGCAGTGGGCTCTGATTGCATAAAAGAGTTTGAAAAGGGGACTGGAAAGCGAGAGCGACTGAGCCAGCAAGAGACCTGGGTCAGTCGAGACAAGTGAGACAAATCGAAGCGAATAAAAGGGGACGAAAGTGATGCGTTGAGGAAGGAAAAGAAGGGTGACGGCGCGCTGCAGGAGAAAAGCGGAGAGTCGGAAGGCGACGCGGAGTGGCCATCCGGCAGATTGGCTGGAAGGGTTTTATCAAAGGCTCTACGGCTGTAATTGGTCTAGGATTGAGAAATAGTCCATCTCATTTGTTTAAAGATATCCTGCCTTGTATTTCTGCTCTTTGCTTTTTGTCTCGCATCCCATACTCGTAGCATCTTCCTTGATTCAACTGTCCATCGTCCTTGAGGGATCAGGTTGTGATGACATAAGACGAGACAAGAGAATCAACTGCGCACACCGCCTTCCTCAATCGGCCTTCATTAGCCCACCTTTCACGCGTCTTCAGTCACGTGATAACGCGAAGGGTCGCGCGTGGCACCAGCAAATGATTTCCATTCGGCGTGGAGCAGTTGAGGTGGACGCTGGCCGTTGGACGCCGAACATTCCCGTTGCTTCTGAATCTATTCAGTCTCACTGGGCTCTGCTCCAACCAAGAACCTTGTCGGATGAGCAACCCTTGGTCGATCAGCCATCATGTCGACCAGTGGTGAGTAATCCCCAAGTCATCAGTACCCCAAATGATCATGAATAGAGGTCTGACTCTTCTTCCACAGCGGAAACTATTCGCATCCTCGTCTCAACCGACAACCACGTCGGGTACAATGAGCGGGATCCCATTCGTGGAGATGACAGCTGGAAGAGCTTCCACGAGATCATGTGCCTGGCCAAGGAACGAGATGTTGATATGGTTCTGCTTGCCGGAGATCTCTTTCATGAGAACAAGCCATCTCGCAAATCCATGTACCAAGTGATGCGCTCGATTCGAATGAACTGCTTCGGCGACAAACCCTGCGAGTTGGAGATGCTCAGTGATGCGAGCGAAACCTTTCAGGGTGCTTTTAATCATGTCAATTACGAGGACCTCGACATGAATATCGCCATCCCAATCTTTTCCATCCATGGAAATCATGACGATCCTTCAGGCGAGGGTCACCTGGCTGCATTAGATCTTTTGCAAGTCTCCGGCTTACTCAACTACTACGGTCGAACTCCAGAGTCAGACAATATCGAGATCAAGCCTGTCCTGCTCCAGAAAGGTCGTACGAAATTAGCTCTCTACGGCATGAGTAATGTGCGTGATGAGCGCTTGTTCCGCACTTTTCGGGATGGAAAGGTCAAATTTTTCCAACCCTCTGTGCAAAAGAGCGACTGGTTTAATTTGATGTCCGTGCATCAGAATCACCATGCATACACCGAGACTGGCTACTTGCCAGAGAACTTTCTACCTGAATTCATGGATTTGGTCGTCTGGGGTCATGAACATGAGTGTTTAATCAACCCAAAGCTTAATCCAGAGACCAAGTTTCATGTCATGCAGCCCGGATCCTCGGTTGCAACCTCACTGGTCCCGGGTGAGGCTGTGACAAAGCAAGTGGCCATCCTAAGTATCACTGGCCGTGACTTCAACTGTGAGCCTATTCGATTGAAATCAGTCCGTCCTTTTGTCATGCGAGAAATCGTCTTGTCGGAGGAGAAGGGAGCTAAAAAGTTTGCTCGCAAGGAGGGCAATCGGACAGAAGTGACACGGTTCCTCATGTCAATCGTGGAGGAATTGATTGAAGAAGCCAATGCGGAATGGCGTGAGACCCATGGCATCCAGAACGAAGAGGATGAAGACGACGATGAAGAGCCTCGTGAACCACCTCTCCCGTTGGTACGACTTCGCGTCGAGATATCTACCCCTGACGGTGGGACCTTCGAATGCGAGAATCCGCAGAGATTCTCAAATCGATTTGTGGGCAAAGTCGCTAACGTTAATGACGTGGTGCAATTTCACAGAAAGAAGAAGAATGCGTCCTCTTCTCGAAAGGCTGATGCCGCCGTTGATGAAGTGGCAGCTTCACGCCTAGCGGCATTGGATACTGTGAAAGTGGAACAGCTGGTCCGAGAATACCTCGCATCGCAATCCCTCAGCATCCTTCCTCAGAATTCCTTTGGCGATGCCGTGGCTCAATTCATCGACAAGGATGATAAGCATGCGATGGAAATGTTTGTCAATGACTCCCTCGAGGGCCAGGTCAAGCACCTCATGAGCTTGGACCGTGATGAAGATGACGTGGATGATGAGGAGCGGGCTCATAGCTCTCTAGTCAACGCCATGGAGAAATACCGCACACAGTTGGAAGACATGTTCAACAAGGGCGTCAAGAAACGCACACGTGGAAAGAAGAGATTCAAGCCGAAGCCAGACGGCTGGGATACCGAATTTGATGGCGAGTGGGAGGATCAGCCTGGTGCCTTGATTCATTCTGATAATGAGGGTGGGGATCCCGCTGAAGAAGAGGCTGGAGAAGATGGTTCTGCGCCTCCGCGACGAGGTACTGCCACTACCACGGGATCTACTCGAGGCCGGGGTCGAGGGAGGGGAGGTAGAGGAGCTGCTTCTACTTCCCGGGCTGCAGCAACCAAAACTGCTGCTGCTTCAGCCAGAGGACGCAACAAGAAAGCTGTCTCAGACGAAGAGTCAGAGGATGTCATCATGCTAGATGATGATGACGATGATGAGGCGAATGCCAACATCATCTCTGATGAAGATGACGACTCGCAGGCTTTGTTCGTGAAGCAACCGCGTGCCGCGACGGCTTCGAGGGGACGCAAATCCACGACCACGACATCAACTCGAGGTCGCGGAGGTCGGGCGGCGGCTTCACCAGCCCCATCATCGGCCACTGTCGGTGGCACTGCTACACGCCGAGGTGCTACTCGAGCTGGGAAACCAACTCAAACAACGTTGGACTTTACTGCGTCACAAGCTAGCACAGCGCGTTCATCACGGGCTGCTCGGTCAACTCGAAATGTCAGTGTCATTAGTGATGGCGTTGACGATGATGATGATGACGACGATGCCTTTGAGCCGATGAGTACCTCCACGTCTCGTCGGCGGCGGTGATCTTTCGTTCAGGCACGAGCTCTTCTTCCATTTGCATGGCGTTCTTGGAGCGCAATTCTTTCCAAGTCTCATATTTCCAAAGCAAACTGACCCATCTCACGATTATTCCATTCTGATATGCTTAGCGAATTCATATAGTTCAAGTCATTATTTCTAAAATGATCGCACTCTCCGCGCGATGATGAGCACTGGCTCATTCATGTTGCGCACACAAATTAGACAAGCCAACTGGCTCCTGATCACAATACTTAAGAGTTCTTCTGATTGATACTAATTTCTAGGTCATCATCCAAGCTGACATGAGTTGAGTGGTCCGCCCCGCATATAACCGAGTGACAAACAAACACAAAGCCATGTCAGTGCCAACTAACCTGGACATGACGCCAGTGTCCTCGAGTTGCTCCCTAAGTGAGTTCCAAATTGACCAAATAGTAGCCGTACCCGTAAATCACAGGTACTATCGACATCTTATGTTCGTTGTACTTTGCATCAGTCTTACTACTTAGATGGTGCTTTCTTACGTGTAACCCCGCAATCGTTCCAGCCGAGCTGCCTCGGTCTCTCCATCTTCCCCAGGAATACCTCCACACTCCGCATCCACCACACCTAAAATGCCATTTTGGCCATTCCAACGCCTATCCACAGGCTAATCTCATTCACAACATAATGGCATTCACCGGTCGACCTATTCGCATTGCAGGTACGTCAATTTATCCCCGATTGAAAAAGTCACCGATAGCTAAGATTATCATCCAGGTGCATCAGGCTCTGCTTCAGACCGTCGCCATGCCATTGCGGAATTTGCACGGCACCACCCGACTGACCCGGTCGATGTGATTATCGCCGATTTCATGAGCGAGTTCAACATGGCCACCGCTGCAGGTCGGCGGGTGGATCAGGCTGATGCTGCTGCTGGAGCATCGCCGGCTTATGACCTCTCGTTTTTGGAGGCGTTGGAACCTGCGTTGGGGGATTTGGCCAAGTATGGGATTAAATTGGCTGTCAATGCTGGAGTCACGGATACAAAGGGGTTATATGAGGTGGTTATGAAAATGGTGGAGGCAAAGGGGTTGGATCTCAAGGTTAGCACTCGATCCTGCTCGCACATATGAAAGGTGTGTTAAAGTAACAGAGTACTGATACTTTTGCTGCGATAGGTTGCCTGGGTATCGGGCGATGAAGTACTACCAGCCATTCAACAGTCCCTTGCAGATGGAAAGTCTGAATTCCGCAACATCTACACGGGCGAGAAACTAGCCGGCTGGTCCTTCGAGCCCATCTATGCTCAGTGTTATCTGGGTGGACTGGGAATTGCAGCTGCCCTCGCCGAAGGTGCAGATATTGTACTTTGCGGTCGAGTATCAGATGCCTCCCCCGTCATCGGCGCAGCTTATTGGTATCACGGCTGGCAGCGTCATGAGCTGGATAAATTGGCTAATGCGTTCGTTGCTGGCCACTTGATCGAGTGCAGTAACTATGTCTGTGGGGGCAACTTTACTGGTTTCAAGGAGTTGGAGCATGGCGGCGATGGTTGGGCCAATATTGGCTATCCCATTGCTGAGATCTCTGCCGAGGGCGACGTGGTCATCACCAAGCAAGCGCATGCTACTGGCGGTACTGTCACGGTTGACACGTGTACCTCGCAGCTGCTCTACGAGATCCAGGGACCTTGGTACTACAACTCGGATGTCACTGCTGTCTTGGACGGCATTCACTTTGAACAGAGGGGTATAAACCGGGTGGCCGTGCATGGCGTTCGCTCTGGGCCTCCGCCACCAACCACCAAGGTAGGCATCACAGCCCGTGGAGGATTCCAGGCCGAGGCATGGTGGTTCTTGACCGGACTGGATACCGAAGCCAAGGCGCGCATGTTGGAGGTGCAGATCCGTCGTCTCCTCGCCCCATTCTCCGACCGTTTCACTTCCTTGAAATTTGACCTACTGGGTTCTTCATTGTCAGATGCCCCGGATCAGAACCGTGCAACTGTGCCCTTCCGGATTGTGGTGCAAGCAAAGCGAGCCGAGGATCTTGCACCCACGCGGTTCCTCAAGCCTATCACCGATAATATCATGCAGGGTTATCCTGGAGCTACCTTCCATTTGGATTTACGCCAGGGATTCCCTCGTGCCATATTCGAATATTACGTGACTTTGTTGCCTCAGAGTGCCGTTCAGCATCGAGTGCATCTACCCTGGAAACCCACGGCCAAGACGCAAGTCCTGGATATTGCCCCTCCACCAGCGACCAAGACGTACTCAGCTCAACAACCTTCGCAGTCAGTTACTACCACTGATAAGCCAGTTAATATCAAGAATGACTTTGGTCCCACCGTCCGAGGTCCGCTCGGATGGATTGTGCATGCCCGCTCGGGAGACAAAGGGTCCGATGCGAACTGTGGCTTCTGGGTGCGTCACCGCGACGAATATCTATGGCTGCGGTCATTACTCTCGGTCAACACTGCACGCCAACTCTTGGGGGGCAGCCATCCTGGCATGGAGATTGATCGATTTGAGCTCCCGGGTCTACAGGCGGTGCATTTCTTGTTCAAGAACCACCTGGACCGCGGCGTTGGGGTCACGACGACGGTGGACTTTTTGGGGAAGAATGTGGCGGAGTACTTGCGAAGCAGGCATGTTGATCTTCCCGTGCGGTTTTTGAATCGGGGGAAGCTGTAATCGCATGGGGAAGGAAAAAAACTGCGGGTAGTTGAGATAGTATATCCTCTTGGATGAGAAGATCTAATGTCATGGGCCGTGGATGATCGAGTAGATCTATGAATTGCCAAGAGCATGGTCTTCCTCTCGGAGATCTCGGGTTCTCTGGTTATTGGCTCTTATTCTTTTGCTGTTTTAGGCTTTTGATCATTCCGGTGCTGCTTGTCAGAGCGGATTGACACTTCCGGTTCCGCGGTTCCGCGTTGGCTCGGCATCGACTTGGGGGGTATCGACGGAGATATAGAAGTTTAGCACGATTTGATGGAGACGAGGAAAGACCATCCGATCGTTGATCTAACCTTTACCACGAGTTTACCGTATTTGATCATATTTGAGAGTGCTGCTCTGAGATTACCCCAATAGGGCAGTAAACAGAGTGGGTCAGGTGATGTTTCTCGGCCGACGAGTTCCAATGGCGTGGGGCTGCTCTAGTCCAGTCCCAAGTTTTTCCCACTGGAAACTGCATTCCACGTTATTATTTCATGTTTGGAGAAATCATCCATACGTGCTCAATGGATCAGAATGGCAGCATACGTTGATGTTCCATGCAGTAGAGATTAGCTCACAAAAGTACGAATGAGGGGGGGAGCCGCTCGAGACCTAGAATCGGGTATTTACTTTATCTAGTTTGGGATAGTAGCTTATTGGCAGCGCGAGAGAGCGAGAGGGGCATGAGTAGTATTGTGAAACCATTAGTACGGGTGATCTCCGTGCATCTCCTCTACCTGTACGGAGGACGTGAGGATTTCTTGTGTATACTTGGTATGTTATTATTCTATATTTTGTCCCGTACCAAAATTCTTAGCACGCTAGAAGGTATAGCTTCCAGTCGGTCCTGTCCATCCACAGATCTGGAACAACTACCCATCCTCCTCTATCAAGCTCCGAGCTTCACGTCTCCTCGTATTATTTCTCCGCCGCCCGCAGGTAACCGGGGCGACATTCGTCCGTTTCGGCGAGTTAACCTTGGTGCGGATGCACTGACGGCCCACCAATTTGCCCCGCCATGCCTGCCCCGCCTCTTGGTCCGAGTTTCGTCGCATTTCGGTGGGTTATTATGCTTGATTCTTGACCACTGAACCAGTTAGCGCCGGTCCGAGGAGGTTCCTCGGGGGTGGTAAGGTTTGCCCTGATGCAGCAAAACTTGCGCCTGCAGAGAGGGCGGCCAACTCTGCTGACGTAGTTCCTCGGCACCGCAACAGGGAAAAAGAGTCGTCGTCGTCGTAGTATCTAGATTTATCTGCTTGGTAATCGTTCCAATCAGGACTGCGGATCACCTTGTTCTAGTCCACTGACTGTAGTCACAGGTAACTCCGTCAAGTGCGTGGTCTCCAAGCTGTCATCCCTCGGTCCAATTTAAAGCGAAACAGCCGGAGCACCAGGAGCAACAAGCAGTCGGTCGAGACGACTAGACCCGGCTAGAGACCAGATTAGCGCTGCACGGTACGCGGATGCCCCCCCCCAACCCGCCAGTGCGGATCCGCATTGTTATGTACGCGAAGTACTGTGGATGACCAGACCAGTGGGATACGCAGTAATTACCGAGTCCCCAGTGGCAAGAAAGGAGATTTGATCCGTCCATCGAGTCCAAAAGGCAAGTCCCAAAGTGGGGTCCCGCTGTATTGCGGTACCAGGAATTTCAGTACTCCCACCTCGGGAATGAGGAAACCCCGCAATTGCAATGACAATCACAATCCTCTGTTTTGGATTTGCTGCCAAAAGTGAAACCCAAACTATATAATCCCCTTGGATCCCCCTCATCCGGTACCTTTCGACCTTTCATTCAGTCTCCTCTTACACATCGTCTTCTTTTGTGATACCCTGTCCTTGTTTTCTACCGACTCAGCAACACCTCCACCCTCCCCCCACCACCCCCCGCGACTATGGCTCTCTCCGCTACCATCGAGACCCCCAACCTGACCTATGAGCAGCCTCTGGGCCTGTATGTGATCTCTCTCGCTCGCTCTCTCCTTCGAACCTCCTCTCTCCATCAATCCCACTCCTTTCGTACTAACATCCTCTCTTTTCCCCCTCGCTGCTCAGGTTCATCAACAACGAGTTCGTCAAGAGTGTCCAGGGCAAGACCTTTGAGACCATCAACCCGACCAACGAGAAGCCCATTACGTCCGTCTACGAGGCCACCGAGGAGGATGTCGATATCGCCGTCAAGGCTGCTCGCACTGCCTTCGAGGGTGACTGGAGCAAGGTGACCCCCGCGAACCGTGGCCGCATGCTCACCAAGCTGGCCGACCTGTTGGAGCGGGACATAGAGACCCTCGCCGCCGTCGAGGCCCTGGACAACGGCAAGGCCGTCACCTTGGCCAAGGGCGACATCGGCGGTGCCGCCGCCTGCCTGCGCTACTACGGTGGCTGGGCCGACAAGATCACCGGTCAGACCATCGACATCAACCCCGAGACCTTTTCCTACACCCGCCACGAGCCCATCGGTGTCTGTGGTCAGATTATCCCCTGGAACTTCCCCTTGCTCATGTGGTCCTGGAAGATCGGCCCTGCCATCGCCGCCGGTAACACCGTCGTCCTCAAGACCGCCGAGCAGACCCCTCTGTCCGGTCTGTACGCCGCTAAGCTGATCGTCGAGGCCGGCTTCCCTCCCGGTGTCATCAACATCATCTCCGGTTTCGGTCGCACCGCTGGTGCCGCCATAACCAGCCACATGGACATTGACAAGGTCGCCTTCACGGGTTCTACCATCGTCGGCCGCATGGTCCTCCAGGCCGCTGCCAAGTCCAACCTGAAGAAGGTCACCCTCGAGCTGGGTGGCAAGTCCCCCAACATTGTCTTTGACGATGCCGACATTGACAACGCCATCTCCTGGTCCAACTTTGGTATCTTCTACAACCACGGCCAGTGCTGCTGTGCTGGTTCTCGCCTGCTGGTCCAGGAGGGTATCTACGACAAGTTCATTGAGCGCTTCAAGGAGCGTGCCGCCAAGAACCAGCTCGGCAACCCCTTCGCCCAGAACACTTTCCAGGGCCCTCAGGTCTCCCAGCTCCAGTTCGACCGTATCATGGAGTACATCAACCACGGCAAGAACGAGGGTGCCACCCTCGCTCTGGGTGGTGAGCGCCACGGCACTGAGGGTTACTTTATCCAGCCCACCGTCTTCACCGACGTTACTCCCGACATGAAGATTGCCCAGGAGGAGATCTTCGGTCCCGTTATTGCCGTCACCAAGTTCAAGGATGAGGCTGAGGCTATTAAGATTGGTAACGGCACCAGCTACGGTATGACCCCCTCCTGGCCTGCCTCACAAGGTCATCTATAATGTATTGATTGAAGACTAACCCCCCCTCTCTCTCTTCCTAGGTCTCGCTGCTGCCGTCCACACCAAGGACGTCAACACCGCCATCCGTGTCTCCAACGCCCTGAAGGCCGGTACCGTCTGGATCAACAACTACAATATGATCCTCCCCCAGGCTCCCTTCGGTGGTTATAAGCAGTCCGGTCTGGGCCGTGAGCTCGGCTCCTACGCTCTGGACAACTATACTCAGGTCAAGACCGTTCACTGCCGCCTGGGTGATGCCCTGTTCGCTTAAAGGGAGAAAGATCCCTTGAGTGAATCAAGTGATGAGGATATGAATATTATTTCTTTTTTTTCTTTCCTTTTTCTCTATATCTTTTGAATGTATATAACCAAAATTGCAATCCACCGTGAGAGGTTTCGATACTCATACTGTATTTCTGTCTTGTCATTTTCCTGTTTCGTGCCATCTTACTTTTAGCTCTGACGGCGGCTTGCTAGCGGGGTAATCCAGCGGGGCTCACTCGCGACAGCATCAGGCCCGCGGTCGACCCTGTTCCTGTTGAACCGACGTGGGTTGGGGAATATTGCTATCTTCGGTATATCGCAACACGAGCAAAATCACGGCATAATTGCCGTGTTGTCAACCCTGGTTCTCGGAGACTTCGGGGGAGATGTTTGTAGGCGTGGCCCATTTGCTATGCGAATCGTGGGTCCGGGTCATTTGTACCCGCTCGGGAGAAGATACACCGAGCGAGTCCACCAGGGACCCCGCCAAAGACCACGAATAATTATTGACAAGAACATTCCATACAAATTCTGTACAAGGATCCGGAATACCCGATCGGCATGTTGACCACTAGATCTCTCGGGTCGGATAGTCCTATCATCATGCTCATTACTGGACAAGTCTCCGATCGGAGAGGCCCGTCATTGCTTCGTCGAGCTTAGTTGGACGTGGCTGAACAGCGCCCACGATACCAGGCGGGTAAAATAAAACAAAGCTAATATAGTGATATGTTCTCGATACTCCATGAACAATGTATGTACAATTTTGGCCAGCTGAATCAAACAGAAATGATGATCAGTCAAATTCATGCTGCAGCCCCAATGATAACACCATTAGGCAGTTCCAACCCCACAGGCAGACCGCAGACAAACTTGTCGGTATAGTTGATGCCGCGGATAGCCGCCAGTTTCTCCTCGATGTCGTGGTACATATCGTATCTGCGTGCGATCAGCAATGAATATCGAAAGGACCAGCCGGGTGTTTGTGTGTGGGTGGTAACGTACGAGTTCATTTCTTCAATCGTCAGGACCTTCTTCGGGTCCTCGACCTTGTATGTGGGGGTGTCTTTGTTAACGGAGAATCCTGTGATAACTCGCGTTAGTATCGTCTCAGCCAGAACCTTGCAGGGGGTATTTTGAATACTCACCAATTCTCTCGTTAATGTTATACGCCGCCTTGGCAGCTGCAGCCTGCACTCGAGTCACGCGAGGCAAACGCACCTGCTCATACGCCGCGAGAGACTGCGCAACATCACCGTTGAAATACTTCTTATTGAATAGGATTCCCAGCGCGGCGGCATCTTCGATGGCCATGCACGCACCCTGACTCTGGTGAGGCATCATCGGATGGCCCGCATCACCCAACAGACAGGTATTCCCCTGATGAATATACGGATAAGGATCATGCACCCACAACCGCCACGGCTGAATCTCCTTTCCAATGGAGAGATGCTTGAACACCTGGCGGTCTAATTCAGGATAAGGCTTGAGAAGTTCCTCGACCGGTCGAGACTCTGCGCCCCAGGCTTGGGTGGAATAATCGCCTTGTTCGCGGGGGAAGAAGCAGTAGTAGGAGAGGAGTTTGCCGCCGTTGCAGGGGGACAGCACAATCTTGTCCCATTTGCCTTCTTGGCCGCCCCAGTATTCGAGCGCACTGTCTTGAGAGTAGTCCACCAGGCCGAGTCGCACTGCTTCTTCGGTGTCGACGTTGGCATGGAGACAGCTAGACTCCGAGGGACGTTTCTCGGGTGTGATGCCCAGGATTCCTCGGACGGCGGAGCCAATACCGTCCGCCCCGATGATGAGATCGTGGTGGGCAGTGACTCCGTTTTCGAAGATCACCGTGCTGGCCTTCATATCGATATCGCGACACTATACAATTCAATAGTTTCATTAGCAGTGCGCTTTCCCCCCTCGTCCAGTTATTCGCATCACATACCCGATGGTTAACAATCAACTTCGCAGGCGTCCCTTCCCCTTCCTCCCCCAACGCCGAATCCTTCAACATGGAATGCATATATTGTCGATGAAACATGTTGTACACATATCCCCACCGCTTCTCATAGTCATCCAAATCATACACACTCACAGGCTCCCCCGTCTTCCAGTCCCGATTGATCAACTTCTTCAACACGACTGGGTCACCCTTGGCAATATCAACCCCCCACTCGTGCAGCCATCGAGTCCCGTTCGCCGCGCAGGACACGGATGCGCCTACTTCGCCGGCGAAATCCGATTTCTCGTAGATGGTTACCTCGTGGCCTGCGCGACGGAGTGCGATGGCGGTGGACATGCCGCCGATTCCGCCGCCAATGACGCCGACATTTAGGCGTTTCCAGCCGGACATGATGGTCATTGAGGTCCTGGGTTGGGTGATTTGGGTGTGGTTTGTGAGGGGGTTTCTTTCGGAGATTTTGTTTTGTAGTGGCCCCAGCTTGAATAGCTTGATGAATTGTAAATTGTCCGACGAGCTGGTGGTCTTTGACCTCATTTATCTTGTTTGGGTCTGGTCATGAGAATCGGTCGGATGGTGCACCAGCGCGGGTGGTGAGGTCGCGGGCCGCGCACCGCTTATCGCCGGATCCGGGGCGAGAAGCTGAGTTCGTGATAATCAGAGTATCGGACATTGACGGAATGAAAGATAAGGTTCTGACAAGGAGGATCAGTAGACTGGTTCTTTGCAAGTGACGCATGATGAGTGTGTTGGAAAGGAAGGGGTTATAGGTACAGCAGCATGGTGATCACTATGTTTCAGTCAAGTAGGTTACCCTAGATCCTTTGGATCTATGATTAATGTAAGTCTTTGAACTTGCTGCTTTTTAGAATCATGCCAAAGGATGGAGATATCCTTATTGAGACCATGGTCGTAGACGCACGCTCGTACTTTGAACTCGGCCGCGAAGGAATGCACGAGGGCTTTATTAAGATCAAAGGAACCATAACAAATACAAAGACCATTGTATTCTTTAACGGCAACAAAGCATCGTATAAAGGCCTTCGGTCACAGTTAATGGCTTTTGTAAACCTCAGACAAAGACATGACCTATTTACAAAGTACATTGTATCTATAGACTACTATATCAAGCGTTCAAACCCACTTCTCCGATCTTCCCATCATCCCAATTACCAATTCTTCCGAATCACATTCACTAACACCTCTTATACATCCATTCCTATCAATTCGATCTTCTTTCTGTCAATAGCCATGCAAACTTGGTACGTCAACATCAACTTCGCCCCTCGCGATGCATACCTGAGCGACATTGACCTCCTCCGACTGATGCAGGATAAGATCAGCCAAGGCAGCGTCAGCGTAACACTCTGGTCTGAAATGCAAGAGTCTCGTTATTGCTATTCTATCAAGGTTACTGGTGAGTTTTACAGCCCTGGAGAGATACATAGTGCTGCGTTGAATAAGGTTTATCTGTGGATTCGGTATTTGGCGTCGGATCCGCTTCCGTTCTTCCGGAGGGATGTTTTTTAGGATAATGGTATATTGGTGGTGGTATTTTGGTAGGTTTATCGGTGTGTTCTCTACCCTTACTATTAAATGAATATACTTCTCTTGCGTGGTTCCATGGTCGTTTATTAACAGGCTATATAGTCCCTGTTTGTACAGTAGATGTTCCGTTCCACCCGCATTATTTTGCTGCATTCGGGCGTGACCATCGCCAAAGTGCCCACTGGGCTCATTAATTACTCACAAAGCCGATGAGCCCGGCTCTGTAAAAGGGAAACTATCCCACAGCGGCAAATCCATCCCTTCCCAATCCAAAAACGCCCCGTCCATCATCGGCGGCGTCGCAATAGCGGCTCCCTCATCATTGGGAATCCACGGGTAAAACGGGCCACCTTGTACAAGTAGTGGCGTCGTGCTAGCCCCTCTGCTGTTATCCACACTCTGCATACGGGGTATCGACGGGGTATCACTCAGACTGAAGATTCGACTAACGTACTGACTTCGTCGTTGACGTGCTTGCGCGGATAGACGCTGTCGTTGCTGTGTGACGGCCCCTTCGAGTAAAGTTAGAATCTCCAGGTAGTGGGCAGCTTGGGCGGATTGCTGCGCCAGCATTTGCAAGATGGATAGAGCGCCGGAGAACGCATTGTCAATCTCGGTATCAACGTCGCGGTGGGAGAACATTGAAAAGCCCAGGACTAAAGCTGCGGCAAATACAAAGGCTCTGCGGGTCATCGCGTCAGTATTTGCAATGTTCAAGGTAAGAGGCCGCTGGGGAATCGTACTTGAGAAGAGACATCTGCCGGAGAAGCAATTCGGATTGATGGATCTCTTTACATGTCTGGAGCATGTAGACCGCCGAGTCAATACATGCCGCTGCCAGACTTGAATGGGCCGGATCTTCCTCCAAAGGTTCGCTGAGTCCATCAGAGGAAAAGGCCTGGTGCAGTCGGGCCAGCCGCACACTCAGGGTGGAAATGAGAAAAGGTCGAGTCACGAGAATCACTGCAAAATGATAAGAGCATGCAACGTGCATGTTTCCAATGACGCGTTCCTGCGCGGCATCGGGTTCTTCACTTTCAGATGGCGTTCGTAGACATTCTGGTAATTGGTCGCTCCAGCGGTTCAGCTTTGCTAGGAGCAGGCCTGCCGTCTCGGCAGAAGCAGCCTTTTCACTGTATAGACGGCTGGTGATCTCATCGACAATCAAAGATAGCTGATATGAAGCAACTAAGCCCACTTCAACAGGTGTAGATTCTATCGAATCAAGATCTCTGCGACTTCCGGGCAGTAGACCTGCGGTAGCCGCGGGTCGGCCGAGAATCGAGCTCGCCAGGAGATCGATTATACATAGACTCGTCCAGAGTCGTGATCTGTTGGAAGTTGGTTGAGTTTACTTAGTACCTTGCAGGTTGGAGTGCTTACCTATCTTTCTGTTCGACTCGGCTTAGAGATCCCGAGGAGTCTACATGAAGACCCAGTGCAACCGCTGCCCGAGCGGCTACACCCAGATACATGAAAGCGGCGTTTCGACGGCACGCTCCAAACATGTAAAACGATAGCAACAGAAACACCCGCACCAAATCTAAGCTGGGGTCCTCGAGCATGTTGGCAAACGCTCTGCGCTGGCCACGCTCAACAAAGAATTGCTCTATCTGGACAATCTCAGGCTCGTCAGGACATGACTGGGCCCCGATGGCGATCATCAGATCGCGGATGGCTGCATGAATCTCTTCGCGGCTGGTCTTCGGCTCTGTCTGATCGGAGAGTAGCGCATCTGTATCGCATCCCAGATAGATGAATCCACTCGTCTGTGACGAGGTGTCAGTGGTGCCTTAGCCGCAGCATTCGGTCGGGTCGGGTCAGGGCCTTACCGCAATGGAGAATGTCTGTATGAAGCGGCGTTTAGCCTCGATACTACAGTCTTCTTCCGAGAAATTCAGTGGATCGTGATGAGCTTCCGTCTCCAGCATATCCTCGCTTTTGTAATTGTGCGAGAACTGTGAAGGCCCGATATGTTGAGTCACCGTTTCGCGAAGGAGTTGGAGAAAGGACAGCGAGGCAGCCTTGCCAACGTATACTGTGAATCCAGTTAGAATTGATTCGGTGGCTTCAATGCATGCTACTACTCCGTCCAGGCATACCTCTCTCTCCTTGGAGGTTCCGTAACATGCGAGGGTGAGTTCGATGCGTTGCTTCAGGCGATCGCGAACCCGCTTCGAGTGGGCGCTCGATGTGTCGGTCGGAGGGACTAGCATCTTGGATCTGCGACGATTGAGGACTCCGCAAATTGGCGTTGATCTCACTCCATGTCTCTGGAATATTTTCCAAGGGTTGTCTCGAGATGGTCGATTCACGGCGACTACGAGACTCCGTGGCTGATATCGATTTAAATGGGATACAAGTGTGACCCCGACCCTTGTGAATGCAGTTGGTGCAAGGGAACGAGCCGCTGCATCGTTTCTTAGACGCTCGACAGGCTGTACAGGCGGTATTGGCCCGCAAGCGGTTCGCTGGAAGGACCTTTGGACGCCCCATGATGGTCAAGAGAGACGTTTAGACAAGAATCCGGGGTCCAGCAACAGTCAAGTCCCCGCAAATTGGGGCAGCCAACTCAGCGGGGAATCAAGGCGGTGCTCGGCCCGACACCCTCGGAAGAGAACGTAGTGGAGCATGTTGGCAGCAGAAAGTTCCAATCAGAGACGAGATTTCTCTCACTGGAGGGATGTGTTCATTGTGATTATCATTTGTGGTATTCTTTTTCCTTCATGGACACTGTTATTTTGTTATTACCGTAATAGATCCGGTAGACTCCTGGATGAGAGTGTTATGATCTCCAGGGTGGTGGCACGTGACCTTAATTATCCAGGTTCACCCCATTCAACTGGGTCTTCAGCCTGAAAGCATTGGATGAGATTCCCAGCAGAATGATAGACTGCTTCCATTTGTTGTTTTTAAAGCTTGAACTGGTTAAGGATCTTGGATATATAGGAAGTACGTTAAGATAGATGGTAGTCAACCACTTCTGTACTGATAATGCTTCGGATCGAAAATATACCGCTGATGTTGTACATACTACGAAGTAGGTAGGTTACCGACGATACCCAAGGTAGATTAGTAGTTAGATATAGTGAAAGATAAGAAAATGAAATAGCAACCGGCAACTTGGCACCGCAATACCTGGACTGGTTTCATGGTGGAGATTAGCGTAGGAAAAGTTTTGGGTCTGGGTCTGACCTTGTATATGCTAGGGTCTACCCTACACAGATCGTGGCGTAACAGGGAAACTGAATCTTCAAAGGTCATCTGCGTTAGCCCGTGCAGGGATGACAATGATCTGCATTGACCTGGATCCTAGTCAGTAGTGGCCACGATATCGTACCTTTCCCGTCTGATCGATACTCGAGGCTGGAAATCCTTAACTAAGAAACTGGTGATGCTTTCTGAGGTGTTTGTGGGAGGGGGTTCGGGCCCTCCCGCGGGTGCCTCAGTGGGTAAGAGCATAGAACGTTGAGCATTTCTGTAACTTACAGGCTAACATCACAATCCCGACAGAGGCTAGTTCCGACTTGAACTCCCCTAATTGGAGCCGTGCTATACAGACAGTGGATAGCGACTCATTCAATTCGGTCTCATCTACTATTGTTCTACCTACAATCACTGGACCTGCTGATGCGGAGTACTCCGCTTATGCTTGGGTTGGAATTGATGGCTGGGGAGGTTTGAACAATCTGTTTCAAGCAGGGATTGATATCCAAGCAATTCAGTCTGATAACGGCTCCTACTATCCTCAGTTCCGTGGATACTATTAGTGGTATCCCGAAGGTCCCCAGTTCTACACGATTGACGAACTTCCCTTATCGAGCGGGGATACCTTCTACATCAACATCACTGCTACCTCGAAGACTACAGGTACTATCTATCTGGAGAACGAAACCAACGGAATATCCCAATCTTTCAACTTTGATGAGCCTAGTTATCCCCTGACAGGCAGGTATGCCGAATGGATTGTGGAGGAGTTTTCGGAAGACCCGGTCCCTTACTTTGGCTCTATCAACTTCGCCTCCACTTGGGCTACAACTTGGGACGGGAATGCGTTTGACGTCTCTTCCGCGTCCCTAGTCCAAGTTGATGATAATCGTTTACAAGCAGCCATAAACGGTTCTACTGTGTCTATCTTCGTTTAATATTCCAATAATGAGGCTAGGTTTATACTTAGCAGCTCCATACTATTGAAAATCTTAGTTGTGCCTTTTTCTTGTTTCAATGATTTGCTCATTGCGTGGCGTTTCATTGAACTTCGTGTTGGTAACAGCCACCCAAACAATATCGCGATTTTGCATAGTAAACACCTTCTATCCTACACGCGATTTCTCACCACCACCATGCCTGAATCGAATCAATCTATTGAATATCGCATGCAATTGGCTATTCTTGAATCAGAGAATGTTGAAAAGTCTAATATTAAAGCGTGGGCGCGATCTCGCAACCTACCATACTACTGGCTTCTTACGCGTTAAAAGGGCCGCCCATCGCTTTCTGATCGCCAACCTAACGGTCGCAAGCTCGATGAATCGCAAGAATCTGCCCTCTGCCGCTATATCGATTTCTTCAATTCGATCTATCTACATCCTAAGCGCCCTGCAATCGCTGCTGCTGCCAATGCAATCCTCGCTAGCTCCTACACGGCTGATTCGAAGCCGCCTACTATTGGTGAGCACTGGCTACAACGCTTTCTCCGCCGCTATCCCAAGTATCTCGTTCGTGGCCAGAGAGTTATGGATATCGAGAGAAAGAAGTGCCTAGATAGGCAGGTTGCAAGAGAGTGGTTCAATTCCTATAAGGAGACAATTGCCCAATACGGAATTACTGCGGATGATATTTAGAACTTCGATAAGACTGGATTCAACATTGGTGTTAGCAGAGGCCAATGGATTATTACGCGCGAGCCTAAGCGCCAGATTTCTGGTAGGTTCAGTACCAATCGCGAATATGCGACTATTATTGAAGCTATCTCAGCCACTAGTACTACAATCGCACCAGTAGTAATCCTAAGCGCGTAAGGTCCAACTACTACGGTTGTTCGAGATAGTAGGCCATAAGAGAATCGCTGTTACCGAGACTAGCTATCTTAATAACATTCTGGCCCTACAGTGGATACAGCTATTCAATAAGCTTACCAAGGATTCGGCTAAGGGTACGCATCGTATGAGGCGAATTCTAAAGAGTAGTGAGGACCTAAAGGCTCTCATGAAGTTGCGACCGTATTACAAGCGGGAGGTTATGCCAGAGCTGAAGAGGGTTTGCAAAGCTAAGGGTTAATCAATCATAAAATAGTGTATATTTCTGTATTTTCCAATCAAATTGCTTTATTTCGGTCTACTAATTATCTTCTTAATCGGTCTGCTTGGTTGAATAAATCGTATTGAAATTGGGTGGTTGAATATATGAATGGGCAATATCGTTTGGGTGGCGGACTATCGCGGAACGAGGGTCCGGAAAATATGGTAATATTTGTAAGGGGCCGGTTAATGGGTTGTGGGTTGGGTAACCCCACTCAATATTCGATGTTGCAATCGGTAAGTTCCCCCTTACCTCTCCTGGTGGCAATCTAAGGTTTGGTGGTTACATAGCGATAATTAGGCAAAGGCGGAGGAATTCTGCTCAAAAAATTAGGGGTTCAGAAGAATAGGCTGGTCACCCCGATTTGATATCCGATATTGGGTCCAATATCAAATTAGGGTGATGATGGGTTATTGGTCCCAATATCGGATATCAAATCGGGGTGACCAGCCTATTCTTGGAAAGCGATTCTGTCGATCATCCCCGGGGGGGGGGGGGGGGGGGGATCCCCATAGTGCAAGATTCTCTCCATGATATACAGGCATTCCCTGGCATAGCAATTTTGTTCGCGAACTGATTCTCTATCTTCTCGTTTTCTCATCATTAGAATGGGATGCATTATCGTTCTTTTTATATGCCTTTTGACAGTATCGGCTGCCACAGGCGAAGTTTTAATTTCATCCGCGATAACCAAACGAAGCATTGGCTCCCTTGAGGTTCCGCTTACCCTCGGGGATGTACAAGTTGGTTACTTCGTCGATGTTGCTATAGGCGCACCGCCTCAGAAAATTCAGCTGCTTCTAGATACTGGGAGCAGTGGAGCAGTGATATTTGGGTCCCAGATACGTCACAGTGCCGAAATAAAACCATCTGTCCATATGGATCCTGTAGGTGACTACTCTATACAATACCCCGTTTTTATGATGAGAGATAACAGGAATTAACTGAGTAGTTAGTCAATTCTGAGAACTCATCGACTTTCCGCGATATACAGCCAGGAAACTTCAATATTGCGTATATGGACGACACAGGTGCCTCTGGAGACTACTTTACTGATGCCCTTCGCCTCGGTAATGCCACCGTCACTAATTTCACTATGGCTCTTGGAACCGACATAACTGGCCAGCCGCCAATCACTCCGGTTTGTGGTGTTGGTCCTAATACAAACGGAAGCGAAGCCACTGTTTCAGGGGGAACTTATGACAACCTGCCATATGCGCTATGTGATCGAGGTGTTATCAACACCGTGGCCTATAGTTTGTTGTTGGGTGATGAAGGTCTATATGCCTAGCCATACTTTGAGTGACTTCATTTTGCTAATATGATTGGACTAGACAATCCTGGGAGCATTCTATTTGGTGGCATCGATACCGCTAAATACAGAGGCCCTCTCAAAACTGTTAACACCCAATCTTACGAGGGTGGATTTTACGGCTTCTATACTTTCTATATACCCTTGTCTTCATTGACTCTGACCATCTCTGACAATACCAGTGAACTGAGCTAGGGGGTTTCTCTTGCTTATCTCGACTCGGGAGCTCCTTATACCACCGTTCCTAGCGATGTTTTTAACAGAATTCTTAGCCTATTTCCAGACCATGAGTCCGATGGAGAAGGGGGGTATACTGTCCCTTGCAACCAAACAAAGGGGTATTTCAATTTCAATTTTGGAGTCCCATCTGGTCCCGTCATCAGTGTTAATGTTTCCGAGATTGTTCTCCCGATCCAGGGCGAGCTCGATGTCTGCAATCTTGGGTTTTTATCAGGCACAGACTCGATTGTGACTATAGGGGCTACCTTTTTGAGGTCTGCATATGTGGTTTTTGATTTCGTCAATATGCAGATTGGTCTTGCTGCTGCTGGAAGTCCCACTACATCATCAAATGTAGTTGCATTTTCTAACTACGGCGCGGCCATTCCTTCTTATAATGGCACCGGAAGCATGGTAAGTCTGCCTGTTATGTCTACTTGGTGATTCCCACTGACAATATGTCTCAGAAACTTGCCAGTTCATTTGGTTCAGTGACCTCAACTTCTTCGAGTTCCGTGGCCTCTTCGACTGACTTAGGGAGAGCATCGAGCGGCGCCAACATTTTCCAATCTTCTGTTATTACAGTCGTTCTTACCATTGTGTTTTTGATTTTTGCAATCATGTAAAATATATTCAGGACCCTGATAGCAATTTACCATTTCCCAGTTCAACATTTGTGGCCCCAATCGGAATGCATTAACATTCAAATCACAAGCGACAATTAAATCTACAGAAGATTGACCAATACATCCCCGCCTTGAAATGTTGTAAATCTCAGTCGACAGGAGATCTCTCCTGTTCAGTAAAGGATCAGTGGAGCTGTCCTCGGTGCGTGGGGCGGGGACTGAGACTGTATCGGCAAACCGAGCGGTACCGGGCAAGTTCCGAGACTGCGCAGGCAGACTCGGAATGAGGATTGCGGTGTGAATAATTGAAATTGGAATAATCCACATAATTCACATATCGGACTCGTCAAGATCAAAGCGGTCGAGAATCGAAATGCTCCAGGCTCTCTCCATCGAGGGAGCTCCGACCAATCAGACCAGGCACAACGAAGAGAGAAAACTTTTCTGCCGCGGGTCTCGGGAAGGGGACCCCACCAGTCAGGGACTGTGAGCATCTAATTGGATACAGGCTCACACCGCTCACGGTCTCCCAGACAAACGGTGCAAACACCGGCAAAATCGCTTAGCTGCTAGCGTGGCCCGGGCCCCACCGCCTTTGGGTATAAAAGCCATCGATGCCCCGATCCAATTTCTCTTCTTCAAGCGACTCTACGTACGTGCCTCCCACCCCCTGCAGTGACAATCACACTGTCTTGTTGATGCATTTACTAACATCTCTTCGGCTACAGTTCAAAGAATCACTTTAGAGTAGACGTCCCACTTCTAAGCTCTTTAAACGAGCCACAGAATCTTCACCCTTGCTGATGACTGCTATGTCCTCGATGCCCTAAAGTGAAGCCATTTAGACTCCCGCCTCGACGGAACACGCGTGCCTTCGGGCGTCTGCATGTTTGGTCCAGGGAGTGGTGATGATCTTGACCTGGTCTCGGCGTCTGACTTCGGTCGGCTGGTCCTGGTGGGTGTCGAGGAGGTCTGAAAGGTGTCTTCTTGACTTTTGGTTTCTTCTTCTTTCCCTTTTGATGTTGGGGGATATTGGAGGAATTGGAAGTTGCGGGAGATGTGTGTGAATCGAGTTGGTTGCTTGGATATAGCTATAAATGAATTTGCTATTTTTTTTTTTAATCTGCCTCGTAAAAATTTTCATGTACTTGATCCTTTGTAAACACTGCTGTACGTCTTTTCTGTCGTGCCCATGTCGTCTTGCTCACTCTCGACGCGTACGGTCTTGATCATTCCATCATCATAGCATATCATTGGGTTGGTGCTAAGGGTATCATGCTCTCGTCAAGGCCTAAAGCTGCTACAAAGCTGTCCTGTATCATGTATCATGTGTCCATGGCCCATCTCCTCGTCACTTCGCATCCGAACCTCCGCTCTTCTCGCCCGATGCAGCAGCAGCCGTACCACTGCCCGTGCCTTCCTTCGATCCATCACCTCCTTTGCCGCCCTTATTCCTCGATCCACGTCCTCCTCGAGACCCCCGAGATGATCCTCCTCCAGAACCGCCTCCGCTAGCCGCGCCGTTCCCATCATTCGCACTCGTCTTCGCCTTCTCGCCCTTGGCCTGCTGCTGCGCTGTGTCACCGCGACCACCACCGCCGCCGCCTCCTCCTCCTTTGCGCGACTTTTCGCCGCCAGGATTAGCCTTGCGCTCCAGAACGACCACCTGACTCTGCGCCACAGAAACGGGGCTAGCGGCCATGGCTTTCTGTAGCCCTTCCGGCTCGGCAAAGTCCACATATCCAAATCCTTTCTTCTTATCAATTTCCACCTTGGTCACTGTGCCGAACGGTGTGAACGCTGCCTCCAAGAGGGCCTCGGTCACACCCTGAGATGCATTGGCGTGTTTGAGGAAGGCCTGGGTTGCGGTGGGGGTCGGGCTAGCGGTCGTCTTGGTTTTGGCGCCCTTGGGTGGTTTGGTTGACGGGGTAGTAGTCGCATTGGCAGGAGGGGTCGCGGTGCCAGAGGCTCTGGAGGATGGTGATTCACCATCTCGATCCTTGGCTTTCGTAACGCTGGCGGCACTCTTGGCAGGCTTGGATGGGATGTCTTTCTTGCTGCTTTCGACTGCTGGGACTGACGACTCGCGGGAGCTCTCATTCTTAGTAGAGCCCGCCTCGTTCGTTCCACCTTTTCCTCGACGTCGGGATGGAGCTTGTGATAGGCCCAGATCCCGCTGGAGGATCTTGGCCGCTGCCGCAACGTTCCCCCGTTCCCTCTTCCGCTCAGATGCAGCGGCAGATGTATTCTCCTTTGTAGTGCTGGATGTACTCGCCTTGCCTCCCTTCGTAGTTGTACCGCCCGCCGCTGCTTTGGCTGCTTTGGCTGCTTTGCCAGATTCTTTGCCAGCCTTCTCTCCCTTGGGCTTTTCGTCCGAGGATGGACCCGGGGCAAGTTTCTTATCTGGTCGTTGTAGAAGCTTCTTCGCCTGAACCTTCTCCTGTTTGGATTCCTTCTCAGACCGCTTAGAAGACTTGGAAGCTGCGCTCTCCTTGGCCTTGCTCGCCTTTTTGTCTTTGATAAACTGCACCAGCGGTGTAGTCACCACCGCGGCCTTTTTCTCCTCGGGTTCAATCGAGTCAACGGTAGCTGGCTTCGTGATGGGTTGTGTCAAGCTCTCGAGGAAAACAATGAACTCGGGATCCTGGTCAATGGTACCCTGGCGGGCATCTTTGCGCACGCGACTGCCAGGCGTTTTGGCGTAAGGCGCAAATTCCAGCGTCGGGGGACCCAGAAGCACTGGGTCATTGGAGGTGTGGCTAGCATCTTGGAACGAGGATTGGCGCACTCGATCTGATAGAGGGCCGATGTGCTCGTTGGATACTACGTGAATGTAGGCTCGAGAAGGACGAGAAGGCTTCGCGGGGCTGAATGGAGATAACTTTGGGTTAGCGTATCCTAGCTGAGGCGCCACTATAGGTAGACAGTTCTGGATCAGCTTCCTTACTCCTTTGAAACCTTGCCAGGCTTGTACTGAAGCCAATCGACCTTGCCCGCGCCCAGTCTCCATTCCTCTCCCAAGGCGCCTTCGAGCTCAGCCTGTGTCAGCCCTGGGGGTAAGCGGCGAATGAGGAGCTTGAGGCGCGGGGCAGGAGGTTTGGGTGCTTTCTTTGCAAGCGTCGACGCGGACTTTTGCGTGGCTGCCACTGGTATTTGAAGCACGCCGGCGGTGGCTTTGCCCGCGGCGGGTTGAGTCATGTCGCAAGATGTGTGTAGGAGGTAGTTGTAGAGTGACTGGAAATCAAAGATCGGCCAGAATTGAGTAACTGGTAGGAAACGATAAACGAGCTTCTTGCTCTTCTGGAGTCCTGCGATATGCTGCAAGTCAAGCTTGATAGCAACTGAGTTAGGTCACTGCCAGTGACCCAAGGCCGAGACGGAAGCCTGAACAGAGGGGCTTAGTCAGCCTGAATCCCGAGGCACCGGACTTTGGAGACTAGTTGTGTCTAAACTACAATAATTACTTGTCACTTGAGAGATTGATTTGAAAGTGTGTTGGAAATTGAAGCTAGATATGTATTGATGCACAATTTGCAGAATTGGGTTCTGGATTAATGCTGAGTCAACGCGAGTTGACGTAAAATTCATATAGTTAAGAAAGAGCATGATCCCCGGGAGGTATAGGAACAAAGTAAAACCACGGTAAAAAGCAAGATATCACAAAAATATCAACAAAACAGACACCCAAGTCCATTACTCACTCCTTCACCACATTCTGTACCTTCAGAAACCCCGAAAAGAACCTGTCCATATCCTCATAATCATCAACCTCCCCAATCCAACTCACATACTGATCAGGACGCAAGATAACACTTGCCCCCTTGACGGGATCAATTCCATAATTAGCATAAGCTTGCCCATGACCTTCATGATAAGACTGATCATCCACAAAGACCTTCCAATAATCCCAGCCCATGGTCTCGCTGTATGGATGGAAGGCTTCCGGGAGATCCAAGAGTTCGAGGGATGCTCTTGGACCGGCGTGAACGGTTAGTACTTCGATCACGCTGTCGATTGTTTGATCGGCGGGCGTGTAGCGACGGATGAATGAGTCCGTAGCTCCGAGTTTGGCGCCGAGCTTTTGCATGCGTTGCATGTTTGCGGCCAGGCCGAGTTGGCCTGGGAATACGATGATTCGCCATTTGCCGTTGCTCTTCAGTAGTTCTTGGAGATGCCATGGGCGGGCGTCGGACTGATTGAGGACCTTGAAACTTGGCATACGCTTGCCGATATCGATCTTGGTGGCGAGCTGGGGCTTGCTGATCACAAGGGTGGATTTGTCTCGGGCAACGTCTGTGCCGTCCCCTTGTGTTGCTGGGTCGCCTTCTTTTGCGACGATGACACTGGCGCCGTAGTTGACCGCTGAGCGAGAGGTTAGTATGGTGTGTCCACGATGTCTCACGTCCTATCATCAAAAAGTAAAATTCTGTACTTACCAATACCACTAGCAAACTCATTACCCTTCTCGAAGGCCCTCTTGAACTCCTCCATACTCACGCCTTCCTCGTCCATAATATCCTTTGCAGGACGACCAGAGAACAGTCTGGAGAAGCGGTGGTCAAAGGCAATCAAATCCTGAGCGATTTTTCTTCTCTCAGATTGATATGTCTTGAGAATGGATGCGTTACTGTAGCCTTTTACGACATGGGCGAGCTTCCATCCCAGGTTGTATGCTGAAAGCGAGTAGTCAGCAATGCGTTCTCTACCCTGGGATTTCTTGGGTTGTGTAACTTACTATCTTGCATACTCACGTTCATACCCTGACCAGCCTTGGGTGAGTGGGTGTGAACCGCATCACCTGCCAAAAAGACTCTCTCCTTCAGCGAGAACTGGTCACCCACACGCTGGCCAATCTGGTATGCTGTCCACCAGTCACAGTAGGAGTAGTCAAGCTTGTAAGGATGCAGGATCCGCTGGGCGGATTGGAGGATAATCTCCGGCGTGATCCATGATCGATCTGCTTTACCTCCTGCCTGGGCATGTTCCGTGGTTTGTAACTGAATGTACAGTCGAACGAGCTTGTTCTCTCGTGGAATAACCATGACACTGCCTGCATTCGCGGAATGAATCGCGCAACGCTGTCGGATATCTGGGAAATCGGTGATGGGCACAATATCGAGTACGCCCCAGATGTAATCCGTAGAGTCACCCTCAAGCTGGAAACCCAGTTGACGACGGACCCAAGAGTGTGCGCCATCGCAGCCAACAAGGAACTTGGCTTTGATGGACTCGACTTGGTCGACTCGGCAATTGGTTTCTGCGGCGTGGATGAGATCGTCCGTGTCATCGGCTGCCAGGTTACTCCGGAAGAGTCCGTCACTGACGGTTGTCTCTTTTCCTTCTGTGGATCTGTGATGTTGTTGCTGCTGCTGGGGCGTAGACTCCTCATCTGAGAGGGTGCGCACCGTGACGTTGATGGGATAGTCATTGAAGTCGTCTGCTTTGGTATCATCAAATTCGAATGTGGTGGGCAGCACACCTCGTTCGACTACGATATCGCTATGCTCCTTGATAGAGTCGAGGAAGAAGCGCTCGATGCGGCCCTGGTGCAGCACCACTTGCTGAAACCGACTAATACCAGGAATAGTGTCCGGGATGCGATCGAATCGTCGAATGCGACCCTGTTCATCCGGGTTCCAGAGACAAATCTCCAGCATATGGTTGGATTCGCGCCATGCGCGGTCTGCAAAATCGAACGAATCGAAGATTTCTAGTGTTCGGCATTGGAGACCGTCTGCCTGGCCGTTGAAGATCTACACCAGAGGTTCAGAGTATAAGCCTTGCATGCCAATGTAATTAATGGCCATCACAGGATTGAGGTTTTACCTTTGTTCCTCGCTTATCCACAATGCGAGTCTTGACACCGCATCGACTCAGCCAATTTGCCAGCATCAGACCTGCCGGACCAGCCCCGACAATGAGGACGTCCACATAGTCTTCGGCTTGGGGTAGAGTGCCGGGCATGATGGTGGGAGTCGATATTGAAAGTCGCGACGGGGATTAGAGGGTGGTCTTGAACCAGCATTATTCCGGCTGCCATGAGGTTGCATGGTTTAAATAGACGGTAGACAGTCTGGCTCAATCCGAATCCGAACGGGTAAAGCCGACGTCAATGTCGGAGATGTTGTGGGGGATGAGGCCGTCTCTGCCAATCAATGCCCATCACTGAGCCTTTCCCCAGATCCCCTCCGCAAAAGATCCGGAGGGGCAAATCATCATCTTTGCTGGAGACTGGAGATCATAGACACTTCCGAATCGGACGGGAGAAGTCGTCCGAAATGTACATCTCGAGGGATGATCAACCTGGCAGTCTTGGGATGTAGATTCACACTACCATTGCACTGTTCCATCGGATGAACATGGCCGATCGGAAGATCCCAGTCATCCACCAACGACATCCCATATTGGCGTGATGAAGCTCTCTGCAGAGGTTCTTCTCAAATTGAAATTGAATGAGATAAGACCCCACTGAATAACATACTTTGAACTATCCTTCTTGGTTGTTCTTCTTGTCTCGTATTGAGTGAGTCATGAGGCTGTGTCAATCAACTTCAGGCAGAGACCAAAGGAGCCGCATTTTCTTGAGCGCTAAAAAGATCTGAGAATCCCGTCAGTCTCAACCACACTCTCCAATCAAATCTCTGAATACATACACAGACTGGACACAGTCACCATGACACCTTTCTACAACATCGCTCCCCATCTGGAGTACTTCAACGTCCCATTCACCGACTTCATCGCAGCGCGACCCGAGTTCGATGCGTTCGCAGTCGGGGGCTACATTTTCGCAGGGGCAACTCCCACTTCCGACGCGGAGTCCCTGCGACCACGTATTTTATTGCTCCAGCGAGCGCTGACCGATTCGATGCCCGGTTGCTGGGAGGGCCCTGGCGGGGCAGCTGAACCAGAGGAGGATCGCACATTGCTAGATGGCGTGGTGCGTGAAGTCGCCGAGGAGACGGGCTTGCATGTCTCGCGGGTCGTGGAGCTGGTCACCGTCGATGTGTGGGTTCATACCCGTCGCAATGGTGATCGGATTCGCATTGCGAAATATTCGTTTATTGTGGAGGTGCATGAGGGGACGAGACTGTTGGCGGATGGGAGCTCTCAGGTTGTGGGTAGAGACGAGATCCCCGTTCAGTTGGAGGTGACGGAACATCAGGCGTTTGATTGGGCCTTGGAGGAGGATGTGAGGCATTCCATGCAGACGGGCCAGGGCAAGTATCAATTACCTTTGCCTTCGGTGAGACATCAAGGTCCGAATATTGTGAGAGCGTTTGAATTGTTTACGCAGCAAGAAGGGACTGGGGTATGAATGATAATCAGGCATGGAGTGCCTCGTGATCGATGTATTCATTTCCTTAATCAATAAATCAAGACGGATGCTTAGAGACAACCCTCAAGACCCTCAAGACCCTCTCTCCAATTGCTATTCCTCCTCCTCCAACTAATCCTCTTCAGGCAGAACCCCTTCAGCCTGCATCTTAAGAGCCACCTGGTCAATTTCTTTCCACACACGCAGAAGATTGCCTCCTGCCACCTTAGCCGCCTGTTCGTCCGTAACACCCCGACGAAGAAGCTCCGCGATCAAATCTGGGAACTTGGACACATCTTCCAACCCCGTGGGCACGGTCGGAATACCGTCAAAGTCACTGCCCAAGCCAACGTGGTCAAAGCCTGCCACAGTCCCGATGTGGATGATGTGGTCGGCAACCCGCTCAATGGTGGCCTCGGCATAGTCCACTATCGGCAACCCGTCCTCCCGACCCGAGTCGTGGCAGGAGATGAAATCGGGGGCAAAGTTGACCATGACGATGGAGTTGCGCTCTCGAACCAATTCCAAGACATCGTCTGGCACGTTTCGCGGGTGTGGACACAGAGCATAGGCTGAGCTGTGGCTGAAGATGACGGGGGCCCGGCTGCCCGTCCACTCGGTCTTGCCTGCGCCCAGCACATCGCGCATCGTGTCGGGACTGACATGGGCCAGATCGACGATCATTCCCAGTCGGTTCATTTCGGCTACCAACTTTTCACCTGCGGGACTGATGCCGTGCCAGAGAGGGACGGCCAGTTTGATGCTACCGTCTGGTTCCTCGAGAATGGCGGCGTCGGCATACTTGTTATGGCAGTTATGGGTGAGCGTGGCATAGGAGACTCCCATGTCATAGAACATTCGTAGGTGCGCTAGTGAGTTACCGATGGAGTGTAGCCCTTCAATTCCGTACGGAGAGATGATCTTGCCCTGCTGGAATGCCTCCATGGCCGTGGTGCCATTGGGGGGTGTCGAGAAGACCTCTGGGAACGCCTTTTGGATCCGGGACATGAGATCAACCTGTTCCACGGCCATTCGAACGCCTGTTACATCGATTATTAATCAAAAATGACCCAACATGAAAGAGGTTCAAGTTCTGGTGTTCATCATGATACTACATACTAGGCGCATAGTTCTCATCGGCAAAGTCGGACCAATCTACCGGGCACGGAACGAAGACACTCCAAAAGGTGCCTCCCACCCGCCCTTTCTTCAGACGAGGCAGATCCACATGGCCAGGAAGAGTGCCATGGGTGAAAGCATCGGTGAAGTTCGGTGAGTAGATGCGGTTTTGGAACGTGAGTCGGACCAGGATGGGCAGATCATCATGACCATCTGGACACTGAGGGTTAGCTTAAACCATACTCGATACGATGATGAACAGTGTAGTGATCATACCGATCAAAGGCGTGGTGGAGAGAATGTGGTGGACTCGATCCTCGATGGAGAGCACGCGAGTATGGTGGCAGTAGTGGGGCCAGAGGAACCAGCCGCCAGCCACCAGGGTGATCACGCACAGAATCCAGCTTCGGATGGACGATTTAGGTGCGCGAGGCGAAGCTCTAGAGCTTGCTGGAGCTGCTATCTCTCGAGGGAGATCTTGCAGGGAAGTCTTCTCGTCCATCGTTGCAGGCCGCAAAGGGGGGAGGAGTTTGGAAAGGGAGAAGTTCAGACTGCCGGTCGACTCCGCAGATAACACAGCCAGACAGTCAGACAGTTAGTTAAGTTAGTTAGATGACATGAAATGTAAGCGGCAGAGAGACTAGAGAGGGGACGAATCAAGAAATGATCAGTTAATTATAATACCCGTTAAAGATGATTCTGCTACTCTCCGAATATTCATTAGTACACTTTTTTATCTCCCGTGGTTGCTGGAAAGCATACTCCGTGCCATGGGCCTACCGCGGTGTAGTAGTACAATGGAACTATACTCCGATGGAGGAGCTCCGAACTATAACGCACTGTGTCAACAGCTTGAATATAAATTATAGAGCATTAATAGATCAATCCTTTGGATGTTGGACGGCTCCAATTCTAAATAGAGTCAAGCCTATATATTCTCCTGGCATCCTGGTGGTTTAACCATCATGGCAACTGGCGAGTGATTCGATATGGACTAGATTGATCTTGGAAATCCCAATTCCGTACATCTTCATGTATTCATTCTGTCTATCTCATTAATCTTATTAATCTCGCTAGCAAAGACTGTGTTGTTAATCTGCTTGGATCTCCTCCACCTTTTGTCACTTTCTGGCGGGTGTCCCTCCCCCTCGTTCCGCTTTTTGGCTTTTCTTCGTCGACTCTCCACTTCTTTGGAGTCTCCTCCACATCTTCTGTGCGGCAATTCTTCTCTATCGGTATCATTCGAACTATCCCAACGATGGCTAGTATGCCGACCGCAACGGACGGTGAGTCTCCCAGTCAATTGATTACTTCCCCTGTCACTTCTCCGCCGTCTGGATGCATGCTGACCATTCCCTCCAGGCCTACTGGCCGCCTGGCATACCTACCGTCTGCCTCTCCTCATTGCCCTCTCCACCCTGTTTGTCGCCCTTCGTGCCTATCGCAAGGTCCAGTCGCGATCCAAGACCCCGACTGCGGCCTCGATTCCCTCCTCGCCCCGCAGTCAGTCCCCAGAGAAAACCCCGAAGCTCCACGAGCCGACCGAGAAACAAACCCCACCATCGATCCCCACGAACAACCCCAAGATCGCTCGCAATGCCGAACCCTCCAAGCCATCATCAGGCCCCAAGCGCGTCCAGGGCAAGAAACCGGCCAAGACGGTCTCCGGTCGCCGCGCGATTAGCGAGGAGCGCCACCCTTTGTCCATTCAGCCCGTCATTTTTTTTGCCTCGTTGACGACAACGACGGAGCGCTACGCCAAGATCCTGCTGGAGGAATTGCGTGCGGTGGCACAGAAACGAGCAGATCTAGAGAACCGCGACTATGGCCTGTTACCCCCGCAGATCCACGACATCTCCTACATCGACTTTGACGACTTCTTCGCCGCCGCTCCCAAGCCGCCAGCGACGTCCCCCGGTACTCGCTACCTTTACTGCATTCTGATCCCCACGTATAACATTGATACGGTCTTGAACACGTTATTGGGTCACTTGGATGAGATCCATAATGATTTCCGCATCGACACCGCGCCCCTTACCCAATTGGCGGGTTATTCCGTGTTTGGTTTTGGTGACAAGGAGGAGTGGCCCACCGAGGAGGAAGGCTTCTGTTCCCAGGCGAAGGAAGTCGATCGCTGGATGGCGAAACTCACCGGTCGCAAGCGAGCGTATCCATTGGGAATGGGTGATGTCAAGAGTGATGCCGAGGCCTCGTTGAAAGAATGGTCTCGAGGACTTCAGAATACCATTTTCGATATTCTGGAGAGTGGAGGTCTCGGGGAGGGTGTTCCGGGAAGTGGTGATGCCGTCGAGAGCGATGAAGAGGATCTGGAAGATTTGGAGGACATGGAAGACGAGTCCCGCAGCAGAAAGAAGGGCGGTTCGACAATGGTGGACCTGGAGGACATCAAGATGAATGGAGACTCGGCTGGCCCGATACCTATTGACTTCACTACCACAGGCAAGGCCGTATCCGCAGAGGCCACTGCGAAGGAGATGGTTCCCAAGACCTCACCGACTTATGCTGCTTTGACGAAACAGGGTTATACTATTGTTGGATCACACTCTGGCGTCAAAATCTGCCGATGGACCAAGTCCGCGCTTCGTGGCCGTGGGTCATGCTACAAATTCTCATTCTATGGCATCAAATCTCATCTCTGCATGGAGGCGACACCTTCGCTGTCGTGCAGTAATAAGTGTATCTTTTGCTGGCGTCACGGTACGAACCCCGTCGGGACTACCTGGCGATGGAAAGTCGACTCGCCCGAGTTGATCTTCGATGGTGTCAAGGAAGGTCACTACAAGAAGATCAAGATGTTGAAGGGTGTGCCTGGCGTGCGTGCAGAGCGGTTTGCTGAAGCCATGCGAATTCGTCACTGCGCGTTGAGTTTGGTCGGCGAGCCCATTTTCTATCCCCATATCAACCGCTTCTTGGATATGCTGCACGAGGAACGCATTTCCAGCTTTTTGGTCTGCAATGCCCAGCATCCCGACCAGCTGGAGGCGCTACACCGCGTGACTCAGCTCTACGTCTCCATCGATGCCAGCAACCGCGAGAGTTTGCGAAAGATTGATCGCCCGTTGCATCGTGATTTCTGGGAGCGATTCCAGCGCTGTCTGGACATTCTCCGAGAGAAGCGTCACATCCAGCGGACCGTTTTTCGATTGACCCTCGTCAAGGGTTTCAACGTCGAGGACGAAGTAAACGGATATGCTGACCTGGTCGAAAAGGCCTTGCCGGGTTTGGTCGAGATCAAGGGTGTCACCTTTTGTGGAACTAGCACTAGTGCAGGCGCTGGCCTGACTATGAAGAACGTGCCTTTCTACGAAGAAGTCTCTGCGTTCGTCGTTGCTCTGAATGAGGAGCTGCAACGACGCGGTCTCAAATACGGAATTGCCGCCGAGCATGCTCACAGCTGCTGTGTCCTACTTGCCTCGGAACGCTTCCATGTGAATGGCAAGTGGCACACTCGCATTGACTATGACCGGTTCTTTGAACTCTTGGAGAGGGAGAAGAAGGACGGTATTTCATTCTCGCCCGAGGATTACATGCGTGAAACCGAGGAGTGGGCTCTTTGGGGCCGTGGTGGCTTCAATCCCGATGATGAACGAGTCTTCCGTAAGGGCCGCGATGCTAACTCTCGGGCTCGTAAAGCCCAGGAGATTCTTGGAACTAGCATTGCGTCGTGAAGAGCTCTCAAAGCATACCCTTCTCCTCCCGAGGTACTCGGACGGCACTCCATGGAAGTCACGGAACAGCCTGAAATGAGTGAATGTGTTTTGTTCTCAATTCGAGGAATCTCTTCACACGTCTCACTCTACCAAGGCTTGGTGTATCAGCCTGTGGCTTTGCAAAGTTTTGCACCCGATTCAAAAATAACGCTGTTCCCCTTAGCAGCGTTAGCTATATGTTCATAGCGTTGTCAAAAAGTAAAAGAACAATGAAAATTTCGCCATGACATAGAGGTTACTCAGATTCTTGTGTTATCTTCATTAACTATGGATCAAATGTTTACTGAAATATCTGCCTTACTAAGCATACTTCTTCAACAACTCTGCAATCTCAGACTCGGACAACTGCTGAATACCCAATAACTCATTATCAGTCTTGGTGAAATGAGTTCCATAATCCGCACCATAAACAGCCCGCAGAATAAGACTGGTAGCAAACTTCCTCCCATCAGGCGGCGATTGCTTAAGAGCCTCATAAGCCTGCTTCTCCAGATCCTCAGTCCTGACAGCCTCGCGCTGGATGTTATCTCCATTGCCCGATAGCTTCAGAAGCTGGTTCTGAGTAAATTCCACATCTTGAATGAAGACATGACGATTCTTAGTTTCCTCCGCATGCTTCAGGACTCCCGCCACGGCTCGTCCGACACTCGCCAGCGTCGTGCTGCTGACGGGGACATCGCCGCCGTCATAGATAGGGGTTGACGGTCCTTTCAAATTGATAATGAAGTTATGTTGGAGACCCCAATCGAAGAAGGGGCCGGTGATCACGGACGTCCAGCTGAAATCGCTATCCTGCTTGGTGATCTCTTGCAATTTCTGGATAACGGCCACTTTGTCGCCGAACACTGGGAGCTTAGATGTTAACGGGTTTGCCGTGTCGCAGCCGAATTCGGAGGGGACGAATCGTTGGATGCCAGCGGCGTGGGCTGCGTCGACGAGGCGGAGGTGGATATCGCGAGGGACGATGCCCACGCTGAGGGTGTTGATAATGGCGTCGTAGCCTTTGAGAGCGGCTACGAGAGAGTCGAGAGAGTTGTAGTCGACGACTTGGACTTGGGCGCGTGGATCCACTTGGTGCGAGCTTGAGCGGCTGAGGATGGTGACTTGGAAACCGGCGTCTAGTAGTTGAGTGATAATGGCAGGGCCGAGGTTACCGGTGGCCTAGAACGGATTTAGAAGGGGGTTATTAGGAGAGCAGAGCGTGGAGAGTCGTATACTTACACCAGCCACGGCTACACGAGTAATTGCCATGATGAAACGGGAAATAGATGTTGAGGGAGGTGTGTTGGAATGGATTAAAGTCGACTGTTGAAGCCTTGTACTATGGAATAGGCTCTGGATGACCAGAGTAACATTGAAGGCGCCGTATACTGCTTATATACACATGTCTCTACCTACCTATGCATTCTACAACAATCCATTGCGAACTGAGTGAAGGTGTCATCAGTTTCATGCTGTATCACCTCATTTAGCAGGATTATTGAGCAGCGCGGAAATCGCCCGTCGGGATAACTGCAGAACAAAAGTACGGTACTATGGCTGATAGTGGCCAGATTTGGAAATACACATTCTAGGCAAAATAATGTAAACAAAATATTGTCAGGCCAACCACAACGGTCAAAGACCTAGACAAATTACGCATTTCCAGACTAACTGCTACTTGCCACGGTAGTGTCCTAGTCAGCGGCAACCTCCACATGCCGATGGTGCGATCTGGTGGTAACTTTAAGATTATCCGATTAGAAAGCAGATTCATAATCTTCATAAGTTTCGGCGAGTTCCCTTTCCGAGGCCCCAAGCACTCAGATTCAACCTTATCCAATTGATTCCGCCAATTATACAATTAACTAGTGTTGGCTAAGCCTGTAGTTTGTAAGCGGAAAAAGCCTTGTCTAGTTAACTAACTACCCGACATTTCCGCAGCCGATGACAAATATAATGATATCTGATTCAATAAAGGTTCTATGCAACAATAATATGTACAATGCAGAAAAGAAAGGGGTGTTCACTACAGTCTGCTATCAAGAGGACTGGTGGTGCGATGACTATTCTCCGGAATTCTGGATGATGCCATTTTAGCGTGCTTGCGCTATGTTTGACGAGGGAGAAACAAACCTACGCTTGGGGTTTCAGGAAGCCAGCGAAGAATTTGCCGATTTGGGTATAGTCGTTGATGTCTACCACAGCAGATACATCTAGATGAAATGAATCACTAAGTATGGCTCAGGATGCGAACTTGGGATGAAAGGGGAACTTACATTGATCTGGGCGGACAATGATCAAGGCTCCGTGTTTCGGGTCGATGCCGAGATACTCGTATGCATGACCGTGGCCCTTGTTGTGGCTCTCGTCGTCGTAGTAAATTTTGTGAATATCTAACCAAATGGAATGAGATTACTGTGTAAAAGTCAAAATCAAGTTGGGTATCGCAAATTACTCACCTCTGGTCTGGTTCTTGCCGGTGACTGGGTAGAACACTTCCGGAATCTGCTCCAACTCGACATCGTGACGCTTTCCGTGACCAATCACGATGGTCTCGATCAGACTATCCACATCCTGGGACTTGGGAGTGTAAGTGTGAACGGGGCTATCAGGGGATGATAGATATTCGCCAAGCTGTAAACCGTATAAATTAGCAACAAGATCCAAAATTGTCGAGCGACGAAGTTCCCGAGAGCATAGCTCACCTTGTTTAGCTTCTCTCGATTCCCTGCAACAGCCAAATCACCCACAAAAGCCATAATACGCCAGCGACCATCCGACTTGAGTGCCGTCATCAGCTGCAAGGGCTTGGAATCACAGAATCGCACCACCTGCGCGCTGGGCAGGCGCATGCCAACCACAACGTTCGAGGCAAGTTGTGTGCCCTCCAAGGCAGTGGTAATAGGAGAAACATCGTATTTGGCCGTCAATCCAGCGGTATACTTGCCGGACTTGATAAATCCTTCTTGGAACTCCGCAGGGGATGTGTTAGCTCCGGAAGAGAACAGCTTGGAGAAGTATCGGTCGAAAGTAATCAGGTCGATGGCGGTCTTCTTCCGCTCCAGCACGTAAGTCTCCAATAGAGAAGGATCGGCCAACCCGGTCAGAATCTCGCCAAGTTTCCAGCCAATGTTATACCCGTCCTGCAGGCTGACGTTCATACCCTGGCCGGCCTTAGGCGAGTGGGTGTGACAAGCATCGCCGGCCAGGAAAACGCGGTAATCCTTGTGGAAGAAGTCCGCATGACGCTGGCCAATTGCGTATGCGGACCACCACACTGTCTCGACAAATTCAATCTGGTACGGTTGCAGGATGGCCTTTGCCTGGCGCTGGAGATTCTCCAGGGTGACTTCCTTGGGGTTGGTGCCCGGGGCCAGCTCGATGTAGAAACGGGTCAAGTTGTTGTTGTCGCCTTCTCGAGGGATGATCAGGATGTTTCCTGCTTTGGAGCGGATGGTCGACTTCTTCCGGAAGTCCGGGAAGTTCGTGCGAGGGATCATGTCCATGACACCCCAGACTGCATCGGTGCTGTCGCCAATCATTTTGTATCCCAGAGCTTTCCGGACGATGCTGTGGGCGCCGTCACAGGCCTGTAGATGGGTAAGTTTCACACCCAAAACAAGAATTGATATTTCGAACAAGGACAATCACTCACCAATGCATATTTCGCAGCAAACGTCTCAATCTTTCCATCCTTCTCTGCAGTCACCGTGACCGGGTACGACTCCGGATCCGCCGCCGCAGCACTATCCACCTCCACAGAAGTGACATTATACCCATAGTCAATCTGCTGGTCATTATACTTGTGCATCAGCTCAATGAGCAAGCCATTGATGCGCGCCTGATTCAAGATAACGTGCGGCTGATGCGATAGACCTGGTTGTGTATCTGCCGTCCGACCAGTCCGCTTGATCGCGCCCGTCCCCTCGTCAGCCCAAAAGTTGACCTCGAGAACATGATACGCCTCGCGCAACAACTCCTCGCCAATCCCGAAGCTCTCGAAGATTTCCACCGTGCGACATTGCACCCCGTCCGCTTGGCCCATCTTCATCGGTCCCTCGCGGCGTTCGAGCACTTTGCAGCGGATCCCGTACCGGGCCAGCCAGGTGGCCGCGCAGAGGCCAGCGGAACCACTGCCACAGATGAGCACGTCGACTTTCTCCATGATGGGAATGGAATGTGAAATGCAGGAAATGGCGCTATGCAGAGATCTAAACTAAATTAGTAGGCTGATCGAGGGCTTGTGCTACCCCGCGGGGGTAACTACTTTTCAAGGCCAGTCCGGGATGAATCCCGAGAGTGTCTTCGGGATGTGTTCCGTTCTTTTGATCCGCCACCCTTGGGAACTGATGAGCGAGGGCAGTTTGCGGACTTGATCTCGGCATCTGTTGGCTTGTGGATAAATCGGCTCGCATGAAGAGACAGGTCATGCCATGGCAAGTATCCTGTGCCGTGTGTGGACTCCGGACATCCGACAGGAACTCGGGAATATGGAGACACTTGGCGCATTATCGGGATTGCAATTGACATCTACCGAAGGAGATATGCATATTCCACTCTATTTTATAGAGTAGACCAATTGGGACTACAATAGAATTGATGAGGGGCACGTCTTCTTGAACCGGATATGATCGATCATTCATGAGCCAAAAGGCTCAGACATTCAATTCGTCTCTAAGATCATTATATAATGCTCATGAACCCTTCAAGAAACGAAGGGATGATGCCCAATCCCCCAAAGAAAAGATACAAACGCCAGCGCCCGTGCAAAATCTCGCAAGTCATCTTACAGGAAATATTCGCTGCGGCCCGGCCGTGAGGTGGGCACATGCCGTTGATCGTCGCTGACGGCACTGAACAGCTTGAAAGTGGGTTTCAGGTCTTCACCAATTTCACAGACCGAGGCCAGGTTACCACACCGGTAACAGTAATTGGGGGCACTCCACACGGTGACGACGTTTTGGTTGGTGAAGTGGTATTTGTATCCTTCGTTCACCAGCTGATGCGCGCGAGCGATCAGGGAGAGATCGTTGACATGGCAGAATTCATCAGCTACGCGGTCACCAAACAGCCAACCTGAAGAAGAAAGACATATTAGTAACTCAAACAGGACAACGGATAATTCGACATCTCTCTTACCTGCTCCACGAGGGCTGACTGCCCACGTTTCCACATCATCAGGATCCGACCAGACCAGATCACAGAAAGCACCCTCGTGGGGAATCTCTTGGGCACGAGCCACGACCCGCACTTGATCCAGCGTTCGAATCTCGGGACTCAGTCCACCGTGTACACACAGCACCTTGCCGTCGATGATGGCGCCCAGCGTCATGAAATCGAAAACCTGACAACAGGCCTTCCACACCGAGGCACTGCCGTACTTTTGAAAACACTCCTCGTAGAACCCGTAGACTTGAGTGATCTGGCGGGATTCGTGGTTACCGCGCACCAACGTAACTCGATCTGGATATCTAAATCACCGGGCATATCAGCATTTGTCATCCTACGTTCGTCCGAACAGCAAAGGGAGAGAGTGAGAGAAAGCTCTTAACATCACTCACTTGGCCTTGAGACACAGCAGTAGCGTCAACGTCTCCAAACTGAAATATCCACGATCGACATAATCTCCCAAAAACACAAAATTGCTCTTCAGCTGAAGGCTCTCTGATGTCTGACTGTTCGATCGGCTGTGCGCGTTGGCATTGGGCTCCGTCTGCTCCTCCTCCGCTCCCTCCTCGTCGCCGTCGGCCTTGGTGTTGGAACTAGGCCCGCGAAGCTTCTTGCGGAGTTTGGGATCGGTGATCGTAGAAGGGGGTTCGATGTCGGCGGAGGTGATGACGGAGGGAGAGGTTTTGGGGGCGTCGAGCGCGGAGCCATCGGGCATGCCGCCAGAGACACGGAAGAGCTCGAGCAGATCGTAGAATTGGCCGTGGATGTCACCGCAGACGGTGACCGGGGTGGAGACAGGTTGGATATTGGATTCTAACCGAGAGCATTGAGTGAGCTTTTGATAGGAGTCGACCGCGGGGCTGCGCTCGTTGGTGTCTTACCCTCCATCATATACTCCTTGACCATCTCACACAGCTGCTTCATGTGGGCCTCGGAGAGGTATTTGCAGTCCTTGGCGGCCTCGAGCCACTCATCAGGGCCAGCATTGCGCTTGAGTTTGGCGGGTCCCGGTTGCGGGACCTTACTGTCGGTCATGGCGAGGGGATTTGGGCGGAGGAAGAGTGGACGTGATGGAGTGGAAGGCGGGGGTAGTGAGGAAGAGGAACTGCGCGGCTGGCGGTCTTCGGACGCCGCAGCGGCCGACTGGCGAGTGACTGATTATTGACTGACCATCTGACAGTTGCAGTTGACAGCCATCGGAGGACAAGTACAAATACACGGATGGGTTAACTATAGTTACCTTGTATTTGTAGGCAGTTTGGTGTCATGTTTTGAATAGTCATATGTTGATTCATAAATATATGTCATTCACTGTGTATCCCCTGTCCAAATCCACTCTATCCACTCTATCTACATAATCAACCATCATAATCCCATAATCCCATATTTAACCGTCAATCTTGCTCAAGAACTCAGTCACCACATCTGCAAAGGCCTCGGGCTGCTCAACCATAGGCAAGTGACCCGCCTTGTCAATGATCTTTAGCTCCGCATCACCCTTCAGATCCGCCGCCATCTTCTGCATCGTCTGGGGCAGCACACCGTCGTTGGCACCCGCCACAAACAGACCGGGCACGGTGGCCGAGGCCATGCGCTCGCGGATATCATAAGCGCAGAGGGCATTCACACTGTGCGCGAAACCCTTCAGGCTGTTGGTGCGCACTGCCTCCTTGACCGGGGCCAGCACCTCGGGCTGGGTCTCGTACGACTCCGGGACGAACCAGCGTCGGGTCGTGATCTCGGCCAGCTGCTCACCAACAATAGGCTCGTTGGTCTCCGGGTCAGTCGAACCTTCTTGCTCGGCCATGGCAACCCGCTCGCCCCAGGCTTTGCGGTTGGACTCGGGAGCCGAAGAGTTGGTGTCGCAGGAGATGAATGCGGCAATGCGTTCGGGGTACAGGAGGGAGGTGTTGAGGACGGTGACACCGCCCAGGCTGACACCGATCAAACGGGCAGCCTTGGGAGACACCCGGAGGGCCTCGAGGAGATCGTTCACGTCGGAGGCCAACAGGTCCACGGTGACAGGCTGCTCGCCGCTGGCGGAACGGCGGCCACGGGTCAAGTAGCGCACAACGCGGTAGCGCTGGTTCTCCTTGTGGGCGAAAAAGGCATCTACGAAACGGTCCCAGATGTTCCAGTTGACGAGGATGGAGTTGCTGAGCACCACAACGGGGGCGTTGGGATCGGTGCTACCCTCCAAACGGTAGGGAATCTCCACGCCATCCTTGGTGGTGATGAACGACTCGACGGCCGGGCGGGTTGCTGAAGGGAGAGTACGGGTCTTGCCATCGTTGGAGGACCAGGGTCCCACGCAGTCCGGAGAGGTCAGGGACGAGAGCTCACGCGGGGCGGGACCGAACGTGTAGTACCACTGATAGACGCGGCGCTTCTTCGAGGTGACCACGGTCTCCTGCAGCTTCTGGCGCCAGGGGGTGTTCATGGCGGCCTTGTGAACATCACCGCCGAGCCCGTTGACGGGGGAGTACTCGTGGAGGGCAAGCGACTCGCGCGGAGCCTTGGGATCAATGGACGAAGTCACGAACAGACGGCTACGGCGCCAGCCCGGCACGCGGGAGAGCATCTCAAAGTGTTCCTCGCGATACCAGCGGTCATGCTCGGCCTGTTTCTCAGGGTCCGGGTGCGTGGCCGTGGTGACGGCGACGAGGACGCTCCCGTGGGTCTCGGCATCAGTGTCGGCTTGGTCCTCCAGCGGGCGGAAGTTGGGGGAGCTACGCTCCTCAACCAGATCATACAGCAACCGACCAACGTCGATCTGGGCCATGGTCTTCTTCTCGCGCTCAGTCTTGATCAAATCGGTGCGCAGATCCAAGTAGGTCTTGCGGGTCAACTCGTCCATGTCGGTGATATCGTAGAGGGCCACGTACTCGGGCTTCTCACCGTCGGTCGCACGGAAACGGAAGCCATTGGTGATGAAGGGAAGACGCAGGCGCAACGGGCCATGCTCGGTGTTGTACCAGTCGTGGAACTGGGCCTCGGGCAGCGAGCCCTGAGGCTGCATCGTCACGTAGAGCAGGCCGGGGGTCGGCATGGTGGGGAGATCTCCAAGTATACAAAAAGGTATCTGAGATTGCGGGCACTGGAGGGAAAACAAGGAGAAAAAGGATCCGAGAAGACTGTCAGAATTTCAATTCTCGGGTCTCCAAGTTTATGATTCTCCCCTCATTCGAATATCCCCAGTTCCGGGGGCATCGTCATCTTGGCTTTCTTTTAGAGCGAAACCGTCCGGCAGTGCCCCTCAGCCGGAAGAAAGCAACGCACACCCGATGGAAACTGCCGATTTGCCGCTCAACTTTTTTGGGTCACTGTTTTGACCAACCCCCGAATTAGTAGTAGCATGGAGATCAGTACTGCATGTTCGAGATGATTTATTGAATCCACATCTGTCATTAGAAATACTGTATTTTTTTGAAATCATATTCTAATTCTGATAATAAAGCCATGCCACTTGGGTACTGCCTGTCTGATGAGGCACCGTCAAGATGTATATAACCATGAAAGCCTGATCGGCTCTATATGCATTGTTCTCGCAAACATCAAATCATGTTGTTAAACTCGTTTAATCATACCAGATGGCATTCATGCCAAAGCCCTGCTCGGGAATGTCCACACGCGCCACCCGGGCGAGCTTCTCATCGCGCCAGCGGTACATCTCGACAAAGCCCAGCTGGTCGTCGCACAGCGCCAACCACTCATCGCTAAAGTCGCAGGGGCTGACGGCATTAGAGTGACCGCCGCTGGTGGAGGTGGGGTTGATAAACAGCTGGCGCTCGATCTCGCCCGAGGGGCCCAGCTTAAAGGCAGTGATGTAGCCGGTCACATCGAAGTGGTTGGACCGGGTGGTCGCGAAGAGATACTCGCCGCTGCGGGTGGTGAAGGTGACATCGCCACGGTACTTGTTGCGAGGAGGAAGGCCAGATGGGAGCAGAGGGTAGGTGATGTGCGTGAAGACGGGCTTGTGGGTGCGCTCGTCAATCA